TCGTGGTTGTCCTCGTGCTCGAGCCGGTAGCGCCAAATCTGGTGGTAGTGACATAGCTGGCGGGTAGGCCAACGATGACGGTACCCGGCGATCCATCCGTCTGCGATATGGTGCGGGTAGTAGGCGCCGCGTTGGTGCCTCCAAATTGCGTACTGGTGATGTAGCTCGCAGGTAACTGTACAATAACCACGCCTGGGCTGGGACCAGTCTGCGAGACAGTAGTAGTGGTAGCCACAGAGCCCGAAGCGCCGAATTGCGTCGATGTGACATAGCTAGCTGGGAGATCCACGATAAGAGTTCCGGGTTGGCTGTCACTTTGAGAAATCGTGATTGTCGAGGTCCCTGAGCCGGTGCCTCCATAGCGAGTGCTGCCAGCGTAACTGGCTGGCAGCTCGACGATGACTGTGCCGGGGGCGGCAGCAGTCTGCGACACTGTCCTCGTAGTAGGCGTGGAAGCGGTGGCTCCAAAGACTGTGCTCGTGACATAGCTAGCGGGCAATTCCACGACGACGGTGCCTTGCTCAGGTCCTGTCTGGGAGAGCGTTCGCGTCGTGGCTGCCCTTGCTGTGGCTCCATACTGGGTACTCGTGAAGTAGCTAGCAGGCTGGTCTACGATGACGACTCCAGGCCCAGAATTGGTTTGAGAGACCGTCGTTGTTGATGGACTCGATCCGGTATAGCCATAGCGGGTACTTGTGAAGTAGCTCGCAGGCAGGACGACGACAACAGTGCCTGGACGCGAGTCGGTTTGAGACACCGTTCTGGTCGTAGTGACTGACCCGGTCGCGCCGTACTGGGTGCTCGTGACGTAACTAGCTGGCAAAACGACAATGACAGTGCCTGGGCTAGAATCTGTCTGAGGTACGGTGGTGGTAAGCGTAGAAGACCCAGCAGCTCCATATTGAGTGCTTGTGACGAAGTCACCTGGCACCTGCACAATGACTGTGCCAGGCCTGCTGTCCGTCTGAGGGATTGTCGTAGTACTTGAGATTGAGCCACCATATGTTGTTCGCGTCACGTATGAGGCGGGCTGGTCAACAATGACAGTGCCCAACGCAGTGCCTGACTGCGTGACTGTGGTAGTTGTGCCTTGTGAGCCTGTAGTATATCTCGTTACCGTGGCGTAGCTGCCAGGTAAGTCGACAATGACCGTGCCTGGCGCCGCATCTGATTGTGAGACTGTGGTCGTAACTGGCGCGCTGCCCGTGTACCCGTACCGTATGCTGGTCACGTAGCTGGCAGGGAGTTCGACTATCACGGTACCAGGAGACGGGTCGGTTTGAGAAACGGTAGTAGTCGTGGCCGAAGGCACACTGGCAGCGAACTTGGTGGTTGTGACGTAGCTTGCAGGCACTTCCACAACGACGACGCCAGGCCGCGAGTCTGTCTGAGAAACTGTGGTGGTCTGCAAGACAGAGTTCGTGGCGCCGTAAGCGGTGCTTGTAACGTAGCTCGCCGGCATCACAACAATGATTGTCCCGGATTCAGAGTTGGTCTGAGAGATGGTCGTTGTCGCTGGCACGGACCCGGTGCCACCATATCTTGTCACGACGGCATATCGAGCAGGCGCCTTAACAATGACCACACCTGGCGACGGACCAGTTTGCGAGACAGTCGTAGTCGTCGATGACGACTCTGTTGCGCCATACTGAGTCGATGTAATATAGCTAGCAGGCACCTGGACAACCACGGTTCCAGGAGCACTGTTGGTCTGGGAGATTGTTTCAGTAGTTGTGACGGACCCAGTAGCACCGTACCGGGTGGTTATAGCATAGCTAGCAGGCTCTTCGACCACAACCGTGCCAGGGGCGGTGTTGGTTTGTGAGATGGTCCTAGTGGTTCGCACAGAACCAGTAGCTCCGTATTGAGTCGACGTGAAATAGCTGGCGGGCAATTGGACGACGATGGTACCCGGGGCCGAGTTGGTCTGGGAGACAGTAGTGGTAGTAAGGACGGAACCGGTATATCCATAAGCGGTACTGGTGGCGTAGCTGGCTGACTGCTCGACCACGACGGTGCCAGGGGCTGAGTCCGTTTGAGAAATGGTTCTCGTCGTGCCCACGGATCCTCCAAAAACAGTGCTGGTGACGAAGCTAGCTGGGACCTCAATGATGACAGTACCCGGTGCCGAGTTCGTTTGAGAAATGGTCCGCGTAGTGGCAATCGAGCTAGGTACGCCATACTGAGTGACTGTGACATAGGATGCCGGCAGGTCGACGACCACAGTTCCAGGGGCGGAGTTGGTTTGAGAGATGGTGCGTGTGACTGTCTGAGAGCCGGTGCCGCCGTACGCTGTCGATGTGACATATGACGCTGGAAGATCGACAACCACAGTGCCAGGGGCGGAATTGGTCTGGGAGATGGTGCGAGTTGTCGCTGCGTTTCCAGTGCCTCCAAAAGCAGTCGAGGTCACGTAAGAGGCGGGCGAGTCCACAATCACGGTGCCCGGTGCGCTATTGGTCTGAGAGATGGTACGCGTCGTGGCGGTGGAAGCACCATAGACCGTAGATGTGACGTATGATGCCGGCAGCTCCACGACGACTGTGCCGGGGCTTCCGTCGGTCTGTGAAATCGTACGAGTTGTTGCAGCAGCATTGGTGGCACCGTAAGCAGTCGAAGTGGCATATGAAGCTGGCAGGTCGACAAGAACAGTTCCCGGACGGCCATCTGTCTGCGAGATCGTGGTGGTTCGTGTGCTGGAACCGGTACCGCCAAAAACGGTCGAAGTCACGTAAGACGCCGGGACATCCACAATGACTGTGCCTTGCGCGGCATCTGTCTGCGAGATGGTCCGCGTGGTGGCCGGGCCACTTCCGCCATACGCCGTCGATGTGTAGTAAGAAGCCGGGAGTTCGACGACGACAGTGCCAGGCTGCGGGCCTGTCTGCGACAATGTTCTTGTTGTTGCGAAAGAGCCAGTGGCACCGAATGCAGTCGAGGTCACGTACGAAGCAGGCAGGTCCACAATAACCACGCCCGGTGCCGAGTCTGTTTGAGAGATGGTTCTTGTCGTCGTGAGTGAGCCGGTGTACCCATAGACTGTCGAAGTGATATACGAAGCTGGTAGCTCGATGACAACCGTCCCTGGTGCCGAATCGGTCTGGGACACTGTTCTTGTGGTTGTGACTGATCCCGTGGCGCCATATGCCGTAGACGTGGCATATGAAGCCGGAAGTCTTACAATCACCGTGCCTGGAGCTCCAGTCTGTGATTGAGAGACAGTCGTTGTGGTGGCCGCAGGGATAGCGGCGCCGTATTGCGTGCTTGTGACGTACGCGGCAGGCTGCTGGATAATGACTGTGCCAGGCGCCGAGTTCGTCTGAGGGACCGTGGTGGTGCGGCCACTTGATCCAGTAACAAACTGTGTGGTCGTGACGTAGCTGCCCTGGACATCGACAATGATTGTGCCGGCTTGGCTGTTCGACTGCGTGATGGTCCTGGTCCCGTCCGAGCTTGCGCCGAAAACCGTCGTCGTCACATAGCTGCCAGGAGCATCAATGATGACCGTGCCAGGCTCAGCATTCGTCTGAGGAACGGTGGTGGTAGAAGTCACTAATCCAGAAATGGCGCCAAAGCGTGTACTGGTGATATATGACTGCGGCTGCTCAATAATGACGGTACCGAGCTCGCTGCCGGTAGGCGTGACGGTTGTGGTGGTGCCACTCGAGCCTGTCACGTACCGGGTCGAAGTAGCATAGCTGCCTTCATACTCAATGATGACGGTACCAGGAGACGGACCTGTTTGCGAGACTGTCGTAGTGCGAGCGGTGGTCGCGCCATAGCGCACGGAAGTGACGTAGCTAGCGGGCAGCCTGACGATGACTGTGCCGCCTGCCGAGTCTGTTTGACTGACTGTCTCTGTGGTCGCAACAGATCCCGAGGCCGCGAATTCAGTGCTGGTGATGTAGTTTGCACTCTCCTGGACAATGACGGTGCCCGGGCTGTCATTTGTCTGCGCAATTGTTGTTGTAGTTGCCACAGTCCCGCTGAAGACCGTTCGTGTGACGTATCGAGCTTGGCGCACGACGACAACAGTGCCCGGAGCAGGACCAGTTTGTGAAATGGTGCTCGTAGCGTCCACAGAGCCCGAGAACACGGTTCTGGTGACATAGCTGGCCGGAAGCTCGACAACGACCGTGCCGGGACGGTTGTCAGTTTGCGAAATCGTTCGTGTGGTGGTGACAGAGCCCGTAGCACCAAACTGGGTGCTTGTAGCGTAACTGGCCGCCTCTTCCACGACGATGACTCCGGGAGCAGAGTTCGTCTGGGAAATGGTCCTGGTGGTGGCAACCGAGCCGCCATACGCAGTACTTGTGATGTAGGTGGCAGGTAGTTCAACCACGACAGTACCCGGAGATCCATCAGTCTGCGAGATGGTCCGCGTGGTGGCTGATGACGCGGTAGCGCCGTATTGCGTGCTGGTGATGTAACTGGCAGGCACCTCGACCACGACCGTGCCCGGCCGAGCATCAGTCTGCGAAATGGTGGTGGTCGCGGCAGTCGAGCCACCATACTTGGTGGTCGTGACGTAGCTTGCGGCATCCTCCACGATAATGGTACCTGGTGCTGTGTTCGTCTGGGGAATGGTTTCAGTCGTGGCCACTGAGCCTCCATAACGAGTGCTGGACACGTAGGTCGGCGGCTCCTCGATAATTACCACTCCAGGCTCCGAGTTTGTCTGAGAGATTGTGCGAGTGGTTGCGCTTGAGCCGCTGTACACCGTGCTGGTCACGAAGGACGCCGGGACTTCCACCACGACAGTGCCCGGCGCGGAGTCGGTCTGTGATATCGTGCGCGTGGCCCGGGATGAGCCAGTGGCACCAAACTGCGTCACAGTCACATAGGAAGCTGGAAGCTCAACCAGAACTGTGCCCGGTGCCGAGTTCGTCTGCGAGACAGTAACGGTTGTGGAGGTAGATCCTCCGAATCGCGTACTTGTCACGTAGCTCGCGGGTAGCTCAACGATGACAGTTCCTGCCTCGTTGGCCGCCGTCTGAGAGATGGTAAAGGTAGTCGGCGAGGCAACCGTGGCACCATACCGCGTTGAGGTAACATATGAAGTCGAAAAGGAGGACGTCAATCCTGACCCTGAACTAGATTCAGCAGAAGATGAAGAGCTGACTGCACTTGAGCTTTCAGAGGTGCTCGAGGCTAGGCTTGAGCTTGATGACGGGGAGGCACTTGAAGAACTGATCGAGGATGAGCTCTCTGCGCTGCTTGACGCGGATGAGCTTCCGGACGAGCTCTCTGTGCTACTTGATACCGACAAGCTTCCAGACGAGCTCTGTGCACTGCTTGACACGGACGAGCTCTCTGCGCTGCTTGATGCAGACGAGCTCCCGGACGAGCTCCCGGACGAGCTCTGTGCACTGCTTGACACGGACGAGCTCTCTGCGCTGCTTGACGCGGACGAGCTTCCAGACGAGCTCTGTGCACTGCTTGATGCAGACGAGCTCCCAGACGAGCTGCCAGAGCTAGAGGCAGAGGATGACTGCGTTGAGGAGACAGGAGGGAAGCTATCACCACTGGCTGAAGCGCTGCTCGAAGCACTCGATCCCGACGAGCTCTCGGAGCTGCTTATCGAGCTGGAACCGGAGCTGGAGCTGGAGATAGACGAAGACTCCTCGCTTGAAGAGCGGGACGCAGAAGACGACGAGGACTGCGAGCTCTCAGGCGTGCTGGATGAGGCTGCTGTGCTCGTGCTGCTTGCCGTCAAGGACCGTGAGCTGGATTCGATGCTCGACTCTGTCGAAGAGCCTGATGACTCCACGCTCGACGATGATGATGACGACGTCAAAGACGAGGATCGAGATGAGCTGCTGTCTGTGATGAGAGTTGGATCAATCGAGTTGCTGGAGAAACTGAAGGAACCGGAGCTCTCGCTGCTGGTCGTCGACGAGGAGCGTGTGCTGGATGGTGAGGAAATGGAAGGGCCAGGGTCGCCGCTGTTGGACTCGCTGCTGCTGCTTGCAGAGCGGCTGGAAGAAGCGCTTGAGCTCTCACTGATGCTCGATACTTCACTCCTGCTGCTCGTAAGGCGGCTTGAGGAAGCACTCGAGCTCTCGCCGGTACTCGATACTTCACTGCTGCTACTGCTCGCAGAACGAGTCGAGGAGGAGCTCGAGATCTCAATGCTGCTCGAGATTGATGAGGAGCCACTGCTGGACGGCGAAGTAACGGATGGACCAGTATCGCCACTGTTAGACACGCTGCTGCTGCTGCTGCGCTCGGTGCTGCTTATGGACGAGCTTTCTCGAGACGATGAGGAGCTCGTCGGACGCGACGAAGACTCGCTGGAAGAAACAGAAGTAGAGCTCGAGATGGAGCTCGAGCTGGATTCCTGGGACGAGCTAGGGCTCGAGCTGGCGCCGGAGCTGGAGCTGGAGATGGAGCTGGAGCTCACACTGGATGAGGAAGACGAAGAGCTGACCCCAGTGGGCCCGGCATCACCGCTGTTAGACTCGCTGCTGCTGCCACTGATACTGCTGCTGCTGCTACGCGAGGCCGATGACGAGGAAGGAGAAGCACTCTCAGAGGCCGAAGAAGAACGGGAGCTGCTGCTACTGCTGCTACTCGAGACAAGAGTTGGGTCAACGGAGCCGCTTGAGAAATCAGAAGACCGCGAGCTCGATGACTCCGCACTGCTCGAAGTTGAGACGGAGGATGACGAGGGCGAGGAAACACTGGGACCAGGACCGCCGCTGTTGGAGATGCTACTGCTGCTGCTAGAGCTCCGTACACTGGAGGAGCTCGAAGACTCGGACGAGCTGAAGCTCGAGACAGCCGAGGACGACCTCGAGCTAGAGGCGGACGATGACTCTTGAGAAGAGGCAGAGGACGACTCTTGAGAAGAGGCAGAGGACGAAGGCGAGGACACACTAGGTCCAGGACCGCCGCTATTGGACACGCTACTGCTGCTGCTAGAGCTCCGCACACTGGAGGAGCTCGACGAGTCGGAGGCAAGAGTCGGCAGGATGGAGTCGCTCGAAAACTCGGACGAGCTGGAGCTCGAGACAGCCGAGGACGACCTCGAGCTAGAGGCGGACGACGACAACTCTTGAGAAGAGGCAGAGGACGAAGGCGAGGAAACACTAGGTCCAGGACCGCCGCTATTGGAGACGCTACTACTACTACTAGAGCTGCGCAAGCTCGAGGAGCTCGACGAGTCGGAGACCAGAGTCGGCAGAATGGAATTGCTCGAAAACCCGGACGAGCTGGAGCTTGATGGTCCCACACTGCTCGAAGTCGAGACAGACGAAGACAACGAGGGCGAGGAAACACTGGGTCCAGGACCGCCGCTGTTGGAGAAGCTGCTACTTGAACTCCGCACGCTTGAGGAGCTCGACGAGTCCGAGACCAGAGTCGGCAGAATAGATCCGCTTGAGACGCTCGACGAGGACGACCCTGAGCTCGAAGCACTTGAGCTGGGAGAAGAGATGTTTGGCCCGGGACCTCCGCTATTTGACGTGGAGGTGGACACACTGGTACCCGACGAGCTGGTAATCGTGGGACTCGAGGAGCTTGATACGCTTGATAAAATCGAGGTGAGCGAGGGACCTGGATCTCCGGTGTTTGTCGTTTCCGTATCCGAACGCGTCGATGAGGCGATAGAAAAAGAAGAGGAAGAGACAAAGGTCGGTAGAATGGACTGGCTCAAAAAGCTCGATGAGCTCGACGAAATCGACGTAAGCGAGGGTCCTGGGTCTCCGGTGTTTGTTGGTTCTGTCGTCGGTTCCGGTCCCGGACCTGGACCTGGACCTGGACCCGGACCCGGGCCGGTTGATGACGCAGGGCCAGAGGAAGAAGAGACAAAAGTTGGCACAATGGTGTTGTCCGATGAAATCGGGGGTCCTGGGTCTCCAGTGTTGTTTGTCGGTTCCGGGCCCGTGGGGTTTCCAGATCCCGAGGGGCTCGAGGACGCAAGCGTTGGGAGGATGGACCCGTCGGAGAAGCTGGACGAGCCGGAGGGACCTGGAACATCTGTATTCGGTGGTCCCCCTGACGTAGGGTTGGTGACGATAGGCCCCGGTGCTCCAGTGTTGGGCCCCGTGTCGCCACTCGTGACAGTGACAGTGACTGGATCTCCAGAGTTGGGGGGCCCGGGAGGTAATGTGTTTCCGTTGTCATCAGTCCCATCCGTGTTACCTGTGTCATCAGTTAGCGTGACGCCCGAATTAGGGTTTGGATTGGGGTTGGGGTTGGGATTGGGATTTCCATCAGTCGGTTGAGAGGTCGGTGGAACAGTGACAGTTACGACAGGACCAGGTGCTCCTGTGTTTCCCCCGTCACCCGTGCCGCTGGGATTTCCACCATCGGTCCCGCCTCCCGGATTGCCAGGAGCACCAGTATCGCCTGGGCCACCGGTCGCTCCTGGGCCACCGGTATTGCCAGGGCCACCAGTATTGCCAGGGCCACCAGTATTGCCGGGGCCACCAGTATTGCCAGGGCCACCGGTCTCGCTTGGCGACCCGCCAGGTTGGCCAGATGGGACGCCGCCATTGTTTTCGGTGTTGGTGTTGGGCGGAGGTGGCAGCTGAGATGAGGGTACAATCTGGTTGTTGACGCATTGTTGGACTGGAAATTAAAACGTCAGCTCATGTTCATTAGCCATGTTCCACACGACGCGACCCAAACTTATCGTACCGGAATAAGTAACCAGATTAACAGGCTGGCAGCCGGCAGGGAACCCGTTTTGCACGAATGAAGCAAACACGGTGCCATTCGCGGCCTGGCAGAACCTCGCTCTGTCGTTGTAGAAAGAGCTGTCCGTCCACCGAAGCTGACGGTTCACGATGGAGAAAGCCGTCGTGATGGAGCCCGGCTGTGCGGCCGGGATGCTGATGAGCGGCACGCCCGGGTCGACTGAGAGCCCGTTGGCCGGACTTGAATAGTACAAAAGCTTGCTATCGTCGAGAATGTACTCAAAGGCACCTGAACATCCCTTTGGGTTCTCGTCGCCAATGGTTCCGACATAGCCAAGATCAGCCACGGCAGCTGGCGCTTGCCGGCGATCCCAGAACTTCCATATCGGTGCCGGAGCCCGCGCCTTTGGCACGGCCGTCGGGGTATTTACATATTCGATGCTGAGAATGATTGGTGACAGAGCTCCGGTTGGAGACCCTGTATTAGTGGGCGCGGTTGCAGTGGTAGTCTGTGTGATCGTGATCACCGTCGCTACAGTGCATTGGCCTGTGCCTGTAGAGAAACGTCAGAGACCTTGACTTCGTTTCTGTAGAGCTTTCATCGCTTACCGTTGCCGGCCGGTAGAGTTGTCCCCCCGGCAGGGGAAGTTGATTGTCCTGGACGGAGCGTGGCCAGGACGGTGGTCATGTAACCAAAGCAAACCGGCTTGTGTTCCTGGAGCGACCTCCGGTATGCTTCGTTGAGAAGATCGACATCCTTTCTTCGAAAGATTGGTCCCTCCACTCCGCTGGCATAGCAGCCATAGAGGAGGGAGGGCAACACAGCCGTGAACAATCTCATGTCAGCTGTTCCGCGCAGCAACTGACATGAGAACTCAGCGGAGGGATCACAGCAAAGACTCGAAGTTGCGGAGAATTGGCATAAAGGTTCCGAACCGGGGGCGCCATGGCCGACATGGATGTGTCAGGAAGCCCTTAAAGCACAAGGACAGCAGTCGCGGCTCTGAGCACTAATGACGCCGTCCCGCAACTGTCAACCCCCAGTCTAGAACGACAACAATAGGCAGTGCGGGATCTTGATGCAAGAGTGGCGATCTGAGACATCCCAAAGCGGCAACCAGCGAGCTCAGTGGCAGAAGCAAAACGTCCGGAATCAGACTGGTGGGAAGAAATGGCGGACGCCCGGAATTAACCTACCTGGGGGCTGAAACGACGCATTCCAGGCTTTGACGAGCGGCAACACTGCAAAACTGCACGAGAAATAGACTCACCTAGCAGCAGTCTAGATGTTCTCACGCCCAAACCTTGATGGGCGGACCAGGTGTTTATGGGAGCACAATCGTGACGTTTGCCGGTGTCTGCGAGCACCCGGATTCTGCCCAGTGACACAAAGTCTGATGCGCATATATGGGACTTGGGTGTCCCCGCTGCTGGTGTCTAGATATGAAGAAAACGGCCGCCTCGCCCAACTGCTGGCATTGAGTCCCGGTGTGTGCCACTGCAGACATTCCACCTCGTCAGCTCCCCAACGACATGGGACGATACACACAACCACGCACGCAGGGGCTGTTGTTGCTGCTGTGTGCGGCGTCGCGGCTCGCGACAGCACAGCAGCTCGTCTTCACCTCGTACTATGTCACGCAATGTGTTGACGCAGACCAACCGCCACAAAACACCATGACGGGTATACCGGGCGAGATACCGGACTATGGGCCCTCGACTGCTGGCCACGTCTCGTACACCATGCCCGAGTGCATCTCGTGCGGATGCGACACATGTACGGCGACAAGCACGTTCGTCACATCGTATCCGGCCTTCTGCCCAGGGCAGAAGAGCGGGTTTGGCAGCGACAAGCCCGGCTTTACCGAGCAGACTTACACGGTGACGGAGACATATGTCGGTGTTTCCAGCGTGCCGCAGTTTGCTTCGGCCACGGACGTCCCTTTTGGCTTCACAATCTCGGTGGCGACCTGCACGGCGTGCAGCCACGCTGCCAACCAGGGAGGCAACGGCCCCGTGGTCATCGAAACAATGACATATCCGCAGGACAGCACGCCCTTTGCAATCAACTCGGCATGCGCGGAGCAGTGCGACGACGACGCGGCTTCGGTCTCACAGGCGGGTGGGGGCACGACCAGCATGCCGGCGCTGGTGACGGGCAACGGGACGGCGCCACCGGTCTTGGTGACGGTGAGCGGAACGGTGACGAGCAAAGGCCATGCGCGCTGGGCGGCAATCATGTTGGGTTCTGCGGCGATTATCGCCCTGTCCTTGTAGGCAATCAATTGCGGATGGTCGAGCACGCGTTTCTAGAGCGATGATGATGGGTTGCCAGGACACGGATGACGCTTGCGCGTCTGGCGGAAGACGGGGAGGCAACAAATAACACGGTTAGAGGTTCGCTAGTGTTTAGCATCCCCAGACGGTTAGGATACCACTTTGACTTGAGAAAACAAATATTTTGATTGAATGACTGTTCCCCCCCCCTCGTGGTATCAGCTGGTAGTAGGTGAGTGGTGTCTGGCTGCTGCGCGCAAGGGTAGATCGCGCTAGTCTGGCCCCGGTATGTTTCAAAAATAGCTTGGGGAAAAGCGCCGACGAGAGTCACGATTGCACCATGGGGCGCCCCAGGGTCTCGGCAAGTAAGAGATGGACGGTGGCGGGCATGGAGTGGGTGACTCCCGGGGTCGACTCGAGTGAAGTTGCTGTGGTCACGCGGGACATGCAGGAGCTGCCAGTCACTTAGAGTTTGTTTGGCAGGAGGCGGGCGGGGCCGTGGCTTCCGCTTGGGCCCGCCTGCCATCTTCCGCAACCAGACAAGCCCGGCCTGGCCGCAATGTCCAATCGTCATCATCCACAAACTTGGGGCGGGCATTGCTCCGCAGCGCCTGCCTAGCCCATTCCATCCTCAAATTCGACGTCGGCGAAGCATGTATGCCCATCAACGCTGCCTGCCTCTTGTCCGCATGCTATTTCCCCACACACAGCACGATGGGCGATCCTCAGCCCACTCCATCTGTTTCCCTGCCATATTCTGCCAAGTCGTGTCATCATCGACCCGCGAAATTGCCCGCCCGCCTGCCCTCCGCGTCGATCGACATCTTGGCACCCATATGGCCGGATCGCCCTGGCGTTCCCCTGTCGAGGGTCCTCAGGCACTTGAAAGCAGAACGGCGGATCGTCCGCAATCATAGGCTGCCGATCGCGGAATCCAGGGACGACATCTCGAGGGGGTGACAACTCTTTGCAGAAAATGGGCTCTGCGGGCGGCACCAACGTCATTACTCACTGCAACCCAGTCTGGCATCATCCGCCGCGAGTATTCTACATCACAATCACATCACGACTGTGCGTGCTCTGTAGGCTACCCGCCACGACCGCGTCTGTCATGGTCTTTCCGCATGCTGGCTGCTGTGCCCGGCCTTTTAGTGAATCCGTGATTCCATGCGTTAACCTGGTCTGCGGCTACATACTGCCCACCCCCAGAAGGCCCCCTCCCTGTATTCAGTGGAGCTCCGACGGGACTAACCTTCTTTCCAACATCCCTGGCACGGATCGCGAACAAGCGCGCCCGAACAGATCCCCAAAGGGGAAGCCAAGGGTTCCGCCACAATGGGATAGGTGCCAGTAGAGTTACGCCGGGCTCAGAGTGTCAAAGACCTGTCAACGCAGTCAATGGTGAGCCAAGCGGCGCCCTCGCCCCCCCCGCCGGATCTGGCTACACCCAAAGCTTGCAGGAATCATCCAAGTAACCGATCGAGCGAGCGAGCGTGGCTGGACCTTTTGGTTTCCATCGCGTTGCCTTACTTCACTGCCAAGCGAGCGAGTCGGCTCTCGCCCAGAGTCGCACGCGCAAAAACAAGAAGCCACGCTCGTGGTGGCGTCAGGTCCAGTCGCTCGTGACACTTCAAGTATTCAAGCCTGGTGTCAAGGTCCCATGGCAGGTCACAATGGCACACCGCAGTTGCACGACGATATAAGAATCACAAAAGACTAGCAAGCACATAAAAACAACAGATTAAGCTTTTGGGATCTGCAAAACAGAGACTCATCATGAACAATTACAGTAGACACAGGCCTGTAGTAAAATCGCCGATTGCGCCACGGTGGAGTCCGCCCCGGAAAAGATTTCCAGGGTGAGACAGACACAGATCCGAAAGCCACTTCCCGATTGCCATTTGCCCCTTGCCCGGGATGGGTCTCCTTTTCCTCCTCAGCGGCCAGACATGATTTCCAGTGCGCGTCCTCGCGCTCTGGCCAAGGCCGGAGATGTCAAATACAGCCCACCGGCAACTTTGACAAAGGGCCACCTCTGAATTAAGGCCAGTCGAGTTGTGGTACATCTAGCTTTCTCGTATTAAGTCTTGGCATGACTACGTGGCTGCCATATGGCCAAGATGGTGTGAGGAAGCTACGCAATAGTAGGAGCTGGGCATATCCAGTGCGGATCTTATTGTTTCTGTGCCGCTGCTTGCTGTTGCTGCTGCTGCGGTTGCGATTGCGTGAGTGGCGACGGTGCTGGTGCCGATGCTGGCACGGCTGCTGGCTGCGACTGAGGTGCACGTGCCGCTGCAGCTGCAGCAGGCCCAGATGTCATGCCTGTTGCGGACTGCTGTGTCTGTTGCGATTGTTGCTGCTGCTGAGTTTGGGGCAGCACCGGTTGGTGAGGATGCTGCTGCTGCTTGCCCTGCATTGCGTGTGCTTGCTGGTGCTGCTGAGGAGTCGGGCGAGGTCCGGCAGGACTCGGCTGGCGTCCGGCAGCTGCCATTGTCTTCTGAACTCCGCCTGGTGCGGCTCCTTGCTGCTGCTGTTGCTGCTGCTGTTGACCAGCCTGCCGAGCGTTGTTGCCTTCTTCTGTCAGCAGCTTGCTCAGCAGCGGCAGGTCGTCGCGTGCCCGAGGATCGCGCTCGAGGCAGCGCTTAACTGCATTCCATTCACCCTCCTTCATCCGGGCGGCGTGCGGGAGGAGGAAAGTCACTGTGGCACTCGCGAACAGAGGTCCGAGTACCTGGCGGGCTTTCCTCTCGCCTTCGGCCTGCGCCGCCCTCATTGCTGCCGCGTTAGGATCGTGCGGCGCTGTGGCCTGGCTAGGATGGGGCTGCGGCGGTCGTGGTGGTGCATGCTGGGATGGCTGGCCTGGTATCGACGGCGGTGGCACAGGAGTCTGGCTGTATTGGGGAGGTGGTGTGGGATGGATGCCACCTCCCGGAGCTTGAGGAGCGTGAGGCGTCGCCGGAGAATACCCTGGCGTCGCAACAGAGTGGCGGTGTGGTACCGGTGTGCTTTGATCGCTCGTCGTCGGGCTTGCGCCTTGTAATTCGAGCTTCTGCTGCTCGAGTGGTATCTGAGCCTGCTTCTCGTCCCTGAACACGAAAACCATGAGCAGCATAGGCTCACTACGCTTGACGGGGATTTTGTGGTCGTCAATGTTCTGCAGTGGCTCGGGCAGAGGTCCGTCGCCCTCGGAGATTGGAATCAGGTACGTGTCGCGCACGTTGCCCAGCTTCTTGTCGCCGACGACGCCGTATCGCTTCTTAGACTGGAAATACTTGATGACATCGGTGAACTGCTTCTTGGCAATCTCGTCACCTGCGTTCGACGGCGAAAGGCTCGTGAAGATGAGATCGATCTGGTTGTTGTACCGCATGGCACAAAGATATGGCACAGCCTTGTCCTCGGGAATGCGCCCAGCTACTGTCAGAACTGCAGGAATGAGCTCTGTCCATTCAATGTTCTTTGCCTTCTTGAGATCAGCTCCACCGACGTGCTTTGCCGATACCGAGACATCTGCGATGTTTGTCATAACCAGGGGCCCGCTCCAGATGACGTCTGGGTCGACGACGTTCTGTGTCGGTGAATATGGTGGTGATTCTGTGCCGTCCTTGAGCAGGCGATCAACGTCAGCGTCCTCGCCAGGCCCAGCTGATGGAACTTGCGCAGATTGCCGGCGTTGGTGAGTTGCTGAGGGCGAGCGCACGCTGTTGAAGACTTTGCCGATGTCGAAGTTCTGCTGCTTGTTCGATCCAGCTGCTGCTTTTGTGTCAACCCGAAGGGGTGCGCCGGCCGCCGCGGATTTCTCCTTTGGGGCCGCCTCGTCCGTGTCGACATCCATAGCATCTGCGCGGCGTAGTGCAGATGGTGCTTCTTCCGTGACCGCTGTGTAGGCATCGCCTTCCACCACTTCGTCGCCTTTGTGTGTCCTCCTCATCCGCGGTCCATCTTGCTGGATCAGGATGGATTGCTTCTCCGCTCGAGCCTTGAGCTCGGCGTTCTCCTTCTGCAGCTCCTTATTCGCAAGCTCCTCGCCAGTCATGATGACGAATGAAGGCGGCGGCAGTGTCCTGTTAAACAGTTGCGCGGACAAGTCCACGTTGCCCTTGAGGTTGAATACAAGCGTCCTTAGTTGCGCTGCAGCACCGGAATTGGTGCCATGCGCATCATGAAACGCTCGCTCAATCTCGATGGCCAGTCTTTCCGTGACTGCCTTCTTGGTCGTATCGGCTGGGACAGCATACAAGCCCTTTCTCTCTGCTTGTTCGATTGCAACATCCAGCGACTTGAGCAGAGCCTTGGCTTTCTGCTGTCGAACTGCTTCTAGCTCAGCAATCGTCGCAGGAAGGTCATCAGGTGGTGTGTACGCAGGATAAGTAGGTGTTGGTGCCGCTGGCGTCTCTGTCGTCTTTTGAATCTTCGACTGAGGGCCTTGCGAATGATCGCGGGATTTCCGCTTCCCCTTTGAGGACGCTGCTAGAGCATCCTGGGATATATCCTCCTTTTTGATATCTGGGGTTGGGGACAGTTTGTTCTTGTTGGTCGACGAGGCGTTGTCAGGCGACAGGCGATCCTTCTCCTTTCCTTGGGTATCACTGATCCGCTTTCCTTTCCCCTTCTTTCCTTTCTTCTTCTTCTTGTCGTCCTCGTACTTCTGGCGTCGCTCCACCCAGGGCTTCTCTCCCTTTGCGATGGCTTCTAGAGTCTCCTTGTGGTCGTCGGGAGCACACTGCTCGCAAAAGTAGTCTTTGGTCAAGTCTTCTGTGAAAACGCTCATGCCGACGCACACGTTGTGCTGCCAGGCGCCGCACTTGTCGCATGCAATCCATGGCTCGTTGGCATCGTCGTCTTCCTGGGTCGTCGCGCCGCAGATGCACCGTATGACTTCCTCGTCCTCGTCTTGAGCCTCCTCTTTCTGCGACGACTTCTTGCCCCCCTTCTTTGACTGCCGCTTGTTCTTCATGTCGGGACCGTTGCCGAGTTCCTCGAATGCTTTGGTGTGCTGTCCTTTGGTGGCTCTGAAGGATCGGCGCGGTTCTGGATCTACGCGAAAGAGCAAATGTTAGAACAGTATCTAAAGGGCAGCATGTTTTCGAGGCCGCTGAGATAAGGGCAAGGTCGCGACCACGCGGCGCTTGTTCTGGCCGGCGCTCAGGCGCCTGACTTCGGCGGGTGCCCATAAGTGGGAGGCTGGGGTGCTTACCAGACATGTTGATAGCTGGGCTTGCCAGTTCTGTCGCTGGCCGCTGGACCGGTGCGTCCCAAGTCTCGAAGGTATGCCCTTGATGACAAGTACACGACTGGAAGGCTTGCAGTCTGCCCAGATGTCGCGCGCAGCCGGAGGCTTGTCGATACGGCGCGATTACTACTGGGCTGGAGGCTGGCTGGTGGGAAGGAACAAGAGCAGCGCGCAGACTTCAGGCAAACATGACATCTACGAGATTGCAATTCAACTATGGCCAGAACGTGGAGAGGCTTGACAAGATAGCTCTCGTTGCCTCAGGGTACAATCACAGCCTGCGTCTCAACACTCCTTTGCCGTTAGGCTTTGCAGGAAGACTAGCTAGCAGCTTGCGCTCCTTGTTGAGATCCGTGGTAGTTCTTGATGGTGCCGGGGTGGAAGGAGGAAAGTGGGAAGTTGGGTCGCGACACACGCGACAGCTTCGACGTGATGCGACTGGGTGGGATGAGATGGGAGATTGGGAGAAAAGATGGTGCGCGGTGCTCAAGAGCTGTCTCGTGAGCGCGTTGTTCGCGTCTTGCCGAAACAGGACAGATGAGTGGGGCAAATGGAACTGCCCCGAACCGTAAAGAGCAGGCGGCGTCAGCGTCGCAAGGGCAGCAGGACTGAGGGCTTGGGGCGCGATCAATCAGCCGCGCGCCAGGGACCAGAAAATGGGCGCAGGTGGCGAGGCGGAAGTTGTAGATGGTAGGAAACGAAGCGGTGGGCGCTGCCGACGCACTGGCTGTATTTTCTGTTGGTGCGGAGCATGGAGGCGAGGAGGCGGCGGCGGGAGGCGCTGCGTGAGGAGTGCAGTTCTGAGCCTGCCTTGGAACCTGCAGGGCGGGGGTGCTGCAATTTGGAGCAGGTCCTCGGTCGATCGCTGGGCAGCCAGGCTTGCCAGTCCCCAGGCTAAACCATTGTCACCCATAGTGTAAGGAGATACTGAGCGTCCAGAGACTCCAAGTCTGACAGTCGTGTGAATTGCACGCATTACTGGCCTTTGCGAAATCTGCTGAGGGGCATTACAAAGACATGCAACGCACTGCCCATATTGACCTCGAGATCGTCCATGAAGCCAGAGCTCAAGACAATTATCGTGGCTGGCCGAAATCGGGATCGGGCGGCAAAAGGTACTTCGGGAGGTTTTCCAAGGATTCTCAGCATACCAGCCACCATAAAAGACGGGCTACCTACGCTACTTGCTTGCCCTATGTACCTCAAGGTCAGTAGGTACACCAGCGTAGTAGTCATGTCAGGAGCTGTGACATGCTTCGCATAATTACACCTCAGAGCTGACTGCACAGCAAGTGGCACTTGAATGGCGCTGCACTCCAGGCTGCTGAGTCATTCTGGAGGTGCCCCCCCGCTTTGGGGAAGGGCCTGAGCTTGGGCCACAAAAGCTCAAGGTACACGTCTTGGAGCTCTGCCTAGCTCCACCGGGACAGCCGCCAGCGATTGCGTCGACGGGCAGCCTTGGTGGGTGATGCACACTGAGCGACAAGGCGGGCTGCTTCATCCATACATCGACAACCTGCGATCCGGCTGCTGCACCGCAAGTCCTTCGACCAACACGCTCTCAGCACATTCCGCCAAGATATATCGAGCAGTGAAATCACCTTGACTACGCACTTGAACCCGGGGTGATCCTGCGCGACCGACCACGCGCGACCGTCCAACATGTCTCGCCGCTACGATTCCAGAGTACGTCGACAGTGCTTGGCCTAGCTATACAGAGAGCAGCTACTGATGCTCTTGAACAGACAACAATCTTCTCCCCCGAGGGACGGCTCTATCAGGTCGAGTATGCTCTCGAGGCCATCTCACACGCGGGAACAGCCATTGGCATTCTCGCCAAGGATGGCATCGTGCTTGCTGCCGAGCGAAAGGTCACTTCCAAGTTGCTAGAGCAGGACACATCGGCGGAAAAGCTCTATATCCTCAACGAGTACGGCCACTTCTTTCCGCTGGGGTTTGCGGTTGTTTTGTGAATTCCGCTGACTGGCTGGCTGCTCCTCAGTAACATGATCTGCGCCGTGGCCGGCATGACCGCAGATGCCAACATCCTCATCAACTATGCTCGACAAGCCGCTCAGAAGTACCTATTGACGTACAACGAAGATATCCCCTGCGAACAGCTCGTGAGAAGGCTATGCGACTTGAAGCAAGGTTACACTCAGCACGGTGGTCTCCGGCCATTTGGCGTTTCCTTCATCTACGCTGGCTGGGACCCGCAAAGACAGTTCCAGCTTTACCTGAGCAACCCGTCCGGAAACTACGGCGGCTGGAAGGCGACGAGCGCTGGTGCGAACAATGCCAGTGCCTCGAGCTTGCTCAAGCAGGATTACAAGGAGGACTGCACCCTCAAGGAGGCTTGTGGTATGGCTGTCAAGGTGCTGAGCAAGACAATGGACGCGACAAAGCTCAGCAGCGAGAAGCGTAAGTTGTATCGAGTAGCAGCACCACAACCCGCATCACCACTAACGTGTCCCTTCTCAATAGTCGAGTTTGCGACAGTCGGTCAGACCAAGGATGGCAAGATCTACCACAGACTCTGGAGTGCCGATGAGATCACAGCGTTATTGAAGGAACATGACCTGGCGAAGGACGAGAGCTCGGAGGACAAGTAGAAGCATGAAGGAGTGCACGCTGTGTTCTCCATATGACGAAAGATGTACTTGATGAGAAGCAGCAGCTAATGTCTGCCACTTTATTGACGAGCAAGTGGCGGGCTTCATGTCCCCAATGCCACGAAAAGGGTGTATTCCAATGTTGCGGTCAATGCTGGTCTATCCTGTGACCTTTCGTGATCGCCGCCGTGACTCGTGGGCCTCAGCATATCTCGTGTTCTGCTCCATGCTGGTGACTTCTTCTTTGATCTTGTACGTACTCTTGGGCATCAGCTTCTGAAAGGTGGGGGTGGGATACACCAGAAGTAGCCTCATCGGCGGGGCAGGGTGCTCCTTGACCAGCAGGGAGGCGGGCCTGCATTGCACCCTGGGAATTGGCGGCAACTTATTGGCCCCTCACCGCCCAGCCCGCCCCCGAAACCACGACGCTACTCGCGGACGGCAAAGGAGACACATTTCTGGGGGGAAGCTCTCTGGCGCCGACCACATCCTAAGACCTGTCTAGCCTCGTCCCCTTTTGCCTCCAGCAGAGTCCCGGCACAATATCCAAGATCAGCCTCCCGGGATCTTGCCATTCGTCAATCTTGCTCCGGCAACACCTCAAGCACACGCCGTCACCCATTTACACCAACCTCACGATGCCTGCAGGTGGGCTCCAGGTTCCTGTTCGCGAGAAGGCCGGCCTCGGTGCTGGCAAGGGCACCAAGGCTATCATTCTGGTATGTATTATCTAGGGGACTTGGGCTTTCGGGGGTGATGCTGAGCCTGGAGCCGGTCTCTCGTGCTCAGCTTCGTGTCATGTCCTACAATCGAAATATTCGAGCAAATTTACTTACATAACCACCTTTGCTGCAGGTCGGTGGTCCTTCCAGAGGTACTCGGTTCCGCCCTCTTTCTCTCGACGTCCCCAAGGTTAGCATCCATCCCTCGGCCCCAATGATTAGCTACAAGGCGCAACCATGCCACCAGCTGAGCGAGCCATGACAAACTGACACAGCATACCGCTTGCCACAGCCTCTTTTCGATGTCGCCGGTCACCCCATCGTCTGGCACTGCCTCACGGCTATCGCCAAGGTCCCGTCGATCCAGGAGGTCATCATGATCGGATACTATGACGAGTCCGTCTTCAGAGACTTCATCAAGGACGCCGCGCACGAGTTCCCCAACCTCCCAATCAAGTACCTCCGCGAGTACCAAGCCCTGGGCACCGCTGGTGGTCTGTACCACTTCCGCGACGTTATCCTCAAGGGCCGGCCCGAGCGCATCTTTGTCCTCAACTCGGACGTGTGCTGCTCGTTCCCGCTCAACGAGATGGCCCAGCTCTTTGACGACCGGGACGCCGAGGCTGTGATTCTGGGAACACGCGTTAGCGAGGATGCCGCGACCAACTTTGGCTGCATCGTATCCGACCAGCACTCCCGCCGAGTCCTCCACTACGTCGAGAAGCCCGAGAGCCACATCTCCAACCTCATCAACTGCGGCGTCTACCTCTTCAGCACCGAGGCCATCTTCCCTAGCATCAGGACGGCCATCAAGCGGAGAACCGAGCGCCCCCGCCTCGTCTCGTACCCGTCGTCCGAGAACCTCGAGTCCAGCTTCATGGCCGACGACGACGACGAGGAGAAGAAGAACGAGGTCATCCGCCTCGAGCAGGACATCCTCGGCGACATGGCCGACAGCAAGCAGTTCTACGTGTACGAGACCAAGGACTTCTGGCGGCAGATCAAGACGGCGGGCTCCGCCGTGCCCGCCAACGCGCTGTACCTGCAAAAGGCCGCTCAGACGGGCTCCCAGGAGCTCGCGAAGCCCTCGGCCAACATCATCTCGCCCGTCTTCATCCACCCGTCCGCGCAGGTCGACCCGACCGCCAAGCTCGGCCCCAACGTCTCCATCGGGCCCCGGGCCGTCATCGGCCCCGGCGTCCGCGTCAAGGAGTCCATCGTCCTCGAGGACGCCGAGATCAAGCACGACGCCTGCGTGCTCTACTCGATCGTCGGCTGGAACAGCCGCGTCGGCGCCTGGGCCCGCGTCGAGGGCACCCCGACCCCGGTCAACAGCCACACCACCAGCATCGTCAAGAACGGCGTCAAGGTCCAGAGCATCACCATCCTCGGCAAGGAGACCGGCGTCGGCGACGAGGTCCGCGTGCAGAACTGCGTCTGCCTCCCCTTCAAGGAGCTCAAGCGGGTAGGTCGGCTTCAACAACTCGTTTGGTGGCTATATATGCCATTTTGCTTTCTTGTTTGTCGGAATGCTAACTCGCTTTTTCGCGTAGGATGTTGCCAACGAAGTCATCATGTAAAGACGCTCAGTGGTCGGGATCAGTACATGCGGTTGAGTGCACATAATGCACGCGTCAATGAAAAGCAGCCCCTTCGACAGATAGATATTTTTTATGAGCGAAAAAGAATAATAAAAAGACTCGAGTTTCAATGCTTGTTCAGTCTGGTGACGTGCTGTCCCCGTTTCTCTCGCCTGTTGCATATGCAGGATTTGACGACGCTCGTGGTTTGCAGCGCAAGCATGCTCCCGTAGTCATTCGACATGCCAAAAGATTGAAGGACTAGAGCCGGAGAGACCAATATCTGACCTGCAGATTTTGTATTGTGATAAGATTGCTTCGCTAAAGATATGCCGAAAACACGCTACTGCCTACCAATACCGCCATAAATGCTCAGATTCCAAGCCACTGAGCCTGCTCATGTGGTTGCGCTCAACATGACGATGCCTCGGTCTGAGGGAAAGGGGGGAAAAGGCGCATAGGAAAGTCCGTTATCGACAAACCATGAGGTTGCCGGAGCCACAAAAACAATCATTACGGGTATCGTCATCATTAAGATCATCACAGAGAGTGCTGAGAACGTGTCATGCAACGCTTTCACCACCAGCGACACGTTCCCAAAACCTACGCAGTCTCCACACCCGGCCGGTGCCCATTCTCTCATCGCACCGCCGGACGCCTTCCCCTCTCTCGCGTACCTCGCCGCGCCAGACTCCGCCAACCCATTTCCGGAGACCGTCCTTGAGCTTCTCCTTCTCCACAGCTCTTTTGCGTGCGACGAGGCCCGGCGCAATGACAGACCCGCCGACACATTCTGGTGGCAGGACACCGCGCTGCACCAGCGACTCTACAGAAGGACGGTGGGGCAGGCGTCGTGATAGGCGGATGGCGACCAAGTTTCGGCCCAGGCGCCTGGATGCCTCTATGGTGTTGGTGAGCACGATGTGCCGTGCAATCAGCTCAGCGAGAGTTGGTCGCGAGGGAGACGTCAGGAGCGGCGGGAGCGTCGTCCGTACTTGCTGGAGTCGCAATGCGTGCAGTATCGGCTGAAGCGACAGTGTGCGTAGATGATGACTGGCCTAACCCGCAAGATTAGTTACAGTTCGACATTCCCGCATTATCATCAGACGCATGTCCGTCGACCCCGTCAGATGTGAACCTCAAAGACCGGCAATGTTGCTGAACACGCAGGCAACAGACTGTGTCACCAGGGCGAATATCATTCGAGCTGGGGCGAGGCTCAACATGTATGGTTTCCGCAATGAGACCCGTCAAAGCCCGTGCCTCCCGTGCCTCCCAAAGGGCTCGAGGTAATTCACCATCTTCACCACCAGGGGCCTGACAACGACATACAAAAGCTCTCTACATACCCGAGAAGTCGCGAGTAAATCACAAACGTCCAGATAGCTGAAAATGTGTGTCAAGATCTCATTTGGCATGCTGTCAAGCTCAGCATGGCACAGGCCCCAGCTCGAAGCTGTCCACGGACCTTGTCTTACAGATAATTGAAGGGTCTCTTGTGCTGACGACGTGCTCTGCTCAGCTGGCGGCATCGACATGGAGCCGTTCGAGACAGATTCGGGGGCGGGTAGACAACCGCCGGAACTTTCGGCACGGCCCATCAGAGAGCCTTGGTACAAGCCTTGATGATGTTTCTCAGAAAAAGCAGCCATCTTGGCTATTCTTCTTCCGAGGAAGGAGGCAAAGGTTGGGCATCAAGAGTGGTACTGGTGAGAAGGACAGCTCAATGCAGTACTTGTCCCTTCAAAGTACCGCCCGAGTCGCGAGGACGAGCTGTGCTTGCAGAAGCTGTACTGCAGGGCGCAGCTGCCTTGCAGTACCTGCAAGCCTGGGTAGGGATCGCGCAGAGGCAGAAGGGGCGAGCTTGGGTGGCGATCTGTGCTGGTAGGCGGTATGTCTGTCGTTGAGTCGAGTGTCCGGGGATGCGCAGCTGCCGACGCCCGAGCGACCGGGGACAAGGAGGGGAGTGACACGATGTGCTTTCTGGATAGAGGCACAGGACGCTCGAAGAGCTGTGGAGACGAAGACGGCGGCGATGGCGGAGGGCAATTCAGAGCTGGGATCTGGCCAGGATCTAGGATGGAGAGATCCTGGTGTTGGGCGGACGGACGGGGAACGCCGTGGCCAGGTCGCGCGAGACGGAGCGTGAAGAGGGCCAGGTGGCAGCCAGCTCATCAGGCGCAAGTGAGTCGCAGCGGACATGCAGAGGATGACAACGATGTGAAATGGCGAGAGGAGGAGCGGCGAGGTTGCGGCAGGGATGCGCTGGGATGCTGGGACAGGATCGAGGCAGCCTTGCATGGCGGCCGAGGCGCGCGTCACTCAGTGGTGCGACGCCTGCGTGGGCTTGGAGTCACTTGACAGCGTCACCCGGCGGGCAGGAGCCCTGTCCGCAGCGAGACACCTGCCACGCATCAGGCAAGCCATGCACACTTGTCGTCCATGCTTGCGGGGGGGCGTCACGTATGTACGTCCGCAGGGGCATTGGTGATGCGCTGTCGCGGTTGCTTTTCTCGACCGTCGGGGGCTCCTGTCTAAGGTAAAGGTACGTATTTCAAGTACTTTGGGAGGCATCTCGTGGTCGACACCGGCCTGAGGCTGCAGGCATCAATCCATTGGCACGCCAACTCTGGCTGATTTACCTGATCACGCCTTCCCGGGTGCGTGCCTACCGCGCTCATGCGCACCATCCACGGACATGGATTGATTGTCCAAGGGTTGCCCATCACATCTTGGCCACGCGCTCAAGCGACGACTACCGCTGCAAAGGGGTGCCCTCGTCTCTTCTTCGTCTTCTTTGTGTTGCACAAAGCAGGCTAATTACGTACATTCCAGCACCCACGCCCTTGACACACCATGTTTCCCCACAATGCGACCGGACTGGCTTACACGCGCCGCAGCTGGGCTCCGTCTGCAACGCGACAACCCGGGCGCCAGAGAAGCGCGCGCTACAGGAACGAGACAAGCACTGGTTGCTCGCACTGCAACCGCCAGGGCCTGACCAGGTACCTCTGCACAGGCCGCACCAACGTGCCGAAGCACTGACGCACAACCCCCACGAACACGTTGGGGAAATCGACATGGGTATGGCCGTGCCTGTGCCCAACCGCCGTCATTGACACGCACGAGCTGCAGTACATACATGGCCGGGTAGCACATCCGCGCTTGGCCCTTCCTTCCCTGCCCGGCCGGGTGAAGTCCGCCTTGCCAATTTCACCGACGACACAGCCGTCGCTTCGTCCCCAAAACACGCCCGCTATTATCACGCCCATTGTAGCATCCTCGCCAGGTTGCCAACTCGCCCCCACATGACACGGCTGCAGGCAGATCTCACCGTCAACTGAGCTCGTCTGGTACTTTCTTGTCGGTATTCCGAGTCGAACCGGAGCTCCAGCACTCATATCAGGTGCCGCAGCAGTCCATGGTCGCAATGCATGAATCACATACCAGCTCTCATGCAGTCCAATGCCATGTACCTGACATGAAGACAACGTGCTTGCAGTTACCGCGCAAGGATCCCCGGGCATCGATCGAGTGACGTGTACGCTGTCCTCGGTCTGATCCGTGGGGCATGCGCGGTACTGCATGGGAACAAGGATGTTTACACCTGCAGGGAACGCTGCGAACAGGTTGCAATCAGGCGGCTTGCTGGATCGTTGACCACTGGCCCCAGTTTGCGTCGTCTGGCTCGTTATTCCCGCTCTGCCCGCAGATGTGCCTAGCCATGGGTTGCTTCAATTCCCATCAAAACACGATTGGCGAGCCGGCTCTGATACGCATTTGGAATCTGGACCTGGTGGCGCTGGTCGTCGAAAGATGTCTGCCTCTGGAATCGTACCCACAGCCTTGATGGGCCGCACCTGCGACTTTGGATTTACCCCCGTCGTCCAGAACTACGAGGAGAACCCCAGAGCTGCATGCTCGCAAGAGCGCCTCGTGGTGATTGACTCTGCCGGAGCAACCATCATGTTTGATGACGAGATTTGGCTGTTTGCAGAGCAGTTGCGAAAGACCTATTCACGAAGTTGTGTTCAGAGTGCACCAGACACTTTTGGTTTGCGGCGTGAGTGCTGCTATCTCTCGACCCCCGCTGGATATTCTTTGCACGATCGTACAGTCCAATATCATGTACGTGGCAGCAGTCTCGCGTGGAAATGCGACTATAGCAAGGACGACCAGGTCGAAACTGAGCATTCCAATCCGAAGTGCCAGGGTCCCGTCAAGACAGTCGACTGGCGCCCGCAGTCTAGAATTGCGCCTAATAGATCTTGGCAACGATCCAAGCCATTTTTGCCCTCCAAGGCATCAATGGGCGGGCGGGTTGAGCTGATGGAGCTGAGGGCGTTGTTGGTGGCCCGCGACTATAGGCCGCTTTGAGCACGTTCCACCATTAGGGTTAGCTCATGATCCGGCCAATGAGGAGACCCACCCCACTCCTACCCTTGCATCAACCACTTGGACAGCCTTACGAAGCGCATTTTCTCCCAAATCAGGGCGCCCGAACTCAAGGAGCGGGTGTCGTGTGGATCGAACGGGCAAGACTATTCAAGATCTTGCTTGCCTGTAGCAGAAGGCCGGTCTGCCTGTAAGCCTGGACCGGAGTGCAACGTTCTTCCAGGTCCACAGGACGAGGTCTACTCTACCGTCGTATCGCAAACATCCCGGATCCTTGTCACAAGCTCGGCATCATCTAGCGTGCTCGAAAACCGATGCGTGCGGCATGGTGGCGTCTGTGGCATGGTTGGACCAGCAATCTTTTGCCCGGGAACAGCGCATTCACTAATCGCAAGGACCGTGCACAGCACGAGTCTAACATGACGACAGGTTGTGCACTGAGGGATGCCTGTAGCCCGACGGTGGCTCTTCCAGAGGCCTGATCTCGGCCTAGGTGAGGAGGGCGAGGTATTGAGACAAGGTTGGCAAGCCGCCGAGAGCTTATCTCTCTCGTCCACATGTCCAGTGAAATAGGACAGACCACGAGCATCCGTCTGAGACGGGCATGGGACATCAGTCACGGGAGTGCCGTGAGACAACAGCATTCGGTGAGGCTTTCCAACATCCCTGGATGTTTCGGGGAAGCGGTACGGCCCGCTTGCGAGACATTCCAAGACAGCCCAGAATACCTCACTGCCCCCCTCCTTCAGCTCCGGCCACAGCAGGGCGTTCGGGGGGCGTTCACACAGTCGGAAGCATTTCACCCAGCCTCCCCAGGCTCGGCCGGTTGGAGCTCTGACTAGGATGACCTGAATAGAAACGCTGCCTGTTGTACAGAATCATGCGACCCGGAGTTGAGAGCTACAGCAGCGCTTGAGCCGCCTGGGTGTGCATGGATAAATGGCCTTGTCTCGTTTCGCAGCCACTTCCCCGTCAGACGCCCGTCCATGCCTAATCACCTGACAGACCCTGCTCTTACGGCATGGAGAAGCGACTGAAATCCATGCGTCTCACCGAAATACAAAAGCTACGTGTGCACCATCGACGCCTTTCCATCCTAGTCCATCCCCTAGCTTCTCATTTGTTCTGTTGTCATCGCTCTCCCGGCTCACAAGCATCAAACGGAGTCGAGGCGACCATTAAGAGCTTGACAACACAGCGGCTATTGGCGTGGCAAGTTGCGAAATCACCAGCCATTTCTCGAGAGCGTGGATTCTGATCAAGTCCACAACGAGCAGGGCGTCATTGCGAAGCAAGACCATCCCAATCAAGGAAATCGTCGGCGAAGGTCGAGAGGCATGTGTCGGTGCCCAAAGCCTGGGGAAATATTGAGAGTCTACATGCCCTTAACAAAGCGTCAGATCAGGATTGGACTAAACAAGTTGATGTTGCGATGGGCTGATTCTAGGACTGTCCAAATTGCCATCACGCATACTACGGCCTCTTTTGTGCTCGGCTGCCTGCAATCACGCGAAGCCAAACGTGGCGAAAATTCTCTGGTTGTCATAACCACATCTCCAGCCTCAAGTAGATTGCCGCCCACATCACGATGAAAGTTAACCAGATGGCGATCAGGCATCCTCAAGGGTACATGCCTAGACTGTCAGACCCACAAGATGCCCCATGGTGTTCCCAGAACGACTTTCTTTTCATCGCGTGTAGTATTGGGATGTCCTGAGTACTATTGGCTTGACGGGCAACGAGAGATGGCGAGGAAGAACACGAGACGTCATTCTTCCAAAATGGGAGGCTTTAATCAGCACCCAATGACGCTGAGAGCGATGAGGACCCCCGATGTGGGTACAGGGTCCGCAATCAAGCAGTTCTCTGCCACATGATGGCCTGAATTCAGTGGCGAGGCCTGATCTTGGGTCTCAGATTGGACAAGCAAGACCTGGTAATGCGACCAAGGGCGGTTCGACTGTCTCAGAGACTGCTTGAGGTGGAATGCTCGGTTGTGACGAGGGTCGCAGGTGATGCGACCTCTCGGCCAAAGATGTAGGGGTCAGCGCGAACTGCTCCGAGTTGGGCGACAGCTACGAGATAGCCCACCAGGGCCGCAGCAGACAAGGCCAAATTGGCGCCTGATATCGTCTACAAGGTCACTGCACACCTCACAAATTTCTCTTTGGACCGAGCCATGGACAGTATCAGGATCGAGAGAAGCACTAGGACAAGGCAGTCGTGCCGATTATGTTCTCGCGTGTAAAGTCGTCAATTGCCGCATAGGCTCCGTTCTGGCCCTGACGAAGGATATCTGTTGGTCTCGTGCACGATGTTGGTTGTTGCTCAGCTTAGCATCCTTGTCACGTTGCGACTATACCGGGATCTTCCTTGATGGTAGGCGCAAACAAAACCCGCTGCTGGCTGGGTTCGCGACCGAGCAAAGACAGATAACTCTTCCACAGCTTCCCACTCGCAATCTCCCGAACGACGGCTCCCGTTGCCCGGAAGTAGAAAAGTGCTTCGTGAGCCGGCAGCGCCCACCGCATGGCCATCCGCATGTGGAAATGGTCCCGAGCAAGGCGGAGAGCAACAGACGCACGATATCTACTTGGCAAGACAATCGAGACTTCTGCCACATGGCTCGTTCGCTCTCGGCAGCTTGCAGCTGCCATTCGTACATGTTGCGTGGGGTCCTTCCGGGCGCTGCTTGTTCGTGTCAGTGTCACCATGGCACGACAGGCACGAGCACCCTTCGGCAGATTGAACTCCCAAGACTGTGAAACCCTGCCAGCAGGAGAGAGAAAAACGACAAAGCATAGCCCAGGTCTAGCTCTACGCGCGACGCGGAGAGAGACAGCAGCCTCTCCGAAGCAGGCTGCGGCTGCACCCGGGTCTCTTACGTAGCGGTGCTGTGGATGTTCGTATCTTCTTGCAGATGGACACATGTACTGTCACACACTGGCATGCAGACACGCATACAGTCCAGTCCACACAACGCGCCCACGCCCATCATGCTTGTCCCCCCTTTTTTGCCGGCTGATTTAGGCGAGACAAAGCCACTGAAGAATTTCCCTGGGGGTGTGTGGCGCTGGGCACTGCCACGTTTGTGCATTACTGTGAAGCGGCGGATGGACGGCAGCAGGGTGATTATGTTACGGGGCTTTGACACAACCGGACGACCAATGTCTGTAGGGCACTCATGCATAATGTGCAGTTGTATGCTAGAGTCTTCCAGCTGTCTGCTGTGCGCCTCTGCGCTGCTGGAACCGGCCTGTGCTAGACTTTTGTCTCTGCTCTCTCTCCATATCTTGGCCATTTCACCTGGTCTGTTGCCCGGTGCCATAAACGGGTTGGACCACGGGAAGGCGGTTGTTTTCTGGCCAACACAGCCACAGCAACGCAATGGATTGTGCCACGCGTCGACCGTTGGTCCGTTCTGAGAATCGACGATGAGGAAAGACGTACCGCCAGTCGCCCTTCTCATGAGAACCACCGAGAATCACCCAGACACAGCCCAGCTCAGACTCTCTACGTTCAGTCCCGAACCCAAGAACCGCCCATGGCCAGATTGGCCTGTCAAGGTTGGCTGGCTGGCAGCTGCGGGCCGTTATTACTTGGTACAACCCCGTTTCGGAGAATTAAGCAAGCAAGCGCCCCCCGTGTGAGGCGGCGTGGCCACCCTTCCCCTTCCGTCCCCGCCGAGCTTGCCTGCCACTGGTGTGTGTGTTTGTGTGTGTCTCAGTTCAGTCGTGACACCCACATACCTGAAAATGCCTAGCTCAACGCCAGCGACTGGTGAGAAAGGTGCGTTACATGCTACCGACGGGACACTCTCACCGTTTTCCCCATTAGTAGGAACGACCTTAAGGTTATAGGGGGGTTTGCTGGGCTGGGGCGGCGGCGGCGACTGATTTGCGGTGTGGGCGGCGGTAAGTGGACGCGGAACGGCGGCTACAGCGGGCCACGGCGTTCACGAGGTTTGGCGGCGCCCACGGGTAAGTGTGTCCCTCTCCCCTCTTGGCACGGCCGGGTCTCGTGTTGTCGAAAACCGGCTTTTCACACTGCGTGCTCGGGTCTTCTTGTGGAGAGCCATGGGGGACCAAATCTCGCCTGCCTCCTGAGTGGGACATTGGCGTGAGTGGGCATGAATGCAGAGTCACTGCCCGTGGGACGTGCCGCAACCGCACGAACGGTTTGAACTGTGATGGTTTGCTCTTGGGACAACCGTGAGAATGTGCTGTACCTCAGGATTTTAGGCCATGGCTGGGGCTGGTCAGCGTTAACACCGTCATGTGTACATGCCTTGCTGGATCGTCAGTTTAGTTCGGCATGTCAAGTGAGAGAAAAAAACAGACATATCCTTCCTCTCCGGTGTGCGTGTGTACACACGCCACTCTACCTCGTTCCAATGATCCAACATAAGGATCTTTCCGGCGGGCGGGCGCATGATTGTTGCATACACGATGCGGCACATGTCCTTCGGCCTGCCTGCCATTCTGCCCCGTGTGTCCCTCTGTCTGAAGCTGACATGGGACCGACCGGTCCCGTTCAGTATGCCTTTCCGTCTTTGTCTCTTGTCTCTGTCCATCTGCTCCCCCTTTTCCAATCCCTGTGTTCAAGACTAGCCGGAGCCATGGCCTGTTGTTGTCTGCCCGCATATGTTTCCTCCTTGCGCGACGAGCACGACTGCTGGGGCCCTCTGAGCGGGTGTTCAATTGCACAGGCAACTTACACAGGAAATTCACGGACGTCGGGCCTTGTTGGCATCGCATACGTGAGTGGCGTGTGCCGAACCAGGCAGAGATTTGCATTCGCGCGCGCGTAAACATCTCCATCTGAATCAAGCATTGTGGGTATCATTCATGGGCTGAACCTAGAAACATAACTCTCGCGCCTCGAGCTCGATGGCCGTCCTACCCCACAGTCGGGAGTCGGAGGCCGTTGCTCAACGCTTTCAGAGCATTTGTCACTGCTCCGCCCCTTCTCCTGACGACAAGGCGACAGGGAATCAGGAGGACCGTATCATACACCGTATCTGCAATATTCCTTAGCGGCGATGGAGAAGCCGAGAAAGCTGTGATGGTTGTCGCTACTCTGATCAACCTGGTGCTCATGCATGCAGAGGACCACACCGGTCAGCGCAGAAAGAAGAAACCGGGCTACCGAATGAGCAGAAACTGGAAAAAGAAGAGGCAGGCTAGCAAGGTCGCGTAGCCTTGCAGACAGTCCATCGAGTGTTCGAACGTTGTCGTCGGTGGGTGCATGTGAGTGCTGTCCATTTGGCTAACGCCACGCTCGTTCAACACGCCTCTCCCAGCGGGTGTACCTGCCTGCCCTGGCCGACAACGATACATTCCTGACAGGGAGGCGTCCTGAAAGGACGCAAGTGCTCAGGAGGGGCCTGCAAGGATCGTCGTCGCTGCCGTCATCTGGGCCGCTACAACTGGCCGCCGAGGCGAACGCTTTCTCGCGGGCTGCATGATCGCAGTGGTGGTGGTGGTGTGATGAACTCCTGCAGCAGGTGTCGTGTGTGCTGGCAATCTTTCTTCGCATATGTAGTAGGTAGGAAGAGAATTGGGGCTGTTCATCGTCAAAGAGGTGTGACGCATTGTGCATCAGAGGACGTGATCGTGGTCCCGTGACATGCGGCAATGGCGAGTGCAGGACGACATGGGCCACGACGGTACAGTGGGTTGTGAGCTAGCAGCGGTAATCCCCCATACAAAAGGAGAGGGAGTGAGATGAAGAAAGAGCCAAAGGGAGCGATTGGTGTACATGCAGTGTCCAGGATCAAGGGTCTTTGTTTCGAGAACAAGTCAAGCGCTGCAAGTTGCAACACAGGCGAAGGGATGTTTGCAGCAGACTGCATGCATGTCGAGAGTCGGCCTGGGCCCCCCCTGGCAAGCCAGCTGGGAATTCTTCAGTGCCGACCTTGCATGGCCCCTGATTCCGCGCTGCCCTTTGCTGGTCCATGGCTTTCCGTGATTGGCCTGGGGTGCGTGTGGTTGTGCTTTGCGGGCGATTGTCAACGCGCAAGGCGCGGCCGAGTGAAAACAACGGCCTGGTCAAGGTGGTCTTTGTGTATCCACCATGACGACTGCGAAGGCGCGAGCATAGTTAGACGCGAACCGGTGTTTTGCCTTTGTTCGCGCTGCTGAAGAGAAGGTCGGATTTTGGGGTGATGGCCCAATCGCGAGGCCGGTTGGGCTCGCGGGCCGCTTTTCTGGTCAACTTGGCGTGTACCTTGCAAGATCGTGCCCTGATCTGATACCTCGCGATCCTCGGCCAGGAGTTTCCCAAGGCCCGAGTAGCCTGCGCCTGCATGATGTATGTATGCGTGTGTGTGTGTCTGTCTGTCTGTCGACTGCATCGCCGGCATGGGCAGGCATGGATGCCAGGCAGATGCAGGGGACTGATGGCGGCGTTCGTGGTTGAATATGGAAACCGTCTGGGGGAACTGTAGTCGACGTGGCACACAGACAGTTGATTTTGGCCGAAAAAGGGGGGTCCATGACAAGTTGGGCAGAATGTGTGCGTGTGCGTTTTTTTGCTGCCATGCAACCCCAATGACGGGATGGGTCTGGCTGTGACGGGACCCCCATATTCGTGGCCGGCATGGCCTGGTCGCTTTGCTGGATTCCCCAGACCTCGAGGTACTTGCTCGAGACTTGCAAGTATACTTTCGTTTTGACGCACGCTGTCATCGCACCGTCGTCGGGTAGTCATGCGTTGAGCGGCCGACTGCATCTGCCTCCCGTCCACTTGTGACAAGATGTCTATATCAGTGTTACCGTGCTCGATGACAAGAGAGGAAGGCAGCACTGTATATAAGGTTGTCTCTTCTGCGCTCAAGTCGTCCACAACTTTCGGGCCAGAGCAGGATTCGTATAGCACGACAGAGAAACCTTCGACTCCTGGCTCCGCGTCTCAAACACCACAACTGCAGTCGACTACTTTCGCTGTTGGAGGAACAAAGACGACGACAAAGAGGTGACCCAACATATCCCGCCGAGAGCTGACCCTGCGGCGTGCGGAAACCTTGGGTGTTCTGGCGAAATCACAAGTCACTGTCAAAGAGGTAAGCCCCCGATGCGTATATATACCCAGACACCAGTGGTCGGCTTGTCAATCAAGCGTTGTACACTGAGCGTGCTCTGATTGCAGAATGCTCATGACTCGCGATGGCAGATCGTGGGATTGCAAGTCAGAAGACGGTCCAAATCGACAAGGAAGACTGGGTCGAGGCGAGAATCCTACAACGACCCGAGCATCCGACCACTGCGATGTGCTTCTACGATCAGAAGACTTGGGGGTGCGGCTATTGGAAATGGGCTGGGTTCAGACAACAATGCCCGAAGGAGTACCGCACAGGCGAGACCTGTGGCCTCAAGCTTGTCTACGAGTCGACCATCGTGGGTGCGCAGTGCAAAGTCTGCGACGCCATCGACAAAAAGAAGCGCAAGTATCAAAAGAAGACAAACGACATGGCGCGATGGAAGGACGACCCGGCGCAATGGGCAAACTACGAAACCGCCGAGGCGGATGCAGCGAAAATCTACGACGAGTGGACCCAGTTGATTGCAGAGCACAACGAGGTCACGATGGTGAGGAGGAGGCGAGACTGATGGGATGCAGCGAGGCTTGCTTCGAACCAGCCGCGGCTTATGGGCGGACTCCCACCTTTGAGCGTGATCCTGGAGATGGACGAAGCAGAAAATGGACTTTGAGGAATCGATTAATTTTAGTCCTTGGGTGGGAGATTGCCTCTCAAGCTGGTGTGTTTTGGGTTTGTTTTCCGGCGCAAGGTGGCTTTCTGTACTTCGGAGTCGATCGGGGTCGAGGGATTGGATTGGCTGTTGTAGGCCACCTTTTAAGGATCTTGGGACGACCAGGGACATGCCTTGGGAAATGTTAAGTGGTTTCCGAATACTCCTTGGGCCGTGATGTGACGGATGTGCGTCAAACCTCCAGAGGACAACGTGTGCCGCACAGGTGCTGCTGAAGGTACAGTTCTCAAGACACTATTGTCGAATGGCCCGCCCTGTCTTCCAGGTGAGCAAAGGCTACAGCGGGTTTTCCCGACGGCTCAGTGTTGTACCGAGCACTCTCCCGTGGCTGGACAAGGGTAAATTAAGCCCAGCGAAGAATCGGAAATCTTAACATGCCCAAGCACACAGCAAAGTAGGCAAGCCCCAGCCTCAGCCTCGGAGTGGCGGCCCATCAGGGGAGCGTGGATGGCTGAACGATGTCATAGCACCACGGAGCTGGGTAATGACTATCAAGAAAACAGTCACCAATGTCTTCTTCCGACAGAAGACCGTACGGGAACGCAGAGCGGTGTCAAACATGCCCCTCCCACCCTCAGTGATCTTAGGCTTGCTGCTGGGAACGGAGAACAAGGTGCCATGTCATGCTCAGCGACCCTACCTACTCGGCGTCTCCACTGGGGTCAGCAGGGCGCACAGACTCCCGTTACTGCCTCCCGGGATCATGCCTGTAAAATTGGACTGACAGGCAACCTGGGTAGAGTCCATCTTCCACGTCGCTCGATGGACGGATGTATTGACGACCAATGTTGTGTGAGAACCTCACCGAAAAATGATGGACTGGCGGGCGAATGGGGTGACGACAACACCGCCCAGCAACCAGGAAACCAATGCGAGGCGAAAGGTTAGTCAAGGCTAGTGCCCGGTTTCTTCAGCAGCTCCCACCATCGCCTCTTTTGAGATTAGTTGTCCTGGGGCCGACTGAGCACGTGGTTTCGAGTCAATGGGTCTCTCAAGCGTCCTTGGTCGCTGTGGGCAGCCGTTTGCCAGGGGTTGATTGGACTCGGCCAGGGCTTCGTGGTCAGGAATGGCCTGTCCTCGCAGAAGCGGCGCATCGGCTGGCCCCATGCAAGCCATTGGTCCCGCAACTTGGCATGCTCTCTCTCGAACCAGCATCAGAGTGCGTCCCGTGGTGAGCTAGACGTAATGGTGTGGGGTGCGATTATGCAGCCTTGGTGTATCGCTCATCTTTTGTGGACTCTTGCTGGTTGTCCAGCCTCGGCGTCGTCGGACTTCTAGAACGTGAAAGCATACAGGACTCCACCAGGTACACGAGGGCCATCGTTCCGGGAAAGTCGTCTCTGCGTATCACCACAGTCTTAAATTTCCATTTTGAGCTGTGAAATCTTGTGACACCATACGGCCGTGGACATTCTAAGTTCTAGGTGTGCCCGGAGATCATCTCGTTCATCAATCGGCGTTGTGGGATATGAAACAGCATGAAATTGTTGGGTTGTGTTGGTAGAGTAGCACGGCGGTCATATTAAGCTAAAGCTTTCGCAGCATCTGCGAAGGTCCCTACGAGAGGCCCGCCGGCCTCCTTGATTGTTGTTTGTCCATGTTGGAGCTCGATGTTGTCCTCGTCGTCGTTGACTGTCCACTCATAACTGACATCTGCTGGGTCGGCCTCGTCGCTGCCATCGTCGGAGGACAGCTTCGCCAGGATGTTCTGGTAACGCGAAACGCGCATATCTTGCCTGGAGAGCATGGCTGGGTGCAATCTTTGCGCTTCTTGAGGAACAACCTCGAAGACGTCCACGAGATTACTGTTCAGGGTCAGTCAGCGGCTTTCTCGTCCCATTGGCTCCTCGTGGAGGACCGGTTTACGATCGGAGGGGCGGGGGTGCATACTTGGACGTTCGCGCGACTACTCTCTGCAGAGCCTCCGTCTCACGCTGAGACTCTAGAGGATCGGCCTGCGCATGGAGGTGCTGGTCGCCAAAGCTTCCATATTGGTTGTTGTTCGCTTCGTCTGAGAGAAGTCGGGATAGATCGTCCTACGCTCGCCGTGTCAGAAGTAGACGTCATAGAGGTTAAGGTGACCGTGATCCATTACCTCGTCGTACGAGTCCTCGCCACGCCTGCCCAAGCAGGACGCACAGATACCCATGTTTTGAAAGAAAGAGCGTATAGGGTCGGGCTACAATATGAGACTGGAAACACTCGGCCGAGAACGGAGGCTGTCGGGGCGTCGTCCCAGGAGAAAGGTGGTCTAAACCATTAAGGGAATGTCGGCGCTCGTGGAAGGATCGAGGCTGTGGTTTGCGTGGGCGGTAGCTACTGTCGCATGTTGGTGCAGGCACTCGGTCGTGGCTGTCGTTGATGCCCGAGCCCTCTGGAAGCCCTGGGTTCTGCACTCTCGTGCTCGTCTTGCGCGCGCGGACGGGTCCGAGGTTGTCTGGCGCTCAGGTGGTGTATCGCAATGTCACCCAGTCACCCAGCGTGACGCATTTGTTGTGATGGAGGTTTGCAGGATGCATGCACCGCCCGTCATGTGGAGCCCGAGGTTGCCCAGGTGCAGCTGCCCAGTTGGGTGCCCAGGCACGTACAAGCTTTCGCAGATGGCAGCCCCGTCTGCCAGCTGGTCACGACAATTACACTCGACCCGACGGACCACGGTGATTCTTCAAGCCCCCCCCCCCATGTCGCGCGCCAAGGGTCAAGGTTCACAAGGCCCGGCCCGTTGTTGGTGGCACAACCAGACTACTGGGACGCCAGCCTTGCCCACCAACCTTCATTACTAACTGGCCGGCTGATGGAGTGCTCTGATTAATTAATTATTGGAGTGCGTGTCAATGGGAAGGGGGGAGGAGGTCTGCCCAGCTCGGCATGGGGAAGCTACGGAGGACAGCTCACACCAGATGCACGCTCTGGTCACGGTTCCGCCTCCACTGCCTCCCAATCCAGCACCTCTCGCACACGCCATGCTGGCTCCAGAGCGGAATTCCCGCGTGCATAGGCTCACTCCTGGTGTCCGCTCTTAGCCAGCTTCGTTGCCATGCAATGTCGAGGGGCCAGCGATGCCCAGCTGGGCCCCTTTCGGCGGACTAGGACACAGCACGGCTGCTTCCCCGGCTCCGCGACCATGAGGATGACTTGCTTGTCTAGAGCGTTGAGCCACCACACAAAGGGAGCCGTCTCAACGATATGAGATCAATGACGCGAGGGCAGAAGTATCCGATGCGACAGCGGCAGACACGTGCGGGCAGTCATGGCAATAGAAGTTCCTGGCTGTCCAACGCACCGACCGTCATGACCACCGCTGACCTGACCGAGCCAGATCCATGGCGTTCACCGGTAGCCACGCGTCTAGCCTCCTCTTCCAAGGCGTGTGACGCCTCGAGTCACCCCAAGGTACATCAAAAGCAACTCGTCCGAAAGTGACAATCGTCGCTTGCATTTGACATGGAAGGTGTCGGGCAGAGAGTTGGGTAACAGGGGGTGGGCCGCACGCCACAAACTCACCTGCTTCGCCCTGGCCGCAGGACGACCGCTCCAGCGCAAATTTTTTCGGCTCGGAATGGTCTCCGGTCATGAGATCCCTCGCATCAAAGTCCTCCTGCCCGACGAAAGATTCCGCTCGTTCGGCTGGAATAAAATAACACATCAACCTTTCCGCATCGAGCACCGTACCTTGAACAAGTCCTTCAGACATGGGCAGTTGATGAATCTGCTGCCTCGTGATATACCACACAAAAGCAATCAGCATGTGCGGAAGCTGTCGGGGGTTTCCGGACTCCAGTAGATCCGAGCGCAGCCACCGACCTTGTTATTGAGCCGGCCTGACTGATATCCAGGCTCGAAGCCCGAAACCCCTGCAAGCCAAGGCGTCGGTGCTAGCAGCAACGGGTTTCCTCCAATCCGGCGCACCGGAAAAAGGCTGTGCCTAGCCGTCGTTGAAGAGACATGGTGGCCTCATCAGATGATCTACATTTACATTTCAATGAGTGCCGGGAAATGGCACCAGGTCTTTGATTGTCATTATGCGGAGGGGAAACTCGGTCGAAAACGCTCGGAAGATGGCAAGAAATGATGCTACATCTGGTGTACAAGAACGTCCGTCGTGCCCCGTACGCTCTACCAAGATACAATGCTGGCAGCCCCCCTGACATTATGGTCGGCGTGTAAAAGACCCTCTTTTGGTGGTCATGTGTGTCTGAATGCTCGCCTCACCCGGATTCTATGCCGATCCTCGGAATTCAACACGACAACATTTACCCGGTGAGACACAACGGCTACCACGTGAGACAAGGTATACGCCTTGCGAGGGACCTGCCTGGCAAGGATCAAGGTTGACATGAGGAGACTGGGGGCATGCACAAGTAAAAGCTACAGGGCAGGTCTTATGGTGCAGCTCATTCGGTGGAAGCAGCGCTGTTCTTCAGCGTGCTAGGACGTCGAGCACTGGTCTTATTCTGCTGAATGAACCCACTGATGGGCCAGCTCCCCTGGTCATTCCAAAATCGCTTCTGGTAATAATGGCAGGATTCCGCCTCCAGTCAGAATTATTACACTCTCCCTATCAGCATTGTAATCGCGCACTGGGCATCGGTATGTCCGTCCGCTACACAGGCCTGAGCTGGAGACCACAGTCACCCTCTAAGGCTGCAGATACCGAGACAGCCATGGCCGTACTGCTGAAGCATAAGCCTGTCAACATTCTCTCTCTACGAAACTCGAGAAAGCATCGTGTGCCACTCACCGACAAAAAAAAAAGACGACGACTTGCATGGCACGGAGAAACCTGCAGACAGGGCCAATCCAGTAAGTGATGCCACGTTCTGGCATGATGGAGAGAAATTCGATGTGCCGATTGACTAGCTCATCTTGGGCATCTACAACGGTTCCACGGAGGATTGCATAGTGCAAAATTCCGAGAGAATTGATTCCCACCCACGCGTGAATAGGATGGATTGGTCAGAGCAATGGAGAATGACAATAATCGGATTTGATTTGCACGGCATCAAAGTGGGCCGCATTGATCTTGGCAGGCAAGACCTACAATTTCACGACGTCAGCCATGCCATTTCAGTTGCCAGAGTTTATGGTTATTACCATAACAACCATACATAAGATCTCACTCCTGGTCGTGTCACGGTGCCGCTTCTGTGAGCGACTGCGACCCAGGGCGCTTCTGCCTAAACCATCGGCTTAGCGTCCATTGGTGGACAGCCCAAGTAATGACTAGCGTCAACCAAGTCACATACTGACTAGGACAACAATAAACATACAACTGGCGCGTCCCTCCACGGATCATAGCCTTTGGAAACGGGAATTATCCGTCGTACGATGTACAGGTGTTAGGCGTCTGGTAGTCTTGGGGGCATATTCCACTCTCCACGCGTCCGCAAGGTACGTGGGTGGCTCACTCCATGGAAACGGCGATCACGCTCGCGGTACGGGACCAAGCTCGGAGAACGAAAACAGCAAATGCTGACCTTTCCCAGGCATAATCATAATTGAACCTCTTCAAGACCGCCGCCGCCAGGCGTCAGCGATTGTGTTGCCGACGACGCAGCCGGCTTGCGCCTTAGGCTCGCTCTGCGAAACACACCATCGCTGTTCAACAACATGCCCAAACAACCCCGGGCTTGCCAGCATACAACCCTCCAGCTCGAGCCATCGGCGTGCGCCGCTCGTGTCGGCTTTACGCCCACTGCCGCCACCGAGCTCCTCGCGGCGGCCGAATTATCCGGGGAAACTCACCACGATGGTGTTGTTGGCACGGCGGAAGCGGTGGTAAAAGAGCTGTCGGCGTTCTTCCCGGCTCCTCTGATCCTGCCGGGGGACGAACTCGCCTACGAGCCCACCGAGGAAGGGCAGTCGTGTCACGAGTGGCTGCATGAGACGGAGAGGAACCAGCCCATGGCGAAGCGCGGGACTCTGTATGTTGCTTCTGTGCCAAGGATCGATCCGGAAGTCAAGCACGTCGAGACGTGGACAAGGCCAGGAGCCGCGGCGGCGCGAAAAACCCCTCCAGGTGATGCGTCGCTCCTCCAGCCGCCCCAAGCCGAGGACATTATCGACTTCCTGAGCGCATTCTACCACGGCGTACCAGTAAAGCCGTTTCCGCAGCAGCTACGGTTCGTCGCCTGGGACGGCGAAACGGACAGAGAGGACGTGCGCAACGGCATGTCCTACATTGGCCTCGCCACAACACGGGATAACAACTGCACCCGGATCCGCGCGCGTACATCGCCTGACGGGGAGGTCTTCCCGAAGCAGCTCAACCTCGAGGACATTCTGGACGCGGGCATCGAGATGCTGCCCGGCGACGCGTACGCGCTGCTACTCCTGGTCGACCACGACCTGTACGAGAGCGACGAAGACGACTTCTGCTGCGGCCGGGCGTACGGCGGGAGCCGGGTGTGCGTGGTGCAGACGGCCCGGTACCACCCGGCGCTCGACGCGCACGCGGGCATAGACGCGGCGCACATGTGGCCCACGTCGCACTGCAAGACCTACCTCGACAAGCTGTGCCGCGCCGAGGGCATCAGTGTCGCCTCCGGCGGCGGCCGGGGGTCTGCTGCTGCCGCTGCTGCGGGCGGCAGCAGCAGCAGCAGCAGCAGCAGCAAGCCACCTCTGCGAGCTGCCGTTGACGCCGCTGTCCAGGCCGCACAAGGTTCACTCACAGGAAAAACCTCTACTGTCGCCACCACGTCCGGCAGCGGCACACCTGCTGCCGGGGCGGTATCGCAAGCAGACCAGGAGGCAATGGGCCGCCCCAGCCCGGCACAGCGACAGCGACAGCAGCAGCAGCAGGGCCTCTGGCTCTCCCGCCTGGCCAGGACGACGGCGCACGAGCTCGGGCATTGCTTCGGCATGGACCACTGCGTGTACTACGCCTGCCTGATGCAGAGCACAGCCAGCATGGCCGAGGACGTGCGGCAGCCGCCGTACTTGTGTCCCGTGTGCCTGAACAAGGTCGCGCACGCTGTTGCGGGGGAGCTGCTGCCAGGGACTCGAGGAGGGAAGATGAGAAAAATGCAGCAGCCACAGAAGAAGAAGGCAGCAACAACGAGAGGAGGATCTCGTGATGTGCTACGGGCAGCCGAGGCGCCGGAGACGACGGACTACCTGATCCAGAGATACGCAGCCATCGCCGACTTCTGTGGCAAGTGGGCGCCGCACGTAGGCATGTTTGCGGGATACAGGGCGTGGGCGCTCGCGAGGATTGACAGCTTGCAGGGCGGGAGCAGCCGCCGCTCCCCAGAGGGCCCAGAGGGACGGCAGGTCATCATAATCTTGGACGACTGATTCCCCAGCGTTGCACGCACGGGCGATGGGAGGCCCCATTGATCATTGCACCACTGGACTCTGATCGGGAGATGTAGAGCAGGTGGTCCTCATGCTGTCCGGGAAGAAAAACACCAGAATCTTCCTACACGGTCGATGATGCGGTGCCTTTGCTGCTTGCTGCGGCCTTGATGCTAATCTTGTCTCTTGAAGCAGACTCCCAAATCGCCTCACTCCACTGAAAAGAAATATTGAGATAACGACATGCTTGATTGCGTACTTCGTGTACACATGTGGTACAACTACAGCCGCATGTAGTGAAAGTGAAACCGCGGCTTCCGTTGTCTCACAGGAAAATGACGTCACCGAATCACTCCCCGCTTCCCCAATTCACGAACCCCCATTCACCATCTGTGAGGGACCGTGAATGACCGGCCCTCAACATCGCTTGGCATTGAGCGAATCCCTTCATAGCCACTAGCTAGCCAATGAGCCGACACCAAAACAGAATCGCGCGCCTTAATCTTGACATCTCTAGTGTCGAGCCCCGCTGGGCTGGAGCCATTGGTACCTTCGTCCTGGGTGATACGGGACTCTGCTGCCGCTGGTCGGGCAAAAGGCGTGAGCCGGTGGAATTGCAGCTCCGGGGAAAGCGGGGCCGCATCGTTGCCCGTCCCGTCACGACCACTTTCCAGTGCACGCCGTCAAAGTACAAAGGTCCGCTGAGCGGCTGAAAGGTGCCTCCTGGGCAAGGGGGCATGGTGCCTTACACAGCTTTCAAAAGGTAGAAGAGAACACCATCCTCGACTTCGGACTCGGTCCTGCACTTCTGATATCCTTCTCGCTGTGCTTTCTTGCAAGACCGGACCTCTCATAGTTCACGCAACACTCACCATCGATTTCACACATCCCTCCGTGAGAACGATGGCAGCACCATCAAGCACCGCCACCAATGGGTCCGGCAACGACAGCAGCATTGACATCACGGCCCAATGTCTCTGCAAGAAACACTCGTTCACCGCCACGGTGCCCTTGGCCTCCCTCCCACTCAAGGCGACGGCCTGCCACTGCGACTCATGCCGATACAACACCGGCGCTCTATACAGTGCCGACGCTGGCTGGCCTGGCGACCCGGCCGCGGTGCGCGAGTCGGGGCTCAGCGTGTACTACTTTTCGGACAACATCAACGTCTTGTTCTGCGGGCGGTGCGGGTCGACCATGTTCTTCGAGGAGAAGGAGCACGGAAAGGTGGAGACGTCGTATGCCGTCTTCACCGGGGCGCTGCCGAATGTAGAGCTCCCTGGCGGTGGTCCGCTTGTGGCGATCGAACACCACATGTTTCTGGATGACACGAGGGACGGTGGAGCGTCGCCGTGGCTAAGGAATACCGATTACGACGTGAAAAATGGGTGTTACAAAGCTGCTCGCCGCTGGCACGGACGGAGGTTCAAGAGCGATGAGATCCTTGAAGGAGACGACTGGCCGTCACTCAAAGACCTTTCCGTCATGACTGACGGTGCAGCAGCACAAACTCACGCGAGCGATTCACAGGAACTGAGCGACATTACGATCCCAGTCAAATGCAGGTGCGGCGGCGTCCACGTGGAGCTGCTCGCCTCGGTGGCCAGGAAAGAGTTCTCGCGGATGCAGCGGGACCAGCTACCTCGCTTCGTCGATCCGGACAACAACAAGTCCCTCGCGTCATTCGATGTGTGCGACTCGTGCCGGACAGTCTCGGGCTTGGACATCTTCCACTGGACCTTTTTTTGGCTAAAGCACATCCGCTTTCCGCAGAACGCTGCCAGCTCGTCGGGACCGGAATTCCCCGTGTCCACGGCGGCACTAAAGAAGGCGGTACTGCAGGACAAAGAGGCGAGGGACCCTCGGCTCGGCGCACTTGAGATGTACGAAAGCTCTCCAGACGTGCAGCGCTACTTCTGTGGGGGCTGCTCGGCCGTGGTGTTTTATGCGGTTGACGATCTAGCTAACCAGGTTGATGTTGCTCTTGGCCTTCTCCGTGCGCCGCCAGTGGGCAAGAACACTAGTGACGGCAGTGATGTCCACGGCGGCGCCCGTGCCGAACATCTCCTCAGCTGGAAGTTCGGTGGCACCATGGCCTGGCAGCAGGATGTGCAAGGAGGATGGAGAGACGGCCTGGTTAAGATTGTGACTGATGACGTGACTGCGTGGAGAGACAAGCGAGGGTTGGCAAAGAACTGGCGAGTCCGAAATGACGAGAAGGCGGCTGTGGAGGGTGCAAAGAGCGGTTGAGATGACGCCTTCTGGGCACGGAGAGATGGTCGTTGGCTTCTCAAGCTTGCGCACTGACTTCAACGGTCACTTGCCAGGATCGCATGAATGAAGAGAAGAGACGGATGTTACGAAGAGTAGAGCGAGCCTCGACCCCTGGGAGGGGAGAGGGGGGCGGTAGCCAGTCAACCATTGAGTTCAAGCTCCTGTTGTACGCACGCATTCATGTGAGAATGCAAGAGGGTGCCTTGATGAGGAAATGTGTCGCGTGCCTCGTTCTGCCAAGAGCCAGCAGCAAGAACAGCAAGGCAGTGAGTGTCTGGGATCTGGGATGACATCCTGGCTTTGTGGATATCGGAGCTTTAGTGCGAGGAATTCGCGCGGCTGTGAGCTGAAGGATCCCAGCGGCGAGTGCAACGCTGCTATTTCTGAGTCGCCAGTGCTGATGTTGGGCATGCCAAGTGCCACAGAGTTGAAACGAGAAGCGTCGAGTGTTCGTGGGCCGCAAGTCTTGGCTGCGTGTCGCTGTTGGCTGCACAGCTGTGGTGGTGGCAGGGGCCCTGGCTGGGGAGTGGGACACCACCAAATAAGCTTGTCTGATCTCCCAGGGGCTGGTATTAGAGCTGCCGGTGGGGGGATATATTGATTGCCTGTTGTCCGTCCGATTGACTTGGGCTTGCGCAGGTAGGCGCCTTTGATACGAGCAACGAGGTGTTTCCCGGCTTCTGGATGAGAGCACGAGTGAATGCGAGAGGCTCGATCACTTCGCCGTCGCACCTTGCTCTGCAGTGCGAGGTTATGCGACGGGCAGGCGGCAGGCGCGACCGCGTGTGCGTGCCTTCCATCCATAAAGTACCCTGCTGCTATCCATCCGCACAGCCTTGAAACAAGATCGTCGGCTCCGGGTCACAACCTCGTCTGCGACTCCCGCCCCGATTCTGCGACGCCTTGGCAGCAACGCTGCTCCACGAACATGGCCAACCATCACCCTCCCTCCGTCCCAGCTGCCGCAGTGCTCCGCCCTCGGCCCTTGCGCTGCCCGGCCGGGGTTTTTGTTTCCATCGTCAGCTGCGCGTGTCTCTCCTCCCTTGGCCAGCCTCTTAGACCTACACCTGCTCGCCTTCTGGTGTCTGCCCTTTGTTTCACGCCGGCCTCTTCCCTTCATTTCTCCTCTTCGTTGTTCCCGGTGACGACGACATTCTCTTCTTGACCAAGGCCCTGGTGGCATCGTTTCCCGGACCGCATCCGTAATTCTCCTTCCGATCGTTCGCAACCGTGCTTGCTTGTCGAGCACACAAAGTCATTCTTTTAGCAGTTCCGCCACTTTCGATCATACACGGCCGCCAGACGGCATCATCCTGACAGACATAGACACGGCGCCAAGTACCAAGGACCAGGGATACGGCTGCCACGAGATCCAGACGGTCTTCGGACACAGGACACCACAACGCCAACATGGCCTACAACTTTCCCAGCACGATCAGCGCAGCACGGATATCAACCTTCATCAGCACAGCCGCCTGGATTCAGGGCACTGTCGCCACAGCCGGCGACGTCTGGCTGCCCGAGGATGCACTCAACAACTTCCTGCAACGCCAAAGCCCAGCCGTTCTATCCCAGCGAGACGCCAACAACGGCACGACACCCTCCCCAGGCGGTGCAGCCCCGCCAGAGTCTGAAGACTCGTCAGTGGGCGATGAAGAGTCCGCAGACTCGAGCGACTCGTCTGCCGACGGCGAGTCCGGGGCCAGCACCGCCGACGGCGACGCGGCGAAGGATGGCATGGACCCAATCACCTCGTCGCCAGTGCAAGGTGGTCTCGATGGAACTTCTGGAGGGTCTGCCCTTCCAGCAGACGGCGGCGATGCGAGCCGAGCAGCGTCAGGCTTGAGTCCTGGAGGACAGGCTGCCATTGCCGTCTGGGTCGTCATCGCTGTTGTCGCGGCGGGGGTAGCGTTTTGGTGGTTTCGGCGCAGACGCCGGAGGAACGCGCAAAGCAGCACAGCGTCCGTCCAGGATCCAGAGGCTGCCCGCTCACAGCCAATGGCCGCCCAGGGCGCTCTCCCTTCGATCCTGCCACCGATGGATCCGGCATTCATCCAACGATCCGAGAGCCGCCAGTCAGGCGCAGGCTTCGTGATGCGTGCGCAGCCTCAGGACGACGACGGCGTCCCCTATGAGCCAGCCTCGCAGTCGTGGAGACAGTCACCACCCCCCGGAGCTTATGGCGGCGGCATCGCCCAGACCACACTGAGCCGGTCAAACTCCCGAGTCGGACTGCCTTCGAACCCGCGGCCTGGATCGCAGCGTGGGTCGCAGCGCGAGCTTGTTATCGGCGCGCCTATGATGGGTGGCCCTTCGTACAGGCGGGATCAGGACGCGAGGACTGTGGTTACAGCGGATACCGAGAGCACCATTTTCGAGTGGCGGTAGATCGAGTCCTATTTGCACACATCAGCTTGTAAACGGGGACACGTTGCTTGTTCTTTGGCGAAGGATTCTATCGAGTTTGACTTTTGGCTATGGTCGGAGGTTTTTTTTAGGCGTGGATCATGATCGTGATAACAATGCAATTGTGAGATTTCCTTGGCCCGGATCTTCACTGGCTAAGCTCTGCCCTTTTTCGCTCGTCCTCAACATGATCTTGTGCCGTTCCACTACCTTAGATTCTGTAGTCCGTGAAAAGCCGAGTCTTAGCGCGGCTGCATTCCCCGTCAGCAGCTTACATCTTTCACCAGTGTCAACCCTGAGGTCGCCAAAGAAAAAGAAAAAAACTGAAATACCGAGCACCCATTTCTTCGGAAGGAGGCGTGCTGGCTCACAGACCGTGGTGGCCGCCCTTGCAGCGAAGCCGAGGAGGAGCATTGGTAACTGCTAGGTTTTTGAATCCGACATTCACCTCCAGGTTACTTCGCTCTATTTCGGCCCTAGGAAATCAACCTCTTACGGAGGATGTTCATCTTCATTTTTCATCCCCTGTATCTTTTCTTTGATTTTCTTTGACCCCATGATCTATCTTCCAGACCACGTCGAAGACGCGACGCATTCAATCTAGTTGTCTGCGCTCGAACTCTGTGGTGACGTATTTCATGCACTGTCAAGAGTTGTGGTATTCAAGAAAGACGACGGTCCTTGTAAAAGGTCTCCAACACTGGAGTGTTCTAGCCGGCGTACGGATCACGCTATAGGCTGTTGTTGATTTTATATATGCCAATATGGGAGAAGGTCTTGAAGTCACGGCTTTGCTCGAGCCGCCTTTTTCCAGTTCCCTGACGAAGCGCACAAAGAGATGCGCGCTAGAATTACAAAAAAGGAAGCTTCTTTGCCCGCCGTCGAAAGAGCTTTTGAGATATATACACGCCGTATGGGGCAAAGTTCGACCTCACGCACGGAAGCGGAACCCGTCCCACTCGTCTTCCTCCTCGTCTTCGTCATCCTCGTCTTCATCCTCGCCCGCACCTGGGCCTTGCATGGCGGCCGAGCCATTCTCCTTGCCCTCGGCGATGGCGTGCGTCATGGCCGCCTTGCCATTTACCCGCACCTCTTCTCCTGCCGCGTCGGCTGCTGATGCCTTGATGTTCGCCAGGCTGCCCTTGCGCAGCTGCTCCCTGCGCTCCTTGAGCCTCTTGACGCGGCCCTCGAGCTCCTCCATCTCGTCAAACTCCTCTTCCAGCGCCCGCGCCGCGTCCTCCTTCTCACCCGCGATCTGCGCGTCGAGCAGCTGTTTCCGCTGCTCGTTCATCTCCTCCTGCGACTTGGCCTCCAGCTCGGCTTTGGTCATGGCGGGTGCGGATATCGTGGCGTCGGCATATAATGATGATGCTGCTGCTACAGGCGCGGGAGCGGTGCTGGCCGACGCTGGCCGGTCATCTGCAGCCGCGGACGCGATGTCCGCCTCAAAGGCTGCCCATTCAGACTCGTCCACCGCGGGGATTGCCGCCGCAGACGCCGGTGCTATCCTTTCCGGCAGCGGCGTCGGCGGCTGCACTGCTGTCGAGGACACCGAGACTCCTCTGGAGACATGCGATGGTATTTGCAGGGCCTCTATGGAGATGGGACCACGGCTATTGTTATTATTATTTGTGCCCGACGCGCCGGCTCTGCCGGGTGCGGGATCCTCGATGCTGGCCAGCGGCGAGCGGCTGCTGGCAGCGATTGTGATGTTGGGCGTGGACGTGGCCGAGTCGGAGCGGGCGAGTGGCGTTGCTGGCCGAGAGGGGATCGCGATCTCGACCCCCTGGACGGGCGTGTTGGATGCCCTCCTGCCTAATATCGGAGGGCTGATGGTCTTCTCCCTGGTCGCGCCGGTGGCAGCGCTGGCGTTGTTTGTGTTTAGGGTCGGCGGTGGCCTCGCTGTGCTGCCGTTGCCGTCCTGGCCGGTCTTGCTACGCTTTGCTCGGAGGGATGCGGCAGCCTCGTCGCTGTCCGCGGCATCGTCCATGTCGTCATCATCTTCGACATCGTCGAGTTTCCGCTTGGCGGAGGGGTTTGAGTCGTTTGACAGTGCCGCTTGCTGCTGCTGCTGCTGCTGTTGTTGAAGGACTTTGAGATTGGTCTGGTGGTTTGCACTGCGGGTGTGGGCGTCCCAGAGGGATTCCGATCTGATGTGTTCGTGACAGAGCTTGCACAGCAGCTTGCCAGCGTCCGAGTATGCGGCTTGTGGGTGTTTTATCCTGTTCTCGGAGCGATGAGCCCTGAGAAGAGCGCGGGCGTCGGCCATCGTCTGTGGTTCGAGGGAGATCTTGGAAGGGTTCTGAAGGATTCGAGGTGTGATTGAAAAGTGCTGGTGGGTTCAATTGAGTGACGCAAGAGTCTGCTGAGGATCATGCGGCCACGACAGACACGGGAGGTGTCGCTGAAGGAGATCTCGCCAGGTGTGAGCGCGGGAGAAGGAGAAGAAGGTGTCAAGGATGAGCTGCGTGCTGCTGCGTCGACGAATTGGCAGATGCAAGTGAGCCGTCATTGCGACCCCCATGCTCTCTGGTCCAGGCCCTGCCGGGCTAGCTCGAGCTGAAGCAGCGGGCGCGGGTGGGCGCTGGTTGGCTGGGCAGAGGCCATGTGAGAAGGGCCCCCCAGCACCGGCCGACGCTTGGAGCCGCCCTGCCCCGCGAAAGGCGCCCCCGACGTGGGCCAATGCACCAGGAACGGGGATAGCTTGACCCAGCTGGTGCATGCACGTCTGCGCCGCCAGCTCTGTGCATTGCCGCCATTGACAGAGTCAGAACCACCACGGTCCCTTCTCCCACAACTCCCCGGCCGCCGCCATGGACGACGAGGACCAGGCTGCCGTGTCGCGCTCGACATGGCCGCCGCCGCCCTTCTTTTGGAAGGACTTCACCCCCGCCGCCATCGAGCGCATCGACCAGCTGCGACACGAACGAGCCGAGGCCGACAACATCACCGACCCCAAAGCCATCCAAAGCATCCACCTCGAGGGCTTGCCCCGAGACCTTCGTAACCTCCAGCCACCTCCCGAGCCTGCCGATGGGCGCTGGCGCGTGTTCGGCGCCAACTACCAGCTCGCCGACGAACTCCCATCGCTGGACGGCACAGAGATCCGCCGGCTTGTTCCCAACCAGGAGGAGCGCGACCAGGATGGCAAGCACTTTGACCGGGCCCTCACTATGAAACGCCTGGCCAAGAGTCTGCTGCTCAACTTTCTCGAGCTGACGGGCATCTTGTCGATTAACCCTGCAGAGGTATGTGGCAAGAGGAGAATGACCCTGCGCTTGGACTGTCGTCCACAACAAGAAACACAGCTGACGCTTCTGCTCCGCTCAGGCCAACGACAAGATTTTGGACATCCGTGACCTGTTTTACAACTTTCACCACTTGATCAACGAGTACCGCCCTCACCAAGCGCGCGAGTCTCTGATATCCATGATGCAAGCCACCCTCGACAGGACCCGGGCCGAGACAAATGCGATACGCGATGCAAAGGAAAAGGTCGAACGTGTACTCGAGGGCCTGGGGAGTCTCAAGGTCGAGGACGAAACATCCCAGCCGGACTCCTCGTCAGCCATGAATGGGCAATCAAAGACAGATGAAAAGGCTGCTTGGCTGGCAGACAGCGATGAGATGTGGAGAGGAGTGCTGGAGGAGACGTTATGACCGTCACGTACTACCACGAACGGTGTAGACTGTGACAGCAACGGCAATTTTATGCACGATTCCCAACTCGTTGACGAGGCCAGGAAAGCGGCCCCTCAGCATTGAGTCAACTTTCACAATATTCATAAGCAAAAACCACATAAAGAGGGCGCAACACGGATCAGCAAAATGAGGAAGTCAATTTCTCATAAATGCCGGATGGGCTTGATAGTTACTGTCCACCGAGTCGACTTGCGTCCGTGGAGTATCCTTGTTACCCCCCAGATTCCCTCTAGCTCTTCACATGACAGTGCAAGGGATACAGCAACAGTCGTAGTCACCGCACTCGATGCACTTGGTCTTGGGCCCGGCGGGCTTGGCAATACTTCCGAAGGTGGACGAGGCGGCGCTGCCCGGGCCATTGTGGTCGACGGGGGCAGCCAAGGATGAGTGCGAGTTGCAGGCCATTGTCTCAGTGGCTTAGTCTGGCAATGAAGTGGTCTAGGTGTAACTGGTGTTTAGTGGCTAATCTGGTGGATGCTTGGCGGAAGGTGCTAGCTCACTAATTAGACTCTGGCGGTGATGGAGCGCGAACGAGGTTCTGGCGAGATGAAGAGAAAAAGAAGAGCAGTTTGGCAAGAATACTAGGAGAAGCTGCGGAGCAATGGCCGTGGAACTGTGGCACTTAATAGACTTTGGCACGCATGGATGCCCTCGCCAGCCTTGACATCAGGGACGCGCAACTCCCGTGCAGCGTGCGACAGCACCGCCTGCGGGTTGTCGTCATGCCTGCCTCTACGTGTGGAGCTCGAGGTTGTCCCAGGCTGGGGGCAAGCGGCCCCTGCGAGTTTAGCCTTGGACTCGGAGACATGGGTCTTGGTCGCTGGCTGGCTGGCCCGCCTGGAGCAAGCAGTCAAGCCGCGTCTGGTCGCGCGCGTGTCGCAGCAAATCAACCATGCGCGGATGGACCCCGTAAATTGAGAGCTGCCTGCCGTGAACCACGACGGCGACAATGATGCTCAACTGATGGTTTGCGCCTGACGAAACAACCCACCCACCCACCGGACCTCACAACGCTGCTGTATAGCTGCGAGATGCGATTGACACCACGCATGCACATCCGGCCACTATGCGGATAATCAAGCCATCATGGCTGAGCCACAAAGGTATATGCCCATCTCCGCCATGCGCATCCCGCTCGCGATACAGCTTCCCACGCACATCGAGTGATCGCAAACAGGCGGGCTGACAGCTTCTCTCTGTGCCAGGCGAACAAAAGGACTTCGAAGTCTATAGCTGCCATGTCTCGCCCGATGGGAAGAGGCTGGCCACGGCCGGCGGCGATGGCCATGTCCGCGTATGGTCGACCGAGGCCGTCTACAACTCCGACGACGCCTCCTACACAAAGCCCCGCCAGCTCTGCCACATGAGCCACCACCTTGGCACCATCCATTCGGTCCGCTTCTCCCCAAACGGGCGCTACCTCGCCTCTGGCGCCGACGACAAGGTCATCTGCATCTATCAGCTGGAGAGCGGCCCGCCCACTGTCGCGACGTTTGGCACCAACGAGCCTCCCCCCGTCGAGAACTGGAAGACCACGAAACGTCTTATAGGCCACGATAACGATGTCCAGGATCTCGGCTGGTCCCACGATGGGTCGATTCTTGTCTCTGTCGGGCTCGACTCCAAGATTGTCATCTGGTCCGGGCACACCTTTGAGAAGCTCAAGGTGTTGTCCATCCACCAGAGTCACGTCAAGGGCATCACCTTTGACCCGGCCAACAAGTTCTTTGCGACGGCAAGCGATGACAGGACAATCAAGATCTTTAGATTCACCTCGCCCGCGCCAAACGCCACACAGCACGACATGGCCAACAATTTCCAGCTCGAGACGACCATCAGCGCGCCCTTCAAATCATCCCCCCTCACAACATACTTTCGGCGGTGCTCGTGGTCGCCAGATGGTAACCACATCGCGGCGGCCAACGCCGTCAATGGACCCGTCAGCTCCGTGGCCATCATCGAGCGATCGCAGTGGGACAGCGAGATCAACCTGATCGGACACGAAGGTCCCACGGAGGTCTGCATGTTCTCGCCCCGTCTTTTCCATACCAAGAAGCCTGCCGAGAACGGGACCACGAATGGGCACGCCCCGGCTGCCTCCCTCGTGACGGTCATTGCCTCAGCAGGGCAGGACAAGACGCTCAGCGTGTGGAACACAAACACGTCCAGACCTGTGGTCATCCTGCAGGACCTGGCTGCAAAGTCGATTTCGGATCTGGCCTGGACGCCAGATGGCCAGACTCTTTTCGCGGCCAGTCTCGACGGATCGATCGTGGTTGCCAAGTTCGAGACAGGGGAGTTGGGTTGGGTTGCGAACCTCGAGGAAACGGACAGAGCTCTGTCCAAGTACGGCGCATCTCGAAAGGCTATGGGCATTGCCGAGGATGTGGACGGCCTGCTTCTCGAGGACCACAGCAAAGAAGGCGAGCGCAAGGGAGTCGAATCAAGGATGGGCGCTCTCATGGGCGACTTTGAGCCGATGGCCACGGACGCCCCTGCTACGAATGGAACGAAGGCGACCGAAGCCGGGACACCAAAGGACACCCCCGCAAGTGGGACAGCAACACCAAAGGAGAAGGACGCGGAGGCAGAGAAAGCGTCAGAGGCGGCCGACAAAACGGCACAGCGCGTCAATGAGCTCAAGTCCAGGGTGACTATCGGCAAGGACGGCAAGAAGAGGGTCGCACCTATGCTCATCTCATCCTCGGGGACGGGCCAGTCTTCACTACCTCAGACACAGCTCGTCGGTTCAACCAAAGCAAAAGCTGCACAGAATGATGCGCCACAGAGCATACTCGATCTCTCGAAGCCTTACGATGGCTTGCCAGAGGGCGGACTTGCTGCTATGCTGCTTGGCAATAAGAGGAAGGCGATAGTGCTGGACGGGGATGACGAGGACGACACGGGGCCCAGGCGGCCTTCATCCATGCCTCGTGCTATTGTGCGAAATGGCGCCGAAGGCCTTGAGCAGGCAACACTTGAGCCACCACAGAACGGTGTGGTATCAACACCAGAGTACCTCCGCCCTGCCGTCCTGAATCCTTCAATATCCATATCACAGGTCCGCCTTGCGGTTCCAAAGATCCGCTCACACATTGTGCGCTCCCTTGAGCGTGGTGTACTGCTGGAGAGCACCATAGACGACGCGACACGATTCCCCGAGAATGTCGTGCTGGAAGCCAGGAATCCTGTGGCAGTTAGAGACCCGTCACATATCACCGCCACGAAGCGTGGTGCTCTCCTGTGGCAGGACTTCCTCCCCAGAGCCGTGATCCTCGTGACCGGCAACAAGAAATTCTGGGCCGCAGCCTGCGAGGACGGCAGCATCTACACGTGGACGCCTGCTGGCCGCCGACTCATCAACGCAATGATCCTCGAGTCACAACCCGTTATATTTGAGTGCCGTGATTCATGGCTGCTGTGCATCACGGCTGTGGGCCTCTGCTACGTCTGGAATATCAACACTCTATCATCACCACACCCGCCCGTCTCGTTGGGCCCTATTCTCGAGCTTGCCATCAACTCTCTACAACCCCACGGCGCCATGCCTGCGCCAGGCGTCACGTCCGCACATCTCAACTCCAACGGCCACATTGTCGTCACGCTTACCAATGGCGACGGCTACTACTACGCCCCGAACATGTACTCGTGGCAGCGCCTTTCAGAATCCTGGTGGGCAGTGGGTAGCCAGTACTGGAACAGCAATGACTCGTCCATCTCAGCCCTGCAGTCTACAGCCGTGGGACCTGCGCTCCCCGACCAATCCAAGAAGACTGCGGCAGAGCAAGACACTCCAGTCAGCGTGTCAGCCGGCATCATCCCTTACCTCGAACGGCACACGACTAGCGAATTTCTGCTCAAGGGTCGCGCCTACACGCTCCAGCGCATCATCAAGACATTGCTGTCCAAGGACGGCTTCGAGGGATTCGAGTCCACCGTCAGCATCGCGCACCTGGAGAACCGCATTGCGGGCGCGCTTCAGCTCGGCGCCAAGGACGAGTTCAGGCTGTACCTGCTCATGTACGCAAAGCGCATCGGTGCGGAGGGCTTGAAGGGGAAAGTGGAGGAGCTGCTGTCGAGCCTGCTCGGTGGGATCCTCAAGCCGAGTGCCGCCGGAGATGGCACAGGCGAGATTGAGCCTGACCGGAAGGGCTGGTTCAGTCAGGACGAGTTCATTTGTGGCTGGGACCGGAGGGAGTTGTTGAAGGGCGTCGCCATGATACTGGGTATGTATACTGCTTTTGCTTACAAGCACACCCCCTTTCCCGTCTGCGTGTTACTTCCAACGCTTGTTGGGCATTAGTCGGAAGACATCTCATCGCTAACCATCGTTTCTGCGTATCCAGGCAAATTCCGAGAACTGCAGCGTATAACAGTACAATATGCCAGGATCCTGGACCTCACCCTTGAAGCGGCGGGCGATGACGAAGAGGAAGACGATGAGGACAGTGATGAGGAAGGCGGTGGCAGCGATGAAGAAATGGACGACGACAAGGACAAGGACAAGACCAAGAACAAGGAAAGCGGCGCGGCGGCGGATGACGTCCCTGCTACTGCTACTGAAGGTGGGAATGGCAGTGGAGGCAGCGGAAGCAGCACTAGCAGTAGGAAAGGCAAGGGGAGGAAGAAGGACGACAAAGACGCCGACGGGGACGAGGCCATGGCCGTCGAGCCTTGAGAGCGGAGAGGAACGGTTTGTATCAGCGCCGGGGGTTTAGCCGACGGGAGATTGGTGTAACAAAATGCCGCTGGGTAACCTCTACTGGCGGTACCATGGGCAGGAACATTAGAATATTTCAAGGGTGTTTAGTTGTCGGCGGCGGCGGCAATTTCAGAGTCTCTTGTTTGCGTTAAGGACATGATGGGAGAAAGCTAGGTAGCTGCGGCCTTCGGGGGAAATGGATCTTTTTCGTGATGGGGCAACTGGCTTTCTACAAATTGACGCGTGTGTGCAGGACCATTTGGTCTCATCACGTTGGACTCAATCTTTGTGCCTACTTGGCGGGATACGCTACAAGCGCTTCTCCCTGTGCCCATTCTTGCTCCTGCTCTTTTCGGCTTCAGAAGGTTCGTGCTAGGCCCTAGGTATTTTGTTCGATGAGAGATGTCCCTCCAATTGCCGGCTATAGCTCAGAAGCCGATGGCACTACATAGGGAATATGATTCCCCGGCCTCTGAGAAGTGTTTGTTCCGTCTTTTTCCTTTGATCATCGCTTGAAGGCTTTCTTGACAGAGAACGGTCCCCATAGCTGGGTGACCAATTCCGAACCCCCTTGCTCCTGTAGCATGTGTGGCCTACGTAGAGAGCGATCCTTGGGAAGGCAACTCTGGCGTCTTGGCCATGGATCTCTCGGCAAGCGAGGCTTTGCCATGTTCCTGCAGCTCAGACTCTTTTCGAGGAGGAGCTCTCGTCGCTGTTTTCTTTGCGGCATCTCGTGTTTTGTCCTGCCGTGGGGTTCTGTCAAAGGCGTAGGAAATCGCTTGATCTCGGGGATTGTTCCGTGTGGGATTGCATTTGCGGGTCTCGGCGGTGACATTTGGGGGGGTTTTTGGGACGTCTGAAGTCGAGCAAGTCTCACGGTGCTGTGCTTTGGTATGATCTTGATGCTGGTGTATCACGTGGAGACCTGCTGGTGATTGGGTCTTTCCGCATCTTATTGAAGGAGCTTGTGTCTCGGAGGAATGTGGACCAAATTATTGCTCGATCGACAAGGAACTCCCAGCTGGGAGGTATGACTCTGAGGGCCTGTCGACGTGAGAAGCAGTTGTTTCATGCACATGATCGTGGTGGCATTGCCTGTTCCCTCTGGTCGAGTCGATGCTTTAATGAACCTCATCATCCCTCCATATCGCCGCGCGCGCTCGCTCCGAGGACCTGAATCCACCAACGGTGTCGTCTTTCCGCCGCTGGCTTTGATTGTGAAAAGAATGCTTCTTAACGGGCGGGCTCTGAATGAGCCTGTACTTTATGGACTCCATTATTCTCAGCCTCACATATTTACCTTAGAGAGTCTTGCTCGCACGACAGCGCTCTCTTTCTCGCTGTGTGGTTGGTGGTCAGACATGGGCTTACTTTTATCTTGCCGCATTCCCGATTGTTTGCCCGTCCTGGACGGTATGTCTCCTTCTTATGGCTCCAGTGTAGTATATTTCCGTCACCACCGCATTGTTGATCTGTGTGGTCTGTGTGATTTGCTCGTCGGCCGAAATGGCTTGTCCTGAAAATTTGAATAGTTGCTGAACTAGCTCTCACAAGTCTGTTCGCCCTGCGACGTGGTTCTATCGCGAACTAGTTGATTTGGCAAGTATTAGACCCCATGGCGCTGTCGCTTCGTGCTTGGCCCATTTAATCTCGAGACTGCGATTTTGCGTGATTTGAAAAGCATCGACAGACCTCCAATTTTGCAAGAGAGATCGGGAGGTGATGACGAGTGCTGTGCCCGGGCACGATATTTGTGAAAACTTCGACGGCGGCTTGCCCTAGAACCTTTCTTTCGAGATATGGCTGTAAATAATCCGCCCGTGGTCCAGGTTGGAGGCACGGTCTTCCTCGCTGTCAGAGCACGCGCTGAGGCTAGAGGGTGCCATGCTGATCGAATGGTGCAATGCGCCTCGTGGACTCGCGCTTGGTCTCCTTTGACACAACAACCAGATCCATGAGATTTGATGTCTCGTGTGTCCAAAATGCTGAGAAGGCGGGGATTTCTGACGGCTCGAATGTTGTTTGTACCTACACCAGCCTCAAAGGAGAGCTGGGTCGAGCTCATTGGGGCAGGCGTTCTCGTGACAACAAAGAAGCGCGACACGCATCGCGACGTGTCTGCTCGAAGTGCTCGATGAGGTTGTGTTCGAGGTCTCTTTTCTGCCGTGGAATTCAGCGTCTTCGAGATTGGAGTGGCGCGGCGAAGTGCTTGCTGTCGACATCAAAATTGGGGCACCCAGCTGCCACCAGAACAGGCACTTGCACCACTTTCAGCATGACTGGTCAGTTATTGGACCTTTGGCAGCAAGCGGGAGGAAATTTATCCGCTACATTCAGATCCTCATAATCCTCTTGCGCATATGCCACTGGGCTTGTTGTGCCGCCATCTGAGAAGAGGCATCAGGCGAGGTGGGGAGGCATATCGGAGCCGATTCCACAGTCCGCACGAAATGATAATGCTTCAAAATAGGATTCCTATCATTTTGAGCCATACATATGGCTCCGGTGCGCCTCTGGTTTGTGAAGTTTGTGACAACTTACTGCTAGACACGAGAAGAAAAGTTCGTTATCTTGAGGCGTGCCGACAGAACGTCTCACGAGATGTCTCCAGGTTTAGCGGCGTTCCTTCGTTCGACAAGCATAAATAGCATACATCTCGAGGGTCTTCAAGTGATCACGATGATTCGACTTAGGATGGCTAATCTCCGTGGCCCTGTAGATGCAGCATTGTCATGTTTGCACATAGATGGGGGGTGAGTGTCCAGTGACCATGGACCAAGGACAACAAGAAGAAGCGCGAAACCTCGCGTCAAGGACACGCCCGTCGCGCCCTGTGGGCATCAAAACTTGCACGATGCTTGGATGAGACTACGAACTTATTTTCTTGACTCGGGAGTCTGTGGTGCATTGCTCTGATCTCGGACGTTGACCTCGTTCTCGACGACTGCTGTTAATTCGTGGCGGAGCAACCCATCAAACGGACGGCGCTCCTTCCTCTCACGCCAGGCACTCCTCTCCGTGCACCAGGGCAACGGACCTACTCCTCCCGCCTCAAGCACTGAGTCTCTGTCTGGAGAAACATTCTCACCATCACCTCAGACCAGGTGAACACACACTCTCTTTCTTCCCTTCATCCCAATCAATCTCGACCACTCCTTCAGGTCGGCCCTTGCCGACCACACGATCTTTTCAAGAGACGTAGACCGTCATCATTGTGATCCTCGTTGGCCCTGCCCCTCACGGCATCGTCCTGCCTGGGATTCATCGGAATGAGTTCTTCGACTCCTCACCACCGCCGGAGTGGAGGTGGTACCAGCCACTCCTCTCGTGTTGCGAGCTTCCATTGTTCCTCGACTGCTCGCGCAGGCAATGACAAGGGCACTTCAACTTCCAAAGATGCTCAGGCAGACATACCTTCTCCCAACAACCAGCTTTTGCACGCTCCAGCATCTTCCAAAAACTCATCTACTGTGGTCAGTGACAAGGATGGTGTTGGTGATGTCCGCGAGTCACCTTTCGCTTGGGCGTTTCTGGCGCGAAAGCTCAGGTAAGCTTTATAGGATTGTCCGAGAATACTTGCCCTCCATCGTGTCGTTTTGATTTGAGATGTGTACTAACGTGCTCTTCTCCCTTTAAGACGCCTCTCGTCCCGCAAGATCTCAATCCCTCTCCTTGTGCTCTTTGTGATCTCTAGCAGTCTATGGCTGATTCAGTACGAAGCTGCCATCATCCAGCCGTTGCCTCGTCCTTCGACGGATGCTGATGTCTTTGCTCTCGACATGTACTTGCCGCCTATCGCCGAGCTTCCTACTTCGTCTGCAGCGGGCCAGCAGCCGAGCGGGATCGACGAGGTCAAGTGGCTTCGTGACCACACATTCCTTGAGCCTGAAACCCTCCCAGCACGCACTGTGAAGTCGTTGCTCGCAACTCGACCAAGAGCCACATTCCTCTCACTGGTTCGCAACTCGGAACTTGATGCTATGATCAGCAGCATCATTCAGGTAGAGGCCCGGTTCAATAGCAGACTCATTCATCACTATGATTGGGTCTTCTTCAACAACGAGCCTTTCACCGAGCACTTCAAGGCCAGTATTCTCAATGTAACCAGCGGCGATTGCTTCTTCGAGACGATCCCGGACAAGCACTGGTCCATACCTGAATGGATTGACAAGTCACGCTTTGGCGTCGGTCGCGAGTTCATGGGAAGTATTGGTGTTGGAAAGTCGTGGCTTGAGAGCTACCACCACATGTGCAGATGGAACTCCGGTCTATTCGCATTGGAAGAACGTCTCAAGGACTATGACTACTATTGGAGAGTGGAGCCTGGTGTAAGTTGAGTCCTTTTGTCTACAATAACAGGCCCCTTGGGAAGCACTATACTGACTGGTGCGCTCACAGGTCAAGTTCACATGCAACGTCAACTACGATGTGTTTCGTTTCATGAGAGATAACAAGAAGGACTATGGCTTCAACATGGCAATCCTCGACGATGCGCGATCATTCCCCTCGCTCTGGGACCGGACACAGAATTTCCTCAAGAAACACCCAGAGATGAAGGACCAAGCTGCTGATATGGAGTGGCTGCTCCACACCCAAGAAGAGCTCGGAACCAGTAAGGTGCCTGTTGGCCTTGAGAAAGACCGAAGCGGTGGCGGAGATGAATACAATAACTGCCAGTTCTACTCAAACTTTGAGATTGGCTCACTCAACTTCTTCAGAGGCCCGAAGCATCAGGCCTTCTTCAACCATCTCGACCAGGCTGGTGGCTTTTACTATGAGCGATATGGCGATGCTCCAGTCCACACCCTGAGCGTCTCAATGTTCTTACCAAAGGCCAATATCTGGTTCTTTCGGGACATTGGCTATGCTCATGGACTGTGCGAGCAATGCCCTCCTCATGTGGCCGACATGGTGTTCCCGTCAGGCAGCGAGACGGGACATGACAGTGGTCGTTATGGCGCACCGGCTGAGTACCACCGCCTCAAGCAAATGGTCGCCGGAGGTGTGAAGCGGCAGCAGGGCATCCCAGGCCTTCAGTGTGGCTGCACTGTCACGACGCTTGACGAGAATTTCACCAAGCTCGTGCCTTTTGAGTCAAAGCAGCGAAAGCCTATTGCCTCGTGCATCCGACGATGGTTGGGGCGCCTCTATCTCCTTCCAAACGTCACGAAGCGACCTCTTGCCGAAGTGATCAAAGCTGGTGGCGATGGCTATGGTGGTTGGCGCATCGAAGGCCTCGAGAGCAACCCTTTCCATGAGAAGGAGGATATAGAGCATGCCGAGGATGGAAAAGAAAAGAAGGGACCGGAGACGAAATAAGGAGGAAGCAGCAACATGACCTTGGAGGATACCAATGTGGATACATTGGTCTGGATCGGCCATGGGCAAAGCTGGCCTTAGAGATTGCAGGAGGTGACGCGAACAATCTGGCTCCTTTTGGTTGTCAAGCCCGCTGAAGAGTCCTGCTGTGTAGTATGCTTTACTATGCATCCTTCCCGGTGTCAAGGCAAGTCAACAATGTATTTAGGACCATAGGCAGTAGTATGCAATGCAACGGTCCCCAGAATGCAGCCTGCGCGTCGCGAGTGTCCTGCGTGGTCTGGCCATACCATCTTAGCATAATGACCAGTCAAATCGACCTTGGAAAGCTTGGTAGGGCTGTGACAGATGGTCAGGCGAGCCCAAAATTCCAGCATGAGAGGCAGGCACTACAATGGAAGTTGTCTGTTGCCGCCTTTCCACAGACTAAGCAGAAGCAGCCTGCGCGTGAAGGCGTCACCATCCGTTTCACACAAGAGGGTGAAAGCTCGCCCGCATCAAGATCTTCAGTATAAAATGGAAACAAGGAGACGTGCTGCGCAAGCCTATTTAATTAATACAAGCGACGGCAGTTGCCTGTAATAGGCTCTCCAAGGCCAGGGCTCGACTTTTTGGCCCAAATCATGCCCAAGTGCCATCACATGTGTCTTTGACTTTTCTGCATGAAGGGGGAGTCTGCTTGAAGGTACATGCCATAACTAATCCTCGACGGCATTACGCAAACCACCCTTTCCATGGATGATCCCTCCCCTCCCTCCAAAAGGGTAGTGATTGGTTGGCTCACCTTGCCCATTGTGACGCCGACGCTATGCTTTTCCCCCGCATTTCCCAGTTTGGGCATGTGTGTGTGTGTGCAGGGGGGGGGGTGATGCGAGAGCATCCTCGGCATCTCTCATGGGCACTCTTGTTTCGGGCTTGGTTTGTTGTCTTGCACCATGACTGGGAATTGGAGACGAGGAGGGGAAGGTGGGCGGGGGTTTCATCCTGGCTTTTAGTGATGGGCTGGGATCAACAAGGCGAACCCGGAGTTGGACTGGATATGCATTGGGGGCTCGCCGTGGGATTCGTTTCCGTCGTCAGGCACCTCGGCCTTCCTACACTAGTTGGCTTGACATGGCATGGCCTCGCAAGCTGCTGTAGTGGTGCCAGGGGGGGTGCCTGTGCGCCCCGTGGGGAAACAGGGGGATGATGCTTCGCGCAGGGTGTGTTTGGAGGTGGAGGGAGTGGCAATGGCTATCTTGCGGAGGAAACGGAGAAGGGCCGGGGGATACTTATGTATATAACCTTGACTTCCTGGGGCCTTGTCATGGTGGGCAATGGAAACGGGGGAGATACATCGATCTCGCTAGTTTTGCAGTGTTCACGATACCAAACTTACACGCACGTCGCAAGCACTCCAGGATCTTTGTCCGGACCTCCTAACACGAAGCAATCACCAAGATCTGGCCCCTCCTCTTTGCCCGACCGAAGTAGGCAACCAGGCGAGACCCAAAAGACGACGCAAAAGATGCGCTGCTCATCAACCTGTGTTGCCGCCAGCGCACTGGTGGCTTCAGCCATCGCGACCAACGTCCCCCAAGCCGAGCCAGCCCGTGTGGTCCGAGAGTTCCAGCCACGCCAGGCCAACGGGGATGGTGCGCCAGGCAACCTACTCTCCAGCCTGCTGGAGCTCGCCAATGCGTTCGACCTGACTGTCTGCATTCCGGGAGCGCTGTCGCTCGTCGGCGAGCTGCCGCCTATCCCGTCAGGACTGGTCAACAACGACATCATCACGCAGGTACTCAGCCAGACGACGCTGGCGTCCGACCAGATCTGCGACTTTTCGATTACTGGCAAGGCCGGAGAGCAGATGACGAGGTACTGGATCTCGTTTGTCGCTCTTCTTTTCCCCTCTCTCTTTCGTGGGACCTTGCGGCACAGCCTGCAGCCAACAAGACACTGACATGATGTGAACGCCAAAAGCTTTCTGCCGACATGGTACAGCTGGTACTCGGCGTACTCGTCGACGATTGACCACATCATCTCGCAGTATGGCTGCACCAAGGCGACGAGCCTGGTCCACACGGTCGAGGACTACCAGACATGTCCCGCGGTATCGGGCATCATTGCGAGCGGCATCACTGCCGCGTCGACGACGACTTCGACATCGAGAGGTCCGGCGCAGACGAGTGCTGCCACGACAACGAGCAGCAGCAGGCCCGCCGCCTCGAGTGCATCGACACCGGCGCCGGCTCCGCCGAACGGGAGTCCTAGACAGGCGGGGCATGTTGTCGCGGCGGCGGCGGTGGCCGGGTTGGCAGGTCTTGTAGCCGCGTTGTGAGGGGAGGTGGTCGGATCGGATGTCATGATCTTGCTTGGCAGACGGCAGGGCTTGGGGATCCATCGCGAACGAGAGGCAAAGAGAGAGGATGGGGATATCGCTGAGAATGGCTTGGAAGTGCTCCGGATAGAGGGAGGAGGAGAAGGGCCGCATGTGAGGGTGGACCAATATCCTGTTCCTAGTCCTGATCAAGCTTTGGGGCTCGAGAAGAGCAGCGACAATGGCGTCCACCGGCACTAACCTTGTGCTGCATCGCTATCGCTGTCTGTGCAGAGCACGCCGCAGGGTTCCTACACGGGATGAGAGGGGTCCGGGAAAGAGAGGAATCGGAGTCATCCATTGCGCTGGTGTTGAAAGCCAAGCATTGCTTGCTGGACGCGACCAGGTCCGCGATTTGAGGGGTGATGATTCGTGATCGTGTCTAAGCCGAAACGGGTGCTGGGCCGTTACCAGCAAAGGGAGCGAAAGTGTTAGTGACAGGGCGTGGTCCCCACAAGCGCCGATGCTAGCGGCACCAGCGTGATGGCGCCGTGGAATACAAGGCGTCGAGGATCGGGAGACCAGGCCTGGGTCAAATGCGACGGCAACTTCCGGCAGCAGCGAGCACCATATCAAAGCGCTTCTACTGTAGCTGCCCCTGCCCCTGCCCCTGCCAGCGCCGACGCCTCGTGCGTGCCGCCCCACCTTCCAAGGTTGTTCGTCGTTCCGCGGGCCGGTCATCATCACGTCACGGGCCTCGAGCGCGCGTCGTCGTCGGCCACCAGACAGACAGACAGACAGACCGACAGACAGACACCACCACGCGGGGCCTTGCCGTTGAACGGCCTGCAGATCGCCTCAATCCACCGCACCCTCCTGCACCCGCGCCTGACTCGGCCGGTCCACGCCCTGCAGACCTTGGGCGGCGCCTCTGCGGCACCATTGAAATAATTAAAAAATCCCAAGTCAAAAAAAAAACATATAGCCCGGTGCTAGGCCCGTGCTTTTTGGTGAAGATACTCGAGTTGGTGCGTTAGCAGCCAGCCTCGGCGTCCAACCACGTGCGTTCTGCCCCTAGCAGCACGCTTGGCGCCGCCATGCTGGCTGCCCTCCTCCTCGTCCTCGTCCTCCCATGGTTCTTCTCCCACCTGGGACCTCGTAGCGATTGCTCCGTGTGCGTGTGCTTTGCAGCTGGCGCTCTGTTCTGCTGCTGTAGGCTGGTGAGCCTCGCATCCAACTGCCGCCTGCTCTGTGTACGTTACCCATCGGGCACAGTGACCTCGCAGTGCAGTGGGACAATCCTTAAGACTCGCCTGCACCCAACTCACCACAAGGTTGACTCGACGGTGCTGAGGCCGGATCGGCGCTGTCTTGGGGCGGGCCGGCCGCCCTGGCCCGAATACACCCCCACCATCGTCACCATCCATCCAGCCTTTGCAGCCGTGCAGCCGCCCTACGCCGCTTCCTCTTCTGGTCCACATCCCAGCACAGCATCGCGGCCGCCTCAATCTAGATCTAGATCTCCTGCGTCTCCCGGCCCGGCCATGCCACATGCCTCGCGCCCTGCACCGCTCTCGTGTCCCGCAGCCGCCGGACAGCCTTTGAGAGCTGCAGACGCTCGCCGCCATGGCTGCTGCCATCCTGCCCTCCGCCGATGAGGGCGACGCCGTCGGCCTCCTGCACGGCAACCACTCGCCCGCCCTCGACGTGGAGCAGCAGAACTCGCTGGCCGAGTTCGACTCCCTCACCATCATCGAGGTTCTCGACCAGGATTCCCGCCCGACTTTTGTCATCGACCTCGATCCAGACGAGTCCATCACCATCGGCGCGTCCCGCATCGCCCCCATCTTTTGCAATGCCGCTCTCCGCTCGCACGAGAAGCTGGCAGACACCATCGTCGGCACCGATGGCACTGCAGACCCAGCGCTCTATGAGGAGTTCAGCGCCTGGGCCACTGGTGTCACCAAGTTCGACGACTCCAAGGATGTCTTCCCCCTCTCTTTTCTCTTCAACGGCATGCTCTGGACCGGCTCGACGGTGAGGCGGCGGTGGAGGCTCATCAGTGGCAACCTCCTCAGCGCCAGTGCCACCGCCCGTGAGATCCAGCTCCTCGCAGGCGGTGCGTCCCCAAAAATTGAAGCCAAGACGGCCAGGGCAAGCAGCATCGCAGCAGAAGACCGTCCCGTCACGCCTTTGCAGCCCTCAAAGGACAGTATCATCAATCCCAAGCCGGCCGCAACCGAACCGGCGGCTCTGGTCTCTGTTTCCACCGCCACTATAGAAAAGTCGGCTGAGCAAGTCAAGCAGTCTGCCGCCGGCACAGTTACGAGCTCAAGCGACACGGGCACAACCACTTCCTCGAAACGCCTCTTCCTCGCATCTCCAGAAAAGGCTGTCGCCGACTGGACATCAGACGTCACGACCGGCTACCTTACTCCTCACATAGCCTTTGCCAGGAATTTCGACTGGGGGGCCACTCCTCTTGGTCCGATGAGCAGCTGGTCCGCCGAGTTCCGTCAGATTGTCAATCTGGTCATGAACAATCCGCATCCTGCTTCCCTCTTCTGGGGACCAGAGCTCAACATGCTGTATAACGAGGCTTATGCGAATGAGGTTGCTGGCAATAAGCATCCCGGTCTCATGGGCACCGGCTTCTCTGGGCCATTCTCAGAACTCTGGGACGCGGTGAGCCCGCTCTTCGCCGAGTGTGCGCGAACAGGGATTAGTATCCGTAAGGAGGACGACTACCTCCCCATTCACAGACATGGCTTCCTGGAGGAGACGTTCTACTCTTGGTCGTGGACACCACTTTATGGAGGCACAAGAAAGATCTTGGGCTTCTACAACGCCCCCTTTGAGACAACCCAAGCCGTCCTCCACCATCGGAGAACACAGACTGTCAGCAGAGTCGGGACGGCAGTGTCCAGAGCCAAGACACTGAAGCAGTTTTGGAAGCTGATCCTGGAAAGTCTGGAGGAGAACCATTTTGATGTGCCGTTTGCACTACTATACTCTGTTGGAGATGGCTCTGAAGAGGACTTGTCCTCCGTGTCTTCTGGTAGCACCATGTCGCGGAGGTCCTGTTTCTTTGAAGGCGCCATCGGTATCCCTGACGGCCACCCAGCGATTCCCCGGCAGCTGGACCTCAAGCGTAGCAGCGAGGGGTTTGTCCCGGCTTTCCGTGACGCTATGCGCACGCGAGAACCGACTATACTTCACACGCGTGATGGTACATTACCAGAGCCGCTGCTAGACGGCATCGAGTGGCGCGGGTTCGGCGATCCATGCAATGATGCCATCATATTTCCCATTCGTCCCACTAACGGAGAACTGGTCATGGCGTTCCTCCTTGTCGGCATCAACCCCCGGCGGCCATACGATGACGAGTACAGGGCCTTCACGAATATTCTCAACCGCCAGCTGGCGACATCGCTGGCGTCATTTATGCTATGGCAAGAGGAAGTCCGCCGCAGCAAAGATGCCGCAGAGGCAGCAGCATTGGAGCAGAAAGAGCTTGAGCAGCAGTTGGCATTGCAGACCAGCCGATTGCGGCGCATGACCGAGCTCTCACCACAGGGCATGTTCCTCCTCGACACAGAGGGTACTCTTCGTGAAGCCAACGACAGATATTTTGAGATGACTGGCCATCCACGAGATCAGCTGCATGAGATGTCTTTTCTTGAGCAGATTGACCCACGTAGCATACCCGACATGGAAGTCGGTTGGCGGAAGTTGACAGAGCAGCGGTTGCCATGGTCAGGAGACCTCCTCATGAAGAAAGTGCTCGTGCACCCGGTCGACGTCGAAGGTCAGGACATAGACTACTGGGTATTCCTGACGGCGATCCCAGACTATGCCCCGGACGGGTCTGTCCGCTCCGTCATGGGATCTCTGATAGATGTATCAGAGGTCAAGTGGGCACAGAATGTGCAGAACCGCAGACTACAAGAAGCGGAGGAGACCCGCAGACAGCAGAATGAATTCATCGACATCACCTCGCACGAGATGCGCAACCCTCTTAGCGCGATCCTGCAGTGTGCGGACGATATCCTGTCCACACTGCAGCAGCACCAGGCCGAGTCGAACCCGCCTTCAATCGACGCCATCCGCAGCTGTCTCGAGGCGGCGCACACAATCTCAATCTGTGTGCAACACCAAAAGTCTATTGTCGATGACATCCTAACCGTGTCCAAGCTGGATTCGAATCTGCTGGTGATCACACCCGTCCCTGCTCAGCCTGTGCAGGTTGTGAAGCGTGCCCTCAAGATGTTCGAACCCGAGCTGCAGGCCAAGGATATCAAGATGACATGCGAGGTCCAAGACTCGTTTGAGGAGCTCAAGGTCAGCTGGCTCGTCTTCGACCCCAGCCGCATCCTCCAGATCCTTATCAACCTGGTCACCAATGCCATCAAGTTCACGGCGGGCTCCCCCAAGCGGGCGATTACTGTTTCCGTGGGCGTGACCCGCGAGGCTCCTCTCTTCAGCGCCATACCCAACTTCTTGTACATCCCGCCTAGATCGCAGAATTCGCAAGTTACCAATGGCGACAACTGGGGCGAGGGCGAAGAGCTTTTCTTGCGCTTCAAGGTCCACGACACGGGCTGTGGGCTCACGCCGGAGGAGATCAAGGTCCTTTTCCAACGCTTCTCACAAGCCTCTCCGCGCACCCATGCAGTTTATGGTGGCAGCGGCTTGGGACTCTTTATTTCTCGACAACTTACAGAATTACACGGAGGGCAGATCGGTGTTGCGTCCGAGGCCCAGGCCGGCAGCGTGTTTGGTTTCTTTATCCAGGCTCGGCGCACATCGCCGCCAAGCGATGGAGCAAGTTCTGGGCCGATGGATCTCGTACTTCCCATCGAACGAGAGCTGGGCGGCGGCGACTCGCTCAATCAGCCCGTGGCCCCTCTGCGCCAGGATCTGGCAGGCTCAACACCAGGTGCCGACCTTGTCGCCTCTAGAGCAGGTGCGCCTTTTGACCCCAAGGATCTCGAGGTTCTCGTGGTCGAGGACAATCTGGTGAACCAGAACGTACTAGTGAAGCAGCTTCGCAAGCACAAGATGGGAGTGAGCGTGGCCAATGATGGTCTCGAGGCACTTGCATTCCTCGAAGGCACAAGCTTCCGCCTGGGGCCCGGCAACGGGCGCCGGCTCTCCGTCATCCTGATGGACCTCGAAATGCCCAACATGGATGGCCTCACGTGCGTACGCGAGATCCGCAAGATGCAGGAATCGGGAGCCATACAGTCGCATGTGCCGGTCATTGCGGTCACGGCCAACGTGCGCGACGAGCATATTGCGACGGCGAAGCGCAGTGGCATGGACGATGTCGTCTCCAAGCCGTTTAGAATACCGGACTTGCTGAAGAAGATTGAGGTCCTGCTCGCGGATCTGGCGACCAAGGAGCAGGTGGCCAGTACGACCACGGCAGCGGCAGCGGCAATAGCTGCGGCCAGCTCGAACGTCGGAGTACAAACTGAGAAGACTAGCCAAGGGGAGGACAGTAGAGGCGATCTCAGTCGGACGCATACCGTATGAGGAGTGGTGCCAAAGGGGAGATGACATGTGCGGGCTGATGTCAAGGGCTACGAGGAGTGAGTCATTGGCCTGGTTCAACCGTTTTTCAGTATATCGTGGGAGATCTTTTCCGGCTCAGGCGGCGCACGTTTAGACTATACTTCTTGACCCTTTGTTTCCACATCTTCAGTTGGTGATCTCATTGCCACCTCCTTTTTCAAGGTTGGCTCATTTACACAGGACGCGAGGGAAGTTTATTACCCGGCATACTTGCAGACAAAGCAGCCATGTTACGAATCACAGAGTCCTCATCATGAGGGGGGCTATCACCATGGATCAGAACGCATAGAGCGGAGGACAGTTGGGGCCGAGAAATTCCTAGTATGGCCCCATGCCATGCTGTCTTTTGTGTTTCAGGCGGGATCGGTGGAAGAGATAGAACAGATCCAGACCAGCTACAAGCGGGGAGGATTTCTAGACAGAAAGAAGCAAGAAAGGCAGAAGACGCGAGTCGCTTCTCCCTGACGCGGGCGCTTGAAATGGACTCATCTCTGGCTGCATGTGAAATTTACGCTTTTGCATGGTTAATGTGGGAACACTTGGCTGTTTTGGCATATGCCTTTACGGCGGTCTTTGACTGGTCCGATTGCTGGTCCAACAACGACTTGGGTTCTTTGCTGGGGATGGGACCTTCTCGGGTACAATCAATGTGCGCAGCTTTGATTCCTACAGTGCTCGTTTCAATACGGCCCTCTTTCTTTCTTCTACAAACAGGATTCGACCCCAGAGAAAACAACCATCTCGCGCTTTACTCGCGTCCGCTCTACACCAGCAGGTGCAGGTTGGCGCGCGGGGAGAATTTCACGTGAGGGTGTGAAGAGAGAGATGACTTTCCCCATTTCAGAAAAGGCATCTGCCCCTTATGTATCTTGCTTTCCCCTTCGAATTGGATTGGCAAAGTCCCAAACTCCCGGTTCTGGGATCCTCTTGTACCTGCTGGAGTGCCATTCAGGACTTTGCTTGTATTTCCTGCCTCTCTCTCTCTCTCTCTCTCTCGCTCTGCCTCGTCTCTTTTTCTTCTGTCGCTGTCTCTGTCGCTCTCGCTCTCCGACAACAGTCCCCTTGATATTACGAATGCCTCGTCGCGTCTGCGACCTGCTGGGATGATCCCCGGTTTCAAGTTCGTGAGTAGTAGTGCGACTGAGACCATAAGCAGATGCAGATCAGGCGGCAGGGCGGTTGTGAGGGCCGCCGCCAGGGATATCTGGGCTGCCGCCGAAGACCGTCGAGGCCCGCGACGCGAACGTGGCGGTGCTGGCTGTCGTGTTGCTGCGGCCGCGTCCTCGTGCTTCACCGCTGCTGTGGCCGTTGGCTGGTCCTTGATGAAGAAGGGAGAGGCCGATCGAGGGCAGGACAGCTGGGTGGTTTGTGCCGTCGACCGCGGCGGTGGTGGTGGTGTCAGTGCCTGCTCCCGCACCGGCTGGACAAGCGAAGGGGTATGTACCGTGAAAGCCACTGCCACTGCTATTGTTGTTACTTTTGCCGCCGTAGTCATGGAGCTCGTAATCGTGTGCTGGCAGGGCGATGCCCAGCCCGTGTGCCCGGGGCCGAAACAGCTCTGGGGAACTAGGACGGCCGCTGCCGTGGAGTCCGCTCTCGAGATCGGCCGCGAAGAACAGGTGGTCTGACACGAACCCGTCTCCTGTCATGTTCTGATGCTGCTGCTGCTGCTCTGGTGATGGTGATGATCCAGGCGAGTCCGGGTACTTTCCTCGCCAGCTGGGTCCGGCGCCCGGCGGCGGTGGCGGCGGTGGCGGAGTCGACGACGGAGAGTCGAAGCATTCAGGGTAATGGATCTCGGGGGTCAGCCAGGACCACTGCTCCGCGCCGCTGTCACTGCTCTCTCCGTCCTCATCGTTGCCATTGCCAGGAGCTGCTCCAGAAGCTAGTTGTCGAGCAAGCGCACGCTCGCGGTGGCGGCGAGCACGTTCTCGCGCGGCGCATCCCCGGCGGCAGTGGACGGGGTTGTACTTGGGCCGGGTGTCCCTGGCCGAGCTCGAGCCGGGATGAGAGAGGTGGTGGTGGTGATGGCTGTCGACGGCCTCGCCGAAGCGGAACTGCCACCAGAAGAAGATGGTGATGGCGACGTAGTGCGCGACGAGCACGGCCAGGATGATCCCGTAGATCTTGGTCCATTTCGCCACGCTCGCCTGGTACGCGGCCACTTCCTCGGCGGTGTATGTGCCATTGTGGCTGCTGGTGGTGGTCAGGAGGCTCGCGAAGCGGGAATACATTGTTACTGAGCTCTCGGGGTTCCCCCGGACCTTGATCCTTGAGTAAGTTGGGTCGAGTAAAGTTGGGGGATGTGATGGGTTTGTGAGCTTGTGAGCTTGTGAGCTCCGATCCACGTTGTGGTTCTTGCGACTTTGGTCCTATCGAGTTCACTCTACGCCTTGAGCGTGGTGGAGTTTATGTGTTGTGCGTCATAAGATACGCGTCGGCCTTTGTGAGTGAAGAGGAACCGTCAGGGCTGTTGATGATGGGTGATCATGAACGAGCAGGACTGAAGCCGCAAGCCAATCTCGGTGAGTGAGTGGTTTGGACGTGTCAAAGCCGTTGTGTGCTCTCGCGTGCCCAGGTTGGCGTCGTGTCGCCTTGTCTCCTCGGGGCGGCACGAGAAGAAGACAGTGACTGGAGAGGGTGCAGGCGTCAAGCCCCGAGGTTGTATTGACAGCGCAAACAAAAGGCGGGACTCGATCTCTCTCAAGTCGCTTGAAATGACCGCTCTTGAGCAGTCACAGCCCGGTTTTGAATAAAATGCGGAAGTCCTCATGCGGAGCCCAGCCTCTCGTGGTCGGTGCCGTGGTAACGCAGCAGAGATATTGGACAGCACTTGCCCGCTGTGAAGCATAGGGAGAGTGCAGAAGGTGAGAGTGCTCTTCATGGGCATAGAAATGACACACCTCGCCATGGGAATGTGACAGATCTTGCTTGGAGACATTCAATGAACTTGGTCCCTCGCTTGGACACAACATTCCGCAGAAAATTCGCTATTCGGACCCTGCTGGGCATGTGGAATATGTGCTGCGCACGAGGTTGGTTGCAGCCTCCCGCTACGTAGACGTTAGAGCATTCCATCACGCTATCACATTGATTTACTGACAATCTGGCATGCTGGCACAAAGCTTGAGAAGATAGCATGTTTGCCTTGTCCGTGTTGGTCCACCTCCCAGGCACTGGAGTCGAGGACATTCCATCGTGACGCTGTTGGTTGCAATCACATTGCTCACGACTAGCCTGTCTCGAGGAATAGCAGTCTGCGCGAATGCGTACACCGGGCAGAAAGGCAAACTGCCATAAACCACCGTAGGGTAGCACTTCAACGATCTATGCGAAGCATCGCGCCTCTCGATATTTATGGACTAGAATCATAAGCTCGATGTCGCATCCTCGCCATGGTAGACCTCTCCGCATATGCTGATGTCCGTGGCTTGATTTGAGCATAGCCGCGCAGTGTCAACTGGCAGGTTTGTGTCTACACGTGATGCAGCAAACCAGATTCTGCCCCAATAACACGAGAGGTACTTCCTAGTTTCAGGAGACCATCCAACGCGAAGTGGTCACAAGCATTCATCATCACGGTGATCGAGATACCATGTCGCAGCAAGAGCAAGCACGAAAAGCGCACATTTATCTAGCACCAACGTGTATATCATCCTCTGCAGAACGAGTGTTATTTTTTTCAGGTTCGATCATTGTTCTGCCCTGGGGCAACTGCTTTCTAAGCACATGAACATAAAATCATGCAAAGGGATACATGTATCCCAAGACAAAAAAGATACTCTGTGGCACCAAAAGCGAGCGCAAGGGCACTTGAGGGAACCAACGCCCAGAAAGAAAACATTGACACAAGAGAGTATATGTTGGAGCAAAATTGCAGCGCCTGAACGAGTTGCATGTACCTGACAAGCGTGAGAAGCAGCAAGTCCAAATGGTCAGACTAAGCAGGGAAGTACACGAGCTCGGTATTTTATGAGTGTTTATTGGGTTATTATACGCGTCGTGTCAATGAGAAAATCATAGCGAAAGGAAAAGAAAAAGGAAATAGTAGAAGACTACCCCCGCAAAAACACCATTGCGCTGGGACAAAAGATGAGGATACATGCTGGCATCATTTGACAGTGAGGAGGGACGGTTGTGTAGAGGCTCTTTTTGTGATGTTGTGGGACTTCCAGGGTGAGGGGGAGGAACTGGTTAATGCCCCATGGCGAGACGCTCTGCCCGACTTTTGCATATGCCATGGGGCCCCTATGCGTATCGAGGTGAAGCGGTGTAGGTAGAGCCAATGTCGCAGATACAGTTGTAGAGTCTTCCTCGAGTGAAGTTGTGCACATAGACGAGGCATCACAAGGCGACGCCAGGCTGGCATGTTTACATCGTGCTTTCAGTTCCTAACTAGATTAGCTGATGTGACTACACAACAATGAAAGCAAAGTGCCTCCTAGTGCGTGGTTTGTGTGTCTCTCTCTGTGTGTGGGTGGATGGGGTCTGGTATGATGTAGTATGATGTGATTTGTGACGTGAATGTCGAGCTCCGCCATTTTGCCCAAGTGCCAATCTCTCTCCCTCTTCCATGAGGGTAAAATGGGGGTGATGGTAGCTCCGACCGTGATATGTTCATCACTCTCGACAACGAGATGCTCTCAAATTACAGGATTGAAGAAAAAAGAAATGGACAAAGGAAAGCGTTTCTCATTTCCCACAGCCACCACCATCGGCAGGTCTCATTCAATGAGAACCGGTGTCGAGCGGGTCAGGTGGCTGCTTCTCTACACCTCCGATGGGCTCTGCTTTACATGCCGTCGCTAAGGAAAGGGGGGATTTGCATCAGAATACATGCTTCAAACAGCGTTTTTCATGATGCCCTCGTCTTGGAATCTTCACCCGGGAATTGGGTGGATGGGGGAGGGTGTGGTGGAATGCAACAAGGATTGCATTTACGCGGTGTCCCTTTGAAAGCGTATCAGAATGAATGACAAAAAGTATTCGGGATACATCTGAGCGAGACAGAAAGAGAAAGAGAGAGAGAGACAGTGACGCGGCCGAGCTGCTACAGTCGAAGGGTATCCACAGAAGAGAGACACAAATGCAGTGGGGTTTACTGCGTAGGAGTGATGCCGGCGAGGAAGGGGATGACAGGACGAAAGGGTTTGTACTTACAGCAAAGCAAGTTCCAGATCACCGTGGATTCTGGCCTTAAGTGTAACCTCGACCTCGAGGTTGAGATCGAGACGAAGACGGAGCGTGTCGCTCTTGCCGCTGTCACCGCCGCCGCCCTGCTGCTGAAGGGCGCCGCCAGTGACGCCGCCGAGGGCGCCGGTAGCACCGCTAACGAGACCCTGGGCACTCTGACCAGCGCCGCCGCCGAGAAGGCCATCAGTCACGCCTCCGAGAGGGCCACCCCCGCCGCCTTGCTGCTGCATTTGCTGTTGCTGCTGGCGACGACGCTGCTGGGGAGGCTCAGGCGCCATATCCTCCTCAGTGCTCTCGTACTGGTCAGACAGCTGGGCAGTCTTGGCCTGGGACTTGCCGCGACCGCGGCTGCGGCGGCCTCGTGAGCGGGAGGCTCCTGCTGGGCTTTGGCTCATGGACGACATTGTGATGGGATTGTTGTGTGACTTGCTGTTCCGAAAGGGACAAAAGACAAAGGATGCGGTTTTCGAAAAAAGACACGGGCAAAGGTGATGGAGAAAGGGTATCCGGACCGCGGACGGTTTTGTTATAAACGAGGTGGTGCTTCGAACCAGGCCGTGGATGCCATTAGCATGCACAAGTATCAACCAACCTTGGCGACTTCTAGTCCCCGGTGGCAACTCCCCAGACATTCATCAAGGCTTTCCATCCATTGCGAAGCAAGGCAATGGCGAGAAACAAGGGGGGTACCCCTATGGAGGCATGTTGTGTCATAGGTGCCTCTTGGAAGCCGGACAACGACGTCACAAGTGGGAGATGGGGGGGACATGTCATCAGACGTAGCTATGCTCGAGACGGCTTCTAAGCGACGATGAAACTACCTAGACGAGGTAGTCACCCTCCACCTTCCTCCGCCTGTAAGCCGTCAGGGTCTCTGGGCTGATGCACGGTAAATCCGGTTTTCATCCCGGAGATGGAGGGCCTCGAGGGGGAAGAGGGTCCCTGGCGAGGCTGGTAATAACAGGTCGCCGTCGACGCACCTAGATGCTTCGTCTGTACGCGAGTTGTCTGATCACTACGACGAGCTCGGCCGGTTGCGATCTCGATGAGGCTGCAAGGGTGGGCAGGGGGTCGGAGCACCTTAGCCGAGGAGTGGACCTAGCATGTCTTCATGCTTCATCTCTTTCAAAGTACTGCTTTCAAGGACTTGCCAGGCCAGGAAGGGCAAGTTTTCGATAAAAAGATGATAAAATAGCCGACCATACGTCGTAGTGTTCATGGGACAAGACCTGTTTTTTGTTCACTGCCTTGTAGCAGGCCGTCTCGTTGCGGGTTTGGATCTGCCAGACGGTGTGCCCGCAAGCGGACGAGAGTGCACTTGCAATGCCGGAACCAGCATGTGATGTGCATCCAGATGAGACCTTGCCATCTTGTTTGACCTGAATCGCAACTCTCCGTAGATGGCCGGCGTGCTCGAGTATTTATCTAGTCAGTGACGAGCAAAGTGAGTTTTGTGAGTAGCGCACGCTAGGGTCTGAGATGTCTTTGGGCGTGGTGAAGTGCCGTGTTGGCAGGTGCTAGTGTGCGAGGTTGCAACGGGCGGGCCAGAATTTGTGCGTGGACCGGGGCTAGCGGAGGGCTTAGTCCGCGGCGGGCAGTGGTTACCGCTGTCGCGATCGAGATTTGGGCGCGGCCCGCCTGCCATGGAGACGCGCTAGTCCCGACGGGGCAATGGCCGGAGAGGTACCTCCAGGCTGACAGGCCTGACAGCAGGTCCGGTGTCTCAGAAACGCCCCGCTGCCCCGTTTGCCGCCCGGGGCCCCCTGGTCCGCTGCACGACATGACTGGACGGCACTCGTCGGCACCCTGGCCGCCCCTACGGACTCGTTGCCGGGCAAGCGAATAGCTGGCCAGGCCCTCTGGTCATTATTACCCAGAGCTAAGGAGCGTATGGTACGTACCTTGCAAGAACCTGCCTTCCATGTTTATTACCTGTCGGTTAACTGTCAACTAACTGCCTGGTCAACCGTCTGCCCGCACGTAGCTGCTCGACACGCCCAGCTGCAGCTCCCGGTGCAGCTGGATGTCCAGCACCTGCCGCGCGTCCAGCACCTCGTCCAGGTTGCCCTCGCGGTCGTAGTGTGCCGTCCAGCTCCCGTCGTGGTTCTCTACCGCCACGAACCGCTGCCCGCCCTCCAGCGTCAGCCACGCCTCGTCCTCGGTCCAGCTCCAGGACCCGTGCGTGTGCTCGGCCGCCTCGCTGCGCGACCCGTGCCGCAGAACACCCGTCTCCTTGTCCGCGAAGATCCAGTTGAGCACCGGCGGATCCTCAGACACCTGTGCCACCATGCCCTGCACCCCCTCCTCCCCAGGCCACCCAAAATAGTACCCGTTGAACACGTATCCGTCGCGCACCGGGTGCGATGGGTGGTCAAAGTACAGCTGCCGGCACCGTATCAGCTTCCTCTCCTTGGTCCCTGCAGCAGTAGTATCGATGAGGGAAAGACAACAACAAAATAGGGGAGGGATTTAATGAAATGCAAGGGACAGGAAGATGAAGAAACGGTGTGGTTGTTGGCTGACCTTCTTGTCCTTGAACACAACAACACGCTGCTCTGGCAGTGCCACGCCGTCCGCAGAGAACCGTGCGGTCAGATGGAACTTGACCCTGTCCTTGGCCTCCTGGTTCTGGCGCTTCTGGCCGTCGATGGCCTCTGCGATTCCAATCACCGTCGGTATCGAAGTGATCACCAGGAACCCAAACGTCGACAGCGCCATCAGACGCCGAGTGTCCCAGGTTGGTTCGCACCGTTTGGCGGCAGCTGGACAGATAGACGTTGCTCAGTCTAAAGGTGACAATCGTAGCAGTGTGGCGCCTTTTCCAGCGAGAAACAGACAATCTTGCAATGCCGTCGTGTGTTGATTGTGCCACATGCGGCACGGCGCATGCCTCTTTGGCGAACGGTCGATCTTGCGGAGTATGCTTGACGCTGGCGGAACTTGGAAACTGGCTGCCACGCCCCCAAGACGTGGAGTCGCAACTTCAAGCTTACAAGGCCAAACAATGACCTCATTCTCAATCGATATGGGTGTCTCGGACAAGATGCCTGGGGCCTAGAACCACGTCCGAGGTGGAGGCACAGACACCCCTGTCTCATCAGCAGCAGCAGCATGTCCGCCCATCTCGGCAGCATCTGCCGTCACAAGTAGCCTGGGGCAATGCATGAAGGCAAGGATGCCAACTCTGGAAACCTGCAGGAGTGATGAAATGCTCGAGAGCTTCCCTGCCTGATTGCGTCAGAGGTACCCTTAGGAGGCTGGCGTGCGGGCTGACAGGAACAGCGAAAAGCAGGCTGGACCTGGGGCAACCTGCAGCAAGGCAAGTGTAGGGCCGGGGCGTCATGGGTGTGGCTAGGCCTGTGAAGAGGGAATAAAACCAAAAGGTGCTCGCTAGACACGGGGGATTCCTGTCGAGCTACAGACATTTTGATATTTTGCCGTTTGCACAGGCAAGAACACGGAAAGCTTGTGCATCATGGCTGCCCCCACCAGTGAGTCCAAGCCCTGGGAGAACCAGGACGAGGACAACAACAACAACGAGAACAACAACGACAGCCCCTTTGGCCAGGAGCAGGAGTCTCAGAACTCTGCCAACAACAACGAGCAGGACAACCAAGACAGCTCGCCGAAGCAGGATGGCGCTGCCGACGAGTCCAAGCCAGAGCCTGAAAAGGCCGAGTCCAAGCCTGCGCAGGACAACAAGAAGGACGAGAAGCCCCAGCCCCAGCAGCAGAAGAAGCAGGCGCCCAAGAAGCAGCAGGCCCGCGCCGAGTCCCGGTCCGAGTCTGAGAAGCCTTCCCGTAGCCGCCGTCGCCGTGGCCGCAACCAGCCGCAGTGGATGGACGACGAAGACAAGGAGAACGACCACGAGAAGCAGGTCGCCCCTCGCCGCCGCCAGCAGCAGAACTCGCAACAGCAACAGCAGCAGTGGCAGATGCAGCAGCAGCAACAACAACAGCAGATGACGCAACAGCAGCAGCAGCAGCAGCAGCCCAAGCAGGACAAGGGCGGCCAGAATCCGCTCAAGCTGCGCCTCGACCTCAATCTCGAGGTCGAAGTCACCCTCAAGGCCCGCATCCACGGCGATCTTACCCTCGCCCTCTTGTAAGTTCTACAAGTTTCCTTGCATTCCTCTTTGCCCCAATTTCCCCGGCCCTGGACAGCTCCCGCCCGATCCCACCCCATCTTTCCCTCGCTCTCCACATTACTGTTTAAGCTCGCCGCACGTCCTGATCACTCTCTGTGCCCAGTAACTGACCTTTCGGACCCGAAAGTGACGGCTAAAACCATCATGCCAATTTATAACACCAAATCACTAATTGCTTGCCGGCTCACAGGGATGGCATTTAACGACGATACAATCTACACAATTGAAGAGAGTTTCCGCGGGGTCGGCTTAAGAAAGGTCCACCCTTCGTTGGGGCCTGCTAGCACAGTCACCAATCATTTCCTTATGAGAGCATTGCTGGAAAGCGCTTCCAAAATTTGTCTATTGCTTTTTTCCTTGGAGCAGCTATAATCGCCATATACTTGCAGCATGTATGAATATCACGATCAGATCATGAAGCTGTTCTTGGCTGTTCAGTTAATCATTGACCAAACACAATATCAGTGCTTCAATACTGTGACTTGGTGGGCTATGCCGTCTTTTCTGCCGTCTCGTGCCCCGATGCTGTCAATTCGAGCACCCGCCAGGCAGGGGCCTGTGCCCGGCAACCAGCATGTGCCGTGAGACATGCGACATGATCACAAGGTTCGGCGCATTGCCTCCTCCGTCCCACACCAGATCCCAGGGACCCGGGAACCAGCCCGGCCCCGCGCGGACGATATTGTCCATTCAGCGTTTCACAAACCTTTTCTCTCGGGTACCTATGTCTCACTTTGCACTGCGCGCGCGCGCGTGTGGGGCAATGAGCATGGGACTGAAAACCTTGTACCACGATCAAGATCGTGCCCGGGTTGATGCAGCTTGACCCACGCTTGCCTTTCTCAATGTACCGTTGCCGTGGGACATGTCGAAAACGGTCCCGACAGCTTGGACACAAAAAGCTCACATATGCACGCGTCGTGCACATCTAAATGGAAGGTGTCGCTCGCCACAATCACCATCACCATGACGAGTCTAGTGACTGGAACCCTGCCGTACCCTGCCTTGCGCACCCATTTCCCAGGTCTCAAGAGTTGTGAATGGCAATGATTGTCGTCGTGTGGTGGACGTGGTGGCTGCACCAAAGGTCATAAACCACTTTGTTTTCACCTCATTACCAAGAAACTGGGTCTTAGAGTTCATGGCCTCTCTCCACATTTTACTCACAAGCCCACACCAGCCCGGGCTCCATTTGGGCAGAAGAATCCGGACAGGCACACACACAAGAGATTGTACTAGACTAACAATTCTTTCTCTGGGCCACTCAAATCGCTAAGAAAACTGGAACTTTTCTAAATCTGAACCTATCAGACCTCAATATGCGAGCCTTTCTCCACTTGAAGCCAGAATCTGCGTAAATCGTGTAGGTATTGAGTCGAGGTCGGCGTTGAGCTTGTCCTGCTTCACAGAGTGCCACCCTGTCTCAACGATCGCTCTTAGATCGTCGTCAGTCAAATGAGGCGTGTTCTTGACGTGCCATTTGACTCTTCTAACGTTTGATTCAATCCAGTTAAGATCAGGTGATGAGGCAGGCCCAATGACAAGTTGGTGATGGTTCTTCTTCGCCCACTCCATAGTCTCGTTTGCATGATGGGAGCTATCGCTGTCCATATATAGGCGAACGTCCGTATGTTTAACATGTTCATGGATCTCTGTAAATAGCTGATCTAGCAGAGGTTTGAGGACCTTTGCGGTCATCTTGCCATTCTTGTTTGAGGGTATCGTGTACCATTGTAATGACGACCTGAAGTTATACCCAACCGCGCAGACAGCGTGGAGGATTGTCTGCTCGTTCTCGTTCTCTAGCTCATCTGCTCCTGCAGTATCTTTCTCCTTATTTCTGATCGCCTGCTTAGCATTCTTGAGCTTCTGCTTTTTCTGTCGTGGGTTCTCCGGCTGTATCACCCAATGTTCGTTCTTCTAATCCGGGCGGCGGTGGACCTTTGTTGTTAACGCAGGCTGGAAGCCGAAATGAACCTCGTCCATTGAGAAGCAATTATGACGCCATCGCGGGTCCCTCCATGGCTTCTTGAGTTGCTGATGGACGTACTTGACTCTCTGCCTCTTGACGGAGTCGCTGAGCCCCTCCTTGACCGTGGAGTTGCAGGTGTGGTACTTGAATGGTTCCATTGCCATTCTGCGTCGTATTGTGCATTCTGCTGCTTCGACGTCGAGGCCTGCTTCCATTGCAGCGACGGGCCAGGGCAGGCGATGCGCCTGATACTTGTCACCTTCTGGGAGATGTAGAAGCCACTGATGAAGCTGCTCACCGTCCTGGAACGAGAACGCCATTGAACGGCCACGATTCTCAGCAAAGTTGATATTGTTTGTACGTCGTCGGGAGGCCCAGTCGGTACAGCGTTGCTTTGGAGGGCGGTCGGGTGAAGGTGATGGGGGCCTTCTGTCACCCTCTTCAGAATCAGGTCTGTCGGGGTCCAGGAGAGGCTCCGTCTTTAGCCATTCATAGCCCTGGGTTTTGGAGACGCCGTAGTATCGGAAAACATCTCTTTTGGAGTACAGCGGGCGTGCATTATCGTCATGCGGCGATGGGTTGCTGTCGCTGCGAAGTTGGTGGTGGTCAGCGAGGAACTGTAGTACGCCCCGCACCTTTGCACGCTTGGGAGTATCGTGCTCAACTTTCGACATCTTGATTGAGCTCAAATGAGGTCTAAAATGGATTGAACTTGCTTGCAGCGATTGCCCTTTGTCGTAGCAATTAAATGATCATTGAATTGTACGTGCAAAATGACGTCGTCGTCGTTGACGTCAAAAATGAGGTCATCGCCGACTTCTTTGTTGTGGTCGCAGGGGTACGCGATTAGCGTGTACGGACCCACTGTCCGGATTCTTCTGCCCAAATGGAGCCGGGCAAGGCCTCGCGTGCATGCGTTTGACATTTGGCACTTGTCCGTGCGCGTTCACGAAGGCTAAGCAGGAATTGCCTGATTCTGACTGTGGCGAAGGCGAGCTGCTGTGGTCATTGGGTGGAATGGTCGGGGCGCTGGTCCTGGCGCTGAACTCTAAAATCGCGGGACTTGTGGCTGAGGAGGTAGCGACTTGCCGGGCTTGTGATGGCAGGACCGATGACTGGACGTGGCTGCGAAGACGGAGTTTGTGGATAAAACGAGGATAATATGACATGGTGGAATAATAAACGGATTCACAACGGGACTGAAGTTGGCTAAGATGATTTGATGGCGAGGAATTGTTGGTAGAAGCGGTAAGGCCCAGAACACGACACAGCGGCTTATTGGTCACAGAGCACTGCATTCACAGTTGAGCTGTGTTCTTCAGCACCAATGAACCGGATTGCGTCTAGGGTATAAACACTGCCCAAATAGAGCTACTCGGGCACTGTTGCAGGACGATTACGTGAAGCCGCACATCATCTCTGCAGACTTGAAAACCGACAATGGCTAAGGCGGTTACTGCTGGCGAGGACCATAGCAGCTGGGACGACATACGTCTAACCTGACTCACCACTACAGCGAACTATCTGGCCTTTGGTGTGTACTCGGGGAAATTTCAGGCTGCACAGACGAACAGAGGATGACGCAGCATGGCATGGCCAGCATTTGGGCCCCCCGGGCGCCGTGCTCCAACCACTGCCAGTGGCGATTTGCCCCCGATCAGCCCTGCTGGGCCTGGCTGCAAGCACTTTACAGCGCCCTGCCAGCCAATAACTAGTACCAGCACGATGCTGTCCAGGTCGTCATCGGGACCATTTCGCGGCTCTGGTCTCTTTTCTTTTCCCGCTTCATGAATTATTTCTACGACATCCCTCACCTAGAGGAGTTCTGTCAGTGTCTTGTCGCTCTCTACCTCAGTGTCCTCCTCGTGCTCCACATTCAACAGCACAGACGCCACAGACTCGCCCGTCGCAGGCCCATCCCTGCTACTGGTCCTCCTCCCACTACTCCGCCCGCCACCATGGCGTCCACAGTGACCGCAACTCCCCCAGCAAGCCCGCGAAAGCTGTTCAAGCCCTCGAGCAGGACCAAAGCACCAACCCCAGTCAAAAGCGCCGCCTCGACCGTGCGGAGCGAGTCATCTCCTCCTCCTCTTCCTCGTTCTTCCGCGCCTGCTTTTGCGACGCTGCCCAGCAACAATTCCTTCCATCTCCCTGCTGCACAGGAGCAGGAACACGGCAACAAACTCCCCGCCGACAGCACCAAATCGCATCCCGTCCCGGCCACTCCGAAGCGCAGCTTCTCCACGAGGACCGGGTCCCCCGTCTTCCGGCGCAAGACCAGCACCGCGAGCACGACTTTCTCGGGCTACCGATCGCCGTCCGCTGCGTCAGATTACACGACCAGATCTCTCCGGGCTGGAGGGGAAGGAGATCGTGGTGACCCGCGCAGCATTGCGGGAGACGACGACCACGACCACGACGAGCAGCGGCACGAGGCGCCAGGAAAAGTAGAACACTCCGCCAAGCGCGACTTGCCCTTTGACAGCTCCTCCTCGCCTGAGAAGCCAGGGCCGCCGCCGACGACGACACCACTCACGCCGACTCAGATCTTCAAGGCGCGCGCGCGAAGGTCTGCGAAGCCGCCGCAAGAGCCGCAGGTTGAAGAGGAGGGACAGCAAGGAGAGAAGGAGGAAGAGTCTCCCTCGAGAGCGCCTAAAGAGCGCGAGCGGGTCTCAGAAGCCGAGCCAGCCGCGGAGAATCTGCCGACTGCGGAGGAGAGAGAGCCGACCACGGAGGACCAGCCAGCGGGAGAAGACCGGCACACGAACGAGGATCAACTGCCTGCAGAGGATCGATCGACTCCCGAAGCTCATCAGACCGAGGAGGACCATCTTACGGAAGAGAACCAGCAGATCTCAGAAGACGAATCACCGTCAGAGAACGACAAGGAAATATTGTCATTGGAGCCAGCAGAGGACCAAGACGCCGGCATTGACAGCCTTTCATCACGAGTGTTTGGCAATTTGACCTCCGGCGCTTCCACAATCGCGGAAGTATTCCATTCTCCCACCGATTTGATCAAGTACTTCACCGACAACGGCCACCCAGAGATGAGCGACTTTGTCTCCGCCCTGCAAGGCGAGGAGGCCCCGGCAGAGAAGCGAGACGGCGAGAAGAACCAGCCTACTCAAAACCAAAGCAATGCAGAAGGGACCACTTCAGCCCCCAGGACGAAGCCGATACGGAGACCGGGCATCATGAAGCCCGGAAAGCAGGAGGACGGCACGCAGTTCTTTGACAACATGGGCCGCCCGGCGAGGATAGAACGCTCGGTGGACATCCCCTTGCAGCGTGGAGAGAGGAAGACTGTTGAGCACGCCCCACCACCTCCCGGCATGGAGAAGAAGCCCGAAGCCAGCAGTCAAGACGAGAACAAAGCAGAACTCGACCAGCTGCCGCAGATTAAAGATCTGGCCAGCCCCGACGATCTGGCCAGCACCGAGCACCTACGCAGCACAGACGAACTGGAAGATCCGCCGGAGGAGTATCTCGATCCAGAGGTCCACTCTCCGCGCTCGTCAGCCAATGTCACGCCCATTCCCCGGATCGGCAGGATATCACCGATACAGAAACCAGAAGGAGGCACGACCATGAAGCTCCCTGACCTGGCCTCAGGTTTAGAGGGCTACGCAGTCGATGATGTGGGCAACGTGGTCAATGAGAAGGGCAAAGTCCTCGGCTACGTTACAGGCGATCTGCCATCCATGGTCGGGAAGAAAATTGCCCAAGGCGGCAAAATTTACGATGATAACGGCGAAGTGCTGGGGCATGTCACGGAGAACTTCACTCTCGCAGGAATGGACGGTCAAAATGAAGACGAAGATGACGAGGATGAGGATAGCGAGGATGATCTGACAGACGCACTCAACGGCCTGCGTGTTGACCATGACGGGAATATTCTCGACAAGAAAGGAAACATCGTCGGACGCCTGAACCAGCGACCTGCACCGAGCAGCAGAAAACGACAAGAGCAGAACCAAGAACAACCATCGAGCCAGGCAAAGGATACGGAACCAGGCAAGGAGCCCGACGGGAGGAACAAGAACAAAGGTAGAAGTCCCGCAGTGCCTGCGGATATCTGTCTCGATGTCAAGTCCACGTATGATGGGATTCAGATCATCATCAAGATTCCGACCATGTTTGATAAACCGCCACAAACGATAACTATAACTTAGATAATAATTGGAAACTGTCGCTTGGCACTCCTGAGGATAATAGAGCTTGCGACTTCCCGCGTTCCTGCTGAACATTGAGTGCGTGCGATGGGGAGTTGTGCGTAGTTGCGCCCCTGGTTCTTTCATCGAATTTCTTAACTATTTGCCAGCACCTGGTTTTGATTTTATCGGTAACTTGTTAGGCTGCTACAGCTGGGTCGTTATTCGTTCTTGTTTATTTTCAGAAACTGTGGTGATGGCGGAACCGTTTCAGCTGTGAAACGGACAAACAGCAGTTTGACGGTTTTCACAACGAAGGATTCAAAAGTTTCCGCTGTAATTGTCAACTCTGTCGCAAACCCCCTATTAGGCCAACTCTTCACCCGATAAGTTGGAAGGCAGAGAGCGTCGCCATGACGTGGATCCTGCAGATCGCCCCAGAGTCTGGAACACCATCGCCCTCGATGCCTCATCGCCTTTGCCCCCCCCTCCCATGCAGAGTGCGGGCAGGTGTGGCTTGTCGACCAGGATCACAAACCTGATTTCTGTGCGTTGTGAGGCTCAAGCGGCACTCCGCGCGGAGCTGTGCCCCTCACCACCTTCCATCCCATCAGCGAGGCTCCGACCAGCTGCCCCAGAAAAGCAATCTATCGCAGACGGGTGTGGGCTTGAAGGCCGCGAAGTGACGTGAGCCACAAGCGAGGCCCCACTCGAGGGTGGCCGGGGGGGAGGGCAAGTGTGGCTGGTCGACAGGTTCTCTTGCTGTTGTCATGTTTCGGAGCAAGAGAAAGGACTTCCAAGTCATCTCATGTCAACTGGATTCGAGCTCGCTTGTTACCGCCACACCACCCTGCCGTCCTTGCCAATTCTAGGTGTGGCGCCGCTGGTTGTGGATTCTTGCGCGGCTACAATGGCTGCTACAACAAAGCCCACAACTGGACAATGACGATGAGACCCCTGCGATGATCCCCGTTCGGCCTTGATGATGAATTATACTAGCTCCATGCCAAACATCCTCGCTGTCCTCGTCTAGTGTCATCTGGTCATCAGCCATGTCAACGGCTGTGGATTTGGCTGCCGCACGACGGACCGGACCTGGGACAGTGGCTGGTGGGGGTTGAGTCAATGGGAGCTACGGTACGCCAGTTGCGTTAGTCCCGGCCGAGCGATGCAACATCCTTCATCATGTACATGTACGGCAGACGGGGTGCTAGCCCAGACGGACCGCTAGCTACGTTAGTTAGCGCCCTCCCCGGCTCTTGGACTTGGCGGCCTGACACGCAACGACACCTGTGGCTGCAGCCACACCGTCTGACGACAGAACCCGCTCGGCATCTCTTTCCTTGTGCACCCGCCGCCTCGACAAGGGCTCTCGGCCCTCGACCGAGCCCTTCCAAGTCCACCCTTCCTTCTATGGTATCCCTGGACGAAGTCGTCAGCTCTCTAAACCCGGCCCTCGAATACCCAAGGGTTCTTGTAACACCGTTCTAGATCGCGATATGCGGCTCCCCGACCCAGTCCATCGAGATCTCTTGGGGCACTTTCCCTTCCGGTCCCACGCCATGCACGACGATCCCGCCGTGGGAAGCTCGCCGCGAGCACCATTTCCTGTTTTACGCCCTCCTCGTGCTGTTCCCAGGGACCAATGAACAACAACGCCGCTTGCAAGAGATGATCAACCCTCCACAGCCACGCACTTGGGAGAGATCCTGCCACAGGCAGAAGCATGGTCCCCGCCTACTGTGGACAACCACTTAGTCGGTGATGACACTCATTGGCGCCCAGCCGAAACCCCCGTTCGCACTCGCTGGGTGACTCTATGCGTAGACCACTCTTGCCAACGTTGCCGCCTTGCCGCCACACCGTTAGCCAGCATCGCCCTAAGGGCTGTCAACGAGGCGTGGCGTGGCTTCAGAAACGGATGTGGAGAGGGGAGACCCCCAGGCTTCCGCGAGAGTTTCATGCAGCTGTGCCGATCAAGCGACCCTTGCTCTCTTGGCCTGTCTTGTGCAACTCCGGTCCCCTTCGTCGATGCGCCACACGCCTGCGTTTCCACGAAACAGAGCATGTATCGCCGGCATGCGTGAATGACCGTCTGAACTAATCGATAGCATAATGACGTGCCTACCCCCTTCGAGCCCCGGACCAGCCCCCCTAGCACGCGGAGCTATTCACGGAATTGTTGCACACGCTGGAACTCCCATGACGTCGAGAGCGAGTGTGCGTACAGGGCGGCGGCGGCTGCTGGAGTCGCACACTCACACACACACGGCAACACACTTCCACACACGCCTCGTGTGGCTTGACTTGGACTTTACATGGGGCTTCGTGACGTCGATCGATTTTCGTGTCGGCCCCCCGGGACGTGATTACCCTGACAATGATGGAATTGAAGGCTCGTGGCTGGTTCTGGCAACCCAAGGACGGGCTTGCGTGAGGACCACGTTGCCTCATAAATATCTGGATATGCCTGGGTTGCATTGCTCAAGATTCTGACCTGGATTAGACATTCAGCGCGAGTTTATTGGGCAGCCCCAAGTTTATGTATATTACCAGAAGCACAACACAAACACCCAGCACCCAATCAGAATCACCATCTCCCCATTATCAAGACGTCGTAACCACCACTACCTATCACATCCCCAGGAACGAGAACCCGGTCGCCGTTCTCCATCCCGCAGCCATGTCGGGACTCGTAGACACGGCCAAGAGCGCCACAAATGACGCCACAGAACAAGTCCAGAACGTAGGAGAGTCTGCGCAGGAACAGAAGCAGCAGCAGCAGGCCGCCGCCTCGGACGCGGGCGTGCCGCGGTCCATCCCAGACACATCGGCAGACCACTCTGAGTATGGTGCCGGCCACGACGGCTCCGGCGACGGCGAAGGGGAGATGGTCCCCGCCGCCGGCCGCATCAACGAGAAGGGCGAGGTCGTCGACGACGACGGCAACCCCATCGGCAAGGTGACGAGCGGCGAAGCCAAGGAGTTTGTAGGCTTCGTCGTGACACAAGAAGGCGACGTCCTGAACGAGGACGGCGGTGTCGTCGGCAAGGCCGAGCCCCTCGAGGACGTTGCCTCGGAACTCAACTACACCACAAAATCAGCCAAGGACGGCGTCCAGAGCTCGCGGGGCGACGGCGGCGGCGCCGGCGGCGGCCTCGGCAGTGTCGTGGGCGGTGTTACCAACGCGGCACAGTCAGTGGTCGGTGGTGCTGGTGATGCAGCGAGCAAGACCGGCAAGACTGCGACAGATACGGTCGGAGACGCCGCGAAAGGCACCACCGACACAGTTGGTGAGGCCACGGGCACCAAGGATACTACTGGTGCCGTTGGTGACGCGGCAAAAGGTACGACAGATGCCGCCGGCGAGACGGTCGAGGGTGCCACTGGCACGGTAGGCGATGCTGCCAAGGGTGCTACCGATGCCGTCGAGGGCGCTGCCGACGGTGAGAAGACCGCGGACCCGCAGGATCTCGGCGAGAAGGTCAACGACACGGCCGATGGCGCCAAGGAGACCGCAGAGGACGCCGCCGGCGATGTCCAGGAGACTGCGGAGGGTGCCGCCGGTGAAGCCCAAGACACTGCGGAAGAACGTGCCCCTATCGAACTCAGGGACGGTGAGGTGCCCAAGCTGGGCAGCGAAGCCGCCGAGAACCTCCCTGACGAGGTCCCTGCTCCCCAGACCATTGGCGATATCGAGGTGCCTTCTCTTGCCCCCTCCGTCGCCAACAAGGTCGTCGGCCTCTTTGAAGGTCCCTTCACTGTCTCTGACGGTGGCAAGGTGACTGACAAGGAGGGCAAGATCCTTGGCAAGCTGTCTGAGGGCCAGGACATTCAAGACCTCATCGGCAAGGAGATCCACGGCATTGACGCCGAGGGCAACCTGCTCGGCGAGAACGACACTGTCCTGGGCAAGGTCGACATCGCCCCCGAGGGCACTGTTGCCGAGCAGGTAAAGGAGGAGATCCCCGAGGCTGCCGAGCGGCTCGAGGCTCTCGAGAAGGTCGAGGAGCAGGCCAACCAGGCCAACGAGATCAAGATCCCCTCCTTTGCGCCCTCTGTTGCTGGCAAGGTCCTCGACATGTTTGAGAGCCCCTTCAACGTCGCCGACGACGGCCAGGTCAAGGACGCCAACGGCAAGATCCTCGGCAAGCTCGCCGAGGGCCAGGAGGTTGGCGACCTCGTGGGCAAGGACATCAAGGGCATCGACGCGCAGGGCAATCTCCTCGGCGACAACGAGACCGTGCTTGGCAAGGTCGACATTGTGCCCGAGGGCACCATTGTCGAGCGTATCAAGGACGAGGTCCCCGAGGCCGCCGAGCGCCTGGACGCCCTCGAGGAGGCCAAGCTCCCTGACCTGTCCATCCTTGAGGGGCTCAAGATCAACAAGGCTGGCAACGTTGTCGACAGCAACGGCAATCCGGTCGGTAAGGTCTCCAGCGGCGACTTGAAGAAGCTGGCCGGCCGGACTGTCGGCAAGGACGGCAAGGTCTGGGACGACAGCGGCAACGTCCTGGGCGAGGTCGAGGTCCTGCCCGAGGCGGTCAAGAACGAGTCGTCGCCCTTTGAGGACTTCCCCGACGCCACAGTCGACAAGAACGGCAAGGTCATCTTTGACGGCCGTCAGGTGGGCGTTGTCGACGGCGACGACTTCAAGAACCTCATTGGCAAGAAGGTCGACGCTGATGGCGACATCCTGGACAAGAACGGTAACGTCATTGGCCATGCCACCCGTGCTGAAGCCGAAGACCCCGTCGAGCCCGAGGAGCAGATTGACTACTCTGTCCTGCGCGACAAGAAGGTCAACAAGGCCGGCAATGTTGTCGACGACAAGGGCACCGTCTGGGGCCGCGTTGTCCAGGGCATCCTGCAGCACCTCGTCGGCAAGAAGGTCGGTGACAACGGCGAGATCTACAACGACGCCGGCAAGGTCATTGGCAAGGCCGAGCCCATCCCCGAGAACGAGCGCGAGGACAACAAGGAGCCCTCGCCCTTTGAAGACTTCCCCGGGGCCACCGTCGCCGACGAGGGCAAGGTCCTCTTCAACGGCGAGCAGGTCGGCATCGTCGTCGACGGCGACGCCAAGAAGCTCAAGGGCAAGACTGTCGATGCCGACGGCGACATCCTGGACAAGGCTGGCAATGTTCTCGGCCGCGCCGAGCGCTGGGAGGCGCCCGAGGCCGAGCCGGAGCCCGAGGTCGACAACTCGATCCTGGCCGGCAAGCGCATCAACAAGGCTGGCAACGCCGTCGACAAGCACGGCGACATCTATGGCCGTGTCGTTGAGGGTGCCCTGCCTCGCCTGATTGGCAAGATGTGCGACAAGCATGGCTTCATCCGCAACGAGGGCGGCGACGTCATCGGCAAGTGCGAGCTCATCCCCGAGGCCGAGCGCGAGGGCATGAAGGAGGGCCCCTTCTCCGAGCTGCCCAACTGCACTGTCAACAAGGAGGGCGAGATTGTTACGCCCGGCGGCGACGTGGTCGGCCGCCTTGTCCAGGGCGACGCCAAGGTCCTCTTTGGCCGCGCAGTCGACGACGACGGCGACATCCTCGACAAGAACGGCAACGTCCTCGGCAAGGCGGAGCGCTGGGAGAAGCCCGAGGTGCCCAAGGATGTCAACCCCATGTCTGGCCGCAAGGTCAACCGCGAGGGCAACGTGGTCGACGAGAACGGCGATGTCATTGGCAAGTTGACCAGCGGCGAGCTGAGCAAGTGCGCCGGCAAGAAGATTGACGACGACGGCGACGTTATCGACCAGAAGGGTTCCATCCTCGGTCACGTCACCCTGCTCGAGGACATCCCGCCTGAGGAGCCTAAGGAGGAGGAGTCCGAGGAGGACAAGCAGAAGCGCCTGCAGCTCGAGCAGGACCGCCAGATTGCTGCTCGCATTGCCGACTGCCTCACGCACTCGCTTGACCGCATCAAGCCCATCCTCAAGATGATCACTTCTGTAAGTTTTCCCTTGCAAACTGGTCTTAGATGACCGCCGCGGAATAACAACCTCTAACCACTATGAAAACAGAAAATCGAGGCAGAGGAGGCCAAGCCCGAAGACGAGCGCGACGAGGAGGGTCTGGTCAGGGAGGTCCGCCCCTTGATCGAGGAGGGCGGCAAGATCCTGACCGAGGCGAACGGTGTGATCCGCGGCCTCGACCCCGACGGACGCATCGCGGCCAACGCGCAGCACAAGACGGCCGCGCGCGAGGCCACTCCCGAGGAGTACCGCCTGGCGGACCTTCTCAAGGAGCTCACGGGCCACGTCACCGAGACCATTGAGAATGCCAAGAAGAAGCTCGAGGGCATGCCCCGGGCCAAGAAGGAGATCAACCCGCTCTGGGGTCTTCTCGCGGAGCCCCTGTTCCAGATCATCGCCGCCGTCGGCCTCCTGCTCAGCGGCGTCCTGGGCCTGGTGGGCAAGCTGCTCAACGGTCTTGGTCTTGGTGGGCTCGTCAACAACCTCCTTGGTGGCCTTGGTCTGACCAAGGTGCTTAGCAGTCTTGGTCTCGGCGATGTCGTCGACACTGTCACCGGCCAGGACAAGAAGGGCGGCAAGAAGAAGGGCGGTCTGCTTGGACTGTTCTAAATGGGTTGTCCGCTTGTCTTTGATCCCGTCTGCGTTTCTTTGCCTGACATATTACCGGTTTCAATTTTTGTACCAAGTTTAAGCGTTTGTTTTCATGATTTGTTGTTTTCTCACGAAGTCACGAACTTGCCAAAATTTCTTGCATCTCAACATTACTCATGTACACTCATCCCACGATGAGTAGATTGTAATCTCTAGTTAGTGGTAGGATTCTAGCACCAAGAAAAGCCATTTGTTCGTTACACCTGCTCCGAGCCTGGCAATGTGCTTGAGGATTGTTTTTATGTGCACACTCTCAGATTTGAGTGAACCAAGTCAAAACTCCACCGACTGTTGATCGAATAATAATGATGTTCCTCACACCGAAGTTTTTGTCTTTTGGCCTGCAAATAATTCGCCTCTTCTAATAAAATGCTTACACAGCCGGGCATCTGCACTTCATTCAGAGCATGGATTTCGTGTTGTCGTCATGGTGTCGTGGTTCACACCTCTTTGCAAGTCGCAAGACCACACAAATAATAACGCCTGCCGAAGCTCGGGACCACGAGCATATTGCTTTTTAGGTCATGCGTTTATTGCACGTTCGAATACCGTTTATTATTCCCGTGTCTTTCGCAGCCTTGCATCCTGTAGGCGCGTAACAAAGGACGATCCACTGCTGCTGCTGCTCCTCCTCCATTCTCCGAGAATTCCGCCTGGCTGGCTGGACAGCAAAAGTATAACCTGCTGCCTGCCATCATCTACGCCACAGCATACACGTGTGTGTGGTCGATCCGTTGCAAGCGTGCTCCTACATAGCAATTAGCGGTTCTCTGGGCTTTGCATGTGGTGGTCGTGGTGCCGGGTGCTGCTGCGCCACGTCATATGGTGGGGGGAGGAACAGTGACGTCAGGGAGGTGGTTGTGCAGGCTGCGGTGCGGGCAGGCGCCGCGGGATGGCTGGATGGAGTGATAGATGGGGGTGGTGTAAGTGCGCCTTCTGCCATGGCAGCCACTCGCCACCCGGGGGCTCTGGGCACATGCCAGACAGGACCAAACAAGCCGTCATACTTTCTGTGTGTAGCGTATGTATGTGTGTGCTCATGGGAGGAAGGGTGCGATGTCAATCCCCCCCAGGCGTGCAGGAAACTCTAATACATTGCCCACTGCGCAAGCCACATCGTTTTCCCTCCCACAACCCTGTCAACCTCGAGCTGGTACATGCGTGTGTACGTTATACTTGCCATCTTCCTTGGAAATACTTCACGAAGAAAAGACGAAACAAGGACGAGTTACGTGCTGTGGCTAGTGCCGACGCCAGCCTGCCCGGTTGCATATCCATCCCCCCCCCTGCTCGCCCACCTTCTCTGCAAACCCTTGCAAGGAAGATCACGGCACATCGCGATCTGGATATCGCCCGGCACCGCGGTAGAACCCCAGCAGGATCGTGGCGAACAAAGGAGCTTATCTTGGGACTTCGATGCCAGGGAAAATCCTGGTGCCCAAGCAAGCATATATTATTCACCTTCAGTTCCTTGCTTGACGCAGCATTTGTTGATTTACTCGGGACCACTTCCCGCCTGAACAACCCTGCTCAATCCTACCAGCAAAAGCAATAATAGTATCGATAACTCCTGACGCTTCATAATCTTGAGCAAAGCCACACGCATGAGATAATCACATACCATCACAAGCTGCAACGATGCCACGAACGTTGCTGCTGTGTTTCATACACGGCTTCAAGGTGAGACACATAAAGTGATCCAGGAGACTCCAAGAGACGAGCGACGACTAAACCTGCATCGAAACAGGGCAATGATGATACCTTCAAAAACTTCCCCTTGGATCTTCAGAAGCAGGTCGCCGCCAAGCTGCCTGAGCAGAATGTAGAGTCCGTCGTTTATCCCAAATATGACACAAAGGGGGAGCTGGGCCAGTGCTCAGAGTCGCTACTGAGCTGGTAAGTCACCTACTGCTCGTGTCCCAGTTGCATGAAACATCGACATCCAGTGTTGTATGTGGGCGATGCTGTAGACCCGACTGACGCAGGCTGGGGTTAGGCTCAAGGAAAAGGTCATGGACGTGCGCAAGGAACACAGCGAGAAGCCATGGCCTCCTAACGACCGCGACGTCGGTGTCATCTTGGTTGCACACTCGATGGGGTAAGCTTTTGTTTGTCCTCGACAGTCCACACAGTTCCCTGCCATTCCAGACTGACATGGCATGACAGAGGCTTTGTCGCCGCCGACACGACGCTGCTAGTCCTTAATGAGAGGCTGGCCAGCAAGACAGAGGGCGAGGAAGGCACTGCGAAGCCCATATTCCCACTGATCCAAGGTGTTCTGACCTTCGACACGCCGTTCAATGGCCTCGCCCGATCCATGTTCGTGTACGGGGCGTTTTCAAACTACCAGAAGGTCAGCAGCGTCTTCAACGTCATGACTGCCCTGTCCGCGGCGCCTTCTGCATTCGCAAGGAACACGCTCGCTCGCACTGCGACAAGGGCTCCCAAAGTGGCGACCTCTTCCGGTTCGTCCAAGTCCGCCGCTTGGAAAGGCTGGCAGCTGATTGCCGTGAGGACGGGTACCGTTGGAGCGATTGCGGCAGGAGGCGTGGCTGCGTACGTACATCGGCAGCAGATCATGGACGGTATGAAGAGCATGCGCAACCTCAACAAGGAGTCTGTCAAGGAGGGATACCAGCAGGGTATTGATACACTCAGCCAGGGCTTGGCGTACATCAACCGTGGCAACGTGGGGCGGTCATTCGAGTATCTCTCTGATCACTTCATCTTTGTTGGGGCGCTCATGAAACAGCAAGAGCTGAGTCACAGGTTGCAAAGACTGGGTTCACTGAGAGGCATCGGCGTCCACGACTTTTACACCTCGCTGGGCGAGAACGGAGTTTGGAGTGGTGGCTACTTTGTGCCAGAGCGAACATTCTGTGCGATCCCACCAGCAGAGCACGACTCTTACTCGCTGTTTACACGACAGGTCATCGAGGGGGCTGATGAGGAGGTCCAGGCCCACATGAGCATGTTCATCCCTGAGAAGAACAAGGGTTATGACAAGATGACCGCCAACGCGAGTGACCTCGTGGTCCGCTGGTTCAACGACGAGTCAGAAATTGTCGACAAGGTTGGTCTGGCCGTAAATGCCGTGCCCGAGCCTATCGAGGAGCCCGTCTCCACCACGGAAGACGGCAAGGAGATCCCGAGGACTGACAACATTCCCGACGAGAAGGGTATTGGAAAAGCCGCATCTGGTGTCGCCGACAAGGGCGACGGCGGCGAGGAGGACGACGACATCTTCCCAGATGAATCTCCCATGGACATTGCCGCAGCAGCATCTATGGTGCCGCTCCCCGACGACGACCCGGAGAACCCGCTGATGGCGGAAGCGGGTGCTGACGAGAAGCAGACATACATGCGATATCTCATGGGTGTAGCCCAGCAGGCCGGCACTGGCGTGAGGTCGTATGTCCCCAGCAAGCTGCCAGAGATGCCAAGCATGCCTCAGATGCCATCAGGACCAAGCTTCAAGTCGTTTATCCCTAGACAGATGCCAGAGATGCCCTCGATTCCTCGACCGAACGTTAGTCTCTGGGGCAAGAAACAAGAGGGAGCAGTTGACGGAAAGAAGGTAGACGGAGACCCTAAAAAGGACGAGACTCTGACACAGGAGGCCACCGAGAAAATGGGGGATGCGTCAAGTGTTGAAACGGAGACGAAGCCGGTTGCTCAGGCTGCGGTGCATGCGCCCTGACGATATCTCACAACGTGCGGGTAAGCCATGAAGGCTAGGGTGAAGGCCATCGTTATTCTCCTTTCTCCATAATGTGTAATCCTCGAGAAGAAGCGAAGCCGGAGCCCGCACTCGGGGGCGACAGTAGCGATGAATGGGAGTCAAGGAAAGGAATATGACTGGGTTGTATTCTCGTGATGGGTATGCTAGCTATATGTCATTGACAAAACAAAAAGTTTGCGGGGACAAATGGTTGTGCTTCTTTATACTCCGGCACGGGCTCGGGCTTGTTGCATCATTCATCTGATAGGATGATGCGCCGCTTCCACCAATCAGATTGTGTAGGGGAAGCGACTTCATAGCCTGTGGTGAGGAACTCGCTTCGCTGTCGCGCCAGGTGATGGAAACATGAACAAATCGGAAGATTGACCCCAGGCCCGCGAATACCTATTAGCGATCAAGACCATCGCCCGTCCTTGTGATTCGCACTGGAGCCTCACTCAATCCGTTGATCCCGTTGCTTGTGTAGGCTTGTGCATTGCGAGACTGGCCAGGTAGGTGCAGAACAGGTACGGAACTGACTCGGGCGTGATGGACGGGGATCAACAAGAGGCCGCAAGCGGCCGCCAACAAGCTTAGCATTGCGATTTGGTGTATGGGCAGTGCTGGGGATGAGGAGAGGGCAAGCAGAGTTTGGGCCCGGTTGGCACCAGTGTGGTGCCACTGGGCGATAGCACCACATCATGCTACAGAAGGTGCTGCGGGCCGGTGGGCAGGGACCCCGCTGTGGCGGCTGCCATTGGATGGAATGTGGACCCCACCTCTTGTCTGGTGCACCTGCAGCCCTGGAGGTTCTCACTCGGGCGACCTTGATGGGCTGCCCCTCCAAACGCAGCAAACAGGACAGTGCAGCGAAGGGGAAGGTGGGGCTGTCACGGCCGTCCCTGCCCTGGACGGCAGCACCGTGTCTGGCATCAGCTGCTTTCGTCGGAGAACGATCATCGGACGGGCCTGGATGGCCTCGAGAGGGCACGGCCGCGAACGACAGGACTTGCTTGATGCAGTCCCACGCAACCAGTCAGCCCCTGGCCTGGGACACACTGCCTGGGTGGGCGGATGGACACACGCGGCAGGCGCAACCCCTGCGCAGGCCCCACCCCCGGACTCAGAGGACCCGTTTCCCCAGATTCCGGCGTTGATGCTGCTGCGCGCCCTGGCCCTGCTTGGCGCATACCCTGCACTGTGGGCTGTCGTCTGTGGTCTGTGGTCGGCCGACAGACAGCCATGGCCCACCTGTGACGCACAAAGGTGAGTCGGCTGCTCTGCATCTGCCTCCCAGCAGCAACACGCACTGCCCGCACGATCGACAATCACACCACGACGCTACCACGCGTCCCCTCCACGGCAGCCATGGCTGCTCAGGTACTTCTCCTCAGCAGCACAGTGCCGTCAACCTACCCCGCCCTCGTCCCGTTCGGTCCTGACCCTCTCGTCTCGCGGCTCGCCCGGGTACCTACAGCTCTCTAGCCCACCATTCGTGATCAGCTGAGCACACGAGCAGCTCTCGAGCTATCTCGACAGCTTCCCCGCCCCGGGCCGCGTCCCAAGCTAGACAGCTCCCCATCGACTCCTCACACCCCCGAGTCTCACCTGCGCCTCGAAAGCTGCTCAGGTGCCGCTTTGCTCGACTCACCCGGCAGCAATCCCAGGTCCATACCCCTCTTCTGGCTGTTGCCCTTTTCTACCCCTCTCGTCCCCTTCTTCTCTTCTCACCCTTCTTTCCTCTTTTCCTCACTCACACTGAGCTCACAATTGTCAACACAACATACACGCTGTAGCCTTTGGATACAGAAGAACACCTGCTTACACAACCCTCTTTGGTAGTCGTCCTCAGCAGGTACTGTCTCCCCATGAAACAAGACCCTATCCGGGCTAGCCGCACCAGAGGATCCGCGTGAGCTGACACGAGCCATCTAGAGAACTACCAATCTTATTGTCCCAATCATTACTAGGAGATATCCCTAGCAAAACTCACCAATTCCCACCATGTCAGAGCCACTGTCCAAGGTCGACTCCGCCGTCGACGGTCTCGAGCCCCTGCAGAAGATTGGCTCTGCCGGCGGTGATAAGAAGAACCGCCGCCAAAGCTCCGTCGTGGCTGGTGTCGCCAGCATCAAGGAACTATGTAAGGCCCAAGCCTGCAAGACTTGACAGTCACCGGCAGGATAAGCTGACTCTGAGATTAGGGGAGAACAAGACGCCACTGCAAATAGCCCCCGAAACACAAAAGACAGGCTGGTATGTTGTTCCCGTAGCACACCCGCGATCAAGTCCGCCAACGTCAATCTGACCTCCTCCACTATGCAGGAAGATCAACACGTCGTCCATGACGGTAGAGGAGAAGGACATATTAAAGAAGCCTCTCGTCACACCTATCGTGCGGGCCATTGACCTGCACTTTGCCCTGGGCTCGCACGTGACCGCGCGGAACCGGACGGGCGTCACAATCAAGGACGCCATGGACGCCATCCACAAGGTCAACAAGAAGAGGGTAAGCATAGCGCACCTCTGGAAGCAGTGCACTCGAGCGGGTGACTAGCACTTTTTGGCCTCAAATCGCTAACCCTGCGCAACCAGGCCGACGACGAGATGGACAAGCCCTACCTGGAAGGCTTCGAGTGGATGCCCTCGCACCACGAGTACTCGGAGCAGGAGCAAGACCAGAAGGAGGCCGACTGGCAGCGGCTCTACGTGCACCTGACCTCGACGCCCACCATCTCCAACGTCGGCGGCGGCAAGAAGAAGAAGAACAAGGGCGGCGAGTAGATGAATGACTTCCCTCCTTGCGATCCCCTCGTCCGGCATCGAACCTCACCTATATCATTCCTCGAGGCGAGGGCAGACTTGCCCGCCGTCCTCTAGTGTTGTAACTGTACCTATTACTACTACTGCTACCAACACACGGCGTCAAAGTAAACCGGGATATTTGTGATCGATGGCATGGATTGGCCCTGGCCTGGCGTTGTCGTTGTTTAGTGCTTTTTAACACAGCGCCGCCCTGGGCCGATGGATCGTCATTGTGGAAAGTTGAACATTCCCTCACCTGACGCCATGTTGGTTTTTTGTCCTCCGCGACAGACACAAACTGGCACTCTTATTGTTAGGTTCTGCAGCTAGCATCTGTACTCAATATCAATCCAAAGTCTAGCCGCGCATGTTATGGTATTTGCAAGCTGCGTGATATGTCTGGGCTGCTTACAAGTTTGTGGTCGGCCCAGGTTCCCTTTGGCGGCGGTTCGTCGTGGTGCTGTCGCCCAGCTAAGCCCGCATTCACACAGAGACACCACTTTTGATAACATGTGCTGCTGCTGCTGCTGTTGTCATTGCTTACATACTTCAAGTATGAATATTGCAGCACACTCGAGTGCACCTGACGGGCAACCGCGCCCGCGCCGGGTATTGCTTGTGCGAAGTAGCAACGACAGATGGTACACCACCACAACGGCTCATTTCCCGCTGGAGCCGTTGCATATCTGGGCGTAGCTCAGCTGGTGACCAGAGGTTTTGTCACGGTTCGCCCATAACGGACATGGCCGGCTCGCAGGGTCTTTTTTTTTTGTTTTTTTGTTTGTTTTTTTGGAAGAATTTGGAACATTTCCCGTGATACTGATTCATGGGTTTTGCACATATTAATATTTGCTAGAACATCACCATTCTACTGTCCACGGGTTTTTCTTTTTTGGTTATGCAGAGAAGACCCCGGCCAAACAGCCGAAATCTCACCAGCTATCACCGCCCAAGGGGAAGAAAAACGATTTTATTTCTTTTTCTATCTTTCCATCTAACTTTCTAGGTCAAAAATCCTTCAGATACCCCCCGCAGGACCGAGGATCCAACTGGGCACGGTCTCGAGATAGACGTCGCGCTGGCGATAGTTGCCCTCGACGAGGCGGTTAAAGTAGGTGGCCATGCGCAGGGCGGCTTTGGCGGTCTGAACCTCGACAATGTATCCGGCGCCCTTTGCGTAGCCGCTGGTGGCGAGGTCGGTGCCGTTGAAGATCTGCGAGTAGACGTAGTCGCAGGTCCACTCGTTTGTGTCGCGGGCCCACTCCATGGCGCACTTGTGCGGGGTGCCCGGGTCGGAGCAGGCGAGCATGTCGGCGGTCGAGGTGATGAAGTCGTCGCTACGGAGGCGCTTGACGGCGTTCTTGAAGAAGGGCTGGATGGTGGCGTTGTTGAAGCTGGTGACTCCAGCCTTGGCGTAGATGATGGCGCCGTCCCAGACCGAGTGCAGGTTGGTCGCGGTGCCGTTGAAGGTGACGGGGAAGCCGTTGCCCCCCGCGGCGATGCCCGAGACGTGCAAGGGCTGGGCAATGTCGGCGGTGAAGTGGGCGAGGAACTTGACGGCGTTGGCGCAGGTGTAGTCCTCGCCGTTGCGGATCTTGCCGAGTTTTGCGCGGGAGATGCAGCCCTTGACAATCTCGGTCTGGTTGGTGAGGGCGCTGACGATGCAGCCGCCCTTTGTGCAGTCGCGGTTGAAGTGGACGTTGCAGAACGAGGGCGGCTCGTCGGCCGGGTCAATGTAGTGCCACGTGTTTGTGTAGGCGCCCTCGGGCGTCTTGCGGTAGCCGTCGGCCCATGCGCCCACGCGGCCCAGCGAACCCTCCGCCGACGGCTCGAGCAGCTGCTTGATGATCTGCTTGGTCCACGGGTTGAGCAGCTCGTCGGCCGCATAGGCGATCTGCTGGTGGACTGCGCGACAAAACAAGGAAGTCAGCGAATGAACATTTTGGGGGTTCAAGTGGCACAGGGAGAAACGGGGAGCGATTGTGAGACATACCGTCCGTGTTCCAGGACAGCGCCGGGCCCGCGAGGGTGGCCGCGACAGCGACAGCGTGGATCATGCGCATCTTGGTCGAGGAGGAGGCGGAGGCGAGGACAAAGTTTATGTCGCGACGGTCAGGGACTTGCAGACAGGGTGGAGGTGACAGGCGAGGCGTCCAAGATGGCGATTGTCGGCAGGAGCAACAGACAAGCGGACCACGAGGAAGGAGGGAGGGAGGGCAACTTCTCGTCAAGACCCTTGAGCCAGGAGGGAAAAAGAATAAGACGAAAGATCGACAGCGGGAACCCCGGGGCCGTTTTGTACTCTGCCCTCATTCCTGGGATGCCCGCGTTCCCCGGTCCTGGCCATGGCTAAGCCAAGTACGTATCTGTGGCCGCCCGGGCGGTGCCAAGAAAGCAGCCGGTCTCCGGTCCGGCCCATGCTGTGGTCTCCCGACGCTTTGGTTTCTCTGCGATGATGTGTGTATGTCATGTTTTGGTGTGTGTTGTTCGGGGCTCGCCGCTCGAGAAGGAGACGGGCGTCGAGGGCCGTGTGGAGGTCACGTTGGGAGTTGCCTCTTTGGGCAAGGCTGTGGACCTGGCCGGGGGGCCGGGCATCCTGCGTGCCTGCCTGTCAATGGCCAGATAGCGCCCCTCGCCCTGGTCCGTCCTCGAGATTGGCTTCTGCGCCGATCTCGTCTCCCCCGGCCGACTCCATGCCCGCCAGCCAGCCGCGGCGCCCTCTCCACAGTGAGGAAAACAGAGGCCCAGCGATCCAAAGGACCTGTCTGATTCGGTCTAGCTCTCCAACCAACACTGCCGTCAGCCTCCGAGCAGCACAGCAACTAGTTCTAAAATACTGCCAGGCCCGCGCAATAACGCGGACCAGATAATCGATTGCCTACAGCCCTTGCTCGGAGCCTGTCCGGCACTAATTACAGCACACTCCGGGCAAGCCACACAATGTCCTCGATCGCACCCATGGGTCATCTTGCTCCGCCGGTCACCGTATGTGTGCCCTGGCCAATGACAAAGTCAGCGACACCTTTTGATAACCACGTTCGAGTGAGGTGAGATGTGCTCTACGCAATATCTAAGACAGAGAGAGAGCAGCCACCCGAACTGCTATTGACAGGGCACGCTTGCCTTGATGTATCTCACTTGCGTCGACGGCCGCGGCAATGAGCAGAACAGTATGCGTGACCTCTTCCTGCCTGTGCCGTAAGCAGTCGAGGTGCTGGTCCCTCGAGGTGATGATGGTCATGAGGATCGAATTGGAGAGGAGGAATTGACGAAGACAGACTTGCAATCAGCAATTGACCAAAACTGCCACGAACAGCCGTAGTTCATGAAATCACACCTCAAAAACATTGCTTAACCAGCGACGTGCGCGCTCATGTGTTCCAGGAACGTGTCTGCTGCTCAATGTCGAAAAATCGCGATGCTCTCTCATCCCAGCCTTTGGACAAATTTGACACTCGTTGTTGCGCGCCAGAAAAGTTCACGGCAACCCAGTCTGTATCCTGCCAACACACTCCCCGAACCCGACCCTGCCATACTCCACCCCGGCGCCACAGTCCCCCCGCAGCACAATCGCGTCCCCGTCCTTGAGGAACGTCCGCACCTCCATGCCCGCCAGCATAATCTCCTTCTTCCCGCCCTCCGTCATCTCCAGCAGGCTGCCCTTCTCCCGGGCACCAGGCCCGCTGATGGTGCCGGACCCGAGCAGGTCTCCCGTGCGCAGGGGGCACCCGCCGAGCGTGTGGTGCGCAATCATCTGCGGGAACGACCACATGAGCTGGCTGGCCGACGTCTTGCCGATGGTCGTGGTGTCGCCTTGGGGTGCTGTTGTTGCGTGATGAAGAAGAAGATTAGCAAAAGGACGTTTCGTCGACTTTTTCTTGTGCGTGTTTGCTGAACCCGGGTGCAGTGAAGCCAAAGTCTCTTCATTATACACACATGGCACCCAAGCCCAAAAGTGGCAGAAAACGAGAAAGCTCAGGACAACAACAGCAGGGGCGAGAAAAAAAAAACAGGAAGCTTACTGATAAAATCAACCTCCAACCGGATATCAAACATGCCACCTCTTGCCCCAGGCACCGAAGTCGAAGCCACCTTCTCCCTCAGATAGTCCTGCAAGCCCCCCGTCTCCTCCTCGTTGCGCACTACCGGGTTCTCCACGCCGTGGCACCGGAAAGGCTCCAGCGCGTCCGCCAGCACGACCCAGGGGCTCAGCGTGCTGCCAAAGTTCTTGCTGTTGAAGGGTCCCAGGGGCACGTACTCCCAGCTCTGTATGTCCCTGGCGCTCCAGTCGTTGAGCAGGACGTAGCCAAAGATGTGGCCCTCGTCCGCGTCGTCGACCTTGATCGCCTCGCCCATCGCGTTCGGCCGCGAGATCAGGCACCCCAGCTCCAGCTCAAAGTCCAGCCGCCTGCAGGGGCCTGTGACGGGCTTCTTGGGCCCAGTCGCGGCCGGGTCCAGGAGGATCTGGCCCTTGGGGCGGGAGATGGGCGTCCCGCTGACGACGATGCTCGAGGCCCGCCCGTGGTAGCCCACGGGCAGGTGCGTGTAGTTTGGCTGCAGCGCGTTCTCGGGGCCCCGGAACATGCACCCCACCGCGTAGGCGTGGTGGTAGCCCGCGTAGAAGTCGGTGTAGTCGCCTATCGACATGGGCAGGTTCATCCGCACGGTGGTCTTGGGCAGCAGGGCCTCCTCCCGCAGGGCGGCGTTGTCCCGGAGCGCAGTGGCGTGCGGGGTGTCGGTTTCCAGGAGGGCTTGCAGGGCGGTGCGGACGCGCCTGTGGACGGGGCGGCCTAGGGCAGCGAAGGCATTGAGGGTGGGAGAGGAGAGGGCCTGCTTGAGCTCGGCGTCGTCGTTGTCGTCGTTCGCGTTGTTGTCCGAGGAGGTGGACGAGAAGATCTCGGCAAAGGGGAACGAGGACGACCGGGTGAGGGCCCTCAGGTCGAGCACATGGTTGCCAATCGCGATGGCCGGGCGTGGTGTGTTGTCGTTGCGAGTCCGGATGATGCCGAACGGGATGTTGGCGAGCGAGAACGGGCTGTCGGCCGGGCAGTCAGGCACCCAGGTCCGCCGCGGCGCGGCTGCTTGCGACGAAGACGACATGTTGCGATGTTGCTGTGGCTGTGGCTGTAGGTGGAAAGGGACGTGGACGGATAAGGGTACGAGCACCTTGTCGAGTCTACGCACGCTTGTTGGTGCGCCTGTCCTCCGTAAGCTTGAAGTCAAGGACAATGTAGACAGGAGACACCGTGAGAGACTGGCCATTTCCTGGCGTCGACGTTTGCGACTTGAGAAGACGGGAGCTCCATGGCCTTACCGGCACCTGCCCCGCGCCGGCGCATGCCGTGCTCGGCTCCCCACGAAACCCACCTCGCCAGCGATCCCGGCTAACCACGGAACTCCACCACGGAACCATCGCCGCGGGCCCCGGCATCACGACAGGTGGAGCCGTGAGCGGACGGTGCTGGAACACCCCTGGAAGGCAATCTTTAGGTGTGGTGTGCGACGTAAGATGGATTAGATATGATTAAACCCCTAATGCTATGCTTGACAAAGAACCAACCGAAATGGAAACCACCATGCAAGTCCTCACCAACCCGAGTGCCAGCCTAGAACATGTCCCTAAAATGCTGATATACACTGGCCCCGACAAGCCCCGACGCATCCACCTCGCCCTCCCCGCTCCCGTCGTCAGGCTGCATGCCGGCACTATTGGCCCCGGACTGGTCGGGCGGTGGGGTGAACCCGTTCGTCGTGCCAATGTAACCTTCAAAGATCTTGGACATCTCGCTCGAGATCTGGTGGCCGTTCTGCAAGCTGTCAATCATCCCCGGTGTCGTCGCGTTCGTGCTTGTTGGGAAAGGCGATGCAGCCGCCGTGCCCGCACCGTTCGTCGCACTGCCAGGGCCCGGCGTCCGCGATGCGTACACAGGGCCTCGGGGTTCCTGCGCTGGGGCGTGGTGATGGCCAGTAGCTAGTCCTGCCATCGTCAGCGCCGCTGACGAGTGCGGGTCCTCGGCCAGGCCCAGCCGTGGTGCAACCTCTCTGAGAGATTTGATGGTGCTCCACAACCGCTTCGACACAAACGACTTGGCCGACATGTCCTTGACGAGCTCAAGCGCCATGTAGAACTCATCGCGGCACGAGGAGCTGAAGTTGACCGGCGCGTGGCACGATGCCAGGAATAACACGGCAATGGCGGACGTCAGAAACTGGTGGTAGAACGCTTGCATCTTGCGATAGATGTTGGTCGTGTTGTGCAGGTGAGACAGGTACCGGATCGTGTTCTTGGCTAGCCGCACCACACGTTCTGCAGCGCCCAAGTTCTCCATGATGCAGCTGTGTGTGTGCAGGATAGGGGTGTAGAGCAGGATGCGCAGCTGGTTCAGGCGCAGGTACGTCCAGATCTGCGACCGCTGCACGTCATATTCCTTCGGAGCGCTGAGCTGCGGGTTCATAAACGGTGGGAGGGCTTCCCAGTTCGACATCTCGAGCTGCGTCTCCTTGGGCAGGTTCGTATACCACTGTTTGATCGACTGGTCAATGTCTTTGATCTCCATGGGCACCTGGTCTGCGACGATCTGCCCGTCAAACTGCCGCACAAGTTTCCACACTCGCGCGCTGAGCTTCGAATAGCCAATCATGGACATGAGGAAAGGATATTTGTCGGGATACGGCAGCTGCGGGTCGATCTCCTCGTCCGGTATCGACCAGGGCAGGCCAGCGGCGAGCGACCATCGCCTGTCTAGCACGTAGGCGGTCCAAAAGGTGTGCAGAACATAGACGCGTGCGTCCTCGGTCTCGAGGCGGTCAATGGCGTCCCTTCGGTGCAGACCGAGTTCGAGGCAGTGGCGGCCGACTTGTCCCATGACGCGCCAGGCAAGAATCTCCTCGTTCATGAAGAACCGGTAGCCTGCAGACAGCGCCAGCAGAGGCAGTGTCTTGATGTCGCTCGCGTCACTCATCAGCATCCTGTCCAGAAAAGGCCGTGCGCTCTCGAAGAGCCGGGCGCCTTTCTCACTGTTGCCATGCTCCTCGACCGAAAGCGCCATGGCCATAATGACTTTGAGCACGAGGGTGTCGACATCGGTAAAGGCCAGCTCCTGCTCTGTTCGTTGGACATAACCACTATCCCGTGACGCCTCCATCCACGAGGCCAGATTCTTCGCGTGCTGGATCAGAGTGTCAATCTTGATGATGGGATACATGATGCCCACCTCGTCCTCGTGTAGTCGACAGAGTCGTAGAATTTCGTCCTTTTCAAAATCCCACAGTGGGTCCCGTGGCGGCTGGTCTTGCGGCGGCGGTTGCTGTGCTGACTGCGAAGCGGGTGCTTGTTGCGAGTAGGTGCCAGAGAACTGCTGCTGGCCCTGCTGCGGGAACCCGGGCGAAGTATGTGACATGGCGTGAGGCGACTTTCCCGGACTGCCATGACTACCAGTCATCTCGTCATTCCCGTCGCCGAGATTGCTGTAACCCATCTTGTGCAGCGTCTTCTTGGCGACATCAAGACTGAAGTGTGTGCTCGTCGGCCCACGAAACCCGGCGGCTCTGAATGGCGGCAGTTCTGGTCGATGCAGAGACGGCACCATGGAGCCTGGATTTGAGCTGGTGGGTGTCCCTCCAGATGATGGCAGCGGCAACACCCTATCCTGAATCGGCGCAAGGCGGACAGTTTCTGACCGCAGAGCAGCCAGGCTGTTGAAGAGAGAGGTGACCTGGTCCTGCAGCCCAGAGACCCTGCGGTCCATCTGCTTGAACTCGTCCGAGTCCTTGACGCTGGAGGAACAGCAGTTGGGCGCATAGAGGCACTGCAGGTTCAGGTTGCCACAGCGCTGACAAGGCGTCTCGCCGTTGCATTTTATCTTGCGCCGCTTGCACTCGTTGCTAAGAATTTTTGGGTCGACTGTCAGGGCTCCGTGGCACGGCTAGTGATCGTGGCCGTGAACGACACTTGGGACTTGGCGCTTACCAGGCAATTGAGATGTACCGGCTGCGCTTGCTGCGCTGGCCCGCGGCGCCGCCCTTGGCCCCGGGAGACGCTTCGCCATCGTCGTCGTCGGCACTGCCCGGGGCCGTGCTCTTGCGCTTGGAGCCAGCGACAGCACGGGCGGGATAGGCGGCAGAGGCCGTGGGAGTGGCGGCGGCGCCGTAGAGCTGGGGGGTCGAGACCTGGCCCGGGGTGGCGGCGGCGCTCATGGGGGTCGAGGCCGGCTGCTGCTGGTGATGAGACAGCGACGACGACGATGGCGGCTGCTGCTGCTGCTGCTGCTGCTGCTGCTGCTGTTGTTGATGCTGGTGCGGGTGCTGGTGTTGGAGGTGTGCGGAATTGGGGCCGACCACTGCGGAACCAGGCGTGCCTGGGCTTGCTGCGACGCCCAGCAGATTGCGGAACTCGCCCACCTGGTTCTCAAAGAACTCCATGGCGTGTCGTCGGTGGTACGAGTGCTGGGTGAGGCCGGAGGGCGGGCACTGCGAGCCGACACGGATGCGGGCCGGCTGTCTCCGCGCGCTGTGCTGCTGCTGCTGCGGCCGCCTCGAATGTCGCCGCAGGATCGGGGAGGAGCAAATGCAATGCAGAGCAGAGCAGAGCAGGCATGCTCGCGGAGTGTTGCGGGCAGAGATTCTTGAGCTTGCGACTGGCTGGCACGCCCTCGAGCGCCGCCTGCCGCGGCTCCGCGCTCTCACGTGATGCTCCTCAAGCGCAGCGCAGCGCAGCCTCCTCAAGCCGGGCTGAGCAGCTTCGCCTGGCCCCCTGGTCGCGCCCCACCACCACCGCGTCTCCATCCACATGCACCACCCCCCCCCCCATCCCATGCTCCGGCAGTTGAGATGCTTCGCTTGCACCACCTTCCTCCAGCAGGCTTACAACATGCTATGCTATTTGGTCACTTCATCGCTGATGCTACCACCTGTCAGAGAGCACCGGCAGCCCTCCAGAACAGTGGCGACTGCTTGTGATCCCTTTCCACAACCTTGGTGGTCGCCATACGTAACGCCTTCACCAACCACGGCGGCAGTGGCCCCAATACCCAACCTATGATAGGGTTCTACGAAGAGCAGTCTGCGCTTTTGTCCAAACTCAGTTATCCACTAGATTTCCCAAACCCCCTTGGCTGGCTGGCTGTTGCCTCTCGCCGAGACCACACTTGCCCCGGCAAGCAGCCAAGCTCAAAGCAAGGCTGCGGCACCAAAACCTCCAGCCTCCATCGCGTCTTACATTCCAGTGCCGGCCAATGCCTCTACGCCATTGATACATGTCCGATGCACAGCCACCGGTGCACACGCAGCCAGCCAGTCAGTCAATCAGTCAGTCATCCCCGCTCGACACAGGCCCCTTGGCGTCGGCATAGATCAACCACGCAGCCACAAATCCACACACAAACTGTGACCGCCGGCCCAGACCCGGCTGAGGCGTCTAGACAGCAAACAAGCAGCAGGCAAGCAAGCTAGATGAGCCGAGATACAAGCCCCATCGGGCATGTCAGCCGTCATCCCTTGTCCCGCGCCGAGTACGACTTGGACGCGGACCCTCGAGACAATGACGGCTACGAGAGAGAGGCTGGGACAAAGTCACGTCCACTCCTCTTTGTCTCCCTCTCTCCTCCGCTGGCTTCTCTCACCTCGTGAGGCTGTCGCTGTCGCTGTGCCCGGGCCCGTCCCAGCCTCCTGTTCTTTACCTATGAGCACTGCGCCCGCGATGTCGTGACCAATGTTTCATATGAACCTCAGCCGGGCTCGCCCTGCCCTGTCCTGCTATGTTCATGCCGTGCTGTGCCCCTGCGTGTGACCCGCGTGTGGTAAGTCAGCCTCGAGATGCGTCACCGCCGTTCAGCCATAGATTGTCGGCCTTGGAGAAGAAGAAGGGGAAGTCCAAGCCGAGGAGCGAACTCTGGGTCGGCCGGCTGCGTGGCTCAGGTGTTTCTACGCATAAAGTCATGGAGAGACATTCTTACTCTCCTCGCTTACGAGGAGCTAGCCTCACAGTTAGAATCAACGTGATGTGGGGATCTCGCTAAGCGTTGTTAACGAGATGATTTCATCACGGTCAGTCAGGCCGCTGCAAGTGTGGGATGACTTCACGTGTAAAGTCATGAGATGACAACCTCCAGGGGGAGCATTATTTCGCCCAAACGACAGTCCTATTCCCCATCCCGAACTACCCTTAGAATGTACACAAGGTGAACAACTTGAATATATGTGCAATGAATATGTAAAGAAAGACAGAATGCGTGCGCCACACAATGAGAAGTACCAGAAATGTGTCTTGCATGATCCGACCCATCGCCGTGTGCCCAATGTAACCAACCCACCCCCTCCCCCCTCCCGAAAGCCAAGGTCCGAGTCCTGGTACCAATCCATCCACTTCTACTCTAGTCCACCACTTTGCGCGTGCAAGAGAAAGCACCTCTGTCAAGTTTCAGGCCATCATGGCAGTGCTTACAGATCTTCCCTGGGTCCCCAGGCAAGTGCAGTCGCAACACAAAAGGATGCTTTAGATCCGGTGGGAACAGGCGATCGTGATACAAATGATATCCAGGTCTCAGTATCAAATTCCTTATTCTTCTCCTTCTTCTCCCTTCGCGCGTGCGTAGAAAGCGTCCATGAAGGGACTAGTTCTACTACTAGCACGCGGCTGGAGAAGAAGAAGAAGAAGAAGTGACTTGTTGTGTGGTTGTTTGCACTTTCGATGTTGGGTGGGCCACAGTGTGATCGCCTTGGTTGGTGTGCCGGGTTCCCTCCCCTAACGGGATATCCAGGTTGAGACAATGGGAATACCTTGGGATGGCTGGGGGAGGTGTGCCCAGGCTTTGTTGTATATATGGAAATGTCTCTGTTTGTGGTGTGTAGTGTATGTGGCGTCTGTGTAATGGCGTATATGCTGGACTAGCAGAAGTATCCACAATTCTCATGTGTAAGTGTGTAGCCTAGGTCCTCGCGAAGAGCCGGCGTACGAGGTGTATTCTGGGCAGTGGTCTTGTTCCAATGAATGATGATCGCGCCGCTCGTTGCAAGAGGATGTTGCAGAGAGTGGATGCTGCGCTGGGCGAGTGCCGCCAAGGAAGATATGTACCGTTCCCAGCGCCAGGCCCTGCCATGTTGTTGTATGCTTTCATTGTGCCGTTACTGTGCTTTTAAACCATATGCCATCAAAAATGAAACCAATGAAGCGGAAATGTCGAAAAGAGCGAGTGTAGAGAAGAGAACGCGTGTGCCTGAGCCAATGCAAAAGAATGACACTCCATTGCTTAGACGGAGAGACTGTCGTCTACAGACCGTTGCGGATGTTGTCGTAGGTCGAATTTGGATATTTAAGGAGGTTCTGAGTCTGATCAATGGTCGCATCTCCACCTTGGTCGTTGAAGCATTTGGCAATGATGGACTTGGAGTCGGTGCGGTCGCCAGACGCCTCCCAGAACATGGTGCCGCCCAGGCCCTTGGTGCTGACGAAGCCGAGCTTCTTGGTGACGCTCTCGATGGTGTCGTACGACACGATGCGCTTGGCAGAGGTGTCCTCCGAGTACGAGGCGCCAGCAACTATATCGTATTTCTCGACAGAGCCGGCAAGAGGGAGCGCCTTGTAGTCGTACACGCCAGCCTCCCAGGTGCCCTGGCCGGTGCCGGTGGCGGGCTGGCCGAGACCGCTGGTGCCCTCAAATGCGCGGCCGTAAAGAGGAATGCCCATGACAATCTTGCGAGCGGGGACGCCAGCGGCAAGGTAGTCATTGACGGCGCGGTCCGTGGAGAACGGGGTGGCATCCGGGTTCAAAGGATTGGGGTACAGGTTGGCCTGGTGGCCGGTGTGGGCAAGGTCCCAGCCGCCGGCATAGTCGTACGCCATGAGGTTGAGGTAGTCAAGGATCTGGCCCATCTGCCCAAGACGGAGGATGTTGTAGTTGGATGGGCCGGCGGGGACGGCGGCAGTGAGGAGGAACTTGTAGCCGCCGGCATATTGAGCACTGTAGGCATCGAGCTCGGCGCGTACGGCCTTGAGCAGAAGGATAAAGTTGTCCGCGTCAGCAGAGCTGGCCGGGTACTCCCAGTCAATGTCGATACCATCCAAGCCCCAGTCCTTGACCAGCTCGACAGACGTCTTGGCGAAGTTGGCACGAGCTGTGGGGGAAGCGGCAACGGCCGGGAAGTTGGTAGACCAAGTCCAGCCACCGATAGAGAGGATGACCTTGAGGCGGCGGTTGCTCTTCTTGATCAGACCAAGCTGCTTTACAGCGCCATAGGCGTTCTTGCCAACATCGTTCCACGCTGCGGGAGAAATGTTAGCGACTGACACATAGGAACAGTCACCAGCCGTTGCTCGACTTACAGTCAGTAGGGTAGTGCTGCTCGAGATCGGCATACGTGTCGCCAGAGAAGCTAAGACGGCTTGTTGTTAATGTCTCAACTCAGTGGTAGCTCTGTACAAGTCATCGTGACTTACACAGTACCGTCAGCACGGACGTTCATGAACGAGTATAGGACCTGGTTGACCTTGTCGGCAGGAAGCTTCTGTGGCGGATACTGGCGAGCGTAGACACTCCTGCATATCGTTGTCAGTTTTGTAGTGAGGTCCTTATGCAGTGCTTGGGGTGCAGTCTTACCAGTTCGTCCAGTAGACAGTATTCTGGAAACCAGAGACCTTCTTGGTCATGGGTTTGGCCAAGCCAACCGAGGCAGTGAGCAGCGCAAGCGCCGCGGTAAGGAGAGTAGACTTCATGGTGCTCAACTAGCGAGGCAAGGAGTGAATAGCCGAAGGGATGAAATGATGGATCAGCGGCGAGTGCGTTTCGTCAAGTTATGAAGTCTTGGGAGCGTCTGTCCGAGAGAGCTGAGGAGCTGAGAGACAAAGACCCTTTGATGAGGTGAGTCGCCCTGACGACTTATATAGCAAAAGGGCACCAACATTCACTACCCCCCTGGTCGATTTGGTGTTGCTGCGGACTTCATTCCTTACCAGCACTGCCAACGTGGGTTGTGCTTAGAGTTGCGCGTGGACCAAGTCATGGAGCAAGTGAAACATGATGCGAACTAGGGGTGTTGCGCCTGGCCAGCCAAGGGGGCCAGCGTGTTGCGCGATCCCTAGATGAGGCGGCCTAGCCGGGTCTGCACGATACCTCGTCCGAGTGGAGGAGCCGTGCTGGGGGCAAGGTCGAGCTCCTCCCGGAATAGGACAGCAACGTTGCCAACGGGCGAATGGGCCATTTGAGAAAAGGGCCTTTGCGCTTCGTCGGCTGCGCTTGCTCCGGGGCCTTGGATCAAGCAAGATGCCAAAAAGGGGGTCCATTTTCCATTGCCGCGCTCCCTGCCCCTCCTCGGCAGCCTTGAGATTGGCACCAGTGTCTGCATTTTGAGGTGTTTGCTTGTGACGACTAGTTTGTTCCTTTTCCAGTGTAGGCAGGTGGGAGTGTCACGATGCGTAGAACACACACCCATGCAGGCTTGGACAGAGGTAACCATGATGATCGACAGAGCCGCAGGTCCAGACAGGCTGTGTGACAAGGATGCGGCCGCGCAGAATTCGTCCGTACCGCCCCGAGCCACGCAAGGATGAGATGAAAAGCGCCATTGCCGTGCTGCACAATCTGATCCTGCCGTGCACCGTCACAGCTGTCGCCCGGGTTTGAGCACGGCGTGAAAACACCACGTGTCGTCGAATGGAATGCGGCCCGGAAGGATCTCTGTAATGGTCGCAAACCCACAAATGCGCAAGTAAGCTGGGACGGGAGGAGAGATTGAGCGATGCGCCAGCCCGCCCCGAGGGGCCAATCTCGGGAATCCGCTGGGAGCAAGGCAACTGAATGTACGATGGCTGGCAGGGTGTTTGCAGCCACAGGGACAAGGGCACCCATCTGCCGTTTGGCATGGCTCTTGTGATTCGACGTGCCACGAGGCCCGGCCTGGGGTGTCGTCGTTGCAGGGTTGCTCCCCACCTTCGCGATGGGTGGTATAAGTCGGGCATGGCTCCCCACAGCACGCCTCCTCGACTGCCTCATTCACCTCCCTTGTCTTTCAAAATAAGACAGCCCAAAGATGGCGTCGCGCCGTGGCGGCTGCTGCTGTTCCAATGTGCATTCGCCTACCCTATAGTTGAAACCCCTGACTCTCGCTGGTGCTGCGTGCTTGAACTCATCCGGGACGCCGGTAATTACCATCGTACGTCTGCCACGAGGTCACAGAAGAAAGTTCAAGTAACCAATTTCCAACGGGCTTCACGGGCCACAACATGCAAACCTCCTTGGTGGATGAGAGGTCGCATATCCCCAGGCACAGGGTGCATCCCAGCGCGGCCAGTCAGGGGCCAGAAACGTTAATTATCGATCTCTTAGGTCGTGATTTCTGCCAGCAAGCTATGGCGCAATGTGTTTGGCTCATTTCGGATGATTAAAGCACAACGGAGTGCCCTAACGGGTGCCTCACCCATGAACCCTGGCAAAGCCTCCTGCACCAGCACGGAAGCTGCATGCGCCCCAAAAAGAGGACGCACCCCCGGGCAGCTGCTTTCTCAGTTCGCCGAGGGGTGGTGTGCAGCTTGTCATGATCCTAGGTGCGGCAGGACCCGTAAGGCCCTGAAGTGTATTCCAGTCAGCTGGAGCCTCTCCACATTGATTGCCGTGCTGGTGACCGATGGCTTGCAACGTTACCCAACATTGTCTTGGGGGCACTTTAAGGGCGCTGGGGTCGTGCGATAGCACCATGGCCAAACATCTATCAGTGAACTCGCCCTCGGCTCGTGACTTGACGGGATTTCGTCGGCGACTATGCTGCAGAGTCGCAATCATCTGGCTCTTGGGTAGCATCGTGCTGGGCACTAGGCGGAGGTCATTTACCATCCGCTCGCGTGATGGCCTGTCCCGTGCATCGTAGCGAGCACGGCAGCTCAACATCTATCAATTTGCTGTCTGCTCTTTAATGAGTTGCTTTCGTGAACACCTGATTCGCTGATGTGACCTTTGCACGTTGACACTCTCTTGCGATTGGTAAGATTATGCCGAGGGGCCTCTCATAAGCTGGTTTTGGCGTCCAGCCTCAGAGATGTGCTCGGAGCCTTATCAGTCCCAACCGACTCATCGGCGAGAGCAGCACGTTGCAAGTTGCGAGATCGTATGCAACTGGGGTCGACAGCGTTGCTGCTCAGCGGTTGGCCATTGTGAGCAATCTTGTGTCCTTGGCATACCCAGTCGGGCCATGTGACTGATAGCACGAGACCAATGACTGTTATCAGTCAGTATCCAGCTCTGCAGCCATGGATAACCAACGCATTGGAGAGAAAGTCGCTGCCTTTTCCGGCATGCTGGACGTTCATGTGCTATGCCCGTTACAAGATGCCGTGTAGCACAGTACCACAGCCGCCTCGCGGTGTGATGGTAGTATCATTTTACATACTTGTGAATGCCCTGGTGGTTTCGACAAGCTCGCGTGACAATGAGGAACAATCCTGTGCCTGAATTTGCGAAAGGTACATCGTATCATCCAGGGCAAGCACTGTTTGATGCCCACTGCTTCTGACATGCCGACACTCATGGTGACATCTCAAGGAATCAAGGGACATGTAGGATGGCGTCTGGCCCAGCGGAAAGCTCTCCCTGGCCTTGCAGAGACGACGTCTCACGGAACACAACGACTCTGAGATCTCCGCAGAGGCTGGCAATGCTGGTTGTGATGGCTCTCCATACGGCTTGAGGTCAGCCTGCCGCAAATCCTTTGCAGCACCTGTTGAAAGCCAGATCGGGTTTGCAACGCTCCGGCGCAACGGCTCCTGAGAGCCCCTGACTTGCGACAGGGCCTGCGCTCCCCCGTACATGTCGACCACTGGAGCTGGTCGGGCGGCGCGCCACATTGCGAATTCAGTCGTTGCATCCTTCTCTCCACACTGCTGGTGTTGACTGAGCGGAAGGATGCTGGCATGACGTCAGGGTACGCTAGCCGAGGCGGATAAATTCCAACCTGGCCATGCTATGCGTTGCACGGCATTGTGGGCCATAGATGACATGATGATTGCCTCGTGACGGAAGTGCTGCTTCTTTGCTCTAGCCTCTGCAAATACCTCAGCGACCGAGTGTCCAAGACTCTGCTTGGCTTGTTAACGAATTCATAGATTGATGTCTCGCGACGGCCTCGTGCGGCCACGGCCACGGCGTCGGTGTCGGGAGAGAGGACTGAGCAGGCATAGATCTGCCGAGAGAGGCAGCGATGATCGGCTTGGAACTGCAAGAATCGTCTATGCTCCACGATAAGGAGGCGGCGTGGCTGCGACAGCTGAGCGGGGTGGTGTCCGACATTGGAGATGCTGGGGGACCAACACCTGCTGGTGGGTGGAGGTGCGCGCTTGAGCGGTGGCCTTGGCAATCAGGCAACCACCAAACGAACGGCGTGTGGAGATCTGGGCCTGCCTGGCGCCCGCCATCCCGCCACGACGAACGAGTCTGGGCCCAGCCCGCACATTCGTAGCTCGGGCATGGCACATGCAATTCTGAATGAGGTGGGCATCCAGGTGATTATTGCATAGTTACGCCTTGCAGGGCAGTGAGGCTAGAGGCATGACTGCTGCTGGGCTGACAGCATGCGGCGGCCGGCTGTTTTTAGAACATTTGACGTAGGGGCAGATCGGGGCGGGCGATCAGAGTTTTGGCCGCCATTGCGCACCCGAGCAGCAGGTTTCGCAATCGGGGAACAATGCAAACCTACCAGAGCTACTCCATAGGGCTCATCTCGCGCCTACCTAGCGCATCCGTTGCTTGCAGCACGATGACTGCTGCTGCGAGTCGGTGAGCCAACCAGGGGCGGCCTTGCGCAACCGTGAGCCAATGGTGCAGGACTGTGCAGCTGCTGACTGCTAAGGGTGGGGCCCCCACGGCTGGGGAGCTGCTGCGCCAATTGCAGAGCCGCCAAGCCCCAGTGGCGGGCCCACTACCCCTTCCCAGTCTGTGTGTGCATGGCCGCAGCGCAGCTCGTACTAGTGCCCTGCCAGCATCACAGCCCCTTCATCGCGCGTCCGCCAGTGCGCTGCTTCCAAAATCCTTATTTCGTCGCCAATCCTCGTCGCACTTTTATCTCTCGTGCCGCCCCGGCCAACACCCACCGACAACGGCCCTCCGCCTCTCAACAAACCCCCGTCCGGCACTCGGCGCATCTCGCCTCTCCCCTCTGTAGCCATCCTCGACTTGGCCCTTTTCAGCTCCTAGCCGACCATTTGTCGCGTTGACGGCCGACCCATTGCCAAGATCCTGCGGGCTCGGAGACGACGAGACCTGCCTCGACACCACCATCGCCGCGACCCTCCATCGTCTCCTCGACCTCAGTTGGGCACGCTTGTCTTGCGAACTACCCATTCGGGGTTCGACAACCACTCTGCGCAACGCATAGTTTGCTCTGGTGCGCCGCGTGTGGTTAGCGGCGGCTTTCACCCCTGAGTTCAAATTCCCGAGAGGGCGTTGGATAGCAGAAGTCTGTGTTCGCCCGGCCTTCAAGCAATTGTTCCACTCGGGCTTCGGCGTACATTCTACACACATGGGTCAGCCTCGCCAAAGCTCACGCTCGTAGCCACGTCGTCTCCATTGCCGAAGCATTGGTTTCTCCGCCTACGGCGGCCTCGACAATGCCTCGAAACATTGCGGAGCATGAGGAGTCTGTTGGGCTCCTCGACGACAGCTCCTTGACACTTGAGGCCGTCGTCACCACATCATCGACCGCCTCGCACGGGACATACTCGTCCACGGTGTCTTCGTCCAGCTCGGTCTGCAGCGACGACTTCGAAGGCTATATCGACGAGCCAAAGTTTGTCGCGTTCAAAAAGCCAAGGTGGCATGACAGCTTTGCAGGATGGTGCCGTTCTCGCCCGCGCCATGTCCGTCGCAAGTTCAGGAGGCCTCGTTGGGTCATTGTCGGCCGTTTGCTAAGATACCTTTTCCTCGCAATATGCGCTCTCATTGTCGTCACGCCCATCTTTGCGTCTTCATACACCAAGCCACCAGCGCAATACGGAGATCTCGAATTGCGATGTCACGGGCCGAGACCCCCCGCGGGATGTGCCAATCCGCATAACGAAAAGGTGTTCATCGCGATCAGTCTGTATGACAAGGGCGGTCACCTGGCTGGCGGTATGTGGGGTGCGAACTTGCTGCAGTTGATCCATCTCATTGGGGAGAAGAATGTGTTCCTCAGCATCTACGAGAACAACAGCGGGCCAGAGGGTGAGGCCGCACTGGAGAGTTTCAAGCGCCGTCTTCGCTGTCGACATCATATCGTCATCGATTCAGATGTGCCATTGTCCGACTTTGAGCACCAGACGATTGTTCTGCCGGATGGCAGCAAGCGACTGAAACGTCTTGCATACCTTTCAGAGATGCGGAATCGAGCTCTACGGCCACTTGATACCTTCAACACAGAAGACGGGATTGTCGAGTACGACAGGATCCTATTTATGAACGATGTTGCGTTTCGACCGACGGACGCTGCAAATCTGCTTTTCAGCACCAACGTTGGGCCAGACGGCAAAGCTCAGTACCTTTCGGCTTGCGGCCTCGACTTCATGTCGCCTTTCTTGTTTTACGATCTCTACGCCATGCGGGACGCCGAGGGTTTCTCGAACGGGCTGCCAATCTTTCCCATTTTCTCGAATGCTGGCCAAGGGATTTCGAGGGCCGCCATGGTGGCTGGCAGTGATGCTGTGCCTGTATCTTCCTGCTGGGGCGGCATCGTAGCAATGGATGCTCGATATGTCCAAAATCGGCAAGCCACGCTTCCGAGTCCTACCTTTCAGGACATTGGTAGCCATGTCATCGATCCGAACGACCCCACGAACGCCACAGCACCTGTTCGTTTCCGCTACGAGCCCGAGATATTCTTTGACGCATGCGAGTGCTGCCTGTTCCTGGCAGACGTCTCGCAGGCCGCACGCAAGGACAATGCCAAGGAGGTTGGTGTCTATGTTAACCCGTACGTGCGCGTGGCGTACGACTTCGACACACTCGGGTGGTTGCCGTGGGTCAAACATTGGGAGCGCCTATTCAGCATACCGCAGCGGATTCTCTCGCCGGCGCTGGGCTTGCCCACACACAACCCGCACCGGACGGTGCAGGAGGGCGATTCTTTCAAAGAGGAGATATGGGTTGGGGAAGGGGATGAGGGTCATTGGAAAACCGTGGATCGTATAGCGCGTAACGGCATGTTTTGTGGCGTGAGGGAGATGCAGGCTTTGCAAATTGGTAGGTCGCTTTCACGCTTGGTGCTCAGCACGCCCGCAACTATTCTAACCATTTTCTTTTGCAGAGGAGCGTACCGAGGACAAGAACTGGGAGAACTTTGAGATCCCTGGTGGTCAGACGTTGTACTTCCCAACCTAGTGTGTTTGAGGGGCAGTCTTACGTCCACCCATCTTGAGCCCGCCGGCTCTGCTGATGGCCCGGTCCCTGGCGATCCCGATATTGCCAACTTCGACAATGTCGCCTTGGTACGCCATGCTGCCTCCTGCATTTTTCGAATTGCATCACGAGTGGGAAACCTCAGTATTACACTGCACTGCAACTGCACCATCACGAACACGCCACAAGTGATGCAATAGAAACCAGTAGATCTCTCGCTTTGATCTAGGGCTGCAGGTTTGCCATCATTTCGGCGCGCCATGTACATACCATTCCGCATACCTGTACAATTCACCCGCCAACTCCGAGCAAAACATCCTAATGAAAACCACGGCGAAGCAAGCGCCAGCCCCTTGGCTGCGCACCATCCTCGTCACTCGTCACCACCAACCCACACCATGACGAGGCGGTCTTCCTTCAAGCCCTCACATGAATACATCCATACATCCATTTCCCCGCAAAACCCCGAATTCCGCATGATACCCTATCTGCTATTGCCTAGCTGCACCGGAAAAAAAGAATCCACCATCGCGGGGCATTCTCCATGTATATACACATTATTTTTTTGATGGCGCATGGATATACGCAATACGTCCTCCCCACCCTTGTGTCCCTCCCGTCAGATCCCCATAGCTTCCGTTGATCTCCGTGCCGGATGGTCCGAGGCAAGGCGGCTCTGGGATGACAAAAGAGGGAAGAGACGGCTTTAATACAATAATGATATACCTATTAAACTTGGCGATTGTGAGTGATTCTTGTAACAAATTCTGTGACGCTTCGGTCTGTATGTGTATGCTTGTCCTCGTGTGCTGCTCTTGTCCTCGTGTGCTGCTTTTGGGTCGTTCTAACCTTCCGGCCGTAATACGGAGATAACTGCATCAAGTCTCTGGGGCTACAAGCTATCGTGTATATAAGGTAATTATGTGTGTCAGGGACAGGTAGTGATGGCAAGTTATGATACAGTGAACTGTTTTCAAATACTTTGTCTATTCAGTCGTCTTGCAGACTAAGAGATGAGGAAGTACGATAAAAACTAGCAGGAGATCCCAAACATGCTTGCCAACTCATACTCGCCACAAAAAGGAAATCCCGACGATACAGATATGTATATACGTGCACAATACAAAGTCATGACCCAGCCATTCTAAATCCAGAGACGCTGTCTGCGGAAACGCGCTTGCGAAAACGAAGACTGCGGCATCAGGAAAGCAAAAGCAACAAATATGCGAGGAGCGGAGCGCCGCGCAGTTCGCGGAGGGGGATGTAAGCGTCCTTCTCAGGGCATTCGTTCATTCATGCCTTGGTCGCTGTCTACAAGGGCCTGTCAGCCTATCGTCGTCGCGAGAGTACAGTGTCGGAATATGTACGACGCAATGGTATGGGGTGGAGCAGTTGATTGTGAGAGATTGGTGGATGTGTTGTTTACCTTTTTGGTCTTGGCTTCGGTCTTGCCAACCTTTGCCTCGACCTTGTGCACGGCAGCTTTTGCCTGATTTTAAGCAAGTCAGCAAATGACTTGATGAAAAGACGAGAGCATGCGAGAAGAGCGCGACGCAAGACGAGATGTAGTGCTGTAGTGGAGGATGCAACTTGGTGAAGCACGGGGGCCACCCCCAGCAGATGTGAAGAAACCGTTCTCTCGGACAAGCACAACACCACCAATTTACTTCTTTTTTTATTCCCTCTTTTGGTGGGGAAGCTTGCAGGAGGTGGTGAACACAGCTTTTTCTGGTGAAAGTGGCTCCGCATTGCCTTTGTTTTTGTTGTTGTCGTTTTTGTTGGAGACTCAGCGAGCCGAGCCCACGCGGGGCACACCAGAGCGGAGATCAGACAACACACGGAAATTGAGAGCCCTACCTTTGCGCCAACGCCGTTCTTTTTGGGGGCGGCCGCCTTCTTGACACCGGCGGGCTTGGGAGTCGTAGTTGACTTCTTTGTCTTGGGCGCGGTGGTGCGCTTGATGGCCGGGGCCGTGTCGATGGTCTGGAAGACGCGCGGCTTCGAGTTGCCGGTGGCAGAACGTGTTCCCTCGCGAGGCATGATGACGGCGACTGGCTACTCTAGATAATTGATGGATTCGCTAGGTGGGAGGTGGAAAAAAGATGCGAGAACGGTCGCGGGAGACTGGAGGGCCGGGAAATGCACAGAGGAAGAAGATGCGACGCGAGTTGTGGGCGGGCGACAGAATGCGACAGGAGCTTATAGGCAGGAGAAGGGGAGGAGCAGGAGGAGGAGGAGGAGGAGGAGGAGGAAGGCGCGACCGACAAGACAGAGGGGCGGGGGTGTGTGTCCCCGTGGCAGGGCATCAACACCTGACAGCAGCGGCACCTCAGCTGGTCCAGTCTTTGTGTTTATCAGGCTAAGCTAGGTAGGTACTGAATGTGTAGTCATCGACGGCAAAGGCTGTGTAGGAGTTGCTTAACAGGCATCGGTATCGAGTCCTGCGTCTCGTGCGCGGGCAGGGCGGCTACAGAGGCGGCCGGGCTGGGGAGATGGACGAGGGCGGCGAGGGGAGCACAAGTGACTGGCCTGGCCTGGCCCGACTCGACCCCTGATTGACTGATGCGACCCCCGATTGCAAGCTCCAATCCACGGCCGCTTCGTCTTGCTTGCTGGGGGATCCCTCGTCCGTCCCGTCCCCCCTCCTCCTCGCCTTTCTTGCCTCTCTTGCGTCTTTTGCCTCTCCCTTCTCCGTGGTCGTGCGACGCACTCTTCAGAACTCCAGGTCAGCATCCAAGACGGCCGCTTCTTCTCGCTTGCGTCGCGTGTCGCTAGATTCAAACAGGCAAGGAAGGGCCCATTGATTTCGGTAACCCTGTACAGAGACCTGTACAGAGAGACGGCCGTGAGGACAATCATCAGCACGGGTGTGTGGTACTGTAATTATGAGCCGCCGTGGGAGCCAGCTTCCAGCATCAATCACTTTGCAGATGGTCGGCTTGCAATCTAAGTATCAAACGCCATCATTTGCTGGAAAACCTCTACATCAACTACACGGCCATGACCCAAGACACCTGCAACATATGCCAAGCTAAACTATCAATCCCAATTTCTTTCGACATGCAGAACCGTCAACATCTGGAAATTCAAGCAGCATAGCCAATTTGTATCTCCCCCCCATTGTATTTCTCACTCCCGCCCGCCTTGCCTTGTTCTGATCATCCCCCATAAGCACTTGCGCGCGCGCACACACACACATCCTCAGTTGCCCTCATCCGCGAGCTCCTGGGCAAACTTTGACCGTCTGCGCAGAGAGGCGCCCTTGAAATAAACCCAGAACACGGCGCCGACCAGCAACAGCGAGATGCCAAACAGGATCGTCGAGGCGATCTGGAAATTCAGCCCTTTGTCGGCGGCAATGTTGGTGTAAAATGGCACCGCGGGGACCGTCAGGACGCCCGCGAGGAAGTCGCGCGCCCAGCCGTTGCCTCCGGTCGCGCTGGCGCTGTACTCGGCGCCGTACGCGCGCACCATGTACTCGATCGTGCTGGCGTACACGGCGTAGTTGGCGATGCCGATGATGAAGCTGCCGACCATGGTGCCCGCCCAGTGCACAGGAGGGCCGCCGCTCGTCCAGCCAAAGATGATCAGGCCGACTGGCAGGCACGGCGCGAGGTACAGCAGCGGCTTGAGGCGGGCCTCGTACTGGGCGTGCTCGTTGCTCGGGTCGGCCTTCCTGGCTGCCATGTTGCGCCGGTAGAACGGGATGAAGAGAACCCACGCGGCAACGTAGCCCAGGAACAGAGGGATGAAGGCGAGGCCGATGTTGATAGGACCGAACCCCCACTGCTGGTAGATGAGGCCGAAGGCCTGGACCTGCATAAAGATCAAGGCGTCGGAGAAGCCAGAGAGCAAGGATAGAGACAGGACAATGGGCTCCGTGACGAACATGATGAAGGGCCGAATCCAGATCCGGCCTACTTCGGCCCAGTCCGTCTTCTTCTTCTTGAGCTCACCGGGACCGTAGATGTTGCAGGCAGGATCCGAGGCGCGCTTCTTCTTGGCGATCTTGTCGAGCACAGATGTCGTCCTGGTTTCCGGGGTAAACAGGTGCAGCAGCGCAATGGCAAAGCCGAACGCAACCTGCACGACGCCCGTATATCTCCAGTCGGCGTACTCCTCGATGAAGCCGCCCACGATCGGGCCGAAGATGCTTCCGCCGACAGAAGAAAAGACGATGAACGCCGTGGCGTACTGGAAGTCGTCATCGTGGCTGTCAAACATGTCGGTGATGATGGCGAGCGTGACGGATCCTCCAGCCGTGCAGATACCGCCAAGGGTGCGAGCCGCCAAGATTGCTCCAAAGTTGGGTGCTACGGTGGCGAGGATGCCAAAGACATTGACCATGAACATGGAGCACTGGAGAATAATTTTGCGGCCGAATTCCTCGGACCAGGGCGCCCAGAGCTCGCAGCCAAACGCGTAGGCGATGAGGAAGGCCGCCGCGCCCCAGCGCGCAGCCTCCTCCGTGACGCCAAACTCCTTGGCGATGCCGGGGATGCCGTTGCTGTAGAGTGTCGTGTTGAGGTTCATCGATACCTGCACGAGGAACACGACGCAGAGGATCAGCCATTTCTTTCTGCGCGAATAGGCAAAGGGCAGCTCGCTCGCGACATCTTCGGGCTTGAGCTCCGTCTTGGGCTTCTCATTGGCGTTGGGTAGCGCAGAGCCGCTGCCGGAGTCGCTGCCGGTGTGGCTGTTGCTATTGGCATAGTCGTTGCGCAAGGGGTGCGACCTGGTGAGGAAGGGCATCTCGTGGGCGTCGTGGTCCCTGTCGAGGGGAATCTCTCTGAGGCTCGAGTTGGCAGCCATGATTCGATGCTTCTTATCTTGGCGTCCGTGATGAGGTGTGGTTGTTGAAGGAAGGACTTGGTGATAGAATGGTAAAGGATCGAGATGAAGAGGTCGGCCTAGAAGGTCGTGGTCCGGGAAACGTGCAAGAAGCACACGCAGGCGTGCGTATTCATTAAAATTTATAGGCTTCCCAAGGCATGGAGACGACGGCTGACTGCTTAAGCTTGGGTGACCACGATGACGAGTTCCATGGTACCGGCTCCGGTGGTAACAGCGGGGACAGGTGCAGTGTTGTATCAAGGCTTGCTATAAGCTTAGTTTGAACGGCTCCCACGTCTCGATAGATCATGGTAACGCTCCTATTCCAGCCGTGTGGAACGATGCAATGATCTCGGATTGCTTCTCAGGTGGGTGAAGTGTCTGGAGCTACCACTGTGGCTATCGTCAACCTTTCGTCGGGAGATTGCGAAATGTCTGATTGATGCCTCTCGAAGACACGATGCGGTTGAGGTTCATGCAGACCCATTCGTGGCGGCCACCAGGAACGCGGCCGTGCCAAATTCGCGCTCACTCTGTGCGAACCCAAAGGGTTATAGAAACCGACCTTCCAGGATACCATGAGAGATGGCAACACGAGTCACTATGTACAGTCAGTCATATTGGGACTAAAACTAAACTTGGAGCATGGTAGGTTTAAGCTTAACACTGTCACTCTTGGACTGGTAGCATCGCTGTGTAGGTTACCGCGGAGTACCTTGTCAAAGTCCTGATGCATCCTCGTAACGTATTTGGCTTGGTGCCCAGTAGTGGCCGACCGGATACCTGCGTCCAGACCAGAACTCGCAGTTTTGTGTTCTCTTTGAAGGGTCGATCACAACGCTAGCTTGTCAGATGATCGCCTCCGGTATTGTATGGCACCATGTAGGGAGAACTATTCGCGACGTCCCAAGGCTCGGGACAGTGTGGTTGGCGAAAGCCGCTTGCTTGCTCGTATTATCTGGGATATCTTGCTTTTCATACCCGTCCGTGCCGACCTCGTCGTGCTGGCACTCATGCGTGACTGTTTGGTGTCCTACGTTATGGCGTACTCCGTCTGCCAGGATGGCTACCACCTTCGTGAAGTATTCCCCTTTTACAAAGAGGCAATGTCCAGTCCCTCCACCCTGCCCAAGAAATCTCCTTGCGCGCCCCTGAGGAGCTCATCCACATCCACCATTCCGGTGGCAATGTACTTCTCGCTCACGCCCGTGTTGACGCGCTTCGAGAGCAGCTCCCTCAGCTCGGCTCGCAGTGCTGCGAGCTCCGCCTTGGTCAAGCCTCTTGCCTCCTCGGCTTTCTTCTGTCGTCCGCTCCCGCGACCACCCCACTTGCCAACATTCTCAATCTCGTCACTGTCGTATTCTACGCCGAGCTCCTCAGCGGCGTTGCGCATCCAGTCGTCCTCCTTGTTGCCCTTCTCCTTGGCGAGCTGTGCGTCGGCGATCTTTTTGGCCAGGGTGAGTCGCGGCTTCAGCCTGCCGACGAGTTTCCGATCCATCTCAACGGATTGGACAAAGAAGTTCTTGCGGCTGGGTTTGCTCGAACCGCCGTCCCGCTGCGAGTGGACCTTGGCGATCAGGCGGCGAGTGGGGGTAACTTCCTCTGGAGCCGAGAGCAGAATGCTGAGTCCCGTCTGTTGAGCGCGAGCGGTACGGCCCGAGCGGTGGACGTAGGTGTCGGCTGCGCGCGGTACGTGGTAGTGGACGACAAGATCCACACCAGGGATATCAAGACCACGAGCAGCCACGTCCGTGGCGATAAGGATAGAGGACTTGCCCTTTGGTGCGACTGTGAATCGCTCGATGGACCGCAACCGCGCCTTTTGTGGCATTTGAGAATGTAGGGCAAAGGCTGAGAGGTTGAGGTTTTGCAGCATTGGCGTAATACGCCTGGCGGAGCTGATGGAGTTTGTGAACACAAGTGTCCGTGCGGTTGGGTAAAAGAGTAAAAGGGCATAGAGGTAGAGATCCTGACGCGGAGTTAGTGAGCGACAATGAGGTCAGTGTACTCCGTAGACTTACCTTCTCCATAGCACCGCATTCGACAAGACCCTCCTTCAAGCCTTCGGCCATCTGCGACACCGGGTTGACGTCAATGAACTTTGGCTTCTCTTCACGGAAGTTCAGCTTCTTGAGCAGATATTCCATGGAGTCCTGTTCTGTCATAAGGTTGAAGCGACCTTTTCCTGCCAGTTTCTGCTGAAGACCCTTGTGGAAGGTCGCAGAGAAAACAAGAGTCTGCCTCGGCGACGGCTCGCTCTCTTCCCCATCCTCTTCTACCTCTACGCGGTCCAGGGCTGACAGAATCTCTGATGCCTCCTTGAAGTGACCCTCAGTCAAGAGTCTGTCAGCCTCGTCAACAACCAAGTAGCCAATACCGCGGAAGCTCTGCATCAAGTCGGAACTCGAGCTAAGGACTTCCCACAGGCGACCAGGCGTGCCGATGACAATGTCAGCTTTCACCAGCTGTCTTTGCTGTTTCTGCACGGACAGACCTCCTGTAACAGAGCATACATAAGGAGACGTGGGCAGCCCTGCGCACAGGTTCTTGATGTGCTCCGTCAGCTGATGGGCTAGCTCTCGCGTCGGCGACAGGATCAGCGCCAGGGGAGACTTGATAGTTGATTCGCCTTCTATCTCCTCCTCCTTCTCGGCAGGCTCCGTAGTTTCCTCTTGTTCCGACTTCATCTGGAGCCACTTTTCGACAATGGGAATGCCAAACGCCAATGTCTTTCCAGAACCCGTTGAAGCTTTGCCGATCACATCGTTTCCTGCGAGAATATGCGGCACGACAGCAGCCTGGATCTGCGTCGGTTTGGAGAATTTGAGCTTTGACAGCGCCGCAAGTATCTGTGGTGAGAGCCCCAAACCTTTCCAGTCCGTGACGTCGACCTCTTCCTCGGGTTCCTCAGCGGTGTCGACGAGGGCATTGAACACGTTGCTCTCCAAAGCAAGGTCCTCCTCCGTCTCGACAGCCACCTTCTTCTTTTTCTTCTCCTTCTTCTTCAGCGGTTTGGAGATTTCGGCGTCGATGCTATCACCCCCCTTTGGGTCTTGGCCCTCTTCCTCACCGGCTGCGGAGGTCTCGTCTTCGGCATCGCCTTGCGCTGGAGGATCTGGAGAGGGTATCGGTGCTTGCGAGGGCTCGTCGTCGAATCCCTCGAATTCGTCGTCATCTGATCCGTCCACTGCATCTCCACGCTCATGCTCCTCTGTCTTTGGTTGACCTTTTCCTGTTTTCTTGGACGAGTCCGGTTTGTCGTCATCCTTGGCGGTGGCAGACTCCAGAGCCCTGAACTCGACCGTGTTGTTCTCGTGGCGAATGACCTCGACGTCGTCGATCTCCTCCAGGCCGAAGAACCCCTCTGCGTCGTTGGTCATGTCTGGAAGGGTGGCCTTGCGCCATCGCAGCGAGTCGACGCTCACAGGTCGCCTGGCCTTCTTCTTGGCGGCGGCCTTGGAGCTTGTCGCTTGGGTCTTGCGCTTCTTGTCGGGTGCGGCAGACCCGTTGGGCGCGACCTTGCGCTTCTTATTGCTCTGGACACTGGGCGCCATGGTAGATCCAGCTTCGAGGGGACGAGTTCCGCTATTGTTGTTGCTGCAAGCCGGGGACGAGAGTCGACAGCTTGGGAACAATTCATGACGAGCAGGCTTATCGCTGGCGGATAAGAAAAAAAGTTTGGGGCGATGGATCGGGCATGGACGCTCCATGCAGGGGTCCAGCATCGACTTGCAGGGCAGTGGACCCACTGGCTTCTTTTTCATCGCAGGATTCCCAGCGCTACGCAAAACCCCCACCACTCAGATGAGAGGGGCAGGGCCATGCTAAATGTCTTGCGGAAACACCATAATCCATTCTCCTTGAACGCGTTAGAGTTCTAGTCGATAATCAGCTTGGGCAAGCTCACAACAAAAGCCATGGGCAAATCGTCAAAGGACAAGCGAGACGCCTACTATCGTCTTGCCAAGGAGCAGGGCTGGCGAGCGAGAAGTGCGTTCAAGCTTTTACAGCTTGACGAAGGTATATTGAGCCTTTACGACTTAGACCCTGCTCTTTTTTTGACCTGTTGCTAATAAGGAAACTCCAGAGTTCGACCTGTTTTCCAATGTCACCAGAGTGGTAGATCTCTGTGCCGCTCCCGGAAGCTGGTCTCAAGTCCTGTCTCGCGTTCTCATCAAGGGCGAGAAGTTTGGTCGCACGGCGTGGCAGGATCGTGAGGCAAAGCTTCGCGAGCAGATGCTTGGCGTCTTCAGCACCGGCAACCTCGAGCCCATCGCCCCTTCAGAGCCAGTAGAGCTGCCTCAGCCGAGAAAGGACGTAAAGATTGTCTCCATCGACCTCCAGCCCATCAGCCCCCTGCCTGGCATCATCACCCTGCGGGCAGACATTACGCATCCTGCTACAGTGCCATTACTGCTCAAGGCGCTTGACCCGGACTACGACCCGCAGAGCGGGAGCCAGCAAGCCGCCCAGCCTGTGGACCTCGTCATCAGCGATGGCGCCCCCGACGTGACTGGTCTCCACGATCTCGACATCTACGTCCAGTCACAACTGCTCTTCGCGGCGCTCAACTTGGCCCTATGCGTGCTCAAGCCCGGCGGCAAGTTCGTGGCCAAGATCTTTCGAGGAAAGAACGTCGACATCCTGTACGCACAGCTCAAGATCTTCTTCGAGCGCGTCCATGTCGCCAAGCCGCGGTCATCCCGCGCGAGTAGTGTGGAGGCTTTCATCGTGTGTTTGAACTTCCAGCCTCCCAAGGGGTTTTCAGCCAGCCTGGAGGAGCCGTTGGGAGTAGGCTTCCGCCTCCCCCAGATGACCAAAGACAACCAAGAAAGAAGTGCCATCAGCGCCACGACAATTCTTCAAAACCACACCACAGGGGCATGGGATAGCAGTCCCGCAGTTGTTGCCTCGCCAGATAATGATGGCATCACCGAGCTTCAAGCAGAGGATTACCGGCCGTTGGATCGCCTGGCTGATGTCCGGTGGATTGCCCCGTTCATTGCGTGTGGTGACCTCTCGGCCTTTGACTCGGACGCTTCCTATCGCCTTCCCGCCGATCATGTGTCGCTGGACCCCATCCAGCCTCCAACAGCTCCCCCTTACAAGCGTGCGCTGGAAATGCGCAAGGCAGCTGGTGGCGCTTATGGCAAGACCAATATCGGCAAGACAACAACGAAAGCAGACAGGGTCATGCCTTGATCACAAAGACGATTACCGCACACTCTTGGAGATGACCGTTGCTACATTCCCCATGGCCAGGCCTCCGATACTATCCATCCTCCACCAGAGGTAAATCACAGTTGGCCCTTATGTCTCGACGGAAATCTAGTGATCTGGGTGCTTTCCACCCGGCCCTTCCAGCACGCCCACGCCCAAGTCGTCCGTGCCGAGTTCCCGCCAGTCCTTGACCCCGAGAGTCTTGCGATACAGGTCCATCGAGTCTGAAGCAAGAAGCATGAAGCGACGCAGATACTTCCACTCAGAAATGGTGTCATGGATAGCCTCCATCATGAAGCGCGCCAATCCGCGCCCCTGGTATTCCTCGCGAACATATACGTCCGTCAGCCACGCAAACGTCACGCCGTCCGTGATCAGCCTCGCAAAGCCAATCTGGACAAGTGCTTGATCCGGGCCTATTGTTTTTTCAAGTCAGCTTCGGTCATTGGACTCACGATTGCGGAGAGGGAAGAGACCCGCAGCCTCTAGCCATTGCGAATGGCTTTTCGAGAAATACCGCACGCCCTCAACTTACCCACGTCCAGCTCGCGATCGGGCCTGAGATCGCCAACATGACCAGCATCACCTGTGTTTCCAACAACCTCGTACAACCCGAAGCAGAGCGAATTGCCCAGTGCCTTCCCCATAGTCTCCCGCGGCAGGCCCTGCGCCCACCACATCAGGTCGGACGCAAACGCCTGGTTGACCTTGTCCGTCTGGATGAGCGCGAGATCCGTGGAAACGAGATACTCGCGGTTGCGCCAGCTGCTCGCTGGGATGTCGAGAACCATTTTCGCTGGTCTTTGCGAAGGAGGAGCAGATGTATGATGAAAGGTGTCTAGGCACTTCTAGCAGGAACCACTCATTGAGCTGCGGGTCTCGTACAAACTGTGTGACTGTATTGACCCAAAGAAACACTGCCGAAGTTGAATGTTTCTAGAAATCGCTGAGGTTTATTGACGATCAATCGAGTAGTGAATCGAATCTTGTTCCTCGCAGAACCGCTGCTCAACAGAGCTCGCCTCGCGTTATTGCGTGAATCGGGCTAGAAAGCCAACGATTATTCTTCAGGCCTGCCTGTGACCTGATTGCAGCACAGGAATCGGGAGATGTCGCTGCAAATTGTGTGTCCTGCAATGTGTTTTGTGACAAAGTGTCTCGTGTCGAAGCTCAATAACGCAGTCGGAATGAAAGAAAAGCCGTCTATATAGCACGTACTCGATGTAAAACGAGTCAAGTGCTTCCTCCTGGGCCGCCGGCAAGCATGCAGCCAGCCAGCCAGGGAGCTAGCCGGTAATCGGACCCCCGTCCGCCCTGATTGTGGGGACGACGCGCCCTTCTCCTCACACCTCTCAAGAGAGCAGTGACTCAAAAGCTTTAGACTGACGACTGCCTGTCTGATTGGGGAATGTCCTGCCGAGCACCCAGCGATGAACCCTGCCCGGGCCATGAATACAATCAGGCAGAGTTTCAAGCACGGAGCTGCAGCAGCGATGGTGATGATGCTGATAGCAGAATGAGAGCTGCGCTTAATCGAGCAATTCATTCAGCAAACCATGCTGCCACTTTGGTGCTGCTAACCATTCTTCTTCACATTCACAGCAGTCGTGTGAGCGAACCCCAAAGGACACTATCAAACAACCGTCCCGTCATTCTTATTTTTCATACATAGAGAAGTACAGTAATAAAAGAAAAGTCTTTGTGCGAGCCCACTAGCTCGAAGATGCGCCAGATTCAGCTCGGGCAATTTCACGCCCGTTTCCCAACAACATCGTCATAAACCGACATCACAACCCCAGATCTCAAGAGCCAGCCACCGTAGTTTGCTTATGCTTGTCCTGATCTCTCACAGTCTTTCCCGTGTATGGATTCCTGTCCGCCCATTCATTGGCCCGCAGCACCACCACCGCGCGCTCGCTTTGCTCCATTACCGGCAGCCTCCGCCTCTCCTCTTGGGCGCTTGTTGCCAGGTTGAAACTCAGCAGCACCAGCATTCATGCTATTTCTGCCGCCTTGCTGGCCGCCACGTCCACCACGCTGTGTGCCGCCCCCACGCGCTGCACCACGAGGAGCTTGGTATGCACCACCACGGCCACGAGTGGCAGGTACAGGAAGCGACGGAATGCCAGATGCCTTGGGTGCGGGGATTTGTGATCCAGCCTGTCCTGTCACTTGCGGCTGGCCGGCTGCCGGAACACCTGGCGCTGATGCAGCTTCTGATACAGGTGCAGCAGGTTTTCCGAAGGGGTTGGCCACGGCAGGAGCAGCAGGTTGTTGGTTCTGGCTACTGGCGAACGGATTGGGAATCCCACTAGCTCCAGTCGCAATTGCGGGCTTCGGTATGCCGGTTGCTAGAGTAGGCTTGACTTCTGCAGTCGCCTGCCCTGTCGCTTGTCCAACTGCAGCAGGAGTGACGGCACCATTAGCAGATGCTGGAGGCTGCTGCGCGGCAGGCGCAGCGGCTGGAGGCGGCGGTGGCTTGACATCCTTAGCCTCGTTCCAGACTTCCGCGACGGCGCGATCAGGCGTTTCCTTGGCGGCATTCTCGATGTACCCAAGCTTGGCATTTGCTATCCGCGAGCGATTCTCCGCCATGTTGATGCGAAGCTTCGACTTCGATTCAGCCATAGCCTCTGCTTGCTCTCGGGCTTGGGCAACCTTAGGCTCGTACTCAGCCTTCAGCGTCACGGATAATTCCTCCCGAAGTTTCTTGGACTCAGCGGTGATCTTAGCCCGGATATTGCTGGTCATGATGCTCTTGATCGTTGCGTTATGAGAAATCAAATCTCGGATCTCTTTATCACCAAGACTGTTGACGTCCACAACGGGTGTGCTTGGCGTAGCAGCTGGCAACCCTTCAGTGGGCTGCTGCTTGATGGGTGTCTCTGGTGGACCGCCTTCCTTAGGAACTGATGCTCCTGTTGCGTTCTCAACCTCCCAGATCTTTCTTTCCTGCTCCATGCGAAGCTTGAAGTCGGCCTCCAGCTTCTCCTTCTCCTGCGCACTCTGCGCCTTTTGTTCCTCCATCTGAGACTTGTAGTCGTTGAGCTTCTTGTTGAGGGCATCCTTCATCTTGTCACTGCGTGCCTTGACGGTTGCGTTGATGCTCTCCTCGGCCTCACGAGCCTTGACCTCAAACTCGGCAGCCTTGGCCTCTGCCGCGGCAATCTGCTGCTCAAGAGCAACCCGCTCATCATCGCTCAGTGGTCCTGTATTCGCATGCGTGCCGTTCTCCATGGGGACATCGCCATTAGTCACGTTGCCCGAAGCCACATTCGCCAGAGCCTGGTTGCGTTCTGCGATCGCACTGTTGAGCTGCGATCGCAGGCTCTCGAGTTCGCTTTCGACCGCGTTCTTCTCGGCGGTGATCCGCTCCAGCTCGGCGCGAGCTTCCGCGAGTTGCGCTTGGAGCTCGGTTGTTGCTTGAGCCTCGCCATCGGTGGCCGGCGCGGCGGCAGGAGTGGCAGGAGTGGCTGGCGCCGCTGGCGGTGGTGCCTCGCCGACGGCGGTAGCAGCGTTCTTCCGAGCATCTTCCTGCAGAGCTTCGACCTGTTGTCGGAACCGGTTGATCTGCTCCTCAAAGCCGGCACGCTCTTGGCGCGCAGCCTCCAATTCTTGCTGTGTTGAGGACAGGTCATTGTTGACTCGCTGAACTTCCTGCTGAAGCTGGTCCTTCTCGACAACCACCTCCCTCTTCTCAGCAATAAGCTGCCTTGCCTTTTCTTTGGCAGAACTGATAAGCCGCTCACGGGTGACCTGCCATGATGCTTTGTCCTCCTCCATGGTCTTCTCCAGAGTCTGAATGCGCTCCTTGAGTTCGACCTCCGCCGCGCGAAGCGAAGCATTCTCTTCCTCCAGCACAGTAATTCTCTCTTTGAGAGTCTCAAGCTCTGCAGGGTCAGTCCTTCCGTGTTTGGACAAGATGTCTTCAGTTCGCTTTTGCCATCGGTCACGGTCCTCTTGCAACTGGCGCATCTCCGCGTCCTTGAAAGCCTGCTGACTTTGAAGTTCTTCGATCTGACCCTCCAGAGGCTGAATAGTGGCCTCGAGTTCAGCAACCCTGGCCATCTTCTCCTCGAGCTTGGCACGAGTGTCACGAGCCTCTTGCCGAAGAGCAGCACTGCTCTCGCGGAACACATTCAGCTCCTCCAACTTCTTCATAAGTTCCTTGTGAGACATGCTGTTGCGCTCGTTGTCGGACTGTGACTGCCTCTCTTGCTCCAGCTTGAGTCGCGCTTCGTCGAGCTGAGACTGACTGTACTCGTATTGCTGCTGCAGTCGCTTTACTTCTTGGACCTTGAGCTCGTACTGCACCTCGAGGATCTCCTTCTCACGACGGAGATAAGTGCTCAATTCACGCAGACTGTTGTCGCCAGCACTGCTGGGTTGAGCAGTGATTGCTTCCAGGTTCTCGTTGGAAGCTTCTCTGTTATGTTGGAGAGCCGCAATCTGGGTATTGACATTATCCAGCTGCTGGTGCAAGAGCTTGTTCTGGGCATTCGCATCGTCTCTGCGAGCGCGCAGCTCGGAAAGCTCCTGCTCGAACTTTTGTCGTCGGTCTTCCCAAGAGCTCTCACTCTGGAGCAGTGACGCCTTGGCGGACTCGGCTTCAGCCTTCCACGACGCCGTCGTCGTCTTCAGCTGATTGTGCTCTGTGCGCAAGGCGGACAGTGCTTGCGCGGTCTGCCCATGCTTCATGACTTCGCTCTCGTAAGCTTCCTGGGCGTTGCGCGCAATTTCTGCCTGCGCGCGGAGGTCTTGTTGGTGGAATTGTGCGGATGCAGTATATCGCTCGTCCTCATCCTTGAGGCGCTTTATCTCTTCGTTGAGAATAGCCTTTTCCTCTTCGAAGTGCCGGGCAACCTCGGCTTGTGAGTCGCGGATAGTGGATAGTTCTCCATTAGATCTGGTCAGTTCTGCCGAGATGTCCTCCACCCGCTGCTCGAGCTCCTTGATCGCCGCATCCTTGGTGGCAAAGGACGCCTCGATCTCCTGATTGTATTGCTCCTGGGCAGAGTTCATCCTCTCGAGCTCCTCTTCTGATGCTTGGCTAAGCTCCTTGTACCGCTCAACCTGCTCCTTGGCATTCTCCAATTGGGCCTGTGTAAGTTCCAGATCGCGCTTCAGATCTGTTACTTCGTGAATCAGGCCCTGAATACGCTCATCAGCATCGCTCTGGCCAGCCCCTAACTGCGCAACAGGAGCCATCGATCCAGGTCTTGGTGTAGGCCGAGGCTGGAGACGCTCAGCACGCTCCTCTGCGCTTCGAAGCTCGATAGAAAGACCATCAACACGGCTTTGCAGGTGATCCCGAGTGGTTTTGGTTGCAACAAGCTCTTCACGGATCTGGCTGAGGTTGGTGGTCAGCTCATCGATGCGCTTCTGAGCTTGTTGCGAGTCGAATTCCTTCCTCAACTGGGCCTTCTTGGCTTCGTCAACCTCCTCGCTGAGCTTTCGCTTCGTTGCGCTGAGCTCATTCTCGAGATTCTCGATTTGGGTCTGCATACGACGCTTTGTCTCAGCTTCACTAAGCTCGCGCTCGTTCTGGAGTGTCTGCTGTGTGGCAAGGAGACCATTGAGTCTTGATTTCTCCTGCATGAGGTTTTCGTTGTCGTTCGCCATGCGTTCCTGGATGTCCTTCCACAGCTTCTTCTCCGCTTTGAGATTGGCATTCTCACTGCGGAAGCTGTCGAGTTGTCCACGAGCCTCGATCAAGTCTTCCGCTACCTGCTGAGTTCGGATGTCCTGCTTGGCGGCGGACTCATTGATGGCCTGGTTTCGAGCCTGCAGCTCCTTATTCTCGGTCTGCAAGGCCACAAAGTTCGATTGCAACATCTCGAAACGCTCAGAAGCGAGGGTCAACTGGCTCGTCACCTTGGAAAGCTCGGATTGCAGGCTGTTCTTCTCGGAAGACAACCTCTCGACCTGGTCTTTCATGGTCTTGCGGTCAACTGATTGCTCATTTCTGTAGGTGTCGAAGTTTTGCTGCAGCTCGCGAAGCAATGTGGTGTAGTCGGAACCTTCGTCGGGATTCGAGCTCTGTTCGATGCTGGCAAGCACACCTTCCTGCCTTGAACGTCCGAGCGCAGAGGCTAGTTCCTCCGCAGTTGCGCGCGACTCAACGATTCTGCGGAACATATCCCTCTCCTTCATGATGCTGTCAGCACGAACCTTGAGGCCACCAAGCTCGTCCTCGAAGATCTTGAGCTTCTGGTGCAGAGCCTCAACTTCCTTGTGGTCGGCGATAGCTTGGTTCTTGGCCGCAACAGCCTCTTCGCTCTCCATCTTGTCGCCGAGCTCATGTGTAACCTGGAGAAGCTGCTGGTTCTTCTCCTGAAGTTCCTGGATATCCTTGAACACCACAAGGCGTTGCAGGATCATGCTGTTCACATCCGATGGCTCACCGTTGTTGTCGTCAATCTGGCCTCTTTCAAGGCGCTGGAAGTGCAGCGTCTCCTCGATACTGAGCTCGTCGAAGCCCTTCTCGCGGCAGTGGATGTTAAATAACAGCATCTGCACCTGAGCCCCGAGATCCCTGAGCTGATTGCGCAAGATCTTGAGCTCGGCTTGCGCGGTCGCAGCCACTGCCTCGGCTCTGCGGGCGGCCTTCTTTGCATTGTCACGGGCAGTGAAGGCTTCGTCGGAGAGATGAGAGATGGTCTTGAGTTCTTGTTGCAATCTCTCATTGTCGGCATGCAGCTCTTCCAGCTCCGGGCCCTTGGCCTCGAGCTGCTCGATAACATCGTCCAGCTCCTTGGCAAGGTTGTTGCTGCGTTGCTTTTCAGCACCCAACAGACCCTTGATCTTGTAGTACTCTTCGAGGTGCTGGGTACCCACAGATTTCCGCATGGATCCCGGCGTGAAAGGGAGAGGTGATGCTGGGCGGAATGGTGAGCCGTTTGCACGAGGCGTCTGGGGTGTTGAGCCAGGCTGGTTGCGGGCGCCATCAGCCAGCATGGCCTCAAGCCGTCCGACTTCAGCCTGCAGGGCATCGGCTTTCTCGGAGAAGTCGTCGCGGTCGGAGTTGGCCCGCTCGAGGCTCTCGTTGACCCGACGCACCTGGTCCTCGCACTCTCGCTTGATCTGTTCCTCTCGTGCCTCAAGTTCCTGGACTCGGTTGCGATGAGTTTCCGACTGCTTCTGCTGAAGGTCGACAAGACGTTGGAGACTATCAGTCTGTTGTCTGGAGTCCTCCTCTCGGCGGGCAGCCTCCTCTTGCAGTTGCTGGACCTTGATGAGCGCATCCTCGGCTTTCTTCTGTGCTTCCTCGATCCGCTGGCGGAGGTGCGTCTCCGTCCGCTTCATCGATTCGATCGTACTCACGGCGTCGTCGTTCTGGCGCTGCAGCTCGGCGATGTGCGCCCCCTTCTCTTTGCGGAACTTGAGACCCTCTGTTGTCTTGGTCTTGAGTTCATTCTCGAAGAAGTCGCTGCTCCGCTGAGCCATGTCGAGCTGCTGCTGAAGAGACTGTTCCTTGAACTTTGCGCCTTGGAGAGCGTTCTGGATATTCTGAACATTCTGCTGCATGCTCGTGATCTCCTGGCTCAGCTTGAGGTTCTTCTGATGCTGTGCCTGCAGTTCTTGAGACAGAGATTCGTTTGCAGAATTCTTGGTATCGATGATGGAAAGTGCTTCGCGATTCGATGTCTCGAGCGAGGCGATGCGCGCCTTGAGCTTCTCGACCTCGGATTGTGAAGTTGAGCTTGAGGATCGGATGGAGGCCAGTTCATTTTCGAGAGATTGTCGTGTCGTTTCTGCCACAGAGACGCCATTGTCAGCAACACTTTCTCACGCGGCAGATGCAAATGCAGCGTTTGCGACAAGCACACTTGACGTACCTTCCTCCTTGAGCTTGTTACGAATCTCTTCAAGTTCACGGAGCGCTTGTGCGGCCCTTTCGTTGCTAGCGTCACGCTGCGCCTCGGCTCCGCGGACAGATGTCTCGAGTTGGACCTCGAGCTGGACCTTCTGAGTGTAGAGTTCATCACATTCGTACGCCTTGGCGGCGACAGCGGAAAGGAGCGCCGTGACGAGCTCGGGGGTGGGAACCGTGACGATGGTGGACAGGTTCTCCTGCGGCATGCCCAGGTGGGCAGCCAGGTAACCAATGTCCACGTCGGCCATGGTGTATCTCTATCGTGGACGCGATGTCTACTTCATGGAGGGTGGACTTTGGGAGGCTGTGTCGAAGGAGTGATTGTCGATTGAAATGCGCCGTCTGAGAGAAAGGTGATGGGTTGCAGCCTAGACAGCCGTGCGCCCGATGCCGATGATTAGGATAAGCACAAAGAAAAGATGAAGGAAAGGCCCGCTAGCCTGGGTTGTCGGCTGGCGAAGTCAGGTTGTTTGCATTGAGACTGGTCGATGGCCAAAGTGCAAGGCGCAAGTGCAAGGCGAAGGGTCGGTTGGTTGTTGACAACAAAGATGCCCTCCCAGCACAGAGAAGTGGGAGAAAACAACTTGCGACAACTTCCGCTGCGCTCTGACGTGCGCTTGCGCAGGGCGATGTCGACGTCCGGAGAGGCTTGGGTAAGGCAGTTGTGTTGTGGACGGGAGAATGCCCTTGTTTGCCTGGTGTCTGGCAAAAGCTGCAGCAGAAGGGAAGGGACCGAGAAACGCGACGCTGCAGGAGGTGAGCAATCGGTGACCAGGGCCTGAGAGCTGGCCTGGGGGAGGCAAGCGCGATCCGCCAGACCCACCCAAGCAGCAGCTGCTGCTTGTTGCTACGAGCCAGGGCCGGCGCCAAGCTGGAGCTCCAGCAAACGACCCTCATTGGTCAGTGCGCTTCTCACGCTGTGACAACATCTCAGAGGTAGTCAACAGACAAGCCGTTTCATCGCCTCAAACTAGAGCTTGGAGACTTTTTGTTCTGAAGACCTTGGAAACCATCGCTTCAGGTGAGCAGCAGGCTCTCTTCGTCGCCACACTGCCTCTAAGCTACATCTGCGTCACTTCTCGTCATTGCCTTGGCCGGGTTCAGCTTATGTGAAGCAAAAAATAGAAAGGGAGCATAGCCACCTACAGCCGTTTCCAGATTCTAGTGCTGGCAGGGCTGTCTTGCAGATGGCTTCTGTTGTCTAATGGGGTTTTCGATTCAATGCTTATCTCAATCTACTACTTAATCACCCCGCCTATCCCTTCCACAGAACTATCTATATTCACTTTCAGCCACGTCCTACCTCGCATACGAAGGAGCCCCACCACCAGGCATTTCATAGTACTGAGGGGGCCCCTGTGTCGCCCATTGTTGCCCTTGAAGCTCTGCAGTCTGAGGCGGCTGGCCATGGTAGGACCCAGGAGCCTCGTGCACCTGTTGGCCCCAGCCGTTCGAGCCTGCTGGGGACTGGGGCGACACCATTGAGGATGCGGAGAACACGGTCTGGGCACCATTGGGAGGTTGCTGCGGATAGTAGGTGGACTGGCCTTGCAGCTCTGGCCGGAATGCCTGTTGGCCATATAGTTCCGGTCGGTACTCCTGCCCATGTAGCTCCGGCTTGGATGGCTGCTGCGGCTGCTGCGCATAAGCATACTGGGCGGGCATCTCCGGCATGGGCGGCGGGGGTGCGTAGGGCCCATGAGGTCGGAGTTCTGGAGTGTGGCTGGCAGAAACGGGCGAGATGCTTGTCGGGATGCCCGGCGTGCCAGAGTGCGCGCTGCCGGCAGTGCCAGGTCGCAGGGCCACTGCACTTGCGTCTAGCTCGCTCTTCCCGCCAGACGGACTAGCAGCAACCACGGGGGGCGGGTTGTTCAACAGGTTGTTCTGGGCCATGGCTTGGTCGACCTGGGCGTTTGCCGCGTTCTTGCGTCGCATGCAGAAGAAAATCGCGACGCCAGCCAGGACAACCACTGCAATGCCGCCGACAACACCTCCCACGATCGCCCCGATATTCGGCTTCCTTTCCGGGTCAGTGTTGCCACCGGTCGGGTTACCCGTGCTCCCTCCCAGTGATCCTCCTCCGCCGTTGCCGCCGTTGCCGCCGTTGCCACCACTATTTGAAGTTCCTGTCTGCGAAGGCATGGATCCTCCTCCTCCTCCAAGCACCCCGGTATGGGGAGCCGTCGACACTGCGGGGTTATTAGTACTAGCCGATCGAGACATTTCGGGAGTTTCAAAAGGAGCGTACCAGATTCTGTCACCGATGCCGACACTTCAGCCTTAACTGCTGAACAAAAGTAGTCCCAAACCGAGAGCGCGGAGCTGATATCATCTGTTGCAGTGCTATCGCAGGAGTACTTCACGCTTGACGTGATGATCTTGCTGACAATGTTGGGCATGCCAGTCTTCAGGCATACACACGAGGCAAGTCCAGCCGGATCCTTAGGGCACAAATCGTACGTGTTCTGTTCGTCGCCGTTAGTTAATCTCAGGATATGAAGCGCGGTCGTGTAATCTGGCATACCGTCATCACTCCATACGAAACACCATATTGTGCACACGGAGCAAGTGCGCTATATTGCGGGAGCGCGGTAATGTAGTACGTCACTGGGCACGCCATTAGCACCACATCAACAAACAGTTCCTTGGTTTGGTTCAAACTCACTCTGTCCTGGGGGAGGCGAGGCGACTGGGAACGATGTTACACCAGCACCCAGGCCACAATATCCCGCAAAGACACCTTGGGCAACACTGATATCGGCCGTGATCGGAGAGCATGAATACTTCACGCTTGAATTGATTATTTGGCTGACGCGCAACGAGTTTTGGTTCTTGCTGCAGACGCAAGACTGGAGGAGGCTTGGGTCTTCCGGACACAGGTCATATGTCTGGAATTGAAGGTTAGATTAGGCGTTTGATGGCACGTTCGAGTCACATGAGCTCACCATAGACCTAATGACATGTTAGCAAAGGCTACACCGCCACTCACGCCTGCTGGCAAACTCACATGACAGCATATGAAAGCGCGCTGGCAGCACATGGAGGAAGATCTTGCATGGCTGGCAGGTCTGTGATTTGGACCGAGACTGGGCGCGTGGGCTTCGGGAAAGAACCTATGCTGGCTTGGTTGCAATAGCCGTTGTACAGAACCATGGCGCTGGAGAGGTCGTCGGAGGCAGTTGAGCCACAGCTGTAGCTAATCGAAGACGAAATTCCCTTTGAGACCGCCGCCGAATTCGCACCGCCATTTTTGGTACAGATGCAGGACTGTAGATCGGTCACTGCTTCGCCGCATGCTGAGTTGGTCATGGACATCACATTGTAGCTGACTGCCGATTGGGCACATCTTGCCTATTGAAGCTCGATTTGTTAACCGCGGGTGCTCTGTCGGTCGTGCAGGGCTGGCCTTGCGATGCCGAAGACATGATCTGTGGCTTGATTGCTGTGCTGTGGGCAGCTTACCATGGATGTGTAGATCTCGATGTCCGTAACGTAGACGATGCTTTGTCCAAGGGAACGCGTGGTGCCCAGGCACACAGCGAGCAGTAACGAACGCCACGAAGCCATGATTTATAGCTGGCAGGAAGTCCCGGGCAAGGTGATCTTTTCGCAATACCGTCCGACGTCGAACGAGCCAGAAAGTGAGGCACGATAAACAGGGAGGACGTCACGGCAAGTTTGTGAAAATGTGAATGGGGTGTCTCAAAAGATTCAGGAAAGCCGCGGTGGGCACTTTAGGGTAATCCAGCTGAACGCCTCATGAGACACTCTGGCGTCCTCCATGACAAGGTTGCCGGTGTCCCGTCTGGCCTCAGCCTCAGCGGTTCCATGAGGGACGATCACACAGCATGCCTAGATGAGTACAGGGAGGCGTCGGCTCAAGCCCCCTAACCTGGTGCTCTTCTCTCACCCATGCAATCTCCCTGATTCACGACGGTGCACCTTGTCCTGCCTATGGGCGCGAAGAGAGGCCTGTCTTGACCCGTCGCCATACCTCAATGTGGTTTCAATCCCTGTCAGCTGAAAACTGCCGCACGCCGGCTATACCACAACAGGATAGGCGTGCTGCCACACGCCAGGCAGCGCATGGTTGAATTTGGCTTGGAACTGTAATGCCCTGCGTCGTTAAAGAGGCCCGGTCTGAGCTTTTAGCAGAAGCTGTGTGCTGGGGTATATGTTGGTGGTGGCTGGCTACTCGCGAAGACCAAGTGGTGGCGTCGGATCGGGCGAAGCCTCTGAGTTACTCCTGATGCAGGTTTACGGGGTCTTCATTTTAGACTTCTGGAATAATAATTCCCCATCTTGTCGAAGGGATCAGAGCGCATTCGTGGTGTTTGGAAAATCTCAGCCCTGCGTCTAAAGCAATCGTTTTGTTGTTCGCCAGCATGGCCATCCAATCCTCGAAACACTGTCTTAACAACCCCTGCGAGCGGCTGAAAAGATGACCCGTCTGCCAAGACGACAGCGGCTAAGCGGGTCAGCCTTGAGAATGATTTGATGGGCAGTCAGACGTTATCGGACATCGCTTTCTGGGAATTTGACGCCCAGGACCTCAACCGGATCATGATTTGCCAGAGTTCACTTCTTATCCTGCTGTAATGCGAGGGATCAGGAAGCTTGCAAGCTATTCCTAGTGCCTGAGACGAGTATGCAGCCATGGCATGGACTGAGAGACCGAGCCTTGGCAGGGTGGCACTTGGAGGTAGTTTGGCCCAAGGACAGGTCATCGTGACACTAGGCTGCGGATGCCCATTTTCGCTGTCCTTGTAACCTTCAACAACCGCGAGAGTCGGCCCTGTTGTTGCGCACTCTAAGTGGATGGGTTGAAGACTTCCTCCAGTGTTGCTGGAAGACGTCCCTTAATCCTGCTCTCAAGTATCCTTCTACTCCTGCATTTGCCGCACATTGAGGTTGATCCGCTTGTTCTTCATCCAGCCTCTCCACTCCTGGAATCTGTCTCCCTCAGCTGGCCAATCTGCGAGGAAGTCAGGACATGTGTCCTTGAGCACCTTTGGCACACCGTGCCAGGCATATCGTGACTCCTTTGTCATGTAAATCGCGTCTCCGGATCGCAGTCGTAGAAGCAGGTATGGCTTATTCCCTGGGCCAGCACCTTGCCCGTCGGGGAGATCTGAGTAGTCGTTGGGGGCGATCATAAAGACCGCATCACAGCCTATGCTCAGACTGACGAGGCCCTTATCGGTTTTCTCGCTGACATCACGATGCATCATCATGGTGTCGCTGGGAGTGTAGAAGTTCACGATGGCTGCCTGGGCATCGGTCTCGGGAAAGAGGGTATGGAGGAAGTCGGCTATGTCTGTTGGGAAATCCGGACGCACTTCGTGCTCAGGATACAAACGATTTGTCCAATCATACTGCCCACCCAGAGTCACCCAAGTGAGCTTGCGTAGTAACACTTGCTTGATGGAGAGAGGTCGATGAACACTTGGATCCTTAGGAACGAATTCCGTGCTGTCGTCTGGGGGGTACGAGAAGAAGGACCTGGCCGTGGCGTCACCGCCGTGCCTGTACGGTAGCTCATAGTGCAGATGGAGGTTGGTTTGATGGACGGGATTGCTTAAGTCTCTGTGTATCATGCGCTCAAGCAAATCCTTCTGGATGCTAGGCGGGATTAGAGATGGAAGAACCAGGAGACCTTGAACGCCGTCAGCATACATGCTCTTGTCGTCTTCCACACCTCATGAGGAGGACCCCTACCTGGCAGTATCGGATGGTAGTATACAGGCGCATCTCGGACCTCCTGGCTTTCATCGAAGCTCTCGCCCTGCAGTGCTTTGAAGGAAGCCTTCAGCACTTCGGCTGGAATGTGCGTTTTGAGAAGGAACTCGTCTGAAGTCCGAACATCGTCAATATCTGGGTGATGTCGCAATGCGGCGTGCTCTGTCCTGGAGTACGATTTCCACGTCTTCTTGAGCTCGTCTGATGGTTGCTCGTGGGCATCAAGTGTCGTCAAATCTAGTGTCATGCTACAGGATGGAAAGGCCTCCAAGAACCTCGAGAGTTCTTGGGGAGGCGGAGATCAAATGAGAACGGGCACTCTTGCGGCTCTCTGGGACCAGACTGCGGTATTAGCTTATATGCTTGTCTTGCGCTTCTTGGAAGCAGAATGGGACATGAATCGATTGTTGCATGGCCTCATCTGGCAAGTTGATCGAGTCGTCCTCGAGAGCCCACCTTGGTCAAGAAGTCTCCAGTGGGTGGTGCCCCTCCGAGCCCGCAAGAACAAGGGTCGCGATAAGATAAGGAAAGAGTGGAGGGGCCCTCCATCATGGAAGGCATGCTCACCACTGCCATCGCCGGCGCTTATTGGTCCCTGACGGTGCCTGACTGGTGTCGCGCCAGCGCGCGTCAGCTCGAGCTAAGGTGTGTTTACAGACAACAAAAGACCACCTTGCAGCCTCACCGCTGGTCGCTGCAGCCTCGCCAGGAACGCATTGTTGACAATTCGCCGGTTCCCTTTGTCCAATATTAGTGCTTGCTGCAGGAGAGCATATTACCTCGTTCACCACACTGAGCGTACAGTCTGGAGTCACAGGGCATTTTATTGTCACTTGGTGGTGCCCCTCTTGTTGACGGACCCCTCCGCACCCCAGACCAAATATTGACATTCGCCTGCCCCAGCCGCCACGACAACGGCCACTCCGACCACAGTCTCGCCCCCAACCAGTGCACACACAACAACCGAAACCAGCAACAACAAACGACAGCGCCGCCGTCGACACACAGCAGCACCACGGCAGAGACATTGCTTGCGTCCAATCAATTAATCCCCGGTGAACGACCGACAATTTGACCTTTGCAAACACCCGATCAGACCGGAGCCCTGCAGCAAGCCCCGAGGCTACCTCACGATGGAGAACTACCAGAAACTGGAGAAAATCGGTGAAGGTGAGTATTCACTTCCACGGTCGCCACCACGCGGAGTGAATGGACTGTGTCTGACTTGAGGCCACTACCCCGCGAACCAGGAACCTATGGTGTCGTCTACAAGGCCCGCGACCTTGCCAACAACGGCCGCATCGTCGCCCTGAAGAAGATCCGCCTCGAGGCCGAAGACGAAGGCGTGCCCAGTACCGCCATCCGCGAAATCTCCCTGCTCAAGGAGATGCGCGATCCCAACATTGTCCGCCTGTTCAACATTGTCCATGCCGACGGTCACAAGCTTTACCTCGTCTTCGAATTCCTCGACCTCGACCTAAAGAAGTATATGGAGGCTCTCCCCGTCAGCGACGGTGGCCGCGGCAAGGCGCTGCCCGAGGGTTCCACCATCGACCTCGGGCGACTTGGTCTTGGTGATGCCATGGTCAAGAAATTCATGAGCCAGCTCTGCGATGGCATCAAATACTGCCACAGCCGCCGCATTCTCCACCGCGATCTCAAACCTCAGAATCTGCTCATCGACCGAGAGGGAAACCTGAAGCTTGCCGATTTCGGTCTTGCCCGCGCGTTCGGTGTGCCCCTGCGCACGTATACGCACGAAGTTGTCACGCTGTGGTACCGCGCCCCCGAGATTTTGCTCGGTGGTCGTCAGTACTCGACGGGCGTCGACATGTGGTCCGTGGGCTGCATTTTCGCCGAGATGTGCACAAGGAAGCCTCTGTTCCCGGGAGATTCCGAGATTGACCAGATTTTCAAGACCTTCAGGTACGTGAGTCGTTGAGAAGGTCAAGGACGAGCGAAACTGACTCTGATGCAGATTGCTCGGTACCCCTGGTGAGGAGACATGGCCAGGCGTCACCTCCTATCCCGACTACAAGTCCACCTTCCCCAAGTGGCAGCGCGACTACAGCCATCCTTTGTGCACAAACCTCGATGAACACGGACTTGATCTTCTCGAATTGATGCTTGCCTATGACCCAGCAACCCGGATATCGGCCAAGCAGGCCTGCAACCACCCCTACTTCGAGGACTATACTAGGCAACAACAGACACACTACGGCGCCAACGGATATGCTTAAATCACGGATTTGACGGTAATCGAGTGATTAGCAGATTGCAGCCGCGCGTCACACGTTTTCTGCCAAGACGGAACTGTTTTTTTCGACATTTCGTGCGACAATCTTGGTTTTTCTGGATACTGAGGCACTGCGCTGGGAACACGTGCTCAACGACAACGCCGAGAAGTCGTGGCCATTCATGAACGCGCTTGCGCAGCTGCTCCCGAGGACGATGCGCATCAAGTTGGCATGGCGATCCCGGCTATCGCCCACGCAACCCACGCATTCTATTGGGGGGGGGGGGGGGGGGGCCCACGCGGCTAGAGATAACCGTGAAGGCTTGAGCGCGGATTGGAGTCTGGAGTACATCTTGCCATGCATTTGCTTGCGAGAGGCATAAGTCCTCCCCGTGTGGTCGTGCTCTAGCTCGTATGTACATAAGAGAGCGGTTTGGAACCGATGGGGAAGAAAAGGAGTTGGCACAACTACAGTGCAGACGTGGTTACGCGAGCGACGCTACAGGTCATGATTTATTTGACAATATATGATAATACCCACTGATCTCTCTGCTTGTTGTGCTCCTAAAGAGTTGGGCCCAAACCCCTCATCAGATGACCAAGCGCCGCTGTTGTGAGCTATGCGGGCATTGAGGCGCGCACCTTGCATTTCAGGGTCATGCCGTGCTTAAGTACTTGGTGTTATCCTTCTCGTGCGCGGCAAACCCACGGGGAACCAGAAACATGTCAGGGTTGGAGGACAAGCGGGAAGTCACGGTGCCTCGACGTCACATGATAAAATACTCGTGTTATCATGACTTCGTCTGGAGCAGTTGCTGCCGCCCTCTTCTGCGCAGCACTGAGCTCGGCATTTGAACCTGACTGTGTTGTGTCTGAGGAAAGACGCAGCATGCAACCATGTACAGGGTTCCAATTTCACTCGAGCGCTACCCGATGTGTGAGGCTCATTGCAAGCAAGAACCATATTTCATAAAGCCTGTCCATTGTATTCAGGGCTAGTGGAAGGCGTTTCCGGCCATCCGCGGATGTTTTGTCTGGTTCGAACATGACCAGGTTTGAAGCGAGTCCAGGTCCGTTTTCGCACTGAAGAGGCACGCAATGGTAAATTCGTGACTAGGGTCCTGATCCTCCCTTCAGTTCTTGCATCCCCAGGATATGGCAAGTGCCTTTCAGGGATGCCAGCTCCTCAGTCTATCTGGCTGTAGTATCTTGACCTCCATAAGCTTTCCCGGTTGCCTTCTGCAAGCTGGCTTTGCTTGCCCTTCGTGGCTTTCACATCGCCACCTGGACAAGCGGGCTGGCCGTGCCACAGTAGTCCTGGACACCATCAAAACGATGTACACCTGGAGATGTCTTGACAATCGAATCTTCGCACTAGAGGCGACATGCCACGAAAAGCTCTAATTAAATTCAACTTATTCACGACAGGCTACTCACGGTCAAGGCTTGTTACAGGAACGTGGTGCTCTCAGCTTCGCGCTTTTTATACCGCTCGTTCAACTCGAATGCTACGTAGTAGAGGCGTGTTCAGCGCTGCAACATTTTTTTGTGACTTAACAGTACGTTCAATGAATAAGCATTCAATTTTACGGCACTGTCTCCCACACCAGGCATCCTTGATAAGCTTCAAGCAGCGATGCCGAAAGCATGCCAGCAAGGCACAGGAGAAGACATGCAGGCTTCGATCTTTGAGAGGCGACCGCTGGGGCTCATAGATAGTACAACGCTCACCCCAGGGGACAATCTTGGTTCCTCATCGATCAGCCGAAGTGCCGAGTGCGAGCATCAGGCGGATTCCGAATCACTCACTGACCATGGGATCCTCTTTACGACAACGTTATAGGGCTCAGAATTTTCAAGTTACTGCTGATGACTTCTGCATTTCGGCTGAGGGTGGGAACAAGAACTACCCAGATGTCCACCACTGCAACTGTTCAACTTTGCTTATCACGAAGGCCGTATGCTCTCTCCAGTAATGAGATATTCTGTGCCTGGCTTCAACCCTTCACCTCCCCATACCCATGCGAACAATTAAGGGATGACAATACCCTGGACGTTTGATGCTGAAGAACCTCGCGGGATTTGCGCTTAGCTACAGATCCGTCTCTGTTGCCTCGGACACTATTTTCAGCACACTCTACAACCTCTTGCCGAGGCCGGATCCAGGCTGGACATGGGATTTTCCGTTGCATTTCTAGTTTCTAATTTTGAGATGTGAGGCGTGAGGTGTGAAGATAGCACAAATTCACCCGCTTCACCCGGCAGGTAAACTTCTTTACTCGTTAGGGAATCACGTCCTTCTTGTGGGGGGGAGGGGGGGGGATTCTGGGTTCATGAAAATGGCTCGCATGGCCAACAAAGAGTAGATCCAAATTGGAAACGATAATGCAAAGACGAACAAGTGCCATTGGATTCGAAAGAGTTGCAGTCCACCGGCTTGGAACGTCGATCTGCTTGGCCTGGCCTAGCCTAGCCCAGCCTAGCTAAGACTGTCAGCTTTGCGTGGAAAGGCATGATCGCTGTTTCCCACGAGAAGGAGCCGAGGCGAGGTGTGGACGTAGATGCTCCCATGCAAGCCAGCCAACACACACACACACACACACACACACACGCACACATTCTCAGCCCCCGTGGAGAGCCTCGCCAAAGCACGAAAAGATTTCCCAATCCGACGGCACTCTTGCATTGTCAGCCGCATGATTCCTCTTTCAGCAATCCGAGTTGCCCCTTTCTGTCATGGGTCGAAAAGCTCCAGTGACCGACAAGGGTGACTCGGCTGGGCCAGCCTCTCAGCCCTAGCCCTGCCACAGCCGCCATCATGCATCAAGGTGACAGGGACAAGTGCAAGTGGCCATGATGCTCATGGGAGAGCAAGCTGTTGCATCTCCTAAGCGCCCGGGATGACACCTCGAAACACTTCCGCCTCGACCGGCAAAAGCAAGCGCGCGTCTGTCGGGCCAGCCTCAGCTGAAGGCGGTCTTGTATATGTAGGGATACAGCAGGCCGGCGCCTAACGAGACCAGGGCGCGTTCTCTGTCCCACTAACCGCGTGTTTTTTTACACAACATTACGAGGACCTTGTCCAAGTCCAGGCAGGGTGTTTGTTGCAGGGGCCGGAACGAAGAGCCAAGACGCGCTGGTTGCCGCGCGCTTGGTGGCTATTTTTGGCCCACATTGGGAACAAACAACTCCAGGGCCCCTGTCACGTCATGCCCTCCCATGGTCACATCCCCGCGCTTTCTTTCGTCCCGGATTCCGATGGATCAAGGGGCCAGTCTCCTCAAGAGGCAGTCAGACCCAGCCAAGACTTGGGGGCCTGTTGAGCGCTGCCCAAGCCCCGCCCCAGGTCCAGGACGCACAGCCTGTACTGCAAGGCCTCCAGGGGGCTGTCGACTTATCGACATACAGCAGATATGGTCTTGCTCGTCTCGGGTACCAAGGGGTTTGGATGGCGCCACCTCCCCTTTGTGACCTGGTCACGCGCTTTGTGTAACCGAGGAGCACCATTGATGCATCGTACGCTGTGCTGTCCCCGTCGGATGTTGCCAGGTCAGCCTGGTTATTCCAAGGTTTGTCGCTCCGTAGCTCGCCTCGCCTCGCAATCATCATCATCATCACCTACTTCACCGCCAGGGTCAAGACGAAGCACGCACTCTCCTTTCCGACACAGCGTGCCTATCAATAGCCCAAGCACCTCTCTGTTCATTGTTTCGCCGATAAGCACCGGCCGCATCCTTCTTCCTTCTTCCATCGCCCCCCCCCCGCCCCCTGGCTTCTCTTCTCTCCCCCCAACCCTGCGACTCGGCAATGAGGATTGAATGTCGAGAATTATCCCGAAGGGGATATACAAATATACAAGGCCGGCCTCTGATCACACCAAATCCAACGCATATGTGCGGTTCTTACACCTGGCCATCCGCCGCAATCCCACTTGCCCTCGATTCCGACGGGGACCAGCGTAGTAAACATCTCACTTTTTGACCAGGGGTAGTGTGCAATGTATGCAAGGCAGAGCAGAGCAGAGCAGGGCGAGTTGCGACGCTGCAGGCTTGCATGCATGCAATGCATACATGCAGAAGTCTCTGTCCCGAGATGAACATGGGGCCAGTTTCGCTCGCCTCGCTCAGCCTGACCTGCAGGGGGCGAAGATCCCCGGGAGCGATGCTGCAGTACTTGAGCACATCTTTTTCTTCCGTTGTGGCGCGGGGGCCAAGGATGAGGTTACCTCTACCCAGACGACCTTTTCATCCATCCCCAAGACGAGTTGCAAAGAGTGACCCAGGATCCGATCCGGGATCCGATTCTCACCTCACACCTCCCCCTACCGCCTGGCCGGAGGATAAGCCCCGGCCAAAAAGGCAGACATGCATGCAGGCTATGCCATGCCCTGTTAACTTGCGACGCCTAGGTACAAGCTGACAGGTTTCCAGACCACGAATCGTATGACATGTTCATAGTCACTTCCCCGCGAGAAGCTCTAGAATCTAGAAACCCAATGGTCAACACCCAAAAGGGCCCATCACAAAAGTGCAAATATTACTATCCAATCCTGTTCCCTTTCCCCTCCCCGCGCCTCCCCTTGAGCGGCGATGGCAAATGAAGGACGCAGTGATCCGGGGCATTGTCACTGAGCCAACATCATAAGCGTCACATGGGTATGGAAAATGTACAGAAGGACACTGGCGCCTAGGGTCCTTTTTTAGTAAAACTACAAGGTAGCAAACAAAAGACAGCACTTGGACTGTTCAAATCTATGGGAATGGAACCAGCACTGGCGTGACCAACCACACCATCCTCGCGTCAGTAGCCCGGCTCTGGAGGATGGTTGTATGACGTTCCACTGAGACATTCGCGTGATATACAGGAGTTTTGCTGGGAGCACAGCCAGGAACACCACCGGAGTCATAGCAAATAGGCCACAACCTCGACTGCATCGACAAAGGCTCGGCCTGGGCGGGCTCACAACCGACGTCATGACTGGGCTGCTGGTCTACAAAGGGGACAACCGCGACTCTCGCACCCCCCGGTGAGCGCAAAAACCCGGCAAAGCGTCTCGGATCCATACAGCAAGGTTGTGCCGATATCAGCGGCGTCCGCCCCCAACGTTGTCGATCCCACGGAGGCTGCCGTCCTGGGAGCACAACCTCGAAGCTTTCAGCTCGCGTTCGGGTTTGGGCAGGGACCATCCCAGATGCAGGAGGTCGGAACGTCCTGATGTATTAACCGTTCTGCTATCTTTCCAAGAGTGATGGAACGTGCGACTGAGTTTAGTTTAATGGGTTCTGATACCGGGCTGTGGGACGATTGTTCAGACGTTCTCCCAACCTTGTGCTCCATCGTCCTCTACGTCTTATGCAGGCACGCCACCGGCCCAAGTATCTGGAGCACGACCCGCGGATGAATCATGCCATCTTCAAGCCACGATGGGCCAATCCGATCCCTGACTCCGCCGTCAGCTGCGCTTATTCTGCTTCCTCTCCCTCGGAAAATATCTCTACTGGTCCTATTGTCATGGAGAGGAGCCAGACAGACACCAAAGTTTGAGACATTATAACCGCGCGTCGCGGCCAGAACCCCTCCAAACCGGCGACTCGGGACCTGGCGCCAGCCGAGGCGGTGACAAGCGCGCTTCTGGAAGACGGTAGCGCGGGAGTTTGACGACTCAAGCAGGAAGAAGGTCCGTGCTAGGACAGAACCGGCGGCTGGATAGGCCTCGGCGCGTCGATCCCGCGGTCTAGGCGTAAGCCGTGAGTTTGGAAGGAGGCGCTTGCAAGATTGCGGCGGCAAGGACTGAAACAGCGTTTATCGCCTGAGGGGTAAACCCTAACCGCCTATGTGGAAGACTTAAGCGCGCACCGGGCCCAGAGCGACAGGGGTGTGCCCATTGACGACGAAGCTGCGCCAGCCAGTCTCGTCCTTCCCGTTCGTTGGCAAACTCGAACAGGCCAAGGAGTTCCAGAAGGCTGGATCCCTCCAACGTGTAACAGCCGAAATTGCGAAATGCGGCTAGGCTGGGGGTGTTTGAGCAAGTCAGAGATACGCGCGACGTCCAAAGTTCCAGCACCGCAATCTCTAACCAGGTCCGGGGCCAGCGCTTAGGCGGCCGCTTCCACGGGCTATTTTCGAGGGCTATTTTCGAAGTTGGCGACTGCCTGCCGCTGGACTGGGTCATGAATTGCATGCCGCCGAGAGGCATCCTGCAGGGTTCTGGCCAGAGTTGGCGCTTGCACTAGTCCGGGAAGATCTATGCGCGGGGAGGTCTTGACGGTGAGAATACACCAACCCACCAAAGCATATTGAAAGACTGGCACCAGATGGTGCTGCAAGGGCAGAAGTATGCCACAACCACGAGAGGGCCAAGACAGTCTGGAGCGATGGATCGCCAACGGGATGCAGGTGGGTGCCGGGGCACGTTCTGGGCATGCTCGGCGGCTTACTACTCGACGACCACTTCCTTCGACCCCAAAACGTCCCTTGGTGTCAGTGTTGCCAATTGCTGCCTGCTCTTGGGACAAGGACGTGAGCATCGTCAATTGAGCGACGGATGATGTGCTGGAGTCGATGATGGGCCAGGGCGGCGCGGGTGTCGTGATGGCCGCCACCGCCCAGCCCGATGCCGCAACGATCTACCGCGAGAAAGATGTCCATCGGGGCGGCACCACAATTGGTTGGCGGCTGCCAGGCCGTTGCAAGAGGACGGATACTGACGGACCAAAACAGCTAGTAGGATTGTTCCTCGCCGTCTGGTCGTTCCGAGGACAGCTGCACTTCTGCCTCGGCACGACAGGGTCTGCAGGGTGGCTGAAGGGCAGATGCTGATTTGGTCATGGGAACAACGCCTCCAGTGTAGCATGCACGCGTACACAAGTGTGGCTGTTGCACGATGCGGAGATGCTGGCCAGGGGTTGCGTGAGCGGCCTCTTTGTTGAAGTTGTCGGGGCGATAGGCAGGCTTGGGCCAAGACGCGAGGGCGAGAAGCGCAGCCTCGATTGCGCCAACCTTAAGCAGACCAGACCCTTGACCAGCTGGAGGGCGAGGGTAGACGGGAGGGCAAGTGGCTCCTTCCCCAGATCTGCGGGCTCGTGCCTTTGCAGCATTCGCCCAATCAGAGCACAGAGCCGCCCTCTGCAACGAGGCCAGCCGGTGCTGAGCCACATTGAGTGCCCTGGGGAAAGGGCCGCCGGCCGCCGGACCTCGGCGCGGGCTTGCACCCTGAATCAGGGCCACCCAGCCACAACTGACCGCCGCCCGTATCCGAGTCACCGTCCGACCGAGGCAGCTGGTCTGGCCAACTAATGCAGGCTGTCCAGCAGTGTCGATCTCTCTCCTGCCCAGCTGTCGAGGTGTGGCTGAGCTGGGCCCTGTCCAGACTGTCCAGGCTGTCCCCAAAGAGGACAGAACCCGCCGCCGGCAGTTGGGGACGCCGGCCGAGTTGACACGCACGCTTGCCCGCCTGCGCACTTACACTTGCCACCCCCCCCCCTGCCAGGCATCTGCAGACCACTGGGCAGGCGCATGACCAGGCCCCACTTGACCGCCCGCGGACGCACGCGGCCGAGCGAATCACGGGCGTATACGAGCACTTGCTCAAGTGGCCCGCCTGGCGATCGACGCTTGCTCCTCACGGGCCCTGTTCCAGAACCCACTCCACCCAGCATCACGAGCTCGCCCACAGCTGCCCGGCATCCACCACCAGGCACCGTCATGTAGTCTTCTGGAGATGCAGGCGAAAGACACCGGCGACGCAGACAGAACCTGCTAACAGTGTATCTCATCTGCTGGCAGCAACAGGTTGCTGATCTGCCAATGCAACGCCCGTCAATTAATACTTACAGCCATGCAGCCATGCATGCATGCACCACCAACCCATGGCCATGAAGCCAATCATCTTGCCGAAACAAACAGCGCCCCCCTCCTCCAATACCATCGCCCACCGCTTCCAAACGCAGCAACTCGATCGATCCTCTGAAACAAGGCCCTAATGACTCGCTCCTCATGCATCAAGACTGCAACCTCTCGACATCACGCGCACCCGCAACGAATTATCTGGCAGAAACCTCAAAAGCCCTACACCGCAAAGACCCCGAGGAGAATGCCATGCGCATGAGCCTCGATATTGCAGTCTGCTCCCCTCCTTCCCGACTCAAGTTTGGGATACAGGTGCTTTGGTCATGCAAAGATGTGTCAATCCATAGAGCCACCACCACCCCCCACCCCACCGCTTTTCTATGTACAGGCGATGCCCGCCCCGATCTGCACATCCCAAGCGATGGCTTGCAGATGGGCGGATTGAAAGAGAGAGCACGTGGCTTTCTCCTCCAGCATCCCTTGGCCGGCGGACCGCCTCCATTAGCTTCAAACTTGTGATCGTGGGCAGCAAACAACCTGAGGGTTAGCTTGTCATCTGTGCGCTTCACGCGCTTGTCTGCTTTGCTCGTGTGCGTGGTGGTGCCGTGCGACCTTGTTCAAAACGCCCCTGTATAACCTTGTTTCCCAAATGACTGCCCAAAGGTGCCCACCCAACCAAGGTCGTCCCGTCCATGCGTGCGCGTGCCGTGTCACACGCAGCAGCAGCAGCAGCAGCAGCAGCAGCATCACGGCTCACTTACAACCAGCCTCCCGATTATTATCTGCAGGGTGTTTCCCAGCACTGTCTTGTCGTCACGCCCTTCTTTGGGACCTTACCCGGCAACCAGGCCTCGCAAAGATACCAAAAGCTCACTTTAAAGTTCTATCACGACGGCGGCCCAGCCGAGACATGACCCCTGACCCCAATATGCGGCCCCCACTCAGATATTGAACACACGCATGCATGCACACTGCTGCAGCACGGCAAAACTTTTTGACGCACGCTTAAACTCAGTGCCTCTCTCAAACTCTTCAGGAACAGCTGGAAGGATCAGAAGAAAAAACAAAAAACCATGCAAATTGAGTTGGATTAAAAAACCCTGCAACATCGGTTGCCGTGCCAAACTGCTCCCCCATCCTGCAGTGATTCTTTGGGATGGCAATCAAAAATCCAAAGTTTGAACCTAGGCAATCTCCCAGCGCACAGTTTAGATCGGAAAGAAGCAAAATAGTTGCAGTTACCAATTTTAAATCAGACAGGCTTAAACGAGCAACAGCTGAACAACAAAATTAGACCCTCGGCCAGCTGAAGCCCAAGGGTCGTTGGTGCTATTTTCCCAGTCGCGCTCGTAAAGGGGAAGCTCAGCTGAATGCAACATTATCATCAACACCCAAGAATCCGGGAACAGAAGCAATACACGCATCAACAAAAACAACCAAGAAAGAGGAAGAAAGAAGCAACAGCAATTGTAGTAGCAATAACAAAGAAACAACAATAACCCTGCGGAGATCACTGCATATTGCATGCTGAGATCGCACAGGGGAAGCCCTCTCATGTCAGAGCATTGGCGAACTCACCTGAAGGACAAGCTGAAAATAGATAATAATAAAAATAAAAACACTACGCCCTGACCCTGTCAGCTGAGTTGATAGTAGCACAAAGTTTGGATTTCCGGCAGAGAGCAGGGATTCACGGAACGAAAGAGACGGAGATTTAACAAACAAAACAAAACAAAAGGCAGGCCTTGTGTGAAGTATTGTTACCAGAAGCGTTCACGGGCATCAACAATAATAACAACAACCCACCCACCTCGATCCCTGAGAGGTGTTGGCCTTTGTGCTACTGCCCATGGCCGCGCAGAATACTATGATGGTACTCTCCTTTTGTTCACACAAAGCAGAAAACAAAAAGCACCTTTTGTCTCGGTGCCAATAGTGTGAAAGCCTACCCACCCCCACCCCCCCAGTTATGCACATGCTCAAATTGGGCTAATGCATTTGCCCTCCCTGGCGGCCCTGTCTGCCTGCACCTGCACGCACTTTAAACGACCTCTCTCTCAGGGCAACGAATCGGCAACGCTTCTGCTCCCTTGCTTCGGACGGCGCAGGGCTTTTTCGGTGGGTAGGTGGCCTGACAAAAGTTTGATTTGGAGGCTGCCTCCATGATCATCCCGTAATGGGCCACTGTCTCCTCCGCGTAAAGAAGCCATCCCTAGGTACTTTAGTATGCAGCGAAGAAGAGCAGATCTCACCACCTTCTAATTCACTAGCGCTGTCCTTTCCCAGTGCTGTTTCTCTGTGTGCAGGAAGTTTGATGCTCGGGGTCCGATCTATGAGAGCGCGCCCCCGCTGTCCTCCGCTTTCTCGTGGAGCGCTATTACCTTGGGTGTGGAGTGAGGCAGGCGAGGCAGTCGGCAAGGGGGTTTGGTTGGAGAGGGGGCCTCACACCTATGCGCAGTGGCAGCCGCCTGTCAAGTTTGTCAAAGTGGCCTCACTCGATTCGGTTACCGTGGTCGTTGTTGCCGAAGCCCCGTCGTCCCCTCTCCCTCCACACCTCGTCCATGTGGTCGGCGCCTTTTTTTTTAGTGGTGGATTGAGAGTCCAGGCTCCTGACAGATAGCACCTCGTGAATCGGCGTTGGGTGCCTAGACCTGGGGGGGGGACAAACGTCGGCGGTGTCAGCTGCTTGAAGAAGCCTGCCCCCTGATGAGCTGCGAGGCAAAACGGGCAAGCCGGGGATTCTGCAAGTACGTAAGCCCACTTGAGTATGCATTCGACGCCTCCTTCCAATGTCGAGATCACCTGGTGCAAGCAAAAAGGTTCCCTGACTTGGTTGGAGACCGACAAAGACAGGCAGGCATTAATTAAGCCGTGCAAGCCCCCATCGTCAACCAACCACCAACCCCGCAGGGCGCAGAGACATGCTCGACAAAGATACCGACCCTCCGGGTCGCAGGGACAACGCCTCTCTCTGTGCTTCAAAAGATCTCTGCCGCACCTCGAGTCTCCCCAGATGGGACGATTGAACCAACCGTGACGGAAGAAAGCGAGACAAGCTTCAAGAGAAGGGAAAAAGCAACCGTTAGCCTAAGCACCCATCCACCATGCCAGGGCGGACGGCGCACCTGCGAGAGCGCCGGAAATGGCTAGCTGCTACGAAGCTGGCGTAAAGAATGAATATGCGGCTTGCAGCCTCAGCCGACAATGTCGTCCCATTTGTTGGACAGAAGGCCTGGAGCTAACGAGCCCGTCAAGGCGTCCCACATGGCTAGTCGCATGGTTTGGTTGGCGCAACGATGATCCCGAGGCCATGGATTGCAATGAGTGAAGTGGCGCGCGATGTGAAAGTCTGCATCATAACCGGGCAGAACTCCCTCTTGCAAAGTGGGAAACAGCTGCGTTGCACAACCCGAACCTTCATACAACTCCAAACCAGAAGAGAAGCTCGCTATCGTATTTGAGACTGCAAAACTTACAGTATCACAATGTCAGCGGGCTTGCGGGAGGTACAAGGTCCCACATGCCATTAGTGCCATGAGCTCTGTCCCCCATCACACACCTCGTGACAATCAGATGTGGTCCACCGATCAAGCTCGCAGAAGTGCGGTGAGGGCTCGCCATCCACAATTTCCTCTGTGTGAGTCTCGAGCTTCTGCGCATGGCCTCGTGGTATTATGCTAGAGCCGGACTGAACCGTCCCGCCGATCCGCACTCAGCGGCCGAAGTGGAAGCAGGACTGGTCGCTGTCGTCAGCAAGTGGCTAATTAGGGGCGCACTGCCGTAAGTGCCGGCGAACGACTGAAGACGAATCAGGTGCAGCTTCAGCCGGCGTTCGGAATTCCCTTCAGCTGGGCCGGGCTTGGGATTGCGCCTTTGATCCACGAATCTTCTCGTCCTTTGCGAAGATGGCCAAGAAGGAGCCCGGGCTGCGTGCATGATGGTGGCTAGGGGATGGTCTGTGCCCGGCAGACAAGCCGCCCAGTCCCTGCATCGCTGGACACGGCTGGCAGAGTTTCTTGTGGCGCAGTTGTAGAATTCGTACCTCTCATGCACGGGGATAGGGGAAAAGTGGCATGCGCAGACGGAATTCGTTTTGAGAGCCGGCCGATCACTGCCGATCGATAGACCCCGACCAGCGTCGTCGATTGGCAATTGGGCCGTTCCTGGACCCCGTTTGCCGGCGGGACTGGCGCGGTTGTTGAGGGATCCAGCTGAGAGACTTCACTTCGAGTGCACGCCGCCACCTAGTACGTATCTTCGTACAGAGGAAGGCGAGGAAGGCTCTCTCCCAAGCTGCATTTGAACTGCCCAGAAGCTGTTTGAGCAAGTACCTTCACATCACCCACAGAAAGTCCTCCACGAAGAGTGAGGGGCGGGGCTGGCTCTGGGAAAGTTTCAAAATCTGAAACAGATCCGAAAAGTCGGAGTGGACAATGGTGGATTCTCCACGGGAACGACTCAACTCACGACTTGCACAGCCAGCACTGAAGTGTTCCTCGACGTGCTTGGTCCGCTGCTTCTTCAGCTTGGATGCCCGCTAAAGCATGCAGTTGATATTTTCTCAAGAATGGCTGGATAACACGTGAGTGGGCGCCTTCCGAGCAGAAACCGTTAGGACGCCAGTACACATGGGCCAACACGGCAAGAGTCGAGCATCCGTCTTGCACAGCCATGGAAACCTAGCAATTGACTGGAGCAAATGGAGCAACTGGCGTAACAAGCCACGCGGCCGTTGGTCTTGACGGTTTCGTTTTCTTGCCATCCGCAGTCATATCCATGGATTCGGGCCTGCGATTGGCTAGATTCCCGGTGTCCTGCTCGTTGCAGGTGTTCCGCTCAGGGACATGGGTCTCCCAGAGTGGTTCGCCAGAAACGCGGCAAAATACCGGGGCACGAGCCGATCCCAGGGGCTTGCAAAGTGTTTCTAGCAGTTGATGATAAGGAGGGTGATGTTTCGTTTCCCCCGCAGCTGTGTCAGGGACTCGCGGCTTGGGCTTGTGGAAATTCAGACGATACACCTGGCTTGGCGGAAATGTTTCGCGGATATCGTGTTTGCCCAATGCGTATCATGCAAAGTGTTTGGCGGCATTTCGAGGGCCGTTTGACCAACAGCGTGCTGCGAGATAATGCGTGGAGTATGTCGAGCCTAGTCATTTCGACGTGGTCGCTCGCCTTTGGCCATGGAGGGCCAACGTGCGCACTGCCAGGGAGCCTCGCTGCCAATACAGTACAAGCAGTGTCATGCAGGAGGCGGCGAACAAGAGGGAGTCGAAAGGTGGCTTATCCCAAGTGTCTCATATTTTCAGGTGTATCGATCACACAAAGGGGGGGGGCTGTACTACACCCTGCCGACCATGACTGAGTGCTTGCGCTGAAAAGTCCTGAGCATCCACCCCGCCGACGGTAGGCCGCAGAGGACCACCGTGCGTGTCGGGCAGCGGCAACGCGGGCGGCCAGTCGTCGCGGCCGCTACTGCCGCGAGCGAGGCCAAAATAACAAAAGCTGGCGGTGTTTGAGAAACCGCGGGCGCGCAGAGAGCAGCGGGAGCGTGAAGACGTGCAGCCGGCCGCAGCCAGTGAGGAGCGGCGGGAGGGCCAAGCGAGGAGAGGCAAGCAGAGGGCTTTGGCGGGTGTTTCAAGATGTGGCGGGCCGGGGCCAGTCGCGCCAATGGAGGGCGGGGAGGGCAGAGGCCCCTTGCGCATGCCCAAACAGCGCTGCACCACCCTCGCGCAGGCATCTCGAGGAGCGCTCCTGGCCACTCGTTGGCCTCTGGCAGGGTCGCCCGCCACGCCGCCGCGCGCCATCGACTGGCCCTCGACGGCCCAGCGCAGCCTCCCCCAGGCATCGCCGCCAGTTTCACAACAATCGCCAGCAACAGCAGCAGTGCTGGCCCCATGAGGAACAACAAAGATGGTGATATATCAGCAGCAGGCATCCCTACATCAGCAGCCCCCTTCCTCCTGCCTGCCATCATCGCCCTGCCTGCCTAGCACGCTCCGCTAGTCTCATCCGCAACCTCCCATCACCACCATCTCGACCTCCAGGGCCGCCAAAGGGATAGACGCTCTTTGCTCTTGGACAGCCTAGTCGCACACGCCCAGCCAGTCAGCGCCGGTCGGCCCCTTTGCTCGCCCTCTTTTTTGTTTCTCGACAGCCTCTGCGAGCGCCCTCCCTGTACACACTATTTCTTCCTGTGCGGGACAAAGGCAGCCGGACTCCTTTGTGCATTGACTTGTCTGTCTGCCTGCCTGCATTCCAGCAACCATTAAAGACCCAGGCTGTGCCCGTGGACGACGGTTCCTGCTCATCTGGAAGTTGCCAGTCAGACTCACTCACCCACTCACTCACTCACAAAACATCGCTGCCTGCACCCAAGCAAGCAAGCAAGCGCACGCCCGGATTCGCAATCGCAAGTTGGTGGTAGTACACAGCCTGCATCAGCGCAGCCCTCACTGCACCGCCCAGGCACACTTGCACTTGCGCTGCCAGCAGCCTCGAGAATTCGAAATTGCATTTTGCCAATCTAGGCATTTCGTGCACAACGCACCGTCAGCATCGTGACTGCCCTACCTTTCTGAGAAGTCGGGACTAGCGCATCCGCCGCCCCAGCCGTTCCGTCACCTCCGCATTCCAGCAGTCGTGCAACCGTCGCACACCTTACTGGTAAGCTCAAAGCCTCCATGAATGATGACACAGGGCCGGCGTGCTGCTACGCGGCCCGCGGGGATGACAGGAAAGCAGAGGATGAGCGCAGGCGGCATTTGCTAACAAATCCGACGGGCGCAGTCGTTTTCGCTCTCGCTGGAACTGAGCTGCGTACGCATACTTTGAGCCGAGCCGCACGCAACGCGAAGCCCGCTGCCCTTTTTGGAATCCGCTGGACCGGAACCAACGCAAATCCTCGTGTGGGGAACCCGCTTGCGCACACCACCCCTCGCTCTGCTTGCAACACCTGCTGCCAACAGCAAAGAAAGAAAACGTACCTACGTTAGGCAAGCAACGACACTGACACTGTTGCTATTCTCTGCCACTGCTGAGAGCAGCCGCATTCCTCCATCCTGCAACCCGAGGCAAAGAAGGCCAACCCGAAGCAAAGCAAGCAAGGCCTGCTGCTGTCCTCCTCTTGACGCCCGCTCCAGTCTTGCCGCGGAAAAAGCGAACCAGACTCAGATCTCTGAGCTATTCACCGCTGGACTTCGCCGAAGACACCGTTGCTGCTGTTCGCCCGGCCCAGCCCAGCCCAGACTTGCGGACCCGCGAGTCGAGCCTGAGTTGCCAAGGCCCAAGCCTCGCCCACACCCACGTCACACCCTGACGAGCCACCCGCCGACTTGCACACCACACGCCCCCGGGCAGCCCACGCCCCCTCCACCCCGCCACACGCCCCTGACCCCCCTGTCAAGGCTCCTGCGCTACGCCTCTGTGCTTCTTCCTCGTGATAGATCCACGCACCCTGCACACCCAGCCTGCTGTCTTACTACAAGACCACCTGCCATCCCGTCCTCCCCGACGGCGGCACATACATCTACTCGCCTTGTCATTCAAGACTGCCTCGTTCCTCCCCGGATCTCTGCCCCGCGGCCTTTGATCGTCCATCCGGTAGTCTCCTGCCCTACAGGATATATTCCACTAGGTTGGCTGCCATACCACTAGTCTGGTCCCGTCTGGAAACCCATCGACGACTCCGACGACTTACACGGCCCCCATATCCATCATCACCACCACCACCACACACAAACATACACAACATGGCTTCGATATCAGGCCTCTCCATGGCGGACCTCAACGCCGCCGCTCTCGAGCACTTTGTCTACACCCCGGTCAGCAAGGACATGATTTCGTACCTCGCGGCCGCCGCTTCCAATGTCATCCAGTGCGATGCCACCATGATGCCTCCGCCGCCCCAAAGCCGGACACAGAACCCGACGCCGCCCAGGACACCGTCGCCCCGCGCCGTCCGCAGCGACGATTCCGGGCTGCCCACATTGGAAGACTTCATCACCAAGCTTGTCGTCTCCTCCAATGTCCAGGTCCCCACCCTGATGTCGACTCTGGTCTACCTCACACGGTTAAGGTCCCGGCTCCAGCCCATGGCCAAGGGTCTTCGGTGCACCACCCACCGCATCTTCCTGGCGGCTCTGATCCTCACTGCCAAGTACCTCAACGACAGCTCTCCCAAGAACAAGCACTGGGCCGCTTACTCTAACCTCACCACCGACGCCTACAACTTTGGCTTCAGCCGCACCGAGGTTAATCTGATGGAGAAGCAGCTTCTGTTCCTGCTCGACTGGGAGCTCAGAATCACCGAGGACGATCTCTACCACGAGCTCGACGTCTTCCTTGCGCCTATCCGCGATGAGATCGAGGCCAAGCACGTCCGCCGCATTCAGCGCAAGGAGGCTCTCCGCCGGCAGCAGCAGCTCGAGGCCGAGGCTTGGGCAGTGTCCCAGTACTCGTCGCCTCCTGTTTCTCGCGAGCACTCGCAGTCGAGAGCTGCCAGGCTGGCTACTCCTCCACGGGAAACCATCCGCATGGTCCACGATGCTTCGACTCCTCCTGGCTTGGCCTACAGCTCGTCCGGTAGCTCTTACGCATCGTCGGTCTCGTCCCAGCAGCACTCGCGGTCCTCAACGCCACTCACGGACCCCGAAGAGGTCCCACACCACGTTTACGACTGCTCTCTGTATGAGTCACCAGTCGAGATTGTTCCGGACATGCTGCACTCAGCCACCATGGGCAAGACGTGCCAAAGCAGTGGCAAGCAGTTGCTGCCGTACGAGATCAGCCCCGAGCAGCTCAGAGAGCTTCAAGACGGCACCGTCAAGGCAAAGCGCGGGCGGACTGCCCGCGGCGTCTTTGGGCGCATGTTTGGCACTGCGGCAACACGATGAGCTGGGCCCAGTGTCGCATCTCTCTTTACTATTATAAGCACCAGCATTATACGGCGTTTTTTGGGCACTTTCCACACTTCATGGACATAAGCATCAGCGGACCCTTTGTCTTTCTTGGCGTTCGGGCTCAACGGCATATACACACCTACACTACACACGCGACAACATCTTTTCCTTACAGTACTGGCTATAATGGGAGTGGGACGCACTTTTTCAAAGGAGCACTAGGAGTTTGCGGGATGACGACACCGGGAATGATGGTTTAGTCTTGTGTCTTTTGGCGGTTCATCCGGAACAGCGGGTCATGAGTCGGGATGCACGGAAGATACCTTGGCTTAGCACCTCACACTTAGTACCTCAACACTCGTCTCAGAGCAAAATGCTCTAACGGGGACAGTAATTGAAAAGCACTTCTCTAAAGCAACGGTTTTTTTTGTCCCACTCCGCATATGTCACCAGTCTCTCGTGCATTACGCGTTTGTCCTCGTGTCCCTCCGCCATCACTCGTCCAATTTTCGTGATCCTCGTCGTCACGCGGGTGGGGCTCAGGGTCCTCCTGTCTAATCCCTGCGAAGGTGGAGTCAGCACCCTCCCTTGCCCAGATGACGTCTTGACATGTGTGGCCCCCCGCCACCACCAACCACCACCACTACGGGATGGCGCAAGTTGACACATTTTCGGTGTTTCGGGCACTTTGGGACGGCCGGGGATATGTCGGTCCACCCGGCCGGGGGAGTTGGATCCTAGTATGTATGGAGACAAAGTCATTCATTTTCCTTTCTCTTTGCGCGTTTTTGTGTGTGCATGGACTGGTACTGCTTATTGCGAGCCGGAATGTGGCCCTGTAGTGACATGATGATGGAGTCCTCAGAGGACGAGGGAGGAGGAGACTGCAGACGCTATGTCGATAGTAGCACAAGCTTTTTTCTTTTCTCACGGCACAGTCAGGTTCGGCACGGCTAATGCCGCGCTTTTTTCGAGTCATGAGAAAAGTGAGCGCGCTACAAATGTATGTTGTCTCACGGGTCGCTGCGCATGTTCGGAAAAGGATAGCGAGAATGGAGCGGGATGTACTGCAACATATTGGAGGGGGAGGGGAAGGGTTTGATCCCGGCGGGTTTTTCTTGTGTTGATTTGACGTGCGCCTCTGGCCCGTTCTGCATGCATGGTACATTGATACACTAGTAATGAATTTGACCCAAAAACTAGTTTGTTCCTCCTCCAAAATGTTCCGTGGTATTTTTCATCATGGAGAAAAACGGGCTACCGGCACTTCAGGGGGAAGACAAGTTCATTGTAATTCCCGCCACAGCGGAAACTGAAACCCAGGGAGGAGGGAGATCGCAGCAGAGGCGAAGAAAGACAAAGGCGGGATCGACAGAAGGATTCATTCTTGCTTTCTGTGGTTTGACAGCTTCGTTCGGAACTGGGCTACTGGGAAGGGGATGGAGGAGGTGGGGAAGTAAGCGGGCGCAGTTTCTCGGCGGATTTGCTGATCTTTTTACAGCCCTTTTTGTTCTCCTTTCCCCCCGTTCCCCACCGCGAGGTTTTGTGGGGTTAGCGAAGCTGGCTGCGGTACCGGGCATTTAACTCTGTTCAACTGGGCGGCAGTGACCATCTGGCGGCAAGGCACATACTTGATGAGACCAGAATCGCTCGGCGGCTCGGAAGACAGCAAATGATGCACGCACGATCGACATCTCGTAAGGGCCGGCCGGCCCGGGGGTTGTGCGGAATCCGGAAAGGAGTCCCACGCGGAGAGTATTTCCCTTTCCTCGGTGCCCCTCGGTGCCCGTTCCGGGGCGTCTAACTTTTCTTCCTTTTCCATGGGGGGTAAGTGGCGGGCAAGGTGCTAGACTACTACTGCTGCAGTAGCACTTAGTGAGAGCGAACAAGTGTGGCTTGGCTGCCCTCCCTTCCTCCCTAATATCAACGTTGGGGCGTGATTTAGCACCCCCGCCTTTCTTAAGTCCTTGTTTAGATCTACAACGGTCCAACTCTGTACCACCAAGTGCCGGGAGTCGGCAGATGCGGGGGAAGACCCGGACGGGGCTCGCTGATTTTCCTTTCCCCCCTTCCGCACCCACACACCCAATGTTTCCGCGGGTTCTCCGGGCTGGAGAAGCATGCCCTTCTTTTTCCTTACACGAGTCACGTTGCGGCGTCCATTTTCCGCCGCGGAGTGGCTATCTCGGGCGAAGGAGGCATTGCTGGCGCTTTTTACTTGGCCTTGCGGAGGGCATCGGGTATGACACTGCGGATTGGACACTGCATATATTTTTTGACTCGGGGCTCTGCATGTGTGTGTGTGTGTGTGTGCGTGAGATGGTGGCTATTTGCGGCTGCGAGACAGCTGCTGCTGCTGTTTCTGTTGCGCGATAGTAGGCGGGCTGGGGAAATTTCGTCTTGGACTTGTGTATGGAGTACCAAAACATTACCCGTCTTGCTCGTCGTCCCGAGGACCCCCGCGTGTGCCTTCAAAATGACGACGGTGTTTGCTCTTCGCAACGCAGGCTAGGCTTGAGGAGGCGTCCAGGCGTACGTACGTGCCTGCATGCCGGGCTGGCTGGCTGTATGCAAAAGGGACCGCTCGTACCTGCATGCAGGAAAGAAGAGACCCTACACGAGCAGGGGGTCTGATACCCAGGGCATTCAACCTCGGCTGCTGCGTATCTGGCCCGCGTTAGATAGAACACGAGGTTTCATGTTTGGCAGACCCTTTTCCTTCCCCAAGATCGATCAGATAGTAGGAGGATCAGGGCTGCGGTTTCTGCGATCTATTGGTTGATATGGCGTTCATCGAGGAAAAGTGGAACCGTGGCCAGGGGGGCTTCGGAACTGGATTGGCGGGAGGGCTGTCCGTAGGGCTGCGCGCAGGGGTTGCGATTTCGGGGCTGGGAACGTTACACCTTTGTTCTCTGGGATAACCCGTTCCATACCACAACATCTATGTATGTTTGTGAAGATTCTCGTGAGAAAATAGAGACAGCTGTGTAATGACGTGCTTGTATCTAGATTCGTGCACTATTTTGCGATGGGCGCTGCATGGCCAGCAGCATGGGCGGCCACCGCGATCAGGTTCTTGCGAAGCCTGGAAATGCGCCCATGAAAGACCTCACGCTGGTTCTCTGATGCGGCCCATCAAGCGACGCGCAAAGCTTTTAGGGCTTGTGCGGGCGGTCTGCCAGACTACTCGACCTACTGCGCTTCAGGCCCCAGGCCGAGAGCCTCGGACGCAAGCACTACAGACGGAGACCAGGCTCACCGTGTCTCCGGACTACTGTGAAATGCGCAATCCACATGCTCGCCATCGTATGGAACTCGTCAAACTGTGATGTCCCAGCGTCGTGCTTCGCAGTTGGAGACTGGGACGGATCTCGGGAGTAAGCTGATCCAAAGTCACGAGCCGAGTCCATACGAGCTGCGCACAGCCAGAGCAAATCTACTTTCCTTGTCTATTCTTGACGCTCTTTACCTTCATTGGGCTACCGAAGATACGGAGTCCCCGGTTCCTTTGTGGGGATGTTTTTTTCTTTTTGGGTCAGAACCGTTGAGAACCGCAGAAGTTGCTCCTTAGTCCAAGGGTTGTGCTCCATCAGTACGATGAAGGCAGGGATCGGTTGCATGTCTGCGCATGCGCCTTCTTCCTCGTGTTGTGTCGTGGTGTGCAGATAGACTCAACCTCAGGGGGTGGTTTTCTGCGTGCTCTTCTCCCCCCTCCTAAGGCCATCGGCGATGCCATCGCTTGGGCAAAAGATAGGGTACTTCTGAAACGAACAAAAGCGTGCGCAGATGCTGTCCATTTCCGACGGCAGTTGATTACGAGCCCCCGGGACGTTTTGCGTGCCTATTAATTATTTTTAGTGTCCGAGCGAGACTTGAGAGTTTCCTATGTGGTCCTAGGACGCGCGGGGATGACCGTCATTTCCTGGACGCGGTAGTTGGGCCGCCTTCCTCATTTCGGCTTCCCGTACGGCTGGGGTCAAGGCGTCTCTCTCTCTCTCTCTCTGTGCCGCAAGCGCGCCTTGTAGGATTCAAGGAGTGCGGGACGCGCACTCTGGGCAGCTCCCCATTGATCGACCGCACATACCGCATTGATGGATGGTGGGCGGTGGGTCGAAGCGCTAAAAGGGAAGGAATCCGAGCGTCGCCGCTAGGTTCAACGGGCGAGCTGTCAGTCTGAAACAGGCATGCTTCTAGAAGGATTACCTGTGGGATTTCGAAAACTGGGGGTTCGTGCTTATTCGTGGCAGGGAACCGTGTGTCTGGGTGTGTGGGCTTCTGTCATTCCTGGAGGAGGGGGGGGGGCTTTGACACGATGACGTAGTTTGCTGATAAAGATGAGGGGAGCTTACGAAAGCACGTTTGAACAATGCTGCACACTTCTAAGTTTCACAAATTGTAGGATTCACTTGGTTCCTTGATCATTGGTTACAGGCCTCACTAGAGTTGTCTATTTCCGCCAAGGGCTGATGCCCGGCCACATCTCCACTTATGCTCTGATCCTCCAAGGGAAGATGTGCGCCGCCTTGTCCCGTCCTCACTGCCGCTGGCCGCGATGCAACTAGGGAAGACGCGCAATTGCACGGGCAGTGCCGAGAAACTCAAAATTGGAGAACAACGTCAAGTTGAGGCCCTAACTGGCTGGAGCGCATACCGAGTCACTCTAGCCACACTCCAGAGTGCCATTTTGTGGGTGCTTGCAACGGGTCGCCGCCTCGTCTTACTACGACAACGACGTAATGTCCAACCCGCACGCCCCGATTATCTCATTCATCCCATGGCGTTGCATCACCACAGCTCGAAGCATGCGTGCAAATCCACGAGGCGATGCAAAAGCAAGATGAAAAAGCAGGAAATGAGCCTTCTCCAATGTGGTGGTGGCGTGTTTATTCCACTCCCATCCCTCCCACAGGCAGGTAGGTGGTAGTAGCCACGCTGCGGCGATGAAGCCATCTCCCCCTTCGGCTATCGTCATGTGCCGAGGCGATCGTTGACCAACCACTGGTGGGATTAAGTGGCACCGAGATAATGCTCCCGCCTGCGCCTTGCAAGACAAACCAAGCCATTGAGAGATCTGCCATGCACTGCACTGCACCCTCCCACACCTGTCAGTCTCGGAAAACGTACGATTGTGTAGATCCGATCACTCGTCGGAAACCACGTACACAAGTGCCCGTGGGGCATACACACACCTGCTCGGATACTGCCGCACAGCCAGCCGCCTATGTCGGCAGTTGAGAACGCTAATGTGACCAGTCAGAGTCACATGCGTCCATTCTCCACGCTCCGTATCTCGTTGATCGTCCTGCCCCTCCCCGCACAATATGCCTTACTATACTCAGATACTTGTTGTCCACACACACACACACACACGCGCACGCTCGCACAACGGCCCGTTTTTCCAGTGTGACTTTCTAGACAAGGAAAGCAAAGTGAGCTCCGCGCGGGGCGGTGAGCACAATCCCCCGCGGCGATCATGCTTGACTGCCGGTATACATGGCTGATGTAAGAGGGGGTAAAGGGATAAGCGGAATGCACATGCCGTTGATCACCTCGCGTCCGTAGCTTTATGGGAGGGTGTGGGGAAGGAAAGGAGGGGGGGGGAAGCAAGCGCGGGCATTGCAACTGCCGGCATTTGTGTTGATCGCACGCTTGATGGGGCGAAGGGCGGCTAACGGGATTATCAGTTCATCAGCAGCAGATTGTGTGTGGTGAGGAGCGTGGGGGTTGCGATGTGAAGTAGATAACAAGGCTTACTGGCGATACTACGCGACGGGAGGAGAGGACTTTTGATAGGGAGCAGGTTGGTGCGCATATCACGTTCTCGAGTACTTTTGGGTTGTCCGTGCCGCCGGTCCGTGACAGGGCGGGGAGTTGTCTCATATTGTTCGGGTCTGACGAGGCTGCCGTGCATTAGGTCCTCACGAGCGTGGTCAAGTGAGGCGAGGCATGATATCTCCACTCCCTGCCTGCTGGTCTTGACATGACTTGACAGTTGGTGATGCGGTCCTTTGGTCAAGCAAGGTAGGTGGCCAAAAGGAAGCAGGCATTACAAAGGGTACACCTGACCAAACCGGAGCATGTTCCGCAGGGCAGAACTATGCGAGGCCGCGGTGCTGTCTCGGGCACGCTCAAGGCATGCACGCTCTGGTCTGACATATAATATTCCCAGTCTGACATCAAACCGAGCTCAGGGCGAGAGGGGCGATGCTGGGAACAGACCACAATGTAGCTTCTACTGACTTGTGATATGTCCTGATGGTTAAAAATGTCCTTGCGAGGCTCTTGAAGACTACTCGGCTGTGCTATACAGGATGTCGGAAGCTTGTTGATTGGCTTGATCTGTCGGGCCATGTTTCTCGGTTCTCTCCGTGGGCCACAAACAACCGCAACGTGCCTCCATTCAAGGGCTTGAATCACCACTCATTTCCTGGGGAACGGCCATTTTGGTGATTTCCTGAATCAGCTTGAAATGAAAGCTTGAGCGGAATACAACTGTCTGTGAGATCCTTGGCTTGACGAGGCATGAAGTAACGAAATGACTCGGTAGCGACAACCGGAGCAAGACAACACAAGATTGGAACTGGGCCTCTGCGTTCGCACATGACTTTGCCGTCGCTTAATGCAGCATCGTGACTCACTGCAACCGGAGCCTCACCGTTCCGCTCAGAATGCCGGGCTGTTGCTCTCGTTCACGATGTTGCAGCAGCGGCTGCGGGCGGTGGCTGTGCAGCGCGCATGCGGGCAAAGCAGGGGTTGAACCCTGCAGAAAACGATTTACAGCAAGGGTGTTCGTACTCCGTTGATTGCGGCACTGCCGGAAGACCCTTTATTTCTAGATGCGTACGACCTGAAGGCCAGTCTGACACGTGAAAAAACGAGACTCTTTGAACAATGTGATTGTGAGGAATTGTTTAAAAAAGGTTGGCCAGTTGCTGGTTGCTTGTGTCGATCGTTGTGGCTGACCAAGTGCATTATCGGTACCGAGCCCCCTGGCGCTAATATGGAGCATCCGGGGCCGATTGTGGGGACGGACGACACAGGGCTGAGATTGAAGACGGCGCCGGTTTGACTTGAGCAGGAGCATCTAGGCGTCCCTCTGACGACGGCTTCGAGTAGATACAAACTTGTAGAGACTACAGCACCCGTGGCTTTGCAGAAGTGCAAATCCTCAAGTTGCTGGTGCGCAGCCTAATCGACACGAGACCTATGGCATGAAGCCTGCTGACGACGAAGTCTCGTGTTAGTAGCTTGCCCCAGACAAGTGCAACTAAATGTGGAGATGGCCGGACGAGAACTGCCCAAGCAGTCACGCCGAGGAGGAAAAGGGTGGTCCCTTGTAATTACCTTAAATACTTCTCCGCGAGTTGTTCATATATAACAACAACAACCTCCATCCTCCACTCTGCAAGCTGTCAGTTGGCGACGATCCTTTCCTGACACTAACAAACAACCTCCCCCTTGTCGCCTCGCCGACCTCACGCTCGCTTGCACACCAAACCACCACACTCGTTTGACGCCCTCACATTGACCTCCTGACCATGAAGGCCACCACCGCACTCCTGGCCCCTGCCGCCCTGCTCGCCGCCGTCTCGTCAGTGCTCGCCTCGCCCACGGGCGTCAGCGACAACGATGCGCCCTCGACCACCACCACCAGCGCCTCGAGCTGCACGGCGCCGCTGATCGCAGAGCTGTGTGACTACCCGCCGCCTGAGAATGCCGGCTACTTTGCCATCGCGGCCAGCGGGCCATCGACGTGCTGGGAGCACTGCGCAAAGAACGCGCCCTGCAACTTCTCCGTCTTCCTCCTCAACAACCCCTACACGGGCACGGGCACCTGCTGGATGTACCCGGGCCAGTCGTACAACCCGGCGGCCGGGCAGGCCGACGGCTGCACGCGCAAGTCGTTGAGCGTCTACGGCCAGCCGACGTGCTCGGACCCGGAGCAGCCCATCGGCGGCACCAACACGGCGCCGCCCGCCTGCGCCGCCACCGCGAGCCCCTCGCCCGTCGCCAAGATCTGCGACTACCCGCCCCCGCCGGACGGCTGCTTCAACTCGTGCGCCGCCTCGGCCAGCAGCGCCGCCTGCCTCAGCCAGTGCGCCCAGTCCGACTCGTGCGCCTTTGCCATCTTCAACCCCGGCAACGAGCCCCTCGACCCAAACTACTCGGGCAACTGCTGGATGTACCCCGAGGGCGCTGTCTTCGACCCAAAGCTCGCCGGCACATGCAAGGGCGACAAGCCCGAGCAGTACGTCTACCAGAACACGTGCCCCAAGATCGTCAAGCCTTCGCCGTCGTCGTCCTCGGAGGGTGGTGGTGGTGGTGCGGCGGGCGGCGCCTCGCCGACCCCGGGACCGAGCGGCACGGGTGGTGATGTTAGTGGCGGCGCCGCAGCTGCTGCCGGTGCGTCTTCGGCACCTGCCCCCGAGAAGGCCGCCGCCAACGGCCTTGCGCAGGCTTCCGCTGGATCAGTGGTTCTTGGCGCGGCTCTGCTGCTATGGCAAGCACTTGCATAAGACGAGCACATAATCAAAAGGCTTGATTTGTATATTCACGATCTATAGAGGTACATAAAACCCATAATGCTTAATCACGTAATTTAACATAAGTTCCCCCAAAGCTGCCGATCCGTGGGACAAATACTCTCCTGCTTTCAAACGTGAACTTGACCTTATGACTGTGAAGCATGGGGCACGGGACAAAGAATCCCAGTCCAGGACATTTGCCCTGCCACTGAGATTGAGGCAGAATAGTCGCAACAAGGTCGGATAATCCCACTCCTCTCTCTCTCTCTCGTCTGCACGCATTTGGGGGAACGTGCCCTGCAGGACTTGTGCACTTTCTTTTTCTCTTTGGCGAACAAAGTGTGCCTTGGTCTCAGCCTGTCGGCCCACATGGAGCGGGCTGATTTCTGCATTTTCTCGGCGGCTCTAGAATACCTCATATTCACCTTACTGGCTTGAGAAATGCCGCCAGTTTGTAAGGTCAGCCCCAACGACATGGGGCCAAAGGGTTTTGGCTGATTTCCGATATAACCATTCAGTCAGCCTTGCGCTAGGCAAGGACATGGGATGAGGCCATCTTATTTTCCTCATTGCCAGGGACCTAGTTAAGACGTCACCACTCTTGAGGCTATCCTTGGAATACCAAGTCCTTCGGAGGCGCCATATGCCATGGGTAACCTCGCAAGGCCGATTTCGAGGCCTTGCCGCATGCCTGGCCGTATGCCGAAGTTCTTCCCTGCCAGAGACTCAGCTTGACTGGCGGCCTGCGAGACCGAGCTTGACATCCCTAATCAAGCCTTGCGGCAGTAATGAAGGCGACGTGAGTCTGGTCGAAAGCCACAACGACAGATATGCTATAAAGCCCAGTGCAGTCGCATGCGTTGGCTCTCTGACGGCAGCTCGAGGGACGTACATTTCTTAATCTTGACTTGACATTACCGTGCAAGTTACCCTTGCCTGTGCGAGAGACGGGCCAGGATACGAGGGGAAACGCTTTGATGGACATAATGTAGAGCCCATGTGGGCAGTTGTGGGTTCAAGAAGGAAAAGAGCAAAGTGATGCCTCCGGCAATCCAGTCCCGCCAAGGACATGGTTCGCGCGGAACACAAAACAGACGAGACGATCTCCGTTAGGTAAGATTGCAAGTCTGGAACTTCAGGCGTGTCTTCCCTGGTTAGGGACCTTCCGAAAAATCCAACTTGGTCTGTCCACAGTCATGCCGCTTGCGCATCACATTCCTTCGGGCAGGCATAGACAAACACCTTAACCTCACATTCAAACACGTCAATGTTGAGCATGTAAGGGAGAAGTTAATCTGTTCGAGCATGCGAGAGGTGCGTAGGGCCTTCCTGACGACAGACTGCTTGAATTCTTTTCAAAGCATGCCCGTTTCTAGAACCACCCAGCGATACGACCAATGTTCTCCTGTATATCATAGATAAGAAGATTGTAGCCCATGAACACCAAAACAGCACGCAGCTGGAAGATACAAGTAATGTTGCTCAAGCTGTTCCCATGATCCTCATTCAGCACAAGCATACGCCATTCGACAATTCATCCTCCTCTTCCACTTTCCCTATCTTTTTTCTTTTTCTTTTGGGGCTCGCCGGAGCCCCCGACAACAGCAACCCGGAGTACCAATCAAGGCTGACTCCGACCAGGCGCATTCCCTTCGGCCAAGTTCCCCGTGCTGGTCCCCTTCTTCATCTCCTCGCGCCAAGTCGCTCTCTCAACCTCGCCCACACCGGGGCCCTTGTACACGCTACCATAAACCCCGGACGCCCACGAGCTGCCCTCCCTCGCGGCCTCCGTGGTCGGCCGGTCCTTCTTGCCGCCCTTGGTGTAGTGGCGCCTATACCACTTGCCGTACGCGAGCAGGTAGTACAGCCGGAAGCACAGGAACGCGAACCTGTCGTGCTCCAGGTCCTCCGGGTACGTGGCGCCGAGGTCCACGGCGGCGGCGATGCCGCTCATGATGGCGACCTCGTGGGCGTTGACGAGGGTCCAGGAGGCGGCGAAGCGGGTGTTGTTCTTGGCCTGGAGGAACATCATCCAGGGCACCACGAGCAGGTAGTGCGTGTACGAGTGGCACAGCTGGTGCCACCAGTCCCTGCGGATGACCTTGTCCTCGCGGATCTCGGCGTCGGTCCAGAGGTGGCCGTCGCGCTGCTTGTTGAGGTAGATGGTCTGGAAGACGTGCTGCTCAAAGGGCACGTTCTCGGGGAACTGGGACTGGTAGTTTGTCGTGTCGAAGCACATCTCGAGCTTGCTCTGGTCCTGGTCGTACATCTTGATGTAGTACATGGGGCGGAACGAGCCGACGGCGTAGTTGAGCCGGTGGGAGTGGTCGTGCCCGTTGATGCGCTGCGTGTTGGCCAGGTCCTCGCGGTAGAAGTTCTCGTAGTGCTTCTTCATGTAGTCGGCGTCGTTGTGCGTGATGGTGATGTCGTCGCTGAACTTGGCGGAGCCGAGGACGCGCTTCTCCTTCCAGGTGGCAGTGCGGCCGAGCACCTTCTTGGCCGTGTCGGCCAGGCAGCACAGGACCAGCTCGTCGTAGTGCTCCTCGGTGGCCGGGATGTCCTGGTCCGCGCCGACGGGGTTGTGGCCGTCGGACGCGGGCCGGCGGGACCTGAGGCGGACGGTGACGCCGCCGTTTTTGCTGCGATGGACAATCTCTGTGAGCTCGGTGGAGAGGCGGACGGTGACGCCGCGGGAGACGAGGTCCTTGCGCCAGGTCTCGTAGAACTCGGAGAAGTTTGGGAAGACGACCATGGGCGGCTGGTTTTCGACGACGGTGTCCTTGGAGGCCGGGTACCACATGCCGTAGGTGGGAGACGTGCAGAGGCGCTCGAGCATGATGGTGGGGACCTCTGGGGTGGCGTTGCCGGTGCCGAGGAAGAGGGCGGTCATGGGCAGGGCGATGGTGTTTGTGAACTCCTCCGAGAAGAGGAACATCTTGAAGACGAGGCGGAGGGGCAGGAGGGCGAAGAAGACCTCGAACCAGCGGATGATCTTGAGCATGCGGACGAGTCGGACGACCTCCTTCTGGTGGCGGGCGAGCAGCGTGGTGGGGAAGACGTTTGTCCAGAAGGTCTCGTCCTTGCCAAACGAGACGTGCAGCTTGACGGGGTCGGCGTGGAAGCCCTGGCGCTGGAACATGGTCAGCGTGTGGTGGAAAATGTACGAGCCGCCCTGCACGCCCTGGTTGCACCACGACGCCCCGTGCCGCTCCTTGTCCAGCGGCATCGAAAACGCCTGCCCGCCGCAGTAGTCGACCGCGTCAATCACGGTCACGTCAAACTTGTCGCGGTGCTGCGACAGGTGGTATGCCGTCGACATGCTGTACATCTCGTCAGCCTTTCCTCTGGACCTGCACTCTTCACTCACGACAAATGAAAGAGATATAAAGAGAGAGTATCGCCTACCCAGCCGCGCCGGCGCCCACCACGAGCACCCTCTTGCGCCCATCGCGGGACTTGCTGTTGCTGCCGTTGTGCTCCATCGGGTTCAGAGCGTCACGCTCGAGGTCACGGTCGAATCTAGTATCTGGCATGGGAGTGTAAGCCTTGGGCTGCCCTTTATACCTAAGTACTTGACCAAAAGCCCGGACGCCTGTCACACGAATGGACCAGCAAAAGTCGATGGGATCTGGAGAATAAACACGGAACCGACTTACAGAGAGTGTAGTCGCACACATATAATATCTTTCTCGCCTCAAATCGGCCGCAGTTATGTAGCATGCACGAAGATGGATTATCCATCAACTGCTCATCACCTACGCATTAGACTTCTGTGCTGCTGCGCCGGCACGGTCCAAGCAGGCATGATGGCTACACTTTGCAGCAGTGGAGACGACGTCATCGACTTTGGCACTGACCTTTCACAAGCACCAAAACCAAATGGTCTAGGCTCGACAGCAGCTAGATGCACCAATCACAACCCCACACTTCCGATCTATGGTGCCGGATCGGGGGGTTCAACTGCCATCGATCTGGCTGTCTCTTTTTGGTGGTGTACATTCCAGGCATAGAAAGCTTGTGATAGTGGCCTGCCACGTCCAGACTCACGACATGATTACAACCATCGATGCCCACCTCAATACCAAAGCGTACCCGCGATGCTCTGCTGGCACTAAAAAGGTCATACGAGCAGCAATGGATCCTTGAGAGCTACGCTCCCACCAACTCCTAAACACCCCTCTTCCGACCCAAGCATCCTCCAGACAATGTAACCCCCCGCGGTCGCATCTGCTCCACTAAAGAAGCGCTCGATGCACCCACCCACTTCCACATTCCCAGATCTCATGCACCTGCCATCTCACACTAAGTATTCAGTGGGGGGCCCAAGGAGACATTTCCGAGATTCCAAGCTCGGCACACCATTATTCTTCCTTGTCAACACGCGCCCATATATTGTCGTCTAGGTGGATTGCCCCAGCGGTGCCTGTCTTATGGCTGCGGGTTTGGCAAGACATGGCCCATCCAATTCTTGAAAATACATACAGTACCTCAAAGCAAATACTGTTTCTCCCAACTCACCAAAGTATGACCCCGACGCACGCAAAGCTCGTACAAATGCCCCCCAAAATTGCCATCGTGGCTCATTATATCCCCCCAAAGAAAAAGTCTAATCTTCCTAAAAGCACCAAGTATGCCAACCGAGTAGGAGACACACATCTCAAAGTGCGCTCTACTACTAATGCAAAACACGCCCGCTCGCTAACTTTATGCAGCAACAACGCCCGCTTTTCAGTGAAAACAATATCCTCCAAACACGCCGCCAGGTTGGCCCGTCCAACCAGGGGACCTCAAGCAAAGCAATAGTACATAGGGGAGCAGGAGGCCAGATACCCGACAGCACGAGAGGTCTCCCTCAGAACAAGCCCGCGGCTTGCTCCTGCGAGGCAGGCTGCACCTCCGCAGCCGGGGCCCGCTGCTCGGCAGCGTCAAAGTCGCGCCGCGTCTCGGTAACCACCGACACGGGGCTGCGGGCCTCCTCCGAGCTCCTCTTCATAATCTCGTCCTTGCGCGCAACGGACGGCCACTTGATGTTGTTGTTCTTGGCCGCATGCTCGGCCTCGGCCAGCCACTCGCGCCACTGCGGCGTGATGGGCGCCGCCCCGTTCTTCTCGACCCACGCCGTCCGCTTCGTCTCGCGGATCGCCCACCACAGAGTCCGCGTGAAGCTCTTGACGCCCTCGCGCTGGTCGCTCGGGTCCGTCTCGCCGTGCGCGCCCTGTGCGTAGTCGGGCGTGATGTCACGGACCTCGTACCGGCTCAGGTCCCAGAACAGCTTCTTGGGCAGCATCCCGAGCAGCCAGTACAGCCCGTTGAGAAGGATGTAGCTCGCCGCGATGAAGACCTGGCTCCACCACTTGCAGTTGCCGAGCAGGATGACCGTCACCATGAGCAGGAACGTGCCGATGCCCATAAGGGCGCGGTACGTCAGCGGGCCGACGTGGTAGTCGCACTCGTCCGTGCCGTAGTACAGCTCGCGCGCGACCTCCTCGGTGCACTTGATGACCAGGAACGCGCCTTCGCGAGTCCGGATGACCACGTCGCCGTCCGGGACCTTGTTGGTGTGGCTGCGCTTCATAAGCACGGGCCGCCACCAGGACGCGAGGCCAACGACAGAACTCTGTATGGCAATGAGCGACACGGCAACAATGGCGGTTGCGTCTTTAACCACAGCCGCGACGGCAATGATGCCCAGCGTGAGGCAGAGGGAGAACACGGCGAGGATGTGGACGGGCGAGAGCAACGTGGCGGGGATGGCCGGGCGCTCTTGCGTGTTGGCCAAGGTAGGGTTGGCCACAAAGTCTTGTACTCTCTCCTTGACAGTGTGCCGTCTCTTGATGCCCGGTTGGGGGTCCTCGCCGTCTCGGCGACTCGCCCTGCTGATGGCACTCGTCCGTGGCTGTGCCTCGGCAGGGGCAAGCTCTGCATCCGGAGGAGGACCTGGTATCCGCACGGATTTCGCAGAACGTGGCTGGGAAAGGGCCGTCGCAGTTTGGCCCGTGCGGAGTCTACTCAGCAACGGCCGCCCGTTCGTCGTGACTCGCTGACCGAGCTCGACATCTCCTGCCGTGTTCATGTCCGTGTGTGTAATCTCGAGGACCTTGAAAGCAAATGCCGGGAGCTCATCGAGAGGATGTATGATGTTGGCGAAGAAGCCAACGCTGTCGAGAACGACACCGCTGTAGACGCCAGTCATCTTGGCCTTGACCTCGGGCAGGCGTACCGGCCTCGAGGGCTTGAGGAGAGCTTGCGGTGCTGGAATGATGCGTGGCAACAGACACAGGGCGCTGGCTGTGATGGTCTGGGAATGGTCGGCGATCGAAGACTCGCCAATGACGGCGAGCAGGGTGACGACGTCGAGGCGCCAAGCCATGGGCCCTCCGTCGGATGTGAACCACAGGTCCGCGCCTGTCAGGCCCTTGAGGTTGGTGTTGTCGGCCATCTTGAGGCAGCTCGGGGGTATTGAATCTGTCGTAGGGGCAAATCGAGATTCGGTGAAGCTACTGCGGGGGTTGCTGAGGCGATAGTCTGGTCATGAGGAAGCGAATTGTCGTGGTGGGATCTAGCTGAAGTGTCTGACTGAGCCTGCGAGCTTGTCGAAATGGGGATTGTGCACGGGGCGGCTGTGTGGCGGCCAAGGATGAGGCAGTGGTGGGATATACGCTGAGGGCGGAATAAATACAGTGATGGCTCGCGATGGTCGCTTGGAGGGAATAGAAAGAGCAGGAATGTCGAGGGCGCGGCGTGAAGCGCAGCTGAAGCTCGAGCTGGCCAGCCGAAGATGAAGAGCAAGGCTGTTTGTTGGTTGACAGCAGGGGCAGCAACCTTGAAAGAGGCCCGGTCCTCTAGAGCCTGGTCCTTCATTGTCTTCCAGGGGGGCGGGCCAAGCCAAGCTCGACTGGGGTTAGCCTTCCCGAAGCTGACATTGAGCAGTTCCCACTGCGAACACTTGCGACTTGGCAGCGCTCCAAGGCTGCTTCGAAACATGTTGGCTGCGGGCGGAGCACTTGCACGCATCATGGTGGCCGTACGTGGCGGACGTGGGCGCTTGCATTGTGCTGCATTGCTGCCCGTTGCCGATTGTCCCATTCCACCTCAAGCAGGCGCGTTGTAGCGGCTCGGGAGTGAATGTCTTGCACTGCAGCACCGCAAGCGCGCGGCTGCGGCACCCCACAATGCCAATGTTACACCAACACACGACCGCCACGGCTCAAGCCGTTGCACGGTACCCAAAGATGCCCGACTTGTTCGGGTTTTTGAACTCGGTCATAGACTGCAGTTAGAATTCTCTCGCTCATATCATCAAATGTATTTGTTGAATCAACAGGAGCTTGTGCTCCACCCTAGTCTACCGCTAAAAGCACAAAATACCTCCAGACAAATACTGGCCAGGTATATAAAACAAAACGTGTCAAGCAGGGGACCTGGAAGCCAGGTCAGCATGGCGGTCGCTCTTCGCTCGTGGCTTGTCACAGTGAACTCAAAATATCGACCGCTATTACAAAATCAAAACTTCGCCCGAGCCCGATCCGCTCTAATAACGTTGTCGGCTTGCTCGAGGCGCTCGAGCTCAGCTCGCTTGTGCCTTTCCTCCCGAGTCTCAGCCCCCGTGGCAAAGGCATCACTCTCATTAATCCACTTGATAAAGTCCTCCCAACGGCGTGCCCACTCCGCTTGGATCTCGCGCCGTTCCGCATTGTCCAAGCACGCGTGCTGTAGACTCCACTCGATCAGTCGCTTGCAGACATGCAGTGTCATGGCCTGCTCCCCACGTCCCCTGCCGACAAGAAACTGGTAAAAATCGTGTGAAAGCGTGGACCGGAACAACGTGGGGTTGTCACTGCTCAGAGCACAGTGATAGCCAGACAACAGAAGCCCATAAACGGCGTGCTTTGATGGGTGAGAGCTGAGGCCGAGAATCTCGTTCGATATCGGGCAGCTCTCGATACAGATTCTCTTCCGAATCACATCGTCTCTGAGCTGTGGTTTGGAGAGAAGTGCAAACCCGTGTCCTATCCGCTCGGTATTCTCCAGCGCCAGCGCCGTCTCAAGGTTGTTGTCCGAGTCGTCGTCAGTCTCGCCACAATGGAGAAGGAACGGAATGTGCACGCCGCTCTCCCTGCACCTAGCTTGAAAGGCGTCCAGTTCCGCCTTGAAATACGACAACGGCTGGCCCTGCGACTCCTCGCCCACCAGGTCGAAGCCAGCGATGTACTTTGGCCATTTCTGCTTGAAAGCAAAACACTCGTCGAGAGCCTCCTCGATCTGCAGTCTCGAAAAAGAGCGAGGTGTGCAGTAAATGACCTTGAGACCGCCAAAGTACTTATGCGTGAGTCCCTTGTGCCTCTTTGCGTCGAGCTCTTGCTTGAAGGCCTTGTACTCATCCACGATAATGCGCATGGTATCCTCATTGGACAGAGTTGTCAGGGACTTTCCGTCTGCTGAGATCCGGAAAATCTGGTTGTTGCGCATAAAGTTTGGTCGGATCTCGGCGTATTGTATGTTTTCATCGGCAAATTGCTGCAGGCATCTTTTGGTGTATGCTCTGTACGCCGATTCGTAGTTGAAGAGCCCTTTCATCATCCTGGTTCGTCCATTGAACTTGGCCCACGCACTGTTGCCAGTTGTATGATGTTAGTGTTGAGAGTGACACAACCTGAAAGGCGAGACTCACCCAGCCTGATTCTGATGGCAATCATATGTCTCCCCAGCATGAAATACAAGCTTCGACGCTAGCCAATTCCGAGATTTCATGCTCACGAAAGGCTTTAAACCCAGCCATTCTGATTCGGACCGGAAGTACCCGCTCTCTTTCTCAATTGCCACCAGCGCCGCTGACTTTGTGAACCTGCCGGACTTCGGATCAAAGCATTCGTGTACAGCATCCCACTCCTGCCGGAACCTGCGGTATGACATTTTCCGCAGGTTTCTGATTCTGCCATGCTCGTGCTTTTTCGAGTGATCCGCCAGGATCTTCTTCTCATCTGCTGAGAAGGGATACCGTATCGGGTCAAAGACGCTGTAGGGCTGCTCATGACGCGGCGGGAGTATGAGAAACTGGATCTCGCAGGTGTCAAAGCTCGGCTTGTCCACGAGAGCCATGTCGCTGCTGATGGTCATGAGGGCTTCTTTCTCGGCATGCGACAAGAGGAAATGCGGGTCCAAATTTGCATTGAAATGGACGTGCAGGTGGCCGCCTTTGGGCATCCTTTCGACGATCTGAAGCACCTGCGACCGCCTTGACGAGACATGGCTCGCGTCTGGCCGGTACGTGCCCTGTGGTCCGTTGATGAGGTTCACGTTGACGAGGTAGTGGTCGTCTGGCCTCCGGGGATGTAGCTGGCCCTGGAACCCCACCAGGGGTTTCGCAGGTTCAAAGATGTTGACAATGTCGTTTTTCCTGGCATTCTGGAGCCTGCGATTCGCCTCGTGCTCCTGCGGTGTGGGTTTCGAGTCACCAAGGATGGCACGCCAGGGATCGGTGGGATCGTGCCGAGCGCTGGTGCTCTGCTCTTGCCTCCGCGTGGCCATCTTGGTGATGTGCTGGACTTTGTGGGCTAATGATGAGGTCGGTCGTGCCGAGTCGACCTTGCCGTCGTTGCCACTGGGGTCATCCTCCGGATTTGTACTGCAGAACGCCCCCATCGGGAGGGAGGAAGGTGTGGATGACGCTTCTGGTGCGGGCAGGCTTGAACAACGCCGATACCAAATGCGACCCAGTGACAACGTGCGCATGGCCCACCAGGAGGACCGGCTTGGGGCGATGAGACTGGTAGCGCGGCTCTCTCTTTGACAAGCGCGCTTGCCAAGCGATTCCAGTCGGGGCGGAGAAGTTCCACTTGCAACAAAGCGCAAAGAGGCCGCCTTTGGTTGACTCCCGTGATGGAGTGCGGTGCTGATGTGGTCAAGGTGAGAATGCGGTCGGATTGCGCGCGAGCGAGTGAAACAGGATTGTACAAATAGCAAGCCTGGTCATGCGGGCGAGGCGGGACAAGCCAACCCTGGCAATCCCTCGGGTGAGATCAAGCGCTGAAGCAAACCCAAAAGCAGGGCACGCCAATTAGGCTATTGCTTGGATTTGCTAGAGACTGGTACAAGAGATGGCAAGCCAGAAAGCTTTACGCTTGTGGAGAAGGAGAATGATTGCGTGACTACGCCCTGCGGTGTGTTGGCGGCTGCGCAAACCGGGCTTCTGGGGGGCGGGGGTTTTCCTGTCGTTCTGGGGAGGAACAACCATGTCAAGGCAGCCAGGCCTTGGCACGTGCTATCCTTTTGACATGGGAGCAATCTGGCGCCAGTTCTTCAGAATACCCCAACGCATGACGGAAACGGCCTCCAACACTCGACTCCTTGAACCTAGGGTAAGGAGGCACCTCACGAGAATGACCACCCGCCACTACACCGCCATGCTGCTTGCCCTGCTGCTTGCCCTGCTGCGCAGCGCCTTGTTCGCCGAAAACAGCATGTTCCCTGCGCCCAAGGATGACATCAGCCACCCAAAGTCCTACGTCGAGGTACAACAGACCTCCCATGTCGTCCCGGGCTGATCGGAGATCCGCCATTTCGGCCAATGGCGGCAGGACAGGCAGACTGGCAGGCTCACTCCAGTAATCTGGGAGGACCCTTGCCATAGCGCCGGTGCCCACCATCCATCCACACCCTGGCGCTTAGATGAGCCGAGTGGGCATGGCGCCAGCACGTGGTGAACCCTGGATGGAATGCCTTGTTGGCAACGGCATGTAGAATTACACACAGACACACACACAAACACACGTGCGCACGCGCTCCAGCCCTGGGTGTGGCAGCTGGATAACTCCCTCTTTGATCCAGTGTCGTGTGCTTGCTGGTAGCCAGCCCTGAGACTGTTTGTACCCACGATGGCTCGAAGCCCCCCGGCCGGACTCCCAGGGCTTCAGGGCTGGCTTGAAATGTCCATTGGGCAATTCAGCAGGCAGCACGCCTCCCACAGCCCCCACGCCAGCGCTAATGATTGTGGAGTGCAAGCGCTTGTGTTCTGACAGTTGCCCCATTCAACAAGGCACCGATCAGGCACACCGCAGGGCGGAGTATCAATTGTCATCAACACGCAGTTTCAGTTTGCTTCCGCAAGAAACTGCGCTACATGCACCTGCTCGCCGCTTCAAGGCGATTGGCATGTGCGTGACACCATGACAGCCGACAACAAAGCCACCGATGAAACTACCCAGGTTTTCTCTTTGTTCTAGTCTTGGTCTAGCAAGCGACAAAGCAGACTCGGCAAATAAGGCGCAAACACAAGATCAAAACTCCGTCCTCGCCACAGAAAATGCTCAACGACCTCGGCTAAACACTCCTCCTACTTTGCACGGCAGATCCTTCCAAGACCACACAACCAACAATGTACCTAAGATAGGCATAAACTTTTGGGGGCTTTCTACTAAGCGCGCGGCAATCTCAGTCGCGACCCAACAAGTGCGTTTAGCAAACTCTATCTCTAATCCTCGAACTTGATGCTGTTGGACTTGTTGATGTCAAGTGCGCCACCCCGGTATGCGCCGCGCTTCTTCTTGTTCTTCTCCTTGGTGAAGCCCTTGCCCTTGGTGACAATCAGGTCCGCGTGTGCACGGTCGCCGTACTCGTGCGACACGTAGGCGTTGGAGCTAAGCCGCGGATCGACGTAGACATCCTTCTTGATGCGCGAGAAGGGCTCGTTCTGCTTCTTGGCACCCTTCTCGCCCTTGCGGTTGTTGAGGACTGGGTTGGGAGGCAGCGGCGGGTTGGCAGGGGCGGCCTCGAATGCTGGAGAGGTCTTGTCGAGCGTGGCCGAGGTGTCAGAACCCTCGCTCGCGACAGCCTTTTTGGCGCTCTTCTTGTCAGACGACTTCTTCTTGTCGTCTTCAGAGTCCGAGTCGCTGGACGACGACGACGAGTCAGAGTCAGACTCTGGCAGCGGCACCTTGGCAGCTGTCTCGGCGACCTTGGCGGACTCGGACTCAGAGTCGGAGTCGGAATCAGAGTCAGAGCTGCTGTCAGACGAGGATGAGGAAGACGATGACGAGGAAGAGTCAGAGTCGGATTCAGAGCTGTCTTCTTTGGCGGCAGCCTTGGTCTTGGCCTTCTTGTTCTTGGGCTTTTCAGCCTCCGACTCGGAGTCGGAAGAGTCTGACGAGTCTGAAGAGCTGGCGCTGCTGCTGGCCTTGCGCTTTCGGGGGTTTGCGGCCGCCGAAGTGCTGGCGCTTGCGCCACTAGTTGTAGACTTCTTCTTGGGCGCCTCGTCATCGCTGTCGCTGTCACTGTCGCTGGAGCTCGAGGAAGACGAGCTGCTGCTGGAGGAAGAGTCCGAGTCGCTGTCGTCGTCCTCGCCAGCATCGGCCATGGAGACGTCGTCGCTATCGTCGCTGTCATCATCGGAGCTGCTGGAGTCGCTGCTGTCACTGCTTTCGCTACTGCTGCTTTCGTCGTCCTGCTTGGCCACGACGGGAGTAGTATCCTTGCTCGAAACGGTCTCCCAGGTCTGGTACACACTGACGAGGGAGTGGCCGCCATTGTCCGCGGCATCAGCACCACTCCAACCCTTCTTCGCCCGGTGCTTCTGAAACTCGCGGTGCGCCTTGTCGAAGCCCTGGTCCGAAAGGAAGCCCTCGACAAGATTCATGAGCTGGCTGGGGGGCTCCTGGGCAGCGCTCGTCGTAGCGGTGGCGACGGCCTCAACCGGCTCAGCCTTAACGTCCTTCTTCGACTTGGCCATCGTGTCGGGTTGGGATTGCGTCGTTTGCTGTGCTGTAGCTTTCGTGTCTGAGGATGAATTGTTCGAGAAGAGCCAAGCAGGGGGAGCTTGCGAAGTGGAGGCGGTCTTTGTCGTCTTCTTGGGCATTGGCTCGCGACGTGACGGTCGTCTCTAGTAACACCAAAAAATGGTATAATCAAAAGATCGCGGGACAAGTTTGCGCACGCGGATCGGCAAGAATGCTAGGAGTTGCGCTCTCGGGCGCGCAGCCGGGGCCAATCGAGAAAAAAATGTGGGTTGCGATAAGGGACTTTTTTCTGCCCGCTCTGGTTGACGCTAGGCCAGGCTGGGTGCGCCAGATGGGGTGACCGCTTTTGCCAGGGGGTTTGCACGGTTGGGTCCCACTAAACCACTCTGGGTCATTCATTGTCAAGCTCGAGACAGCGTAGGGTGCAAGACATGAATTATGATGGCCACCGTGCTGCTCAAAGCTCAACTCCCATAACCATCTCTTGTCATCGCTGAAGTCTATATCTATATGAAGCCAATAGACCCAGCATCGTACCTAACACCACGCCTCTTTCTACTATATAAACCACTCATGTCTATGTCTATGTCTAAATACAAGACTTTGGTGAAGCTGCACCAGGCAGTTTTTAAAGCTGCTCGCCACACTTCTCCCAGACAGCCAGGCCAGTTAGGATGGTGCTTACCACCATAGCCGACCCGACTGTGCCATCATCCAGGTCAAGCCAGCCCACGACCGCTCCTGGAATCGTGATATCAAACGCACAAGCCAACGCCCCGCGTCCAAGCTTGTACATCTTGGTTCGTGTCTGCTGCCGACGAGCCTCTCTGTCGGCTGCGACCTCGCGCAGCCGAGCCTGCTCCTCCTTGAGCGCAGTCGCCTCGTCTTTGCTACTACCTTGGGTCTTCTCCTTCTCTGCCACGCCGCCATCTGCAGCGGCGCCTCCTCCTACGGCGACTACCTGCGGCACAGGCGCGTACGCCATGATGCAGAACATCTTCCACAGGCCAGAGAGCATGCCGCAGACCAGCGCGAACAGCCAGAAGCGCTGGGCCTCGATGTTGATGCTCGTCCTCGTCGCGCGGTCCCAGACGGCGAGCCCGTCGATGTCGAGCACGTCGAGCATGGTCGACGTCTCGAGGAGCAGGTACATGCCGTTGAAGGTCTTGGCGAATATGTCGAGCCACACGTCGGCGCCGACCACTCTCGTGGAAGGCGAGGCCGGGGAGCCCTGCTTCTCCTGGACGGAGGAGTACAGCTTTTGCGCGTCCCGAAAGGACTCGACGAAGCGGAAGATGCGGAAGAAGCGGCGTGCCAGGTTGAAACGCTGCTTGAGCGAGACCAAGATGGCCAGGGTAAGCTCCGGTGATGCCTCACGGCCTGTCCATGTCGCGATAAGAGTGAGCAGCAGCTCAAATGGTAGGGCGCAGGATGCAAAGACCTGCGCCAGTGCCTGGAACAGACGCAGGATGCGCTCAATGCCGACTGTGACGGGCGGAACTATGTCAGTGAAAGGGACTTGCTCGCCAGCCGTGCGCGTAGTTGGGGCTTGATATGTGCTGGGGCAGTGAGACAATGGGGCAGAGCAGAGGCGCTTACCTGAGTCGGTGGTAAAAATAACAAATTGGTCCAACGTCCGCGCCATGTTGCCAGAACGGTCCTGATTGGGATGGGGAACAGTTCCTTGGGCGCTTAAATGAAGTCTCACATTGATCCTGGTGTGATTGGAAGCAACAATGTCAGATGTCCGGAAATCGCAGCGGTGAACTGGCTGGCCCGAGACCCAGTTTTCCAGTACGACGTGCCGGCTTCGGCCAGCAATCGTGTTCCCGCAATAGGCCGGACACGACATGCCTGCGTTCTGGCTCAATGCCCTGACAAGAGTCATCGGCCTGTCTCTACTCTAGCCACAACTACAACTACTTTCGTTTAAGAGCAACTCGGCCAGTTTCATCACTACTTCAGAGGTTGTTCTCATCAAACGCATTCTCGGCTGTCTAACGTTGCACCATACGAGTCACCCAAGGTGCGGAACATGGAGAAACCGATTGATGGACTATGTACAAAGTATCAGTAGTTTTGACAATAGTGTGCAAGCTCTTCCAAAGCCAGACTTATGCTCCAGCTATGCAGGATATGTGGATTATACCGGGTCCCGCTGGAAAATGATTATCCTTCTCCGCAAACCACCTTACATGCCGGGAGACACAAGCTTGCCCTGCGCCCGGGACTCCGGGTGCCAACCACCAGCGAGCGCCTCCTTGCCACCGTTCTCAGCTGCAAACTTCTGCATTCTCGCCTCGAGCTCGGGACGGAAATGGCGGATAAGACCCTGAATGGGCCATGCGAAAGCCTCGCCGAGAGCTTTGATGGGACTCGTCAGTATCACAGATCTTCTGAATTGTGAGATCAGATGGAACTTACCGCAGATAGTGTGACCCTCGACCTGCTTGGTCAGCTCCTGGAGCATGTCAATTTCACGCTCACGGCCTTGGCCCTTCTCAAATCGCTGCATGATCTGCTCAGTCCACTTGCTACCCTCGCGGCAAGGCGTGCACTGGCCACACGACTCGTGGCGGTAGAAGTGGCTTAACCGTGAAATAGCACGAACGACATCGGCACTCTTGTCCATGACAATGACAGCGGCAGTACCAAGACCAGACTGGCTATCCTTGAGTGCGTCAAAGTCCATCAGCTGGTCGTCGCAGACAGACTTTGGCAGAATGGGCGTAGATGAACCTCCGGGGATGATGGCAAGCAGGTTGTCCCATCCACCCTTGACACCGCCGCAGTGTTTGTCGATGAGCTCGCGCAGGGGAATGCTCATCTCCTCTTCAACGGTGGCGGGGTTGTTGACGTTGCCAGAAATGCAGAAAAGCTTCGTGCCCTGGTTTCGCTCGCGGCCGAAGCCCGCGAACCAGCTTCCACCTCTTCTGCAAATTGTAGGCGCGACAGCGATAGTCTCGACGTTGGCGACAGTAGAAGGGCAGCCGAAGACGCCGACAGCAGCCGGGAACGGGGGCTTAAGACGGGGTTTGCCGGGCTTGCCCTCAATCGATTCGATCAGCGATGTCTCCTCACCACAGACGTAGGCACCGGCACCACGGTGGATATAAACATCGAAATCGTAGCCGGAGCCACAGGCGTTCTTGCCGATGAGGCCGTCGGCATAAGCCTCGTTGATGGCGTTCTGGAGAACAGCGGCTTCGTGAACGAACTCGCCACGGATGTAGATGTACGCGGCGGTAGCGTTCATGGCACGGCCGGCCACCAGGCATCCCTCAACGAGCTTGTGAGGGTCCTTACGCATAATCTCGCGATCCTTGCAGGTTCCAGGCTCACCCTCGTCGGCGTTGACGACAAGGTAACGCGGCTTGTTGTCCTTGTCCCAGTCCTTGAAGTTCATGAAGGACCACTTCAGACCCGAGGGGAAACCAGCTCCACCTCGTCCACGCAGACCAGAGGCCTTGATCTCGCTGATGATCCAGTCGTGGCCCTTCAGAATAATCTCCTTGGTCTTGTGCCAGTCGCCCATCTTCTTGGCGTGCTTGAGGTCGGGAGGGTATCGGCCGTAAAGGTTCTGGAAGATGCGGTCCTGGTCGCGAAGACCACCATACTGGCGCTTTGGGGCACCATCCTGCACTGTCGCAAATCCCCGTGTGGTCGTGGAAGCGGCGGCCCGGGAGAGGGCCTTCGCCGAGGCGGCGGACGGCGCAGATGTTCTCGACAACATCGCTGCGATTTGGTGTTGCCCAATTGGACTGTGAGGGGAGAAGGTCGGATGGCGTCGAGGCCAGGATGGTGCAGAGGTGCCGTTGTCTAGTGGCAGCAGCAAAATGATGAGGCACTTGGCTCCACGAGACAGCTTGGATGCGGAATCCCTCGGCGCTGATTGGCTAGCGTATGCACTGTAGCGTGCGCTCCGGTCAGCCGTGGGTGCACTATCCCTTGCCACAATGAAGTCATGGATTCCTGCACAAATACCCTTGAAACGGGGTGCGTCTCCGCATAACTCGATACAGAGCTTCCATGTGCCCCACGATTTATGTCTTTGGCATGCCGCGATAGCTGCATCACGCATTCCTCGGTTCAGAAGCATGGCCCCACCACAGCCTTGCTCAGGAGATCGCGCTTGCGAAGCTTCCCAACTGTCGGCACGCAGCGAGGACTGCTTCCCACGCAAATCGTTCCTACCAGTGTCCATTCCTGCCCTGCTGTCAGGCATCATGATAGTTGTAACTTGAGAGCCACGAATCGACAACAAGGCACGAGTTCCTAGGCTGTGCGACACCATTCATCTCGACAGAGCCGCCATGGCGACTTCCAGCAGCAAGCGACAATCGGTTCTCCCCCGAGCACCAGCTGGCCCGAAAGCACCCGTCAACTTCTCCTCGTCGCTCATCATAGCCGACTCTGCTGTTCTCCTCGGGCACCATACGATCAACATCAGCTCAGAGTCCGTTGTCCATCCTCGTGCCAAGCTCGACTCGTCGAACGGCAGGATAACAATTGGGCGGCGTTGCATTATACACGAGCGAAGTCTGCTAGGCGCTCCGTCCAATGACAAAACACCGATCGATTCTCGAGACGGAGTAGTCCTTAGTGATTACATCACCGTGGACGTTGGCGCAGTGATTGAGTCGGGTGGCACAAATATCGGAGAGTCCTCGACGATTGGCGTTGGGTGCCGAGTGGGAAGAGGCGCGAAGCTTGGTAAGGTATGTCAAGTTGCACCGCATAGTGTCAATGGCTCTGGACGGATCTGGCCATGCCCTTATGAACAAGTGTCTCGTGCATGCTGAGTGCTGATCTCATGCTCGATAGCATTGTACACTCACGCCTAGGAGCATCGTACTGCCTGGTGAACGTATTCCGGACTTTACAGTCGTCTATTCAAATGGCACTAGGCGCACCGACAACCGTCGGGTGGCCGACCTGAAGCACAAGACGCAGGCGCGCCAGATTGATGTGTTGAGAAGGCTGATTCCTAGTAATCCCGCGAAGTTTCAATGATACCCAAATGCTCTGTCGCCAACAATGTGCTTCTCTTCTTGGATGGCGTGCTGTACTGGCCGCGAAACAGCGTTGCTGAGCAAAATGCGGGCAACAATAAAAAAATGTAACTCACCAAAATGCTGCAAGTACAAGCTTTCTTTGCAAAGCAATGGCGCAAACAGTGGGGCGGGCATTGTGCTTGTTCACGAAGCGAGATAGGATCACCCGCATCGTGCGATTGTGCAACCAAAATTACCGTCTGACCTGGACGTTCACCACAGGCCGAGGCAAGCGTTTGACCTTTGGCCACTCGTCATGTTGTAACTTGAATTCATTCTTGACTATTTGTGCATACCTCAGTCATGCTCAAGATGATCATTTTGTGGCACATTGCCTAACGACTCGAGAGATGAGGTATCGCCAAGTATTGGCATGCTTGCACTGCCATCAGTAGCCATTCTTTGTGTTGTTTTTGGTGAGCTCGATGAACAATTGTTGTACAAGCCTCTTGATCAAGTACGCCTTGGGCTGATCAGGACTATACAACCACCCTTGTCAGAGTCGAGGACATGCAGCTGCGGCTGGGTCAGCCTTCGGGTAAGCGACCCGCGTGACAACGAATCGTCGACGCCCAATTGTGGCGCAGACACTGCAGGGCTTCGGTCAACCTTGCAGGAGGGCTATATCTCGCAGCAGGCTGTGCTGGGTATTTCTTCCACTTTTCGATTCACATGGGCTCGCAATTCTCGCGATAGTGGCCAGCCCACAGATTTTCCGAAACAGACATCTTCCAACACCTTCTTGCCAGCATTCGCGTCGCCGCCAAGTTCATCGGGCAGAGCGCAACAGATCAGTCACGTCTCGTCGGACACCCGTGGTCTGGTCATCAGCATCAGCTCCTTGCACACAGGACAACACCAGTGGCCGTCCCCTCTCTGAGGCGATTGAGACACCACAGGGTCTCTCTAGCCTGCGATGAACGGGGCGCACCAGCCACAGCAGCAGCAGCAGCAGCAGCCACAGAATGATGCTGTTATTTTGCAATATGGTACTACTATTTCCTCCCCAGGTTCATGCTAAAGGCCGTCACTAAGCTTCTGCAGACCAACCTAGTAAAGAGTGGCTGCCAAGCCGAGGTTTCGTCTTTTCAGTGGACGAGGTGAGCATGTGGATGTGCTTCATCGACTGCGCGGGAGCTTGTGCTCACATGAACATAGATTTCAAAGCTGCCAAGGATTTGTTTCGTGTAAGTCGCCTCTTCACTATCGAAGAACATTATGAGTTGGCACAGGCTGCTGACTATTTCACGCATCTCGGTCGCTACAGGTTCATAACACAAGACAAATTCACCCAGATGAACCAGCGTGACTCAGCGCTCCTGAAAGCCTTTGGAGCGCCTCGGTTCCTGGCGAAGCCCGCTCTCACAGAGCTGAATGGCTTCTTCGGGAGTCGTACAGGACTTGGCAGGGATCATGACGACAGAGTAGACAGCAAGACAATCCGTGATTGCAGTAAGTCCACTTCGCTGCTGTCCCGCCCTCGGATTGTGTTCATTTCGTTATCCGAATTCTTACTTGGCCGTCACTATAGGCACGTGGTTCCAGGTCTTCGTCAAGATGGTTAGCAAAGTCCCCGGTGGCGGGAAAAGAGGAATTGAGCCAGAATACGTCAAACCCCCCAAGAAAGACTACATCTGGCATGAGATGGGATTCTACACGTTTTGGGGGAAACAGCCTGGCCAGAATGGACAGGAAGAAACGGTGCTGCGCATCCTCTGTGTCGACACGCCGGACGACATGCCCGAGAGCATAAAGGCGTTGCTGGATGAGCACTCTGGCTCACAAGGGGGACTGGAATTGAATGACCCCTTCGCGTTGCATAGCGCACTTCTGGACAAGATCATTGTGCTTCAAGACGTCGCCGTGTGGCGCGTGAGGGATCAAGTCCGCGTTATCGAGAAGGTTAGTTCCCGCCCGCCCTTTGCGCCTTGACCTGTGGCAGAGACTAACATAGGACTCGCATGACAAAGTCTCGTGATCACACCAGCGTTGGAAAGCGCTTCGAGACCATGCACGAGATAGGCCGGCATGGCATACACATGTCCGAGGTGCTTGAAGTATCCGCCAACACCATCAACTCACTGCTGGAGTACCAGAAAACGGTCTATAAGAAGACGACGCTGAGTCAGGAGTATACCATGCAAGCAGAAGAGTACATGAAGTTCCAGCTTACAGCAATCAAGTCGTTGAAATTGCGATCAGCGTCCAATGATAAAAGACTTGAGAACGAGATCGCTCTGGTAAGTCTGGAAATCACCACTGAAGGGAGGCCGAGTCGCTAACTACCAGGGCAGGCATTCAACCGCATTGCACAATCTGACAATACGGTGGTCAAGTCCATCGCAGTGTTGACCATGTTCTTCCTCCCATCGACTTTCGTGTCGGTAAGCTCCAACCAGCTCCTCAGTCGACCCCCCTTGTAGTCGGTACTAACCGCGATGGGATATAGGCCATATTCAGCACCAGCTTCTTCGGGTTTCAGGACTCGGGCTGGGCCATGTCTGACAAGTTTTGGATATTCTGGGCGGTTGCGATCCCGGCCACGGCCCTCATGCCCATCTACATGCTCTTCGCGTTTAAGAAGCCGAGGAAAGCCTGGGAGGCCCTAGCTGTATGGAAGAAAAAGAGGGTCGACGCCGTGGCAGCAGGTCAGGCGAACAGGGCAGACGGAGTCGGCGTTTGATCATGTTATGGCGGTGGTGAGATTCCCAAGTTTGAATTCTTTTGCTTAAGTAGCTTTGATGGTTTTGCGATTCTGTAGACCACAGACTGTGAAACTTTCAGGACATATGTTCTGAGCACTCTATCTTGGTGACAAGTGATACCAATTTGTGAGCTGATATAGCACCAAGGAAGGCTTAAGTCAACACAGAAGATATTACTGGACTCCTTCCTGAAGAAAATGCAAGTATGAGTCAAAATCATATTTGCCAAGACAACCATGTATTGCCTCTTGTACAAGCACTTACGCGTTTCTATACCGCCCAGCAACCAGTCACCGAGCTCTTGGAAGCACTGGGCTTTTGAAAAAGTGCCAGACACCGTATATGTTGAGCATGCTACTCCAAGAATACCAGCAAGCGCCGTAGAAAGAATACGCCATGTTTCCTGGTTTGTTCAAGGATGCCGTGTGGTGTGCGGCACCGGCATTGCACGACTCCGCCTAGTCGAGCACCCGTCCTCTGCTTCCTCGTCTTCAGACTCTGCGGTCGAGCGTTATATCAGCCACAGTACATTGAACACGAGTGGTTTTGCCGGAGTCCTCTCGGCTCTATCTCGATGAGCATGAACGCTACATGACAAGGCGACAGCCTTACAGGAGCGGAAACCGCTCTTCGATGAGGCTCTCGAGCACGTCCATGCCATCACAAAAATGCCCGTTACGAGTCCTCCTGTTCCGAGTATGATTGTCAAGATCGCCACGATCCATGACCACGACGGCTGGCGAGACTCGTGGCTTATGGAAGAGAGATCAGCGCATCTCGTCATGTGCTGTATTTCAGCTACCGGCTGTCCGAATGATGATGCCAAGGCCATCATCACCGTTGCCGACTTCGCCCGCGAGTCTAGCGTCTACCTCGGGACGTAGCCCTTACGGTCAGCTCACGAGCAGGTGTCCCCCGTCGGCTTGGCCATGAAGTCATCAGATCATTCGTCCGGGGCTGCACGGGGTCCCGGCTCAAATTCGTATCTGAATAGGATGGCGTGTTGATGGCTGACCGCCATCTCGGCGTGCAGAATGAACACCAGGCACAGCGCGACGGCCCTTGGGTAAGATTACACATATGCCGTCTGCAGTCTGTCGCCCGTGAAAATGCTTCAGTCCAGATAGACTGTCCGCTCATCGCGGTGGTGGTAATCGATCTCCTCCAGAACTCTTTCGCTGTTATTTCCCCTTATGGCGTTGACGAAGAGCCGTAGGAAGTGTACTATCTCCGAGATGGACTGTTTGTCGACGGTGTCGCAGCGAGGAAAATGAGACTCGTACGTCTTGATCTGCTCCTGGAGGCCAATGATGTATTGTGGCTTCTGGAAGCTCAGATCCACCGTCTCTGGCGTATAGCCCGGCCAAACGCAGTGCCCCATCAGCGTCAAGGACCGTTCTGTCGCACCGAGCATGGTGGTCTCGCGTAATATGAATGGCGTCGGACTCTTCGACATGCCGCAGATTAGATCCCCGGGCTGCATCGATGGCAATTACTACACGGGCATGAAGAATTGCTACCCGGGCATGACTCTTACACGGGCATGACCTTTTGCAGCCTCTGATTGGTCCATCCCTTTTTGTTAGTGCATCTAGATTCTGCCAACGCTTCCCTTGTACCTCGGGATTAGCTCTCCACCACGACGATCGACGAGACATATGGAAGCTATTCACTAGCTAGCTACTACACCAATTACCTCTTGTCGCATGTCAAGCCTACTGATAATGATTGTTCGTGAAAGATACCATATTTGTCAAGGTCCCAGGGCTCCAGGCGTGGTGTGTTAGGCCCCCTGCTGAGACCAACACTCAAACACACGCTGTATCAGGAATATCCAATAGCCTCATCTTCCAAGGCATCTGCATCACAAAGCAGGTCATTCCTTTGTGCTGAAATTGGTCCCCTCTTTCCTTCTTTCATAGTCAAATCAACTGCCCCTTTAACCATGCGCTCATCCGTGCGTGCGACACTCTTCCTGTCGCGATCAAGGCCGTCATTATGTCCCAGCCCGGCTCTCGATCTAGCTCAGCAAGCAACCAACGACTTCGAAGCTATCAATTACGTCCTCGAAAACGACAGCGGCAGAACCAATCTGAGAGTTCAAGACCACCTTCGTCTAATAGCACAGGGACGAGCATTGGCCCACACTATGGCGTGGGAGACGACGAGGCACTCTGTAATGCTTTCGCCTCGTACCCAGAGACCTTCACGACCGCTCCACGCCCCCATGGATCGCGTGGGCTGAACGAGCCACCATGGGAGCTGCGATTCGATCATGAGATTCACCTATCGAATGATTTCCCAACCCGAGGAAGACGGTCGCAACGAGTAAGAATGCCTATACCAGGCCCGGAAATCGACCAGCCACCTGCCTGCTCTCCACAACAATCAGCACAAGAACAATTCTCTCCAACAAGACCCCAGTTTCAGTCCGCCCTTAGGCTAGTGCGCGAGGTGATTGGGACAGATCGAAGACTTACCATCGAGCTCGTCCGGTCATACGAACGAGTCCGCCAATGGCGCGAGATATGGGGCTACTCGCCGCTCAGTTCAACTCCATTCGAATCATCTCCGCCATACTCGCCTCCCCGAGAAAGGCACTCTCCGCCTATCGCCTCGCCGCCCTCGCCCGACCACCCCTTGTCGCCTGTCCCTGACCCGATCCCGAACCCACCTATCCCAGACGACCCAGCGCCGTCAGCCGAAGTCCTGTTCGAGTGGGTGAATACTTTCGCGAAGGCTAATGGCTTCGGTATTGTTCGACGAAATGCCTACTCATATAAGGGTCGGAAGATCCGGTACTCTTTCCAATGCGATCGATTCGGAGAACCACGCCCCTCAGAGAGTACCGGTATTCGGCAACGGAAGTCTCGAAAGTGTGGTTGTAAATGGATGGTCATTGCCGAAGCACTGGAGGAGGGTAGATGGCTTCTACGACACCACGATAATTCCGAGCATAGCCAGCATAACCACCGGGCCAGTATCAAACCATCCGCCCATCCCTCCCACAGACGACTCACTACACCTATCAGGGCAACAGTCGAATCGACAAGCCGTCGGGTCGGAATTCGGGCCCGTGACGTACGCGCGATCGTCCTGGAGCAGCATCCCGAGTCATCTTTTACACGAAAGGATATCTATAACGCCAGGTCTCGTATCAGTCGAGACAAGTTGAGCGGCCACACTCCTACTGCAGCACTGATCAAGCTGTTCGACGAGATGGAGATTCCCTATCTTGTTAAGTGGGCGGATGATGAGCCAAACCGCCTCGTCGGTCTTGTCTGGACCTTTCCGTACTGCCTCCAGATGTGGAAGCGGTTTCCTGAGGTCATCAGCTTCGACAACACATACAACACCAACCGCTTCAAGCTTCCATTATTCCAAGCAACAGGACAGACCTGCCTTGGTTCTGTCTACAATGCGGCGTTCGGTCTGATCGACAACGAGAGACGGGAGGGGTTCCAGTTCCTCTCTGAGAGCATTCGACAGATCTCAGAGCAGCACTCTATTCGCCAACCGGACGTTATCATTACTGACTTCGACGGTCAGATGAAGGCCGCCCTGAATGATCAGTTCCCTGATGCACAGCAGCAGCTGTGCATCCACCACATCAATTCTAACGTCTTGCTCAAGTCAAAGCAGAAGTGGGTCAAGGGCCAATGTAGCAGTAGTAGTCCCGACAGCAGCAACGGGGAGGACTACGCTCCACAGGCACAGGCTGAGCTCGGCCCGAAAGACGGACAGTTGGTCAACGCGCAGACAGCTGAAGTCGTCCCTCATAGCCATCGAGGGGTTCTCATGATGTGGAAGGTCGTCTTGTTTGCGGAGACAGAGGAGGCTCACGAGAAGGCGTGGGGAAGCCTCTGTAGGGAATTTGACGATCAGCGGGCCATCCTGCGGTATCTCCATGGAACCTACATGCCTGTCAGGGCGCAGTGGGCACGATGTTTCATTCGCAACTATCGCAACTTCGGCATACGCGTCACATCTGGGACAGAAGCAAGCAACAACAACATCAAGAGCTATCTCCTGAATGGTATGAGCAATCTCTATCGGCTTATCGAGGCTATGCAGGACATGATGAAGGACCAGGAGCGAGATTTCAACGACGCCTGCGCAGCGGACGAGGTACTTACCGCGCGAGAGTACATAGGGTCCAGCTCGGAGTATCTAGGCGAACCCCGGACAGCACTCTCTTCGAAGGGTCTCGGGCTTATCAACAAACAATATCGGCTAGCAAGGAAAGCAATGCCGACGGGGAAGAATCTGTTCCCTGACCCCATTGGCGATTGCAGTGAGGACTGCTCGGTTTCGACCGAGCTTGGAATCCCCTGCTGCCACACAATCTACTCAAAGCTGGTGAGTGGCACGCCTCTCACCAAATGGGAGGTCCATCCTCGGTGGCGCCTACGAGAGCCATCCTCTCGAGATCCATACCGACGAATCCTCGACCCTAAGATCGCCACTGCTCTCCGTGGCAGACCTAAGAACACCACACAGGCTGTTCCAGCGCGGCTAGCCATTGAGGCAAGCAGCCAGCCGAGTGGCCAACGAGCCAGCAATCCAACAAGCCAAGCGACAGGGCGCAGACGAGGTCGACCACCAGGAAGTCACAACAAGTCAACGCTAGCTAGGCTTGCTCTGGAAGCGAGCCAACAGGCCAGCAGCCAGGCTAGTAGCCAGGCCAGTGCCTCATCCCAGCGCCAGACGCGCAGCCGGTCAGCTGTTCTTGGAGCTGGAAGAACTACAGGAGTACGTGCCAACGGACGGAAGACGCAATCTAGCATTCGCAGGCGAAGGAGTCAGTGGGAGCTGCTTTACAGCGACGAGGAGGTTCTTCCATCTATAGTAGTTAGAGGATAGAGATATAGATAGCTGCCCTCTAGGGCGTGCTGGAATTGGCCGTGTTCTGTATTGAAAACCAGACCTTGTTTTGATATACGCCTAAGACCTGTTCTAGAGGCCTGGTTGACCTGGTTGGTTCTGACTATACCGAAAGCACGGCCTTGTTAAGAGAGCTTGCTTCACCGCCTTTGCACTGATGTACCTGTGGGTCGAAGGAAAAAAATGAGCGAATCAGAGGCGATAGAAGTCATGCCCGTGTAAGAGTCATGCCCGGGTAGCAATTCTTCATGCCCGTGTAGTAATTGCCGCATCGATATCGGACCCCACCCATAGGTGCCGGTCTGCGACTGAAACAGGCAGCGCCGTGAACTACCTATTAGGAATGTTTCGTCTAGCATCGAGTAGAGCTCTTGACCGGGTGCCGATGTCTCAGGTCTTGATCCGCCAGCGATTCTGGTATGGAACCATCCGTGGACCGTCTCGAGTTGATCTGCAGATTCCAGCTTGACATGGTCGAGGGACCCAGAGTCGTCTCCTGGAAACATGTCAAAGACGAGGGCCCTCATGAGGCTTTTCATGTCTTCTTCAACACTCCAATCACTCCAATCCATCACCCAGTCAAAGATAGCCCGTAGTGTGCGAGCTACCTCTTCCGTCTTGTCGTCCGTGGGGCACAAATAGATACCGGGCATGACCCGGAACACGTTTTCTACGTGAGCAGCCGCAACGAAGTTCTCCTCGCCATTCTCAGAACCAGATAGATTCAAATTAGAACGTCTGGTCTCGTCTTGGAAGTAACTGTTGCATCCCGAGCGCAAGTAAATGATCATTCTTCGGGGGAATGGGCTTGAATCGGATTGGAAGTGGAGCCACGGCAATCCCCTGGCGAGTCGTTCCGGGTCCGGGTTTTTTCTGGCATCGAACCACGTTCTACACTCTTTGAGGCAGAGATGGAAGTCCTGGTGAGGGGATAATTGTGGCGCTTCGGGTTGCGCCGTTGCAGCTTCTGCTCTTCTTCGGCTGGCGAACCACCTGGCGAAGCAGAAGCTTCGCGGTCTATAGTTAAGTGACCCTCGCTGCCTTATATATTGGTAGGGATTGACGATGCGCTCATATATACGAGTGTGAGCTTCTCGTCGGCGGGTGTCGATGTCTTCGTAGGCCGTACTGAAGTCGGGCACCCAGGACGGAAGAGACTGGGCCCCTTTCCATGACATGTCCCCTCGCAGTATCTCCAAAGAGCCGCCGTCGCTAGACATAATGTGTAGGGTTGCATTCGTGTAGACCTCGGGGACGCTTCGTGTATAGTCCGCTTCGATAGAAGTGCTGGCCCTTCCGACGAGGCTAAGCAGCGCATAGATATGGTCGCGCTTGTCTGTGGCGCGACGTCCACCGACGTCTAAGAGGACCTCGAGCAAACCCCCCGGTGCCGGCCCAGAATGTTGTCGCCATGAGCTCCTTCTTGCTTCAATCCCGCGCGTAAGCTGAATCAAGCGTTCAAGCGGCTTTGTGTACTCTGTCGACAAGGGCAGCCTCCCTCTGTTGACATTCGTTTCTACGGCGCTGACAGTCTTGCGTAGTGCTTCCCATGTGAACAAAACGTTGCCGTAGAGCAAGATTGCCGTGCGGGGAACGATAATCTCTTGTAAGACCCACACGCGAGTCCACCAGGAACTTGTGGTAAGCAAGCGAATGCCTTCGAATAGCTCCGTGTTTAGTTCTTCGGGGTTGCTTGACACAAGAGTGAGTAGGTCGCGGTCCGACCCAGCCCCGAGCTGAGCAATAAAGTCGAGGATGACGTTTGCCGGAAGGGGATAGCTTTGTGGTCGACTGGATACCGTCGTTGCTGTGCTTTGGGCTATGAATGGTCCTGGTTCCTGCTCTAGTCCTTGCCAGTTGACGATGCCACCAGACAAATGCTTCAAAACGAGCTCTCGGCGCTTTTCGTGATGCGTCCAGGGATGACCCAGATAAGCCACTACACTTGAGGCCTGCTCGAATATCTCGCGCATCCTGCTGACTTGAGCACTGCGCTCTACCATGTCCTATTGATTGATACACTAGAGCAACAAGTGGTTAATGGCTGGCCAGGCTGGGGTTTTGTGCAGTCCGCATGATCCTCGAGTCTCAGCACGTACCAGGGCATCGATCCATAGAACGACATCCTTGTTTTTCTTGCGGAGCATCTTCAGGGCAAGCTCGAGGTTCACAGTGATGCGAACTGCATGTTTGTCGACAGAAATGGGTGACTTCGAGATGGACGTGCCCCAGACATAAGACAGGGCCTGGTATGCTTGTTTGCTGTTGAAGGCGACCGTTCGTAGCCAACATTGGATCGGGTCGGTCCAGCTGCCCTGCTCGACCACGACAAGACGGAACGCTTCTGTGGAAAGCCTTGTGTATAGAGCATTAGGGCCTCTTTGACCACTTGTAGGGGCCAGAGGGCTTTCGTGGACGTTGTCCATATTCTTTTGGCAGTGCGGAATGGAGGGGGGTGGGCTAGTGAGCGAAACTGGCACGTTTGACTCTGACCTATCAATTTCGTGCACGAGAAAGCAAAGCGATGTCCAGGAGGAACACCGCAATCAATTGACCTCTATTCCAGTTACCTCGACTTCATGGTCAGATCAGCGCAGGACGGGACTGGAACGTGCCTTGCCCAACACCCCCCTCTCCCCCCCGCCTCTGCCCACTCGTGGCTGCCCAATTCGCTCCAAGGCGGACACGGAACTGAGCATAAGCATAAAGATGTGGCTGTGCATATGTCATGCAGCCCCGTCCTGATTCGCGCATTGCCCACTACAATCACTCGCCTGGGCGGCAACCCATGAGGCAACCGTGTTCCTGACAGCTCGAGCAAAGTGTTGACAGCTGTCGTTGGCGCTGCAGTCTATTGTTTGCTACATGCCCAGAAGATCAATCCTGCACTGATCTCTTCATACAGAGCTGCCCGTTCCTGCTCTCATTGGGTCGTCCTGCCTGCCCAAGGCCACCTATCCAGGACGGTTACATACCGCCTACTAGCCCTTTAACTGTTCACACGAACGTTCCTCAGGCATTATACTGAAGTTTGTGGACAGCAGGCTTGGATTACATCAACCGAACAACCTGTATCTCTCTGACTTGTGTTGTAGCTAAATTGGACTGTGCTCAGGGTAGAGACAGAGACTCAATGGCCTCGGTCAGCAGGTCATACCTTGACACACCGGCCACGACCTCATGCCAGTTCGCCTTGTCTATGGAGGGAAATCTAGACGCAAGGACGGTTCCGACGGTCACAGCGCCGTAGTCCTCGTTGCCCATGTCAAAACCGTACTGCCGGGCAGCCTCCACGAACACTGGATCGATCGTGACACCTCTTGACGCACAGCCCGTGTATGAGTTTTGGAGCACGTTGCACAATGCAACAACGCCAAAGTCCGCGGGCCGATCGATGTCCTTGGTCTGGATGAAGCTCTCAATCGCGGCGACATAGATGGCTTGTGCGTTTCTCTCGTGATAGAGCTCCATGAGTTCCGGGCTTTGTGCTACATGCATGACTGCGTTGCGAATCCGGTTCAGCGCGCCACCACTGCCGGCGCCGTTGTATGGCTGCTCGCTGACATCGGACTGCACGGGGACAATGTCGAAGTACACCAAAGTAGATGCAGGGATGTGTTTGCTGAAGTATGACTTGATCGTGGCGACCTTTTGCTTATTCGCGGTCGGGATGATCACTGTGACGACAGGCGGTCTCGCATCCACGATACCTGTGGACTGAGGGAGGATGTCGGAGAAGACGGGCTGAAATTCGCCGAGGCTCCAGTTCGAGATGGTGACCAGCATTTCCGTGTTCTTGAGGGCAAGAGCGTTAGGATGTGTCCGCCTCAACGCGGCGATTCTATTTATCGCTGCAACCAGAGTCTCTACAGCGTGCCTGGGGCCGAAGACGAAACCTGAACAGTTTTGGCCCGCTATGGAAAGGCCGGTTAGTAGTGCCTCTCGAGTTGTGTGACGACTCGTAGTGCCTGGCTATTGGACTTACATGAACTCTGGTTGGGCGTAAGCCTCGCGCTGTGCTTGACCTTGGCAGACCGCACAACAAGCTGCCCACCCAGCCAGCGAGTATCACCATCACATTCCCTGAAGATCATATCGACCGCAGCTTTTATGTCAGCCTGTAGCGGCGGCGCTTCTGTAAAATCCTGCGTTGATGACTGTTCCGGGGCCTGCGCAGTGACATTTGCATTTGCATATTCTGAATCCCAGGCTATCATCACGTCGTCTTCGCTCAAGATGTCGCTGCTCTGCTTGGACAGGGTGTTGCAGTCGAGGACTGTGTATAGCTCTGCCATATGATCAGCGCCGCTGGATGTCCCGGTCTTTTGTTGACGATAGTAGATTGTGATGGTGCTGCCATTGTACTGGACGTCGACCACGTTGGCTGACGCATCGCTGAAGTCGCCGTTGGGTGCGATCCAGAAGAATGACATGTTATCAGGGCGCATGGCTTGATTTTGTTTGCTTGAATGGTGGCAATCCTGTTGAGGCAGATGTCGTTCTGTGGTGCTGCATGGAAATACCCACCCCTGGCTGGAGCCAGTGGCCGGCATAATAGTTGTTTTATAGAATGCCGCCGGGGAATGCTTGGTATAGCGCAGCGTTGATTTGAGGTTTGCTGTTTTGCATGCCCGGGCTGGCCGCGGAATTTGCTCGTCATGTGCTCTTGTTTGTCGAGATGTGCTGTGTTGTGGCTGGTAAGACGTGGCAGGGCCGTTTGCGAGCCCTCTCACTTTCACATCAGCCGGCAAGCGAAAGAGCCTTGCGCGAGGAGTGTCTATGCCTGGCCATTACTCATCGTGCTGATGGGTATAGCAAACCATCGGCAGTGCAGTTTGCTGGGGATTGATTGCAGTGTGCAGAAATTGTGCCGGCTGGTGCCTGCCGCACAGCTCCGTGCTTGGTGCGGGTTTGGAGGGGCAGTGCTGTTTGCCCATAGAGGCGCATTCCTCAGCAGTGCCCACCTTTGAGCTCCTTGTGTGTCTGGTGTCCAACACCACCACACACCACGCTTCGCCCCAATCCACCCCAGGTTGGAAAGAGATGCGTGCCATTTCCGGGCGACAGACACACTCGGCCGACCTTTCGACTTCGGCCGTTTGTTCAACAAGTACACCCGACAAGTTCTGCGCCGTCGCCCTGGACACCCGCACCTGCACCGCACCGCACTTGCGCCACCGTAGCATGGACTCAAGACGAAGCAAAATCAAAAATCAACCTTGGAGGGGCATGATGACGACCTCCAAGGGCCCCAGACCTCCAGATCTGTATATTCCCAACGTATCGCCTCAATCAAATACCTAGGTACGTCTAGACGGTTGGACCATACCTGTGTAGCTTTCATCTTCCGACAGGACTTGCCTGAGAGCTAGGCATCCTTGGGAGATCATCTCCTCTGCACACAAGATTGTGGACTAGCCACTTCTTGCATTTTTTCCGCATGGCTTCGATAGAAATATCGCACCGCTTCGACGTGTTTTCGCGAACCGTGCCTTTTGGTGTTGTGTTTCCACACCTCTTTTGGAATCTCCGTCCTGCGGCTCTACTATGGTCGGCTATATGTATGAGGTAGGAATTACGTCACCGGTCTTTGTGCCAGTGTATCACCGCTTGTACTATTATATTCCGAAAAGACGTCAAAAGTCCTAGACAATGACTATTTCGTCCGGGATTCGCCCAGCATCATGGCAGTGTTGGTCAGCTACCATGACCGCCAGATACAGACAGCCTCCCTGAGTCATACCCAACTCCACTTGCACGAATATCTCGGACGACATCTGGACTGGCGCATACAGGCCCAACAAGGCGCCGTCAGACGACAAGCGGGCCCAGTGGGCTGATTTCCAGGAATAAGCATCTGGTTGGAGGCAGGTACGAAGCATGCGGGTACGCCAACCGATAGGGCGAGGGAACTCGGTGACTGCCCCCGGTGAGCTGTTCCGCGTCGGCCCGAACTGGGTCGTTGCCACACGTACAGCCCCCCGAGGCCGTCACTTCCTTCCATCCATTTGGTAGATTTGGGTGGCAGCCTCCATGAAGCCCCCACGACACCGATCTGCTTCGGCCCACCATAGCCCAGACATGGCCAGACTTTCTCGAGACCTGGGCGTTCTTCCGCGACGCCTCTTACTACAAAGCCTACACTATAGCCGACCAGTCAACCGAGCAAGAATATAACCTCAGAAATCTCTCGTGTTGCTGCGAAGCTTCTCAATTCGACCCAAACCGTCTGCCATGTCAGAAAGCACCAATACACAGTTGTCAACCAACTCAGTCTTGACTAAGATGGCGACCAATGAAGCATACGCGAATCGAACATCGGAGACTCTTCGTGACGTAGTGGCCGACATCATCTTTCTGCTCAAACAAGCCGGTCAGACAGTGGCAGTGGCCGAGTCGCTCACGGCAGGCAGTGTCATGGCTGCCATCACCTCGGTCGGCGGCGCGAGCTCAGTCTTCCGCGGCGGCGTCGTATCCTATGCAACGGACCTCAAGCGACGACTCCTCAATGTCGATGGCAGCCTAATTGACCGGGAAGGAGTGATTCATGGTGAAGTCGCGAGACAAATGGCCATTGGTGCACGCAAAATTGCGACCACGGACACCGCGCAGCCCACATCTTGGGGTGTCAGCACCACAGGTGTCGCTGGTCCCGATTTGCAGGATGGCAAGGCGGTTGGGACTGTGTTTATTGGCATCGCCTCGCAACACCAGACTTGGGCTCTTGGTCCATTCAACTTTCCAGGTGATCGGGAACAGATCCGTCAAGCCACGGTTCTCGAAGCGCTTAGTCAACTCAGAGAGCTTCTTCGCACGCAGCGCGCCGATGTGCAGCTTTAGGGGGAAAATAGGAAGGTCAATTCTGTAAACAAAGCTTCTTCAGAGGTCTGTCACTCTGGATGAACTCTTCGCAGTTGGCGAATGAGTAGTGTTACGGGAGGTGATCGCTCCGAGCGCACTTGTGCTACAAGCTGAAGCTGTGTCCAGATGACAACACAGAGCACCAACCGTCATAACTCATGCTTCACCGATGTCACTCGAATCTGCTCAAACTGGGAGGCGGGGCCCTGGATGATCTGTTCCTTGAAAAGAACCCTACTATCGGTGCTGGCATAGCAAAGGTGGTCATGAAATCTCGAATCTCAGCTCGGATGCGAGGGCGAGGGCGAGGAATCCGAACGAGTGCTCCACCCCTAGTAGGCAGGTCTTCATAGCCCACATGCCGAGGCTAGCCTTCGACTGGTGACTCCTTCGGCCACTGTGTCACAGCCTTAGTATACTTTAGTATTACTCAACTGGGAATAGGCTCGCTGGCAACAAGCTTCCTCCAGCCTTGACGGCTACCGGGGTGAGGCCAGAGCATACCGGTCTATTTCTATTCAATGCATTACGAACACCAGGAGCCCTGCTGCGTTGTGTCAACCCGCCTTATTTCCGCAAGCATCGTACTCACTCATCAGCGCATCCCAGGTAGCGCACCATTACCTCTCGCACGAGATGCCCCATACCCTTCAGCTGAAGTGCTCTCGTCCCATGTCTCCTCTCCCCAAAGATAGCCTCGGAAGCGGGTTGCCTTTCACTACCTCACGGCCACTCTGGGGCCGGAAACATGCCGAACCCCAGGATGGACTGCCCAAATTGTCCCATTTGCTGGTTGGGCATCCCGCAGCCACTCGTGAACCCATCCATGCCGTCCATAACCATGGTTCCCGGCGTAGACTCCGTCGCCGAGAAGAGGTTGTCATACTGGTGCTGCTGGTACGCAGCCGCTTCTGGCAGGGCCATGGTTTCCGTCGTCATCAAGTCACTCGATGCTGAGATCGAGTCCGTCATACCTTGCCCCAGGAAGTCAACATCCCCAATCGCGTACAGGTCCTGCATCAACCGCTCAATGTAGGGCGGATCAGCGACAGGACCTGGACCCCCCTCAACAACAACAACCTCGCGACACCTCCACGCCTCAAGGACGGACTTCGCCAGCGCGCGATGCGCATTGCTCGACAAGTCATACAGGCCCTCCTGGATCCCGTACATGTCCTCGATCTGCCGCCACGCCTCGCCGACCAGCGGGGTCGGCCTCGTCCGCTTCCGGAGCTGCCGGGCGACGTACAGCGTCGACTCAAAGTTGACGCGGAAGTCGAGCCGCGAGAACCACGCAAAGCCCGTGTCCGCCGAGACGGCCGTGATCTTGTTCTGCATCTCGATCTCGCCGACGGCAGTGCGGAAGATGCCGTCAGGCGAGCAGTCGCCGGCGCCGGCGTTGAATGGGCCCGAGCGGCCGGGCAGGAAGTAGCGGGAGCCGCCACCACCGCCGCCGCCGCCGCCGCTGGGTGAGGCGTCGTCACTCGTGTCGCTGTGGCCGGCTGGGGTGTGTGGGAGGGGAGGCGGCCGAAAGGTGTCGATGAGGTGCTTCAGGAGACAGTCGATGAGCACGGCGGCCATGCGGTGGGTGGGACTGCTGCTTGGGTTCAACTGCTTCTCCCGGATGTGCGCCATGTCTCGTTCGAGCTCGTCGAGGAGGGCGCTGTAGTAGCTCATGTGTTGCTGGTCGGCCGAGGGCTTGTGGTCTTTGTCGCCGGCGCTGTTGGTCTGGGCACAGCTGTTCATGTCCCCGCTGTGGCTCATCGTGGCGGACTCGAGCCCTTTTGTTGTTGTTGTTGCTGCAGGGCCGACGGTCATGCCCATCTCTAGACCTGGTGTGCGGGTCATGAAGCGTGCCGTCTTGTACATGATGCTGCAGAGGACCATCTCCGTGGGGCCGTCTCGGTCCGGGAATGGCTCTGTGGCGGCGGGATATATGTCTGCGTCGTTGAGGTTCCGCGGCCCGAGCGTGTTGGAGTCGCGAGGGAGCATCGAGTGCCCTAGGCCGGCGCCCAGCGCGAAATGGGCATCTTGCAGCACGAGCTGCCACCAGAGCCGCCGCCGCATCTCTGTCTCGAACGGGCTCAGGCCTAAACGCTCGCCGTCTTGGTGTAGCCCCATCCGCTGCCCGATGCGCAGAGCTACACCGCTGAGGATCCAGGCTGCTGGACGCTGACTTCGTGGTCGGTCGTAGAGAGACATCTGGGTGAGGAGGTCAGAAGAGGGTTTGTCAGGATACGCATGGCAAGGGGTGTCGGGATGATCTACCGTGTATACGGCCAGAGTCTGAACAATGACCAAGTCGTTCCTGCAAAAGAAGTCCTGATTTCTCAATGCCCGTCTAGTGCCGGACGAAAAGCGAGCGAACGCCTGGTCCCGAGGCATGCCCAAGTACTCCTGCGTCTCCTCCTCTCTCATGGCGATGATGGCCATTAGAAAGATGGCAAACAGCAGGCCTTGGATGTTCTGCGGTATGTTCTCCATGCCAACGCATGCCTCGACGAGATATGGCTGGAGAGAGGGAACGTGAATCACCTTGCTGAGGGGATTCACGCGCTCGATGTAAATCTGCCACAACCTAAAGACGTGAGCACTGGTGGGCCAGAGGTGGGCCGTCGGATAGGGTCCCGACATCTCGTCATTGCCAAGTAGGCCCATGTCGGTGTCAAGCTCCTCAGCTGTAGAGGGCGGGGTGTTGGTGGAAACGGGGCTGTAGGTATGACTTGCGCCTACGGACGCAACTCCGAGAATCGTGCTGTCATTGTCGAGGATCTCGCGCATTGCGCGTACCTAGTGTGGGTAAGTGTCAGAGCTTGGCTGTTGTTTCCTTTTCCGTCGCCAGATGTTTGGTCTGGCTGGAGGGCCGTCGGCGATGACAACACGAGGCAGCTTTGCTCACCTCTTCATGTACTGACTGTAGATAGCCGTCTTCCATAAAGGAAACAGTGCCATCGGCATGCTCTACCAACTTGCCGTCGGGCCGCCGGAAAGGCGTCCATCGCGACAACACGTCCTCCACGTCCTTGACACTGGAACCGTGTTGTGCCAGTGGCGTAATAGGCTCGGGGACGGGAGATACTGAGCTGGACGAGGAGGACGGGCGTTCTTCGACACCACGTCTCGAGCCGGCAACCTCTTGAAGGAGCTGCTCGCAGCGGTCCAGGTGTCTCTTCAGCTCATGTTGATGTGATTGACGCGGCCGGGTTGGTGCCCGTGCCGCTTGGACACACTGGGCTCCGGCCTGATCGAAGACCATCGCAGGGTTAGAATGATATGGTAATACAGGTGTATGGGCATCCCACCACCGAAGACAGGGGTGATGAGGTAGGCAATGGACTGACCTGTATGCAAGGCGCACAAGGGAAAGTTCGGGGACAGCGGATCTTGCGGTACTGGCATCTCGTCTGCAGGATCCGAAGTCAGTATTGCCTTGCTTCTGGACGGGCAGAGCCAGATTGGGCGAGCGAGGATCAAGGAGACAAAAGTGACAAGATTCCGGATTGACATACGCAGGACAAAATCCGTCGTGAAGGTGCGGATGATGATGATGATGATGCTGACGGGGTAGAGGCAGACCGGACTGTAGTGGCGGCGTTACTTGACGGCGTGGGGCCGGGCGCGGGCCCTGGCACGGGCGGTAGCGGCTCCATGGGGATTTTGGGAGATTCAACGTTGAACAGACGTCCGGGGGACGAGAAATCTGTGTGTGTGTGTGTGTGTGTGTGTGTGTTTCGCGTGGTACCCGAGGTCTGGGCCTGTCAGATGGCGTCCGTAGGTACAAGCGGAAGCTCGGTTCCGGCAGCGCAGTTGCCGGGATGAGGAGGATGGTCTGCCTGAACTGGGCAGTGTCTCGAGCGTTTGGGCATTGGGTGCCTACCTACAATTACCTAGGTACCTATCAACGTCGTGAGTGGGTGGTGATGACGGAACGGAGGAGGACAACGGCCCCGGGAGTGTAGTGAGTTGTTGGTCGGCGGGACATGCCAGGGTGACTAATCACGACCCTTGGGGACTCTGAAGTCGTGGACGGACGGGCCCGTCGATGCAGGGGTCCCGTTCAAGTGGGGCCAGGACGGAGTCCGCATCTTTCCCATAGTCCGCGCGGCTCCGTCCTCCACCCACACACACAAAACCCCATGCAACACCTGCATCTCACATCAGCAGAGCCGCAGGTTGCCTATTGTGCGCATCACCCTAGAACAAGTCTCTAGCCCACGGTAGGGTGGGTTTAACAGTGCTTTGTGCAGGGTTCACGTCTCCCGTCCGGACCCCGCCAGGCCATCACAACATCTGGAAAGCCTCCGGCGATCCATCCAGGTAGGCACCCTCACGAAACTTCTGGTGCTTGTTCACGTGCAGTTGGGGGCTGCCAAATAACCCGAAAGATGCGACTGCCTCGGCGGGGCAGGACGGGGCCGCTTCACGGTAATTATGCTCGCATCCAAGCACCCGCCACAGCGGAATCCGTCACCGCTTGCCTTGCGACTCAGATAATCGATCAACATATGGCCTTCACTTCCTGCATTCTCCAGATTCCTTCCAAGTGGCCGATATATAAGCTCCTTCTCGATATCTGCCAACATAATAGCTTTGGGCTGCTCAGTCGCTGCAGCACGTCAACCAACTCTCATTTGCTCTTCTGTTCTCCCATTTCGTGTCCACACAGAAAATCATCGCCGTCTCCGGCTTTGGCCTCCAGTCTCACAACATGGACCAAGCCGTGAGCCAAGAGAAGTCCAGTGAGCTGGATGGATCGCGCAACCAGAACAATGTCGAGCTGAGCTCCGCCGGCGAAACGAAGCCAGAAGCCAGCTCGAGCGACAAGGCCGAATCCACTACGAAAGAAGAGCCGGAGGACGAGTCCAAGTATCCCAGTGGCATGCGCCTGGGCCTTGTCATGCTCGCGCTCTGTCTCGCGGTCTTTCTCATGTCTCTGGACAACAGTATCATCTCCACTGCCATACCTAAGATCACAGATGAGTTCAACAGTCTTGGTGATATAGGATGGTACGGAAGCGGTCCGTATTCCGTATTCCTCTCTCTCGTCTATTGCAAATGCAGCCCTTAGTACACTCCAGCCCAGACTGACCTGAGTCATCTTCTCCAGCCTACCTCCTGACCACGGCCTCTCTTCAACTGGTCTACGGAAAGTTCTATTCTTTCCTGCCCATCAAACTTGTGTACCTAGCCGCCATCTTCATCTTCGAGGTCGGCAGCGTCCTCTGTGGCGCGGCGACATCCTCGCAGATGCTCATTGTGGGCCGTGCCATCGCTGGCGTGGGCGCCGCAGGCGTCTTCTCGGGCTCGTTGATTATCCTAGCCCACTCCGCACCGCTTCGCCGGCGCCCTCTTTACACTGGTCTGATAGGAGGCGTCTACGGGATCTCCAGTGTCGCCGGTCCGCTGCTTGGAGGGGCCTTTACTGACGGTTGGTACTCCCATATCCGCCGAGCTGGCTATAATGGCAAACTAACAAATATGTTTACCACGTGGTAAGGGGTCACCTGGCGTTGGTGCTTCTACATCAATCTGCCCATTGGCGGTCTTGCTCTGGGTGTCATTGCCATCTTTTTCCCGGAGCCCGCCCGAAAAATTGATGCCGCCAAGGGGTGGAAGGATAGGATCATGTCGTTCGACCCGATAGGGACTGCGGTTTTGATACCTGATGTCATTTGTCTCCTGCTGGCCTTGCAGTGGGGTGGTACAACCTATGTAAGTCATCAAGCTCTGACGGCAACCTTACTCTTGGGCTCCCACTAACCGGCTCACAGGCATGGTCCGACGGCCGCATCATTGCCCTCCTCGTCCTCTTCTCGGTCCTCCTCATCACCTGGATCCTTCTCCAGTACTTCCAAGGCGAGCGCGCGACTGTTCCCGGACGCATCATTCGCCCACGATCAGTCTGGAGCGCTTGCCTGTTCAGCATGTGCTGCGGTGCCGTGTTGTTCGTCGCAATTTATTACCTCCCGATCTGGTTCCAGGTCGTCAAGGGCGCCTCAGCCGTCCAATCCGGCATCGATAACCTGGCCCTCATCCTCGGCGTGACGGTCGGTTCAATCTTCGGCGGTGCTCTGACCACTGTATGGGGCCAGTACGCGCCCCTCATGGTCGCCGGGGCGGCGTTGTCGAGCGTCGGGTTCGGGCTGATTACCACCTTCAGCCCTGATACCGAGAGCGGCCGCTGGATCGGATACCAGGCCCTGGCGGGTTTCGGTCTCGGTCTGGGCACGCAACAGCCCATCGTGGCTGTCCAGAATGTGCTCGCGCTCATCGATGTCCCCACGGGCACGACGCTGCTGGTGTTTGTGCAGACGATCTCGGGAGCGATATTCAACAGCGTCGCCCAGAGCGTCTTTACCAACAAGCTCCAGCAGAACATCATCGAGTATACGCCCGGGCTGAATCCAGCCATCGTCCTGGGCACGGGTGCTACCGCCGTACAGTCGTCGATTCCGGCGGAGTATTTGGATGGCGTGAGGCTCGCATACAACAATGCTCTCAATCGCGTCATGCTCATCCCAGCCGTTATAGCAGCGGTCAGCGTCATCTTCGGATTCACTATCGAATGGCGGAGCGTCAAGGGCAAGGACAAGAAGAACGCTGACGTGTCGGCTACTTTGGAGGCTGCTTCTGAGCCGCAAGCCGAGGCCGGCAAGGGTAAACACAAGAAGTCTTGTTGTGCCTGAACATCTACATAGCATAGAGCATTATGCGCAGCTCTCGCGACCGACTATTTGACCCCACTTAATAATAGAGATGCTCTCCCCTCCCCCCTGCTTTGCTTGTCATTGCCATCATGACGCATGGCAGGAATAGATGCCAACGCCGCCCACATCCCTCATTCGATCATCTTGTGCCGGTGCCCACATGTAGTTCGTCTGTGATATCCTCGTTCGGAGGACTTACGTGAAGGCGACCATTTAGCAGGCGACTCTACATCATATGCTGCGGTTCTGTGCACCATGTTGGTCAGTCGACATACGTTCTTCTCCTTTGTGGAATCGACTTTGTACACACCGAGACGACCTGCCCTTTGCTACTCCTGGGGTCAGTATCTACCACTACTGACAACCGCCCACCCCACTCCAGACCACTCACCTGGTCGTGGGGTAATTAATGCATAATCTGCTTCCACCTCACCACACTCCTTGAGTTATCCACTTTTGGCTTAATGAGTACTCTACATGATTCCCCGTGTTGGTACATTCAAATCTCTTTGTTTGAACATGATTCAACTTGGCCTTTTCCCAATACTGTTCGCATTCAGCCTCCGTCGGCCTTTCCAGGCAGCATTTGATTTGCTCATATTTACAAGATCCATGCACACAATTCATTATAATGCCTCGTCTTTACAATCCCTTTATCTGCTGGTGAACGTAAGACAATATGGCTTATGCATGGCAGCGTCAACATCATTACAAGACAATTGAATTCGAAATAGCATAATCTTCCAGCTCTGCCGAGTCTCCTCTTGTTCGGACTCCCTGTGAGCAGTCATTATAGCATATGCTCAATGAGTCACCCTCAATCTGGCTTCCACTCCACAATCTGGGTCTGCGATCTATCACTGCATCTCGATTCACTCACAACACCGCCAACTCCTTTGGTATTAACAACTGCCGCGTCTTCCTAACCCGAGCACCGTCCTCCTTGCTCTTGAAGTACCGGCCCGTCTCGTAGCTCCAGAGCAAGCTGCCGAGGGCATGGTTCCTCTCGACGTCGAGGAAGCCGAGGACCGCGCGGTCCGCCTCCTCGCCGAAGCAGGGGAGCTCCGACAGCGCGCGGTAGTAGCGCCGGTAGCAGTCGTTGATCATGACGCCGACCTCGTTGATGGCCTGCTGGGTCGAGAGCCCCTTGGCCTTGAGCAGGCGGACCATGTTGTGGTCCACACCGAGGCGGAGGTCCTTCTCGTACGAGAGGATGTCGTTGACCAGCAGGATCTGGTCGCTGATGATGACCATGATCTCGAACACGGACGGGTGGTCCGCCACCTCGGTGGGCAGGTCGATCCCGGCGCACCACTCGTTGAGGACGAGCGCCGGGTATGCGCCGAGCGAGCCCCGGCGCATCTCCAGGTACTCCTCGGCTCCGCGCGTGTAGGACCGCCCTTCGACGTTGGTCCGGACCTGCGCGACCAGGCCCTCGAAGTAGAGCTCGTGTGCCCACCTCCAGCGCTTCTGGAAGCGCTCTGACGAGGGCTTGCCCCTGAAGAAGCCGTCGGGGCTCTGCTTGACGCGGTCGCACAATGTCTGGAACGCATAGCGGATAGGGTGTTCTGTGTCGGCGCTGTACCGCGGCGCGGTGCCCTCCATGATCTCGCGTGTCCTGGCAATCTCGGCCACGGCCGCTTCCAGGTCGTTCGCCAGGTGGCCCTCGTCGAACTGGTCGTCGAAGAGAAAGGCCCACGAGTTCCAGTCGCTCGACGTGCGCAGGGCAAAGGCGCTGCAGTCGGGCGCCCAGATGCTCGCGAGGAAGGTGAAGTCGACGCGCTTGTTCCTGCTGGCCCACTTTGCATCGGCTTTGATCACGCTGGACGATCACCCCATCATTAGTCAGGTTTTGGCCCTTTGAAAGGGTTTAGGGAGGTTTGACGTTTGAGGCTTGAGGCTTGGGGCCTATGCAATCTTTCTTGGCGCGCCGGCCCCCCCTGAGGGATTACTTACGAGGCGATCCATTCGTCAGCGTCGGCTTTGACGCTGGCATAGTTGGCATTTTGGCGCGCCGGGACCGACATGAGTGAGCAAAAGAGGTCGGGAAGGGTGAGGACCTCCACCTTTGCTTGATCCTCAACTTGCTCATGTTTTGCGTCGTCATAGATCCCCTTCCCGTTCATCATCTCGGACTTGAAACCACCGTCGAGTTGGACCATGATGCCTTGTTCAGGATTTGATTGTTTCTATATCGAATGAGTAATCAAGCTCATGGATGCCTCTTAAAGTAGAGGACTGGCAAACATCGTACGATGAAGGCCTTTGTTATATCTCAAAGCCGTGACATGTGCCAAAATGGCCTGCAGCCCTGGAGTCTGGATAAGGAAGGACGCCGCCCACGGACAAGAATCCGTGACGTCAGCAGGAACTTCACACGCGGCCATGCGTGACGCGCCGCCGCCGACGCGCCGTCCTGGGCCTCGCCTTTCCCATTTGAGCTTGGGTCCGGTCCGGTCCATCCCGGACAAGAAGGCCGTAGCAGTACGTGGCGATAGTCAGCGACCCCCCTTCCGGATTGCTGACGTGATTCCCTCAGCCCGAGTCGCCTCCGGTGAAGTGACTGTGGGGTGGGAGAGGAGAGAGGGGTGGCGTGTTGGCTATTACTCAGGGGTGACCACGGGAACTGCACAAAGCATGGAAGTTCTAGCTACAGTAGTGGGGGTTCCTTGAGCTAGCTCGTAGGGGGTCCGTCCCACATTTCCTTGGCGGGCTTAAGGGGGGCTCCTGGAGATATGCTCCGGATCCGCGAGGCATATGTTTAGAATATTGCATCTTCTTAGCCATTCCCCACCTGTGCCTAGTGCTTCCCGGCGATATCTCCGCTCTGGCTTCAACTTGGTTGGGGTTCGGGTAAGGTGGTCTCAGCCAGGGTCATCTTTTTCTCTTCGAAAGTAATGGAGGCTGGAATCGTGGCCTATTTTTAGCACATGCTCAGAGTCAAGGAATCATGGGACGAACTCCCGCGACCATCTGGGACTTTCCGCCAGAGGTTGTCTCCGAAACATTGCTGTCCATCTGTTTAGTCCATTCGCCATCAATTCACTGGCAGATTATCGCAGACAAACAGGGCCACCGTGAAATCTATTCTCGTCGCTCATAGTACATAACACCATCTAGCCATCTTGTTGCGTCTTGACCATCTCCCTGCCGTACCGGTGTGTCTTACTGACCACTAGCTGACCACCACGAACGCATGAGGTCCTAGCGCCGGGATCGTTACCCATGGAGAGACTCCGCAGGCTGATGTGGGATGAAGCGTAGGGCTCAAGGCAGACCGCGGAGGCGGGCCTCGAACGACCAACAAGCTTGCTTCGTCACCAGCGCAGACCACGATACAGCAGGGCCTGCCGGGCGTTTTCTTATCTAAAAAGAACACTTGGCCCACGCCCGCCTACAGAACTTGGCGAACCTGCGGTGCAGTCGCAGTGGATAACGGCCCTGCCGAGAATGCTGCAAGCCGTCATCGCCCAATCAAGGGAATAGCCACGAGTTTGGAGGCCCGTCATGTCGCATGCCAATTCGCTTGGCTGTAAGATGGGTCGGATAACGTCGGGCCAGCCAGTTGGACGAATGGTGGATGCAGGCTTGACATGCGATCGTGTCATCCCAGGGCCAGACTCGGTGAAGACTGAGTCAGGTCGGCACGTCGTGGGGTCGTGTCTTCGGATCGTCACCCCCACCCCCCGCGAGGCGCCGCGTATAGCCTGCCGGGCGGCTGGGGCCGTCCCTTACGAGGGATCCCCCTGCTCAAGTGTCCACACCCGCTGCCCCAGACCCTGCCTGCCCTAGCCACATTCGGCACACGTTCGTGTATGCATACGGCTTATAGGCTCAGAATTCTGATGGGCACAGTCTCTCAAGAACTTTAATTCATTATCGCCGTGCTGAAGGTCTTTGCGTTGGTTAAAGCCAAGCAGGCCCGGTGCGGTTCGCAGAGTGAGCTCCGCTGTACTTGCCTATACTAAGTACCATAATGTAAGACAGGTATTGTAGACAGACCACCGCGTTCTTGCCCCGGGGCAGACAACCCCCCCAACATTTCACCAGGTTCGAACACGGGGCATTTCGATCGATCTGTGTGGAATTGGGGGTTCGGTTAGTCTGACATGCAGGGAACCTTCAGAAGGTCAGGGTGACATGTGGCCGGGATGCGGGATGTGGGTACCGCAGCAGACAGGAACGTGGTCAGGGTAGCAATAGTCGGTGGTGTTACTACCTGAATGGGCACTTTCTGTGGTCAGCTGAGTGGCGCAAGCATGGATGACATGAGGAGTCATCAGCAAGGCGTGAGACTATCAGTCATCAGGTCCTGACGACAACTGATCGGGCAACCTGGCTTGTCTTGGAGTCCAAAGTTGGGAATGGTGTATTGGAGAGACCGCCATGGGGGGAGGGGTGGGGGTGGAAAAAACAGTTTGTCACCATCCTTGGGTATGAACTTATGGAGCTGTCCTAACTGCCTCTAATTAACTCGCTACTATATGCACTGCAGGTCTGGTTGTTCGCTAGGCACTAGATATCCCGGAAACCTTGGAACCATGTTTAGTACTCTACGGCAAACGTTTGGTGATGGAGACCGACTCCTCAACGTGGAGATTGTCCCGCCCTTTGACAAGGACAGGACGTCAATGCGGACGGCCTGCGAGAGATGTCGCACACAGAAGGTGGGTAAAGCGCAGCCATTCGTCATTGTCTAGTTGGAGTCTTGCTAAACGCTCCCGTCAAAGCCCTTTCACTTGGCAGCCATGGGACTGACTGACGTTGCGTTGCCTTTAGTCCAAGTGCGTGAGCGGCAAGAACGGCTGTATGCTGTGCGTCGCCAAGAACCGAAAATGCGAGTACTCGGTCGTCTCGAGGCCGCGACGGCACGCGTCCAGCGTTGCTAGCGGTGATTCAAAGTCCCGGAGCGACGACAACACAGTCGCCAACCAGCACAAGCAGTCGAACCAGGCTGGGACACTCAAACGGCGGTCTCGAGTACAGGCGACGAGACAATCATCGCCGTTGTCGACGTCGTCATCCTCCTCTGAAGACCAAGTGAGGGGCTCACCAGTATCGCAGTCCTCACTTCGGGACAAGAGCGTCGCAACACCTGCGCCAGACACGGGCGTGGAAGACGCACAACAATTGTATTTCATGGGCATACTCTTTCCTGACTCCCCTGGGCAGGTCCCGGCCGTCTTTCCGGACCTCGACCCCGCCGCCTGGGACTTTTACGGCAGTGTGACCGACCCCACGCCCACGGCTGCCGCGAAACTGGAGGCAGGCCTCGGTGGTGGTGCTGCCGGCGAAACGTCAACATCTCAAGGAGACAGAGGCGAGCACGATGTCAACAAATCCAGCCAAACTTCGCCGTCAGCAAACAGCCTGTCCGAGTTTTCTGTTGACCAGATGGAATTCCTGATGGAGGACTCGCGCATCATGACTACGATGATTCCCAATGCGCACGACAACAAAGTCACATCCGAGGCCCAGCCTGGGACTCATTTCTCGCCATTGCCAGACTTGGATGCCACCTCCACCTCTACCTCTACATATTCATCGTGTTCCTGCATGATGACAGCCGTGAGAATCTACGAGGCCTTGCAGGTCCAGCTCGTCTGGGGCGATCCCGTCGCCGGCATGTCGCCGGCACCAAGTCCGAACTCCGCGTCGGCAGACTCTCCATGCTCGTCGCTTTCGTCCTCGTCAGGGTCAGGGTCAGGGTCACGGCCAGGCACATTGTCTGGCTCGGCAACATGCAATACAACGCCTCTTATGACCCAGCAAACGATCCTGCAGCGCCAGAAGACGATGCTCGCCCGCTTCGAGTCCCTGCTCGGGTGTGGCACCTGCTGGTCCCGGCCAGATTTTGTCATGCTGATGATCACCATGTGCGATCGCATCCTGACCAGCCTGGAGGCGGTCGAGCGCTTCGTTTGCAGCAGGACCGATGACGCAAACAGGGTCAGTTCCAACACCACCGCTGCAGCTGCGGCTGCGGTTGCCGCAGACGTCAACGCCACGGCAGCATCACGCGCAGAGCTAGGGCTGCCACCCCTGTCCCGCTCACCTCAGGTCCAGCAGCCTCGGGTAGGCGCTTGGCAGATCGACGACGACGACGAGCTGGAATTGGTCATCAGCCTGATCAAGTCCCGCGTGACAAGGCTCGGCAATCTGATCGCCATGGCTGAGGGCACGGTGAGCGCAAACGCGTGGCTTTCGCACGAGAGGCTGGCTCAGGCGTTGCGGAGGAGGTCTAACAAACTGCTCCTTTCCTTGTCGTTTCGCGGCTTTCCTTGAGACACAGCTGTTTTCGTCAACTTAGGTGTACGGGGTTTCTTTAGACTGGCTAGAATGGCAACTCCAGGATTATACAAGGAGCATGGCGCTTTCTCTTTGGCGATTCAGACAAGTCGAATGTAGAAAATCCTGTTCCAGAGGGGGGAATCTCGCCACACCGCGAGTCATGACATTTTATATAGTTATTTACAAGATAAACCATAGTGACATCCTTCAAGCTCCGTCTCTGTTATCGTCGGACTTGTTGCCCGCACTACACGGCTTTCAACGTTCGTCTTGGGTCGAATAATACGACCCTCGTGATTTCCGTGATCTAGACTGTACCTACCCGTGCCTTGCCGCATAGATGGTCAAGATGCGCATCCCAGTGTTGCAGTCCGTTCAGACTCGTAGCTGCAGTGGAACCTTGCCGCTCTAGGCACACTTCCGCCTCGCCGCTCCGGGCACACCTCCGCCCTGCCCAGTAGCCGGGAGGGCTGACGCCCACGTTACCGGCATAAGCATAATCCGGCCCGGTCCGATTGAGCCGGCGGACACCACCGTGACGCGTTGCACCTCGGGAGCGATTGATCGATCTGGCCCAAGCCGGTGGACAGGCTCAGATTGGAACTCTATGATCTCAGTTTTCAGGTCTCCTTCCTGATAACAGGAGTCGAGCGCACTTCAAAGTTGAAAGTTGCAGTCCTGGGCATCGATTTCAAAAGGCCAAGCTCCTTTGCCAAGACATAGGAATCGACTCTGGTTGAATACTGCCCGCAGTTCACCTCCGCCATCACTGAGAGAAGAACCCCTCAATCTTCGTTATGGCGTCCGCGTCGTCTGTAGCCGGAGCTCCGGCTTCTCCTCTACTGCTCATCGGCGTCATCAGCATCCCCGTCGCCCTCTTGCTCCGCTGGTTCGCATCGTACACGCGCACCGTCCTCAAGGTCCGCAGCAGCGGCCTCCCTGCGATCCACAGCGGACTCGAGATTTTTGAGTCCGCTGTGCGGTCATGGTTCCCTCGCGTCCCCGTCCTGGTGCCCATGGACAAGTTCACCCTGAAGAAGCCCTTCAAGAAGTTCGCGGATGCACGGTCCGACATGATTGTCTTGACCGAGGCTGTGAGTGACGTTTTCCCGCTCCGCATCGAGCCTTCTTTTTTTTCCCCCGTAGAAAGAATATGTACTGACGTGGGTTGAATCTCACTCACCAGTCGGCACCGAACCGCGTCGCCTACCTCTTCGGATCTCCCAAGAGCTTCCGCGAAATCGGCCGCAACGGCGACATCTTCCTCAAGCCGGTTGAGAAGGTGCGCTACCGCCTGCTCAACACGTTTGGGCTGCAGCTCGTCTCGACCCAGAACGGCGCCGAGCACGAGAGGCACAAGCGCGTCGTCAAGGCCGTGTTCAACGCCGAGTTCATGGAGAACGGGTGGAAGAACATGCGCAACATGTGGCGGACCATGCTCCGCGAGGAGGGCGTCTACCCGGCGGCCGCGAACTCGGACACCGCTCCAATCGTGCGAGACATGAGGTCGACCATGCTGAAAGTGACGCTCGGTGCCATCGGCGCCTCGTGGTTTGACATTGACATACCCTGGGATCCGGTCGACTCCTCCACGTCGTCGGATGCCGGCGGATCCAGTTGTTGCGGCCACATGCAGCAGAAGAAGAAGAGCGAGCTGATGCCATTCGCTGAGACGCTGCAGGTGGTGATGGACTCGCCCTTTGCGCAGATCACGCTGCCGCTGTGGTTCATGGAGTGGAGCCCCTCGTCGTATCTGCGCCGCGCTGGCTGGGCGCAGCGATCCCTCATAACCCACATCAAGGCCGCCCAGAGTGAGGCCAGGCGCAGAAACGAGGCCTTCAAGGAGGAGATCGGGGGTCAGGACCGGGCGAGAAAGTACAGGAACCTCATCGGGGCGCTGGTCGATGCCCAGAACGACGTCGAGATGGCCGAGCAGGCTGAGAAGGGATACGTCGCGCCCGAGGTCGGGCTGACGGACAAGGAAGTCCAGGGCAACATTTTCACTTTCTTGATGTATGTCCACACATATCCGGCGTTCCGTAATTGCATTATGCTAACAACAGGGGTTCTTCAGAGGCGGTCACGAAACATCCTCGTACACTATGACTTTCGCCATGTCGCTCCTCGCCAGGAACCCCGAGTGGCAGGAAAAGCTGCATGCCGAGGTCAGCAAGGCAAACATCCTTCCCCTGGACGGGGCTCCAAGCGTGGACAACCCGAAGCCTCTGAAGTTTCTCGCCTACGAGGAAATGTCAAACTTCCCTCTCGTGCTTGCGGCCGCCGTCGAGACGCTCCGCATGCGCGACATGGCGATGCAGCTGACGCGCGTGGCCTCGTGCGACACCACGCTCAACTACACGACATGGGAGGGTGACGCCACCGCCAACGCGGCCGGGGCCAAGGTCCAGAAACACACCGTCGCCATCCCCGCGGGCACGCGCGTGCACCTCGACATGGCCGCGTTCGGGGTCAATCCGTTCAAGTGGGAGGACCCGGAGACATACAACCCAGCGCGCCATCTCCGCGAGACGGAAGACGTGAATGGCAAGAGGATGACCGTAAGTTTCCCACCGTGAAGACAGAAATTTTGAAATACGCTCTAACGCCGCCACGCAGGTCACGTTCCAGGACTTTCTCGGCTTCTCGGCCGGCTCGCGTCAATGCATTGGCAAGCGGTTTGCCGAGGTAACCATGGTGTGCTTCCTGGCCCACATGGTCCTCAACTTCCGCTGGGAGGTCGTGCCCAACCCGGGCGAGACCCAGGAGGAAGCCAACGTGAGGGCGTCCACGGGCTCGGAACAGTTTGTATTGACACCACCGAACTACGATCTGCGCATGACCAGGCGCTGAGGGTGAAGGGCCAGCCAGGACACTGGGCAGGGAGGCTTCAATTACTGTATAGCAGCCTCAGGCTTGAACTGCACCTTTTTGAGTTTTCTTAAAACCTGACGCCACCAGAATTGCCCTTGATTCTGACAAAGTCGGCTGCAGAAGTGTTCACTTGGCAGGTGGCGAGCCGTTGTGCTCTGAGTACTGGACTAGGACGGGGGTTCTTGGGGGAGTATTACTCACGTGGCCGTCCCCGAGCCGAGTTAAGTACAAACTCGGCGTCGACTGTCACGGCGAGTTTGGTGGAACTATAGGCACATAGCCAGCCTATCATCATTTGCCCTCTATTGACGACTAGCATCTACTTGAGATGGAAAGAGAGAGAGAAGAAATAACGAAGATAGATGATGATGGCCTTTAGATGACAACGATCAGTTCTTACATAGTGAATGGCGGTTAGTCAAGCATTTAGTTAACCGTTTTTGACTACCATAATGATTAGAGATCTGTTTTGTAAGGTTATGTCGTTCCATCGTCCGAATTCGCGATGGACCATACCCCCACGTCAATTCCCATCATAGACGGGCGGCGCTCAGCTGAACCCTAACCCTGGCACGTGCCGGCGAATGAGCCCCTACTAGCTTACTTGTCAAAGGTACAGAGTTTTTCACGACCACAGATAGAAGGGGGCAGCCCGCAGTCAGGTTCAGAATTTCAGGTGCTGACTTTCTATTGACCCATTCGATTGGCGGAGGCAGCGATTCCTATTGCGATGAGGATGTGGCTGGCAGCCCCGGCTCTCTAGTGCATATCCCACCCGGTCTTACTGTCAGCTGAAGTCGGGGCTAGAAAAGGAAGTCATCCTGGTTTTCCGGGGAATTGAAGCTGTCAGCGGGGTCAGCCAGATTAGGCAATCGTCCTGGTCGGTAAGCGCGAAGCTGGCAAATCGACTCTTTCGGGGCTCAGCTCAGGGCCCGCCAGCCTGGCATTTCGAGAGAGACAGGGTTGCTAGAGAATATACCTATCGGCGTGCCACCCGGGGCGCTTCTGCACCATTGTATGGGTGTTGAGTCCTTTTATTGTATGTATCTTCAATACATATAGGTCATATCTGAGCTTCGAGGCTTCAGCGCTACGCTTTGGTATAGACGCTCTTTCGTTGTTGTGATTCTACCTTGCCATCATTCGTCGCAAAGGTTCATCCGAGGTTCAACTCTCCTAATCCGCGTCCTGGTCGTACTCGCAGCCATGGCTGACGGCACGGCAAAGTCGGCACGCTACGGGAATAGACTGATCCCCCAGATTCTGGACGACCTCGCCGATGCCGAGCCCGGTCGCATTCTTTACTCGGTAGCCAAGTCCTCGGACATCTCCCAGGGCTTCCGGGATGTATCTGCCCGCGCTTTCACGAGAGCGGTCGACAAGACAGCCTGGCTGCTTCGCCGGGAGCTGGGCGAGAGCCCGGAGCTACGCGCCGTGGGTTACATCGGGCCTCGTAAGTTTCACTCTACCAGGGCCAAGGGATCGTGGTACTTGGACTTTTGTATCGCCCTCCGACATCTGAGCTCTCGGACTCGAGTCTTTGGACTGACGACGCCCATCTGCATCTAGACGATCTCCGACAGATCCTATTGACATATGCCTGTGTCAAAGCCAATTGCACTGTTCGTTCCCCTTCACAGTAAATGTGTCTCAAAAATGACTGTTTTGTCTAACCCATCTCCCCAACAGGCCTTGTTCCTTTCCCCAAAGAACAGCATAGAGGGCGCTCTGGCCGTTCTCGACGCCGCAAAATGCAATATCTGGGTCAACCCTGCGGGCGGAAAGCCAGCACCGCTTGTTAATGACATCCTAGAGCAACGCCCCATGCAAGTCATCAACCTGCCCGAGCTGAGCGAGCTTCTTCCAGAAGCCGAGAGCGAGGCGGAAACAGTGGAGCGCTTCCCATACACAAAGTCCTGGGAAGATGCGATAAACGACCCTTTCTGCCTGCTGCACACCTCGGGCTCAACGGGCCTGCCGAAGCCCCTCGCGTGGTCCCACGGGCTGATTGGTACCATGGACGCCGTCCGGCTGCTGCCCACTCATGAGGGCATGGAGCCCTGGACGAAAGGGTGGGACGAGGGCGACACGATATACTCGTCGTTCCCGATGAGCCATGTAAGTTTCCTTCCCAGTCAACATCACGTCTGACAGAGTCGTTATGGTGCTGACATGTGTTAAAGGGAGCGGGGATCTTGATGGATATGGTTATCCCGGCGCTGTTCGGGCTGCACTGCGTCATGGGGCCCCGGGACGTGATACCCAATTTGGAGCTCATATCGTCCCTTGCGGAACACGCGAAGATTGACATCTGGAGCATGATTCCTTCGCTCACGGACGAGCTTGGCGAAGCGCCCGACATCTTGCCAAAGCTGAGCCGGTCGAAATTCATCTGTGCATCGGGAGGTAAGGAACCACTCCCTCCCTATCTCCTTTGCTAGATATGCCTGTGTTACGACAACAAGATGCCTTGGCAACGTTTTCCAGTACAGGATGCTAACAGGTATGACTACTTCCCAGGACCTGTAAGCCCAACCATGGCCTCCAAAGTGAACGAGTTCGTTCGCGTCTTGAACCTCACAGGCACATCGGAAGGTTTGTTCATCGGCAACTTGTGGGTGGACAGAGAAGATTGGCACTGGTTCGCCTTCCACCCCTGGTCCGGTTTCGAGTTTAAGGAGGTTGAGCCCGGTCTTTACGAACAGTGGATTCATCGCAACGAGCACGCGGACCTGTTCCAGGGCCTCTTTCAAACCTTTCGAGACCAGAGCAGTTTCAACTTCAAAGATCTGTACGTTCAGCACCCGACTAAGCCGGGGCTATGGGCCTACCACGGCCGCAGCGATGATATTGTGGTCCTGTCGAATGGATACAAAATCTCGCCCCTGGATACGGAGGCGCTCGTCACAACCCACCCGGCCATTGATGGCTGTCTAATGGTAAGCTTGTCTACCCTTCAAAACCGACAACTTTCAAGCATCTGGCCGGTCAACGATGCTGACGTATTTTCTCACAGATCGGATCAGGCAAGCCCCAAGCCGGCCTGCTCATCGAGCTAAAAGACCCGGATATTAAAAAGGACGACAACGATGCGCTCTTTGACAGCATCTGGGCCGTGGTCGAGAGGGCCAACTCCCTGTCTCTGCACAAGAACCAGCTGCACCGGGACTATATCGCCTTTTCCGAACCGGGCAAGCCGTTCATCCGTACCGACAAGCGCACCATCAAGCGACGGGCCACCATGACGCTGTACGCCGACTATATCGAGCGCTTCTACGAGTCACGTGCAGAGGATGAGACTGACACCGAGGTTGCGGCGCTTGGGCTCCTGACGATTGACACGGCCTCGTTGGAGTCGACCACGCGCGCGGTCCGTCATGTACTCGTCTCAATCATGCCTGCGGTCAAGGACGCGCCGGCGGATGCTGATTTGTTCGCTCTTGGGTTCGACTCGCTGCTCGTGTTCCGCGCCGTCAAGGCGGTTGCGGCGGCTACAGACTTGAAGGGAAGGCTTATACCGAGACACTTTTACGCTGGCCCAACGGTTGAGAGGATTGCCGCGACGGTCGTGCGGTTGGCTGCTGAGCGCAGAGCGGCGACAACGAATGGCACTTCCGCCTCGTCGACCGACCAGCACCAGCAAGATCCGCAGGTCGCCAAGATCAGGCAGCTGATGAACCGGCACAAGGCCCGTCTATCCTCCAAGCTGGGGCCGATGGACCTGTTAGGAGGGAACATCTATGACGGTTTCAATTTCTTCCTACCTCTGCGCCCGGGCGTCTCGTTCGAGCAGGCGTACAAAGTGCTCCAGCGGGGACTGGTTCGCGCCATGGAGATTGTGCCGGATCTCGGGGGAATACTCATACCCTGTTCGGAGCACGAGATAGGATACAAGAAGGGGGACCTTCGCATCACGGTGCCCCCCCTCCCCTCGACGGCATTGGGATCCTCCATCACCGACGCGCCGAGACAGCTGCGCTTCCGCGACCTCTCGTCCGTGCTGCCATCCTACGCCGAGCAGCGCGCCTCTGGATTCCTGACCTCGGCCTACCGGGACAAGCTCCTGACCACGTGTCCGGGATGGCCCAGCCTGCCCACTGACGTGCTCTACGCGCAGGCCAACTTTGTCGAGGGCGGCTGCGTGCTGGCTTTCAATGTTCATCACCATTCGTTTGACGGGATCGGCGTCTTGATCGCGCTGAGGGTATGGGCAGAGTGCTGCCGGTTTGTCCAGGGCGACGAGTCTGCGGATTGCGAGTGGCTGCACCCGGAGAGCCTCAATCGCGACTTGCTGTCCATCTTGTACGAGCTGGAGGGCTTCGCGAAGCCAGCGGAAGATGTCGATCCGAGGGTTTGGGGGTTCCTGCCTTTTGCCGATCCGGCGCTGAGGCAGAAGGAGAAGGAAAAGACACAAACAGTCGCGGTCAACGGCGATGTCCCTATCGCCAAGACGGACAAGACCCCTTCGTCTCGTGATCTGCCCGAGCCACCTCGCCTCCCCGTCACGGAGCACTGGCCGCCCAAGGCGCGGGCGGATGGTCGCGCGATGACATCGTCGACCTTCCTCATCTCGGCCGAGAAACTGGAGAGACTACACAAGAGCGTCGAGCTCGCAGAGGATCCAGGAAGTCTCAGCAACGGGTCGCTGTCGCTCAGCGACGTGCTGCAAGCCTTCTTCTGGCGCGCCACCATCCGGGCGCGTCGCCGTCCAGAGCACTATTCCCCTGATGACACGGCCATCATCGAGATGCCCACCGACGCGCGGCCCTACTTCAGCTCGCACCTCCCGCCGTCATACATGGGCAACTGCGTCATCATGAACCGGTTGTACATGCCCGTCTCGGAGCTCTGCTCTTCCCAGACAGCCCTTCACAAGATCGCCCAGGTCTTCCGCGAGGCGCGCAATCGGGTCAACCAAGAGCTTGTCCACGACGCCTTCAGCCTGTTACACACGATTCCAGACAACAGTCCGGGCAACCACTCGGCAGCGTTCATAGGCCAGGGCGTCCAGGACGGCTGGCACTCGGTCATCAACAACTTGTTGCTCTTTCAAACGAGCGATATGGGCCCCTTCGGCGGTGACGTATTCGAGGCGCCCGAGGCGGTGAGGCTCCAGATGGACGGGCTGAACAACGCGTTCAGGGTCCTGTTCATTCATCCGATGAGGGAGGATGGCGGCGTCGAATTGATGCTGGGAACTTTCCCCGAGGAGCTGGATGCGATGATGAATGATGGCGAGTTTACGCAGTTTGCTGAGTTTATGGGATAGAAGAGGAAAGATGGGGATGGGCGAGGTGATTCCATGGCCTAGCACTCTGTACATTGCGATGATAGTCTATAGACACTATTCTAGTGGCACGAAACTCCTGTTTTCTGGCCTGAGTTCACTCCTTCTACCTACTGGACAATCCATGCGAAGGATGCTCCTTCAGTTATCTATGTCCGCTCGCAGCCGTTTTGCAAGGCTTTTCAAGATTCCCCACTGCGAACAAAAAAAGTCAAGGACCACACCAGTCGCAGGAAACAACTGCAGGACGTAAAGACGTATGCAACCTGGACGTGGTATGGCCTCAACCCTGGGCACTGTAGTCTGGGACTTGGCTGTTGTCGTTTCTGTGGCATTGGGACTCGCGCATGTCCATGCATGTAGCAGTTGAGGACCGGTCAGTGTCACGCTCGACGCCTCAGAGGGGGCCGGCTAGCGTCCCGTACGAAGATACGAACCTCCGGGTACAACTTGGCAATCCGAGGTGTTGATTCCGGTAACCTGGCCACGGCGAAGTCGTCCGATCTGGTTCGCCTCCGAAGGGCAATCCTCCTAGCGCAGACGTCAGCCTAACACCTAGTTGGGCAACTCTCCTGTGGGAGTCGCCGGACCCGGGTTCTCGCTCAGCTGAGGTGACGACGGCTGATGAGGTGGAGTCAGCCCCCCGGGACCCAGCCCCCAGTCCTATCAGCCCCAGACGATTGGGGCAGTTTGCCCCTTTGCCTGGATCACATCCGAAGGAAATCTGGGTTCTGGACTCTGGAGGCAATCCATTTTTAGCAGGTTCCAGGACGACGGCCTGTCTCCAGTGGTTTGGGCATGACTGGAGTGCGGTGCCACTCGAGCCAGGAGGTACTTTATATCTATCGCTCGGCTCACAGAGATCAATATCTATTGCTCCGCAACACACTCCCAGTGCTACATCGTCTGCAGGTCTTTGCCTTGCCAATTTCTGATTTTCTCTTGTATCAAACGTGCTTTCCGTTCCTGTCACGAAGATGTCGCATTCAGTCATATCGGCCACCATGTCGACCGATGTTGATCATCAGAAACCCTCCGAAGTCTTATATGAGCACGTCTACACCAATTGTACAGACTCTGCAGCTGGAAATCCTAGCGAGCAGACTCCACCAATCCCTCAGACTGCCGACAAAGTGGAAACTGCGCAGGACGACGGGGAAGCACCCACAGTTATTCAGACGGTGACGGACGATACCAAGGCAATGGTACAGACGGTGGTTCTGCTCAAGCCTGAGCCCGCGGCCAACACGACAGACGTGTCTCCGGACGCTGTCAGTGTCTCCGAATCCCACGTCTTGATGTTGCAGACACCGGCTGTCGCCATAGCTGCATCAGACGTCTCACTCGACGACTCCATGTCGACGAGATCCTCCAGCTCCAGTGTCCCAACCGAGATGACTGAGCCCCCCACCACAGATGACAAGATGGAAGGCCCCAGCGAGACCGAAGTCTCGGAGACTTCCAACAGAATCCTGGACGTCATCCTAGAATACTCTCTCAACAAGTTCGACAGCACCGCAGAACTGCACAACGCCGGCAGGCCCAAGTTCCTAGCCGTCATCTCCCGCTTCATCAGGGCACGGCAAAAGGTGGTCATGTGTCTGCCAGCATTTCCGTTCAAGTCGGCGAACAAGGTCGAAAAGGTTCTGGGTACCCTCCCGGATAAAGCCGAAGAATTGGCACTCGGTAGACTAGACTCCATGTGCGCCACCATTGGCCAATTCTATGAGCCGGGGGCAGAGCTCACTATCATTTCGGACGGTCTGGTTTACAATGGTTCGTTACAACCCCTGCTTACTCGCTTGAAACAAGTGAAACTCGCACGCCACGTGACTGACACTTCTCCCCTCGTGACCCAGACCTGCTCGGCATTTCCGACCAAGAGACCTGGCGCTACGGATCGGCGCTGCGGGCCATGGCCGAGCGCAAGGCCTTCTCTCATCTCGCATTTTCCCGTCTTCAGGATCTGGTCCCGGTGAAGAACCTGCCCGATGACCTTGTCGAGCTCTCGTACGTTGCCAATGCAACCAACTTCCGCCGGACCCTGCTCAACATGCACGGCCGGGACGGCGACATCGACATCGACCACGAGATTGCCACGAACCCGGACACGCTCATGACGTACAGGGGGTACTGCCGCTTTCTCGAGTCGGACCTGCAGTACATCTATGGCTGCGTGCCGAAGGGTCGCACCCGAGCTTACAAGAGAGATGTCAAGTATCTCGTCAAGCAGATGCTGATTCGGGGATACGTAAGTCTAGATCCACTTGAGCTACTTGATGCTCAACCGACCTCAGAGACTGACAGAATCCCTTATTTTCAGGCATTTGCCGGAGCCGTCAAAGCACGCTTTCCGAACCATCTGCGTCTCAGCATCCACCAGTCAACAGGAGAGCACAAAATATCTCTCAGCTTGCTCAACACCAAGACCGGCTTCACGACGCCGTGGCACTGCAGCGTCGCGTTGATGTCAGATGGGGAGTGGCTCAGCGCCCTCATGAGCGACTTCAAGGCCGATCCCTTGCTGGAGCTCGTCGAGGAGGATGGCCGACCGAGCTACTTCAAGGAAGTGCCCCGTCAGCGGCCGTACCTGAACGGCAGGTCGAGGTCGCCTGTAGCTGATAAAGAGGAGCGGCTGGTGGGCCGTAGGGCAATGGCATGTGCGTCGTAGAGCCCCTCTCCCAAGCTGCTATATAGAACGAAGTCGTGGTTAAGCTTATAGCTGTCACGACTGTCGCGGCCTCAAGATGCCTCTCCATGAAGGGGGCCTGCACATAATGTTTCTTAATAAGCTCTCCTATTTTGTCTCGGTAGCTTCTTAGATCTCTTGCTACAAGAATGAAGAAATAACGTCCTCCTTACCTTAAAATGATATAAGGCACGCCAAACTCACCCGCCACCCACTGGGTTTATAAACGACGGCAACCTACGGCCAAAAAGGGTGGCGTACAGCGGCTTGTGAGGAATCCCGCCATAACATATGCACGACCTACGGGTCAAAAAGAGATTAGTAAAATGATTAGTAAAAACCTTTCTAAAGAAGATCTGGATTATAAGTTTTCAGGCATGAAGAATTGATCATGTCAAATTCTATAGGAACCTGCTATCAACGAAAAGTGACTGCCCATCAGCAGCAGGGGGAAGTAAACCGAATGCTGCTGCGTATATTCATGGGTTTCTGGGTGTGCATGCGAAGGTTTACTATATTGGTAGTGCTCTGGAAATTGCCCCAATGGCAATCGCGAGGTTTACAAACACAGCACAGAACTGCTCCACTTTTGTTCAGAGGATGCTCGGGCCCCGCTGTCGTGACAAACTAGAGGGGCATTGGCTGCAAGGCGTGCAACTCATTGGTACCGAGTCCTTCAGAGGCGATGTTGCAATAAATGCCTTTTCTCGCCAAGTGCGTGTGTGCACGCGGAGAAATGCTGCCCCAGGGTGACGCTAAGGACTAATAACTGGGCTAGTGCGTGGACCAGAGCCTGCCAGAATCGGGACCCACCTTTCTGTAACGTCCTTCCTCCCACCGCCGTAACGCTTCTCGGTAGCGTGCTTTTGCTTCTTCCCACCGTTGGTTTGCTCCTTTGTTTGCTGACCTGACTTGATATAGGCCTCGTCTGACCACGTGTCTCGTGGCCCATATCACATGCTTGCCCCTTCCCTTCCCTTCCGCCGCCAATTCCGCCGACTCCCGCGAATGTCTTCGGGCCATTGTCCTGTGCGATCCCACTATGCTGTCTGATCAGGCCATCGACGATGCTACCGCAGCTCTTGAAGCATTCCGCCGGTCAGATGCCCTGGCGAAGCTGCTGGACGACTACTCGTCGCTCCTCGATGACTACAAGCGACTGAAGAGCGACTACGAGGAGGAGAGGGAAGGTAGAGAGCGCTACAAGCAGCTCGCTCGGAGTCAGGAACGCAACCCCTTCGCCCTTGTCCTTGTTGACGGCGATGGCTATATCTTTGACGAAGACTTGGTCCGCGCCGGCGAAGAGGGCGGAAGCAGGGCCGCAGTCCGCCTCAACGACGCTGTCAAGAACAGCCTGCGCCGCCGCGGCATCGACAACTGCGAAATCATCATCCGCGTATACGCCGACTTGGTAGGCCTTTCCAAGTTTCTCTCGCGCAACGGTGGCCAATGTGGCGCAGAGAAACGGTCACTTTCGAGCTTTGTTGCGGGCTTCAACCGGTCCCATGGCCTGACCGACTTTGTTGATGCCGGCGAGCTTAAGGAGAACGCCGACTTCAAGCTCAAGGCCATGCTCCGCCTCTATGCCGACAACACACAGTGCAAGCACATTTTCTTTGCTGCCTGTCACGATATTGGCTACATTGCGGATGTCACGCCGTTTCGGGGTCATGTGGATCGGTTTACTCTAGTACGCACGCCCAGCCTCCGGTTCTGCGACGAGTTTAAGAAGCTCGGGATGGGCATCGAGGAGCTGCCAGGCGTGTTCCGTACAACCCCAATACACATCAACCACCCAGGAACCGCACTTACAAACAGGTCCGGGGTCACGCCGCCATCCGCAAAGAGCTCGGCGAGCATGCCGGTGAGACCTTCATCGCCTACCAAGTCGCTGCAGTCGAGCTCGGCTGGCGAGGAGAACCAGAAGGTATGCCAATTCAACAAGATTGGCAAGTGCAAATTCGGCAACGGCTGTAAGCTGAAGCACGTCAAGCCTTCTGCATCCTCTACGGCGCCCGGTCCCGGCCGTCTCCAGAAAAACGACTTCAGTAGCGCGAGCACCGAGCTCCACTATCTGCCGCGCAAGAACGACATTCCCCCAGGATACGTTGCCATCAATCGCGATGGCTGTCGGCTGGATCCACTATTGGAAACGCCTCCGCCAGGCGCTATGGCTAAGTTGCGGGCCAGGCCTGAGGACCAAAAGCTGTGCAACATGAAGCAGCTTACCGGCTACTGCGGGAACAACAACTGCCCTTATGACCATGATCCGATCTCGGACGACCTCTTGATGGCCTTGGAGACACTCTCGAGATCTCTGCCCTGTCCGAGACGTGGCACGTGCCGAGTTGCAAACTGCGTCAATGGGCACGTCTGCCAGAATCCAGACTGCAAGCACCGCGGCGGAAAATCCTTTTGCCGGTTGCCTTATCTGGTTCACGACGAAGACCTCCATTTCGACTCGCTGATGCCTGGGATTACCAAGGACACGGATTATGGCGGCGGTAGTCATGACAGATTGGATTCTATAGATGACAAAAGCAGCTGGCGTCGAACGGATAGCACCGACAACACATTTGACTTGCTTGGTTAAACCCGTCGGTTTACCAAGAACACACGGCCAGCACAAAGTTTTAGCTGGAAAAACCCCCTCAGGTGATGCCGAGGCGACATCACCAACAATCCTACGTTAGGTCTCGGGGTGAGCACAGAAAGTACAGCTTGGTACGAAAGAAAAAGCTGAGAAGCACAGCAAGGTCTACAATATGTAGCCAGAATCTAAAAAAACTCGACTATATTCGATATCAACAAAGATGGATTGAGACTCGCAACATGGACAAAGCGACGAAGGATCTTTCCCCTCCGAACACGGTTCGGCAAGTCGGAAAGATTCAGAACTTCATGCTCAATCCATATCTGATATCGATCAGCGGTTACCAGACATCGCCGGACTGGATCGTAAAGAAGGGATTACGGGGTTGTTGGATTTGAAGGCCTACTTGATATGAATCAGTCTGGGCGGTGTATGGGTGCTGGTGACGACTACTAGAGGGGAATACCTGGAATTCCCCTTTTACGCGTCTGTGGTTGATATGGCAGTCGAGTGGGATGCAAGATCATGACAGAGTCTATTTCTAGCCTAGTCCATCGCACGAGGGTAACACTCTCGTGTCCAGGGACGCAAGGAGGCACGGTGTGAGCCGGTCACTGCCCGCGCAATAAGCCGAAAAAACACGTCATGGGACCGCTTCTATGGTTGTGCACAAGCACTGTCATTATAGATCGTTGTACATATATGATACAAGGTAGGATCGCGGTCATTGCAGTGCCTGATTAGCTTCACACCGGTGTGGTGGGAAGCGCGTCTCCTTGCAACAAACCACGCCCAGAAACTCCAGTGATTGACTCTGACGTGCCGTAATCACGCAATTGACCGCCGCACGGCAAAGAAGTAGTTGCCGACTTTCTCACTGCCTGCGACCTCGCGCCAGCCCACGCCAGGAACATATATCACACCCATACACCTCGGCGCCTCCCACGTAGCTCGTGCGCCATCTCCCGTCACAACACCAGCCGCATTAGCCTCTGTGCCTGCGGCGGCGTCGGCGGCCCCGGCGGCGGGCTCGGCAAAATGCTGCCGCAGCTCGTACTCGTTGATGTACTTGTTCCAGTCATGCGTGCCCTTGGGCACGATCCTTAGAACGTCCTCGGCCATGAAGTTGGTCGTGAACCACGACATCCACGTCCTCGCGATGGTGCTCATGACGAGCCAGCCCCCCGGCTTGACAAAGGGCGTGCACCGGTCCAGGAACTCGGCGGGCTGGTTGACGTGCTCGAGGACCTCGAACACCGACACGATGTCGTAGGCCTGGTCGGGCGCCTCCGGGACGGGCAGGTGCTCGATCGAAGTGTTGATGTAGTTGAGCCTGCCCGGGCTCGTGGCCGGGCTGAGAACCGGGTCGCGCCTCGCGTGGGCCTGCGCGATGGCGAGCACTTGCGGCGTCGGGTCGATCGCCGTGACGGAGTGGGTGGTGGGCAGGCGGGCGGCGGACTCGGCGAAGATGCCGCCGCCGCAGCCGATGTCGAGGTACTTGAGTCCTTGTTTTGGGTGCTGGCGCGAGTTTGTGGGAGTTGTTGACGACGACGATGACGGGTCGGCGGCCGCGGCGGGGTAGTTGTCGCCGACGGAGGCGCGGATGGAGCGGATAAAGTCGTGGCGGAGCGGGTTCATGAGGTGCAGGATGCGCGAGGGGCCGTGGGGGTCCCACCACGAGGAGGCGAGGGCGTTGAAATGTGAGACCTCGTCTGGTGAGACGGTCGTGAAAGTGCTGCTGCTGTCGCCATCGCTCGAGGTGTGCAGTGACCGTGGTGTTGAGGCTGGTGATGGCGATTGGTTTGCGTGAGGTCTAGAGGTGTGGATGGATCGAAAGACTCTGGCGCTTGGGAGGAGTGGCTGTCTGGGACAAGTTGAAGCTACCAAGAACCCTCGAGGGCTTCGGCAGACGGCTGCAGACGCTATCCTTGGCGGCATAGTCGCGAACTACGGACGCCGGTGGCAGGGTTGTGCGTCACGAAGATGCGAATGTCCACCGAAAGTGCATGGTCAACAACCTGACAACCTGAGCTTCAGTGGCATGTCGTTAGCCGATAAGCGTGGACAGCTCTGATAAGCAACATTTCAGTGGGGCCTCGGTGCTCTCATGGTCCTGCAAGGATCCCGGCCTGCGCGAGCGCCGACCTCGGAAGATGCGGAAGCTGCTGTAGCCAAGAACGTGGATGGAATCCAGCCATGTGGTGTTCAAGAGAAGATCAGCGAGTACTGACTTCGATTATGGTCATATCGTACAAGGCAGGGTCATGGTTGACCGCCAGACGTGGTGCCGAGGACATAGGCGTTCAACGGATGCTGAGCCGGTTCCTGCAGGAGACCCTGGATTGTGCCGGCTGTCTCGAGCGACAAACCGCCTATGCCGGCGACCGGCCCAATGATTGCTGCACGCACCTGCACTCCCAACTTCCACACGTCTCTCTGCAAGTGATAGATGCACTGAGATCAGAGAGGAGACAGAGACGATCCGGGGGGTCACGCAAGGACCCTTTCAGAGGCCACGTGAGCTGGCGTCACTGTTGATGGTCTAGATCCGAGTTGGCAGCCGAGGGTTCGGCCCAGGGCCCGGGGCAGCCGGAGCCTGGCAGCGCTTGCTCGCTGTGCTGTGTCAGCACCCGGCCCGCGCTGCTCACATGCTTAGCAACAACCGGTGACCCCACCACTCGGCGCCCGCGCCTTCCCACGATTTCCTCGACTTTCTTTCCTTCCAGCCCGCCCGCCGCCACCTGTTCACGATCCTCTCCCTCATCCACACCACAACCCCCTCGACCTCTCTTAGTCTGGCCGTCATCCCAGCGACCTCTGCTCGACCTCGCTTCTACTTCTCTTCTCCCAGCACCATCCTCCAACCTCTTTGCCTCCCTGCCCCAAGCACCTTCCCGGCTCCAACATCCGATAGTGTCACCGCACTTCGTCGACAGCCTCACGCGAGCGGTCTGCATAACGCAGCCTCGCATGCACTGAAAACCTTTCGACCGACGCTCCTGCCGCCGCCCAACGCCCAATTGGTACCCAATTGAGAGGCACGAGCATCATTGCTACCACTTACTCGCCCAAGATGCCGTCATCCACCATCGACCACAGTCAATTCGACTCCATTCCGGACACCGTCGCCGCCTTCAGTATGTGCTGCCTCGGCGCCTCAACGAAATATGATGCACTTGTGTATACTTGGTAGCATGGCTAACCTACTTTCTTGCGCTCCACAGAGAATGGCGAGTTCATTGTCGTCCTTGACGACGCAGACCGCGAGAACGAAGGCGATCTCATCATCGCCGCCGACTCCGTCACCACCGAACAAATGGCCTTCATGATCCGTCACTCCTCAGGCCTGATCTGCGCGCCCATCACCCCGCAGCTCACCGAGCACTTAGCCCTCCCGCAGATGGTCAGCAAGAACCAGGACTCCCGCACCACTGCATACACCATCTCCGTCGACGCCGCCGATTCTTCCGTCACCACCGGAATCAGCGCCCACGATCGCGCCCTCACAGTGCGCCTGCTCGCCGATCCCAAGAGCACTGTCGAGACCTTTGTCCGTCCAGGTCATGTCTTTCCGCTGCGCGCACGGCCGGGTGGTGTCAGGGTCCGCCGGGGTCACACGGAGGCGGCGGTTGATTTTTGCCGCCTCGCTGGGAAGCCCGAGGCCGCTGCCATCTCCGAGCTCGTCGAGGACGGAGAGGTGGTCGAGGGCCAGGCGCTGCACAAGGAGCCGGGCATGATGCGTGCCCCTGCATGCATCGCGTTCGCTCGCAGGTGGGGACTCAAGGTGTGCACCATCGAAGATCTGGTCAAGCACATCGAGAAGGTCGAGGGCCCGTATCAGGCCCAGGCCAATGGCGGAAGCTCGTAGATGGAATAATCTCGCTCTTTTCAGGTCGAGGCGATCGGTTACAGAAAAACGGGGACTCCCCTGTCTCCTCATATAGCTATTCGCGGACTTCTCTGCTGCCGGTCATCAAGATCGGACGGTGTGAAGGACACCGCACTGTCACTACCTCCTCATTTCCCAACACGCAAGATCTGGCAATCAACCAGAGCTACAGTGATCTGCTTCCTGAGTATCAGGTGCACCCGCCCTTGGCTGCATGCCTGCGGCTATCGGTGGAGCTCAGGGATTCCATCACACTCGCTACGTTCAACTCGAATACATTCATTTCCATTGCGTGGCGAGCTTTCGTCTCTTTACATGTGACTCGTATCTGATCTCTGAACCAGTATTTGCTACGTTCCGTAATGATGCTGTGGCGCTGCTGAGCGGAATCGCCCACCTAGATATTCAACTTCCCCAGTGGTGCGATTGGTCAATGGACAAATTTGCTCTTGCTGTCCTTGATGTTGAGAAATGTGTACTGTCGAGTCCACATGTCAGCTGTTTGATATCTTTTCGTAGGTGATCGGTAGCTTGGCATCAGGCGTCAATACTCACCTCTGCATATCTCGGGAAGGAGTCGTACAGCGGCATTGTCGACACCAGCAGGTTGGGCTCGGTCCAGGTCGCCCGGAACCCGGCGCCTTCGAGTTCCTCCCACCAGCTCATGAACGCGGGCGTATCGGCAAAACGGCCAGGGTCAAGATGGATTTCGACAATGAGCTGTGCGATGGGGACCTCGCCGAGCCCGTCGTCCTCGAGGACGCTCAGGGGGGGATCTCCCGCCTCAGGACCCCCTCCTCCTCCCTGCGCGATGCTGGTCCCGGGGGGCCTGCGGAAAGCGTCGATGATGCTGCGCATCGCATCGAACTCGTAACCCTCAATGTCCATCTTGAGAATGTCGACGTGGTCGTGGCTGTTGCGCCTAAGGAGGTCCTGGATCGAGTAGAAGGGCGGGCTCCTCTGGTCGTCCGTGACGCCCGCGATGCCCGCCTTGATGAAGTGGGCGCGGTGCACGTATTCCGCGGACCGGTTGAGCTGCGGCCCAAAGTCGTCGACGCTGAAGTCGTAGCCCCAGATCTCGCACCCCTGTGCGCGCGCCAGCAGGCCGTCCTCGAGCGACGACTCGTTGAAGATGCCGAACGAGTAGATGACGCAGGGGCTGGGCTCGTCGCGGCTCTTCCGGGCCGGGAGGGCCTCGAGGACCTCGAGGCCACAGATCCATTTGCCGCCGTCGCCCAGGCGGCCGACACGCTGAACCGAGTGCGGGCAGTTGAAGGCCGCGGTGGTCCAGTCCCAGATGGTGAAAGGGGTATTTCGATAGCCCAAGCCCCCGACGCAAGGAAACCTGTTTATGGTGAGCATCACAAAAGTTCACGAGAATCTGGGAACCAAAGCATGACCTTGGCAATGTCTGCGGCAGAGACTTTGGAAAGGACCCCAATGATAAAGGGGGACGAAAGGGGGGGGAAGGGGTTACTCACAAGTCCTTGTTCGATCCGCTCCTCTCAAAGTCGTCATCTAGCTCTTGCCGCTGGGCCACCATGGTCTGGTAGATCCTCTCGCTGCGCTCAACATGGTCGCGGACCCAGGCTCGCCCGAGGGTGCCGCTGCTACTTGACCACGGCCAGAGCTTGCTGATGTGCTCTTGGCCCTTGACGACCTTGTGCACGAGCAAGAGCTGCTCCGAGGCGGTGTTGCTGGTGCCCGAGTGGACTGTGGCGAACAGCAGAATCGTCGTCGCGGCGGCGGCCGCAAAGAGGATCTGCAGTGACCACTTGGAGTTGAACATTGCTCAGCGACCTCCCTTGGGCGTTGAACATGGCTTTCTGCTCTGTCTGGATCTGAGCCCGAAACCAACTTCTTTCTCTCAAAGTATCCCGACCCGTTACTCCCGGGGAATGAGAGAGAGATGTGCACACCGGTTGCGCATACTCTCCAAGACTTTCCGTCGCGAAATGCAGGATACGGATGTCTCAGGCAGGGCGCGCTACCAAGGAGGGGGGGGGGGATGGTGTCTCACACACTCGTGCGGACTGGCATGTCCTTGGTTCAGCCACGATAATTCAGCTGGGCAGGAAACGCACGCTCTCAGACCAGCCCAAGGCATCGGTCGGCGAAAGGAGACTTATAAATCAAACCACACTGAGACTCCCTCAGTCTCGCGTTAAGGGACACGCTGCGCCACGCGGGAGATGTGGCTTCTGAACAAAGGGCAAGCTAGTTTGCCGCCAGGGACCGTCTCGGATGCCACAAGAGTTTACAAGCTGTCTCAAATCATAGACCCTGGCGCACAATACTTTGTGACCTGTTTGTACAACGCGACGAATATGGCATTCTTGCCTTTTTGGACGCCCATCCCTATTCGAATCCGATATCAATGACTGTGATGATCGTGCCCGTGCCCATCGCCATGATCATGCCCGTGCTCCCTCGGGTCCAGCCAATCCTCGAACCCGTCCTCAAAGAGCTCGACGAGTCGCGCCTCCCTCTTGTCCTCGTCTCTGATCCGCATCGCCTTCTCCCATTTACGAAACTCGGAGTCTTTCAGCAGGCAGTTGTCCAGCGCGCGGCGGATCCGCGCCTCGCCACCGTCGCGCATCTGCTGCCCGATGAAGACGAGCTCCTGTCGGCGGTCGCCCCAGGGGTCCTGGAAGTCCTTGAGGATAGCCTCGCGCGTGGCTGGGTGGGTTGGGAGCTCCGACTCGGGCAGCTCGCACCGCCAGAGGTCGCCGGCCGTGATGGTCAGCATGACTCCTGCTTGAGACCACTCGCCAAACTTGTGCGATGCGTCTACACGTTAGCAAATGATTACCAAAGTTTCCTCCTAATCAGCAGTACGAATGAAGCAAAGATGGGCATAAAGTTCTCACCATTTTCGGCCTTGTCGCCAACCACAAGAAGCCCTTCGATCTCAGCAACGGCCCGAAGGTGCGATCCTGCATCTTGGCAGCGAGGCGTTTCCGAGGATCAAGCTGAGGTTGCTCATCATCCACGTCCATTTCTTCATCTTCATCTTCCTCCTCCCACTCATCATCATCATTGTCAACCTTGTTCTTGTCATCGTCACCATCCTCATCCATCTCGTCAGGCTGATACTCCTCCTGGATAATCACAAACACATTCTTGATTGTCTCCCACAACCGCTCGGGGTGGAATGGCCTGCGGGCACGGTACACAAACGTGCCGATGCCGTACTCTTCGGTTTCAGGCACCAGGTCCTCGCCCTCGGTGAGACTCTTGAGCCAACCAGCGCTCAGCACGGCCTTCTCGTAGCTGAAAAGCCGCGTGTCGAGGATCTCCTTGGGATCGAGCCGGGACTTTACCGTCGCGAGGATCTTGGCCGTCGGGTTGAGTCGCTTGACCAGGCCACGGACGCTGTCGACTTCGCTTGTAGATACGAGGTCGCACTTGTTGATGACGATGACGTCGGCAAACTCGATCTGATCAGCTTGCAGCTCGCTGATGTTGCGGTCGTCTTCCTCGGGGACAACGCCGGAGTCCTGTGTTGGGCTGCCATCAGCGAGAGGGCCATCCGAGGCGGTGGCCTGCTTGTGCCGGTCTGCGAGGAAGTCGGCCGTGTTGAAATCGGTCATGCAGTTGACGGCGTCAATGACCGTCACGCAGGTGTCTAGACGAGCAATCCGGGAGAGACCGCCAGACTTGAGAATCTCGGCCAGATGCTGGTTTGCAGATGTGCCGACCTCTCCGCTGTGCTGCTGCGCCTCTGCCTCCAGGTCGTGGCCCGCAGCTATGTGCATCTCTGCAAACCTAGAAGCATTAGAAGTGAGGTCAGTCCTCCGTGGTAAGGTTGAGTTTACATTGGAGGCTCCTTGAGTCTTGAAAGCACGCGCCGGAGCTAAGTCATGGAGAAGGCGTTCCTAGTCATCTTGCTCAAAGTCCGGACGACCAGGACGATGACCAGCGGACGTTAGAGACACATGGAATAACTTACTCTTCCGAAAAGGTCTCGGCAACTTGCTGCGGTTCGCTCACTCCGGAGCTCTCAATAAGCAGATAATCGACAGCTCCTTGCTCTGCTAGCCGAGCCACCTCCTCGAGCAGATCTCCTCTAAGTGTGCAGCAGATGCATCCGTTCTGCATCGCAACCACTTCCTCTTGCTTGCGCGTGACGTCGTGGTTGCGAAGCAGCGCAGCGTCAATGTTGAGTGCACCGACGTCGTTGACGATGACTCCAACTCGCAGCCCGTGCGAGGAGGAAGTCAGAATGTGCTCGAGAAGCGTGGTCTTCCCTGCACCGAGAAACCCCGAGAGAAGGGTCACTGGCAGGCGCTTGTCTTCGGACCGGCTGGTGTTTCCCGTAGCTAGACCATTGCTCATGTCATGGTCAATGCTCGTGGCATCCGAGGAAGACTTGGTGGTTGTGGATGGCTCGGAGAACGACGATGTGGGAGAGCTGCTAACTAAACCAGGCGCCATTCTGAATGCTGGGTACGCGGAATGCCTGAAGAATCGATTGATTCAAAAATTGAAGAGGGATAATCCGGGTGCGGGCTAGTAGGGGTACTCGATTCCTTGCCAGCATTTATATAGGATCATTGCTTCACACGACACGACGGTACTGTCTGGATGTCGGCTCACGCGCGCACAATCGGCGAGCGAATCATAATTGCAGGATTGGAAACATTTTGGCATGATCGCTGTGTAAAACACCTTGAGGGCCACGGTGATGCAGCACGTTTGGGGATGGTGGCATTTCGCAGTCGTGAGAACCCGTTTGGCCATGGACCCTGCCTTCATTACACCCTAAGCTAGCCGGTCGACTTTGGCTAACGATGGTGTGGACAGCGACATCCGACTACCCACAATCTACTCAATTCTTGCCGTTTGTCCTCGTTTGCGTGTGGCCTTACGATCAAGTGATCAGCGTGCTGAACTCCGGTGCACGCAGGCTGTGGGGATCTTCTCAACCACTGGGTCGGTCACTGGACCGCATCCACGGGGCATTCTTTGACGAAGGCATACCGCCACGATCTACCTGTCCGGCATTTGATGGTGGTGGAGGCCGGGCGGCGGGATGCGAAGGGCCCCAGGCAACCCTTGCTCCGGGCGGCGGCGGCGGAGGCATGCTCGTGCTGCCACCGTCTGCCCATGGTGCTGCCATACCAGCGCCGCCCACCATAGGCGAGGGCGGCATCATGGAGCCTTGAGTGGAAGGCTGGTTCGCCATATGCATAGATTGCTGAGGAGGCGGCGCGCTGGGGTCTATGTCCCATGAGAATAGCGATCCAAAAGGGAAATGCTGAACCACAGGGAACTTGGACAGAACCTCAGCGTTGAACATTTTGACCATCCCCTGCGTCAAAGTGATTAGCTCTCAGAACCGTGCTGGCTGTTTGTCTTTTCGTACCTTGTTGATCTTGCCCCATCCATCTTTGATGCCGGACACGTCGAACAGGATTGGGCTGTGCTCCCAAAAGGGCCCCTTCTTGACGTCGTTGATGAAGCCGACTGCTGAGAAGTACATGTTTCGTTTTCTCTCCTCTTCCACATACTCGGGCTTGACAATGAAGCTTGGCTTGGTGGCTCGGACGAGTGATCCCTCGAGCGGCATGGGCTCATCTTCGGCGATGGCTCGAGTCAACTGTGCTGAGCCGAATATGTATGGGATGAATGAGTGGTCGTCGAGGCCCCAGACGCCGTGGGAGCCTGCCGGCTCGAGAGTGTAGGTAAGGACTAGTCGCCGCACTACTCTGAGATATGGCTCTATCACACCAAGGACGATATTGCGCTCGATGTCGCCGTTCTGCCTGCCGTCCTCGAAATAGCCAAGCTTCCAAAGACCACCCAGGAACGCAAAGAAGCTCAGCTCATGGCCAGTCCCGTAGTCAAGACGCTGCGCGCTGCCGAAGCCACCGAGAAGGTATGCCGACAACTCAGCAACTGCGGGAGGTTGAGAACCAGAGTCGGATGTACCGTACGCTTGCAGCTGTTCGGGGAGTATTCCGCGCAATAGTTCTGCATGATGCTCTTCGAGAAGGCCATACCATTTGCGGAAGCTGACATTGCCGAAGCGGCGAGGTCCCTGATCTGGAGGAGCTTGGTCGATGAACGAGTTTATCTTTTCCAGCATGGCCTGAAGGCGGCGCACCGACTGTGCTGGGTCTTTTTCATAGTCTGATCCAATCTGGAAAGTCGTGAATTTGTCTTTGCCGTCAGGTCCTGTTGATTTGCGTGGACACATGGCGCGATTGAGTTGCATCAGAAACAGGCCGATGTCGCGATAGGCCTTTGACACCAGAAAGCGAGCCACGTCTGAGCCCTCATTGATGCATTTCCTTGGCGTCACGAAGGTGTGTGGCTGTGACAGCTCCCATACTTCAAGCTTGGGAGGCGGGGCACCCGCGCTCGCGGGGTTTGCCTGAGCCGCCATGATCCTAAATGCACAAGCCAGACGCCGGACGGATATGCTCTGGTATGGGCGAGAACGAGGAGATTGTTAAACTCGTGGGCCTGGGGGATCGAGTTTGCTGAGCAGCACGTGCCTGTCAGATTCGTGGATGCGAAGGGCCACCTGGGCGCCCGTGTCGAGTTTCATGCAAGCGTGGCAGGTGTCAGTATCCTAGGGTACGTCACTGCTGAAGTCTCAGGGTCCGTGGTGGGGGCTCTCCAGAGTCCCACCCATTTGGCTAGTGCCGGGTAGACTTTGACCCTGGCATGCGCCCAGGTGGGTGCCCAGGCGCGCAGGGGTGGCCCGTTTGTATCACCCCTCCGACCTCGCGCGCTGTTTACTTAGGACCAAACATTCTCGCGCCTACACGACCTTTGCCCAACACTTTGCCGCGTCCATATCGAAACTGGTCGCTGACCCACCTGTTCGCCACCTCCAGCGCATTCATCTCCACGACCTACAAGTTCACCGCAATGTCAACGCACTGTATCGCTTGACGGGCGAACTTGGCACTCTGCACCTACCATGGCCAGCCTACGCAGCGGGCTGAGATCGACAGGCACCCACAGACAAAGCCCTTCAGAAACACTTGAAACACTACCCACAACAGCGGCCGACAGCGGCAGCGAAGACAATGATGAAGACGACGACGACGATGATGATGGGATTCCGAACGCGCCTTTTCGACCTTCCTCGTCACGGGGCAGCGATCCTGATCAAACGACCGTTTCACTTGGTCGCCCTCCGGCGAAGTCCCTCGCAACAAAAAGCCTGCGGCTCCCGCGACCGGCCACTAGAAGATCAGTGTCGCGCATTGATGAGCAAACCAATGTCGTCCAGGAAAAGCCTCAGAAAAGGCGGAAAACCATACACGATCCTTACAGCTTTCCGAGTTCGCCACCGCCACATCAGGAAGATGGAGTAGGGCCCGGAAGATATGGCCCTGTCAATCTATCCACGACACGACAACTTATGAAAGACAACGACGATGATGACGACGACGACGACGACGCAGACCCCCCACCAGGATTACTTGGCAAAATGACGGCTGCTTTTATCCACGCCAAAGATGCTGGAGCAACCGAGTTTGACACCGCTGGAGAAGCAAACAGATCAGCGGACGTCGCTGCAGACGAGCCTGTACTGAGCCCTGATCGGGACATTGAAGGCCCTGCCCTGAATGATGCTCTCGAGGCTGAACACGCGCCATCTAGCGAGGAAGAACTCTCAGAGAGTCTGTTTGTGCAGCAGGAGAGTGGCTACGACGTGGAAGAGTTCGACGGACCTGCTGATGGTGAAATAGCCTACCGTGAAGTCGACGTGGAGGTGAAGCGCGTTACGGCTGCCAGTGTGGGAGTCCTGGAAGGCGAGCATTCGGATTATCAAAGCTCCGATTTAGGCGCGCAAAATGCAGACGACGCAGACTTTGGCATTCAAGATGGCTCTGAAAAGAGCCCCTCAATCAGTGAAGCGGCACATGGGACTAAAGACGTCGACGACCTCGAGTCACTTGCCTTGGACGGCATCGACGAGGACGAGGACCACGGCGCCACATCCGATTCCCAGCTCGACATAGACGCTCTTTTTCAGCGGGACGTTGCAAGCTTTGCGAAGCATTACGACAGCGACCGGAATTACCTCGTCACCTTCCACGCACTCCCAGAAGACTGGTGCAACACCGTGAGGATACGCTACGAAGATTTCCGCACGTGCATATTGCTTATGAAGGGGGATTCCTGGACCGGACATGGGCGGATTTATTGGGTATCCCGGCCCTTGTCAAGCTTGGAGCCCACGACGACCCCTGGCAGAGCCCTCTACTCTGTGATTGGGAAGCTTGAGCGATTATGCAGTGTCGTCCCAAAGGCGCCTCAAGTGACAAGCCAAACCAAATTTCTCCAGGAGCACCAAACCATGCTCAGTCATTATCTATCCCAAATCCAGCTCATTTGCCAGCATATCACGCAGCAGAGACTGCGTAGAGCTCAGCATGAGGGATCAAAAGAAACGCGGCATGTTGGCCGCAAGAGAAACGAGATGCTCGTCGACACCATGAGACATATTATTCCTATGCTGCTTCATTGCGCAAACTCGATCTGGAGTCTAGCAGGGAAGGACGATCACAACACGTTTACCAAGTGCACAATCGACCTCTTCGAGCATGTGCTGTTTTGTGTTAAACAGCTATGCGAAGCAGTTGTGAGAGTCCTTGTGAAACTGGCTGGACACGGCGAGCCTCCTTCGAGCAAGGGTGCAAGCCAACCCGATGAGCGGACTGAGCAGGCTAAGACCCTTGCTTTCAAGCTTGTACTGGCTATCAACGAAATCAGAAGAGCTCGCGATGCTTTAGCTGAGGAGGGCGTGAAACAACAACTGCGGCAGGAGAAGCAAGCAGTGCTCATGCAGCAAATGAAGAAGAACCAAGAGGCCACAAGGCTGCAACTTGAACAGTTGAGGGCTCGACGCATCGCCCGCAGCAGCCAGCAGGCTTCTCAAGCTTCGATGACGACCAGTCGGAGTGGGCCCAGCACAGGTCGGAATACAACTCGTCAAACGAACGACCCGAACCAGCGGACAGTGCTCAGTTCACAGTCCAGGCCTCGAGAAGTGCCATCGGGCCGAGGGGCCGACAGTCGAGTCCAAACTGCCGAGTCACGATCAATCAGCCACCGGTTTCGCAAATGGAACCGAGAAGAGCAAGCTTTCCTCCTCAGCAAAATACAGGACGCTTATGTTGCAGTCGAGGGAGTGCCACAGCTTCCAGACATTGATGGGGTCATCCGCAGAGAGCTTAACAGGCCGGTGAAGGATATCCTGCATCAGACAGAAGTGCTCCTAACACTCATGCTGCGGAAGACTGGCCAAATTGAGGACGACGCAGAGCGACAGTCATGGGTAAAGCGGCTCATGAGCACGTATGACGGGGTGGGACTCGACTAGAGCGTGGAACATTACAGTCCTGGCTTTGGATTTGAAGCACAGTGTTTTGAGAATGCACACTCGTGGTCACAAGGGGGCGTGATGGCATTACATAATGATAGATTTAGGAGTTTGTTCTGATGTCCAGCACATCGGCTGGATGGTTGGTAGTACTAAGATACCCCGCTTGTTCTCGATTCCTTCAGCTTGCGACCAGAGTGGCGGCACTGCCTTTATGCCAAGTCAGCCAACGATCATGCAGTACCGATAATGACGCCAATGACTACGACATGGTTATCCCAAGACGGACGAACCACGTCAATTTTCCAGGCCAAGCCCTGGGCTCACCCTTTTCTGTGGGAAACGGGGCTCCCCCAGCAGAGTCGAGACGGGGTGCGAGCCGGACGACGGGCGGGAAAGGGAAAAGCATCCTCTCCTGCAGATCGGCCTTCCGCGAGAGCAACCAGCGCCTGGTTTCCGGTCTTGAGAGTAATTACACCGTCCTCATCGCCGGCGTCCTCTGATGCGTGGGAGAATGACAGTGGTGAAGAAAAGTCCATGCCAAATGTGCGAACAGTTGGTGTTGCTGGCATCGGCCTTGCTTGCTTACTTGAGCCTATTCTCCAGCTTCTTTCGTCCCTGCTGTACTAGCTCCTTTGGCCGTTACGTGTCCTGAGGTGTCAACGACAGCCTGGCTGGCTGCTGAGGCCGACGCTGGTCGAAGTCTGGGTGGTCTGCAAAGCTACGTGTCGTCCGCTTCGAGAGGGAGAGGGTGGCCAACAAGAGGTGTCCGTGGCTGTCACAATGGGCCTTGGCTCTATTATCAGGGATGCGATGCGACGGAAGGCAAGGGGTTCGCGGGACCCGTGGGTGATCTGGCTGGGGTTCTAGGACTGCCACAACACTCCTACTCCTTTCTTGCCCGTCTTGAGAAAAGGATAGTTTTGGTCTTATCCGGCCGGGTACCCGCCGTCAGAGCGCCAGTCCGCTCTTAATAATGCTCACTCTGACGCGCCCCCGGATCCCTACGGGGTTTGTGGTTGTGGGTTTGTGTGGAGTCGAGGGGCGCCACCAAAGGTGGCGGCGGGCCCTTTGTGTCGCTAAAGGCGCCTTGGGGCGGCGGGAATATGGTTTTAGAGTCGCCGCGGCACCATCCGCGGGCGAGTCCGTGACAGGTGGCGACGGCTTTCCATGCATCTCAAAGAATGACAAGTCCCGAGCGGGTGAGGACGTCTTCTCCTGTCCCTGGGGAGCCATCAGGTGTACCAACCAAAGCGGCCGGCCAGACTGGCATTCAATATGCAGCGCTGCGAGGATTGTCTCTGGCACATTTATATCAGACGCATGCCGGGCCTACCTACACGCAAGGGCGCACGGAGGATCGGCGAGATATCAAACTCAGCCGTAAGACGAAATCGGCAACGCCTTGTCTCAGTGGCCCCTCGCCCCAGGGCGAAAGACAAATTCTATTCCCAGTTGGAACCGAGCATGTACGGGCCGCAACTGAGACAGGACGGCCCCCCTGTGTCCGCACAAAGGGAGATGTGGTGGAAATGAGCCATGGCGGGCGCGCCGGGCTCGCACAGCACGGCCGGAATCCAAGGGATGAGCAGGAAAGGAGCATGGCGTCGACCATTGTACAAGAGCCCCCCGGGCCCCCCGCGGAAAAGGCCGAGCAATGGTCAGGAAGGACTACGCAGAAGTCCATTTTCCTCGGTTGTCCGCAGCGTCTCAGTGCCAGAGCAAGCCGGCCAAAAAAAACGAAAGGCAGGAAATTCATCAACCCTTTTTTCACAAAGCAGCAAACAACCCCCCTTTGAGAAACCGCAATCATGTACAGCGGCCCCTCGTCGGCACGGGTGCCTCTCCTCATCTTCCTCGCAGCAGCACTGCTGTTGATCTTTGGGGCCCTCCACCAGACTGGCGCCGTTCCCGAATCTGTCAAGACAGCATGGGTCACCAAGTTCGCGCGCCAGCCGTCCTTCCTCGAGATTGCGACCAAGCACGGCACCGACAAAGTGACGGATCACCAGTACCAGTACATGTACGAGAAGCATCTGTCTCCGATACGGAACCAGAAGAAGCTCAAGATGCTTGAGATTGGGCTCGGGTGCAACATGGTAAGTCTGCGCCCCCCCCCCTCCCCACTACGTACCCGCCCTTGCATGTCACTCGGCGTTGACAGCACAAACCAGAACTATGGCCCAGGAGCGTCGTACTATACGTGGCTAGAATACTTTCCGCACGTCGATCTGTACTACCTCGAGTACGACGCGGCCTGCGCCCAGAAGTGGGGAGCAAAGACGAGCGGCGCAACCATCTACACTGGCGACCAGGCGGACCCGGACGTGCTGAGCGAGGTGATCAGCAAGAGCGGCGGCGAGTTCGACATCATTGTCGACGACGGCGGGCACACGATGAAGCAGCAGCAGACTTCGCTCGAGCACCTCTGGAAAGCCGTCAAGCCCGGGGGCATCTACTTCGTCGAGGACCTGCAGACGAGCTTCTGGACCCAGTACGGCGGCGACCCGACCGGCGGCAAGGACCCAAAGATCCCGACCATGCTCAAGTTCATCTACGAGATGATTGACGACCGGATGGCTCCCGACGGCGACAAGCACCTCGAGCTTACGGCCGACCTGCGCGGCGTCGAATGCCAGCGCGAGGTCTGCGCGTTCTTCAAGAAGGGCGGAGAGGACGAGCCTGGCTCAGTTTGATAGGGACTCGCGAGATCCATAGAGCTAGCAGGCCGGCCTATTGGTCAGTGTTTGGCCTCCTTCGCGAGCCAGGCGGGGTAAGATATAGACGTAGCGTGGTAGTCTACCGCTCCAATATATGGATTATTGTGCAAGAAGAATACTGTCCCTGGGATCGCCTGAGTCTGTAAACGGACTATCCGCGAGAAAAGAATACTGTACAAAAAAGGTGCTGAGGAGGTCGGTAGCGTTTGTCATCGGCCAAGATTTTGTCTCAATGGCAGAGTTCGTTTTTCTTTTTGGTCGTTTGCCCATCTCAAGGAGCCCTGGAGAGACGACTGTCCTAGAGTTGGCTGGCAGGAAAGCATATGCTTTGCCTGAGCCGTACTCGTCTGTCAGTGGCAGGACGCACTCATCCCAGACGGCATTTGACGGGAGATGACCGATCCCCCACTTGCACGCAGTTGCCGAAATTCTGGTCTGTAGGTAGGGTTCGTCGTCCGAAAGTCGCGGGCCGATGTGGTTGACTGTAGTCTAGCGTACGCACGCAAGTGCGGCGCAGTGAGCATGAGCCCGAGCATGCTCAATTGACGTCGGTGCCGCCAAAGCCAGGCAGCAGCTTTCAGGGTCCGCGCGGCTCAAACCGAGGCGAATGCGAGACTGGGACTGACTGACTGACTGACTGGCGTGCTGCAGACGGAGAGCTTATGGAGAGCGAGTGAACCCTGCTTCCCTCCGACCCCTGCTTGGCTGAATGCTTGGCTATTGCTTGTTTGTGCTTGGCTCTGGAGGGGTCTGGGGTCCTCTGTCTCCTCCAGGCTGCTGTTTTGCGCAGTGGCTGTGTTCAAGGCCCCCCCGGGGGCATGCATGCGTAGCGTATCTTAAGGTGCTTTGGTCCCGGCAGTCGAGCCGCCCCTCGGCTGATCGGCAACAGCCCAGGCCAGGCAAAGTGCCAGGATATGCGTCTTCGTTAGTGCTTACCGACATCTCGTGCAGGAAATGCAGACTAGCATACGCTAGGGTACCAAGGTACGTGATGGCAGCTGCCCAGCACAGCCTTCTTCTTCTTCTTTTCTGCTAGTGTCAGAGTACCGACATGACTGGTGAAATCAGAGCGCGAGCTCAAGCGCGAGCTCGACCAAAGTGCAAAAGTGCCCACAAGATGCCATCACAGGTTGCCTCCTGTGTGTGGGGTTGTCGGCTCTTCACAAAGATATTGACCTAAGAGCGTACTCATATATAGTGCTGTTGCCATCCGGCCTGTTGTACATCGGGCATTTCCCAATACTCATCCATCAGCCAGCAGCAGCTCAATATCATCCCAGTGTCACAAAGGCTCCGACCTCATCCGAGTAGTATACCACACACAGTCTTCTCGTCTTGCACCTCCCCGGCCTCGACAGCACAGCACACAATGTTCTTCCCCGAATACGACCTGGCCATAGCCGAGCTCGTCATCTACATCATCCTCCTCTTCGTCATCGGCTACGTCCTCCTCCGCCATGGTCGCCCAGGCTGGGACGCATGGGGCTTCCTGGCCGTCTTCTGCATTCTGCGCATCGTGGCTGCGGGCTACCAGCTGAGCGACCAGCAGGGCATCTCGACCACGGGCGCCATCATCAATGCAATTGGCGTCTCTGGCTTACTGCTCGGCTGCTCAGGTGTTGTTCTGGAATGGTGAGTCTGACTCCCCAGCACACGATCCCTCTCAAAAAAAGAGATTGATCTCCTATAAGCATGTCGTCGTGTTTACGGAGGCAATTCACCTCAACTACCGAACTAATCACTAATCTCAATATCTAGTGCCAACTGCAACCCGTCCAATAACCCAAAGATCACCCGCATGGTCGGTCTGATCTTCCACATCGCCGTGGTCGCCGGCATCGTCCTCGCCGCCATCGGCGCCTCCGACTCGGCCACGGCGCTCAGCAAGGGCCAGCCGCCGCCCTCGGACGCCAGGGCCAAGCAAGTCGGCGGCTACGTCCTGCTGCTCCTCGCCACCGCCTTCCTCACCCTGTACACCTTCTTCCAGCTCATCCGCCTGCGCACCGCCGACGCCGCCTACACTGATCACTCTGGCCACGGTGGTAGTGGCTCAGCAGTCGTGTTCGCCAAGCGGCTCCTATACTTTGTCGTCCTGGCCCTCCCCTTCATCATCGTCCGCGTGCTGTACGGCCTGGTCGCGGCCGCCAGCCAGGACCGCTCGCTCAGCCTGTTCTACGGTGACTTCGTCGTGCACCTGGTCCTCATCACCATCGTGCAGCTCATCGCCGTGCTGTTCCTCGTCGCCGGCGGGCTCTCGTCCATCGGCATGTACCAGGTCGCCCCGTCGCGGCCGTCGCGGAGACAGCAACAGCAGCAGCAGGAGCAGGAGCAGGAGCCAATGAGATATGGGCACGAGGATAACGGCCTGGAGATGGGCAGTTATGGATCATCGCCCATGCTGCGGCAACACAAGGGCGAGAGGCGGCCGAGGGACCAAGTTCGTGCGGACCGGCGCGAGCAGCGTGGTGCTCGTCGCGAGGAGAAACGAGCACGCCGTCACTGAGGGGGTCTCTCTCTGAGCGCATACGGTGGGAATACCGGGCTATGTGCACAGCCGCGGGATGTGGGGGTTTTCTGAATGTGTACGGTATCTCTCTGGAGGAGGTTGGGGGATATTTCATCGACTTGGGTCGTTATTATATGCCTATCGGTATCAAATGTGCAGTATAGATCTTGTTTTGGTAAATTTGTCTAGAATAGTCAGGGTTAACACAACCACACCCCGCTGTATCTCTCAGAGCTTTTCTGCTGATGAAGTTGAGGGTTTTAGAAGAAACATAGCTTATTGTGTAACTAGAATATGACAGGTGCGTTCTTGTCCCTGGTTAAAACACGATAAATACTCTTTGAGGGGCTGTAGTCCTAGACTGCTGTCAAGTCTTTTAGATTAGCTTCGTCAGCCGAGCAGCCCAGTGGCATAGCTATACACTTTGCCTCCTGCTCAACAAAATTCGTCATCTATACTGACGATGACCCAGAGCTTGTGAGACTGTGTCCTACCGGATCCTGAACGATGACATGCAGTGGTACTCGACTATCAATCATGTCATGCGAGTATTCTCCCTGTTTTATATTGTGATGCTCGTTTATAGGAGGAAGCGAGGTATGCTTGTCGCACGTCATGAAAAAGTCTTGGATGTACACTTAATCTCAATCGACCGAGCTCGACAGCTATACCCCCCACGTTTTGACACCCTCCAATAATCCCACAGCACCAGTAAGCGCCAGGTACGTACCCAACCCCCATGCCATCTCATCGCATCAAGGACCATGTCATCTTCTAGCATCTACCCGACCAAAAAAAGACGCGCTCGTTAGCAAAAGATACACATCACTGAGGAGCAAAAGAATCACTCAAGCAAGCAATGGCCTAGAAATGCACCATTTCTATTTCCACCTCTTCACCTCCCCGTCCAGAGAAGAAATCATGTACAGAACGTTCTGAATCACGTTCCACCCCAAGGTTCAAATAAAGTGACATGAAGAAGAGAAGAAGGACAAAAGAAGCAAGAATGACAGATATACAAGACACAAAAAAAGGCCATGTATACATATATATGTCTGAACTTACTCGTCCCAGATGACGCTGCTCAGGCCATCCTCGCCGCCGTAGGTGCCGCGCGGGGCAATGTTGATGTTGGCCACCAGGGGCCCGAGCTTGCCCGTCTTGGCGTCGCGCTTGACAATGGCGACGTTGGCGGTGGTCTGGCCGCCGATGGCGGCGTACGTGCCGGCGCTGTTGATGGAGAAGGAGCGCGGGTAGTAGCCGTAGGCGTTGGTGAGCTCCTGGAAGGTGAGCTTGCCGTCGGTGCTGCCGATCTTGAAGATGGCGATCGAGTCCTGCTCCTTGCCGAACGTCTGGTCGTTGCGGTTCGTCGCGTACAGGTAGTCGCCCGAGATGCGGATCTCGGCCGATTTCTCCGTCTCGAGGCCGGTCTTGCCGGGCCCGTAGTTGGACAGGGTCTGGACCAGCTTGAGCGACAGGCAGCCCGACGAGGAGCTCGGGTAGGTGACGTCATAGACGCCGACGGAGCTGCTGATCTCGTTGAGCGAGTAGTACTTGAGGGCGCCCGAGGCCGTCTTGCGGAAGAGGCCGTGGCGCGGGCCGTCGGCGGGCAGCGACGAGATGGCCGGGCAGGCGGTAAGCTTGCCCGAGCTGCGGTCGATCTTGAAGATGCGGGTCAGGTCGGCGCCGAGGTCCGGGACGACGAGGTACGCGCCGCTCGGGTCGGTGAAGGCGGCGTGCGGGTGCGGCTTGTCCTGGCGGTCCGGGCGGGGGCCGGGGGCGGCCATGGTGAAGGACAGGGTCTGGATGGGCTTGGACTGCGCGGTGATGGGCAGCTTGTAGGTCGTAATGGTCGAGGGAGAGCTGTGGCCGTCGTGTCAGTTCCAAGGTGTCAATCAATTGGGCAGCAGGACTGCTGCCGGCACTGCGTTGCTCCCGCGACTTACTACTCGGACGTCACGACAAAGCTCTTGCCGTCAGCGCCGCCGTACAGAGAGCCGTGGACGCTGTTGCCGGGGGTCGGCGCAGACGCGACCAGGGACAGGGAGCTGTCCGACTTGAGGGCGTACTGCGAGAGCACACCAGAGCCGTACCAGCTCTCGTCGAAGCAGTAGACGGTGCGCGCCGCCTTGTCGAGGTACAGCCACGTGGGGATCTGCCCGCAGCCGTTGGTCTGCGAGCTGATCTTGAGCGAGCTGGTGCTTGGGTTGAAGTCGAGCGTGTACAGCGGGCCCGAGAAGTGGGTGACGAGCAGCTTGGCACCGAGCACCTGCGAGAGCAGGCACAGGCCCATGAGGGCCGTCGTCTTGAACAGGGCAACCATGGCGGCGGGAGGCAGGCTTGGGATGGTGAGGAGGAGGATGGCGATGCTGCTACTCAAGAGCACCTCGACAGAAACACCTTGGCCGGATGGAGCAGCGAGCTGGTTATATACGCTCTATCTGCTGCGGCCTGTGCCTAGGATATATTGTTCTGGCCCCTCTGCGGACATTGACCGTCCGGCGGATCCGAATCCTGCCTCGTGGACCTGCATCCCGAACCCCTGCACCGTCCAATTTCTGCACCGGCCCAAGCGAGCAATCTATCTGGGGTAAATGGCGGGGACCACCAGCCTCGTCCCATGGGCCGTCAGCATTCAGTCCTTGGCGATGCGGGGGAAACAGGCACATAATCAAGGAACCGGGTTCCGGGGGTCCGTCCCGGCCCGGCGGGCCATCCTCCGTCACCGCTGCGAATATCCGGCACGCGGAGGGATAAAGTCGTGCCCTCCCCATCACGCACGCACGCAACGCCACCACCCGGCCACCCAGCCGCAGCGAATCGTGTCGCAATTGGGGCCCCAAGGCTATATAATAACCCCCGCTGAAGAACCCCCCCCCCCTTGGATGATTTGGACAGGGTCCCAGGAACAATCTAGATCTGCGATGGTGTCTTTACGAGGCGAGTGCATGCAGCCCGAGGTCCAGGCTGACTGGATAAACTCGAAGAAACCTGCAGGGGCACGATAATCCCGCCTGTCAGCACGCGGCAGAATGCTAAGCATCGTGCCATTATCCACCTCCTCGGCTTGTCCCGCGTGGGACGAGCTGAATTGCTGCTTTGGGCAACTCTGAATTGTGTCCTATAAATGGTGATGTCAGGTGACCCTCGAAAATGGTTCAAACCCTCGATCCTTGACAGTCGGGTTCCTCTGTGGAACTTGTTTGGTCGAGGCTCTCTTGTCCACGCCAGATGCGATCACGAGGGTCTCGAGTCTTGCCATGATGCGCGACATTGTCGTACAAAGGTATTACTAGGTCCCAGGCGGATCTGGGGCCCCCGATCATACGAATTGGCATCTCATGCAAGAATGGCGGTGTGAGGCCTACGAGGTGGCATGCCCCCCCAGTAAGGTCGAGAGACCCTTGTCGAGTTGACGATGAGATGTTGGCAAGTCACGTTAAGGGAAATCGAGGGTGAATTTCAATAGTATACATAGTCAGAGCGTTGCTCCAATTATCCGGGGATACCTGTCCGAGCACAACCTCCCAATTATAGCAGACCTCAGTCCGAACCAACCCCCAACCAGAAATCAAATCATCAACGACTGGCCGCTCTGCATATCCCAAAGATGCGAGCCTGAGAAGCTGGCTCGCCATGATGGACCAACTTGAATCCACAAGATATTCAAACAGCCGTCGTGTGCACGAGAGCATGACTTCGAGCACCCATTGATGACTGTATGACGACTATACTCTGGCGAGGTCATGCAATTGAAAATACGAGATAACAGAAATAGAAATAAAAACCTTGGCATCCATCATTGTTTATGCCCAGAATATCAGCAAGATCACAAGCGCTTTCGAGGAAAGTCTCTGAAGAAAGCATAGAACAGACTAATATCTGCAAGATTTTAGGATAGACCGCTGCTCGTTCCACGTAGGCAGCCCTTTTGCATACCAGACAGCCTAAGCATGCCGCCTCACTCCTCCGCTACCATTTGTATGACATGCATGAAATCTGGTCCTCGTATAAACCAAGCTATGCTGTCGGGCTTTGAAATTCATGCACCGAGAAAGGTTTATAGCTTATATGCTGGCAGGCAAGTCAGCGGACGTCTTGGAAACTTACCGTAGGACTTATCAGCCTGCTCGGGCCGGATTTGCAAGAGCACGACGCCAAGACGGTCACGGACAATGCCCGAAACAACACCGAGAATGTCATGATACATAAATGTCACGATCCTGCCAGGAGAGATAAGAGGTCGACGTACTGCCAGGAGGAAACCAAGACATCATTTGCAACCATACAATCGAACCCCGACCTTGCCATCGCCATGCCCGTTCCCCCATGGTGCTTGCCCGCACGCCTCTCACGATACTGCTGCCCGCCCCCAAGAGAGGAACCCAATCCCTCAAGTCGCTAGCAAAAGTCTGATTTTCAAAAGGGAAACCAAAAACATCATCCATTTGCCTTCCTGATCGAAAAATAAATAGCATGAACGCATGATTCTCCGCCTAATGCTGTCATCTAAAAGACCCCATGTCATTCAGTGCACCTGCAGGCCGTGCGTGCGGCCAGCCCGTTCCGTTTTTCTTTTTTTCCGTTTTTTTTTTTTTTTTTTTTTGGCCAGAGTTGGACTACACACTCCTGTTGGTGATTCATCATGATTACTCAACAGGAGAGGCCGCCCATCCAGGAGCAAACATTCATGGAAACCCCGGGTGGTGGTCGCCGTTCAGTGGCGACGCGGGCGCAAGTGCGAGCAAGATGAGACGCATCTTGCTCACAAGTGACACATCCCTTCGATCCGTCAAGAGGGCAATCTAGCCCCCCGCCCCCCCTGTCGAGAGTGGCTCCCAACTGCGTCGTGTCCTACCACTCAATGCACGACGACCCCTGAGAATGTCATCACCAGCGGGGCACAACTTTTGTCGCAACGTTTACTAAATCTTTCGGCTCCGAAGCCTGAGACCGGGCGACCAGGCTTCTGGTACCTGCATATGCAAAGGAATTCATTCCGGGAAAAGGGGGGCGGCAGGGGAGGGCTCCGAGGGCACGCATCCTTGCGGACGCGCGTGCGGGAACACAGAGACGCTGCGCGAGACAAAAAAGAAAGAAAAGACCGCTCCTCGCCACCGTGAAGCGGTTTGGAACCGCACGGAACCAACTTCTCATCAGGGCAGCTACGTCCAGTAGTTGTCGTCCGATCCGGGTGACCAGGAGTGTTTTGTGGAGGACACGCGTCCCCAGGGCATGCTGCCTTCTTTCACGGCGATGCAGGCAGCCCTCGAAGAATACGGGTGCTGAGACATGCACGGTAGGCACATGGCCAACAGTCTGCTACAAGACACTAATAGGCCCGGCCAGCCGGATTTATGTCTGGGATGTGGCACGCGTGCTCCCCAAGGGAAGGGGGTGTGATGCTAGTTGCTGGCGTTCATCTCAGAACGACTGCTGGCACTTGCTTTTCTTTCGGCGATTCCGCACGTGCGATTTCTACTTTCAGCTTCGAGATCTGAGACATTCCAAGCTCACCCGTCTGGCTCGTCCAGACCCTCTTCCCCCACGAGCACGGGTACGGACCTGCGATCTACCAATCGCCATGTAGCCGACGATCGCCTCGATTTGTTACGACATAACCAGCCGCCAGTAACGAGTGCTTTGCCGGAAGCTAGCCAGATATGGAACCATCGGCTCTGACAAGAAACCAGATGTCAAATAAGGCTTTGGAGTGCAGGTTTGGCGATTGGCCTCGGCGGAATCACGTCAACCAGGAGGTGTCCTTGGCAGTGAATCAAAGTCATCCTGCGGCGCCAGCATGGGAGTCATGTATGGGCATACTTTGCCCATTATTGCCCAGCGCCTGCTGTGTGATGTCGCGCAACTCGGTGATTCGAGCTCACTTCGGCGTGAGCTGAACAAAGTCGCAACTTCGTGACAATTTTGCTCGGCGAGGCGGCGTGGGCCATGTTGTCAGGTTCGTGCAAATGCCTGCACCAGCCATGGCAGACTTGGGCTCCAACGAGCCAGCTTGGTTGACACGGAAATCAACTTTCAATGTTACGAGACTGGAGCGCTTGGACGCGCCAAATGAATCCTTAGTGGCAAAAAATGGTGATTGGCATGTCGATCTCCTAGCCTGTGGAAGCCACTCGTCCCAAGTCCACTGCCTTCTGCCGCCAAAGCATATTCCATGGCCGTTGCAGGCCTTCCGTTGGCTTCCAATCGAGTGGGTGACCATGAAACGGCTATGCCGTCATGGATCACTCGCCTGTGACAAGCCCCGGTTGTGCGTCAACTCAAAGTAGGTGGTAGTGTCTGCAGCTCGAGGTTGGTCCTTATTGAAGGCATCGTTCAGGGATTGGGGCCACGCGGTCGTCGGCCTTCCCGTAGGTCGTCAAATAGCGCAAGGAGAGCATCAACCTTAGGCCAACCCTGGTGAACAAAGCGGCCCTGGAAAATCAGTGTCGGAACTGACGCAGGCTTTTCCGCATTTGGTCGTGCTTGCTGGAGACGTGTTCGTGCCTCAATGGAAAGAACCTCGACCAAGCGTGCCCACTCTTCGCTGCCGAGACATGCTCGGATCTCAGCCTCGGAGAACCCGAGGACACGAACTGCAATGTCCACAAGTGTGGACTGGTTGGAGATGTCCAGATTGTGCTCGAAATAGCCGCGACAGAAAGCTAGGGCAAGCGACAGCTGGAGGTTGGGCCCTCGAGATTGGGGCAGCATCGCTGGGGCCGGCATGACGAACGGAGACGATGAGACAAGCGTCTGAAATTCATTGTCCTTGTCAGACGGCGTCTGATTTCCGTGAAGCGCAGCCCTTGGAATCGTGGGTGATGGGGCTGGAGATGCTTCTGCTGCAAGCTTGGCGGCACTCGACCCCTTGGCTCGGGCTAGAACTTCTTTGTCGAGTCTGAGCGTGTGTTCGTTTGGACGTGACTGGTGTTTCGTGAGTCCAATGCTGGGAACATAGGACGGGGATGCTTCAAGTGCCAGGCGGAGTAGCATGTGTGACCCACGGCTGGATCCAGCACCATGAGGCCACCAGAATGGATGCCCAACTACATTGCCAAGTTAGCCTTGTTCCGTCTCCAAGATGCTTGCTTCCGTGCATTGGCTCATCTCTACTGCGCTCAAAAATACATGCCTTTGTCGTACACTACGCAGTGACAGTCGTTAGCAGTGAACTGGTTTGCAAGGGCAGGAATGAACTCACCAGGCTTGTAAAGCGACGGTTCCAGTATCAATGGGGTGAAAACAACCTCGAAGTCAACATCGGGATACCGGCTCCCGTATATGGTGATCGCATTCTCGAGATGGCGCAGCCCGACGTAGCAATGCGGGCAGATCGTGTCGAAGATGTACTCGATTGTCAAATACGTTATTGGAGTTGAAGATGCGCTCGCGCTTGGTAGGGGAGTTGCGGCAGAGCCTGGACTGGAGAATGGCGACTCGTCAATAGGATGCAGCAAGTCGCGAAGGCTGGACATCGTGCCTGAAACTTCGAGGGTCTGGGCCGGCTGACTAGGCAGCACGGCCAGGCGATCCAGCAGGCTCCGGCGCACGCCTTGGAACGGCTTGCTGAGAGGTGATAGACAGCCAGTCGAGGTGCCACAAAGGACCAAACAACTGTCCTGACGAGACTAGAACTCGAATGATTCGCTTCCAGGGGTTGTCTGCACGACGTATCAATGCTGATCGAAGCCGCGGGACTCTCCGCCTGTGCTGCTGTGCCCACCTGCAAGGGCGGATCTGGAACCTTCTATGCCACCAGTCCTTGGACACAACCACGGGACGGCGAAGCGTGATTGCGTACGGCGGATGTACGATGTACGTCTGCAAGTTCGGAAAGAGTTGAACCGATGTTGTTGGCGAGGAAAGGCAACGAGTGGCTGACTTGAATCGACTGTCTGTGATAGTCAGAGGAGAATGAACATTCCAGTCGACAGGCTAATGTCAAAGTTGGCGTCCCATCCCCGGGAGGAATATCATGAGCTCATAGACGTGTCCGCAGGGAGCCTTCGACTTGCTGCCGCTCAGATCCAACCAGCTGACTTCATTTCACAGGCATGAATAGCCTAGGACCGTGGGGTGGGCAGAATCCGTGCACAGGTCTCGCGCGTCAGTCGTAGATCAATGGCGTAAGACGAATGCAAAAGCAAGTACTTCGCTAATAAATCGAGCGGATTAGGTGGGATCGTATGTGAACGGCTGACGATGCTAAGCACCCCTGATCAAGACAAGGTATCGGATCAGGGGAGGGCTGCAGCATCATAGAGGCCCAAAGAAGGAAGAGGGGTTCAGGCTCATTGTTGGCTTGTTCCGGGCCATTGTGATTTTCGAGGAGGGAAACCCCTAGGAGGGAGACCCCTGGGTGGAGAGCTTGACTTGACACCGCTCATGCCGGCCCAACGAGTTGGTTCAGCCTACCAGCAGGCGCGGGAGTAGATCTGTTGCCCGCCATCATGCAAGGATTCCTTGACGAACTGCTCGGAAAGCGCCATGGCGGGTGGACTTGCCGTGGGAAGGGCCGGACAAGGGGCCTCTCGAGGGTTCCTGATCGCCCCATCTCTGCAGCTCATCCGCAAGGTTTGCCATGCGCCTAACGTACATGTCCAATAGAGACGCCCCGGAATTCCAGCCGAGCCATTGGTCCGCTGTGGACACTAGTCAGACATGTCAGCTCCAGACTGCTTGTACAGCGGCCCAGGAGTCCAAGACACACAGGCACATTGTGGCGGCGGAGCTGCCGAGCGTCCAGCCCAGAAAGCAGGTCGACTTGTTTAAGCTCATCGTGACCACCTAGCCTCTGGTGGCAGGTCTTGCATAACTTATTGCTGCGCACGTCCACGGCCCGCCATGCGTGACAGACGGCCATGGAGCGGAGCCCGAATTGGTTGTGCTCTCATGCCTTGGTGATACCTTGTTCTGCCGTGGCGGCAGCGACTCGTCATGGTGGCCGATTACGAACAAAATATGAAAGAAAATAAAAGATCCCCGCTGTGCCCATATGGCAAAGTGAGCTCTAGCCCCTGGAGGCACATGGCACAAGCTTTGCGGCACCGAAGCCTCTGCTAGGGTCGCTTGTCTCATGCAGGAGAAGCGACCTTACAAGCTGGCTTTTGACGCTCTACTGAGGCGAGCGCTTCAGCCGCAGAGTGGTAGGCCAATGCACTGGCGATATTCTGATTAGATGATGTTGCCCGGGGCAGATCTCGGCCGATGCAGCCACATGATCGGACTCATGGTCGACCATTGGGACGGGAGCCCTCAGGATGCCGATGGGGGAAGATGGCCAGACTCTGACTGACGATGGAAGGCTAGTCTGACCGAGGGAATAAGCGGCGAGGCGGTTGCCAATGAGGGCCATGTTTTTGCCAGGGGATCGAGTCCCGGCAGAGCCCGCGGGCCTGGGCCGGCCGGTGGTGCCTGGCGCGCTGTGTGTTCCATGGCCTGTCAGGTCAAAGTGCCAACCAGGTGCATCATCTTGCGTGGTTGGGGTGCTTCTCTGGCTACCTCGATCGACCCACTCGCCGGGCCTGGCCACGCGGCGGGCGGGCTCGTGGAGAGTAATCATGGAAGCGTGCAAGGGGCTTGCTGTGCGTCGCAACCTGATCTAGACCCCGTGGCGTTCGTGGCTGGGACAGGGCACCAGGGCGAGCCACGAGCACGATTGATGCCGGGCGGTGCGGGCGGAGGCTGGGGAGGACCGTAAACTGTCCCGTCGCCCTGTATGCTTTCCTTCTCGCCAGGAGAATCGATGTTTGAGAAGAGATCAAGTCGACGAGGATCAACAAACGGTGCGCTGCCTGGCTGGCCTCTGAAAACGGCGGGTCACGATGTGCGAAAGCGGCAGGTGCAGGCTGCAGGTTCGCCAGAGTTTTGCAACATGCAAGGTTGGAGACCCTCGAGGGTTGCTCAGGTGGCTTGGGAGGGTTCCGCCAGCGCGCGCCCTCCTCCATCCTGGCCTCCTCCACCACTCATCCCTCGATTCCGCCAGTCCGCTCTGCCCTCCGCCATCGACACCATTTGCGCTCACTTTCCGTCCGCTGCCGATGCACACGCACTGGACCTCGAGAGCCGCAAGGGCAGGCACGTCAAGTCTTGCCAGCTTGCGTGCCTTGCGGGTTGACTGACAGTTGAATCTGTCCGAAGAGACCCCTCCGAACCCTTGGACTCCAGGGTTCCAATAACAGGCCTCGTCCCTCACCGACCCGTGCCGACCCCGGTGGCCCAGAGACTTCCAATGCCCGCCAGCTCCGCAGCGGGCGTCTCCGCCAGCCCGCTCCCTCCCATCTTTCTCCAGGTGGGCCTGGAGCCCTAGAAATGCTTCGCAACTCGAGGCTGCCGGCCACCAAGACATTTGCGACTATTGAATCCCGACGGCACATTGCAGCGCTCGGCTCCGGTGGTCTGGATACGACCCCGGCTCGCTGTCGCAAAAGTTCGCGCCCTCCGCCTCGGCTTGCCTGTCCTCCCACGATCCTTTTTCGTGCTTCCGTAGCTGGCCACGAACCAGCGGCCGCCCGTGCGCTAGGCTTCCCGCGTCTCCAGCGCTGTTGACGAAACCGGGCAGCGCAGATCAGGGCACATAAGACATGTCAGGTTTCGTGTACAGCGCTGGCACCAGACTGGAAGGCAATCATGTTCACCGTAAGTCACACAACAGCGTGCTTGAGCAAGCTCGAGCACGTGCCGTGGGGCAACCGTCACATCCTGCGCCTGCCCGCCCACGTTGCGCTGCTACCCGTTGGATGGCATGGGTGTGGCCTGAACTCAAAAGTCGTCATGACACGGCTCATGTTCCCAGATCATTTCCCGGCAGACCCTACGCCTTTCCAGTGTCCTGCCTGGTCGGTGTGAGAGCAGCACGGTCCGGAGTTGCGCCCCCGAGTCGCATGCTGGCGCAGGCTAGCGATGGCCAGAGCCTGACTCACGGCATTACCGCGTGCAAAACATACGATTTCCCTTGTGAGCACCCTTCCCAGCCGGATCAAAGGGCCCGTAGCGCCGGCCACGCCCGACCAGGCATGTAAAGTCCTGGCTGCTGGCTCCACATTCTTCCAGAAGGCTGGCTAGAATCCCCTCCCGCAGCGCACTAGCATCAGCTAGCCTCCGTGCCTGGTCTCACGGCTGAGAGCTGGCGCCATGCCATGCCATGCCGTCGCCAATCAATGTCCGACGACCATTGTCCAGTCTCTGTGGCTGCTTTGTGAGTAATCGTCGATGCCACTTCGGCATTGCAAGCATTCTGATGACACCGGCGTGGCCTCATGCCGAGCTGACTCTGCTGTGCTCTCATCTCTCGACATCAGCCATCAACTGTCAATAATGGCGCGCTTATGCAGAGCCAAGCAGATTCCCTACTCGGCACGACTTTACGGCTCATCTGTTGCACGGCCAGCGCATCTGTGGGCTCCACAACCACAGATAATGCCTCAACGAGCACAGGATGTTGGCTACCTAGCTATGATTTCACTGACGCTTGTGATTCTGGTCGACTTCTGTATTTGATTTGATCTTATCCACACGCATTCTGCAAGCGCTTGGAAGTGGTTAATCATCCGGCCACACAGGCACGAGGTCATGAGCCAAGGAGCAAGTAATGATGGTCCAGACAAACTCAGTGATGATGCGACGCGGAAGCGTGACCAAGACAGATGTTGAAATTGTCACATGTACAATGCTTGGCCCTCGACCGTAACCTTTCTCGCCGCACCCATTTTCATCTTCCCCTCTGCCTGGTCAGCTGGCTTGCAGAGCGAATGCTGTCGGTTCCTTTGACCCTTGCTCCTACTCCCAATACATGCATACATACAATCGCGCAAACTCACTGAACTTGAATCGAATGCACCACTGTCACCATCCAAATTCTCCCTGTCTTCGAGCCTTTCAAGCCTTCCTGACAGCGTCACAAGCCACAATCCCACCGTGTGGCGTCCACGATCGAGAACTCAAGATGCCCATGGCCAAACGATTGCCCAACAGACTTCTGCACTTCCTATGTACCGGTCGAGTCGGGATCAATTGGGCCACTCCCTGCTACCTCCATTCGGTTGTAATTGGTCTATCTCTCTGCTTGCTTCGTTGCGAACTTGCTTGTTTGACGTGCCGACCCACCGATGCTTAGAGCCTCGACGTCTGCAGACTTACCAGTACGAACAATAGGTAACGTATACAATATGCCGTACCGCAACACGCACAGAGGGACGGTAGATTTCGTCCATGAGCTTCAATTGCCCACCGCGCCGCTGGCCGGCAACTCCGCTCTGGTCCTGGATCGCACGGACTAATCCACCCCATAGACTTCACACCGCACACTGATGCGGTCTCTCTATATGGGGATGCTTACGAGCTCGGCACTCCCACGTACGACCACAGGATCGAGAAAGCTGAGGGTCCCGTCCGCTCCCCTTTCCATAAGCTCGATACCGCCGGATCAGTAGTTAGGTCGGTGACGACTAGCGAATCCCCGGTGTTGTACGTTTTTTGGGATGTTGTGTTTTCTTTTTGGCGGTTGCAAAGGGTGGAAGTAACTGTCTTTGTCCGCGCTAACCACCAATGTACATGTTGCTCGTGGCATGTTTCGGCTCATTCACGACCGTCGAATCGTTTGCCACCATCTCAGTACAGCCCCCCCCCCCCGGTTTGTTGTCTATACACGTATTCTGTATGCCTCTGATCGGTGCTTTCTGTTCCCCGAGGAGAAAGCTCCCAAGTCCCAGGGCCAGACCTTGTGTGTATGTGCAAAGCCGAGCATGGCGTGCAAGGTAGTGGGAGCGACCGTTCGGGATATGGCTAATCATTTCAAAAGAGATGAGCAGCGCTTGTGCAGAACATCAGCGCCTGCGGCGACCGACCTGCGGTCTTTGTATCCTGGCGTCTTATGCCACAAGTTGCTCCAGTTCGTCCTTGCCGCTGCCCGGCTCATCATGCGATGCAGTGGGGGAAGGCTCGTGCATCATCTCGATGCCACCCTCAGGTGTTATTGCCAAAGCTGGTTGGAATACCTTCGATAACCTTCTCGGTACCTGACATATCCTCCTTGACTCATCAGATGTGCGAAGACAGGACCGCTCAGTGGGATAGATGGGCGTATGAAATATCCATCAAGCCTCCTCGGCCAGTCAAAATCGTGACTTCAAGGAAACCCTCGCTCTCCGTTGTGGCCAACGTTCATGACCTGCGGTTGGACGTTTATATCCCAGTCCGGGTTCAATATCTTGCCTCTCTTCGACCAGCATCATCCAGCGGGCAGCGCAGAGAACAGAGGTTGCAGAGATTCATCCACTTTACTCAGACTGGTCAGCCACATTTCGTACAACCATGAGCCTACCGCTCATTGGCAAAAAGACAACGTCCTGCGAACCGCCTTCGCTCTCCTCCTCCTCCTTCTGGCAAGGTCTGCTACTTGCTCTCTATCTCTCTCTCTCTCTCTATATATATATATATGTGTGTGTGTGTGTGTGTGAGAATGTGTGTGTATTTGTACGTGTCTTCTACTTCCCTCTCGCTGTCTTCTTTTTCTCCCTCTCCCTCTCCCTCCAAGCCGGGTTCTCCAACCCGGCCGCCCCTTCAACTACAGCCTACACAGGTGCGCGTCTTGATCTTGATGTCAGTTGACTCCTCTCGTCATATCGTCATGCACAAGCACAAGAATATCCGAACAAGAGGAGAGAGGCCCCAGTTCCTGGGTAAGGTGAGAGCGAGAGAGACAGGCACCCTTTGACAAGATCGCTCATGGCGAAACACATCACATCACATATATGTCCTTGTGTGTCTTCTTCGTGGGTGGGGGGTGCAACGGCAAGCCTCTTTCGCAAACACCGGTGGGGGTGCGTCATCGTCATTTCCCTCCATGGTTGGAGGACTGCTTCGCCCGTCACAGAAGAGAACACAGCATCGATCATTATTCACGTTAGGCTTTCAAGGCATGTTGTCTTACAAGAATCATAACTGCAGTTTGGGTATTTTCTACAAAAAGAAAGGGAAAGTCCGATGGCCGCCCCAGATGCATCGTCCAAAGACTCTGAAGTGCAAATGCGGGTGGAGTGTCTGTCTCCAAGTCCTACATGCCGCAGATCCCGGATGTCAGCAAGTTTGACCCTCTCTGGTGCATCAACAAAGGACGTAAGCCTGTTCTACACCGTGTCTGCGGTCGCCATTGCCTCGCCCTCGTGGGCCACCTGATGTCTATAATGTCGAGAGTCTCCCGTGTTCCGCCGCGCGCCGGCGGGTTTTAATTGTATGGTGCATGCCAGCGATCCGGACCCAGTCTATGCCATGAAATATGTGAAATTGAAAACATCGCCAGAAAACAAGACGCAAGGAAATGATCAGATGAGCCGCAAGTGCGTCGACGAAGCACACGTTGTGGCTTGTGACAGTCTCCAGTGCAGGACCCACAAGGATGATGGCAGATATTAAAATCATATGCGTTGTAGCGGCGCACCCCGACCGAGCTTTGCCATGAACCAATCCTGGGGTGCCAGACGGCCGGCAGGAGTTGCCACGGGAGAACGTTGGATGCCAGATCCCGCCCACATATGTCATGTACAAGGGGCACGCTCTGCTTCGTCGGGGTATTTTGGCGAAATGAATAATTGAGGTGGAATGAGTGGAAGTGAGTTGAGGGTTATGTGACGTCAGCCGCCGCCGTTGCTCTCGCTGGTAGTGCTGTAGTACCGGCGGAACTCGAACGCACCCACTGGCCAGGCCGCCAAACTCGATCACTGTGCCCGGGCCCAGAGCTCATTAGGCCTGGGCTTTACGTCAAAGCCGTTATGGCCGGGCTCGGTGCTTCCTGGTCGTCGCATCTGGTTCGGGTTGAAATACATCTGGCCCATGTTATTCGCGGCAGCAAACTGCTGATCGGGCTCCGGATACAGATAGCCGGCAGCACCACTGCTGTGCGTCGGCGAAGGCATGTGAGCCGGAGACTGCCAGCCGACACTGCCCATATGAGGGCTTCCGTTCACGCTGCCATTCTGGGAGTGGTGTGACTGGGACTCGACACTCGGCTCCAAGGGTGGAGGAGGGGCATAACTCGTAGGATGCGACGTCGGCCGCATAGGGACGTACGACGGCGCAGAGGTAGGGCTTTGGCCGGGGTGCAGATCAGTCCGGATATGCACGGGAAGGGACCCGGTGTTCATGTATGAATAGTCTGCTTGTCGCATCAAGTTGGCCGAGTTCATGTCGGCATTCGACGGCGACATGGACATGGTCCGGTGACCAGGAGAGGGGGTGTTCATTGGTGATCCGTGACTTGAGCCAGAATCACCGTCACTTCGAGGAATTCGAGAAGCATTCTTGGTAGCTTGCGCAGCCAAGGCTGCAGCCGTCGCAGCGGCAGCCTCCTCAACCGTCCCAGTGTGGTGGTTTTGATGTCTGGTCAGCGTTGTCCGCCGAGTGAAAGTCTTCTGGCAATCCGCATAAGGGCAACGGTACGGCCGCTTGCCGGTATGAATACGTCTGTGTCTCGCTAGGGAGCTCGAATCACTGAATGGCTATAGGTGAACGAGTCAGTGGTGCATCTCGGTTGGGATCCAAATACTGGGATACGCTACGTACCTTGCCACAACGCTCGCACATGTGCGGCTTCTCTCCAGTGTGGACACGTTGGTGTACTGTGAGAGCAGAGCGTTGGATGAATTTTTTGCCACAAGTGTCACACTCGTGTGGGCGGTGCCCGCTGTGAATGCGCTCTGTCCAGCACGTTAGCGAGGGTCACAGAACATGTGGCAGGACTGGTAGACATACCGTGCCGCGCAAGGTCACTTCGGCGCGCGAAACTCTTTGGGCATGTGCTGCAGGGATACGTCTTTGGTGGCGCTGTTGAACTTTCAGGGCTCTTGTAAGGCATCTGCATCGTATGACCCCCCATTGATTGCAAATGAGGTACCATCATGGCACTGGTACCCATTCCACCATCACCAAGGGTCATAGACTGGTGCATGGAAGTAGGCGATCCGTACGATCTCGGATTGCCCATCCCACTCAGCGCATCCAAACCACTGGGCATGCGGTGTCCCACGGAATGGTACGAGTGCTCAGAACCGTGTGGAGAGTCTGCACGATCCAAACCGTTACCAGTAAGCTGATGGTGCGCCAAGAGGAGATGGTCGGGCGTTCCATGGTGCGAGTGATGTCCATGTGAAGCAACTGCTGCTGCTGCGGCGGCGGCTGCAGCAGCGGCAGCAGCGGCGGCGTTCTCGTTGTCCACCATTCTGGTAATGTTCATTATCTCAGGCGAAAGTGCTATTGGCATTGAGAGTTGGTGATGCCTTGAGCTCAGAGGTGTCGGCCGTTTGGCTATTTCTAACCAAAGGCATGCAGATTATGATGAGAGCGTTGGACCGAGCAGAGCAGGTTCTGTGGTTATTGTCGTGTGGGGTGTGTTGAGGATTCCGTACCGTACGGTGAAAGACTTTGGAGCGCGAAGTCGCGGTGTATGGTGCGCCAAAGCGGTGTCGGCGTTGTAAGGATCAGTAGAAGGCGCGAAGCAGACAGTTCTAAACAAAATCAAAAGCACGTTAGTCTCGTCCGTGGACAAACACGCTGTGCTTCTTGTGTGCATCAGGTTAAGCTCCATCTCTGCCACGCGTTTGATGCATCTTGTCGTTGCCTCGCCACAGGCTTGTCTCGGGTGGGCTGTCGAGGTTTGTCGTGTGGACCGCAGATTTCAAGCCATCAAGTTCTTTCAAATGTGCTTTGCGGGATGCCCCATGATGCACTCCTCATCTCGGCTGTTTCTTCAAGAACGCAAAGGTGCTGTGGTTCGGCCCGTCCGGCAGAGGACTGCGCATGGCCTAGCCGTCGGCACAACTGGACTCGAGAGGTCGATAGCGTGAACAGGTCGCCGACGTCGAAGAAAAGGGTGTTGGGCGCAAGCTGGATCCTGCGCTCGGATGCGACGCGCGAGCAGCACGGCTGCGCGGGAGGCAAGCATGGGTCGCCCACTGAGAGGCTTTGGGTGTGGATGGCAGAGTCGAGGCGCCGGTGTAGCCGAGCATGGAAGTAGTTGCTGTCGAACAGAGACGGAGGGGCACAGAGATGATGATGCGTACTCAACTGCCGCAGCGAACTTACCTATGGGTTGGTGACGAGGACTGGTGGATGAGGCGGGATGAGGTCGCTGACGATGTCGAGACGCGGTGACGCTAGGTGGGGAGAAAGAGAAGACGCTGATGGCAGAAGGAGATCTGGGAGGGAGCGCAAGTAGCAAGAAGGAGGGACGGGCAGGGAGATTAATAGTATGAAGTGAAAGGGGTAGATGGGAGGAGGGCGACGATGGACGACGAAGAGCCCCCTGGTGGTGTGCGTGGACGTGTGAGCAGCTGGCTGTTTGGGAGAAAAAATAGTAATAATAGCGGCCCAGCAGCAGGTCTGGTCCTGGTCGGGCGAGTATGGGGGACGGACGGGGTGTGGTGGTGTGGGTGCAGCGAGGCGCGGGTGGCATGAGTGAGGGAATGATGAGGGTGCAGGCGAGGAAGCGATGCTTGCTGGCGTGCATGGTGGCAGCCAAGGGGGGCAGGCATAATGAAGCCAACGAAGTACCCAGCAGGTAGCCCGGGTGCGCTGGCAGGCGCCCTCTGGGCCTGTCCATGTGCCGGGATGCGGATCTGCTGAGCCGGCGCAAGGGTGCGTCGTGCCTGACGTAAATCCACTGGTACCCACGCCGGTACCTGCGACCTTGCGAGGGTCTCACAGTGCCAGGTTTCCAGAGCTAATTTGGGTGCCGGCCTGCTCGACGTACTTCTTTGGCCCGGCACATCGCAACTTGGGGGCAGCCCACTTGGGCAGCTCAACCCGACAGAGACAAGGGAGGCAGACCACCCCGAGGGTGCAAGACGCTCTTGTCCAGTTCGCATTTGCTCAAATGATTAATGTGCCTCTAGCGGTCCAGAAATAAGCAGTAAGGCACGTCGAGTCCTGAAACCGGAACGCAGCCTCTTCGCAATCGGCGAGGCGCAATGCTCAAGGTCAGCAGCACCTGCGGACGGCTGCGCGATAGACATGGACGGAATGGATGCCGTGGCCGCCCATCCAGGTCAGGCATGCATCGGGGTGACTACAGTGGCTGCAGTTGCGAGAATCGGCACGACGCTCTGCCGTCCGTCTCGAGTGACGAGTATGCGAAGCAAACAGGGCCCACGATGTCGAAGGTGACATATTCTGATCTCCGTGGATTCTGCGTCGACACAAATAACGGGAGCAAGCATGGCTCACCCGCTTGTCTCTCGCCCTGAACAGTGCCCCCAGGGCGGCCTCGCGGCCAAATATGCAAAAGCAGTCACTGTTTGCCCAACGCTGCTGCACCCGCAGGCACAGCGGCTCGTTTGTCTGCCGCGGGCTCGTGTTTACGTCACGCGAGAAGGGAAATGATTTTATGGGACAGCGCAAATAAGGGCAGCTTTGCAGGCGGCACCGGCACCCCGTCACTCACCAGTCGTTCAGTCCTGCCCCGGTCTCGAGTTGATTCGCCTCCATATTCGAAGCAGCAAATGGCAATGACGAGATGGGAACTCCAGCGCATTGTTTGATTCAATACGTCCCCACATGTTTCCAATGCTTGACCAGGTGCGGATCCGATCATGGGTCTTCTTGTGCCAAGATTGCATTCCTTTTGGCTTCTGGCATTTCGGCATATAGCGCATAAAGACCTAGCACCTCGCGCAGGCCAGTTAGGGAAAAGAAGCGAAGGCTGTTGCTGTCAAACAATGTCATCTGTGACTGGTCTCCATGATGGTCTCGCCAGGGGGCCCAGCATCAGAACATTGGACAGGGTCCCAGTTGAGGGCCTCAGCGCTGTCATGGTGGGCACAGGTCACACCCAAATTCCAGGAACAGGACTGAGCTAGACGGTAAGGCCGTGGATGGGTGGGGTCATGCCCCTGCCAGCATGACCGGGGACCACGAATCTGACGATCACGGCCTAGCCAGCGCAAGCAAGGCAGTCGTTGTGCAGACGATGGCAGTTGATACTGTTGAAGTGGCGGTCGCCGCCGCTGTCGACCTTAGTCATCGCTGTCACAGAGAGCTGGCCCTATACAGGCAGGTTCTGTGCGTGCAGGTCAAGTGAAACTGGGCAGCATCATCGACGTCAAGGACAGGACCCTTGACATCTGCAGGTCATCAGCCACGCGACCTACCGTTGCCACGACCCGAATACTCTGGGCACGTTTCTGATGGCGGCCCAAGGTTGATCGTTCACATAAGAAAGGTGTTTGCAGAACCATGCAACGTCCGTGGAGGGGTGTTTGAGGGCGTGTGATGGCTTTCGGCTCTGCTAATGGTTGCAAGAAATAGCATTTCAACCGGCGGGTCGAGCCCATTGTACTCGGAGGCGTACGCCTTCTTCATATAATAAGACTTATCACAATGGTGACTGATTGGGTTGATGCTGTCCCCCACGCAGGAACACAATGATGTGGTATCAAGTCCTGTAACACTCTTTTTTTTTCCTGTAGTGGGATTGCAAGATTATGCGGCCGTTTGCCCGTGATCGTGGCCGCCTAGGCGCGCGTCCATCCTCCGATGAATGCGACTGGTGGCCGCCGTTGGGCATGAAACAGGTGAGATGATGAGGAACGGACGCCCACTGCAAACACAGGAAGGATGTCAGCATTGGGGTATTTGCCGCACGAAGAAGTTTACCAGAATTTCTGCAGGGTGAGGTTTGCTTTGTCTGGAGCAATGCGATGGTGGGTGGTGCGGTGCCCAGATTTGGTCGACTATGCACTAGCGAACGTCGCCACAAAGCCTTGATGGCAGCGTCGGCGGATTGCTTATTCCTGCCGGCTTTCCGCAAGGCTTGGTTGGACTCAAGCCCGTCGCTGTCAACCCCACGGGCGATGTCCACACGATGCACCAGGCTTATGTGACGGCTGCGGAGAGTTTCATGCGGACGCGCGTGAATGAGCTTGGTGCGGTTCCTTGGAGGGACCGGGGGCCGATGAAGGATCTTGATAGCATGGTACCAACACCAGTTAGAGACGGGAGGCGTGCCACCTAGGCTCGACTTGGAAAACGGATGGGAAGGAGAGGGAGCTTCCGTCGCGGCGTCTTGCCCCTTGTGGTGAAACGGCAACGGAGCAGGGGTTGGCGGCATGAGGCCGAATGAGGAATGCTTCGAGAACGCGTCTGGAAGAGCGGGAGAAGGCTGAGCACGGCCGCTCCAGGACTCCTGGAGGCAGGGGGGAAAGGGGCTCTCACCCCTACCTAGCCTGGCGGAGGTGTCAGTTGACAAAGCCATTCATATTATCCTCGGCCCTTTGTGGATGGAATAGGACTCAGCTCCAGTCCCAGCCCAGCTCGTGCGGAAGCACCAGGACCCCTCAGGAGGTGCAGCCAGCCATGGATGGCGGGCAGGGCAGGCGGCGTCTCCGGCTGCGCCTGCCCCAAAAGCAAGCAAACAACTTTTGATGAACCCCATCTGATTGATGATGAGGTCAGGGTTCAAAAGTTGTTCAATCGCCGCCCATCAGCTCCTCGGGTTAGCGCAGGCTCATGGCCCCAAAGGTTTGATTCGAATCAGGTGCCTCAGGGCCTGCGCCTCCCCAGGCTGGTTTTGTTGCAAGTGTTGCCCCCTCTCCGGGACATGCATCACCACCTCGTCCCCCTCCCTCCCGGAGTCTTCCATGCATGCTTCCATGCAGCCACTGCCTGGGCCCCCGGTCAGTCCAACCCCCTGGAGACAATGTATTAACATGAGCAGCAGACACAGCAACGCTCCCAGCAAGCTCTGCAAGAGATGCCTACTACAGCTTTCCTCTGCCGCTCTTGTCGAGCAAGAGACAAAGGATAGTCTGCCGCGATATAGGTGACGCCACAGCGCGTCCGTCTGGCACACAATGCATACTTCGGATGCACCACGAGTCCGACCGCAAAGGCAGCCAGAATCAGACTGGGGGCGTGCCAACCCGAGTCACGACGCGGGGAACCGCCTGAGCATGCCGCGAGTGCCCTGTCCTGGCGTTGCGAGTCGTTTGGCGACAGCCATCGGCCCATGCACGACGATCCGGCCCCATCGCTTCGGCAGAAGGACATGCACGCACGCTCGCAACCGAGCGGCAGGCGCCCCTCCGCGGCGCAGCGAGGCATCTCTGAGCCCATGTCGACACGCGAGATCTTCCACCGCACGCGAGATGTTGGAAGCTCGTATACCAGCAGTGCTCCGGATCCAGTGCTCGACAACCGCCTGAGCACCATGTCCTTCATTTCCCAGCAGCTCTCCATACACCGGGGACCGTGACGTATCTGCACCACACGTCAATTACACGACCCCTGCTTAGTGCATCACCCACGGCAGCCCCCTGATTAATGCATCTCCACCCAATCCCGGCCCTGCAACCTTCCCGAAGGCTTCCATTCGTCTTGGCGTGTTTCTGTTTCGTCGCTCAAGACGCGACCCGGATTACGCACTGTGCTCCACTCGATCTTGTTTACGGAGTACCGATTCTATTAAAAGGGCTGGGCTTGGGTGACAGGCCACCGTCGCGCGCGGAAGCCATGAACCCACGCGCACTGTATGCCGTGGTGTTTGGGCGACGCATGCTGAACAACCTGACGGCCAGCATGCTCCAAAATACGCCTGTGGGAATGCCCTGCCTCAGTACGTTGTACCTCAAGATCATCAAGCAAACCTTCGACGATACATCCTCACCTACGGATGTGTTGCCGCTCATGATACAGCAGTATGCGGAGCGAAAACCCTGCCAGGCTTGCCAGGCTCGGAGGTTTCATTGACATGTCTCACATCAGAATAATATTATGGCACAGTGCGTAAGCATAGCCTGTGACAACATAGGAGGTAGGCACTGAGGTCGTTATCGTGAGACCAGGTCAAAGCATTCTTCAGCCAGAAGAGTCGCCAAACTTCAGACATAGAAGTATTGCCGCATAGCACGCTCGCTTGCAGTTACAAGAGTGTAAACAACGCCTCCAGATCCCCCAATGACGAGCAGTGAAAGCTAAACTCGCCTGGGAGGTCTAGACGGTGGCCATGCCAGAATCTGTTCTGCACCAACAGCTCATTCCAAAGACCGAACAGCATTAAAACCGCGCGCGAAATCAGTCAATTGCGAATCATCATAGAGTCACTGAGTGAGGCAAGACATTGTCCAGCAAATCGCTGGAGTATGCAATGACAACAGCTTCGACGGCAATCCACAGCAATGAACTGTGCCGTCCCTATTCTGTCAGTTCACGCTCACAGAACCTTGGTCTTTTGCGACATTCTAGCAAGCCTCCTCGATACGGACCATAGGCACAGTACATGAGGCTGGAACAAGCGAGCGATCTAGGCACACGGCTTCGTCTCCACTGCAAGCTTTGTCGTGCATCCCAGAAAGTCGGGACCTAAGGGTTCGAGAACCTCAATTTGCCCCCAAGCCTTGTGAGACATCGCGGATAGGCTGTCGTATCCCGTCGACAGTGGCAAATGCGCGGCATCGATGAAGTAATGACTTCTCAGATTGGCGAGACTGCTGTCAAATGAGACACGGATCATTCTGCTGTCATGACTCGGCAGACGGCAGTGTCTACAAGCGGACTTTTGAGGCGCGAATGCCCGCCCGTGGCCCACACGCAACGGGCCGTTGGGGAACGGGACTAGGTCCCAAAGCTCAAATGTCGACGCGCATGGACTTCGCTTCACGTGCTTGTGTCTTTTCCGAGATGCCCGAGGACTTGTGGGTGGAGGCAATGAATATCTCCACGTTGCCGACAATCTCGCCCCGAATTCGTCCTGCTGCCGTCTGTCAACGGCATGCGAGGAAAGTTTCCCACCCTCCACGCACAACAGCCATGCAACACATGAAGTTACAAAAGAGTTGTACAGTACGAACAGTGCCACATTTTGCACCTTGTTGTGACTTGCGTTTTGGAGGGCAACGCTAGGCAAAGTGAAGCAGTGCCATGACTAGCGCGTCTAGTGGTTGTCATTGGACGACGGCTTTGAGACAGCCACCTCCTGCTTTCTTTTTTCACACCCTTTTGGATGGGAGATTCGCCACCGTAGTTCTTGCTATTGGGTGAGAGGTCACAAACGATGTTTCGGCTGCGCGCGGTTCCTCTGATGGGCATATGGACTTCAGCACAGCGCGACGGTGCCTACACGGATCACGAGACTGGGCGAACAAATAGCGTGCGTGCCTACATTAAGCATGAGATTGCGCGGCTCCGGGTGACTTTGTCACCTGTTGCAGGTCTCATCAAGGATCCACAGCAGCCCGAGAACAATTGCGGCATTGTTTTGTGAAGATTTATGAGCTAATGACTAGCTCAACCAACCGGGAGCACGAGCCCATGGGCCCGTCGCTCAACTATCCGCGGGCGACACGGGTTGTGGGGAATACTTCCCGCCCATTGACGCCGTCCCCACCAGCGAAACGGTGAATCGAACCGCTCATGCGCGAGGCGAAAGAGCAAGTCCTCCTCCCCTTTTCACTTTTCCAGAGGCGGTCGGCTCATAAGGCTTGTTGTGTTGTCCCTCGGGCAGCTCGTCAGGGAAAACCCATGCGCGATGAAGCATAGCGCCACTGGGGCACTGCGTACACTGCTCACACCGGTCTCATGATATTTTACGCCGCCGAGGCGGACTGGCTTGGCTCGCTGACATGGCAGGGACCACGGTCCGGTGCACGCACCTGTGCCAGCCCTTCGGGTTCTTCCCTTCCATGGGGCTGGTGTCTATCTCGTCTCCGGTGCCCACTGTGGCTTCCGCTTGCCACTTCACTCGCCCTGCTATTCACTTAATTGGGTAGTGCGCCTGTACTTGGTCGGAGATGAACGCAGAGTAACGCGATTGGAACACTCATGACACGGCTGCCGAGACGAATCTGATCATGTCTCGGCGCCGACGGTGTCGACTGGCTTCTATTGCCAGATTGGCCGCAGACCGATGCGGCACACGCTCATGCCATAAAAGACCGTTTGGCTCGGCTTGGGGCGAGAGTCATGACCACCTCCTATCTGACGGGAACCCGTGTGACGGTGTAGGGCAACCCGCTAGCTCACCGCATATGGGGGTCGCCATAGATATTGACACGCAGAGATAAAGAGAGGAATGTTACAAGACTCCCTCCCCCACGAGCAGAGGTGCCCGGAAGTGCAGATCCCTGATCCCCCGGAAGTAAATCCTGCTCTGCCTAGAGCTAGTCGTTGCAGAATGCGGTCTGCGGAGTGTGTGGGTGGGTGGATGCACTACGACCCAGGGGGATTCAGGGGTCTTTTGTGTTTGCATTTCTCCCGACCTCCAATATTGTACGAGCCCTGGGTTTGTTGTTGTCCAAACGGGTTTGGGCGTGCCGCAGCATCTCGTGTGCCCAACGGCCAGCAGCCAACAGAGGCTAGACGAGGGATAGGGTAACAGGCAGCGGTTATTACCTTGCTTTTTTGATCAGGGCAGGACTTTGCCCCAAAGTGAAAAAACGTGCGCGCGGCCTGTTTGCTTGCAAGGATGACTGCCGGGACTTGTCATTCTTGCACGCTCCAGCAGTAACGCTGCAGAAATTCCCCCTTTTGAAGAAGGCAAACATACTCTTATGCAGACGTCGGGAGACCTTTTCCTTTCCCCCCTGTGCACTTGGGAACCCGTCTGGCCAGGATCGAAAAACTTTCCCAGCCAGACAGGTCGATCGGGTTTGGGGTCTTTTTGATCGATGTAGGCTGATTTGACTTTTTTACCGCGCGAAATCAAGTGAGACTTACGGATGTGGGAAGAGCCCAAACACCAACACCGACCACTGCTGGGCTTGAGAGGTTTTGGAACCCCTCCCTCCCCCCTGGCACATTCGCTGGACCCTGCCCCGTGGACTGAAGAGATAGGGCTCGCTGCCAGGGCGGGCGGCGGCAAAGAGGTGTGCTGTGGTCTTCTTATTGGGTTGTGACTGACGGACTGACAGGACCCCCTGACCGGTGAACAGGGAAGGGCGGCAAACTTTATTTGTACGTCTCTGTACGTCGCTGTTTGGGGGGGGACTGTGTGGTTTTGCCTTGCTGGATCGTCCCACGTCTCAACCATGGTCCCGGGAGAAAAGACAAGATCTGAGATTAGGTGTAATCAACGGGAAAAAAGGGTAATGAGAGTCTTGCGTGCATGTATGCACGTGCGTGCGTGCGTGCGTGCGTTGTGTGGGAGGGATCGGAGCATTCAACGGCCTCATCTGGGCATATTCTCCTTCGCGGCCCTCCCCCTCCCCTCCCAATGGGATCAAGGAGTTGATGTTCCCTGAACTGACCATTGGAGGAATGGGGACACACGGTGCGACGTCCGCCCCCGTGTGTGTGTGAAGCAGCTCTTGCGATGGTTGAACTGCAATACGGTTTTTTTTTTTTGGTTTTATTTGCGTGGGTATTGGTGACTTCCAGGATACATGGTTCAGTAATTCTTGGGCACGAAATTGGGCATGATTTGTTTTGACTTCCTCTCCTCGTAGATATTCTCGGACGGGCAAAAGTGTATCAGTATTTGCCGCGTGTCTTGGGGGTTGCGAGTCAAGAGTCATGGGGTCCCCCGGGGACCCTGAAGCAAGAACAAGCGCGTACCCGCGATATCCGGGTCGATGAGCTATTGTTGTCACGCCGGCGCACCCGATGATTTGGAGGGAGTAAGAGTGAGAGTGAGAGAAAAGACAAGTAGTGAAGACCCTGGCCTGGTCACGAGATGGTACAACGGATGTCCCCGTTTATGCTTTTCGCGGTCGTCCCGGCAAAATCATGACTTTGTGATTGCCGCGTGTCACCTCGGCAGGTTCCGTGCCGTGCTCCCTGTCGTCGGAGTCTTGGTAAGAGCGAAGCGAAATCGCCAAAGGGGAGGAATTAGCGAATTGCGATAATTTACAAACATGGTGTGGCGTAAATGAAAGACTTCTGTGTTCATGACCCCGAGTTGTGCTGTTGTTGGATATTGGTGCGATGGTTTATTTCTCCTGCCATCGCCATCGCCGTCCACCTGAACAGATGATCAAAGTCTTGCCGATGATATTTATTTCGCTTCAGTCATGATGAATGGGCCATCTCAACTCATATATCAGACGGATGAGATGGATCTCTGTTGGGCAGCCAAAGAAGAATTTCTTAGCTTATAGAATTAATCTGCCAAGTACGACAAGTCAATCTGTAGAGTCCGGAACCGGACATGGGCGAGCGAACTTGCAGCGCAGGCAGGATGCTGACTGAACGAGGGTCGAACCGCGGCTTTTCAATGATTGGTCTCCAGATCTATGAGTAACATGTTCTTAATTTACATGGAAAAGAAAAGTAAACAAAAAGAATCAGAAGAGAAAAAGAAATTGGTGCCTGTCCTGAAGTGACGAGGGCAGCATCTTACATCACTTAGATTCGTGGCAGGTGGCAGACATTAACCAATATCCGGTGCCCAGTGTCCATCTGCAATTCGATGATCCGCTGTCTCTGCGAGAAACCGATCAAGTCATCAGTTACGTCATTTGCTTTTCCCCCGGGACCGTGCAATTCTACGCTTCTCATTTGCCCATACGCGGAGCTCTTATCTATTCATGTATTCGGAGCCTCACTGAACACCGTCACGGGTGAACCAGCAGACTTATACTTCACGCGATGGCTGCTACTGTCCTGTGTATTCCAAGGAGAACATCTCCTCAAGACGTTCCCACACAACCTCTGACAAACCGACCACCTGAACTGAAACGACGATTCCATCAAATAATCGAATCAATGGCGCGCTTCAGCACAGAATGTAAGTCGAGAGCATCTGATAGATTTAAAGCATCCGAGCAATATTGGAGGTCCTGTCGATCCGCGAATATCAGAACCATGTCGGTTGTCACTGAGAAGCATATTGGCAAAAACACATGGAAGTATATTCCTGCTAGTTGTAAACTATTTCAATGGTATCTGCTGAGAGACGATGGGGATAGCCTGAGATTGCTCAGAAGAATAAAGTAAAATTGGTGAAAATCGTATTCGTTGTTGTACTTCTCCCCACCCAGGCTCGGGGATACAACAACCAGGAACAAAAGACCGAAAGGCAAAGGCAAACCGATTTTATTTGATAGGTCTCCAGTATCAAAGCTGCAGCGAGAAGCAGTATCCAAGGAAGTCAATTCACATGGAGGGCACACTCAAAGAAGCCATGGCTAATTGCTTTTCCTTCGACACGTGCACAGATCAAAAGGATTGTACAATTCTCGACAGGTATCTAGCCTGACTAAGCCTTGCTTGGCTACGAGTCTGTACACTCAAAGTCGAGTCTTCCCTAATGGTGCATGTTCAATTGTCGAATTTCACCGGAGGTAGTCATTCTTCGTAAAGGCGAACAACGCCACTAGAACGTTTCCGAGCCCTGTAGATTTAGCTTCTTTCATGGGTACGTGTTTGGCAGTACCCGCGAAGCTAAGAAAGACCCCTTCGCTTGAAGCATACAGAATAACAAGGCATATTGTGCCCCATATACTTGATACAGGAGCAGGTGCTCGTTAACCCGGGATCTATCGTGTGAATCAGCCACACAATGAGTACAATGCCGGGCATTTCGCGACGAGGCCAACATGTTGATAGTGAGAGAAAATCTTTCACTGCTTGAGTCTCGAACATCATTGCCCAAACTTAACACGGGATACCCACAGCCATGATCATGATATGCTATTCCCTATGACTACTGGAACATCATCCCAGAAGCCAGATGGCTTTGGTAGCAAGAGCGTGTGTACGAGTCCAAAGAGGGCGCGTGTTCTCTGAACCCGTATCAGAGCATGCCTCGGACGACTCGTGCTCAGGAAATGGCGCTGCGCCCTTACAAATTCAAAAGCCGCGGAGGTTCGGCAGCCTAGTGGGTCGTGAGCATCATGTCTCCTTGCTGGCCTGGGCTTGACCAGACGTGAACGAAGGGCCACATCACGATGTCAAGGCGCATTTTGCATGCGTGGCGCAAGGAATGGAATACCCGCCTTAGGAGCCCGATTGGACATCTCAAGTGCAACCCTCACTGCCGGCAAGACATCCCACGAGGAGGCACTAACTATTACTGGTCCGTTGTCTACATGATTTCCTGATGTAGAATGCTAGATGGCAGTTGGCCTGCCGAGGGTCCCCAAAACGTGCTCGAATGCGCTTGACGAGTCTCGCCAAGCATGTGCTCAATGGAGGGCGGTAACCCAAATCCTCATCAAGCACCGAATGGGTCGACGCAAGCAGGAGTACCACAGGATCTGCAGCAGCAGTGTTCAGGTCCGGAGCAAGGTCACGACGAACACCTTGCAGACTGACCGATCGAGTGAAGAACCACTTGTAGATGCATGAGTTAGCAGCAAGCAGGTAATATGGTGACACGATGCTCCTACCCGTTCAGCTAGGCCTGCAGAATGGGGATGCACAGTTTCGGGTTTGCATAATATTGGCTGGCTAAGTGTTACGGTTGGACACTCGGTGCTGACGGTCCAGATAGAAGCACCGCTTCATGGACTACAGTGACTAGTGGTGGTTGGAACGAGCATGATCATGATCGTGATTGGGGATATTGGGGTCGTCTGTCCAGATGGCGATGCCATGTACTGAGGTAGTTATGGCATACCTGCTCTAATCAACAGACACTCCGCAATGATAGTCTTATACTGACAGCCAGCAGGAGACCAAGCCACCAGCAAAACCACCATGCACGCTACCCTGGCAAGTAGGTCATTGTGCTCAAGCATGTGCAGATCTCCCGGTCCCCGGCGCGTGTGCGTGGAGCAGCATGGAACCGGCAGGCCAGCTGCTGCTTGCCGTGCCCTTCATCGATCATGAGAAATTGCGACGAGGCCAAGGACACTGCGCACGCCGAAGGGTTCACGGGATAATCAATGCAAGGAGCGCTTGAACTGACCATGGTGGCCATCAAAAGAGGGAGCTTGCAGACGTGGTCACGCTGACGCCACACTGCAGAGTTGCGAGGGCTGGCTGCAGGACCGCCGATCTGGCAGAGATATATTGATTGAATGAATACTGCAGCATCTCGTGTGCTGTGCGTTGCTCTGCGAAGCCCCTGGATTTACCCATCTTGCCCCATTCTGCCGCGAAGCAATCTGAGGCGCGATCCGGAGGGGATCAATATCACAAACACACGTGTCAGGTCGTCGTTGCAATTGGCGAAGGAGAGAATGCGAATTCGGGACTGAACATGGCATGGATCGCGGCGAGAAGACTGATGTTGTTTTGGGAGGATGATTGTCGTTGGGAAGCTGCCTGCCTCCGGACCTGCAGCGATCGACCGTCATTAGGGCAACCTTGAATGCTGGGTTTGGCAGCGGGGCACGTGGACACCTCCAAGGTTGCAGCACAGGATCGAGGCACTGCAGAGCACCCACGTCAGCGTGCAGAGATGACAATGCTCGCCGTCTCAGTGGACCATACAACGGCCGGCAGGGCGCGCAGGGCGCGCAGGGCGCGCAGGGGTCCGCATTGGGGCAGTGGTTTCCTGTCAGCAGCCTGTCTAGTTCGTGAGTGCGTGTGAGCAGCAGCAGGCTGACCCCGAGATGGATGCCATGCTGCCTTAGGGTATGCTAGGCGCGTGAACCCCGCAGTTTGGCCCAAGGACGTTGCTCAAAAACCAAATCGGTTGCTGCTGTTGCTTTAGAGTTGACGAGGGCCTGCTGCTTTGTGGAGGAATTCACCTCCAACATCGTCGTTGTGGTGTCGCAGTCAGGGCCCCAAGTCTCCATCACGAGGATGAGGAACCATGGAATTCCATGGCTGTGGGACTTACATTCTCGATCTGCATGCGCTCGGCCATCTGTCGTGGACCTCGGGCTGGTGCCCGTCACGCAGCCGCCCAGCCCCCCGGCCAGGGTCTTCCAGCCTCTGCGAATTGATTGCTCCATAAACGTACTTTACGGAGCACGTTTTGGCGCCTTCACGAAATCAGTTCAGAGCAGGTGGCCAGGACCCACCAGGAGCGAGCTCTGGTGCCGGTCGGGCCTGGTACCTAGCGGAAACCTTGAGAGAGCCAGGCCAGGCCAGGGAAGAGCTGTCCAGGTCGGTTGGGGAAGCCTGAGGTCGACGATGACTCGCGCGCGAGCTGCCCGCTGACGGTCCTTGCACACAACTGGCACCACGCGACGCAGAGGATTGGTGCCCGAACTGCAGGTTGCATCGCAGTGGCGGAAAGGGAGAGGAGGAGCAGGCAGCCGGCCAGATGGAAATGGCAATTACATGGTAGGGCAGCGTAGAGTGACGACGGCGAGGCCGAATGCTGAAAGAGACGCTGAGGGCGGACTTGGGTGCGCCGGCCCTGTTGGCGTGCTCCCCGTCAGGTGGTGCCGTACGCCCGCCTGGGTGTGTGCCCTGGAGGCAGGTGCGGCCCCAGCCCGGCGCTGCTCCAGGTTTTTCGCCCGCAGATCTCTCCGCCGGCGCATTTCGAGCCGGCGCTTGCCCGCCGCCGTCACCACCACCACTACCACCACGGCCTCCTCCTCCTCGCGCTGGCGATCCTCCTTCCCTCACCACCCTCGCTGTCGCCTGCCTTCTCTGCCACCGTCTCCTGGCGCCCTCCAGTCTTTACCGCAATCTCCCTGGTAGGCGGCAAGCGACATCTGCTGCGAGCCTTCATTCTTCGACATATTTGCGTGCTGCTTTTACCGCGCATCTCCCCCGATTCCAGGCTGACTTACGAGCCCTTTTGTTACCGGCCAATGCGACAGTACAGAGCGTCCAATGCGCGCCGGCTCGAGCTCCGTGGCTAGCTGCAACAGCATAAACCATCCCGCCTTTCATCCCAGTCAGACCCCTCAGTGCCTCATCCGCCGTCGCGTAACCCCATGAGCTGGGACGTCCACCGCCTCTCACCACCTGCGCACAACTCACGAGGCACACGACCAACCACCATCACGATCGGCCACCTCCTGAACCCCCACCAGGGACGGTGCCTGGCATCGGTCTTGCTGAATACGACAGGTCTCTTTCCCCCGCGATTCGTCCTTGCGCCTGCCAACCTTGCAAGGTGCCGAGCTCGACGGCGAGCAGTTCAGCCACTGTTGGACAAAGGCACGTCTCTCCGCGCCGTACAGCCTCCTCTCCCGACAGTACGGTCTGGGTCACTTCTGGGATACGAACACGCCCTCGATACTGGCTTGCCGGCGCGGACACCCGCTCGAACGCTTCCTCTCGACTGCACTATATCCGGCAACAACTGCTGGTTACACTGCAGTCTGAAGAATTTAGCGTGCGACCTGGCAGGGCCGCTTTGCTCCGTCGCAGCTCATCTGAGCTACCGATTGGCTCAAGCCCGCCCTCTATCAACAGTTGCGACTGGCTGGGCCCTGACCTCGCTTAGCTTCCGTCCCTGGCGCATGAAACTAGCGGTGGGAAGCTACATGGTGCTGGAGTCAGCCCGGCCCATCATCCAGAGCTTTGCAGCCTCGGTCTTTGCTTTCGAGGTCACCTGTGCGAGTGGGTACCGGTCAGGCCTCTCTTTCAACATCGTGCAGCTTGACAGCCTGGCTCAGTGCTTTGTGGCACAAACCCTGCGTGCGCCTTGCACATACCGTGTCGCGAAGAACCAACACGACCGGAGAATTATATATATCGGAACCTAAGACACAATGCCGGCCAATACTGAGGCGAACGGGGCGGAAGTCTCAGACGCACAGTCAGACAATGAACACGAGTATAACGGCCACGATCATTCTAGAGGCGAAGAAGACGACGACGACAGAATGGCTGGACACCAAGGCTCGCCAGACCCTGGTAACGAGAACGGGGCCGAGGCCAAGAAGAAATATGACCCAAAAGATCCCCACCGACCACGGCGGAAGAAGGCAAGGCGCGCCTGCTATGCCTGCCAAAGGGCGCATCTGACATGTGGTGAGCATCTTCCCCCAGAATATGCCGATTGACCAAAGCTCGCTTGCCTGCATCCTCTCAGGACAAACCACTGACACACCAGCGCAGGAGACGAGAGGCCGTGCCAGAGGTGCATCAAGCGTGGGCTTGCCGATGCCTGCCAGGATGGCGTCCGGAAAAAGGCCAAGTACCTACATGATGCGCCGCCGGAAGCGCTGAGGCCTGTCTTGGGTCCTACTTACAACCCCAGCGCGGCAGCTAAGCCGCAAAATGGGAGGCACCCATCGAACGCGACTGACACCAGCTACTACTCTCAACAAAGCGGCACTACACAGTCATTTCCCATGTTTACTCCATCAGCGACGAGCCAGGTCGGAGGTTTACCAGAGAACATGTCATTCAACCAGCAGTCGCCAGTGTCTCCTACATTTCAGAGCACGACAGACGGACACTCCGTGCTGGGAAGTATGTCGGCACCGCCGCCGCCAGTCTCGGCAGAAGTCTCGAACAATGGGTTTGGAGTTAGTGCACTCTTCGATCCCAGCAATCCCGCATTGTACAACTTCGACCTTGAGGCATTGAACTTTGGCAACCAGTACGGAGCCATGGAGTTTGGTATTCTGAACCAGATGTCCAATGGAGCAGCGGAGACACCGCCCCGCGAAGGGTCCATGTCTCAACCTGCGAAGACGGACGCCTCCTACGGCCCCATCTTTAGTAATGGCGGAGGCTATAATATGTACGACAACAGCTTGGGCGACAACTTCCTCAACCTGGACCAGTCGTTCTCGCAGAACAACCTCCAGCATGGATTACCTCACGCATTTGCGGTTGCAGCTGCTGGCCCTACACCCAACAGCCTGAACAGTCCTGGGACGGACAATACTGCGAGTCCACAGGCAACACCGACGGGATTCGGGTTCGAGAAGTCCCCGAAGACCACAGGGTTCCCCTCTGTCGGGATACACCCGGCGCCACAAGCAGGGCGGTCCAAGCACAAGAACGCAAATGGCACCAAGGAGAAGATTAGCACGCAAGCTTTGCTAGGCAAGCGACAGAGAGATCCGTCGTCTATCTACGAGACAGTCAAGGAGCCATATCCATACCTGACTGGATTCCACAACCTCATCGCACTTGTGCAGCGCAGATTTTCTGCGAACAAGACGCTGCGCATTGCGAAGTCCCTGGCAAGCATCAGACCATCATTTATTGCGACGACGAGGACTCTGAACAGGCAGGATCTCATCTTCATGGAGAAGTGCCTGCAGAGGACCCTGTTTGAGTACGAAGACTTCATGGGCCACTGCGCTGCACCGACGATAGTATGCCGCCGAACAGGCGAGGTCGCCGCCGTGAACAAGGAGTTCATCGCGCTTACTGGCTGGACGAAGGACGTGCTCCTGGGCAAGGAAGCCAACCGCAACGTGAACCTCGGTGGGGACTCTTCCTCACCCCAGAGTCTTGGCAATTCGGGAAAAGCCGGGTTGTCCACTCCACGCCTCAAGGGTGCACAGCCAGACACGACGGACACGAAAGGTCTTGCGGCGGCAGGTGGTGCGAACACCGATGGGGCCTCCTCGGCTCAGCCCGTCTTCATTGCCGAGTTTATGGACGATGACAGCGTGGTGCAGTTCTATGAGGACTTTGCATCTCTCGCGTTCGGAGATAGCCGGGGCCACGTGACGCGAAAGTGCCGCCTGCTCAAGTACAGGACCAAGGAGATGACCGAAAGCCTGGCATCGTTTGAGGACAAGGCGTCGCATCAGCAGCAACAACATCAGGCAAAGGATCCACGGGCAAGTATCCTCAGCAACCGTGTCTCGCGAATCGATGGTGAGCACGGCATCTCGAAGCTGGAAAAGGACGGCAAGATGGACTGCACATTCTGCTGGACCATCAAGCGTGATGTGTTTGACATTCCAATGCTTATCGTGATGAATGTGAGTTTTATCGCTGTCATACTGCCACACACAAGACAATGTACTGACATCTCGGTGCTGCACAGTTTCTTCCGTGTTATTATCGGAACCAGGACCAACTTGCCGTCTAGGCCAGCTTTTGGTCGGGGGTTTTCAAATGCAGCAGCAGCCTTTCTGCGAAATGACACACGCATGCTTGATTTTGATTTTGAGTTTTTTGTTCTTCCCTTTCCCCCCAAAGTACATATTCATTATACCCGCCGATCGAGCAGCTCGAATACCGCCAAATCGTGCATTTTGCTCTCGGGTTTCGTCTTCGCATTCTCGGATTTTGACTTGAGGGACTGGGGTCCTCTCGAGGTTGGGTTTTTCAATTGGTCTCGTCAGAATGAGAAGGGGTACTACTGCATCAGAGGAACAGAAGATGGGCTGTGGCAAAAAGGGGGCCGGATGTATATGACTTTGAGCTTGTCCTCACCGAGGTCACAAAGCTTGACCTCGACGTTTATCACGTAACTTATGCAACAATCTTGACGGCCGGTTTGGTCCGACCCCAGGTGGGCGGACCGTAAGAAAGAGATGCGTGGTCATTTTTAGACCTTTCTTGCCAGGGAGGACTTCTGTTGGGGACAAGAAAACCTGTGTGAAGGATAGTAGAATCGGAACTGGAGCTGACGCGAGAAATGATAACAGAAGGCAAGATGATGAGCCTTGATTGCTTGCTGCTGAGCTGAACCGGTACGCCCTCCGTGCTATGCGCCTATCGTCCCTCAATACCAACCAGTTGTCTTCACTCCTTCGTTGTCGCGAACCTGTGTCCTGCAATTCTCATGTCCATGCTTGAGCAAGTGGCAATCAAGAGTGCCCAACCTATGAATCGAGCCGAGGGGTACTCCTGGCCAATAGCCCGGGGCACGATTCTGATGGCCGTGATATTTTCTTCCAGTCAAGAAGCTTGCCTCACATGTCTAATTCCCAAGTCAAGGGTCCCCATGCTCGGCTCAAGTTCGCCAATATGCCTGTTGAGAAAGGGAGATACAGAAAGAGTCCTCTTGTTGCCGTCTATCTATACTTTCTTTCCGCTTGCTGCTGGCAAGTCCTAGTTGTTCGCGTTCTATCTTTTATCTCTAACCCCCTTTCCATTCCTGCGCGTTTCCTTCCTAACCCAGGCGTGGCCAACAAACGTGTCGTGCACCAGGTATTCCTTGCGTTACGGGTAACCACTATTTTTACGCTTCCAATGGCCTCACCAGCCACGACCCGTCCAGGCTGCCCGTCTCAACGACAACTTCCCCTCGTCCTACTTCTCCACTGCCCTCGCCCTCTCCCTCACGCACCACGAGGACCCCTTCCTTGGGCCTCCATGCCTCCCGGGCGAGGCTGTTCCTCGCAACCTCGCAGTCAATGTTGATGTCCTTGATGAGCGCCTCGAGGCCGCTGTAGTCGAGCTCGTCGCGGACGTAGCCCAGCAGGAGGAGCCGCATCGGAGCCGAGTAGAAGTCGGCCCGGAACCTGTGCAGCACGTGCACCTCGGCGGAGCGCACCGTGTTCTTGTAGAACGGGTTGTACCCTATCGACATGACCATCGGGTAGGTCTGGAAGGCGGTGGTGTCGCCAGTCGTTGCGGAGGAGGAGAGATCGGGGTGGCCCGCGGGCAGGGCCAGGGATGCGTAGCCAAAGTAGACGCCCGACTTTGCGTCTTCGATCCAGGGAGTCACGGCGCTGTCGACGGGCAGGTTGGCAGTAGGGATGCCGAGCTGGGTTGTTATCACAGTCATGTTAGCTCGACTGCCCCCCTCGACTGGCCCGCACGGACAGGAGCACAATCCTCAACGCAAACCCCTCCAAAACACCGGCTTGCGCTGCCCACAAACGAAAGCCTGATACCCAAAGAAAGACGAAGGACCCAAAAAGGAAATCACGCCATGCGCGTGGGAACAGGGCGAGCTTGCTTACCTCCTTCGAACCCCTCCCGAACCCGGAAATAACCGTGCCCTCCATGTGCAGCGGGAACGGCGCCTCAGGCCCGGTGTCGGCGCCTACGATGCGCGGCCGCAAGTCGCCCGACTTGGCCGTCTCTGATGTCGCCATCCTCTTGTTTATATTCCTCTTTTATATTTTTCTCGCTGGGGTTTGCTGCTGCTGCAATGACGGCGGAGGAGGGTTGTCGCGCGCGGATCTGTAGGTCTTCTCCCTACTGTTGTTCTTCTCGTAGTTTTGCGCGATGAAGTTGCACCGGGGTTTTGTCGTCGCCGTGTCGCTGCTCCTTGCGGGGAAGGAACTATGTGGTAGCCCGTGCCTGCGGTCTGGCGCTGCGGGCTAAAGGTCGTAATGATGGTGGTGGTGCTCAAGCTTATCCAGATATCGCGGGGTTGGACGCTGGCGAACCGGACGGGTGTGGAGAGCACAGTCCAGATGGAATCTGTCTCGTCTTGGAGCAAAGAGGCACAGGTGTGTGCACAGTGCTTCTGGAACGTTTCAGGAAGAGGAGGAGGAGGAGGAAGAGAGGGCAGAAAGGTCTAGTAGACGGCGCGGACAAAGGACAATGGAGCTGTCATATATGCATGGAAGGCTCGGGAACACCACCCGCTAGTCTACTCCCCTTCGAGCTCCTCCTCGAGTCGAGCTGACGCCTGATAAGCCCTGCAGAGCAAGGGCGGCGGCGTGGTGGGGTTTGACGGCAGGACCCTGGATGCGCCGGTCCCGGCCCAGGCGGGGCAGACCACATCCATGGCATGGATAAGTAAAGGCACCTTAGGGTAAGTAAGCGTACTGATGGAAAAAGCATGCAGCAGCACTCATCTGGTGCCAGCCTTGCTCGTTGTTGGCCTTGGCAATCACAAGGGCGACAAAGTCACCAACCCCAATTCTGCATGTCAAAACCATGTAAATTCTGTACTCTCGACCAGGGTATTTTCCTCCCACCTTAAAAAGACAACAACAACCAGAAGTGACTGCGCTGCTCCTCCTCAGCGAAACGGCATTCCGCATAGATACACCTCTCGCACCTCGCTACATTATATACGTCCTTCATCACCCCCCTTCCAGGTCAAAAACATCCTCTGCCGTCCGCATCATTACCAACGGACCCGGTCTTCCTCAGTCTACAGCACAAGGAAGAATGTCTTGGTGAAAGGATCCTCGCAGAACTCGGCCTAGGAACTCTGCTGCTTCGCATGTGCCATCGACTTGAGCATCTGCAGGTTACGCTGCCGCATGTCGTTGTCTATCGACTGCAGGCCCTTGAGCGTCAAGTTAGCCTGAGCGAGCTATAGTCACACAAAAACACGCGTTAGTCAACTTCGCTCTCAGCACAAGTGGGCAAGCCTACCAGCAGCATAGGCTCCAAACTAGGGAATAGGGGCAGGGCGTTACTCTTCTCGGGTCACTCGACCCGAAAAGCTCAACGGCTAGCACAATGGGGGTTGGATAGTGCATGGGGACCTGCGCACCGCGCTGATTGCTGCCGAGGAATTGTCTGGCTCCTCACCTCCTGCCGCGTCCTCGCCGTCCTTGGTGGCATCCTCGTCATCATCGTCGGCAAATCGGCTGGCCGAGAGGCCCTTCTTCGAGCCCGCAGAGGCCTGCAGGTCAGAAAGTGTCAGTGCCTTTGCTTCGTGTCTGGTTAGTGATGGCACGACGTACCTTGGCTTCGGCAATCTCGGCATCCTTGACCTTGAGCTGAGCCTCCATCTCGGCAAACCGCGACTTGACATCTGCGGCCTCCTTCTCCGCCTGCTCCCTCTTCTTCTGCTGCTCCTCCACCATGGCGGTAAAGGTCTCCGTCATGTCCTTGTAGTCGGCCTCGGCCTTCTTGCTCTTGGCCTCGGCCTCGTTGAGGTGGGCCTCGAGATCCTTCTGAGCGAGGAGGGCATCCTCCTTGGACGAGTCGACCTGGCTAAGCAAAGACTTGAGCTCCAGCTTGGCGGCATCCAGTTCCTTCTGGATGGCGCCGAGCGTCTCGGTAGACTTTGCAGATGCGCCACTGAGCTCCTCGGCATGAGCCTTTTTCAGCGCTTCCAGCTGGGCTTTCAGGCCGTCGGCAACAGAAGTGTCGGGCTTCTGGTTCTTGACAGAGTCAAGCTCGGCCATGAGCTCAACGTTGTTCATCTTGGCCTCGGCAAGCTGCTGCCGAAGCTCCTCAACATCTTGCTGGACGCTGCTGAGCTCGGCGGCCTGGCCCTTAGCCTTGGCAAGCTGGGCCTCGAGTCCAACAACTTGCTCCTGAGCGGCAACCAGGGCATCCTTGGCAGCCTCAAGCGCCTGCTCGTTCTCCTCAGAGGAGCTCTTGTACGCGGCGACAAGCTCGTTCGCGGCCGTGACGTTCTCCTCGTGCGACTTGGACAGGTCCTGCAGAGCCTTGGCGTGGCGGGCCTCCATGGTGTCAAGCGCCTCCTTGTTTGCGGCAGAAGAGTCGTTCCGCGCCGCCTCGACGGCCTCGGACTGCATCGTGATCAGCTTCTCGATCTCGGCCGCGTGAGCCTCCTCGGTCTCCTTCTTAGCAGCCTCAAGAGCAGCGGCGTGGCTGGTCTTGGCGGCCGCGAGATCAGCCTGTGCGGCAGTGAGGGCCTCCTTGAGAGCGGCGAGTTCAGTTGCGTGGCTGCTGCCCTCCGCCTCGGTCTCGGCCAGTTGCTGCGCATGGCTAGACTTGAGCTCAGCAATCAGAGACTCGGTTTTCTGGGTGTGCGCCTCGAGCTCGCTGGCATGGCTGGCCTTGAGGGCCTCGAGCTCTTTGGCCAGAGCAGCTTCGCTCTCAGCCTTGGAAATCTCAATCTGCTTGGCGTGGCTAGCCTTGAGCTCGTCGAGCTCAGCAACTTGAGCATCGCGGTCAGCCGAAGCACCGCTCTTGGCTGCCTCAATCTCCATCGCGTGGCTGGCCCGCAGTGCATCGAGGGCCTTGAGGTGCTCCTCTTCCTTAGCAGCCAACGCCTCCACGGCAGACTGGTGCGCAGTTTTCAAAGACTTAAGCTCCTCGCCGTGAGATTCCGAGGCCTTGGCGTGAGATTGGGTGAGCTCATCGAGCTTGCTTTGCAAGCCAGTGTTGCCTTCGGTGAGCTCGCTGTGCTTCGCTACAAGATCGTTGTGCTCCTCCTCAAGCACCTGGAACTTGCGTTTGAAGAAGGCGTCGCCCTTTAGGCTCTCGATCTCGTCCTCGTAGTCCTTCGAGATCTGCTGCAGCTGCTTCTCGTGCGTGGCCATGGAGGTCTTGTGCTCCTGCTTCAGCTTCTCGTACTCCTCTTGCATCTCGGTGATCTGGCCTGAGAGGCCCGCGCTTGACGTGGCGCTCTCCTTGGCCTGTGACAACTCGCCCTGCATGGCATCAAAGTCCGCTTTGAACTTGGCAAGCTCTTCCTTGGTGGCCTCGACGATGGCGAGCGATTCGGCGAGCTTGGTCTTGACCTCGGCCAGCTCAGCCTCAGCAGCCGCCAGAGCCTCCTTGTCCTTGGCCGAAGCGGCCTTGAGCTCTGCGAGCTCAGCCTCAAGCGTAGCGATCTTCTCGGAATTGGCTGCGCCCTCCCCTTCGGCATCTGCAGTGAGAGAGTCGATCTTGCTCTGCAGCGTCTCGTTGGTGGCTTTGATCTCGGCAATGGCCTTCTCCAGATCGGCAGAGGCAGTCTTACCCTGCTCCAGATCGCCCGAGTGAGCCTCCTTCAGAGCGGCAATCGCAGCTTGGTGCTCGTCCTCGAGAGCCTTCTGCAGCTCGTCGAGCTTGGTGGCATTCTCAGCCTGCGCCTTGGCAAGAGCAGCCTCGCTATCCTTGGCACCAGAGTCTCTATCGAGCTGGAGCGCGTCGAGCTTGCTCTGGAGCTCGCTGAGCTCAGTGTCTTTGCCTCCCTTCGCAGCGTTCAGCTCAGCGAGCTGCTGCTTGAACGAGGCGAGCTCCTCCTCGGTGCTCGTGAGCTTCTCCAGGGCGGAGTTGACCTGGGCATCAAGGTCTTCCTTCTCGGCGGCGTGAGCAGCCTTGAGCTCCTCGATCGCGGCCTCGTGATCCTCGGAGCTGTTATCATCCTTCGATCCGGCGCCGTTGGTAGTCGAGCTGATCCTCTCCTCGAGTTCGGCGATCTTGGAGTCGGAATCTGCAATCTGCTCCTTGAGCGAGTCGACCTCGGACTGCTTCTCGGCCAACTTGGCGTTCAATTCCTCAATCTGCTTGGAGGAAGCAGAGGGGGCAGCGCCGGAGACGGAAGGACGAGGCGCGTGCCGAGCAGTGGTCGTCGAGGCTGCAGAGGATACAGTCGAGAGCCGCTTCTTCGCGGCATCGGTAGTGCTCGCTGGCGCAGCAGTCCTGGTAGTGCTTGTTGCTGGCCGGCTGATGGTGCTGGTGCGCGAGGGTGCGGCGGTGGTGGTGGTGGTGGTAGCGGGCTTTCGCACAGTCGAGGTGGCGGTTGACGAGGTCGCGGATGGTCGGGTTGTCGTTGTTGTTGTTCTTGACGGGGATCCGAGGCTGCTGCCAGGCACGGTCGATGTGCGACGCGCCGCTGCCGAGGTCATGGTGCGCTTCTTCTCATCTTCCGAGACGGACGGCTGGGAGCGATGACTGAGGGACGATGAAGTCGCCGTGGCTGGCTTTCTCACGGTGCTGGTAGTGCCCGCCGGCGGGCGAGTGGGAGGCTTGGTCAAGCCGCTGGTGCGGGTCGTGCCGGTGGTGCCTACAGCAGAAGCCCGCGAGGTCGTTGTCGAGGTAGCAGTACCAGGGCGGCGGACGGTAGATGTCGTGGTACCAACACGCTTGGGCGCAGCGGCCTCACTCTTGGTAGTACTCGACGTAGACTTAGCCGTCGACTTGGGAGAGTCTGCCGCAGCTGTCCCCGAAGTGCCGGTGGTTTCCTCGCCCGAAAGGATAGAATCGTCAGCATGGGCGGCGTCGAAAACCTCGGCGTCAGACATGGCGGCTGCTGCTATAACGTCGTACAATCGTGTTTGCTGTTGTCGCAGGTTCTGTTAGTGGCCGAGTTCAAAACACCAATTGACATTCCGACAGCTGGGCAATAGCAGGTGATAGCGTCGCCTAGCTTGATTGGAGCTAACATAAAGGGGTTGGAGGGGTTGGGATACGACGGTGACAGAGGACGCAGGGATATGCCAGCTTGTCGGCTTCTGGCTTTGGGAGATGAGGCTGGCACCCGTGCGCTGGCTGCCATGATACTGGTCACGGAGCCCGAGGCAACCCAATGTGGTTCCCGTGACGCTCAGAGCTGTGAATTATAGGGCAGGCATTCTTACCTTCTATTCTCTAGCTCAAAATGTGATTGTTGAATGTCGTCTCAAGACGCGCTCGCGGGAATAGTCGTTCAGGGAGGGGACAAGCCGCAAGATAGCGGGCAGTCGGAAGCAGCCAAAGGAGTGACAGGGAGCTTCGTCGTAGTCCGGCGCCGATGTATGCGTGCTGGTCTCTTGGGAAGTCGTTTGTCGCCGTACAGCACTTACAACAAACCTCCAAAAGGGGGGAAAGGAGAGGAAAAGCGCGGGTGGAGGTAGAGCACCGGCAACGAGCTGTGGCGGCGGGCGGCTGGCGCGACTTGGGGGTTGCGCTACGACGACGTGCTGGAGATGACAGGTCCCCTGGTCCAAATTAATCTGGAGCTTAGCGGGCCACCGTCGCCGCCCGTCCACGAGCCGCCACACGCCCACCACCACCCACCGTTCGAGCTGCACTTGCCAGTCAATCAATGGCACGCAGCCCCGGGCTGGTGGTGGCACTTCTGAGGGCCCCTGGAAATGATCGTCTCAGCTCTCACAAGGGCCTCTCCCACAGCGAGCGGCACGATAAGGTGGTCACTTAATCTCACTGCTCACCTGATCGACTACTTACGATTCATACAGGTCCGGAAAGCAAGAAGGATACAGATGTGCATGTTGGGCAAGACTAGTCCGCCTCAGCCCGGTCACGATGCATTACTAGCTGTTCTTTGCCATCCCGGTGAGCACACCGCCGTCGCAGCTCATCGAGATGCCCCAAATGGTTGTTGAGCCTCCAAGAACTATTACAGTCCTTTGTCAATGCATGGTCTGGTTGAGCATGCGCAGCAAGCACGAGTACGACGCCATCAAGAACATGACGAAACATCGAATCAAGTCGAAACGGAACAAATTGGGGTCCCACCCAGCGGGTAGCCAAGGCCCAGAAAAAAGAACACCTGAGCAACACAATCCAGGCACCGCCGGCGCCGGATTGGCTGGAGAAACATGAGCCCTCGATTCCAACCTTAAAACGTTTCCGAAAATGATACTCCAGTCTGCCCAGGTGATTGCTCCATGTAGCGTGAAAACCTACCTGCCGCATACCTCCGTTGATCAATAGCTTCTGTTTACACACAGATGTTCCTCAACCACAGCGCCCCATTTCATGACTCAACAACCAACAAGTGGAGCTCCAATCTGGAAACCAAATGGAGGCCCCTTATTTCTCGTGTCTATTATCAATCTTGTTGTGATAGCTCTACCAAAATGACCCTCTGTAATAGCGAAGGTCACGAAGTGATACTGTAATCGAGCTGAAAGCAAGAAACGCCAATGCTATGCTTTTCCCCGTAAAACAAATTCTTGCAAAGCTTTTGGAGGGTTTTTGGTTTTCCTCGTTGTGATGCACCCCCATGGACGACAAAAACTCCATAAAAGTAATGTTGCGTATCGTCGAATCGGTGACGGCAAGGATGGATATTTGCAGTCTGCCTCAAGTCTGCCCCTGCAATTTCCCAAAGCCACCAGTAAGTCCACTGTGCCGTTGAAAGCACGATACCAAGTTGTAGAGCTATTCAGCAACGAGCCAATGTAGCTGGTGCCAAGCATTGCATTGCAAGTCACGGGATCACCAATCAACCGCGCTTCATATGACTGTAGTCCTGCAGCAGATGTGCCATGTGCACGTTCTGTTGCTGCTTGTTGCTGCGGTTCGAGCGCTTCTTCTGCTTGACATTCTTGGGCGCGTCGAGCTTCTTGAGCCTGGGATCCTCGCTGGCAGGCTTCTGCCCTACGGCTGTGAGCTTGCGCACAATGTCCTCGAGAGTCGGCAGTTGAACCTTCTGCCACATAACGCGGAATTCGGGATCGACGTGGTGCGCCAGCGTCGGGTCGTCGATCCAGATGTATCGTGCGTGGTTGTCCTTCTTAGTGCGCACGACGATAATCTTGTGTTCGGCCTCGAGCTCGTCAATCGCCTTGTCGCAGTTGGGCCAGCCGTCCTTGAGGTCCTTGACCGAGATGAAGCTCGCGTCCGTCTTGGCCTGCAGGCACTCGAGCAGCGTCGTCTTGCTGTTCACGCCCGGGATGAGCGCGCGGAACTCGAACTTGCCTTGCTTCCACGTCGGCAGCTCCGAGTTCTTCAGGCGCGGCTCCGCAATGTACGTCATCTTGGGGTGCCGCCGGCACATCTGATAGAACTCTCGCTGCGCGCTGTCGGGCATACTGAGCAGCGAGAGGTACTCGAGAATGTCTATCAGGGACTTGGGCTCTCCCTTGTTCTTGAGAAACTCGACGGCGTAGGTGAGCTGCGTGAGCATGTTCTCGCCATACTTGACGTTGGTCGCAGCGGCGGCCGCCGGCGTGTTGGGCGATGGTTGGTCGCGTATCGAGCGGATGCCACCGAGCTTGTCCTCCCGCTTGATGCGCTTCGATGGCGTGCCCTCGGCCTTGGAGGTGTTGCTCGCATTCGATGGTGATGGGGACGGCGGCGCCAGGCGCTTGGTGCCCGCGTTGAGCTTGCTTGCCGCCGTAAGACTCGACATCGTGACTGAGAGAGCGGCGGGCTGGCCCAAAGATTGGCAGGTTCGAGATAGTGAGCGACGGGGTGATTTCTGGGTGGGGGCGCACCGGCGACTTGTGATGCGGCCTCGATGAGGTCGATGAGGTCGGAGCGAAAGAACGCCAGTCGTCGAGCCTGCTCGATACGCAATGATGAGCCTGGGCCAACGGCATGGGTGGACCTTACGTAATCCGGCCTTCGCAAACGATTGCTGTCATTCGTGACTCGCCAATTGCCTCGAACCGTGGGCAATGTATGGCATTTTCGCTGCCACACCTCGTCGGTTGAGGCATTCAGAATGCTCAATACATCAAGAATTCCCTGTCTGGCGTAAGGAGTTGGGATTATTGGAAAGCACTATCAATCTGCGTTAGTCATGGCCACCAAGTTCCCAATCCACCGCGGTTAAGGACCACTTGTCGATCTTAAATACGGAATTCACAGAAACGGTTCGGACATGAATGGACTGCCCGTATTCATCACTCGCGAGGGTAGGGTGTATAGATTGTATTTCAAATTCACGGAAACAATGCCGGAAAGGATCGATTGATATGGTTGGCCAGATATTGCGAGAGTCAGAACTATCTGTGTGGCACATCGCCAGCAGTCAAGAAGTAGCGGCATACAATCCATGCCAAATGTAAGGACAAAACACACCATTGCATGCTGGCGTTGCCTCCCAGATACGCGTCTGCAGAAAAGACATTGGACAAAGTCACAGTGGGCGGAACGACCTGCGATTTAAGTACCTAGTACAGGTAAAAGAACTCGTGCGACAGTAAGCCGGCTGACCTATTCCAGGATCGCACGGCCACTTTGCCGCGCGGCACCATGGCTGGCCTAATCTTTAATCCTCCATGGCCAACTCAAACCTGCCAGGTTGGGTACAGAGCGTGCTCATTTGGAATTCTCTATATTCTCCGCGAGGCGCCCCAGCGCTACGCCAGCTAGAAACAGTCGAGTCTCCCATGAAATATGGCAATATGTACTCCAAGAAAGATGTAGGACTCAAATGCTCCAAGCCACTCTGAGATTCGATCTATGCCGCCTCATCAGGAATCAAGGTGGTCTTATAAAAGACAAGAAAGCAGCATTGTGTGCCTCACGATTATTTCCACGCCATCTCCACCCCTTGTAAACCCATCCCCTTGAGCAGATAACTTAGAAGAGCTTCTTGCCCTGAGAAGACTGGTAGGCGGCGTAGGCGGCAATGCCACCAGCGATGAGCACGCCGTAAATGGCGGCGCCAAAGCCAGCGGAGCTCGTGTTGGCCGGGGCGGCGGTAGCCTGTGTCGTGGCCTTGGGGGCAGGGTCGCCGGGCTGTAGAGTGCCGCAAGGCCGTCAGTAAGAAGAATTACGCAGACGACTTAAAGATCTTGTCGGTCGCCGGTGTCGACTTACCAGTCTCTTCAGAGTACCGACGAGAAGCTGCTCGAGGGTCTCGCGGGCCTCGTCGCTGTGGCCAACATCCTCAAAGGCCTCTGTCGCATCCTGGCCAGCAACGTCGAGCATGACCTCCTCACCACCACTAAATACGGGCGAGACATGTTAGCAGTTGTCTTTCTGTTATCGGCATTCTCCGAAAGCCTTCCATGGTTCCCTGTGCTGGTGGACTGTCGAGATTGAGGCTGTACTATGGAAATCGAACGGCTTTTTGCGCCGGGATCTCGGTAGTAGAACCGTGCTCGTTGATGACGGCATCCGGCACATGATACTCTGTGGATAGGTAGTGAAGAGGCCGGGGCTGTACTCACGGGTGCTCGTCGACAAACTTGCCGCAGTCGTAGACCTTGTCGTGGACAACGAGGAAGCAGTCCTTCTTGGTGTTGTGCTCAGCAACATCCTGGTAGGTGTACTCCTTGGTGGCCATTTTGACGGTGTTTGTCTGTTTTCTTTTCGTGCGAAACGCGGAGATCGGAAAGGAGAGGCCTGCGGCGTAGAAGTGTCGGTCGCGAAGGAGCGGTGGTGGGACGATGGACAGGTTGGGGAAGGAAGCAAGTGGTGGTGTGAAGAGGAGGCTTCTCGAAGAGCAGCGACAACGGGCGCGGTGTGGCCCGCCGAAAGATAATTGATAGGGTCCTCGCCCAGAACTTGCGCTAGCTCAAGGGGCTTCGATTGGCCACGCCGCCTGCTTCCGCCCAGCTGCCCGCTGCTTTGCTCACTCACCAAATCGTGCAACTCCCCTCCTTCTCCTCAACGGGCCAGGGGTCCGCCTAAGTGAATCTCCCACCTGCCCCCATATGGGGATCTACCGACAAAGATTGCCGCCACAATCTGGCATCAGTCTCAACCTTCCGATTCGTCTTGCCGACGAAATCACGCAGGTAATCCGCGTTGATGTGGCATAGCTAGTTTACTTCTCATACATTTCATGCCAGTGACCTCTGCTGCCTAAGGTTGTTCGTAGTTCCGAGCACCTATCTTGGTACTTGAGGATGTTCTCCTCCCTCGGTAAGGGGATGTGAGCACCAAGTGACCTCAGCCAATCAGCTGGCACATTATACACATGAAGGAAAAACTGGGCTGGCCACGTCGCCAGCATAAGCCTACCAGGTCCAGGGGGGTCTGCCGGACATTCTGTAGTCCGCAATGGCACGAATTCCTTTCGATGAAAACATTACAGAGTAGCTTGGACACGCAGTGCTTCCAACATGCCCGATAGGAACGCATAGCCTACGTGCTGGCCATGTAGGATCCTGCAGCCATCAACCCCGCCTCTTCCGCAACTTCCGAAATCCGTCACTACGAGGAGGTGTTCGTGCTCGAGCAAGGCTGGCCCGGTCCAGTCGACACATGCAACCCAGATGCTCCGGCTGTCATGCATGCTCCTAGCGATGTCACCACCCCGGCGCTGTATAGCCGTCGCGCCTCGGCCCACGAATTTCCCGTGCCGCTGGGTTATGCACACAATACTCGCGTCCGTACTCGTGCTCGCGCTCGCGACCCATGCGGGGAAGAAAGGGCCATCGCTGCAGTCCTAGGTACTAAGTAGATTATCTTGGCCGAGCATCGGACGATCCGCCTGCCGCCTTGTCGGCAGTGCCGCTCTTGCCAACCGGCAGTATTCGCCGCATAAATTTATGCGTTGACAAGAGGTGATCCATATCCAAGGCGGATTATCTGGGGTCCACTGGATGCCATTCCCTATTTTAGTCTTACTATCCGACTCTAGCTATTGGTTGCAAGCTCAAGCATGCCCCCGAGCGGAGGTGGGCCCCGATTGAACTGCGACAGCTTCCGAACAAACAGCCAAGTCCGCTAACACCCACCCGTCTGGTTCACAACATCCGACCTCTTGACAACCGATTCTCCGGAAATAGACCTCCAGACCTCTTGCACTCGCGTCATATATACCAACGAAAGATATTCGAGTCTGCCAGCACCTGCTAGACACGTTCCGCAGTGAGTCCATGGCTTGGACGGGTGCTTATTGAGTTCTAGCACAATGCACGAATGGCTCGAGTCGATTTTGTAGTTTTCGGGCATGGACCTGACTTGTCTCCCTCCTATCTCACCACTCCGACGCACGACGCAGTCTCAGCCGAGGAGGGAGTCCTATCGTCCCAGCCCTGGTCTCTCGCTCTACTTGGCATAGAAACGCTCGCGCAAGCTTGACAGCCCTCGGACCTTATCCTCTTACCGCCGCGAACTACCTCCACCAATATCCTGGCCGACCCGGTAGCTCGTGATCTTGTCCCACTCGATCTTTTGCCTCGTGACGGGCAGCTGCCGGCGCAGACCCTTGAATGCGCCCTCGCTCAAGCTCGTAAAGCCCCGGTTAAGCTCCTCTTGGTACTTCTTCTCCGTCGCCGCGACCTCCTTGGCGATGCCAGCGCCAGTGCCTGAAGACACAGAGCCGGTGACTGGCTTGTTCGTGATCAACCGTACGTTTCCGTCCTCGTAGTAGTGCACGTCGACCTTGATGCTTCCCTCTAGGCTGCCAGACGAAGGATCAAAGATGTAGAGGGAGCGCCAGCGACCGTTCCTGTATCGGGTCAGATTATCCGTGCCTGTATTCCAGCGACTTAGATAGCTGGGCCATTATGGAGAACCTTACCAGAAATTATTGGGGCTGTACTTGTTGGCGACAATGATCACGGCAACTCTGCTGTCGTTCTCGATGGGGTAGACGCCGTACGACGCGTTGGCGAAGTGTTCCTTGACGTATGCCGACAAGCTCTTCAATGTGGATTTCCTGCGCATACCCAAGTCAGCATTTCCCGTCGTGCTCGATTCATAAGCCGCAACCGGGCACCCATAGTTCTTCTTACACAAGGTCTGCCTGTGCGCCTTCCAGAGCATAGCTCTGCACGGCACTGGCCTTCTGTGTGGTGTGATCGAAGGAGAAACTGGAGGAGCTCTCCACGTCGAAGTATCGGCCGTCGCCAAGGGAGCTGAAAGAGCTGATGATGACTTGCTGACTGCTTTCGGGCAGCTTCACCGTGACGAATTGCTCCTCATTGTACCTTTCGAACGCGGGCTCGAGCTCCGCAATCAGGTCTGGCTGCTCATTGATCGTGAGGGCCTTGATATCTGCAGCGGCGAGGAGGGGTTAGGCTGTGGTTTTGTAGAGCGGCTACAGGCTACCTCGGGGCTCGGGCTCGGGGAGGGTGGTTCGCGCGTACCGGCAACGACATCTGCGAGCTGAGGAGGGACACCGGACCAATGTCAGTGGGATTGCCTTGAGGTTTTGCCGCATCGCAGCTACTTCTGGTGCGATAGTGAATGGGGAGCTTACCTCTCCTGGCGGGGCACCGTGCACGAACGCCTCGACGGTCTCCAGGACCGACGCCATCATGGGATCTCGTTTTGATACAGTGGGTTCTCGTTGGTGTCTGTTATTGAGCTCAACGTTCGGGAAGATGGCGAGAGCTGTTGTGCTGGTTGTCTGTAGTGACACTTCCCGGCGAGAAGCGGTGCAGGGGGCAGGAAGGTGCGACCTGCTCTCACAAGGCGGGGCAGCCTTGTCTCCACTTCCGTGGTTGGCAACACTCGTTACATCCTCGTTAAGTCACAGCCAGGCACAATATTCCGCTTCTAAAGGCAGCGAAACAACTTTTGGCCAGATGATTTTGGTCTTTTGAAATACTCTAGCGGGGCTTATGCAGGAATCTTCCGGTGCTTTTGCCGACTCTAAGTTTTGACGTGTGGTGGTCCGCGCTCGTCGACCCAATTGACCCGAACCTCATCCTGACTTTCTGACTTTCTCTAACGCCCTTCCACCGTTTAGAAGTTGGTCAACTTTTTGATCGTATCGTATACGCCTGGCAGAGAGTCAGCAGCTTCTATCAGATCCACATGTTGTCGTGGGATCGGCTCGGGCACTTACGGGAAACATCGGGAGCGTTAAACTTTTCAAACATCAAGGGCGTATGGATGCTCCAGCCTGCAACACGAGCCACTGGAGCTTCCAGCCGGAGGAACGTCTCGCTGTCCTCCTGGATCGCGGCGGCAACCTCGGCACCAATACCAGCGTTGATCATGGCTTCGTGGACTACCATGCAACGACCAGTCTTTTGGACACTCTTAAAGACAGTCTCCTTGTCCCAAGGGTACAACGTCCGCAGGTCGATGAGCTCAACTGAGACACCGAGATCCTCCTCTGCCTTCTTGAGCGCCTCGTTGCAGATGTACAACGGCTGACCATAGGATATTATCGTCACGTCCTTGCCCTCTTTCAAGACCTCAGCCTTCGACAATGGAAGCGTGTACGCCCCGGTGGGGACCTGCTCGACAGCAGCGCGGTACAGAATCTTTGGCTCCATAAATATGCACGGATCGTTGCTTCTGATCGCGGACAAGAGAAGACCTTTCGCTTGAAGCGGCGACCTGGGCATGATGACCCGCAGACCGGGAATGTGTGTGAACAAGCTCTCGGGGGACTGTGAGTGGTAGAGCGCACCGTGACCAACACCACCACAAGGCATTCTGACAGTCAGCCCACCAGCGCTCCGGCCACACGTGCCGTCGCGGTATCTAAACTTTGCTGCCTCATTGACGAGCTGGTCGAAAGCTGGGTAGACGTAGTCGGCGAACTGAATCTCGGCAATGGGCCGCATGCCCTGTGCTGCCAATCCGATACCAAAGCCCATGAGACCTTGTTCTGACAGGGGCGTGTTGAACACGCGCTGGCTCCCAAAGTCGTCTGCCAACTTCATTGTGCAGCGAAATACACCACCAAAAGCGACATCCTCGCCAAAGATGACGACGTTCTCATCCTCGGATAGCGCGATTGCCATGGCGTCATTGATCGCTTGGAACAGGTTCATCTTCTTGGTCGTGCCGTTCTTGACCTCGGGCGACAGCTCATGGCTGCTCAGCGCCGCCTGAGAGCTGTGAGCGAGCAGAGGCGTGGTGGAGTAGTCAATGGGCTTGTTGAGCCTCGCATTAGGCGCGTGTGTCGAGTACTGCCTCCTCCGCAATTGTGAGCATGATGTGGCAGCACAGGCGTGACGAGGCATGTCGGCTTTGAGCCTTGATGCGGACAAGACCCTATCGAGGCGCCGGAGCGCGGCGGACGGCTTCGTCATGGTGGGCGGGAAGGAGTTGTTCGATTGTGCAAGGGCTCGGCAGCAGAGGCTGTCGAATCGCGAGTGTCCTGCTTGTTACCGTGGTTGGGATTGGGATATGGACAAAGCACTACGCACTCACACTCGGGGAGGTCAAAGAGTGCTGCTATCTTCTTACAAAGGGTAACGTGGTGAGCGCATGGCTTCCCTCGGATGCACTCGGCCGGGTACCAGCGGCATGCAAAGGCACCGAGAGCCCTGGAGAGCCGGCGTTACCCCAGCTTTGCTCTTGTGCCCCCCGCGCGGGTCCTGGAGTAAAGGCGCTGTGCTGGCGCTAGGCCCTGTTGGGACGGGGATCCACTCGCCCGGGAGACGGCTGTGCGGCGGCGTGGCGCCGAGATCGTTGCTGGGCCAACGTGGCTCGGCGGGCGCATAGACCAGCAAGGTGACGCAGCAGGCTTCTGATTCTTGGAAGTCGATGCAGATGGGCCCTGGCCAGTTCAATTGCCCTGGCTATTAGCTTCCGTGGCTTTTGCAGACAAAATCGCCGGCCCTGCTGAGGCTCTGCACCGCCGATCTTGCATCCAACCTTGAGACACCTTGCGCCACATCAAAACACCTCACGAAGAGAGTGAGTGAGTGACAACGACCATCACTCCTCACAGTCCCACGACTACTGTCTTTCCGCAATCCACATTCCAACTACGAGTGGGCGCTAGCTAGCTGCATGCCCTCAGGGCTGGCCACAACATTCCAGCGGCACCAACAACGTCCCGGTCGCTGTCTCAATTGAGTCATGCCTTCGCACGACACTTCAGACACGGACGACCGGCGGCGGCGGCGTCACTCATCTACAGCACGGCACGAACGTTCCCACCACAGGAAGCAGAGCAGCCATTCTCGCGACCCCGACCGCCACCACAAACGCAGTTCTAGGACCAACACGACTAACCCAGAAGACCCAACATCGCCGGAACCTGCTCGCCGACGACACGCCGACGATCACAGAGAACGCAGGCGTTCCCAGGCTGCTGCCAATGGCGGCGGTGGTGGAGGTGGAGGTGGTAGTAGCAGACGGCCGGAACATTCCCGTGACCGGCCGCGGCGGCGGGAGTACGACGCCGTAGAGACACAGTACGACAGTCCCAAGAGGCACGAAGAGCGGCAGAGAAGTCGGCATCACAAAGAGTCTGACCGCGAACATGACACCGCTCGGAGGGAGCGTCGACGGAGCGAGGCCGCGCGGGACCGCAACCACCATGAGCGCCGCGAGGAGCACCGCAGTCGAGATCGCCGGAGAGCCACGGGGTACGGGGAGACGGACTCGGAGTTCGATACACCGCAACGGCAACGTGATAGACGGCGGCATCGAAGGCACGAGCCCGAGCACGACGAGGACGACGTCTCCGACGACGACAACGACGATGACATTAGCCGGGACCGGCCTCGGGGTCATTACAGGTCCTCTCGAGGACCTGCTGTCCCTGCACCGGCTGCTGGTGTCATGACCGAGGACGAAAAGAGAGAGGCTCTGTTTCGAAAGAAACGGCGGCTTGTCAGTGGCGCCATTGTCGAGGAGGGCCGCGCGCCGCCGACGATGAGAGGCGGTGCTGGCAACCGGGACACGGCGAGCAGTTACGATAGTCTCCTGAGAGAGAAAGAGGGCGTGAGTACGACGGAAGCCACGCGGTCACGATTTTGGCGTCCGAGGGGTTTCCGGTGGGCCAACCAGAAGAAGAAGAGATGTGAGTATGCCAGTTTGGCAGGCGCGAATGGTTATGAGTGTGGAGCCTGACTTTAAAACCACAGGGATCATCGGCGGCATATTCCTGGCTATCCTCATCATCGTCATCGCCGTAGCAGTGACTGTGAGCAAGAACAAGGCCGCTGCGGCCGACGACAAAGGCGGCGACGACCTCGCCACGGTCAACAAGGACAGCATCCCCACCGCAGCCAGAGGAACATACCTTGACCCGTTCACATGGTATGACACAAAAGACCTCAACGTGACGTACACAAACGCCACGGTTGGCGACCTTCCGATCATGGGGCTGTTCAGTGAGTGGGACGACTCGGCCCGGGCAAACGACAAAGTGCCGCCCCTAGACAAGCCGTGGGGCGACTATACCAAGACTCCCGCCCGAGGCGTCAACGTGGGCGGCTGGCTGAGCCTCGAACCATTCATCACGCCGTCCTTGTTTGCATACGACAGAAAGCTGGGCATCATTGACGAATACACCCTCATGAAGCACCTGGGCCCCAAGACGGCGGCATCGACGCTGGAGAAGCACTACGCGACATTCGTCACCGAGCAGACATTTGCGGATATCCAGGCTGCCGGGCTCGACCACGTGCGAATCCCATATAGTTACTGGGCAGTTGAGGTGTATGACGACGACCCGTATGTTTTCCGTATCTCGTGGCGGTACTTGCTGCGTGCCATCGAGTACTGCCGCAAGTATGGGCTCCGGGTGAACCTTGACCTCCACGGCATTCCTGGATCGCAGAATGTAAGTTATAACCATTGCTGGCGCCACTGACTACCACGGAACGAATTTGGAATTAACGCATCGTCCTCTCACGCATCAGGGCTGGAACCACAGTGGTCGCTGGGGTCAGGTCCGGTGGCTGAACGGCACAGACGGGACCCTCAACCGACAGCGCAGCCTGGACGTGCACGACCGACTGTCCAAGTTCTTTGCGCAGGACCGGTACAAGAACATCATCGCCTTTTACGGCCTCGCCAACGAGCCGCGGATGGTCGACCTGCCGGCGGCGGCAGTGACCTCGTGGACGACAGACGCGTACAACCTGGTCCGAGGCAACGGCATCTCCGCCAACGTGGTCTTTGGCGACGGGTTCATGGGCCTGGAGAACTGGCAGGGCAAGCTGACGGGGATGAACAAGCTCGTGCTCGACGTGCACCAGTACGTCATCTTCAACAAGGACCAGATTGTCTACACGCACCAGAAAAAGGTCGAGTACGCGTGCGACGGGTGGACGCAGCAGGCGCAGCTGAGTATGGACACGAGCACCGGGTACGGCCCGACCATGTTCGCCGAGTGGTCCCAGGCCGACACGGACTGCGCGCTGCACCTGACCAACGTGGGCTGGGGCAACCGATGGACGGGGACGTACGCGTCCGGCGACGCCAACGCCGCGCTCACGCCGCGCTGCCCGGCGCAAGACAGCTCGTGCTCGTGCGACGAGGCCAACAAACCGGACGCGGGGAGCTTCAGCGCCAGCTACAAGCAGTTCCTCAAGATGTTTGCCGAGGCGCAGATGCACTCGTTTGAGAAGGGCTGGGGCTGGTGGTACTGGACCTGGGACACGGAGAGCGCGCCCCTGTGGAGCTACAAGAAGGGCCTGGCCGCGGGGATCCTGCCCGCCAAGGCATACGACCGGGACTTCAACTGCGACGCGGATGTGCCCGACTTTGGCAAGATGGGATTGTCAGAGGACTACAGGCGCGAGGTCGGCGTCAGCGGGGCGGAGCTCGAGGACGCGGAGCTGGTGGTTGATACCCGGGTCGACGCGGTGCTGGAGAACCGGATGACGCTCGAGGAGCTGATTGTCGGGGTGTGAAAGGTTGATGAAGAACAAAGTTGGCAGGTGCTGACAAGCGAGTGGTTCTCCTGTGCATTTTTTTTTGCCCGAGATCGAGGCACAACTCGGGCGTGTGAACTTGGATATCCTGTAAAAAGTATAGGGTTGCTGGCTGCGATGCCAAGCCAAGCGGCCCGTGATGAGAGATCATGGTTTTCCCCTTTACGTTATGACATAGACACACATAATGAGACATTGATTTGCATTTTCACGATAGAAATGGCGGGCGGGCTCGTGTGACAACAATATCTTTTTGATACATGCTCTTGGGATCTGAGGATTTTATTTTATTTTTATTATTTTTCTTTTTTGGTCTTGTTTTGCATCACCACCAACCATACGCCTCATGTGAATCTCCAATCTCCTTGGAGTAGAATGGAGCACTCCAAGCGTCGAGGGCCCTTTCTCTCATTTCTGTGCTCACACAGTTCCAGGTCCTGGCCTGGGAGTTACCCCGACGGTTGGTTGTTGGCGACCTCGGGAGTTGCGTGCCTGCGTAGATCACGGTAGACCGTGTGGCCGGGAGTGGGACCCTCAGCGTCAAGCCGTCATACCAAAACTGACGTCAGGTAAGCTGGTTCACCAGCAGAAACTAGCACGCCACGCTACACACACACACGCGCGTAAAGGTTGATAGGTATCATTGATTACTCGGGCCACCCGCCCGCGCGACGGAGGCGGCGGGGTCGCCGGCATCATCATGCTCCTGCTCACAGCGTCGAGACGGCTGGCTCCCCCCGTCTTCTCTGCAGCCCACCCCCTTTGCAGGTCCCATTCCTCGACGAGCGCGTCATCGGTGCCGAGACCGCCACGCCGAGCAAAACCAGCATCGTCAGCATCACCGGCGGTGTCACCACCAGAGTCCTCACCAGAACCCTCAGAGTGGGCACGCTTGTCGCAACTGCGTCGAGAATCAAGAGACCAAGCCACAGACTGGGGCAGCGATCTCCCGCGCTGGGCGATCAAAGCAGTGCTCGCAAAGGAGAAGAGGAAGGCTACGCCGAAGATGGCTACACCGAAGATGGCGGCCTCGAATCTGCCCGTGTCCAACCCCAACGCTTCCCCAGGTGAGAGGGATAAGGCTCCCGGTGACGCAGCGTATCGCCAGGCCATGCCATTTGACAAGGGGCGGCCAGAAGCGGCTCCTCGTAGGCGTGAAGCTGAGCGGGACGAGCCTGGTCAAGAGGGACACCGGCCGAAGAGACGACGGCACCCAAAGCAGCCACCACGGCACCAAGTCGACCTGTCGGAGATCGAGCAGCCGTACGCCGTGGCCCTCGAGACCGACAAGCCGCACCGGGACGCCATCTCGTCCCTGCGCAGGCAGTACTTCCCGCCCGAACGGCTCAAGGTGGACGCCCACCTCACAATCTTCCACGCGCTGCCGGGCGACCGGCTGCAAGACATCCGCAATGTCCTCACGCGCGTCGCCGGGACGATCAGGCGGGAAGGGCCCGGGAGCATGAGGAAGCTGCGGAATCTGATGCACGGCAAAGCGGCAAAGCAGCAGGCCAGGCCTTTGGGCAAAAAGGCCGTCGAGGCGCAGGCACGTGCAGACGGACGGTTCAATCTTCACATCCGGCCGCGCGGCGACAGCGTGTCCGGTAGCAGCACAGCCCTGATGCTACAGCTCAGCAAGCCAGATACACTGCAGCAGATCCGACGGCAGATGCAGCACGCGCTGCAGCACCTTGGCGTGCCCCTGACTTCGCAGGACCTGAACGAACACTGGGGGCCGCACTACACGATCGGCAACTATTTTCAGAGTCCAGAGGCCCGCGAGGCGGCGGCCCGGGATGCCGAGGTCGCGCTCCGCACTCCTGGGCTGAGCTCCGTGAGGCACGGCAAGGCGCACGGCTTGGTGTTGTGGCGATATGTCAATAAAGGCTGCGACAAGGGCCAATGGGTCGATCCCGAGAGGTTCCTGTTCTACACGCCCGGTGAGGGTGAGGATGGAGAGGAAAGCCCGCCCCTAGCCAAAGAGGACGTCCGGCCCGTTTCCGATCCTGGGCTGGATGACGGTGCGCGATAACATCAAGCGCCCTCCTTGGCCAGGAAACAAAATTAAAGATTGTGGTGCGGAGATGGAAACTAATACCGATAGGGAATCATCAGCAAAATGATCAGCTGAATAGGACTAGACAGCGAAAGAGCTCGTTGCGGAAGGCCTTGGCCACGCTGGGCGACGACAGCGACAGTGCGTAAGGTCGAGAACCACTGCACGGCCGTATAGAAATGATACACAAATGTCAACCATTGAACGCAAAGTCTATATTAAGGGCATGGAAGCCCATCGTGGAACGATGGACATCCATACGATCATCCCTGCTGTACCATCACCTATTATCAAAATGACCGATTTGAAGCCATATCGCCCAAGAAAGGCGGACGTCCGCACGTGATTCAACACAATTCTCTCGGCTAACACGAAAGCACCCATCCTAACTACACACCAGGCCAGAACGATCAAGCCTTCCACTCATCCCTCCCCAACTTGAGGATATCCTTGCCCTCGAGCACCCAGTACCCCTCCTGGCCCTTGGGCACTTTTCCCTCCTTGGCCGCCATGACGGCCGCCAGCCCGGCCTTGGCGATGACGTCGGCGTCCTGGCCCATCGCGTCCCGCGCGCCCTGGCTGATGTACGCGAGGCTGTTGACCGCGTTGTTGAGCCACGGCCCGCCCGTGTGCGGCCTGTCCCGGGCTCCCAGGATCGCCGCGGGCCGGAGAATGATGGCCTGCTCGAAGCCCAGGTCGCGGATGGCGTCCTCGACGCCCACCTTCATCTTGGAGTAGGGGATCATGGAGGCGATGTAGCCCCGCGTGCCGGCGGACGAGACGAAGAGGTACGTCTTGACGCCGGCGGCCTTGGCGGCTTTGGCGAGCTCAATGTTCACTTTGTTTTTTTCTCGTCGTCAGCAATCAATGTGCCAGTTGATCCAGAGGCACCTCAGTTAGGGTTCTTTGCTGCAAATTCCCAGCCAGAGGGGATCTGGCAAAAGTCAAAGAGGAAATAAGAAGAACCAAGAGAGAACTCACAGTCATGGTCAATCTTCCACTGCCCCTTCAGGCCGCCCGGGTTATTCCTCGTCGTGCCCAGCGCAGACATAACGACATCCAGGCGGCCGCCTGCTTTGCCCTCGCCCGTGGCAATCTCGGCGAGCTTGGCAGCCCACTTGCCCCCCTTTCCTGGACCGTCGCCACTGCCGCTGCCGCTGTCTGCTTCTTCACCGTCGCTGTTGTCCTCGATGACGGCGGTCATCTTGCCCGCCGGCTTGACCGAGCCGTCCTCGGCAGAAGGCGAGGTATACGGCGCCCGCCGGGAGACGGTGTAGAGCGGGGAGAACTGCTCCAGCGCGGCGGCGGCGGAGACCAGGTTCCGGCCAGTGAGGCCCGTTGCGCCGAAGATGAGGGCGGAGATTGGCATCTTGGGTTTTTTTTCTCCCTTGGGGGCTTGCTCAGTTGTTACTTGATGTGTGTGTGTGGCGGGCTCTTGAAAACGTAATTAGTTATGGCTGATAGACGTGTATTTGTGCTGCCTCGTTTTTGTGTGGCTGAGTGTACAGAGACGAGCAGAAGATGGCTAGCCCGAGCAAGAGCCCCAGAAAGCCGGGAGCAGGTCGATTTTGGGTTTCAAGTGTGAGACGAAAGCTTGGGCGACAGGTATCGTTAAAGTTCAGTCAATATTGTTGACCGCGGGGGTGGTGGTTGGTGTTGAAGTCCAGAGCTGAAAGTGGCCGGCCGGGGACCAGGAACTACCTAGCGTGGCAGACGATAGCGTGCTCGATCGCTAAACCCACACACGTTCCAGTGATTGATGGCTACAGCACATCCTTGAGCTACAAGTAACGACTTCGAATACTTTGTATACGACTATAAAGACCAAACCAGGACAAAAACGCAGGCGCTTTTGTATCTCCTGTCCGTGGCGCCCGCCCTAGCTCTGAAAATGCGGGATCCTGCGTCAGGATTGGCAGGCTGCAGCCGCATTGCATCACCAGCCACGATGCAAGCAGCCCTGGAAGTCCGCATCCTGCCTGCCTGTGCCTGTGTGGTGCCATGGTGCGGAGCGGAGCGGAGCGGCGGCCGAAAGCCGCTGCCGGAAAGTAGACCTTAAATGGACGTGTGGCGGGCGAGATAGTGTCTGCGGTTTGCGTAGACCCCGAAAGCAATGCCCCAAGGCCCCGCCGCTTCAGTTACAGGGGAAGCCCAGGGCTGCAGACCTCGGACATTGGCGCAGCATATCCCCGGTGCTTTCAGAATGTACTTCTCTCGAGAATTTTCAGAAGATGAGACACGACTCAATTTGCAAAGTAACGCCGCGCCGTAATTATACTAAATGCTAGATGCCAATGCCGATGCTGATGCTCATGCTTTGCTAATGGAATTTCGCCTTCTGCTGCGTGGCCACTCAAGGATCACCAGATCCTCTTCGAGGGCCCCATCTCGTACCGCACAACCTTCTCCAGACCTTCGACGTCTGATGGCGCCATCGTTCCTGGCGGGGGCCCTGCGTTCTTCTCCTCTGTCTTGCGCTCTCGTGTCCGCATCTTCTCCAGGCCTTCTTTGTCGTCTTCGTAGATCCGCTTCCTTCGGTCATCCCCTAGCTCGACGGCTCCCCAACCGCCAATGCGCTTCACGCCCGGCTGGCTGTGAACTTCCCGCTCAGCCTTACCAGTGGCCACCAGGTGCTCGCGTAGTTTGACCTCTCCATAACGCTTGCGAGAGAAGTGCAGTAGCACCATCCCGAGCAGCAGCTTGACAATGAGCAGCACAACCCACGCCAGGAAGAAAAAGACAACCTTGGTCACGAGCGCGATGATGTCGTCAGAGGTATAGCTCCAGAATGGTCGCACCTGGGTCGTTCCGGTACCATCCCCGTATACGGCACGACCCAGGGCATTGCGAATCAGCGTGTCCAGATGCTCAAGCGCTGCCGTCATGGCAGGAGAGGATGGCGAGGACGACTCAATGGACAGGTCCATCGTTGACGTCGGTTGGGAGGGGGGCGGCAGGTGGGTGGCCAGGAACATATTGTACACCTGCAATGACGCACGAATAAACAGGCACGACAGGGGGATGAGTGGCAGGCCGATCCGACGAATTAGCGACGGCGCAGAGAATGCCTAGATCGATGGGTCAGAAGACAGCGTCGCGGATGAAGCCCAGCCGCAGGCAACGTACATTTGTGTAATAGTCCTTCGCCAGGACGTCCAGCATCCTGCTGTAGATGGTTGGCCTGATGTTGTTGAACTTGTTGATGTAAGCGTGCTTGATGTAGTCTACCGCAATCTCGATTCCGATGACAACAATAAAGGGCGAGACCACGTCGCCGGAGAACAGCCAGTTTGGCAATAGTTTGAAGCTGGCCGGAATGATCGAGCTCGTATGTTGAGGACCTGACTTGGCCGCTGCGCTTTCCCAGTCGGTACTGACGGAAGGCACCGACCAGCCCCCAACCTCGACGATGTTGCGCATGGCAATGATCAACAGAATAATCCAGAGCTGGAAACGCTCTACCACGTCGGCACATGTGAGCTGGAAGAGGTTCTCCTTCTCGATCTTCTTGAAAACGGCGCCCTTGATCTCAACGAATTGATTCGAGATCAGCAGGGTGAGCAGAGAGTTCGAGTACGAGTTGACTGCCACGTTGAGCGTAATGACCTGATAGAACAGACAGAGCACGTGGACAATGTTGTATACCAGAGTCACTGCAAACATGCAGAAGGGGAGCAAGAGCTTTGACCTTCCAGAACTGTTTCGAGAGAGAGTCTCGGAGCTGAACAGACATTCAAAGAAGTCCTGACCAACAGCTGATAGCAGGCGATCCCCGACCTAATCATATTGTGGTCAGTAAGACCCCAAAAGTACGTACGGTTGTGAATACCATGGGCTTACCTCGAGGATATTGTAGATAACGTAAAGCTTCATCGACGACTGCGCCCGGATAAAATGGTAGACTCGGCTGGCGTCAAGGTCCATCAAGGCGATGGAACTGCAGATGATGATTGCTCCCTGGATCAAATCGGCCTTGTGGTACGAATTGAGATTGGATGGCATCGATTTGGTCCGCCGATGTCGTGAAATGTTCTGCCGTGGCAAGGGGTGTTTGGGCGGATGGAACACGCGTGTCCCACTGAGACGTGGCGTATCAACCGAGGAGGGTTCTAGTGGCGTGCCATTAAAAGTCGCCGATCCATTGTGGCCTCGGGTAGTGTGACTGTTGTCGCTCACACGCGTTCGACTGGCTGCTCTACTTGGTGCTCGACTTGGCGCACGGCTCGAAGCTCGACTAGATGCGGCGCTGCGTGATCTGTGGAAACCATCGGTGTTCGTTTGGGTCCTCCCTCGCCCACGGCCGCGTCGCCAAACACGACCGATGCCTTGCCACACAAAGCTGGTCACCCAGCATACTTCCTTCCAGATAACATAGGCCCACCATTGTATCAGGATCCAGACAGCAATGACGAAGCGCATAGGCAAGATCGTGAAAGTATATAGCCATGCGTCCAGACACGCCAGCACACCAAAGAAAAGCATAGACTCAAGCTTCGGAAACAGATATATGGCGTTCATGAGCCGTTCGAATTTGACGGCGCTAGATTCGTATGGCGTATCTGCTGCCTGTGCACCATATATGTATAGTGGACTGGGCCGCTGAGCCGCCAACTCCAGCTGGAGATGTGTGGGCAGCGACATTGGTGGCAGGGGAAGTCCCGGCATCATTTGCGAGGGCGGCATAGCTTCGTTAGCGACCTCGGCGCGTTCTTGCTTCTCTCCGCGCGAACCCGATTGGATGCCTTGTGGCTTCAAGGCTGGTGATGGCACATGGTTACTACTGACGCCCAGATTCAGCGGCGCCGGCCGTGGCAGAGGATTGAACGAGTTTCGTCTTGTATTTGAGGGAAGACTGGGAGGTGGCCCAAATGCAGATCGTCTATCAACAGGTGGCGTCGACACGGTTCGTGAAGATCCTGGTCTTCGAGACTCTACCCTGCTTGCAAAGAACTGGGCATCCGTGGACGCTGCCGACTGTGGTGTACTCGAAATCGCGTCAGCTGGTGAGGGTGCCTGAAGTAGAGCATTCAGATGGCTCTGGAGTTTCTGGTCAACCATGCTGGCTGATAATGGATACTCGGCTCCGCTCGGCTTGCGAGGAGCCCCGTTTGCGATCGTGTGCACCGTTGCGACTGGCAAAGACTCTGGCGAGGCGGTCAGAGCCTGAATTTGGGAGGCCGAAAGTTTGCGGGTGCTCGGCTCGCTGGGTGTGTCGTTCTTTTTCGAGGATTGTGATTGCGAAGGGGGTCGGCGCAGGGCAGCAGCCGGCGTGGCCGTTGCCGCGATCGAGTCGCTCACTTCGGCATCGCTGACGTCGTTGGAGTCGAAGACAGGTGCGTGTGATATGCTGCCGAGCTCATCCTCTTGTGTGACAGCTGCGTCTGATGTGGCTCTGGGTGGTTTAAATTCGGGAAATGTCTCCATAGGCGGTGTCGGGTAGCGAAAGGCACCAACTTCGGCCACTAGCTGGGCTGTCTTCTCTTGCCAGCGACTCGTCTCACCGTAGTTGTGTTGGTGCTCAGAACGCGACTCGCCCGGAGGCCGAGGCTTCGCGGCATGCCCATTGCTGGATCCTCCGTCGCCTTCAGCAGCCATGGTGAGACTGTTCAAAGGCACCGAGAGAGCGATAGCCAAGTGAGTAGTGGCAGGTCGATGCCATAGCCACTGGCCAGGTCGACTCGGATTCGTCGGCCGGCGGTGGGCCGCAGGCGTGATACTGGCGAGTCGATTCGGAGATGCGCAGCGGTTGGTCGCCCGTGTAGTTCCGTAAGTGATGAGCTAGCAATCGTTCGCGTGGTTTTCTGCTGGGGGTGGTCGTTTGGGGGTGCTGCAGCAGCGATGACGAGAGTTGGCACGGGATATGATGCTGTCAAGGTGGAGGTTTAGAGTTGGTCTTACGTAGCAGTGTTACAGGCTTAGCTAAGCCTCCGCCCTGGGGGCGTTCCATGGCTCGCGGCAGGGACGACGCGGGGCGGCGCTTGGTGCAAGTGGGCGGCCACGACGGAAGGACATTAGTGCATCCAAGCTTCACCAAGCTCGCTTGAACGCATGCATCGATTGTCAATTTCGACCTCAGGGACTGGCGTGGCTGCGCACGCTGTTCAAGTGACCTGGATTTTATGACCCCGAAAAACCTCGAAGCAGATCTGGTTCCTCCGCGAAATACACGTGCTGCAGCTCCGTGCGTCATTGTACATGTGAGACACGACTAGGCCAATCCAGATGCGACAAGAAGCCACACTTCCTGCCCGTGCCGTGGTGCGCTCGCTAAAACATCGGAACGAACAGTCTGCATTGAATGGCGTGCTGGGAATACCTATGCCTTCTGGCCTTCTTAGTTGAGATACTGTTCCCTTTCTATCGGTTTGATTGTAGTCGTCGAGATATGGCCTCGGAGCACAAGAGACTCGAATGCCAGTTCATGCCTGGGGATTTGTACGTCCAAGGCCTGATCACGGCTGGCTGGCTGGCTGGCTTGTTCGTAATTGCAAAATGACACTGCCGAACGAACAACAGCGTGGCCTGGAGGCGGCTGATTGGTTTGCCTTTTTCTTGGCGATATGCACGAGTCGTGACCAACTTGGCAAGGTGGTGCAGGGTGGAAAGTTTGCACTTCGAAAGCGGAGATGTAGTGAATGACAGTGTACGAAAACAAGAGCGCGGAGTGTCAAGCACATCATCATCATAGACCCCTGTGGTCAGGTCTTGTATTGCCATCTCTTGGCCCTTTGAGCATTGCCTAACGTATTTGCTCAGCTGCTCCTGCTTTCATCTCATCTCAGGTCGATCTGGACATTCTAGCACCACAGGGTTGGCCGTGTTAAAGAACATCACTCTTTGTAGTAGCACTGCCGCATCAGGACTATAAATCTGACCTGAACCTCTGGAGCTGACGGTTGGTGCATGCGACCTAGTACTGTGCAGATCCCCTTTCGCCTTCTGTGGGTGATGCTGGGATCGCCTCAGCCCTGCGGCCAAGAATAGCAGCTTTGAATAGAGGCCTGATCTGATTAGTGGGCACTCTCGGACTGGGCCCCGCTTGCTCAGCCCGGACGACCTCACCTTGACCTTGAACTGGCTGGCTCTAGATTAAGGCTGGAGCTAGCACAGCAGGTGGGTGAAAGTGCGAGCTCGCCTCGCAGTCGGGCTGGGAGCGCAGTCCGACAGAGCCAATCACGAGGCTCTCCAGGGTCGATCTCCAGCAGAGTCCCTGCATCAACGTCGTGAGGCTCTTGACGCCCGGCAGCCTGGACACTCTCCACCTGGCCATCTCTCGCACATAATGGGTCTCTGCCGGTGGCCAAGACATGCGAATCCCGCCCTGCCTCTCCAGCCACCACGGCGTCGTGTCATCATTTCCTGACCGTAATCTCCAAGGGCACGACCCTGGCTAGATCAAGGTATCCAGCAACCCAGTGAGCTATGACTATGGATGGGCAATAGGAGCTAAGACCTGCCTGCCTGGCAAAGCATAGCCTCCTGCACTGCCGATCAATGATGAAGTAGGCCGGAGCTCAGACAGTGCATCAAAGAAGCTTGCGAGATTGGCATATGGCTGTCCTTCTGCGAATCTATAAAGATGGCACGATGGCATCCTGATGTTGAGACTCAGAAACTCGTCCTCTCGCTACAGCACTTCTAGAGCCTCCAGTCATCATGGTTCAGTCAAAGCTTCCAGCATTTGTTTTTGCCGTTCTGGCGGGTTCTGAGGTCGCACTTGGTGCTCGCGACTACCTCTGCCCTCCTCTTGGCCCCGTTCTCCCGGCACCAAAGTCCCTGGCCTCGCAAGACCCGATCAAGCTCGCAACGGCCGGCCTCACCGAAGCGTTTGAAAACGCCACTTCGAAATTCCAGTATGCCGGAGTCTCGATCCAAGTCCGTTCGCTACACGAGAAGGAGCCATTGATCGACCTGCACTACACCCCGCCCAATGCGGATCCCAAGAGCACCACCAAGATTGACGCCGATTCTGTCTACCGCATTGGCAGCCTGTCAAAAGTCTTCAACATTCTTTCGGTGCTTCGTCTCGGGAAGGTCCGCTGGGACGACTATGTCGTCGACTATCTCCCCGAACTGCTCCAGCTCGAGGGCGAGGCAGACGAGGAGGTCGACGACGTTACCACTGTGAGATGGCGAGATGTCACCATCGGCTCCCTCGCCAGCCATATGTCTGGAATTGCCACCGATCGTAAGTGATTTGAATTTGTGTCTTCCACCGAGTTCACCCATCCGCATGGCCTCCGTACTAATACCCTTCTTCCCTTGTCCAGTGGTCAACGACCTATCCAGCTTTCCCGGCATCCCCTTCACGTCCGCGGGCCTGCCTGAGATTAATCAGGCCGAGCTTCAGAACTGCGCTGGTGTCATGGGTCTTCCTCCGTGCACTCGAGACCAGTTTTTCCGCGACTTCGGCAAGCGTCACCCAGTGTACGCACCCTTCACCACCCCGGTGTACTCCAACATTGCCAGTGTCATTCTGGGTTTCGTTGTCGAGGCCGTGAGCGGCAAGCCCTACGCCGACTACCTGCAAGAGTCCATCTTCGCGCCTGTCGGCCTCAAGAGCACAACCGTCCACGAGGCGCCTTCAGAGCCGGTCGGCTGGGTCCCTGTCAACGAGACTTGGTGGGGAGGCAGTCTTGGTTACGAAGACGCGTGAGTTGCCCCCATGCCCCTGTTCAATGCACCACAACTACACACGCCGCTGACCCATTTCTCCTCTGCAGTGCTGGAGGTCTCTACTCGTCCACAAACGACATCCAAGCTCTTGGCCACGCCATCCTCTCCTCCAGCCTCCTCACCCCCGTCCAGACCCGGGCATGGATGAAGCCTCACACCTCGACCTCCTCGTCGGGCCTGCTCATGGGCGGGCCATGGGAGATCTTGCGCTCCACAACCGTCACAAAGGACCAGCGCCTCGTCGAGTTCTACTGCAAGGCCGGCAACCTCAAATCGTACAACAACATGCTGTGCCTGGTACCGGACTACGACCTCGTCCTGACGATTCTGTCCGGCGGCAAGGAGTCCGGCGCCGTGATGGTCGACTCCCTGCTCAACGCCGTAGTCACGGCCGTCGTGCCCGCGGCCGAGGCGGTCGGCAAGGCGGAAGCCGGCATCAACTTTGCCGGCACGTACTCGGACGCCGAGAGCAACTCCACCCTGACCATCAGCACCGACGATGGCCCCGGGTTCGAGGTCTCGGGCTGGCAGGTCCGCGACGTGCCGACCCTGCAGGCCATGGCGTTCCTCAAGAGCGCCGGAGCCGCGTCGGCGCCCGTGCAACCCGATATCAGGGTCAGGCTGTACCCGACCAACTTGTACTCGTACAACAACCCCTCAACCTGCAACAATAAGCTTAAGCACAAGAAGAAGCGCGAAGAAGGTGCCGCCGCCGCCACAGGCCCCAAGACATACAAGCAGTCCTGGCGCGCTGTGTTCGACATGGGCAAGCCGGAGCAGCTGCAGGCAATCGACGAGTCCCGCTTCTGGCCCATGGCGAGCTGCCACACGTGGGGCAGCATGGACCGGTTCGTGTACCAGTTCCGCGGTATCGACGATTTCGTGTTTGAGATTGACGAGGAGAGCGGCAAGGCGGTCAGCTTGGAGCTCAGGGGCTTCAAGGTTGTGCTGAAGCGGGAGGAGTAGATGATTGTTTTCTTTCACCTAAAACTTTTCGTGACTTTATAGATTACATTTCTTGATCATCAAGATTGCGGAATGGCACGATTTAATCAGATATTCGTCTTATGGCCTGCGCCATTGTTGCAAGTCTGACTTACACTGAGTGCAACAATGCAGTTATCTGGATTGAATGTGTGATCCCAACCCTTGACAACAGCCACGGAAAGTCCTCAATGCGCATAATTGCGAGGAACTGGGCCAGAGTGCTGCCTCCCGTCTTCTGATAACCGTCATAGAGCTCCTCATCGGCCAAGGGAGGCCGATAAGCCTGACAGGGCGCACATACGAACAATCACGATGACATCATAGTAAAGATCTCGCTGAGAATGTTCTGACGCATGTTGTCTTCATCTCCCACTGTGTTTATTGGTTGCTTGCATTAGGTATCCGTGGCAGCCAGGCCATAACCGAGGCGCCTCCTTGATTCCGTCCGAAAGTAGAGAGAAAAGTAAACCCCCATAACTCCAACGCTCACATCGGTGATTGCCCCGAAGAAAAGGGGAACACCGAGGGGGGGTATGCATTGAAAGAAATCTATTGCAATGCTGGAAACAGGAAAATCCACCATGTCGTCGTTGGGGACACAGATGGTGGCAATGCTGAACTTTTTTTGAAGGAGGTTGCGCGTCTAAGGCGGCCAGGACGAGTTAGGTCTGTGATTCGTTGGCCGAAACGTAATGATGAGGTGTTTGGGGGGAATATGCATCAGAGCATACATTCCCGTGAGCTGTGGAGACTGACAGCCCAAATCGTTGATAATTCATGGTGGTTGAGATCATGACGTGAGAGCTCGCGGCAGAGCAGGCTGATTCTCTAACTTTGTCGACCTGTCTCTAGGTATCATGTCCTTTGTGCTAGGCGGCCATGGAGCCCTCGCCGTAGCAGACTTTGATCTTGTCATCGTAGAAGGTGACGGTGTCGCGTGACTGAGCAAAGTCAGGGTCGTCGCGCTCACTGGCACCGGCATGCTGCCGCCAAGGCTGAGAAAGCTTCTCCTGCTCCATGGCGGCCTGCACCCAGGACGGCAGCTGGTTGGTCTTTGTGGAGATGGAGTGAGCGACAGATGAGCTGCCGGTGGAGCTGGTTGAGATGGAGGTGGCCAAGGGACCGGCATCCTGCTCTGCGCGTGTGGACACCATGGTTGCCTCTGTGTATGTGTTGTCTCAGATGGAGGGGGAGGAGGAGGACGCGAGCAGAGGACGCGAGGATTTGAGGCAGAAGATGTCGCTGTGGTGGAGGAGGCTGGAGATCCAGAAGACGAGCGTGTCAACGGCAGTGGTCGCAAGTGGAATATATGGGATGCCCTGGTGGTGGCCGGCCCGCCTCACTTGAGGTCAGAGGGTGCCCGGCATGGCAATCTGTGAAAGGAGGTGGCTGCCCGAGTGAGACCCACTGCAGGTAGAGTGACCTCGCACTAACAAAGGCCCGGCCTTTGGGGGCTGGCCGGGGGCTGTGCCGGGACGTCCACCCATTGCATGTCGCCCCAGGTGGGCTGAGTGTGGCCTGCTGAACCCAGGCTGTCGCGTGCCTACCCTCCTAGAGGTAGGGCCCCGTGTTGCAGCACACCAGACCTTGCCCCTGCTGCACCCGGCCGGGTCGGGCACCCGCTTTGTTTGTTCGACGTCCACCTTCTACTTGACTCCCTAGCCTCCTGCGAACGGGACGATCGCGGCAAACTTCCTTCATCTCGAACCGCGATGCTGCTTCGTCTCAACAAGCCCGGCTGTCCCAACAATACAGCTTGACCGCCGCACTAGCCACCATGGCCTGTGGTACCGTTCAGGCACAGGTCGACTACCTCAAGCGCCTGCCGCTCTATCAATCAGAGAAGCCCTTCCAGCTCTTCATCCCTATCGAGCCAGACGCTAAGGACCAGCGGCATTCCAACCTGGAGTTCGAGCCAAAAGAATGCACGTTCCATGACGTCCGGGACCAGCTCCCCGAGTGCCTGCTTGACTCCCAAGGTTTCCAGGTGCTCCGGCGGCCCACCCGCCTGGACCCCGCCTCCTTCGACAAGCGCGAGATTGTCGAGTCGCAGTACCTCGACGAGGTCAAAGACATTCTCAAGTCAGTCGACGGAGGCTATGACAGGATATTCATCTTCGACTGGAGGGTCAGTCTTGCATGCCCTCCAAACCAAGCCGTGTATGGATAAATTCCCGGCTCTCCCGGCGGCTAACAGATCGTGATAACACAGCTTCGGGACGCGAGCAAGCCCAGAGCCGGCCACGAGTTCGACATGAACGACTTGACGACCTGGCTGCGCCCCTCGCCTACAGCGCATGTCGGTGCGTGTCACGATAGCTGCATATCCTGGCCCGCTTGCTGACCGCTCATCTATCCTGCAGACCAGAGCGACCGCGCCGTCCTCCACCGCATCATGCTCCACCTCCCGGATGAAGCCCCGCTGCTGTTGCAAGGGAGAGTGCGCATCGTCAAGTATGGAAACCCACTTCGTCCCCGCACCGAGACTCTCTCGCAAGGACACGGGAGCTAATTCTTGACCTGGGGTTTTAGTGTATGGCGCCCGCTCGAGCATGTCATTGAAGATTATCCGCTGGCATTCTGCGACCCGACCTCAGTGCCCGACGCCGATCTTATCGAGTGCGATCATATAAGACGAAAGTTCAAGGGGGCCAATTTATACGCACATCACAGCGAGGAGCACAAGTGGTGCTATGTTGGAAACCATGAACCTGACGAAGTTCTCTTGCTCAAAATGTTTGATTCTGACAGTTCTGTCGCTGCAAAAAGTGAGCCGCACCATAGCATCCTTGCACGAATGCCACGGGTGTGCTACAACTGCCGATGGATGTTTCCATGCTAATACTGATCGTAGGGCTGCTGCATGCTTCCTTCCGCCACCCGTCAGCACCAGCTGATTGCAAGCCGCGCAAGAGCATCGAGGTCCGCGCCTTGTTATTCAATCACCCCGGACAGTGAACTCGGATGACCATGCGCCATGTCATCAGTCCAAAGTTTCATGGCCTATGTACCTGTATCACGCGCATGGGTACGGCTCCTACTGCCATCCGGCTTACATTGCGAATGTGGTTGCGTCCCGAAAGTCTCCGTGTCAAGGCGACCGGGCGGTGTACCTCCCCCCTGCGTGGCCTATCCAGACACAAAGCAAAGCCCCAGCGACACCTGAACCATCCTGAATGGCTATGTCTACTCGGGAACTCTGCTGTGGTATTGCGACGATAGGCACGGAGTACACATTGGCATGGGGCGGAGTAAGGGTTGCAGCCAGCACGCCTACAATAGTGGTACACTTGATCTCGAGGTAACCCACTCTTGTGGCGCTGTGTCGCCAAACTTTTAGGTGTTGGCTTCGAGCCTCCTCCTCGCGTATTCAGCCGCTTCGCGGCAGATGGCAAGTCCACGATACCGAGTTAAGGTAACCGAGAAATCAACGTTCCGTGCATCCGAGCCTAGTTCCTTACCGCAGACGCGGCGTGAAGACACTTTTGGCCCAAATTGCTATTGCCCAGCACTTTCGAGGCTCCGGTCAGGACAGAAGCCCGTCTGTTCACGATATCGTCATTCGCATTTGGCTGGCGTCATGTTAAGCACCGTTATTGGAAGCATGCGGGGGCATGCCTTATCGCGGGGACAAGTCCGGAACCCCATTGCTCGGGCCCAGAGATCTGTCACGAAATTAAGGCGGGTGCTGCGGTCCAGATCCGACAAGCCATGCGGAAAAGGTCGACACGTCGTCTCCGGCTGCGTGGTCCACGGGGTGACACAGACGAATCCCAGCACCTCTCCGCTATCGGGGCCGCGCCGAGACCGCGAACGTGCTGCGAAGAGCACACCGCAACGGCGTCGCCGCGCCAGAGCACAGCTGTGCTGTTCCCCTGGACAGCCCTTGCCCGCTAGCGTGTTGGTCCCACAGAAAGAATTGCCCGAGAAGTGCATCGAGTTGTTTCTGATTGGGCAGAAGGGCCACAGCCCCTGCCCCTAGTGCTCAATGTACCCTAAAGTCGCTGTACTTGTGCCCTCGTCAAGCCCGGGCACTGAAACTGGCCTCGTCGAGCACTCGCCGAATATGCGGAGCATCAGATAAGAGTTACGTCTAAATAACGCAGGATTCCGGAGAGAACCGGAATGCGTTTTCTTTCTTTTTAAATGAGCGTATCTCATGATGATGTCTTTGACTAGATCCTCCTCGAGCGGTTTCCAAGAAAATCCACGGCGCAAGCAGGTCGGGGAGGGGTGCAAAAGCGTCGTGAACAGTGGCTCGCGCGGCGCGACAACACAGTTCCTGGGTACAAAAGAGGTGCAACCTCGGTGATATCCATGGGCCTGGTACTGTGATTGACATGTGGAGCTGCAAAGAGGGACAGGGATGCACCATTCCGACGAAGCCAACGCTAGGTAAGTCTGCGTCGAGGATGAGGACGGCAGTAGCGCCAGGCCGCCGCGCGACGAGTCGGCGTGTCCAGAGCAGCACGTGACGTGTCTTGATATGCGATGTTAAAAAAATGTTTGAATATGACGAGCTACTACAGGGAGATATGAGAGTCATCGCTTGCTTGAGCGCCATCAGAAAGTCCCGAAAAAGTTTCAATCCTTTGTCGCCCCGGAAAAAAGAACAGGCATGCCATCCAATCGTGATGTATCGCTCAAGGAGTCCCAGATGATCGAACCGAGCCCGCCAGACAGAGAAAATAGAGCAAGATATGTAGGAGATTGATGTGCCACGAAATACAAGGGTGCGCCGGCGTGCTGCTCAATGACCATAGTGCATATTGTGCTGGCGCCCGTTGTGACCATTGTTGTTGTTGTGGTGACCGCTGTTGTTGCCATTGTTGTTCGTGTTGTTGTCGTTGCCATTGCCATTGCTGTAAAAGTCTAGCCCGCGGCTAAAAGTCTGCTGTAACTCCTGAGTGTCATAAGGAGTGAAGGTGATGCTTCCATTGTAATGGGCTGTGCCCATCGGACCGAATGGGCTGGGCACCACCCCTCCCTGGGCGTTGCCGGTCAGGAAGTCACTCTCGGATTGCCATGATAGTATCTCGGACACAGACGAAGCGGTCTCACTGGTGATCACGTCAAACCGGTACAGGTCGTCCCCTATGGCAGAATTGCTTTCTGTCTCGATGCTGTGCTGGAGCGGCAGATTCATGTGCGCTGATGATGTGCCGACCGCCCCAGTGGCGGCCGAAGTGTTGAAGGGGGTGTCTGTGGTAGTGTTGGAATTGGCAAGCGCGCCCATAGTTGCCCATCGGTCAAAGAGCTGTTGAAAGGCTTGTGCCAAGACTTGCTCTCTCCACAGCTGCACGTCGCTCTGTGGGAATGGAGGCGGATTCCACGACATGGCTCCGCTGCTCTCCAGGATTGAGCTCAAAATGCGGGGTCCGTTGCTCGCGAGGAAAGACTGGTAGACGAAGGCATTGCGGAGCAGCGCACTGTCGATATACGGGGATGCCGGCCTAGGGTGGTTCGGAAACAGAATGTCGAAGATTCCATACCACTGTTCTTCCTGGGATTGATTGGCGGGGGCTTTCTTGCCCAATGCCTTCTTCTGTGCCTCGGTGATACCTTCAGGTTTGCCCAACTGGCTGCGCTCGCAATCCACATTGCGGTTATGCTCATCTCTCGAATCCTCATCGGAGAACGTCTCGATGCACCGTGGGCAATAGATCGGCATCTGATGCTTACGTCCCAAATGCTGTTTCACATCTCTGATGCGCGATAGCATGTACTTCGAACACTCGCCATGTTTTGTCGAGTCCTTTTTCAGGAAAGGACATGAGAATGTCACAGTGCTTTCGTTCAGGGATTGCTTCTTCCTCGTCGAGTTTGGGTCTGGCGATCTGCCACCATCGTCGTCGCCATTATCTTCGTCATCGTCCCGCCCTGCGTGGGAAAACTTGGGCCGTTTCCTGCGATTATGTGTTGGACTTAACCCATTTGGCGGCGGCGCGCTTGGGGGGCCCTGCTCCTGTTCCTGCTCCTGCTCCATAGCACAAGCCCGCCACTTGTTGTAGTGACTGAGCAGGATCGCAATGGCATGAGGAGTAAGCGATGACAATGGGTGGCTCGGTGCCAGAATCGGAAGCTCCTCAGTCTTGTCTGAAAACCAGTCAAACCATGACTCTGTTGTGCCTGACGTCGCATCATCATATGATTGCACGGATTCTGGCGCAAGTCTGGTACCAATTTCATTGACCCTGGATGGTATGAGGCCTGGAGATTTCTGTAGCGCAGGCGCTGCCAGTGTTGTGTGCTCCTCTGGAGGCTCTGGAGATTTTGGCCCTCTCGTGTTGCCACCCGAGGGTATTCTTTTCCTGCCCGTCTCACCCTGGTATCTTACTAGAGATGGACCGTGATCTCCAGGCTCACGGTTGGTGGCTGTTTGATCCCCACCCAGCCCTCGAGGGTGCGATGCGGCATCCAGGTCAGCTGCCTTAACCACTGACCCTTGCGAGTCCGAGTGCGGCATTCCGTTGTGATGCGACATTGTGGGCGTCTTATCTTTGGCGGGTGCATCGTCCGAAGATCGACTAAATCCAGTCTCCAAAACCTGCCATGGCGAACGCTCAGCATCCCCGGACGAGCTGTGATTCTTTTTCTCTGCAGGCGGATCCATTATCTGATCTCCTTCGTTATTAAGGACATGATCATCGTTCAAGAAGGACTCGCAAAAGCATCTATGAGCCAAGGTCAGATCAGTTATCTCAAAACCGCACCTAAAGGCTGCATATCATGTCGGCATGCAAAGGAAGGAGGAACATACCCGATAGCTTTCCGGAGCTCCTGGAACAGAGGTAAGAGTATCAAACTCGTGGCGTGCTCTGGAAATGAAGGGTCATGCCGATCCAGCCTTACAACTCGAGCGAGCTTGCGTTCACGGTATTGTTGATTCAGGCACACATTGATAATGGCCTCAAACTCCCGTCCGAGCTTGTTTCGCACCCGGCGTGTCGTCAGGAGTTGCCGAGCAGTAAGAATATCTTGAACCTGTTCGTCCAAGCCTTCATTGGCGACAGGGAGATTTGGATCACCCATTCGAATTTCTGCCATGGTTCTGCCGAACATGATTTGGGTCAAGCGAACTCCAAGGCGGGCCAGAGCAGTGCTTTCGGTCAATACGGACAGGACTTCCTTGTCTGAAGTATTTCGTCCTGTTCTCATAGTTGCCTGATGGTTTGGCATATGTAGCAGTAATGAGTACGGGCCATTAGGCCGTGAGAGGTCTGATAATATATCGAAGTCGACTTCTTCGAGATCATTGAAAGGCGAGACCTTGAAGAGAACCAGGAGGGTAAGTAAAGCAACGTGGAATGCGAGTTCCGCACGCTCCGAGGGTTCGAGGACCCTGCCGAATTTCTCTATCAGGTGATCGAGATCAATCGCGTCGATTGTTGCCTCGGCTGGGCTTGCTGAAATCAGAATACGATGCTTTTTCTGGACTTCTGGCCCATTTCGAGCTCCGAAATAAGTCTGCGCTGTCTGAAGGTTCTTCGAAAGCAGGCTGCTCTGGTGGTCTGGGCCATGCCCGTGCTCATTTGTTTGCAGGAGAAGTTGCTCCATGAGAATTCTGAGATTCTCAAAATCCTCTTGTACTATCGTCGTATTCGTGCCGTTCCGTGAGTACTGAGCGTCCTCTGTTGAAGGTGTGGAAGTACCCAGAATCGTGTTTGGGCAAGAAAAACAAGCGAAACGATCCGGGACTACCTTCACGAAACGAGTTGAAGGCGTTGTTGGTGCTTCGACCAAGATTTTGACTTCGAGAGGTGACTTCAGATCCCGCTCAGTAGGTAGTGAGACCAGCGGCTGGAGAAGGTAAGCTGACAAGCGTTTGTTTGCCTGGGACACATCCGAGAGGCTTTTCTGGAGTGGACTGGATGCAGCCGGACCCTTGAGCGGGGACGTTTTACGGCCCAATTTTGCTAAAACTTCCTGCAGAGATGTTTTAGCAAAGAAGTGACAGTCGAGGCAGGTCGTGTGGGTAACCTACCGTGCCACGGCTGGCATTGAAGAGGTCAGCCTTGAGCCCCCGGAGAAAGTCATTCATGAGTTCAAGGTCACGGCGCAGCTCCTGAACACCATCTGGTCCTATTTTCTCTTCGACATCGACCATGAGCCCTTGTGAGACGGATGGAAGCGGGGAAAGCAGTGCTAGACGCCTTGCGAACTGGTCGTAGATGATCTTCTCGTTGGCCACCCGACGCGCGAATGTGCGGGTCTCTCTGTTGGAGTTGGTCTCTCGCAACTGCTCGACGGCGAGCAGCACGTCGGGGAAGAGCCCACTTGCAGCTCTGACGAGCTCCATCTCTACGAACCCAAGGGAGGGTGGTGGATCTGGCGAGAATAGATGTCGCACGTCAAATCTAGGCTGGGAGCCGTTTTGGTGATTGTTTGATATCCAGCCAGAGGTGGGCCGCTTTCTGCGTGCTGGAAGTGTGACAGACTGGCTGAAGAGTGGATAAGGGTAGAAAGCGGTTGCTGCTGGTGTAGAGAAGGGTATGGCTCGCACGTGTCAGGCCGGGTTACATGACGTTGATTGGGGTCGTGGGTTGAGAGAGCTGCTCAGCGATGCCCGCGAGTAGCCTCTGGTGGCATGGGAGGGCAAGCAGAAGAACGAGGACCTGGACGACACGGATTGTCGAGGTCGAAGACTTCCGAACTGGTGGGCTACAGCGAGACGCACGTACATGTGACATGGGGGGGGCTCATGCAGGCTGGGAGGTCTGCATGCCGCGTTGCGTGCTGGCGGAACGGCGACACATCCAAGAGCACGGTTTGGGGCCAGGCAGCCAAGGCACACCTGGGCATTCTGGAGAGCCTTTGCCATCCGACAGGAGCCGTCTGCCTCGATGGGCGAGCAGATTGAGCCGGTCCGCGGCCCATCCAAGGCTGCGATCTGAGGCAGGCTGTCTCGGTCGCCCGATTCTGCCTGACGGCCAAGTGGCAGGGGTGTGCTTACGCTCCCCCGCATCGCCAGAGCACGCAGAACTACACTTTCCACGCACCTTCTCACACACCAGCCCCTCTCGATCACAAGCAGCCCGTGCTGCCGCTTTGCGCACTGGTCACGCGTCCCCGCGCCGGGTACAGCTTCCGCTCCATCCCATGCCTCAGAGCTGAGAAGAACGACGCCACTCGACGTGGCAGCCTTGGGGTAACGCCAGCTTATCATTGAGGGTTGCTGCCACACCATCCCAAAAGGCTTGGCGCCTCCAGAAGCACACCATGGCACACTCGCCTCGACATATCGTTTGCCATTGTCCTTGCCATGTTCCTCCCAGTTCGCACCAGAGCCACGTCGACCATCCGGCTCACGAATCTGCCTGAGCCAGTCGGCTGACGACTCCTGCGGCACGACACTATCTGGCTGGAGAACAACCTTCCCCTCGGCTGCAATCGGCACAGCCCACACACGCAGCCTGTCCTGCTCTGCTCTCGCTCCCAGCTCTCTCCCTTCAGCAATCCTCACTGTTTCCGCAGTCTTGCGAGCCATTGTCCCTGTGCTGTTGCGAATGCCCATCATTTAGGTCACATTGCTGCTCCGTTGGTCGCCTTCCATGGATACCGCCAGGACCCGAAAAGGCCTTCTCAAGAGGCTCGAAGAGGCTCGGGGGCTAAGAGCCCGGGCGCCAATAGCTGCGCAATTCGAGGACTGTTCGCAGGCCGTCCAACGACTGTCCGGATCGCTCATGGTTCTTGATTCCGACTCCGATGTTCACCGTCTTGCTCGCGACTGCGCCATTCGTCTTAATGTGTGGGGCCATGGAAGCGGCGCGTCATCCCGTGCGCTTGACTACAGCTTGAAAGAATGCCCTGGTATTCGGCAGCACACGTTAAACTTGCTCAACGATCTCAACCAGTGCGTCGAGACAGGTAAGTAGCATGGCGTGCTGCGCCTGAAATATCCACGAAGGGCACCGCGACTTACCAACGTGCGCAGCTACGTCCGAGGCTCGACTTCAAAATCGTTACGATGCCGGTACGGCCAATTCAGGATATCTCGAAGATGGCCTTCCAAGTAGTGCGCTGGAGGACGATTTCGACTTGCAATCAGATCCAACATCATATCTTGAGGAGGCCATTGACATACTGCGAAATCTGTTCAAACTCCTGCCCACCCTTCAGAGCCCTCTCGGTGAGAACCGCGGATTCGCGTCCAACCGGGATCCATTCACCTATACAGAGGAGGAGTTTCAGCAGGTGGCCATGATGATGTTTCCCAAAATGCACAAAACCTTGGCAAGGCGGTTCGGTCATGGCAACTGGTGTCGACGCCGCTACATCTGGCGGCTCTCAGGTGGTAGTCAAGGCTCAATGGCGCCTGGACCCTTGAAGCAGAGCAGTTCAGTGGAGATATCGCGGTTAGAGAGGCATTTCAGGCTCCACTCTGAAGGAATCAATAGGGACAACGAACATTCCTTTGCGTTGGAATCAGATGCTGGGGCCTCAACAATCATTTCCAGCCCAGAGACTGTCCTTACAGTACTCCCAATTGGCAAGCAAGACTCTGTTACGACGCTGACCGACGACTCTCAACCCAGTCTTCTCCAGGCCATTCCCTTGCCGCCACCTCCAGTGCCTCTGCCAACATCAAAACCGTTCAGTTGTACATACTGTCTTTCTGAGCTGCCGTTGACCCTGTCAACCACTCATGTCGATGATCAGCAATGGCATGCGCACGTGTATCGAGATTTAAAACCCTACATCTGCACTTTCGGCGATTGCTTTGAACCGAGACGTCTCTACAACACCCGCAGCGACTGGTTTCAGCACGAGCTGAATTTCCATCGTTCAGCTGTGGAATGGGCATGCTCCGCATGCAAAACAACCTACGCGACTTCTGATGCCTTCAATGAGCACCTCAGATCAGCACACCCGAGACTGACAGGTCCCATGGTCCAAGCTTTGTTGCAGCATTGCAAACGATATAAAGTCCATTCACACTATGATCAAAGATGCACTGTCTGCGATGTAATGTGTGCAACAATCGATGAACTCGAAACGCATCTAGCTGCACATCAGGAAGCCTATGCACCGGCCACATTCTTCAACAAAGAAGTCCCAGCAGACGCGGAAGACAATAGCAACATGATCGAGGAGTTCATCCAGGGCCTGCCAGCACCGCCAAAAGGCCAAAAGGAAGATGTCGACGACCTGGGCTTGGGCGTTCTTGCATCGCTCAATCTCTCTCCGCCAGCACATCATTCGGAAAGCAACCCCCTGGACGATGGCAATTGGCTTACCAAAAGTAGGAGCTTTCCGATGGGAATGGGCGCGGAGAAAGACCACACCGCAGACTGGGTCGAGAGGCAAACGTCACACGGCGCAGGCCCGGCCGAGCAGGGTTTGCCCAAGCGGTACGAGAATTTTGTCGGCAGGGATGCTGACTTGGACAACATCCACGCGCACTTACACCTACCTGGCCAAATATGTTCTGTTAGTGGAAGAGGCGGTATTGGAAAGACCGGTCTCGCCATTGAGTATCTCCACAAATACAAGGGAGAATACTCTGCTGTGTTCTGGATCGAGGCAGAAACGCCTGGCGTGGCTGCTGAGTCGTTCGGCTCGATTCTGGACAATCTGGACCCAGCAGAGAAGCTCGTCGCCAATGAGGATGCCCGAGTCTTCCAGACCCGGGAGTACTTGACAAAGACGGATCGACGATGGCTGATTGTGTTTGACAATGTTTCTTCGTGGAAGTCAATTGCACGGTATGTACCGCGCAACTTGATGCGAACCCAGGGGTCAGTTCTCATCACCACGAGAACCGCTCTGTTTCCGCTGGTCCATCGATATCAGAACCAGCATGCGATTGAGCTTCAACCCTGGCCGCCTGAGCATGGCCGTCAGTTCCTCATGACCTCAATTCATCCTAAGCTGAAGAAGCACGACGTCCACGCACACGAAGATTTTCCATACGCAGAGCAAGTACTCAAGGTAGTGGGTGGTCTTCCGCTTGCCATCAGTATGATTGTTGGGTATGTCAAAGTTTCAAGAACGACTCTTGCCGACTTCTTGGAGATGTGGGAAGAGAAGGAGCAACAAAACAGGAGAAAGAAGAGGAATGTCGACATTGGAGAAACGGACATCGACTCCACCATTGACTCCCTGTGGACCATTGGAATCAGAGAGGTCCGCATGAATTCTCGCCGTCTTCTGGACATCATGTCCTTCCTTGACCCCGAGCGTATTCAGAAAGCACTCTTGGTTGGAGATCACCAAGAAGACTATCTTGAGTGGATTCATGTCTCGGAAGCCTTGAGGTACGTGTTTTTCAGCAAGTCCTTCTGGTCTGTACTCATAACTAACGCTGCTATGAGATAAGTTTCAAACGCATGATTGCCGAGATCTTAGGTCGACGTCTGATCAGTGTCAAGGAGGGCTCCAGCGGACCCGTCTACTCAATTCATAGGCTCCTCCAGCAGAAGATCCTCCTAGATATGGAAGACTACGGATTTGTTGATGCCTTCCGGAAGGTCTTTAGGCTGATACGCAAGAAATTCCCGGCGGCCGATCCCCAACAAGTCCCAGGTGCACGGAACTGGGATACGTGCAAAGAATACATCCCTCACGTCGTCACGTTGCATAGGATCTTCCTCCAGAGTAAAGACAGCCTCACTTCGCTGAGCGACCCGACGCCTGTGGAGATATCAAGCCTCTTCTACGACGCCGGTTTCTACCTGTGGGCTCGCCAGAGCACTTCCTATGATGGCCTTGCTTTCTTGGGCACAGCAGAATCGATCCTCCAAACGGCGGGCGTGAACTTTGTCCCAAAGATGCAAGCCGACATTCATTGCATGATGGGAATGCTCCTACTCAACATGGGAGTCATGGAGCGGCGAGAGGGGATGCATCGGCTGAAAGCTGCTCTAGACATTCGGCAGAAGGTCTACGATCAAGCTCCAACCATGAACAGCGATGTGTTGCTACAGAATGCCGCCAACGACTACGCGCTCTGCCTTCTGAATGAGCACAAGTTTGAGGAGGCCGGCGCGCTATTCCTCCAGTGTCGCGAGCGATATCTAGTGTGGGGCCCAGAAGACAAGAATCCATTCGAGAACTCCAAGTACTACGGCAATTATGCTCTGGTGTACATGTGGAGAAACCAGATGGACCTGGCGATCCAGTTCCAGAAGAGGTCGATCGAGTTGATTGAAAGGTTTTCTGGACGGACCAATTCTTACTGGCGCAAAGTCTTCATGCTGGCCTGCATTCTGATGCAGAATGATGACAGCCAAGGGGCTTTGAACCTCTTTATGGAAGTGCTTACCGCGAGACTCGACATGCTTGGGCAGCACCACGGCGAGACTATCCTGGCTGTTTACGCCGTGGGTGCCACATATTCCCATATGGGAGACCCCTACACTGCCATGTAAGCGACCTTCCAAGACGTGTACTGATGATCACCAAAGCTAACTTCCGCGGCTCCCTGGGGCATAGTGAATATTTGCAGCAATGCATCGACTGGGTCAAACGGGCGAAGTGGGATCACGCGGCGCTGGCAAGAGCGCAATACCTCCTGGCTCAAGTCTACAGATCTTTAGAGATTCATGAAGACGAGGCAAGAGAGCTGGAGGCGGAGGCGATGGCTGTCCTCGAGGAATACGGGACTTATGCTGCCGAGTGTGTGCAGCACTCAGGCGACAGAATGATGATGCTCAATGACCTGCAGCCCACCTTCCTCGGCCGTTTCATAGGAATCAGGCTGCTGAAGCACTTGCAAAAGCACATGGGTTCGGAACACATGGGAAATTCCTGACCAGTCCTTTTCTCGAATGAATTTGGTTTAGAGGCCGGAGTTTTCTGCAGGCCCCTTTCTTGTAGCGGATATATTCAGCAACAATGAATGCCATTGCATCTCCTTGCACACACACCGTGGCAGAGATGGCGAGAACTTGTTGCCTTTTCAGGATGGTTTATGCGATGCCATGCACGGATATATCCCAGCAACAACCCCAACTCATGCTTGCTGCAAGTGGTTCCAGCTCACCTGGCTCGGCAGGTGTGTGTGACGGTGAACACGCCTGAGGCAGCTGTCCATGATACAGGGAAGGAGCGCACGTCCTGGCCGGGACTTCCTGGGTAGACTGGAAGGGAGGAGCATTCTGCCATCAAACTGCTCCTACCTCGCAACACGTCAATCCCACGACCTCCCGCACCTGGGCGACCCTCCAAATCGGTCAGCGCGAGCGCCCGCGTCCTCCCATCTTCCGACACACCAACGACCACTTCACCAAAATCTCTTCAACTGCAGCACCTGTTCTGTTTCAGCACCTGCTCTCTTGCCTGCTCATCCTCACACTCATCTGTTCACCCCACAGGCAGCTACGTTCTCCTCTCTTCGGACGAAACACATCGGCACAATGCAGGTCCTCTCGCTCCTGTCTTGTGCAGCCGTCGTGACTGCCACAACTTTCACTCTCTCCGCCTATGCCCCGGGCACTGAAGTTGATGGTGCTGTCCTCAATGCTGCTGCGAGCGCGTTCTACACCGGCATCACTGGTCCTGCCACGTACTGCCCCATCGAGCATGGCTGCCCTGAGATTGGTGGCACTGTCGTCTACGATGGTTTGACTGCCATGGCTGTAAGTTGTGCTCACCACTCGTCGGTTCCATCATGGTGAAACCTGGGCCTTCCGAAATGCTTGGAATTCTGATTTGCCCTCTTCTTTCGCAATACAGGTCATGGTCCCAGGCGGACAGCAGATTTACGTCGCTTCAACTGGCGAGGTCAAGTACACTGCCGCACACTCAGGTTACAAGCCTCTTGGTTCCTACCTCGGCGGCTGGTTCAACCAGACCGTAGTCTGGGACTGTGCCCCGCCAGCTCAGGTGCTCAACTTTCTGGCCACCGACGGCTCCAATGCTGGCGGCATCGCCCTGTGCCCTGATGTCGCGGACTTCATGACTGGCACTGGGGCCAGCTTCCAGCTCTATGCGAAAGTCCCCGGCTTCAACTTGAAGGACTGTGTCGACATTGTTGGCCTCACTGTCCATCAAAGCAGTGTCGAGCTCGGTGCTTGGCAGTATCTTTGAAACTCACACACTTAACGGGAATCCAGTCACCTAGACGTTTCGGAGGCTGATGACAAAAGACGAAGATAGGGGAACATTTGCCTGCCTCATCTCTCTACACACATTCCCACGGGATGATCATATGACACTCACCACCTTGAAGCAGAAGAACCACGTAGTGTCATCCTCACGCAGATGGACTCAAATACTTGCTCACGTTTGATTTTCGGTGCATAGCTACATAATCAAAGATCTTTGGCAATCCTTTGTGCATCGTTTCCAGTGCCTCCTCGTCTTGTATTGGCAGTCGTACCATGGGCTTTGAGCCTGCTAGGTTTAATTCAATGCTCGTTTCCGTATTGCTCTCCTGTCAGAGACGGGCCCACTCAGTCTAGCAGGACTTCAACATCAAACTCCCGATCAGTTCTCAACTGATACTGCGGTAGCGTGGCAGGCCCACAGCTTCCTGTCCCGAGACCGTGATGGAACCAGTCCAACCGCACCAGCACATCCCCTTCGCGTCTCTTCTTGTTCAGCTCGAACGGATGCCGCGCCTCATCGATGTCCCGCGTGGCGAACCTGCTCACCGTGAAGCTCGCGCCCTCAAAGTCGCCAAACCTCGCCCGCAGCGTCCGCCCCTTCTCCCCGCCACCCCAGGTCTGCCGGAGCTCGACCCACGCGACGTCGCTGCGGTTGCCGTTGTCCTGGGGGAACTCGTAGTCGTGCCAGAGCCCGTCGACGCTCCAGCCCCAGGTGTTGACCGACTGCGCGGCCTTGAAGTCGACGTACGACTGCTCGGGCCCGCGGCCGAACCACTCGACAATGTTGACGTCCTTGATGCCGAAGGAGAGGCCGAAGCGCGCAAACGTGCTGGGCAGGAACGGCCCGTGGGGCTTGGCCTGCACACGGATGCTGCACGTCGTCGGCGTGAAGGTGTATGTCGTGACGGTGTCCACCGCCCACGCGAGGACCGGCGGGGCGACGCGCGCGGAGATACTCACGGAGCAGCTGGTCTGCCCTGTCTTCGAGCACGTGGTGACGGGCGTGGTGGTCATGCTGGTGAAGTGCTGGCGCGTCTGGTGGAGGCGGGCGTCGAGCCACTCCTGGCCAAAGACAGGCCGGTCGTTGTCGGTCAGTGCGCGGTAGAAGTCGAGCGTGACGGGCTCGGTGATGAGGTTCTCGGCGTCCGGGCCGGACGAGTACGACATGAACGAGAGCGTGCCTTTGCTCGTGTCGAAGCCAAAGGTCTTGTCGTTGGCCAGCGTGACGCGGTGCACCAGCCCGTCGGGAGAGGTGCTGATCCTTGGTGAAGAGGCAGTGTCGTGCGTGGCACTGGTGATGTCGAGTGCCCTGAGCATGGCGAGAGACGTGGGCGAGCTCATCTGCACCTGGCAGCGCGCGACTGTGCGGTTGGGGTACGACCAGCCGGGCACCTCGGTGTCGACGAACTCGAGCTCGAGCCAGGCACCAGCAGCCAGGGTCGCCGGGAACCCATTTCGCAGGTGCACCATGGCGGTAGTGTGCGGCTTGACGCCCTTTGGGATGGGAATTTCGCGGCCAATGATCTGGTTCCGATCCGAGATGATGCTCCAGTAGCACTTGAGATGGTCGAGGGTGCGGAAGTCGTAGCGGTTGACAATCTCGATTGAGAAGCCATCCATGCCTACAATCTGTACAGGCTGGATGAGCGCGCTGTAGTCGTTAAGTCCAGGGCCTTGGTTGTGAAGAGAGTTGCACAGGCCATCCATAACAAAGTTACCGTCATTTGGCTCGTCGCCAAAGTCTCCGCCATAGCCGAAATAATATTCGCCGTCCTCGGATTTCGTGAGCAGGCCCTGTCATGGTCAGCATAAGCCGGTCTCTTGAGATGATGTCTTGTCCACTTACATGGTTTGCCCACTCCCAGATGAAACCCCCCATGAGCCTTGGGTACTTGTAGAAAGCATCAATGTACTCCTTCAGGCCACCAGGCCCGTTACCCATGGCGTGTCCGAACTCGCACATGACAAAGGGTTTCTTCCAGTCCTTCTCCTCGCCAAACTTGATCATGTCACCCACCGAGGTGTACATACGACTGAAGACATCTGCCGTCTTGGCATCATAATCCTGCTCGTAGTGGATGAGACGTGTTGCGTCCATGCGCTTCATCTCGTCGTACATGGCCTGGTGGTTCCTGCCGTAGAACGCCTCGTTGCCGAGCGACCACATGATCACACAAGGGTGGTTCTTGTCACGCGCGACGAGCTGCCGAGCACGGTCGACATACGCCTCGCGCCATTCCGGGTTGTCCGAGGTGTAGCTTGCCGGCAGGCCACCGGCCTCCTCGAACCCATGGCACTCGAGGTCGGCCTCGTCAATCACCCAGAAGCCAAACTCGTTCGCCAGGTCGTACAGCCTCGGGTCGTTGGGATAGTGTGAGGTGCGGATTGCGTTGATGCTGAAGAGTTTCATGGTCCGCAGATCTCGCCGGAGAAACTCATACGGCACTGTCCTGCCGGACTCGGGATGGTGCTCGTGCCGATTGACGCCGCGAATCTTGATGGGGCTGCCGTTGACGCAGAACACGCCATCGATCAGCTCTGCGCGGCGGAAACCGACCTTGTGACTCGTGTAAAGCCCATCCACCTCAAGGAGTAATGTGTAGAGGTATGGAGTCTCTGCCGTCCACTTGTGCGGGTCCTTGATGTGAAACTCTTGGGTCGAGATCTTGCCGTCAACGGAGGAGCGTACAAGAGCATCGGACTGGTTCTTAGGGGTCTCTACAACTACTTTGCCATCGGCATCGAACAGCTTCAAGTGGACGTCCTTGGCGGCTTGGCTGACGGTGGTCTTGACATGAAGTCTTGCGTGACGGAATTCGTCGTCCAGCAACGTCTGGATCTGGAAGTCCTCAAAGTGTGTTTCCGGAAAAGAGTGCAGCCAGACGTCCCGAAAGATGCCACTCAACCACCATTGGTCCTGGTCTTCGATATAGCTGCCGTCGCATCGCTGATAGACCTCCACACACAAAGTGTTCTCTGTGCCATCTACATCGAGGAACCCGGTCACGTCGAACTCGCTTGGGTTCCTGGACCCTTGAGAGTACCCGACCTCCTTGCCGTTGAGCCACACAGTAAAAGCAGCATCGACACCCTCGAAGCGCAGTCTGAATTGCTTGCCGTCTTTGACGCCCGGCAAGACTTCAAACACGGTGACATAACGCCCGCACTCGTTGTCATCGAAGGGGACGTTGGGGGGATCTACGGGAAAGGGATAATTGACATTGGTGTACTGCGGTCCCTTGCCGAAGCCCTGCATCTGCCATGATCCGGGGACCTTGATCAGCGGCCATTCTGCGTGGTTGTAACCCGACTTCCAGAAATCCTTGGGCCCAGCGAAGGGGCTGGAGGCCAGGTGGAAGCCCCACGAGCCAGAGAGGAGCTGGGCGCGAGAGTGAGCGACACTGGCGGAGCGAGCAGCGGCCTCTGAGTCGTAGACGTGGAAATAGCTGCGCGGGGCCAGCGTGTTGCGATGGAGCACATTGAGATTGTTCCAGTCCGGCTGGGTCCTAGGGTGGATCTTGCTGGCCGTCCGGCTCGAGGCTTCAGCACGGGGCGGCGAAGGGATCGGAATGTCACGGAGCTGACGGGCCCCGCCGAGCTTGACGCGGAGGTCAACCTGGAGACGGACGTCCTCGTGAATCGTGAGATCCGCCATGGCGTTCCGGAGCGTCTGAGCGGCGGCTGTTGATGCGACGGTGGCGGACGGCTGCTTCACGTGACAGGGCGGGAGGAGGATTGTTATTCCTGGCGGAGGGCAGCAGGGCCAAGGTCTCGTGAGCACTGAGTCGCACGTCGCGGATGGCCGGCGACGGGCACGTGGTCTCGCGAGTCGTGAGTCGGGGTCAGATACCGAGGAGGCGGCAGCGACATCCGGATGTCGGCCGAGAGTTATCAGGAGGTTGAGGAGCAGTCAAGTACGATGCCCATGGCGGCGTGCCTGAGTGGTGGTGAAGCTCGGTGAGGGCCCGCCTACAATGCGCTGTGGAGCTGCCCACAGCCATTGGGATTGGCGCTGGGGCGCCACAGCAGCGTGCACGACTCTGTTAGCGTCGGATGTGTCCCGTCCTGGTTACGCCTTCGTGGGCTCGTGCGGCCCATGGGGATGCTTGCACATAATAGTTGCCTGAATTAGCAGCGTCAGCAACACCAGCGTGCAATTTTGTGCATACGGCGTGACCCAGCACATGATTTCCCGCACGTGCGCTAGCCAGAAGAGGTGCCCCTTCGACATTGGATCGATCTGGGACGGGTCGGGCATTTTCAGCCCTTTTGGGTCTGCCGCTTGCTCCTCCTGTCCTCACTGCTCGTCTGTGCCGCCACATCTGCCGGCGGGAAGTTGGTTCCATTGTTGTACGTCACAGGCACGAGACGGGAACGCCATCTAACGTGAGGCAGAGAGGGCAATTTGTGCCTCGGGTGAGATGCACGGCAGGCACATCACGTGCGATGCCCACTGCAGGGAACAAACAAGATTATCGGGCCGTTTCAAGGTTGGGGAAGCAGGCGCCCCAGAGACTGGTCAGCTGGGAAGCAAGGGCACGCATGGCCAGGCTGTTGCTTGGAGGAGGATCCGCCAATGCGGAGAAACGCAATCCCTCGAGGTTGGGGGTTGGGGAATTTGCGCTGAGCGGGGAAGGAAACGAGGGGATGAGAGGGGAGGAGCGGGTGAGATTACCTAAGGCAAGACAAAGGGGGCGAGGTGGTTGCCCACCCCATGGGCCACTTGCTGCCCGTTCCGACGCAATTGCCCAGCGCCAGCCGACAGTGGAAAATGTTTGCAGCATGGGTCCTCTCTCTCTCAGTCGTCTGACCCAAGCCTTGAGGCTGGACGCCTTGCCCCAACCCCTGCTGCGGCAGGCTGGCTTCTGACACCCTCGGCAGTGGCAGTCGGAGGCGCCTCTGACATCGTTGGGCAGTCGGCACACACACACACAACACACACGCGCGCGCCACTCCGGTACTTAGGATGGCTAGTGCCTCTTCACCGCGCACAAGCGCCGGCTGCGGGCCATCGTGGCGTACCCTCCTTCCAGAGGCTGGCTCCGAGATGTCCTCCGTGAGTCGTCCCCTCACTAGCAATGCATCTAGCTCTGGTGCTGGATGGCCACGATGCTTTCACGCTGGTGTGACTGACTAGCAGTGTACGCTAGCCCATGTAATGGCGACGCACGGCCAGATCGAGCCAAAGTCGGCGGTCGTGGACGAGCCGACCTAGGAACATCCTTGATCCTCACGATTCAGGACACCCGCTGGGTTGCCCCGGCCCTGTTCGGCCAACCACCGGTGAGTGCCGAAAGAATCTCCGCCCACCACGCCCTCCACGAGTGCCGCGACGACCACGGGCCCCAGGTCCAGAACGGACAGGCGCAGGGGTTTTACCCCATGGAGCAGGTTTTGACAACTTGTTGCTGCTCGCCGTTGCCATTGTCAAACCATGATCCCCCCAGCCGGGTCAGTGGCCTCCTCGCGCACCAATGGTATCCCCACATTCTCGTCGAGCCGTCGGGCCCCCTCGCTCCCACGCACATGCCTGCCCGAGCCTGTAAGCCTGGGGTCATCCCCAAGGGGAGTGAGGAGCCTCGGAGTGGAGGCCACTCACAACGTTCGACGACCCCGGACGGCTCTTGGGCCTCCTCAGTCCGGTCGCGCCCGAGGAGAAAATTATTTATATCGAGGCCAAGCCCCCATAAGACTTGATCCCTGGGCCCTCTCTTGTCCTCGCTCGCTACCCTGATCCCATAGTGGTTGACCAGGCTCCTTCGCCAACTGCCTCCTTGCATTGCTTCCCAGCGTGTCAGCCAGAGCACAATACCGCAGCCATGTCGTCTCCAACTGGTGAGGCCAAGCCAGAGGTCGCCCATGGCGACGAGAAGGACTTCGGCGAGGTTCGCCAGGTCAACGCCGCCTCGGTGGCCCTCGCTGCCGCTGTCGCGGAGCAGAAGCCCAACCCGTGGTCCCGCAACATGATCTCCCTCTACGCCATCATGGCCATCGGCTATCTCGTCTCCACCATGAACGGTTTCGACTCGTCTCTCATGGGTGCCATCAATGCCATGGACGAGTACAAGAACAGCTTCGACCTCCAGGGCGATGATGGTTCTGGCACCGGTATCATCTTCATCATCTACAACCTCGGCCAGATTGCCAGTTTCCCCTTCTGCGGTCTCCTTGCCGACGGCCTTGGTCGCCGCTGGTGTATCTTCATCGGATGCCTCATCGTCCTTGTCGGCACTGCCATCCAGGCCACCGCTCACGAGAAGGGCCAGTTCATCGGTGGTCGCTTCGTGCTTGGCTTTGGCGCCTCTATTGCCTCCGCTGCCGGCCCTGCCTACATTGTCGAGCTTGCCCACCCTGCGTACCGTGGTACCATGGCTGGCATGTACAACAACTTCTGGTGGCTCGGCAACATCATTGCTGGCTGGACCACCTACGGCACCGAACTTCACCTCAAGAACTCGTGGGCCTGGAGAACGCCCACCGTTGTCCAGTGCATCATGCCCGGCATCGTCATGTGCCTCATCATGTTCTTCCCCGAGTCTCCCCGTTGGTTGATCCACCATGACCGCACCGAGGAGGCTCTTGCCATCTTCGCCAAGTACCACGGCGACGGCGACGAACACTCTGCTCTCGTGCAGCTCCAGTACCGCGAGATCGTCGCCGAGCGTCAGGCGACCCAGAACCCCAACCCATGGTGGGATCTTCGCGAGCTCTGCAACACCAGAGCCGCGCGCTACAGAATGGCCATGGTCATCGGCATGTCCTTCTTCGGGTATGTCCACCTTTTAGATGTACAAGGTCATTGCCATCCCATGAATTACAGCTAACAGTACTATCCTCGGACTAGTCAATGGTCTGGTAACAACGTCGTCTCCTACTTTATGGTAAGTCTACATGTCCATTCTCCACTTGCACACGTCGACCATCGTAAGGGATCACAAACTAACGCGAGTCTCCTTTCCAGCCCGCCATGGTTGAAGCCGCTGGTATCACCAACAAGTCCACTCAGCTTCTGATCAACGCCATCAACCCTATCTTCTCGATGATGGGTGCTATCTACGGCGCCACTCTTCTCGACAAGCTTGGTCGTCGCTTCATGATGCTTGCGGGTCTTGGCGGCGCGCTCGTCTTCTACTGCATGTTGACCGGCTTCACTGCCTCGACCGCCACCAACCCTAACCTGTCCTATGGTGTCATTGTCAGCATCTACCTCTTTGGTATCTGCTTCGCCTGGGGCTTCACTCCCCTGCAGACCCTGTACGCCGTCGAGTGTCTGGAGAACCGTACGCGTGCCAAGGGCAGTGGGGCCAACTTCCTGTTCCTCAACATCGCCATGGTCGTCAACACCTACGGCATCAGCGTCGGTATGGAGGCCATCGGCTGGAAGTTGTACCTCGTCTACATCGGCTGGATCATTGTCGAGATTGTCATCATCTACTTCTTCTTCGTTGAGACTGCCGGCAAGACCCTCGAGGAGATGTCGGAGATCTTCGAGGCCCCCAACCCCCGCAAGGCCTCGACCCGCAAGACCAAGCTCGGTCTTGACCAGTCTGGTCGTGTCGTCGGCGTCGACGAGGAGTCCCACTAAAGGACTACATCGAGGGAAGACTCATGTGCGTCTGATGTAAATTGAGTTTGCTCTCTTCTCCTTGCGACACCGAGGGTGACTTGTAGTAATTATTGGATCGAGCTGAGCTCTTTCATCAAGAAAGGGTGGCTTCTTCTGCATCAATATTGAGCCATGGTTCCATCTTACGACGTCAATATGACCTGATTTTTGTTCCGATGTAGCACTTGAGCCGCAACTTCTCTATATACCAAATACCCCTTCAATTCTACGTAGCCTCTTGATGAGTTCCATCTTGTGCCCATCGTCGTGACGTGCATCTGGCCGTACACTGTGTGTTGATTCCCTGCTATCTTTGAGGTCTGTGCGTACAAATGCCGCCCACGCACGCTATTCAGACTGCTTGTTGTGATGCGTCATTCCCCCTTGTCAGGCGGTAAAGGCTGGGAGGCGAAAGAATCACCTGCGATTCCGACCACCGCGAGGTCGTACCAGATCCAAGACAGTGACCACGAAGGTACGCTTGGTTGCATACGGCAAGCATGTTACTCCACAAGGGGTAAAGTACCCGATACCATGAAACAAACTTCACGAAACTTGCAACCCTGCACGTGAACTTTATGCTGCCGGGAGTACGTGATCACGCGCGGTTTTGCAACCGCCCGCGCACGGATGCCGAGACAACTGCAGGTAAAGGTCACGCCAATGTCTCAGTCGCACCGTGTATCAGAGCTCGGTGGGGGAGAGGCGGAAATGGGCACCTGCGTGGACCAACAAGTATATGTGTGCTCGACCCATGTACCAGCGTTACGTAGGCTGGGCTTGTACGTCTAGATTTGCCAGTGTAGGAGGCAGCAGCTCACACCAGGTACAAAGAGCAGTGGAGCGAGATTGTGAAACGTCAATTCATCGTGAAAAGTCCAGGGGTTTAAGGCTTGGTGCAAACCGAGCGTTAGCCCATCATCCTGCAGAGCATTGCTGCCTGAACGCGGCCGGGCCAACTGCCTCTGGCCCATCTTCTCACATGGGCTTGCAGCTAACATCGGCTTCCCGATGCCCTATATTTTACTCGTAACCGCACTTTGCGACTCTAGACTCGACATGCACAGGCACCCAATCTTGTAACCATGGCCGACGACATCTCCAATGCCCTGAGCGCCTTCCTCCTCTCTGGACAAGCACCGACTTTTGCTTGCGGCGGCACCATCCCTGTGGCACTCGGATCCAGCCGTGATGAGCCGCACACGAGCCCTCCTGTGACAGTCAGATGGGATTGCAAGGAGGGGGCCAATCGCATCAGCTTCCCCTTGAACGACGATGGTGGCTCACGGCTCTCGGAGTTGATCGAGGACTGCGTGCCAGCGACTTTTGGCAAAGACAACGAGGACGTCCTTGACCCGGCGTATCGCAGGGCCGCCGCCATGGACGCTTCCCGGTTCGCCGTCGACTTGGACCCTTATCGCCTCGGAATCATCGACCAGGTCCAGCGGGTTCTTGTGCCCCCGGCCTTTGACACGGAAGAGGTCAACCTGAAGCCTCAGGGCACCACGCGGAGTGTCTCTGCGGAGCTCTACAAGCTCAACGTAAGTGCGACAAAACGGCACGTTGCCCTACTAACTCATGATCGTGCTTGCCATATACATATTCTTTATAGTCTACAATCTCATCCTTGTCCAGATTTACGAGGCCCCATCAGGCTTTTTCAAGAGCCATGTCGACACCCACGCCACGAGACTCAGATCGGCTCTCTTGTCGTCTGCGTTCCCTGCCACCACAAGGGCGGCAGCCTCGTCGTCCGCCACGCCGACAGGGAGGTCACGTTCGACTGGAGCGACAACACGACCGCCATCAAGTGGGCGGCCTTCTACAGCGACTGCGAGCACGAGATTATGAACGTCACCGAGGGCTTCCGCGTGACCCTGACGTACAACCTCTACGTGCGAGACCAGCCGTCGGACCGGGGCGGCTTCATGGAGCAGGGCCTCGCGCCGGTGGAGGTCCGGAGCTTGCCGCTGTACCAGGTCGTGCGCTCAGCTGCGGCAAATCCAGAGTACATGAAGACAGGTGCGTGTCTGCTTGGCTTTATATAGTCATCCCTAGGAATGGCAAGGTTTTCTAGCTTTGGGTTTTCCAGAGGTCCAGGCTAAACAGGTTTTCTGTTCGCTCCAGGCGGCACACTCGGAATCTTCTGTGCCCACGCCTATCCTGTTCAGGCACCGGTAGAGTTCAATGAAGGGTTCCGGAGACAAGATGGACACGAGGATGCCGCGGCACCCCAGATCCTCCCCATCGTGCTCAAGGGGACAGATCTGGCCGTCGTCTCCGTGTTCAGAGCCCTCGGCATGCGCGTAGAGGTCAAGTCCATACTTGACGGCGAGAAGCTCACGGAGAAGTATTATTACTGTGATGGTTCCGGCGGCGAAGAAAAGCCCGAGGCATGGTCTCACAAACACGGGGCGGACAAACTTGGCAGAGTGTGCGTCACGTCCGCGGGAGGGTGGGACGGCGCGATGCCGACAGACATGCTCGACGAGTACGGGTCGCCGCTCCAGGGAGTGACTTGGCTCACCCAGCGAAGCCACAACAACGTCGACTTTGTGCATCTGACCGTAAGTACAACAAGCCTTTTGTCATTTCGAGAAAAAGATCACGCACACTGGCCAGGGGGGGAAACTCGGCTCACCATGGTGTCACAGTATGGAAACGAGGTCGGCATCAGCACGTGTTACACCGGCGCTGCGATCCTTGTCAAGGTCCCGCCTTTCGAGGAGCGGCAGCTGGACAATGTGCGAGAGTGACGGCTGGCACTGCCGGCCAACATGGGGTATGGCGACAAAGGGCGCACGTCATGATTGGGTCTTGGTATCTCAGGGGTGGTGATGCTTGGCCGCCAGCCAGTCTCGATAGTCGCTCGTCCTAGGAACGGCGAAGAGGGGCGAATATGATGATAATACGAGGTTCAGCAGAGCTGCGAAACTTTTAGCTGATGATGTTTTATCTGCTGGGAGAAAACAACCATGCTGCAAGGCTCTTGTTTGTAGCAAAGCCCTAGCCTGAATTTAGCTAAGACCTCAGATATCAGAGAGCAGAAAACACGACATATCAACAAGCCGGCCTGAAGCATCTTGAAGAAAGAGAATTAATTACACAATTATTTGAGCCCTGTGGATTGGCAAGGCGAATCGGCTGTCGACGGTGTGAAGCAGCACGCCATCTGGTCTGTGGGGTTTGCAGAATGATCAAGTTTCATGTCTGTGAACCTCTGAACCTCTGGATATCTGGTGCTACATGGGCTGCCATTATTCTAGTGCTCAGCAGTATTCACAACACATAAATGAATGTAGATAGTGGCACAAGCGCGGTTCAAGCCTCTGTTGAGCGGCACGGCTTTAGCATGTTTTGCCAATTCGTGTCCCACAGCGACTTGACTGTGCCCGGCGCCTCACGTTGGACAGCCTCCTTTCCACCAATGGCCTTCCATTTCGGCTCTTCGGCGTGTTGACACGGACCCAGATCATGATAGGTTGTGATGAGCAATGAGCATTTGAGTCTACCCTCTAGGGTCTGGGTCGATATCATCCAGTCTGTGTGGCAAGAACCGCACGATCCCACGACATGCTCCTCACGCTCCCCGATTGAATCCACCGGAAAGGAGCCAAGTTTATCGTGCTGAGCTCGACCAAATACGTGCCCGCAAACACGAGTCTCCTTTGATGCGATGTGGGTTCGCAGCGCCTGCACATCTGCCATAGCATCACAGATATATGCTCGCTCGCACGACACAATAAGCTCCTTCATCTCCGACGTCGTGACTGCGTGCCATGACTCTTCGAAGGTGATGCCGTGGCTGATATATCCCCGGAAGTAGGTACAGGCCAGGATGGAAGCTGGGACACCGTGGGCTGGTCTAAGCACGGCATGATTTGTGATTAGTCGCGCCAGGCACCAAGTGAGGGTGAAATAAGGACTGTAGCGGAAGTATAAAATCGGGGGAACCTTGCTCTCTTTGAAGGACTTGCGAACATTGAAGGGTCTGCAGTCGTGCAGATAGTCGTACCGGCCAAGTTTCCCGCGAGATGTTCTGAACCACACCAACCTCTGACCTTTGAAGCAGTAGAAGCGGCCAGGCGAGTCCCTCTCGAGTCGGTAGAGGAAGGTATCGATGCCGTCTTGGACATTTGCACGGCGCACGAGTCGTGCGAAAGAAGGACCACTGTGATGTAGGGCTTTGCAGGCCGGTGACAGGCAGAGAGCGTCTGTGGCGTTGGAGATGGCATCGAAAAGAACCAGCACGAGCTCCACGGGCCACTGGCTGAAGCTGGGCGAGGCGGGCGAGGTTACATTGCGCCCTCGAGACGGCTTGCAGAAGCGACGGAGGAGGGAGAACAACATGGTCGGCGATGATGCATGTAATATTTTGAGGTGAACAAGTTGTACGCAGATGGCAAACGAGATGGATGCTGGATTTGAGGTGGTTTATCCGTAATTGTTGGCGGAAGGAGGCTGTGCACGCGTTTGTCCCATGACAACTTCGTCGCTGGTAACGCCCAGTGCGCATCCTCCCAGCACAGTTCTCCATCAGCACCACCACGCAAGTCCTCGAATGCGAGGGCCATGGGTATTCGAAGCATGGCTGATCAGGCCCGTTCAAAGAGCGCCTGTGGCTCACCCTACTTCTCTTCCGTCTGGCAGCAATCACAATGGACAGCTGCCGGACGTCAAACATGGTGTGCAAGGCTTGCCACAATCTCCATCTTGTGCTCGACCATGGACCTGACCTCGTCCTATTAAACAAGACACAGCACATCATCCAGAGGCATTCCCCCGATCGACTGAAAATCATTCGCCATGCCGAGAAGACTACAAGCTCTCGTCTCCCGATTTCGGGCCAGCCAGCACGAGTCAATGCAGGCACTTGGGCCGGCAACAGCAAGATCCCGCGACTTCAATAATGCCACGCTTACTTCGTGGTCCACGACCACCCTCGCGGCCTTCAGCGATCCACCTAGCAAACATTCCTCTGGCGTCGACAAAAGATTCGAACAGCAATCACATGCCACGCTGCAGTCGCTCTCCGAAGAGCTCCTCCTGACGATCACCAGCCATCTAGACATAGTCGACACCGTCTGCTTAAGCCTGACGAGTCGCGGCTTGGATCTCTCTGACTTACGCCGTTCGTTCTCGTCCCGCCTAGATGCAGCGACGAAGGAAGAATTACTCTTGCGAATCGAAAGGGACAGCCCAGCCCTGAGCTACTGCCACGTCCGGCGCCGCCTTCTGCCGTTCGCTCAGACCCACCTCGAAAGAAGACTGCTTCACTTCCACGACTGCGAGGCCAGCCCGCAGCACGAAATCGTGCTGCCCTACAGCGAGTGCTACAGGCTTCCGCTGTGCACCGCCCGGCTCGCGATCAACCACGCCGTGCTCGGCCCGCAGCACGGCATACCGGCCTCGGCGCTCTCGCACGCCCACGCCATATCCCACCCAGACGACTATCAACTCCGCAGGTACGAGTCCTGGACCTGCAAGGTGGCCCGCGGCGGCGGCCCAAGTCCCGAGCAGCTCATGCTGCGCTGCGTGCGGTCGTGGGTGTCGATCCGGGAGAGCCACCATGTCGCCCTGCTCAGACGCCACTTCCACGACAACAAGATTGCCATGTGCAGGCACTGCGAGGTGGACCTGGCGCTCGACGAGAACGGATGCCGCCGCGTCATCATCGGCACCGAATCGTTCCTCACCACGGGCAGCTGCGCCAGGTGCGAGACGGACTGGGAGATCCGGATCGGCCTCGGGGTCAGCGGCGAGGATGTGGGCCGGCCGGTCGCACACCGGTGGCTCGATGGGTATTTCAGCTGGACGGTCATTGTCAAGACTTGTCACCGGCTCGGCCGGTGTCAGGACCCGAGCGATCCAATGTGGCGTGCAATGTTGAGCGACGATGCACCGGTTTCGGCTCGCGCTTTCGGCTTGATCAAGACCCAGTGGAACGACCAATGATATAATCTTCACAAGTTTTGTTCGGCAATAGAATGGCTTTGGACAATGGAATTGTCATACGGGATAGAAGGCTTCAGAGGCTCAGAGGTTCAGAGGTTCAGAGGACCAGAGATTCAGAGGGCCAGAGGTTCAGAGGGCCAGAGGCGCAAGCCCATCGTGGTTGTGAAACCAAAGGGCTTTGACACTAAGATCGACACTCGTCTAGTCCTGCACGACTATGGCATCATTTCAAGCGCATTAAACAATGCAGTAGCTGCACCAGTTTTGAATAGCAAGTACATGCTCTAAATTTCATTTCCCACGACCTGAACTTCGCGGCATTACCAAAAAGCTCCCCCTGTAGTGATACTTGAGAAAGCTTTTACTTCAATCCAGGGTCACAATTCGTCCTTAACCTTTTTCAAACTACCCCTCTATTCCTTCAGCACAATGGGAATAACATCCTGCACGATGCCTTCGGCAATCTTCTTCTCCCTCGCCTCCCACCCAAGCTTCCTCAGCCGCGTGGCCTTGTGGCGCGAGTTGGTGCCAACCACCGCAGGTGTCCACTCGCCGAATAACTCGCTGTACTCGGCCTCGGGGATGGTCCTGGCCTCGGGCGACTCAATCTTGCCGAGACGGTGCAGCTCCTTCCCGACCACCCGCGAGATGTCACCCCACGAGATCTCCTCGCCGCTCTCGGCGAAGAAGTACGGGTTGCTCGCCAGATCCTTGTCCGCGGCGGACCCGGGCGCCGCGCCCTCGGCGTAGTGCAGGAGCGTCATGTAGGCCCGGGCCAGGTCTATGACGTGGACGAACTGCCAGATGGCGGCGCCCTTGCCGACGTAGCCCGCGTAGCCCTGCTTGAGCGCGAAGCGGACGAGCGAGGGCACCTGGATGGAGAGGCGGCCGCCCGAGTGCTCGCCGACGCCGTCGATGATGGGCGGGATCATGAGCAGCAGCTTGCTGCCCTGGTCGCCGAGCTCCTTGCGGGCGCGGAGGATGGCGAGGTCGACGTTGCGGTGGGGCGCGCTGTCCGGGAGGGCGTCGATCGCGGCCGGGTCGGCGTCGTCGTAGATCTTGTCCGAGGCGTAGTTGGAGTGGGAGTCGTCGGCGAGCAGAGAGGCGCCGCTGGTGTGGATGTAGATGGGCTTTGAGGCGGAGGAGGAGGAGGAGGCAACGCGCTGCTTGATACCGGCGAGGACGGCCTCGGCGGAGGGCAGGTCGTCGGCGGTGGCCGTGTGGAAGACAATGTCGGCCTCGCTGGCGTGCTTGGTGATGAGGTCTGTGTCGGACAGAGTGCCCAGGACGGTGGTGAGGTTGCTGCCGAAGCGCTCGCGGAGGGAGGTGGCCGAGGACTCGCTGCGGACGAGGACGGTGACCTTGTAGCCCTCGGTGGTGAGGTGGTGCAGGATCTCGCTGCCGATGTAGCCGGGGCCAATGAGGAAGACGTTCTTGCCAGACATTGTGATGATAGTAGCCGTTGTAGTGAATTTGATTTGTTGTGGTTGTGGTTGTTATTGTGGGGGAGGACGATTCAATATGGAGGTGATTGTTGCTGGCGGGGTTTGGCCACTGGGGTAATGGATGTCGTGATGTGCAATGACGGCAGAGTGATCGTGGTGTTGTCCTCGGTGGCCGTTGCACCAATATATACTCTCGACTCGCGGGTACACTATCCCTTCAACCACCAACGCGACAGGCGCCTCGACGTCATGGCATTTGTCAGGGCCAGCATCTGCATGTTTCCATGATCGACAAGGCCAGAGCGGATTGAGTTTCGCATGTGCGTTGGCTCGCAAGACACGCCATGATGACTTGGCCGAGGCGGGCCGAAGGTGGGGAGGGCGTGCTGGACCCCTGTGAGCCCACAGCGGCCCGTTTGCATGGGACAGCCAGCGGGAAAGTTGCCCCGATCAAAGTTGTTGGGTGGGCATGGCATGGTTACAAAGCTCTGCAGGTGCAGGAGGGTTTAGTCAGCCTGTGCGACCCAATGTGCTGTAGGCCGGGGCGGGGCTTTACTTTACAGGATCAATCTTATCCCGCTGCAGCTCGGACGGTGCTGAGTCAGGCTTGTGGGGAAGGAAGAGCTGCCCCCCTCTTCGCGGACCAACTCGCTCGAGTCCGTTTGCTAGCAGCTTGCAGGGTGACCTGGACAACCATCATGGCCGCCAATATCAAGCTCATCCATCCCACAGGCATGTCAACTCTCTTTCCCAGCTGTCTGTCACGTCCGATTCTCCCTCGGGCCATCTCGCATCAACGTCCCAGCTCAGTTGCCTGCCTCAGAGAACGAGTCGTGCAATCCGATCGATCACCTGCCAGTCCTCAATTTCGCCTTTCTACTGGCGACAACCTGCAACGTGCCCATGTAAACAGTCGATAGGCGCTGGAAAACTACCTTAGGGTAGATACCTCGAAGCAACGCTCATACCAAGCGCCAGCATGGGCAATCTCGGGTTCGCGCACGCTCAATGTGGCAAAGCTGGCCCATCGAGGCAATCTCACTTTGGCTCTTTCCGAGTTCCCACCCACACTTTCACTTGCCTCAGCAATTATTTCCATTTTCGATGACACGGATGTCCAATAAACTCGGTATGCTAGCGATGCTCGTACTCTGACGGGCCTTTGGTGCCATGGAACTTGTCGATCATCATCACCCCAGGCTTCCAGGAATGCTCAGATACATCATCTGTCTCCTCGCTGGAGAGAGACACGCTGACAGCGCTGGTGGCGGAGACAGCTGCGGCCCGCCCCTGATTGAATTCGATAACATGCACTGCCAGGCCAACCAGACATGACGCGACTGGGGAACCGCGATCGTCCAATTTGTGCCAGACCAAGCAATCGTTTATTTATGGGTAACAGGTTGCAGATTCCGTGGCTGCGTTGCATGCTTATTTCCAGAGCAAGTCTAGCGCCTCCATGCCAGGTTACGCTACGAGGTGAACACCATGCTCTCATTGGTCGGAATCCCTGTCATGTCGCCTGCGGTGGCTGAGCCCCCCGCTCAGGTACCAATACACCGTGTTTCCCTTTTAGGAAATACTTGAGCATGACATGTCCGGGGCTGTGCACTTACATCATAGCTGTCTGGAAAGCCCCCAAGGCTCAAGGCTGCTGGGACGACATTGCATCCAGGCGACGCAAGCACTGGCTTCCACGATATAAGGCCCTTGGAAGCCCCTTTGGCATCAGGCCAGCTCTGTCCTACCGCCATCACCAAATCCCCTATCACGATCTAATTCAACGCTTTGCATCTGTAGTCTTCATGATGCACTCTATCACGACTTGGGCATCAGCTCTGCTGCTCCCTCTGGCAGCCACCACAGCTGCCGCTGCCGCATTGCCCCGCGCCGACGGCATTGTCTGGGGCGAGTGCCACATCGAGGAGGACACCTCCAGCCTGCCCGTGCCCGTGCAGTGCGGCAAGCTCACTGTTCCGCTGGATTGGTCCGGAAAAACCACCGACAAGACGATTGATATCGAGCTGATCAAGTGGCCGGCCGCAACACAGCCTGCGCCCAAAGGCAGCATCCTGCTCAATTTCGGAGGCCCCGGGGGTGACGGTCTCAACAACTTCGTCTCTTACGCCCCCTTGCAGGCACCGTACGTCGAAACACATCAGCCACAGTGCGCCATATACTGACCTGAACTCCTAGGATAATTGGCGACGAGCACGACATCATCAGCTGGGATCCTCGGTGAGACCCCCTTCTGGAGTGAGACGGCACGCATACATGAGCACTAACCCGCCACCATCTGCCAGGGGCACCCGCAATGCCATCCCCGTCATTTGCTACAACAACACGGCAACAAATGCCGAGCTGACGACATACCTTTCAGACTGGTACAACGCCTCCGATACTACGCCCTCCCATCTCTGGACGGAAGCCACTGTGCTGTCCGAGTTATGTCAGAACGCGCTACAAGAAGTTGGTCCTTACGTCGGCATGGCCTCGGTGGCACGGGACATCATCGCGATTGTTGACGCTCTCGGCGAGGATGGGCTGCTGAGATACTGGGGCATCTCGGGCGGCACCTCTATGGGCGCCACGGTGGCGGCTATGTTCCCGGACCGTGTGGACAAGGTCATCCTCGACGGAGTCATGAATGCACACCAGTACTACAACTCTCCAGTGTAAGTGTCGCAAGGACCTCCAAGCCCATTTTTGACCACTGGAAGTCGTGCCCGGCACAACGCTGACAGCGAGACAGGGAGACTGAATTCATCTCGAGCGCAGACGACGTTCTCCGTGGCATCTTCAACGCCTGCATCGAGGCGGGTGTCGAAAAGTGCCCGCTGGCCAGCCACGCAAAGACTTGCGGAGGCCTCGAGGAGAAAATGGACCAGCTCGTCTACGAACTCAAGTACAACCCTATCCCCTTCGCCTCTGCAGCTCTGGGCAGTGGTGGCATTGTCGACTACAGCATTCTTTTCAACTGGCTCTTCTCAAAGCTCTACGTCCCCAAGAGTTACGCAACCGTTGCCAAGGTGCTCGAAGGACTCTTCCGCCGCGACGCCACTGCTCTGGTGGAGGCAGCCCTGATCGAGGCTGGCGCCTCCACACCTGCCGCAGGTCCCATTATTCGCGCCGTATGGGGCATCCGGTGCGGCGACAAAAGGCCCCGCGCCGACTCCAAGGAGGAACTGGAGCCATACGTCGACCAGCTCGAGGCGAACAGCAGGTGGTTCGCCCACTTTGGCCTCGCGAGCAACGCGTACCTTTGCGCTCAGTGGCCGTTTGAGGCCGTGGAGCGTTACGAGGGCGATTTCACGGGAGTCAAGACCAAGAACCCCGTCTTGTTCATTGGCAACACGTACGACCCGGTCACGCCGCTCGTCTCGGCGAGAAACATGAGCTCTGGCTTTGAAGGGAGTGTGCTGCTGCAGCATGATAGCTACGGGGTGAGTTCCCTCCTTTTCTGGATGGTTGAGACCAAGTGCAACACGATGCAAATTGCTAACGGCTTGACTTTTAATGACACAGCATGTCTCGTTCACGACGCAGAAGTCGAACTGCACCGAAGCGGCTATTAGTGCGTACCTGAATGAGGGCAAGTTGCCGGCTGAAGGCACTGTCTGCAAGCCCAACTTGCCGATTGTCAACTACGTGACAGGAGAGATCTAGAGCGGCAGACGACGAGGTGGCTCAGATCGACATTGGAATAATTGACATCGCATTTCCTTTTCGCATTCATAATATCTAGCATGCATTCTCTTACTTTCCACGTGTAGAGTCAGAGGAATCCTTTTGTGATGGAGGATGTGCTGTTGTCCCCGCGGGGTTTAGCGGCTTTTGAAAGAGGCTTAGCGTGATTCACGGTCATCCTCCAACTGAAAATGGCCCAAGGATGCAAAGCAGTATGTGAATGGGCGTTACAGGCAGCTAGAGTTTTGTATTATATGCGGTTGCGTTCATGAAGATGATAAGGATCGGCTCGACAGGCACCTTGAGAAACGGAAACGTAGAGAGAAGGAATTCAAAGATCCCTCAGGAGCCACTGTTTACAAGAAAGAGAGAAAACGTCGTAGCAAGCAGTGCCGAAGTGAATGGTGCGACCACGCATAGAAGAGTGGGGGGGGGGGGGGCTTGGCTAGGCATCACTGGCAGCCTAACTCTGGCACGGGCTTCAGCTTATGGGTCCAACTTCAGCTGCCCATCAGCTCCTTCACATCCATGCGTCCAGCAACTTATAAAGCCAATAGACGTTTCCCTGGAAAGTCACCGCTTCTCCCACAGCAATCACATCTTCCCGACTTCTTTTCACACCACGCAACCCACCTGTCTGGCAACTGCAATCAATGGATTCTGAACAGACACCAGGCGTCTACCCCGGCTTAGGCCTGCCTATTGAGTATGACAACACAGACCGTCCTGACCGCATAAGCCGTGGCGATTACTACCCCATAGGAGCTCGCGGTGAGGGATCTGGCGCCGGCACCACGTATGATATCCTGCCCGTCCGCGAGGTGGCCATGATGCTTGTCATGGATCGTCTCACCGACAAGCCCAATTGGCATAAAAAGATCTTCGACGACGAGATCACCGCCAAATGGCGTGCAGAGGCTCTTGCGTGGCCCGACGACGATCTCTGGAGTCGTGCCACACGTGGCAAGAGTTCTGGACGCTTTTGGGGACAGGAGGCAGGAGATGAGACTGGGGAGCAGCGCGAGATTGAGAATATCCTCAATGACGAATGCTTTGACTTTGTGAGTTATCATGCCAACAGCACCTTCAAGATCACGCAACTGACATGGCTCGTTGCAATAGGTCCTAGGTGAGCTTCGTAAGAAGGCCGAATACTTCGAGAAGACACGTCTTATACCCACACTGGATGTTGGACCGGCTGTCGTCAAGTCGGACACCCTTGTGCCCCCAGATCTCCACGAGGAGATCCGCAAGGCATTTGATACTCTGCGGCAAGACCAATCAGCCAATCCTGACTGGCATCCCGGGACTAACGAACAAGTTCGCAACCTGATCCACCCATCTATGTACCCACTCGTCTACAACGTTACCAAGGCCATCCAGGACGAGGTCGTCGGCGTCGACGATGCCATCACAAAGTGGTCCGGCAAGGGTGAGATTATTACCGGCGAGATAAAAGAAGAGGCGCCGCCCCAGTCCTACAGCAGTATAATGTATGGCAATCGCGGAGCTCGAGGTACCTGGTCTCACAGATTCCAGTGGCTGCCTTCCAATCTTCACTTCAACGAGGATGGTAGTGTCAGATTCACGAGCTATATCAATGGGTTACACCCGGAAAAGTACACGCAGATCTATCGCACGCTGGAGAGACTTGTAGATAAGGCGATTCCCGCTTGGGACCAGTGCGTTTGTGAAGTCCAAGGTTATGAATTCCAAGCCAAGGGCCGAAGTGAAAGTCGGATTGAGCTGGGGAATTATTGGTACGTTGGAGTCCTGCATTTTGTTGTCGTGTCTTTTGTTCCGCCTTTCTTCGATCTTGAGGTGTGTCTGGCTGATCTGTGTTCTCACATGCTAATTATAACGACACAGCGACACCGAAGAGAACAACTGGTCACCAAACGCTCCACCACCTGCGGAATTCATCGCCTCCTTCGACAAAACCCAAATCGAAGACTTCGAGGAACTTCTCGAAGACGAGGACGAAGAACAAATAGCCGAGGAAGTCTGGAAACACATCCGCAAACCCGTGCAACCGGCCCCTAAACCCCATGACTTCGACTCGATCAACTACACCCCAGACCCCAGCACCACTCTCTTCGCCAAATACCGCGCCACTGGGCTCCAAATCATCGTGAAAATGGCATCCATTGAACTCTCCCCCGAAAACGACAGTAAAGCCGACTCCGCAGAGTTCCCGCTCGGCTCATGGCACGTCGAGGGCCAAATGAATGAGCGCATTGTCGGCACTGCGCTCTTCTACAGCGACTGTGAGAACATTACCGACTCCAGCCTCGAGTTTCGTGCACAGACTGCAGGGACCTACCTTCATGATAGCATGGAGAGCGTGGGGCAGGATAGTTACCATTGGATGCAGAGCATCTTTGGTACACAGTTGGGTAGTGGCAACGCGCCTGGCATCCAGAACTGGGGGGATGTGGAGACGAAGCAAGGAAGGTTGCTTGCTTTTCCTAATATTTTGTAAGTGACGGTTGCCAAAACCTGGAAACGAGCCTTGAGAGAAGTGAAAAAAAAAAACTGACAAACTTCCATGTAGCCAACATCGTGTCCGCCCGTTTCAGTTGAGAGACCCGACCAAGCCAGGTTATAGACGATTTGTTGCACTGTGGCTGGTGGACCCATCAACACGCATCATATCAACCGCCAACGTCCCTCCCCAGCGTCAAGACTGGTGGATCGAGAGCATTCTCGGACAGACCATCAAACCCGGCGAACCCACCTCCCTCGACGCCCAAGAGCAATCATCATCTCCGAAAGACGAAATGGCGCCGGAATCAACCACCACCGACCCCAACCTGCAAGCCGTCCACGACCTCGAAATCAAAGCGCCGTTCCTGGCAAAGACCTTGCGCGAGAAACTCCCCGCCGAGCTGTTCTTCGATGTCAGCAAGCGTTTGGCGGATACGAAGTCACTGCCGATGTCGGAGGAGGAAGCGAAGGGATATAGGTTGGAGTTGATGAAGGCGAGGTCAATGGCTAAGCAGGAGATTGAGGATACTTGGCAGAGCAATACTTATTCTTTTTGTGAGCATTGAGGCTCGCCTAGAAGAGTTGTAATTGGAATTGTTCATTTAGCCGACACTGGCATTCAGATTATTGCATTGCATTCCGCCGATCTTTGCCGAGATGCAAAATAGGGTGCCATTGATGATAGATCTAGCAACACTAGTCAGACTCATTCCAACCCACTGCCATGTCATTGATGGAATCAGCCTTACATCATCGTGCCAAAGGGCCAAGAATAACCTCCCCCCGACCTGCTTCCCGAGATCCACCAATGTCCCGGCCAGCTGACTTCAGATTAGCGAGTGCAGCTGGCCAATCCCCGAAGGAGTTGCAACACCCCCGTTAGCCCTCTAGCCTGGCCGGCGAGCCAATCCGAGCGCAGGACGGCCAGCAGCCGAGCTTGAATACGAGGAATAGTCCTTGCAGACACACACACACACACACACACACACACACACCTCTCTTTTTTCACGTTTTTGTCTGCCTGGGCAGGACGGCAGGCGCATATGCATAAGCTCAGCCGCAGCGGGTATGCAGCACACACCGCGCAGTTTGGGTTTCCATGTATGCGCTGGATGTGTCAACTTCTGAGACACCCGAGGTGGCGAGATGGATTAACCCTTACTTCGACGACAGAGACAAGGGTCTGCCGATCAACTCGTGTTTGCCCTGTGGTGGGAGGGCTACGACTCATGGCGGAACCATGAGGTTTGCCCGCAAAATGCAAACCTGCTCTCAATAGTAGATTACTTTAAGCCCACTTTCGAGAGAACAGCCCATGAACAACCCACATATCGTAAATCGCAATCCAGTCCGGGTTCTTTGTGCGCAACGCATGCACGCAATACGAGGCCGGGACCCCGGACTCTCTGCCCAGTTTAACCCCCGACGGGCTGGCGGGCTGGCGTCAGCTAAAGATCAACGTCCCGCTTGTACGGTGCTACCACGCCGCTGCATGTCTACGACGCACAGGAAATAGGACGCCCCATATATGCTGTCATGTGAGAGAGAGAGCAGAGAGATCGCCGTCGCTGGTCCGCGGAGGGAATGGTTGTGCCGTGCCGCCGTGCCGGCGGGTCAGCAAGTAAGGCTAGGACTGCCCTGCGCCTCGCCTCGTACCACACACAGGTCGACTCCGCCCCTCCTAGTTGGCGGGTTTTCGTGTCGCCTTGCGCGCACACATGATCGGTGAGACCTGGGTTGAGGGTTCTCAGTATAAAAGGCTAAGGTGCACCTTCCCCTGGGAGGGAAGACGATATGGTGGCCAAGATAATCCACGAGACCAGGACATCCCTACCAGAACTAGTCATCCACTGAAGGAAAGTGTCTACTACTGTTTTCCATTTTTCAAGATGAAGTCAACCATCACTTTTACTGCTCTTGCAGCCGTGGCCGCCGTTGCCTTCGCCAAGCCCCTGGAGCCTCGCGACGCTGCTCAAGTCGCACACCTGACCTTTCACGCGGCACCCGTGTCCTACGATCTCTCTGTCCCGGCCGATGGCACCGTCGTGGAGACAAGTACGTACATTGACTAAGGCATTTGCTTTTATTACCTTACATTCTCCCTCTCTCTCTCTATCCCACCCGCACCAACACGCAATGATGAAAATGGTACCTCCACCAAGTCTCTCCCAGCCACACTAACCACAGCCCCTTCCCTTCAACACAAAAAAACAGACAGCGACCTCAATATCAACCTCATCGACGCGCCCGACTACAACGCCCTGGGCCAGTGCACCTTCACCTTTGACTCGATCACGCAGCCCGCGCTGGCGCTGCACATCACCGAGTCCGGCCTCCAGCAGATCGCCGTGGGACCCCCCAGCGTGCTCAAGAGCGTGAGCTGCCTGGGCGCGTGCGTGCCCACGTACGGCGCCTGCTACGGGCCCGACGGGCAGTACGTGGGCCCCTGCTGCACGGGCTTCTGCGCGGCGTCGAGGTGCCGCCCGTGGGATCTGAGCGTTTGAGAGCTTCCGGAAAGTTCGCCCCCCGGAGTGAAGGGGATGCTTTGCAGCAGAGAGAGAGGCCAGGGGTTTCCCGTGTCTGGGGAGAGAGTTCGTCTAAGTCGTGGAGTATGTGTTATGATGCATGTGTCTGGGGCACGAAAGTAGAGGAAGAACTCTTTTGAGATGATTCCTCGGAGCCGGGTATACATAATTACGTAGCGAGTCTCTGCTCAAATTAAAATCATCACTCGTCCATTCACGGTCCATAACTCGAAAGTTTTGGTTTGCTGCAGGCTATAGGCTGAGCTCGAGTCCGTGCCAAGCGGCCCGCAAGCCATACTCCCCGACTCTCGGCCTATTTCGTAAATGTGACAGAGCGACAAGTAGGATTGACATGAGCTTTCGCAAAAACAATGGCCATTGACAGACTCAGAGACTCATAACCACAGGCACTGTATAGCTCGTTGAGAAGTAGTCTTGGTCACATTTGCAAGGTATGGATATAAAAGTCTATAGTCGGCAAGCTGCGAGCAGCAGGGCCAGCACAAAAGGGCACGACGACCATACTCTCAATAAACCCCCAGACGCCCGAGCTTATACATCCTGAACCTTGCCCTCCACCATGCCGCTCTTCTCATCCTTGTCCAGCGAGGCGCTGCTCGAGCCGGGCGCCACCACCAGCGCCGGGCCGCCCAGGGCCGGCACCTCGTCCTCGGAAAAGGTGCCAAAGTAGTCCTGGTCGTCGACGGCCAGGACATCGGGCATGGGCCAGAAGTACGCGAGGACGAGGTACACGCCGCCGGACACGAGACATCCGAGGAACCAGGCGAGCTGGTACAGGTTTGTCCACCCCGGCCAGGCCAGCTTGGGGGAGACGGCGCGCTGGATGAGCCCCGGCAGGAGGAACCAGACGCCCGAGCACCAGGCCACGGCGGCGCGCCAGTTCCAGCCGCCCGTGTACCAGTAGATGCTGTCGGGCCCGGCGCCGTACATGGCGGTGAGCTTCATGGTGGTCCTGCGGAGGAGGAAGTAGTCGGCAAACATGATGCCCATGAGGGGGCCGAGGACGACGTTGAGGGACCCCACGACGGTGAGGAAGCTGCTGGCGCTGTTGAGCAGGGTCCAGGGCTGCATGATGAAGGCGAAGCCGATGGTGAAGTAGCCGCCGCGGCGGATGGTGAACCAGCGGGGGAGCAGCGCGGCCAGGTCGATGCCCGCGATGACGCTGTTGGACGCGACGACCATGCCAAACTGCGAGACCATGAAGGCGATGGCCGCAAAGGCGACGCCCGCGCGGGCGCCCGAGTTGTCCTCGTGCCGGCGGACGGCCTCGAGGAAGCTGTAGGGGTTCCAGAGCAGGGCCTTCTCCTGGGGGTAGAGGGTGGCGGCGCACGAGGTGCAGACGATGCCGATGCAGGCGACGACGATGGTGCCGAGGGGCACCATGACGAGCTGGGCGAGGACCTGGTCGCCCGGGCGGCGGGCGTAGCGGGTGTAGTCGGACTGCGACCACATGTGGGTGGCGATGCCGCCAATGTTTGCCGTCACGGCCGCGACAAACGCCCAGCCCAGCTGCCCCCCTCGGGCCGGCTCGACGCCGCTCACACCGCTCACGTCGGCCAGCAGCGCGCCGCCGCCCCCCGCCCGCACCGTCGACCACACGAGCAGCACAAAGACCGTCGTCGCCACCGTCACCGACGCCGCCATAAAGGGCTTCTTGTAGTGCTCCGGGCTGAACCACATCAGCGGCAGGCACAGCAGGATGTACACGACAAAGGCCACAAAGTCGCAGACCTTCATGGCGCCGTTGGCCAGCGGGCCGTTGAGGTCAAGGAACGACGGCCAGATGCACGTCAGCAGCACCTTGAGGCACTGCGAGCCGTACCATGTGTTGGTTGCGGTCCACACAAAGGACAGGAAGACGCGGATGGCCTTGAGATCATGAGTTAGCTTGGTGCCATGGACCACACAGAAGCCATTCAAGAGAGTGACTTCAAAGCACATACCATTGGGAACAGGTAACCCCAGATGCCCCAGTTCTGCTTCATCCAGATGGGGAAGCCAATGTGCCATTTGGCACCCGGGTGGCCACCCGCCACGCAGACGAAGCCGACAAAGGTGTGGGCGACAATGATGGCCAGCATTGCTTGCTGCTCACAGGGCCAACGTCAGCGTTCGCTCAAAGCCGCATATTGATCACTAGAGCATTGGAGTGTGGCCTCGTGGTGCACCTACCCAGACATTCAACCCCAGCGAGATCAAGGACGAGCCCGTGGTCCAGCCGCCGACGTTGAACGAGCCAGTGACCATCCACAGGCCCACAAAGTGCCACGGGCCGTAGGGACGCCTGGACGGAGGCAGCGGGATCGTGTCCTTGTTGACGTAGATGTCGACCACATTGTCCGAGTCCCGCTGGACCTCGAGCTTCCGCACGAGGCGGGCCCGGAACGAACTGGGCGAGGACATAGTATCCCTGGCTTGGCTGCTGAGCTTCTTGGTGGAGGTGTCAAGTGCCGAGTCTCAGAGGAAACTGCGCTTCGAGTGGAGTGGGTGAGAGCGTGTCCCGAAGAGAGACTGGGGGTTCTGTTGAGCAGCGAGACCAGCTGCCATTATGAGACCAGGTAAAAGTACCTGGTGGACAGCATGTCTTCGTCTTTAGAGCACTTGATCGTTTATCAGCGCCCATATCGGAGGCCATCCCGGCAGACTTATCAGCGGACGGCGAAGCCGCTATCTACCCGACGTCCACTATCTGGCAAGTGCGCTGGTCAGGCATAGGCAGATAACTAATTATGCCGGATCGTCGTGTTATCAATCCGACGGGAACAAATGCCGGTTCGGGCAGCATTGGACCAATCAGATGGTGCGTGCCCGCCGATAGCGGTCCTGGGTTTATCATTCTGACAGCCGTTAGGCAGGCCCATTGTGGGGTCCCCTCCGTACGATGTGGCACAACCCTGAAAGCTTGAACACGGCGGCCAAGGCGCGGCTGGCGTTCGGGCGACTTCCGCTCCGACGCCTTTCTATGTAATACCCCAACCCGTCGGCCGAGCTCCTGCGGGGCCGGTGCTGTGCATTACGTGCAGCCATAATTGACCCTCCAGCTTGCCTCTTGTGTTTTATCAGCACGAACACTCAGCCTGTCCCCCCGCGTCGCTCTGCTAGATTCTCAACCAGGCGCAGGCATCCAGAATGTCGACCACTACTGTGACCAGCGCCCAAGCCCCGGGCGAGGCGGGCCCTCGGACGGCCACCATGATGAATGGAAAGACGTTTACTTTCCAGTCCAACGTGTCCACGACCCTGGCCAAGATCCCCATCATTGACGCCGCGCGCATCTGGAGCCAAGACCTCGCCGAGCGCAAGGCCCTGGCCGAGGAGATCCGAGAGGCCGCGCATGAGATTGGATTCTTCTATCTCGTGAATCATGTATGTCAGTCACTGCTCGGCGGCGGCGGCGGATCCTAGGCACGAGTCATCCACTCAATTGGACTTGTCTTTACTGACACAGAAACCGTGACATCTAGGGCATCGACATGAAATATGCAGATGAGGCCATGACACAGGCCAAGAGGTTCTTTGCGATGCCACAGGAGAAGAAGATGGAGGTCTTTACTGGTCTCGTGCCCAACGAGTATGTCGGCTTCCACCCGATGGAGTGCTACAACCGCAACGGCTGGAAGCGCCAGGGTTAGTCTTAAGCTTCTCCCACCCCCAAGCGCCTCTTGCAGCACGGGCATTGACATGCTGAATACACACACACCATATCAGACCTCAGCGAGGCCTTCAACTGGGGCTACGACGCCAAGTTCGACCCAGACGCCACCCCGGCGGCCCTCGCCCAGAAGTCCCCAAGCATCTGGCCATCTGACCTGCCGGGCTTCCAGGAGGGCGTGATGGCCTACCACGCGCAGCTGCTGCGCTTCTCGCGCCGCCTGGCGCGCATCTTTGCCCTCGCGCTGCACATGCCCGAGGACTACTTTGACGCGTACACGGCGCAGCCCGAGGCCGGCATGCGCATCCTGCACTACCCGGAGCAGGAGCACTCGGTGGACGAGCAGAATGGCATCGGGGCACACACGGACGTCGAGTCTTTCACCATCGTGACGCAGGACGACACCGGCGGGCTCGAGGTGCTGGGCAAGGACGGCCACTGGATCAAGGCGACGCCCGTGCCGGGCGCGTTCGTGGTCAACATCGCCGACTGCTTCATGAGGCAGACCAACGACTTTTTCGTGTCGACGATCCATCGCGTCGTCAACAAGAGCGGGCGCGAGAGGTACTCGGTGCCGTTCTTCTTTGGTTTCGATCGGTCCATGAGGCTGGATCCCATACCGAGTTGTGTGGATGAGACCAAGGGGATGCCGCCGATGAAGTATCCGGTCATCACGGCGGGAGAGTACTATGAGTGGCGCACAAACCGGCAAAAGAAGACGAACACGTTCAACGAGGAGGTGCAGGGCAAGGCAAGCTGATGCACTCGAGCAGCATTGTACAAGATTTGTTGTGATGAAGATGAAATCGTAAGCAACGTATATTACAAATCTGGTGCTTTGAACTGCTCTTGACAGAATCCAAGGATTGATAAGTGAACTCTTCTTCATGTTTGTAGCGGGTTGCGTGGTCAAGCGCGGCAGCAGGGCGTCCAAGAGGTCAGGAACTCTATTCGCTGGTTCCCTCAAAACATGGTCTATGCTGTAGGACTCGGCATCGCGGCACGCCTTGCTTCGCCTGAGGGGTTTTCTTTCTAGTTCGCCTGTCATGTGGCCTAGTCTGTTAAGGGCCAGGCTGCGTTCATTCTGTGGATCTGCACTCACAGCTGGCCCAGGACACTTCGACAGCATGAAACCTCGAGCAGTCGAGCCACAGCGCTAGTGCAAGTTTGGCGAGATTCTGCAGACCGGATCGGCGTACCAGATTCGATCAGGTCTGGGATAGCCAGGCAAATGTTTTGACGTGCCGGAACCTGCGCCTCCCGCCGCTCGCCGTTATCCTGAAGGCGGCCGAGATCGAAACGAGTGGACGCCGTCCCGCTCATCGACTACCACAGACGGTCAGGGTACGTCTCTTTGTGGACTAGCCCATCAGGAAGCGGTACCCGGCGACACTATAGTACAGTCAGTCAGTGATTAGGGTTTTGAGGCAATTTAAAGTGGTCGGTGAGCTCCCGAAGAACCCACTTCGAAGCACTTGCATGGATGATGAAGGCCATGGCGCTCGTCGTGCCATATGATGCCAGCTGTGAGCAAGACTTCAGACGCCTGAGGAGGAAATCCTGCAGGTGGATTCCACGCCGTGAGCAGGTCATGACACTGCATGGAGACCTGGCTGTGCTTGAAGGACTGGGCGGTGGCTTGCTCGAGTATAATGGGTATGCCCCTGCCGGGAGCGAACTTTATCTGTCGAAGCTACTGCTGTCACTTGCAGTCTGCCTTACAGAGGAGCCACTTTTCACAGTTGGAACGAGCGGTCTCTAGCCGGACGCTGGTGTGGATGAGCCGGCTCGATCAACGGTGCCGGCACTTCGCTTCCGGTATGCTGGAGGGCCATGAGACGGGCATGCTGGTGCTGCACGAATGATGTGGGGTGCTTGAAGGCGGCGGTAGTGTGGACGGATGACTTGCATACCGTGGCTTGGAGGATGGGTCTCGTCTGGTGTATTGGGCCATGAAGAGCCGCGACGGTCGACGATGGAGAGGAGAGGGCACCTGCCGCATGTCCACAGACACATCAAGCCTGGGTCACGACTTGCTGGGCGCCTGAAGAGTGTGTATCCAGAGTAGAAGCGCCCACTTTTGGCCGTTGAGGCATCGGAGACTGGCCCTTTGCAGGCGGCCTGGACGGAGTCGCTGCCAGCCGCCTGTGTCTGCTCCTTCCTGCACCGCTCTCCTGACACTGTGCGCCTGCACACCTCGAGGAGCACTTGCAAGGCGTCCTGTGCCTGCCATATAAAAGGCAGTCCCGGCCAGCCAGCGCCTGTCGTCTGGTCTGGCCCTAACTGCTTCTAGCCACAGTCTCTGCCTGCCTGCAACTTTGGTCCTTTCTTCCGTGCTTTTTGTCCAACCCATCCTCTCAAGACTACCGCCGTCTCCCGCGCCAGGCCAACCGCCCACGCGACCTCAGGCTCGTCCACCGTCTTGGGATTGCACATACATCACGCTTCATCACTACCACGCCACCGTCAGCTTCAGCATCGCTCCAGTATCCTACTCCACCCAAAAGCCACCATGGCCAACATGCTGCCGCCCCCTGCCCCTCGGGTTCGCTGCAGCGGTAATGGCACTGGCAACATCTACGTCTGGCCATCAATGTTCGTTTGTTCTCACGCCCTCCTCTACACAAATCATCCTATTCAAGACATGGCCGTAAGCTCACTGACACGCCAACCACAGCTCTGACCCCCTCAACCGCGTCAGGCTCGTCATCGATCAGCAACCCAAGACAGGCAAGGCCTGCTCTGTCAACGATAAGAGTACGTCACCCAACGTCCACCAAGCATTCCTTGCTGATTCCCTATCTAGGCTGCGATCGCAAGCCGCTTGACCCGCCCCCAATCCTCCACATGGAGATTGTAGGCCCGTCTTCTGCGGCACGCGAAGATCAGATCCTCTTATCAAGTACGCACCGGCCCCGCCCATCTGATCGCTGCCATCGTCATCTGACTCTTCCCTCAGGTCCCAATATCTTCTGTGTGGCCCGGCTCAAGGCCGTAAACGAAACAGACGAGGCGAGGGAGAAGCTAGGCATCAAAGATCCGGCTAAACGGCTCTGGGGCGGCGCCTGCACATCCGGCAGGCGCCTTCGTGACATGGATGGCTGGCCCCTCAACTATCTCATCTGGCCCGAGCTCATGGTCAAGGAGAAAGGCATGTACCGCCTGTGCTTCGAGCTCTACTACATCACCTCAGCCCGGGGCGCCACCTTGATCACCGACGTCACCTGTGATACCTTTGAGGTATTCGGTTCCAGGAGATACCCTGGCATTGCTGTTTCCACACAACTCACCCTTCACATGAACACTCAGGGGCTCAAGTTGAGGACACGTGAGGAGAACAAGAAGCCGGCCAAGCGTCGCAAGATGGCTCAGTCGATTGAGACTGACAACTCCCGTGGCTCCTCTGTGGCGCTCTCCGGAGCGACACAAGGAGGAGACACCGCAGAGCAGGGCACTGCCACTGCCAGTCCGCACATTGCCGCAGCGGAACCAGTACTCGAGCTGCCCGTGGTCGAGCCTAGAAGCACTACTACTGTTGAGAACACTCGGCTTCCAGCTCCTATCTTTGCTTTGAATCCCGTCGATGCAGCCAATGATTTTGATGCTTCCATTCCCGCGAGGCCAAGCAGCAACCACCAGCCTCAAGGTCCGCCGACGCAGCCTCAGGCCTCTCCCTTTGGTGCTACCCAGGCTATGGCCTTGCCAGTTCAAGAACCTCATCAGGGTATAGCTACAGAACAGATGTTTGGCTTCGATACATTCAACACCTCTTCTGTCACTTCTGTCGCAAACTATCCCCAGGTCAATCAGAATGATAGCCTCTCCCAAGCGGCGTACCAGGAGCCCCTGCTCAATCACGGCGTGCACCTGGCTGTGCCTGTCTACTATGGTAGCCATATGCAGCAGGGTGGGCATGGAAACAACTACATGGTCAACAACAACCCCATGCTTGGCAGCCTGCCATTTGACTCGGTGGGTTTCCAGAGCCAGGGAAGCTCCCTGCCCCCCGGCACTGTAGCCCCAGCCAGTTACCTCCACAACGAATTCGCTGGCACCCCAGTCCTGGACGACTGGACGACGCCTTCGGCCACGCCGCCAACGGCCAACACATCGGTCTCCAAGTACGACATGAGTGGGCAGGACGACGGAACGGGCTTGCCGCCGATTCCTCCATCGTGTGTCGCAGATGTGCCTGGCACTACAGAGGGCGAAGCATCCATATTTGATACCAACGATCTTGGTGACTACGGTTTTGACTTCAATTTTGCATTCATGTGAGGTGCTGCACCTTGGGGGCTGGAGGATGTCGTTTCAACATTGGCTCCGCATGGCATTGACGTTGGCTTGTTTGGGTTGCTTTCTGCCAGGATACCCTCGTGGTCAGACACATGCTACGACCGCAGCACGATTCATTTTTGTTTCTAGCACGGGATAGGCACAGAATAAGTACATGTAGTGGCAATTATACTTTGTTTTCTTGATGCAAGGCTTACGGACGAGTCCATTTGCTCTGTGTGGATTTGGCATTATCGTCTCTGGTCGGGGAAAAGATGCCACCGCTGCTACATCACAACTTGAATGAGCATATCGAAAAAGGTGACTCCCACAGTCCTTTGGGCAGCATTAGCAGGCAAGGACTGGCTGGGCCACGGCTCAACGGCACTTGAGAGGCATGTCGCAGGAGCTGCCGGTCAGTGTGGGACGGATAATGGCCGCTAGTGTAGACGATGGGTGGCTTTGTGCGTGGGGCTGGCTGACCTGGTTAGGAGTGACTTGTGTGCCACCGGAAAAAAAGAGTTTCTACAATGTTGCATCTCGCACAAAATAGACTGTTGGGTTTTGAATTGCGGCGAAAGCCAGGTTTTGTGCGTCACCGAAGCACTTGAGGTGGAAGGACGATTGATGTTGGGAGATCTCAAGGTTGGCTTGAGTCTGGTTTTGTGGGGGCGGACGGAGAGTGGGTCTGTGTGGGGAAGAGCAGTGTGGGTGGGCATGTCCAACCCGAGTGACGTAGACTGAGCTTCAACTTGGAACGAAGGAGAGCATTGAATACGCTGCAACAACACAGTTGGGATTCTGAGCCTCGAGACATGAGCTGGCAGGGCACACAAGAAGCTTTCGCTGTACGTCACTGCACCGCTCAGCAGTGCGCAGGACGACAACTGCGTGTCCACGACAGCTCCCCTCTTCGCGCCCTCGGCACATTGTAGCACGAGCATAGCCCGGCAGCTCCACCGGCGCCGGCGGCAGCGCCCGCTGCTGGCCCGTTGCATGAGTGACCTCCGCGCGGGGAAAGAGGGGGGTGCTGCCCGAAAGCCGGAGCTGAGTGCGGTCGTAGTGTCGACCTCATGTGTAACACCCACGTCCATCAGGTAGCCGTCTAGAACTCTCTTGTTCTCGACAATCCCTGGCTACTCTTCCCCCTTTGGCAACCTCGGATAAGCCCCAGCTAGCTCTACAAGCTGCCCACAATGCATCGCTCCGCGCGCCACGTCGCCGCTCCCGCGTCCTCGAGCAAGCCGCGCCCGCCGGGCAGCCTGAAGATCCTCATCACCGGCGCGGCCGGGTTCGTGGGCCAGATCGTCGCCGAGGCGCTGCTCAACGACGAGCAGGGCAGGTACGAGGTGCTGCTTGCCGACATTATCGAGCCGCCCCTGCCCAAGGGCGTCAAGTGGCCGGACAAGGCCATGCTGGTGCAGGCCGACCTGCTCAAACAGGCCGACAGTGTCGTCGAGAGTGATCTGGATGTCGCATTCGTGTTCCATGGCATCATGAGTTCGGGAGCCGAGGCGGACTTTGAGCTCGGTGAGTAGTGGTCTCTCTCGCTTCTCGCTTGCCTTTCCTCCCCTTGAAGAAAGACCGTGCTGGTTAGGAAGGCGTCGGGGGCGTGTGTTCGTACCTGGCTGACCAAAAGGCAAAACCTTTCTCCTTTGCTCGACATGCAGGCATGAGCGTCAACTTTGATTCCACCCGCGCCTTGCTCGACACCCTGCGCCGCACCGCCCCCGGCGTCAAGGTCATCTACACCTCGACCCAGGCCGTCTACGGCGGCGTCGACACCATCCCCTTACCCGTCACCGAGGCGGTCCGCGCCACGCCCCAGACCTCGTACGGCTGCGAGAAGATGATGTGCGAGTACCTCATCAACGAGTACACGCGCCGGGGCTTCATCAACGGCTTCATCTTCCGCCTGCCCACGGTCTCGGTGCGCGCGGGCAAGCCCACCGCCGCGGCGTCCTCGTTCCTGTCGGGCATCATCCGCGAGCCGATGCAGGGCCAGGAGTGCGTCATCCCGCTCACGGACCGCGGGTGGAGCCACTGGCTCACCTCGCCGCGCGTGCTGCTGCGCAACCTGCTGCACGCGCTGGACCTCGAGCGGGACGCGCTGCCCGACTACGACCGCGCGGTGAACCTCCCCGGGCTCGGGGTCACGGTGCAGGACATGATGGACTCGCTGGCGAGGGTCGGCGGGGAGGACAAGCTGCGCCTGCTGAGGGAGGAGGACGACCCGGCCATCAGGCCGATCCTGGACTCGTGGCCGGCGCACTTTGACAACACCAAGGCGCTGGGGCTCGGGTTCGAGCGGGACACGAGCTTTGATGATATCGTGAGGGACTTCAAGGACGGGCTGGAGAAGCAGAAGTCGTCGTCGTCGGGTTAAGGAGGAGTTATATATCCTTGAGCATGCTGCTCACGGAGAAGTGCCGAACCCGAAGGGCGGCTGTTTCCAAGATCACGACGGTCCAGTATCAAACCGCGACGATGCATGCATCGGACCTCCCGCGTGACGAGGTCAAAAATGAACGAATGCGATTTGGTCCCTGCACCAGAAAGTTCCATGTCTTTTTGCTCGTGGTGGTGATTGAACAAGGTCCGTTTGCACAGGGTGTACGTGGTTGATGGCTCGACCGTGCCTCGTGCTTCCCTGGGCAGGCAGGCAGGCAGGCAGGCAGGCAGGCAAGCAAAGCGGCTATAGCCGGAGCTCGAAAGGCGGACTTACGGAGTGGCATGAGCCTTGGCTCCCGGGGCATGGCAATGGACATCCGTTTTCTCTGAGCACGGGCAGACATGGAGGCTACAGCGTACCCCATGCAGAGACGCGCGATGCACAGTTTTCGCGCTGCTCTCACTTTCCCGATGATTCGGACAACACAAAAGATCCGAGATGCCTTTCGAGATGGGGAAGGTGGCACGCCCAGGAAAGCAGCATTGGTGGACATCGGACCCGCAGCCCTTGAGTTCCCCAGGGCGGACAACTCGCAGATGTACCGAGCCCATCCTAGCACGGTGTATTCCTGGATGGGCCAGAAGCCGACATTGAGAAGAATGGGGACTTAGGTTTTGTCTATCGGGGAGGAGTCAGTCACACTTGTTCCAGAACAATGGACCTTTTGGGTGATTTTTGATCCACTGTGATAGAGTTCTCAGGTGAGCCGAGGTCAGTCTCTACGCGGACACATTTGGTCCGGTCCGTTGTCTGGTTTCGAACTCGATCGTGTGGTATAGTGGTGGCAGTGCTCGTCTGGTGCCCGTCTTCTTGCATATGATAGAGCTCTTGCTTGTGGCCGGAGTGCGCTGCTCACGTGACGCCTATTGTATACTCATGCCAAATTACAGCTTATTGGGGAAATACGGCGCGGTCCTCCCACCCCTGAACAGATCCAGCATCTCCTGGCCCATCCACTGAGCCCGGGTCGCCGCGATCCCGGCCTCGAGGTCCGCGACCAGGCCCTTCTGCACCAGCATTCCTTTCCCGTTGCCCTCCATCCCCAGGCCCATCAGCCACACCACGCAAGCGGCCACCTCTTGCGGGGTGTTGATGGGCACGCCGCTGGCCCTCATCCGGCCCACCCACGCCTCGACGTCCCGGGCGTCCCGGCTGGCCGCGAGGATGGGCGTCACCGTGATCCCGGGGGCCACGACGCTGATGGCGATGCCCAGCGTCGCCAGGTCCCGCTTCAGCGCGCGCATCAGGCCCACGACGCCGTGCTTGGCCGCGCTGTACAGCGGCGCGCCCGCGCTCGCGAGGTAGCCAGCCAGGCTTGCCGTGATGACTATACTCCCTGCTGCTGCTGGTGGGGCCGCCACTGCTCCTCCGTCCACGACGACGCCCTTCTTTTTGTCGTTGCTGCCGCTGTTGTTGTGGTTGTTCCGCCGCAGATAGTGCGCCGCCAGACGCACGGTGTCGTCCGCGGCGTGCAGGCAGACGTCGACGCACCGCCGGTCCGGCTCGGCGAGCAGCCCGTCCTGGTCGAGCGTCTCGTCGAAGAACTGGTCGCCGTACTCGGCGATGCCCGCGTTGACGTGGACGAGGTCGATCCTGCCGAAGCGGGCGACCGCGGCCTCGAACGCGGCGCGCTGAGAGGCCCAGACTGTGACGTCGGCCTCGTGGAAGAGGTATCGCGGGGAGGCGAGGAGGGCTTGGACTGACGCGAAGTCCTCGGCGGGAGAAGAGGTGGATGAGGAGGACGACTGGGATGAGGATGACGAGGAGGACGAGGAGGAGGACTGAGAAGGGGGGTTACGGTCCACGATGACGACGTTGTTGCCTAGGGAGTGTAGGAGGAGCGCGGTCTGGAGGCCTATACCCGAGGAGCCGCCTGTGATGAGGGCGGTTTTGTTGGTCGGGGAGGTGAGCTGCGATGGAGAGATGGTGAAGACCTTGTTGTTGTAAGCCATTGTGGGAACTGTTTTGGATCGAGTCGTGATAAAAAAATGGGCGTGTCGTCTATGGGCAGCCAGTGTCTCTCACAAGTTGAGGTCCAGCCGCCGACCGAATAGAGCGCACGTCGAGAGAGCAAGGTCACAATATCCGAGTTGGAGACGGTGCTGACGTGATCTTTCGGTTCTCCAACAGTCAGGTTTCCCCACGTGTTAGTCCTGATGGGGCACACCTGCGGCATCCCCATTGACTCCTAACGGCTAGACCATTTCAGCACAAGTGACACAAGTGACGGGCCGAGTAAGCTCTCTGGAGGGTCGGCCGTGGCGATTACGGACCTTGGCATTCGGCAGACGAGATGGTCGGGATGCTGTGGCGTGCCTGGCCTGTCAGCTGGGCTGTCAAAGGAGACTGCAGGCACAACACACGGGGGAGGTGGCATGGCGGCACTAGCTGGAGACTCCCCTGACAGCCATCCGCAAGGTGCCTGAAGATCCGCGGGTGTGCCCCGCGAAGCTCAAGAGGCGATGCACGCCATTGAAGCATAGCACCGGACTTGGCTTGTCGGGTTCTGAATTGGCAACCGGCGGGGTCATGGCCGCACACACTTGGAGCGCAGCTCTCCAAATCAGTACCCATCCTGTGCCCGATGCGTCTGCGGCAGTTCTTCTCAAAGCGTGGATGCTCCGAAAGGGTGGCATGCTTCTGTGCGCCCCGAGGTGGGTGGCTCCGAACCGGGCCCGGGCGGATAGTCCGGGAGGTCCATGGATTGGCGGGGTGGCCCCGGGTCTCCGACGGCTGAGGGGTGGCTTGTTCGGTAGGCGCCGAACGGTGCATCAGCCATCACTGGTGGTTGTCTGCGTGCCCAAGGCAGTTAGCATGTGCCCAGGGGTCCAGAAAACTTGCCTTTGACCGTGGCTACCTAGGCCTTGCCAGTGACAGGCTCGGAGACCGACCCGTTCGCATCATGGCAGGCACCTATCTCGAGGTTGGGGTGCAAACCTGCATTCTTCCCTTGCTTCAAGCCACCATGGAATGATGGACACCTTGTTCGATGCTGACGCTGGGAAAAGGAAGCAACTGATGCACAGCGGAGTCAGCTCCGAGCGAATGCATGGCCGAGTCGGCGCCATCGGCTGCTACCTCAGTGTCGAGCATATCGAATATGCTCACTTCAACAAAGCGCATTGATGCTCCTGGGAAACACTTATAAAAGGACAGACATAACCGCGCCTCTACCACTTCTGGCTCACCAAGTTCTCACTCAAGTTCCTCACAGATCCAACCCGCCTCCGATCAAAACCACAAGCTGCCTCAAATCCTTCGCCAACGCAAAGTCTTCCCAACCAATCCCCTTTCAGACCTATCCATCACCATGAAATTCACTCTTACCATCGTCTCGGCTATCCTTGCCGCCGTCGCCATGGCCTCGCCCAGCGTTCCCCGCGGCGATGGCGACTCCGTGTCGGACGCCAGCTACGGCGATTGCCTCACCGCTGCCGGCGCTAAGAAGGTCGCCAACAACTACGCCTCCCTCATCGGCCAATACACCGAGGCCAAGGCCCAGAACTTGCTCCACTCGGGCTTCAGCGAAACCAGCGACTCGATCAACGTCCTCTCCAAGAAACCCCTCGGCAGCGTCACCTTCCCGACCAAGGCCGCCTTCATCGCGGAGCTCAACAAGTTCCCGGTCTTCCCGCTCTCCATCACCTCCATCGAGGCGTACACCTGCGACACCGTCGTCGTGCGCTGGACGCAGACTTTTGGAAGGACGAAGCCCCAGCCCGCCGCTGGCATCTCCTCGCTGCGCATGAAGAAGACAAAGGACGGCTGGAAGTTCTACAGGATCTTCACCGAGTTCAACAGCATCACTTACTACCAGAACATGGGCGGCGTCTGCCCTGTCGTGTAAGATGTCAAGGGGCCACCCCGGACTTCTTTGCGGACTCTCGCAAGGAGCGCAAGGAGCGCAAGAAGTACGACTTCTAGGTCGATGTGTGTCAAAGGAAACGGTTCTGGAGGATTCTCAATTTTTTGTTTCTTGATTCTTGGTTCTTCTTGGTGCGGCAACACTGGGTCTCGGCTGAGCAATATGCAGTCCTCAGGCTATCCGAGCCGATCTGCTGAACGTGCAGCCCTGTCGAGTACGTTTCCTGTCTTCCTTTCTGTTGCTTTCTTATTTTCTCCTTCGGTTGTGGCAGGTCGCGTGCAGTTGTGAACGAGAGGATGTTAGTTTCTGAGATTGTATTTCTGCAAATGCAAGTTCGTGGGTGTCATGGCTTCTACCTCGCCGCCGAATCGTTGTGCAGTGTGATAATGAATCTCTTGGTAACCAAATGTGTATTGACCTGGCACCGGCGCTATACAATGCCATCTCGTGACTAGTACCGGAGCATGTCTCAAGTTTCCCCGTCGAGCTAATATCTGTACAACTTTTCCTCTGGCTCAGGTGAACTTTAAGCACACGCGAACGCGAGACGGAGTGAGACACGTCGACGTGGCCCGCGCCCCAACGAAGGGTAATGTCTTACTACCCTCCCAGAATTCCTCCCGACATTGAATGAGCTCTCCTTTCGAACCCCTCTGATCGACCTTCAACCCTCATATTTTTGAACTGGCATCATTACTGACAAAACAAGAGCTGAGCGCGCTTCCAACAACAACATCGAGTCCACCTCCACCTCCAGAGAGCGAGGTCGCTTTGGCCACCACCTACCGCAATCGCCCTCGGCCTCGTACTTGGCCACACACTGGCCCACCCTCCCGATGAGCCCGATCGCCACGATGCCGCCACTTGCAGTCGGCCTCGCCGTCACCTTCGCGGTGCTCATGGGGTTCGTCCTCGCCATCACGTGCATGCTCTACTGCCGAGCATCAGGTCGCGCCGGCGACCTCAACTCGCACAATCTGGGCTTCACACCCCTCACCACGATCCACGAGGCTTCTGACGAGGAGGACGAGGGCGAGGACGACAGGCGCCAGCGCACCGCGAGGTCACCTGTCTGAACGAAGGATCGCCTGCGCATGGAGATGTCGGCGCGAAAGGACAACTTCCTGCATCCCACCAAATGGTTTTCAAGTCCACCAGCCGCGTTTCCCTTGTGTGTGGCCATCGACGCTGCCACTCTCCACATTTTCTTTCGCGCTTGAGACGGAAGGGCTTCTTTTGCGTTTGCTGTCGGGTTTCTCGCCTGCCACCTTGTGATTTCGAGACTGAATACTCGAAGCCAGGTACTCTTCACGCTCAACTATCAGCTCCTTTCCTGCCCCTCGCTGTTGTCCACCCGGCTCAGGCAGGTCTCTCGAAGCCACCGCGGATCGTCGGGGCAAGTCAATCTCGATCAGCCACGGCAGATGTCTAAGCTCGCCACCGGACTCGAGCGCCGCATTGACAAACAGGGTGCTCTCCTCCACGGCGGCTTGGCCTCCCGCTGCCTCTGCTGCTCTGGAGCTGTCGAGCTTGATCTCTTCGCATGACACCTCGAAGCACCCCCTCGCCTCGCTGCGCGCAATCTCGTTCTTCCGCGCCCGCTCCCCCGCGGTCTCGAAGTCGCTCCCGCAAAGCCTGGCCAGGTTGGCGATGAACCGGGACTTGCCGTTGTCGATGTCGGCAAAGTGAGAAGGATGCTCGGAGATCTCTGGCCGCCAGCTGGCGAGCTTGGCGCCCCAGCCGCCGTGGACGTGGCCGAAGCAGTGCATCTTTGGCCTCGCGCGCGCAACCGCCGCGAACAGCTGCGGGCAGCCGATCCGTCTCCTGTCTGCTGTGATGTCCATGATGCCGCGAGGTGGCCCGTGTGTGATGACAATATCGACCTCGGGGTCGATGTCGAAGGCGTGGTGACTCTCGGGGTTATAGGTGAAGCCCCATGGCTCCGTGAATGGGGTGTACGGGCTGGCGTATATATTGAGGGCAGCACCGTTATCGAGGGTGAAGTAGTGGTTTCCCTCGTCGAGAAAGACGACTCCGTCTTGTGCAGCGTCGTCCAAGAGCTTCCTGGCCTCGCCGGGGGTTCCGAATTCCTTGGTGACGAGTTCCTGGTCATTTTCAAGAGCGGGATCGATCTTGTAGGCTTCAACGAGCTTTGCCGGGAACGCGACTGGGTCGAGAGAGAAATCATGGTTGCCGGCAATGGCAATCTTCAGTGGCGCGTTGAAGGACCGCAGAAGGGATAATGTCTGCCGGAATTCGTCGAGTTTGGAGTGTTGTGTGAGGTCGCCGCAGTGGATGACCACGTCGACTTGTTGTGTTAGCGTCTCGCCATGGGGGAAGCACTTGCCATGTGTGTCGGAAATGACGATCACTTTCGTCTTGATTGTTGACATGATTGGTGCAGCATTCATGGTTGTTGGTGGGAAGCCTCATGTCGAAAGTCCGACTAGGTCCATGGTTTGCAATATATGAGTCCTAAATTGTCCCTTGGACGCGCACCTTTCTCCGAAACCACCACCAAATGCAAGCCAGTTTTCGCCACGACACAGGCCGAAGATACGAGGGCTCGTATATGCTGTTGTCAAAAGTCTGGTTATTGAATTGTTGTCTGCCCGCTGTTGTCTAGGAGGGCCAGGCTACTGTGCACATCGGCGCCTCTGCACCTCTGCACCTCGGTCACCTGCACCTCCACAAATCCCAACTGTGGTCTTAAGCGCCACAACCATCACAAGGAGATGCCTGATGACGCGTGTCCATGAACCAACCAAACGTCCTGTTCAAATACATTTCTGATTCCTTCCTATAGCCCTGGTGTGCCTGCGAAGCGCATTACTCAAGACAGGTGCAGGTCCCCATCACCAGCTGCTCCGCAGCTGCCTGAGCCACTCTGTGGAGTCCTCAACGGTTCCTGGAGCCAAACCAAATATCCAGCCCTCCTCCCCAACATCTTGATTTGCACCCTCAGGTCAAGTCTTGACTCGAGGCGTTCACCACACGTATTCGTCCCCGGCGTTGCATATCCCTGTGCTCTTTCGGCGACCATGGGAGACGCTTCCGCTTCCGACGCGGCCATCAAGGCGCACATCGAGTCCCTCGTCGCCACTCAGCTGCCCAACTCGGCCATCTACAACTTCCTCCTTTCTGATGTCCGGATCCACGCTGCCACAAAGGGCACCGTCAAGGCGCGCCTGACCCTGACCGACCACCACGTGAACTCGCGGGGCGGCATCCACGGCGCCGTTTCCGCCACATTTACCGACTGGGCCGGCGGCATGGCGATCGCCACGTGGGACCTGCGCGACAAGACTGGCGTCTCGGTCGACATCCATGTCCGCTACCTGTCGTCTGCCGTTGTCGGCGACGAGGTCGAGATCGAGGGCACAGCCGAGAAGGTTGGGGGCTCGGTCGCGTTCACCAAGGTCGTCATCTCCAAGGTGGTGGATGGCGTTGCCGGACCCATCATTGCCAGTGGCACTCATACCAAATTCGTCAAGCGCAACTGAGCGCGCCCGGCACTTCGCCCGCCTCCGGGCCGTATGCGGGTCTGGCCTCACCTGATACCCCGCCCAGGTGTTTCGTCGGTGGCCCACCCGATGGCCGACGAATGTTACGCCGCCAGGGGGTCTCGGATAAAAGAAAGAAGAATGATAGATGATACAGAAGAAGAACGTGCAGCCCACGACAAGCATCGAGAGCTCTGCCAACCGTCAATAGAGATAGATCACATTACAAGCATGCAGGAACACTAAGGTAGTTATGGAAAAGCAACTTCCCCGCCAAGCATTTAAGAAGCGATTTGTTGCCAGAGAGCATTTCACCAACTACAACGGGAGTTGGACCTCAGCTGTATTCAGGGCACCAGATTCTACGGTCGGTCAGGCTTGGCAGGAAGGGCCTCGAGGACTTTATGTGTGTGGTACGGGCCCGATCCACGTGTCCACCCCGTCCCCTGCCGTGCCTCCCGAAGCCGTGCCCACACTGATAAGCTCCTGTGGCGCACTGGAAACGTGGGCATGTCGCTACGTCAGTTCCGACTCAGCAAGCCACGGTATCATGACATTACGCACAGTAGCCAGACATACGAATTATCAACTGCCCTCTTCTTGTTCTCAGCTAAACCACTCACCGAAATCCCGCCATGAGCCGTCATTCACAGGCCGAGCACGATATGACATGGCCTCACGTCCGTCCGCAGGGGTAGTGCATGCATGCAAGGTGCATGCCTTACAAGCAGACATTTGACAGCCAACGTTCGAAGTGGCGGAATGCCGACCAGGGAGCCACAAAAAGAGGACAACTCCATGGGGGATGCATGCAGCAGGCCATGGTCAAAGCCGACCCCTGTGGCTCCCACTGCTAAACAACCCTGTCGAGCTTGCGCGGCGGATTTGCTTTGCAAGATACTGGCTGATCGGCACAGGAGTCGGCTCCTGATTTTCATGTGCGGGGATCAGCAGAAGCTCGGCTGGGAGATTGGGAAGCACAAACATGTGTTCTCAGCTGGCGATGAGGGAAAGCCACCACAGCGTCAGCGTGCCTGAGAACGTCAAGCCAGGATCCCGCTCCTACAGGCACACCTTAGCGGTTGCTTAATGATCACAATTTAGTGTCCCGTATGGGCAGAAGAGCCCGAACAGGAGCGACTAAGCTTTGTGGAGAAAACGTCGTTTCTAACGCTGTGCTTGTCAGGGCTCTTCTGTCCAGATGGAGTCAGTGCAGAGGACGAGGTCACAATCGTAAGGGCGAGCCGAGGAGCTGAGACGTCCATGCACGGCCGTCAGACTCGAGATGCCCGGCGATACCGCCAATACATGGCATTAATGAGAGTCCCACGACGAAGCCCGGTCGTGTGCCCGAGATGGCATGACAGGCACGGCTTATCATGGCACATATATACCTTAATCGGTACAGCATCGTCAACGCCATACCCCACAGGCCGAGCTCCCTGATAGTGTCCACCCCGACGGTACGATCCCACTAGCTTGGGATACAACGCCACAATCGCCGAACACGGCCATCACCGGCAGGCAGGCAGGCAGGCAGGCAGGCAGGCAGGCAGGCATGCATGCACGGCATAAGGCAACGAAGTGGCATGTGAGGGACAAGCTCTCATTCTGAGTTGTGACGACTCCGGTTCTCTGCACGGGACGAATGCTGAATTCTGATGGAATCTTTGCGCGGATTGTCCCGCGTCGCTAGTCCCCTGAAAGGATTAGCGTGCTGCGCATGAGCCAGCCCGTTGAGCGGGCCCCGGCTTTATACCATGTGCTGCGAAGATCACGATTAGCGCTCCTGGAGGATGTGCACCTCCCGGTCGTCCGCGAATGGTCCAAACGTCCAAGTGGCGGCAGGCCACGAGCATATCCCGTCCAAAGAAGCATCAGATCGACAGGACGTGCTTGTCTGCCCGTCCTTCGCCTATTTCCCATGTCGAGGTTGCGCCAGTTTGAGTTTCGCAGACTGGCATGGACATCAGGAACCTGGTTCACCACCACCACCACTATGACAGATAAGGACACAAAGGAGGTGCCGTGGCTACGCACCACAATGAGAACCTGCTGTTCTTCGAGGGTAACTGTGTATGGGCGCAGCTCGCACACCTCGTTTGATGCCCTCCGAGTACGCACTCTTTCATTCAACGGCCCATAACCCCTTCTAGGTATGGCCGTGCTCCGCACCACGAGAATTGAGACTTCGGGGCTCTCTATACTCAAAGGTAATGGTGATGGCGCAATCAAGAACGACGCCGGGAACAAAACGTCCCCTCGTCGATAGTTGGTTGCCAGCTATTGGTCTTTTGGAGCCGTCAGTTGAGCCTCGAGTCAGGCAAGCCGGGAAGAAGAGCCCGGATCTAGGATGCTAAGCACCAGCAGAGTACAGGTCACATGGAGACTATCCTGCCAAGGCGACTTCAGACTGGGGTCCTGGTGTACCGAAGCAAGGCATCAAACAAGCGATGCATATGCCCCTGAACAGGCCTGACCGGGAGCCCTGCCCAAGGTCCACGTCGCGATGCCCGGCACCTGGGATGATTTCCAGGGCACAGGGGTTTTTTATGGCCCCCATGACCCCCACCCATGCAACGAGAGCCCTTCAAACCCATTGCTAAGCTTGGGCGAGAACCCACAGCCATACTGGGGAGACGCCACGGGCGACTGTGCCATGGGGAAATCATCCCGTTTATATCCCCTCCACTCCCTATATACCAAATTATGCCGCGGGGTGGCAAGACCTCTTTCGTGCCTCCGTTGCGCATCCTACACGGCAGTATTGGTTTTGTCGCACAACAGCAGCCGCCATGACAGCAAACGAGCGCTAGCTCGAGCAAACTGACCCTTCACCACATTCGTTTCGACCCGGGACCATTGGGCCGCCTTCGTCTTCCCAGTATGGAAGTAAGTGCAGCCATGGAGACCGGTTCCATTTCGCCATTGCCTCGTGCGTTCCGGATGGGTCAGCTGGCTGTCGTCGTCGTCGGAACTATCTCACTTGTCACTTCGTCGCTCTTGTTCCTGCATATCACCTACAAGTTAATCAGCCTCGAACTGAGGAACCGGCAAGCCCAGCAGCCACATGATGCGCCAGTTGAGATGGACCTCGCCCTGGGGCTGAGCGAGGACCACTACAAGCATTTCAAGGCAATCACTGAACCGACACCGACTGCTTCCCAGGGGCGGCAGAATGCGGATGCCATCGCAAACCCCGACGCTGGAGACAAAAAACCTGGCCGCGTCAAGAAACGGAAATACAAGGCGCCAAACCCGCTCCTGATCCTCATCTACAATCTCATCCTGGCCGACATCAGCTTGTCGGCGACGTATGCGGCGAACATGATCTGGCTCAAGGAGGACACCATCAACATTGATTGGCCGACTTGTCGAGCTCAGGGATGGCTCGTCAGCTTCGGATGCGTCATATCGAGCGCGTTCCTCTTGACACTGGCCATCTACACGCACAGGATTGTCATTATGGGCAAGCGGCCGTCGTCCAAGTCGACTATTATAGTGTGCGTTGCGATCTGGGCCGCATCCATCGTCCTCACGTGTATCGGGCCTATCGCTTCGGGCAAGGAGCATTACTATGCGCGACAGCAATGCTGGGTATGTCGGTCTTATCCTGGGCTGTCCATTCGTGTGGTCGTGAGGGCTCGACATTTTTGCAAGCAATGCTGACACATGCCTCCAAAGTGCTGGATCGAAGGCTCGAATGCAGGGTGGAGACTGACAGTTTACATTCCCGGTTTCTTCTGCCTCTGTTCAACCTTTGGGCTATATACCTGGACGTTCTGGTGCCTCCACAAGCGGTCACAGTCGTCCCGCATGATGCCGCGTAGTTCCAGCTCGAGTCTGACAAGCGGCACCTCCCGCGGCTTTGTGAGCAGCAGCACCAATCACGCCCGCCAGGCGAGCAAGGCGACCGCTGGTCGCGCTGGCAGCATCAGCAACGGCGGCCTGGCCCATACCCCGACCAACGGCAACCCAATGTCCTCGGCAGCACGCAACAGCGGCACCAAGCTGCGGCCGTCGGGCCACCACCCGGCCTTCCTCATCTACCCCATCATCTACACGGTGGTCGCGTCGCCGCTCACGCTGGGCAGCATCACGCCGCTCGAGAACTCGACGCTGTTCATGATCACATCGGCGACCCTGCTATCCTCGCTGGGCTTCTTCAACGCCCTGCTGTGGGCATCGACCATCATCTTCAGCCGCCGCGACGACCTCGTCGACACGGGGCTGGAGTACTTCTCCTTCATGCGCACACCGAGCGACCGCCAGTACGGCAACATGATCTGGGTACAGGGAGGAGCATGCACACCAGAGGATGACGGCGACGTCCGCGGGCAGGGGCTCGGTGATGGTGGTGGTGGTGTTGGCAGCAATGGTAGCGTGCTGGGGACGAATAGGCACGGCGAAGAACGAAGCGAGAGCAAGCACAGATGGTATCTTCTCGGCCGTGGCCGAAACGGGAGCGACTCGGAGATTCCCCTGAGAGTGCAGCCGTCGAGAGCGTCGTCGACCCAGCGGGCCGGTCCCTCTTCACATATGAATGGCGCCGACGCCAGTAGAAGTGGTGGTGGTGGAATCAGGTTAGACGTCAGCACGACGGTCGTGGTCGAAGATTCCAAGGCGCTACAAGGATGACGGCGCTTCTGTATACTTGTTCTTCGTTACTTTTTTGTCATGACGTTGATGAAGCAAACAAAGCAAAGCAAGCAAGCAAGCGTCAGTTCTGTTACGGCATGGTTCGAGCTTTCTCTTTCCCACCCGGCTCTGATTCGTCGGCTGTCCTTCCCCGCGCGCGCATGTATGTGAAGTGAAGAATGAGAGGAGGGCCCTTCTTGGCTTGCCTTTCTTTCGGCTTGGCCCAATCCCTCTTGGTACTTTGTGTGCCTCTCAATTGGCGATACTTGTCATACTGAACTCTTATCCCGTTACTGCTATCTTGTGCCTTACCGGTAAGGGACTGAATGAATTGACCACGGTGCTTGAAGATACACTCGTAGCACAGGAGGAGTATCCCCAAAGGAAACAGTGTTCTACGAGCAGTTGTTTGTCCTAGTTGATCAACTAAGGAAGGATCACAGAAGACTCCGAGTCTTCCTCATAAGACTGACACGAATTATTATTCCCAATAGAATCAGACAAGTCTCAACCTCTGCACTGGCGCGTCCGTGATGTCATATAGACATCCCTTCTTGACGGAGTAGCTCGAGGCTCCGATCCGTCGGTATGTCTTGAGCGCGTGAGTCATTTGTACATCCGCCGCGATGCCAGTCTGCGAGTCCGTAGATGTGGGCTTTACTTCCTCCACGATGAGAATGAAGAATCTGCACCTGTCAAAAGAAGTTATCAAGAGACAGTCATATTCCGTGGCTGGCTCTGCAGCGACTGCGTCTGGGGAGTCAAGGCAGCCATGCCACGTCCAGTGCCGCGACGGTTTGCGATATCCATCCCTCTTGCTGTTCTTCGTGTAGAGCGAGATCCACGGCTCCTCACGATTTTCGGCCATTTCCCAAGACAAATCCAGCGGAAGCCTAGCGACGGGCGCTTCTACGACCAGTTCGGCGTGCAACAGCCGCGAGAGTAATGGCGCGCCGTCCCAGACAACATTTGCCGTGATCAGTACCAGATGGTCACTCCAGGTCGGCGTCTGCACATGATGGCCCATGCGGATCCGGGACGGGCACGAAAGATGAGACCAGGACGGTGTCCCCTCCAAAGCCTTTCTCTCGGAGCCCTCTCGTAGGTATGCTTTTCGGACATCATCCCGCATGCGCCACCGGGTCCACATCAGGTCCTGACGGACTGTTCTCTTCCAACAGCCAAGGAGGTGCTCGTCTCCGGAGTACCTGGCATACTCTTCGACCAGCCCGGCAATGGCGCTGAGACGGTCTTGCGGATACGTGAATGAACGACGCGAATAGTGCTCCATCCAATCCGACCACACTTGATGAATGTGAGCAGGGTCCATCCCTTCCGACAACGACCTAATCGTAGGGTTATGCCAATGTACTCGGTCTCGTGCTGCGTGTACAAAGGACGCGCCGGCCTCTGTGCAATTTACAGTCCGGCAAATAAAATGCATTTCCGGCTGCATGCAGTAAACCACTCGAGGTGAAAGAGCTTGCTCCTGTAGCACCCATCCTCGAGTGTTGAGGTGTGTAAACTCGGGCCGTTTTGTGACTTCATCCATGTACATGCGGACTTTGAGATGTGCGGGAGGTTGTCTTGGGGCCATACTGAATCCCTGTCCATCGAATTCATGAATTCCGGGGTCCGGACTTGGCAGTTCCTCGTTTGTTGTTGTTGCTGCTGTTAAGAGCGGAGTGTTGAATTGGCACACTTGGTTCCTCCAATGATACCCATACCACTCCTCCTCCTTAGAATCGTCGTAGAAGCACCCACCAGAGCTGTTTCTGGCACCTGTGGCGGCGATGGTGAGCAAGCTACCAGAATAAATGTCCTTCATGCGTGCAGCTTCCCGGCACCAATCGTCGTTATCATCCTGTACTATGCAAAGACTGTCGATCCAGAGATATTGAATGCCGACAGCACGGCAAATGTCCATCGCATCTCTAAACGTGCGCGGGGTCTGTTCCTTTGGGAGTCGAGCTTGAAACGACAAAAGGGTGTGAGTTGTGGTCTGGAGCGGCTGGTAGTCGCCCCAGCAGTGACTCAAGGTCGCATATGCTATTTTTTTGTTGCTTGTTTCCTCCTCGGAGGTAAGAACCAGGCGGGTTGGGGCAGTCTCGTCTTCTCCGTTGCCGAGCCTCACAAGTCGCGCTGGTAGCGGCTGGGACCTTGACCACTTGGAAGATCCCGTGTGTCGCTGGCAGCCAGGATGCGAATGCTGGCACCTTGCTAGCCAATATTTGAGCATTTTGTACTTGTCCGCTATCCGAAATCCGCCTTGCCGGGTCCAAACAGGGGGTAGCTGTGCTGTTATTCCACAATCCAAGATCAGCCGAGTTTGCTAGTATCACCCCGCCATACTTGGAAGGCGACAGCCGGATCGCACCAGTTGGGATCAATACTTCTAGCCTGGCAATGAGCAATAGCCTGGACAAATTACTAACCGGTGCTTGGAGATGTGAAGATGACCATACGGCTGGCGGGACGGAGCGCCTCCTCGACCACCTCAAGGAGAATGTCAAGATGGATCCACATGCCGTTCGTGTCTGATGATTCCCCAGTAAGCCCGGAGGCAGTCCTCACTTGGGATGGATCGACAGGCACATGGGGTTTCGTGATGTGATTTGGACGCAGCCAGATCTTTACCGACGCCTGTGCATCTCGGTTATCTTGCCGCCCCTCCCCTCTCAACCTGCTAGTAGCTAGTTGGTTGATGCAGTATCGATGAATTGCTGAACATAGAGCGCAAAGCCGGTCGTTGAGACTCCGTGTCAACTCTTCAAGTGTCGAGAAGAACCCAAAGTATTTTTGCTCATACCAGGGCCCTTTGGTTGGGGCAGACTTGTGAATGATGTCCGAACAGTACTTGCAGAGCGATGCCAGACTTTCAACGGAGTCGTCCATGATCGGTGGCGTTCTGGGGATAGAGCTCGAGTTCGTGCAATTCTGTTTTAATGTGAAGTTTGAGGTATGCCAGAAGCCCAATTTTGAGCGGAGGGAGGGGCTGGCATGTTTGGTGGACGTCGATGTTTGGAGCTGCGAACCCCTCGCCGAGCGGCAAGGCATGGCCACAATGCGTCAGCAGGCATCCGTAGTCTGCCTACCCTAGTATGGTCGGCCAACGAACAGACACATCGCTAGTGGCGTGTGGGGAGAGCCAACAGTACCATCTCAACCTCATAAGGCGTAATAAATCATAGTCAAGTTAACTCGCGTCGTTGATTGGAAAATTCGCTGTCCAGGGTTGTGTCCGCACTGCCTTGCTTGCCCCTTGTGCACCTGCTCACCATCCGAAGAAGACGATCACGGCAGCCACCATCCATGAGTATGCGCAAGCCTCCAGAATGACCATGATGTTCTCCGTCCTCCGCTGCGCCTCGTTGTAATCCTCCATCATCTTGATCGGCGGCTTCCACCCGACCTTCTTTCCATCCCCGCGCGGCGCCCAGTAATTGCGCATGTGCGTCCGCGCAAGCAGCAGTGCGATTACCATGGTCGGCGCGGCGTTGTACCGCAGAAAGGGTGAGGCGAGCACGCTGTTGCGGTCCGTGGGGTCTGAAGTGGCGAGGAACACCGACGCCGCGAAGGAGAAGAGGAATCCCAGGGCCCCAGACGCCTGGGTCGTGCGCGTCTTGTGCAGCTGGCGTGCGGCCTCGGATGACCATTCTGCGAGCTTCTCAGAGGCGGACTCGTAGGTTTGCAGCCGGGTGATGGCGATGGCGGACTGGAAGCCGCCCCAGGCGGCGAGGAGGGCCTGGGCTGAGTGCAGGTATGTAGCAATAGGCATCGTGGGGATGTATCTGTCGTCAGGGATGCCTATGAGGGCCAGCCTTTGGTGTCCAAAGGTTGCAGAATGATGATTATTGGGCTGTATGAAAGGACTAGTGGGATGAGTTGGCAAGGTCTTCTGATGATATCGTGAAGCCTGCTCTGGGCTCGGATGGGTGCCCGCGTGACGTCAGCGGCTGCCTCAGGCACGCGGGTCCGCAACCACACAAACGGCGTGCGCTACTGAGGTACATCTTCGGGCACTCATCTATTGCGATCGTGACGACTTGTATGACAGCAAATCGCAAACTGGGCACATCTCGATGAGATTCCACAACTTCACCAAGCCGTGCTTGCTCTCAACAAGCCACCATCGTGCCTATCCGTCCGTAAACACCTACTTCCGCCTCCTCCAGCGGATCATCGACCCAGCAGCCGGCCTCGCAAACATGGAAGAGTGATCCGTCTTAGGAACGACTCCTCGACTACCATCAAGAGTGCTCAGTTCAAACTCGCGCACAATTGTCGCCACAATGACGCCTAGGTTGAGATATGCAAATTTCTCACCGATGCACCGGTGTCGCCCTGCTCCAAAGGGAAGATAGGGATTGCGCGTGCTGCTCTTGGCCACTGCCCCGTAGCCGTAGTCGATCGTGTCCTGGTCACTCGGCTCCTCTTTGTTCTTGCTGTCTCCCGCGGTAGCATCCCAGCGACGAGGGTTCCATCTCTTTGCGTCTTCAAAGAACTCGTCGCTGACAGCAGTGACCATCGGCGATGCCAGCAGCACCTTGTCCGTGCTCACCACGTACGGTGTCCCAGGCACGCGCAGCGGGTTCTTGACCTTGCGCATAATGCTATGGATCGAGCCGTGCAGTCGCAGCGTCTCCTTGACCACGTTGTGCAGAAGTGGGAGCTTGTCCAGGTCAGCATATGTCAGAGGTGGTAGCTGTGTCTTACTCGTGGTGGGCAAGTGGTCAGAGGGGAGCAGGTTGTCTAGCTGTTCCTGGTACAGCGCCTCCGCCACGTCTGGGTTAGCCGCAAGCTCGAGCATGATCCAGCTGCTCGCTGACGACGAAGAATGCTGCCCTCCCATGAGCAGCGTAATCATCATGTTGGCAATCTCAGAATCGGAGACCGGCGTGCCGTTCTTGTACACGGACTGCATCAGGTTGGTGATCATGTCGTGTTCGTGTTCGTCGTCTTCTTTCTGCTCATCCTCGATAATGCTGGACAGAGGATTTCGTGTTGTGGCTGCTATAGATGACTGAGGTCTTGCGGTGAGGCGGTCGTGGCGTTGTTGGATGAGGTCGAGGTATACGGCGCGCATCTTGGCGTGGGCAATGTCTCGCTTGCGATTTCGTGGGAGCGGCAGCCCTGGGAAGAGGAAATTGACCGGGGCGAAGCCCTATGTTGTACAGCAGAGATGTCAGCCAGCGGTCTCGCGACGTCGTCTCTATGCACGGGGAAGACCTTGTGCCTGATGACAAGCTGTGACATGGAGTAGGGTTGGAGGGAGACTCACCATGTCCAAGTCGTGATACAGTTCCGCCATCTCGGCAGTCAGCTTCTCCCTGACCTCGCGTCCCTGAAGAGACCTCGCAGCGGTGAAGAGAGTGATCTCTGCCATGGCGGCGCAGATGTCCACTTCTCCCGCTTCTCCTATCCATCCACCACGACCCTCGGTGTCATTGACGTATCTCAGCACCTCACCCTCCACAAGCCCAACATGCCCCTCTAGCGCCCGCTGCGTAAGTCCAAACTTCACGAACCGCTTCTGCTCCATGAGTTTCGCGTTCGGGCAGTCGTAGACGACGTCCTTGCCAAAGACGGGCGTCGTCAACGGCCCGTAGATTTCCTCGGCATTTATGTCGGCGTGTTTCCCATTCAAAATGAATTCGTTTCCGTCGGGGCCGAGGTAGACAGTAACAGAGCGGCCGAAGAGGGTAAAGGTGAAGATATCGCCATACTGTTGCGGAGAGAGAGGGAATGACTTATGTCAGCCCATCGAGTTTTATGCGGAGCGGTGTGGGCGGACTATTTTGCGTGATCGTGCCGGCGTAGAGGCGGAGTAGAGGCGAGCCTGAGGAGTCGGCTCTCTGTGTTAGGAGAAGAGGAAGACTTACCTTGGCTCGATACTTCTCAAAGAAGGCCACTGGATCCGAACCATACGCAACGGCGCTGCCAACGTACGGAATCCAGTGGAAGACAGCAGGAGGCTCAGTTTTGTCGTGCAGGAAAAGCTGGCGGAAGACGGAGAAGACCCAGGACGCAGCTAAGCCAAAGCTTGTATAGAGAAAGGCCTCCCACATGGGCGAAGCACCGGTAGCAATCGGTAACGATAGCATCATGGTAAGAGAAGGTGAAGGTTTGATCCGAATGGGAGGTATTCTTTGGGGATAGAAGAATTTGTGATACCGATTGCCCATAAATTTCCCACGGGAATGAGACTCTTATATATTTCAGTGAGGCTGCCCTACAGGGAGAAAAGGCGACGGCCGAAATGTCATAAGCATGTTCTCTCACTCAGGCAAACCCTCCACAGCTGGGTGCTTGTTAACAAGACCATAGTGACAAGCTATCCGCCAAGCGTACAACATCAATATAATTCAACCCCTGAATTCACTTAATATTGTTAGTGTCTCATCTCAAAGTGTTAGGGTCCACGATATTGACGGGTTGCGAAGCTTCGGTGCGCTTCGAGCCTGGCTTCCCGTTTTGTCAGGGATGTTGCGGCCTCATTGGTTGGATGGATTTGAGTGGGTCTCGTATTCGTTTTCGCCTGCCCCAGCATGAACGCCGGGGTCCAGCACGTGTGCCTCTTTTCCTCGGCCAGCCGTCCGAGGCGAGTACCAGAATGGTCTCTGAAATCAGCTGCGAACAACGGCTTAGCTCTAGTCTTGTGTTCGGACCCTCTGAGGTCGGCTATGAGAGCTTGGCTGTGCCTGGACATGGGTCCTAAAATGTCGAATGCAGGGCTATGAACAACATGCATAAGGGGTGAACAACACGCATAAGAGGCAGGAAACTGCTGCATGATTCAGCACTTGGTCTTTGTGCAGATCTTGAGCGAGTCTTAAAAGAGGGAAGCGATCGTTGTAGTACTCATCCTAAAGAGAGCTGGATTCCTGCATACCGTGGCGCTGGTCGTTCATGTAAGAAACATAGGAGCTATCTTGGCTATTCGACTGTTCGATTACTCATTTGGCCATGTACCTGGAGATGACTTGGTCAGGCAACCATTTTAGAAGAGTGGCTATCTTCATCACAACGATCCAGCCTCATGAGGAGTAAGAGTGAGCACTGGTGATATTTGGTTGGCACTCCCGCAACGTCCCCAATCCGCGCGGTGCTTTGCCAAAATGTTACGACCAACGATTGGACGGGCTTTGATTGGTATCCTGGCTCACTTCAAGACCTTGCAAATTCGATGCGGGCCGACGTCCCCCCGGGATCTTGGGTCAGTTTGTCGCGAAACCCTGCAGGGTCGTCGATAATACAGCTGCCCCCACCTCACTTGCCCGTCTAGAACTTGCTTTCTCGAACTACTCCAGCCGCTGGGGGGCCTTATCAAGTCTGTGCCTGGAGTGGCCCCCAAAAGACGGTAGATACGATGGCAGTCCCCACTGTCAATGTCTAGCGTCTCCTGGAGACGATCTCGCTGCTTCTCGGGGAGGGGCAACACGACTTTGCCCTCGAAGGCCGGATCCTTGTCTTGCCGCCAGCTAACCGTTGTTCTCGGCTATCTTTTCATTCTCCTCATCAAGTCTTTCGTTGAGTGCTTTGCTTAACTATTCTCGACCTTATAACGAGACGGCATGTGAGAACGGAGCCCTGCAATCACTCTGTCAGGGGACCAAAAGGTCTAGCAGTACGACACAGGCGTCCCCCGAAATCCGACCAGGAAGTCGCGACTGGAGTGCTGCACACAAAGACCCTCACGGCCTCTGCCACCGATTGGCGTGGAAAGACTACTATTACTATATACTTGCCTCCTGGCGCCTTCCACGGCTGCACGGGGCTCCGAGTCATCTCATCAGTGGTCGCGAAAGACATTCATCATGGCTCACATCATCTGCAAGGGTAGAAGTCCTCTCACTGTCCTTCTTGGAGATTCCCAACTTCGGCGTCATCCAAAACCCCCTCTCCAGCAGAATCATCGTCACCACCTCGGGCGGCCCCTCGCTTGATGATGGCCGCTTCACCTCCGTCAATTATGACGGCTCAAACCTCCGGATCGTCCTGGCCCGAGGTCAGATCCGCCCTCCCAAAGAATAACTCTCAAACTCTTGCCAAGCCCAGGCTCTACTTTTGCGAACCGCGAGGGGCATGCGCCTCATGCGCAGCAATCCCAAGACTACATAAACGGCTCGGCCCTCGAGAGCTCGCCGTACTCGTTTGAATCGAGGTTGCCACGTGGTTTTCAACTAATCTGTGCACCCCACGTTTCATAAACCACCCTTTCAAGCCTGGCTTGTGATCTAGCTAGCGCTGTTCCCCAAGATATCTACAATGGTCGGCGAATTGTTATCGACAGTGCTACCCATGATTTTTCACGTCGGTATCGGACCTCGTGCTACCTAGTCATAGGCAGATCTATATATGCCTTGCGTACTCATATAATCCTGCCATCACAAAACTTTCTTGCCGAGCAAAATAACAAATAAAACCGTGAGCGTGGCTGATCATTGTCGTCGGGCCTTGGCCATTTTTCTGCAGATCTAAAGTCTACTTCATCGTGGTAGCCGCCTCTATCTTCTCTGAGGTAAGTAAGATCGCCGACGTCTAGATATCGCACCGTCTCGTGCGTGGCACTGGACCTTGTTCATCCTCACGATCCGCTGCTCCCGTTCTTCTCGTGGAGCTTGGCCCGCTCGGGATTGAGGAGTTGGGTGAAGGCGAGATGTGCTTGGGGGCTGTACCGGTCTTCGGTGCCGCCAAAGGGGCAGTCGGGTTGTCATCACTACGGGTCCTCGCCAGGGCCGCCCTGGAGGTGCGGTAGTTTTGGACTGCAAGAAGTGGCAGAGCAGGCGTTACCATCTGAGACCAGAGATTTGGGGTGCTGATGGCTGCACACACACAAACACGCTCACACACCAATCCCTTGGGCTTGTTGTCATCTCATGAAAAATACCCGTCCATAACTCCATAACTCGAGCTGCTGCCCAGGTTTCAGAGCGTTGGAAAGTATGATGTGAAAGAATACCTTTGTGAGACTCGAAACAGAGGAAAATGCATACGCAGCCAGGAACTCTACATTCACTTTTTCTCTCTTTTGAGAATGCATCATGATGGATGTGCTACACCTTGTGCATCCTATATTTCCGAACCTCTTGACCAACCCTTTCAAGTATGTAGTGGGTATCGGGACGCGGTGCTAGCTGTGCAAAATTGTCGCTAGTTGGCAGTCGACTGAACTGACCAAATGCCAAGTTCTGCTGCTTTACAACCAAGCCATCCGAGCTCGTTGTCGACTTGTGCTCCAGATCACCCCAAAGCGGATGTCCACAAGAACGCCAACCGTGCAAGACGCGCAGTGTAGTAGATTTTGACTGCAAGCGCATCTATCTATCCTGCCAGGATATTTCTTTGTTCGGGCTATCATCAAAGCATAAAGCGTGCAGCCATTTCCGCTGCGGGTGGGCGCTGCATGCCAACTCTGGCGCTCGTGGGTGGTGGTTTTTGGCTACTGCCAAACTCGCACACACGCGGGCGGCCGAAGGTGACATCATCGACGTCATGGTTAGACAATTGCGCATACCAATCGAATCATAGGTACAGGACAATCTCCAGCTTGGCAGGCCAACTTGGCAGAAATGGCCGCTATTCTTTTTCGGATCCGACTATCTGGCAACCGATGCAGTTTCCCTCCAAGCTTGCAGGTGATCAGAGGCTCGTTATTGCGTACCTACATTGGCCTGTGGACTGGGCAATGGCCGACGTGCCGAGGCCTGCCCGCCCGCCCCCTGTCGACTGCCGGGACGACGTCATGCTGCCATTGGCTACTGACCTTGGCTGTGTGCTCTAGCACAGCCAGCATGGCGAAGTGGTGTGGTTATGCCGTGCGCCCGATTCAGACATCCATCGATATCGTTGACGTCTGCATGCCGTTTCTGCAATGCTGTTCCACGCTCCCTCCCATCGGAACCAGTCAGCGGCGCTCAACATGAATACAGCGCAGTCCGAGATCATCTTGCCATGCGCAATCCGATGCAGATCACCAATCTCAAAGCAACGACGGGACGGCCGCCTGTGTGAGCTGGTGGTGATGTCAAGCCGTCGTCAAGTGCTTGCCTAGGACACTGGCAACCTCGCAAGCAGACCCTCCGCGCCAAAGCCGGTTTCGGTAGTCTTGTGCGGTTCATCGTCTGGGGTGCACCAACTTGGGTTCTGTGAAGCCCAAGCTTGCGACGACACAAGATGCGAGAAGCAGCTAAAAGACGACGGCCGACATTGCCGACCCCCTCGCAATGGCCCCTTGGCAGCCCCTCAACCTTCCAAGCTTCCAAGCATGGCCAAGCCCCCGGGTTGCAGACCCGCCCACCAATGACATAAGTGCGGGTTTTATCCTCTTTGCATAGGTCGGTGTGCCCAGACCGGAATGGTGATGAGTGCGAGAAGATGTCTTGGACTTGTGCATCTCTGATCCGACCATCTGATCTGCGGCGGTGTGGTGTCACAAGCAGGGCGCTGCGAAGCCAATTGTGTCCACGCCAGCACACCCTCGGGGCTTATCTTTGCTCCATGAGGGTAAGACACAGCTGGCGGCCAGTTTCTTATTACAGGGTGCCAAAGTCAGCATCGTTGAAGGGGGCGTGGCACAGGACGTCGTCAATTGATAGCCGTGCCAGCGATGATCCGCCCAGGCAGCCGAATTCTTCGCAGATGGATCCCCGAGTCAGCGCGAGGCCTGGCTGACAGTGGAACCACGTTGTCTAGGCCGTGGCATGGCATGGTGCACAGACGACGAGGTCAAACCGGCCGCCCGTCAGGTCAGGGCCCGTGCTTGCGAGCAGCCCCAGAGCAGGCCCTGCCCAGCCACTGGCATTGAAGGGGGTCCTTCGGCCTGCACTGGTGGGCATTGTTGTGCTGGCCGCCTTTGACGCTGCACACAGCTGCAGGATGCAGACCGCCATAATAGCTGTGGCTCTCTGCCAGACAGCAAAGTGCACATCTCGCACTCGGCGCTCTTGTCGTATTCGCCCGGATGTGGAACGTACGAGCTTGGCCCTTGTGCGCGACTGAGCTGTCGGGCGAGGGGTCAGTCGATTAGGGGTCTGCTGACCAGCCAGCACGGGCGGAGGCTGCCTGCAACCACAGTCCGTCTCGAGTAAGGGAAATTGCTGCAGGCGCTGGCGGGAGAGCTAGCTGGTAGGGCCCGTGGAGACACGCGAGAGTGGATGCTTGTGGCTGGGGGATCCGAGTTCGAGTTTTCAGGAGCTACTCCGTATCGAGCTCCGTGGGCCCCCCGTGGCCGGATGGTCCGCTGGATCGTGCTCATGGCAAGGCCAGGCCCGTGGAAGGATCAAGGAACAGTCCACGAGACGGCGGAGACGGCGGGCGGCGCAAGGGTGCAGCTCCTGGGCCTGGGATGCCGAGGCGACAATGCTCCGTGGTGACGCAGTGGGGGCGTCTTGCAGGCTGTGCTCGTTGTAGGAACTTTGTGTGCCCTGCAAAAGCTGCTGGAGACTGATGTCAATCCGAGGCGTGGGCTGTTGGGACAGACAGGAGACTGGATGCTAGGCAGGATTGATGGAATAGGCTGCTATTATCCACCCAGCTAAACCCGGAAGTGTCGGCGGGCAGCGGCAGGAGCTTCCCTGGAGGCAGGTGGATGGCGGGTGCCTGAGGTTGGCATAGCCAGGTACGTACTCCGTACTCCCTAGAGCTACCAGGGCCAGCAGTCCAGGCCACCAGGCCGCCCCGCATTGGGGGGGGCCGGCCACCTGCACGCCGTCCAGTGGCCTGCAGGCCAGCCCGATCGACGGACCCTGCACGCACTGCACTGCGCTTGCAGTTTAAACATGAAGCCAGCCGCTCGCCTCAGCAGCTGCCATCCTCGACTCACAGTCCTAGCCCAAACCTTCGTCGACCCGTCGTCCACGCTTACTCACCTGCTGCCACGGCGACTCCTGCCGCTGACGTCCTCAAAGGTTCCAGCCACTGGCCGCTTGCTGCCTTGTTTGCCCGGCCGCGCCAGCAACACAAGCCTAACCCGCAGAGCTTGTTTATCTCGTTCTCCCGCACCAAACACTCCCCCTCTGGGCTCGCCATATCTCAGACAATCACCAAGCGACTGCCGCCCTGCCTTTGTTGTGCCCAGCTCTCTCCATTCTTGCGTATTAGAACCGCATCGCCAGTGTCTTGTCCAACACGCCTTCGCGGCTCGTCCGCCCTAGACGCGCCTCGCGTGCCCAGAAATGTCTCGGCTCTCGAGCTGTCCTCCACCAGTCCTAGCTTCTCACATATAATACCTATCTACCTACGCTTACCTACCTATCACCCGTGGCCACTGTCGCCGCCGCCGCACCCACAAAGGGCCCTGTTTCCTCCGGGTTCCGGCCATCCGCCCCCCGGATCCCGCGGAGTCTTTCCAGCCAGCACGAAGGAAGCCACCATCGTGTGTGCCTGCCATGTTTGTCCACGCAGGCGCCAGCCTGCATGGCCATGAGTACTCGGCCAGGGCACCACCAGGCACGCAATCTACGGCTGCCGCCGCCGGCCAGAGACGTCATCCTTCGCTGCTCCGTTCGGCCTTTGGGGGCCCTGCCCAGCGCTCGTCGACGCCGCCAGCTTCCTCTGTATATGATCCACCATCCCCGTCGCCGTCACCTTCACCATCACCTTTACCGAGGTCGCCTCTACTGCCAGCTGCCTTGCTCTCACCAAAGAGATCTCGGCCTTTCTCTGACACGTTCGTCCAGGCGCCTGCTGCCGCTGGATTAGTTTCGTTATTTACCGAGCCTAAACATGTTTGCTCACCACAGTCACAAGTCATGACCGAGGATGAAGCGGGACAGTCCGACACCGATGGCTGTATATCCGACAGCGATGTCAGCCGCGCTGCCGGATCCTCTCGCCGGGCCAGGAAGCAGTCGCTGCGTACTTCGACCGCTTATGTTCTCGCCCAGCCGGCACCCAAACTCCGGCACAAGCAGCGGATCATGCATACAAAGCCCCAGCTGCTCACCCAGCTGCAGCTGCTCGCGCCGGGCGACAGGCCGAGGCCAGTCATCGACGCATACCCGTCATCCGCCTTCGCAAAGACCATCATGGCTCCCTTGCTGAAGCGTGTGCCTCGTATCGCTGGCATCAAGACTGAGCTGAGCGTCCAGGACATCATGCTTGTAAAGAGCCAGGACTATGCCGCGCACGCGACCGACACGGACAGCGACGCAGGCGATGACGACATGAAGGCTCGTGACTTGGTTGCCATCTTGAGCCCGCTCCGGACTGACGACCGGGTAGAGATCGTCATGGCAGACGGCAAAGTCTGGACCGCGTGTCCGCGCAATGCCACCAACAATGGCTGCTCATACGATTTCGTTTCGGTCGATGAGAATGGCGCAACCATCACGGCACGATGGGCTCGGAGGCGCAATGGCAGCAAGTCTGCAATGCCTCAGTCACCCCTCCAACAGGAATACAAGTACACTTTCAGCATCATCAACCCCGAATGTCGACGTCACCCCATCATGGCTACCATGATGTCTTCGTCTCTCGAGATATTTGACAGCTACACTACCGTGTCGCAATCTTCTAACCGCTATCCGCCCACGTCACCTTCCGTTGGATCTGCAGCATCCTCACTTTCGAGTGGAGTCGATGGCAAGCGCTCAAGGCAAGTCATAGCTGTGGAGGAGTGGCAGAAGAACTTCATTGCGGTTTCGGCTGTGTGGATTGCTTCACGAGCAGTTTGGTCTGCCGATACAAAATCTGTAGACATGAGCACATCCACTGTGACGTACTCTACACCTTCGTCGCCGCTCGTTACATCTCCACCATCTCGGGTCCCAAGCAACACGTCCAATCTCGCACTATCTATCAAGAAGGCCCACACCACGACTGCGTTAGGCACGCGAGACCGTTCCGCCACCATGGCTCAGCCTGTGGACCCACCCAGAATTAGCATCCTCCCCAAAAGAGCAACCTCTACGGGAGCAGCGTTCATGCAGCGACGGCGAGCCATTCTCCGGGCGGATAGTGGATCATCAGAAGAAAGCGACTTTCGTGCTGGCGACAAACGCGCTCGACGGGCTCTTAGTGGGGACTGGACTGGCAACATCGCCACCGGACTGGGGCAGACCTCCTTGGCAGCCATTGCGCTCGCTGAGGTAGCGGACGACCACGAGCGAGCGTCAGCGCCCAGCCCGGCATCAGCGACTCTTTCAGAAGTGTCCACGCCCAGTGCGGTGTCGGAAGCGACAGGAACCTCAAAACCAGTGAAAGTCGAGATGTGGCCGAATGCGACGACATCAACAACGCCTCCTTCTCAGACATCCTCGAACGTTGCCAGAGAAAGCAAGGCAAACCCTGCAGCAGACACCGCCGACACCAAAGCACGCCATGCGAAATGGAAGTCGGTAACAACGTGGTTCACCAAGCTGCGCGCACGATAGAAACGCAAGCGGCAGCCTCCTCTTCTTCTGTGTTGAGAACAGCAAAGAATGGGGTGCGAACCGGATCAACTGTTCCCGCGCAGCTTTGAATTTGGATATAACGGCGCCGCCACCACTGTACTTTTGTAAACAAGCACAACAGCATTGTCCCTTTTGTCTGAGAGAGCAAGCGTACAAGAGAGCGAGGAAAGGAAACACGGAGTAGTAGAATACCCCCTCCCTGAATTCAAAGTAAAGCATGGGCCCACGGCTCAATTTTAATCACTACCTTGCTGTCTATGTGTGTGTGTGGGTGTGCCTTGTCCTCAAAAGTGACCTTGCTGCCAGCATCAAAGGCGATCCTCAGCCGTACATGCGAGATTGGAACATTGTGTCGTCGAAAGGGTATCACTATGGAGTTCAGCATACCATATATCGCCCACACAGCACACAGACTATTCTCGAAAAATGCTAAGTTGCACCTGTTTGGGTCTTCGTCTCTTCTGTCATGGTCGCGTGGTTCTCCTCTTTTACCTTTTTCCTCGTAAGCACGTTCTATTCTACACACACAGGTGATCAGGAACAGCCGGCCTGTCAACCAATGCACGTCATGCATGCTTTGTATTGCACGTGTCGACGAAAAGGAGACGACTGCCTGGGTTCCCAAGTCCATCCATCGCCACACTGGTAGCTGAAAGCTAGCTACTCCTCGCCTCCGTCCACGCCACGCTCACGCCTCGTCTGCCGGAAGGAGGACTCGCCGCCAAGTGGTATTTTATTCTTTGCCGCCGCATTTTCAAACAGGTGTGTACTTTTCTGGCTGATAGCGTTGTTTTTGAGGCGTGGCTTTGCTGTCGTTGTGTCGTATTGGTCCAGGTCTAGGCAAAATAGCTCTTCCATAAGACGCCCTCGAGGTCTTCGAGCTGCTCGGGCGTGAAATACTACGGTGTACAAAGTAGTGGTCAGCCATGTGTTTACAAACCTAAGCATTGAGACCCGTGCATGCATGCAGGCAGCTAGAGCTGCGTCCCTGCGCCTGGATCTAGGCCTGCATGGGAATGCTGCAACCAAGAACTTACCTTTTGATCAACGCCCCAGCTGTCCTGCCGCGTCTTCTTGAACTCGGCCAGGATGCCCTTTGTCGCCTTGCCCACGATACCGGGGTCGTTGGCCGCGCGGCGCGCCAGAATGGCCAGGATCTCCGGCATCCACTGCGGCGGCGGCGTCGCGTAAGGAAAGGCCTCGATGAGCGCGCCGAGACCCAAAATCGCCGCATGCCTGCGCACAATCTGGAGCGAGTGGTTGATCGGGGTCTCCACACCGGGCTGCTTGCGCTTCGGCATCGGGTTCTTGTCGAGCTGGCGGACGAAGCGCGCCTTGAGCGTCTCGATGATGGGATTGCGAATGCCCACAGGAGAGCACCGGATCATGCCGGCCAACGTGGCCGCAGCGACTTGCCGCACCTCTGGCTGTGAGTCGGAAAGCATATCGCCCACCGCATTGAACAAGGCCTCGCGCTGGTCCGGGTTCATGAGGAACAGCCGGCGGAAGTAGATGACCTGCATGTTGACGAGTGCCCGCAGACGCTGATGCCAGCTAGTCGCACTCTTGCCGAGTCGCGTGAGCGCTGCTGTGAATGGGCCGTCTTCGCCTGCACGGAAGGGGATGTTGGGCAGATGGCGATACACATGGTAAGCAAGGCGCATCAGCTCCGGATCCTCCTTGACATCCATCATGTGTAGAAGCTGGTCGATAAGCTGCTCGTGGAAGAACGGCACGAGCTGAATGCACTCTTGAGAGGAAAGCGAGCAGTCGAGCCAGGTCAAGACCGTCTTGGATCCGGAAGTGTACGCCGACGGGGTCTGTTGGCCAGGAGTGCGTTCGAGACGCCACTTCTCCAGCTGGTCAAACACTTCAGTAAAAGTCTTCGAGAGATCCTCGCTAGGCTTGTACGGTCGAATGCCGATGCTCGACTCGGCCTTGTTAGCCTCAAGCAGGGTGCTCACGTCCCTGAAAGACTCGTGGTAGCGTGTGCGATAGATGGTCGATATCACCCGACCCATAGACTCACGCACAGACTTATATGGGTGGTCAATGTGAGCCAGGAAGTCTTGCAGAATGGGCTTCTCGTGCCGGTAGTGCCAACCGCAGTCGTTGATCAGGAACTCTAGCAGCTGTACCTTGGACGACTCCTTGAATGCCGCATTGGACGACATGTCGAGGCGGAACGAGCTGATGCTCTCGACAAGCTCATGCGCTCGCCGAGGATCCTTCGTGTCAATGATAAAGTGCAGGCAGGTAATCCAGTACTGCAAGTTCTCGGGTGTCAGGCTCTCAGCAAAGATCTTTAGAATCAAAGGCTGGGCGAATCCCCAAGACTGCTCCTTCATCTCGATAGGGTCATCAGAAGTGCCAGCCAGGAGGGCTCCGAGGATCTCTGATGTCGCGCGGTGTTGGTGCTTGTCGCTGCCGTCTCCATAGACCTCGAGCGTCAGCTCCTCGACATCCTTGAACTTGAGCTTCGTTTGGCCGTAGTTCATGAGGTCGAACACATGCATCAGAAGTATGACATTTTGGCTGCGGAATCTGTCTGAAGAGTGGTCCCGAGGCTCCTGCTTCAGGTACTCGAAGCACTGCGCCAGCCAGTCGCGCGTGACTATATCGCCAATCTGCTTCCGGGCAGCCTTCTCAACCTCGTCATAGGCATCGAAGCGATGCGGCTTGGTGCGGAACGCCTTCATGGTGTCGCCCCACACTAGCCAGCCGGCATGGTCACTGTCGACAAAGTATTCGGCGTGCTCGTAGTCCTTGAAGCTGTCGAGGAACTTCTGCGTCCAGTTGGGATCGTCCTTCGGGATCGGGACAGTCAGCTTGTTGGGTTCGTGCTCGTTCTCAAGGAGATAGTCCTTGTAGGAGTGGTTGTACACAGCTCGCTGATCAATGGCCGTGAAGATATTGGAGAAGGCCGTCATATAGCTGGCTCGCAGTCCCGGATGCGAATCATTGGCACCCCTGCCCACCAGATCGATGAACTGAGGGGGTACGAGCGTCTCGAAGCGCAAGGTCAGATTCGTGGCGAAGATGGCGCAGCGACTGGCAATCTTCCAGTGCTTCTCCTTAGCCTCCTCGATCAGCTCGAGACCCAGAGCAGCTTTTTTAGCCTCAACCTGCCTCCGCCGATCGACGACAAACTCATGCTTGCTTTCAATGGCAGCGGTACAGTCTTCTTCCGGACGAATGAGATCCACTATCTCGTCATCGGTGATAACCATGATCTCCATCCTTTTCCCGAACTCAATCAGGGGATAGAGGGCAGTGGCTCCGACGTTCTGGATAGAGCTCTTGTCCACAGCAGCAGTCTGGATGTACATGCGCATGGCATCTGGAGCGAATCTCCAGTCTCGGAGAAGTGTCTTGAGCAAACTTGTAAAGAAGAGGGTGTACATGGCGCCCTTGATACGGTCATGGTCGTTCTCATCAAGCGCCTTGCGGAATCTTTGTAAGATGACGGGAATGACCAATGGCCGCCCGCCAATCAAGACCTTAACAGATGCGTCTTGGGCACCCTGTGCGACCCTGCGCACGTCAGCATACAATGACAGCGATGACTCGGCCAGATCCAGTAGCAGCTGCTTGTCGAGCTCGCTCTTGCGGCGGATGGTGGCATTGTGCTTGACTCGCTGCAGCTGGTACGCGTCCGCCCGCTTGATCAATAGAGGTCGGGGATACTGCTTCCGCAGACCACTGATCTTAAATGGTGCCACATCGGCTTTGTAGAGACGGACCAGGCGCTCCAGTGGATGAGCCGACCTCTCGAACCCTACGTCCGTAATCCAAGTACGATACGTGCTGTACAGAGAGGTGAAGCAGGAAACATCGTCCTCCTGGTGCGCATTCAGGAAGGAGTGAGTGCGCGACAGCAGGCGGCCAATGTCCTCACGAAGCTCATGCATCCGGTTGTACAGTGAACTGGTAGTGGACAGCAAATACCCGCTCTGGTAACGGAATTGCGGCTTCGTCTCATCATCCTCCCCAACATCAGCAAGCGGATCATCCTCGTCGTCATCGCTGGTGTCGTCCTGCATCAGATCGTCACCATCGTTGTCTTTGGTGCCATTGGTGCGGGGGCGCGTCTCCCCAGAAGCACGCGTGGGGTCAAACAGGTTCGCAATGCCAGAAATGACCAGGCGTAATTGTGTGAGCTGCCTCGAGACCTCATCTGACCACTCCTTGTTCTTGCCGTTGCGGCTGACCGGCGGTGTGTCGCTCATAAAATCCTCCAAAGTTTTCATGGCGCCACCTGCTTGGGACTCGAATAGCTCCACCGCAAACTCAATCTCCTCGGGTACGGGCTTGTGCCACCGAATTGTCAGGTCCGAGGGAGCGGTGACTTGCCCCCAGTCGCTGACATCTAGGCCGCGCTCGAGAACGTCAGGCTCGTACAAGCGGTTGTCGACGGGGTACACATGGGTGAGGTTCAGCAGCAGGTGGTGGATGTAGTTGCTGATGTGGATGGTGGGCAGACCTTTGCACTTCTCCTGCATATACTCGGCAATGTTGAACAGCTCTTCCTTGTACTTCAGAACCTCGCTGCCGACGTGGACAACGCACATGCTGAGTATGCTGACGTGCCAGACAAGGGCCCGGTCTCGAGGTAGGATTTCGGTGCCGCTGCTGCGATCCGAGGCGGCCCCGTTGTAGTCGATTTCGTTGCGAATGTTGACGATCAGCATCGGGATGAAGACCTTCAGCGTCTTTTCGGGATGGACTTTGCAGAGGGCGTTGCAGATCCACGCCATAGCATCCCTAGCCTGATGGACCACATGTGTTGAAACAAACGTTGCGAGCTTCTCAAGCGCGATGTCGAACAGGTCATCTGACAGTGAAGCAAACATTGGGGTCAGCGCCGCCGGCAAGGTGTTTATAATATTGTCCTCTGGCGACCCAGACCTCAACTGGGACGAGTCGGGGAGGTTCTCGAGCAGCGTGAAGACCTTGCCCAGCAATGCCAGCAGGAATTCGCCGAAACCGGCGGTAGAGGACCGGACAATATCGGCTTCCTCCTCGTCACTGAGCTCATTCTGGTAGTCAATCTTGACGTCTGAACCCTCCCGCTCCATGCGCTCCATCTCGCCCTGGACCCACTGCATGGCTAGCGATGTGTCGTGGATTTTGTTGTCCTCTTTCGTGAGCGGCACGAAGGGAATGCTGTACGCCACGCTCTGGAAGAAGTTGAGGGTATACTGGGTCTTGTGTAAGTCGTTGGCATCAATTCCGGGCAGGGCGAGGGCGAGAAGCGCCGTGATGTGGCAGCGGAAGCCTTTCTGCCGCGACATGACGTTGGCGATCATCTGGAGGCCGCAGAGACTAGACGTTGTCCTGTGCACCTCAACAAGGCCCTGCAAGCTTGGGTAGAACCTCTGCAAAGCACCAGGCAACATCAAATCGGGCTCAAGGAAGGTCAGATTCTGTAGCGCCCCAAAGTACATGCCAGTGACCTTGCTGCTCTTGCCGAACAGACCCATGAATGTGACCTCGCGCAGGCTGAGCACAAACCGCTTCTTCAAAGCCTCATCAATCTTCCTGTCTGAAGGCGTGTCTTGCTCACCGCGCTGTTCCTTGTTCCAGCGGGACACAAATAGCTCGGTGAGGTAGAAGGTGAGCTGAGCCAGCATCACAGTCCAGGCGCCACTGTTTGAAGGGTGGAAGAATGTGTCAACGGACTCCATCAAGCCTTCGAGGCTGCTCAAGATCGAGCTATCCTTGTCAATGCATTGTGGCGACAAAGACGATACGATCCACCTAGCGACAATGTATGAAATCGGATGCTTCTTCTTGTCCTTCTCGAGGAAGATACCCATGCCCGCTGAGTAGTCTAGCGACGTGTATGGCGAGTTGGCCTGGCCGACGGGGATTTCTGTGAGGCGCAATATGGCCGTGAATATGAGATCGGACTGCTCTCTCGTGAAGATGCCGTGCTCTCCAAAGGGCACAGGCTGCCATGTAAGGTAGTCCCGAGCCATTCTCGAGAAGATGTCGATGAATGCAGTGTCGACAGCCTTGGACCTGGTCATCAGCGACCAGAGGTGGAAGAAAGTCGGCACAAAATCCGAAGGCTGTGACTGGGGTTCTGTGATGGACGCAGGGCGTGTAGGCATCAGAATATTCAGTGTGCCAACAACAATGTATGCGTTCTGGATGTCGGAGGTGCTGAAGTATGGCAGGAGCTCTTCGAGCATAGCCCGCCTCTCGTTGGGGTCGAAGTATGACTGGGCCTGCAGGCATAGCTTCCATAGGTGTTTCAGTCCTCGCCGACGGGAGGAGTGGTGTGCAGGTGCCTCGCTAGGGAGTACGAGAGCTCTGATCTCTTTCCATAACGGTCGCCAGTCGTACGTGAGGTCGTCTTGCGGTTTTAAGCATTGCTTTCTCCTGGAAAGGCAGGAAGCCGGCAGTCAGTCAAGAGTTCCCGAAGCTAGCAGCAGACTGGACAGAAATGAGGCTCAGCGGCTCAGTGTCCATGGTAGCTTACCTGGTCAGTGTTGAGACCATCTTGGCGAACCTGTCCGCCGTGGAAGAGTCGAGTCCTGGCGCCAGGGACAAGTGGAAGTAGAGCGTGGCGAGCTTGGCCCTCAGCTGACGGGGCATGTCAAACTTGAGGGCGAGCCATCCCTGAAGCTGCCGGGTCCAGTGCAAGGCGCCGGACGAGAAGTCCTCGGCCTTGATGGAGATGTAGAGCTGCTTAAGGATACCGTGCAGCGCAGCGTCCCGCTCGCCTTCCTCCTCGACGTCATATGGAAGCAGCTCGAAGTAGGCAAAGGTGCGTGGGCGGTATCGTTTCTGGTCGTCAGACTCGCCCGACGGAGGCAAGCCCGGGGTCGTGGCGCGCGAGATTGTGTCGGCGGCAGCGGCGCTGCTCAGGAACTGGGAGACGGCCGAGAAGGCCGTCTCGGAGGAGGGGTCGAGCCCTTCGTCCATGGTGGGAGGGCGGGCTAGCCTCAGCGGCCGGCGAAGAGGCCGATGGCTGTATGCTTGTAGGCTCTATGTGCAATGGACTCGATGTCAATGCCGATGTCAATGTCGATGCTGAGACCGAGGCGGGTGGTGAGGGGTCGCGATTGACCCGAGTCACGAGAGCGGGCGGTTATGCGAATTGACGACGATGGGCGCAAGGGAGCTCGACTGCGAAGCAATGCACGCAGTCCTGTCCTGAGGAGCTGCAGAGGGGCACAAGGGTGGCGGCGGCGGCACAGCTGCAGCTTGGACAGGGCACTAATGCGAAGAAAAGATGAAAAGATGCAGCGAAGATATGCCTGTCGTGAAGAGAGGGACCGGCCGCGTGCAGAGAAGGCCGTCGTCGACGCTGGCAAGGCAAGCGTTGGTCGACGTAATACAACAGGCGCAGGGCGAATAGGGTGCGGGCAAGGCTATGTCATGCACTTGCTTGGGGCGGCGCAAAGCAAAGCTGGGGCCGCGCAGGCACCTTGCAAGCCTGGAGCTCCTCTCAGTCAAGGTAGGTCAAGGGGTCCTCTCTCCCTTGCCTTCCCCTCACCCTGACAAAGGCAGGCCAAAGGTGGGGCCGTGTTGCGGCGCCAACGCTGTCAATGCAGCAACCGTCGCTTTTCCTCCCGTTGACATCCACACGTGTCTGCCAGCCTGACTCGATCTGGCTTCGGCGTGGCAGGTATCAACCTCATTGCGCGTCTCCAGGCGTCAGCAGGCTGGTGGCCTCGCTTCATGGCAGTGCTTTTCGACCAGGTGACCGTCACTGTCAATCATAGAACCTCGTCCACGGGTCAGCAATCGTAAGTGTCACAATAATTACCACCGAGGTATTCGGAGACAACGGAAGTGGCTTGCAAGGGCCGAATCTGGTATCTATGCGCAATGAAAATGCTCAAACCCAGAAGTCTCTTGGAGCTCAGAGATATGGATGGTCCATATTGTGCAAAAGGGCCATCACCATCGCTCCCCTCCACGGAACCTCACAGAGTTGTTAATATCAAGTGCCTGTGTGTAGGTATCTTGCACAAACGCCCGAAGCTCCATCAATGGGGCGCCCTGACTTGTCCATGAACCTTGCTCCAAAGTGGCCCGCAGTCTCCGGGCTTTTTCTTCCAGGCCGGCCAAACTTTGACCCCATCTACTCGACCTTCTTGTTGATCCGCGGCAGCATCAGCCACAAGCCCAGGATGGCCGCCAGCAGCGCGACAATCACGGGTTGCAGCACCTGCACACCCCTGGCCTGCGCCAGCGCGCCCACGCCGAACGGCAGGATCGCCGCGCCGCCGCCGCCAAACGCCGCCGCGAACCCGATGGCGCTGACGTGCAGCGACTTGGGCAGCAGCTTGGACATGACGACCATGACGGCCGGGAACAGCGGGCCCAGGAAGAAGCCCACGAGCCCGACGGCCACGGTCGACACGATGAACTGCGGGACGAGCCAGAAGAGAATCTGCAGGCCGATGGCGGTGGGGAGGTAGATCTGTGCACATTTTCTTTCAGTTAGCTTCTGCTTTTTTTTTGTTTACATCGGTGAATGGGACTTGTGTGTGGCGGCGGGGATTCAGGCCACACACTACTACTACTCACAGTGATCGCCAGCCTCTCTCCCAATCTCGGCGTGACAAAGCCCAGAACCACCCTACCGACAGTGATCCCCAGCCAGAACCCCATGGCCGCCATGCCGCTGGCAAAGGCCTCGCCCTGGCGCACCTGGATCATGAACTCGACGATCCAGCCCCCCAGCGCGACCTCGATGCCCACGTAGCCGAGCAGGAAGATGGCGCAGAGCCACGTGACGCGGGCTCCGGGCCGGTAGAGCAGGGCAGTCCGCAGGCCTCCGGTCTTCTGCTTCTGCTGCTGCTGCGTGGGCGCACTCTGGTCTATAGTGGTAGGTTCTGCTGCGTGCGCCTCGGCCTCGTTCTCGCCGTGGGTTGCGAGGGACGCCCGGTACACTTCCCCGGTGGCGGACCAGAAGGTGAAAGTTGCGGAGAAGAGCTCAAGGGCAGCCAGGCCGATCTGCGAATAGACAGCCAGGTGAGCCCACCGTGCGCCTCGACGTCAAATGGGGGGTTGAGTGAGGGCCAAGATCGAGAAACATACCATGATGTAGTAGTAGTACCACCACCCAACCCGCGCCTTGGTGATGAGCGTCGTCGCAATAAGGGGCGCGAGGACCGCGCCCAGCCCGTACAGACCATGCAGGAGGCCAAGCACCTCGTTGGCATTGGCCATGTTGCCGATCCAGGCGTTCCAGGCGGCATCGGCCAGCCCGTTGCCCAGGCCGGCGAGGACAAAGGCGAGCACGAGGACCGGGTAGGGCGGGTGCGTGGCGATGATGATGTAGGCGGTGATGTGGGCGACGCCGGTGAGGATGGCGACGCCGCGCTGGCCGAACTTGAGGTGAATCATGTTGTTGGTGAGTGCGGCGGCGGTGTAGCCGACAAAGGGGGAGAGGAAGATGAGCGAGACGATGGTGTAGTCGAGGCCATAGTACTCTTGGATCTGGACGGGTTGTCAGTACTTTCCCCAAGTTGCCCTTGCCAGCCATACCCAGCTGGGTGGAATCAGTATTTCCGCGGTTCGACATGAGGCGTCACATACATATGGAATAAGAGGCTGTCAACACACGTTAGCAGAAGGCTCCCGATCTATCCCCGGTTGTGTAGCCAGATACTCACTCCGTAGGCGGCATCATTCGAGCCCATGACCACAAAGGACCAGAAGCACGAGCCCACACGGGCGATGTTGGACCTGGGCGAGTTCCACTTCTGGAGAGGCTCTGCGGCGGTCGTCGGCCCAGGAAGAGCCGTCATGTCCTGCTGCCACACTCCGGCGTTGCCAGACGCGGGGGGGTGGACGCCATCGTGGCTGGACCGGGACTTTGCGCTGCTCGTTCCGCTGCTGCTCCTGCCGCCGTTTCGCAGGGTGCGGCCAGCGGCGGCAGGGGTTGTGATGTTGTCCTTTGGCGGGGATGGAGAACGGAGGGAGCTCATGGCCTGCAGCTCGACCGTAGTTGAGGACGAGGAGGCCATTTTCTCGGGAGCTGTGTATAAGAACTCGAGAGCAGAAATGGTGGAGGGAACTGCAGCTGTCGAGATGCTGAGGAGGAGTGAAGAGGCGATGTGAGCCCAGGTAGAATGTACTGTACAGCCACGAGACAATCGAGCACAGGCAAGGGGACAAGAAACTGGCGGCACTCTACTCTTTATACCTTGCCACAGTCCGGCAGTGTCATGGTAGATGGATGGTTGTGCACAGAAGATACGGCCGTGGCGGTCTCGCGAGAATGCAAGTCCAGCCATGATTGAGTTCTGATGCGGCTCTCACCCCAGGCGGAGTCGAGGGGGGCATGCATGGCCCAAACTCCGCCCTGCTGGGGGCTGCCCCGGCTCCGCCCCCGGCGGTGCGCCGGCCGCCGTGTCTGTCTGTCTGTCGCCACTGGATTGCCGGCGGCAGGTCACGGCTTGGCAGGCGGCTAATCTCCGGGCACGGGGTTTGAACAGCGCGCATGCCTGGTCAGACATCTGCCGTCACGACATACTTTGCCCTGCCCAGACGACACGGTTTAGACTCGCGAGCCAATCTGTTGGAGCGGCATCCCCGCACTCCCTGTGTACATGCAGTGTGGAATATGCATGGCATGACTCTCTGGGACATGTGTCACAAGGACAACCACCTGAGAAGAAAACAAAAAGTCAATGGTCAAACCCCCAGGCGCTGGCCAAGCCTTGCCGCGTGCTAGTCTCTTACGTACTCGCAACTCACAGCACGCCCACCTCTCCGGCATCCTCACCGACACCGGCCCAGATGCTGGCTTGATATCACGACGCATCACCAAGGGCCTTAAAGTAACGCAAGGTCAAGCAGGTTGATCGGGATTTGGACCACCTGCATGTACCCCCGCCCCCAGATCGCCCTTAGCCCCGGGGTCCGGAAGCACGTCCCGGCCAGCCTCGGTGACTCCAAATCAAGCCTGTGTAGCTCAATAGCCACGTCGTAGTGAGGCTCAATTTGTGCCAGCGAGACAGCTGCAAGAATAACCCTGTAGACTTTCCCATTCGGGTCTATGCTTACGCATAGTCGTATTCGCCCCCATTCTGTGGCCTAGCTTTAGTCCTCTACCCTGGTTCGCTGTCGTAGCACGACCCTTTCCATTACCAAGCAACGCCCCGACCTCGAGCCACCCGACCCCAACCCGCCGTGTGACTCAGATAGTCTTGGAGGGGAGAATCATCAATTCCCGAAGATTCCCCAGTTGCCTCACTCGCAGGGCAAAGAGGACAGATCGCACCCCTCCTACGGCTGCCATTGCTCAGAAACTCAAACAACAGACTGAATGACAAAGCAGGTCCTCCCCGGAGTTCCCCCGGCCCAGGATCCCAGTTGTCGTTGCAGGGCAGCCCCAAACGGTCCGGAGTTTGTTCCTTCCAGCCAGTTGCCCAGGTTGACCAAAGTCTCATTCTGCACGCATGCAATGCTGCCACTATCATGAAATAGAAGTGCGTCATCTGGAAAAAGTCTGGGTTCATCATTTATCATTGTTGCCTTGCTGGTCTTGGTATCTCTATCGTCGTCCCACGCCAGTCGTGCCGATGCCATAAAAGACTAGTACCAACCCAACCACTATTAAAGTTGTATATCTTTGTTTCCCTGCTCCTTGCTATGAGTCTACCCAGGTGCGACTCTTCCTGCAAAGGCCGGTTGGTTCAAGACACCGTCAGAATGCAAGGTCCGGCATCCGGTGCCGTTGTTGGGATTTCCAGAGCCCCAACTTGTTGCTTTTGGATATTAATATGCTTGTGTATCGTGACCAAGGAAAGGTGTTTCGTAATGTCTGCGCGTCTCGTCCGTATCACGCTCAATATGCTGGCAGCAGTAATGTTCGTAAGACATCGACGGCGTTCTATATCAGGCCCAAGTTACTTGGAAGGAAATGGTGCTCAAGGCGTAATCTCCCTGATGCTCAGTCGTCGTCTCCCCACCATGGCACTGGGGAACGGGCAGGCGCCGTCGCCAAACCGCCAACAGCGCTCAGCCGTGCCAAGCTTTTCTTAGGCTCATGTCCAGTGGTTCCGGTTGCAGAAGGCTTCTTGCTGGGCAGTGGTGGCAACGCACTGGACGGAGCCCCTCGGCCAGTCGCAGCTGGCGCCGCCTCGATGGGTGCTCTAACAACCTTGCCGCCGGGCTCTGGGAAGTCGTTGAAATCAAAGTCATCCAGGTACAAGTCATCGTCCTCGTACTCGCTCTCGCTTTCAGGGAGATCGGCTAGCCTAGGCTGTGCTTGGGCCAGCAATTTGGGGGTGACCGCTGCCGAGTCTGCTCGTGGCCGGCCGGCATCGCTATTCGAGAAAAAGCCATGTTTGCTGAAGGTGGTCCATCTCGTCGACTTGACGCGAGTTCGTCGGTCATCTTCAGCCCATTCGTCGTCGCTCCGACCGTCGACGCTGCCCATGAATTCTGTCAAATCCGGACTTGGCTCAGCGAGATCGATTGCGCCAACACGACTGATAGGCCTGTCGAGGTAGAGAAGGACTCGTTCTTGTCGGGCCTTGCCGTTCTTGCGAGTGGAACTCGGGGCAGAAGCTGCGCCTTCTGGAGACGACTGCTGGGACTCGGTAGCACCTGTATAGGGTGCTTCCTCCTGTAGTGTACCCAGCAAGTTAGGCGCGAAGCCAGCGTCGGCGGATTCGACCGCGTCGGCTGCGTTGGCAGATGATCTCCGTTGAGGAATGACAACGGACTGTCTAGGGGGTGACCTTGTCGATGCTTCACTGACGCGCCCACCCTTCTCTGGTGCAGCTACCAGGGACTGGCTGCTCGCCCTCATCTTGGCCCGCTTCTCGCGCAGGGCAGCTAACAGCATCTCCTCTTGGCGTGTCACGGCCATGAAGCGTGCATTGTTCTTCTCACTAGAATTGCTGGCCGCAGAATCGCGCCGGATGGACTCGGGGGAGCGGAAATAGAATTCAACACTGTTTGGTGACAGAGGCGGCGTGGGCTGCTCTGACGAACGCGAGTCGCGTGTTCTACCTTGGGGACCAGGTCCAGAAAGCATCTTCTGGAAATCCGACAATGGTGCTTCCTTGTCTAGCTCTTCCACCGCGGCCTCCATGGTCGATGCAAGGGGATGGAGCGTGACTGACTGGGCTTCATGGACACGCCTTGGAGACTCGTCGTCGGAAGCTCGCGACCGGATAGACTGTTGAGCACCATCCGAGGACAGAGATGCGCCGGAATAAGGCGAAACCGTACTTCCTGATGATCGCTGAGAGTGCGAAGCGCTGTTCGACCTGGATCGTGAAGCCGCCGTCCTTGACGAGGTCCGGGGGATATCAAGGTAAGCCTTGATGGGTTTGATCTGTGCCGTATTGGGAATGCCAGACCGATCGTTGGCGGGCGTGTAGCTGACATGGTCCATGGCGGACATGATGCCGAGATTCCTCTCTGCCTTTGAGGACCCAAGATGCGGCGACGGTGATGATCTTGGGAGCGAGTCCTCGTCTGAATCGGAGTCGGACAAGGAGAGAACGCTGTTCTGTTGACGATCAATGCTCTGTATGCTACGGTCGGTACGGGATGCCTTAGACGTGCGTGTATGTCTGCTTGATACGCTGGCAGCGTAGTCCGTCATGGAACTGATTGTCGAATCCATTGGGTCCGTTGTGCCCGAGCCGCTAGTGAGATTGCGCGTGCGGGTCGAACTCTTGTCGGACGGCGACTGCGGTTCCCGGATCATGGGCTTCACAGCGGGCAAGCTGACCGAGGTCTGAGCAGTCGCCGGCCTACGGACAGTCTCGAACGGGTCAGAGGTCAAGAACGAAGGATCATCCTCTTCTGTCGGTGAGGGGGCATTGCGGAAAGACATCTCTTCGTAGTGATCGTACAGTTGGTGCAAACCCGCCGCATCACGCAAAGGTCGGTGATGCGTGGGCTGGGTGGCTACGTTCAAAGCCGGCTGTTGACTGCGGCGAACCAATTTCTTCGGCGTTCTCTGCTCGACCAAATTAGGCGTCGAGCCGCCCCATGACGACTTGAAGGACATCATGGATGGCGACCGGACTAGAGTGTGCCCACCGCCTAGATTGGGGCTCGCCGTCTTCGCGCTTGTGGGCGGATCATGCCGGACCTTGCCTCTTAGGAGATCCAACTTGGAAGGCCGCTTTTTGCGACTAGCAGCGATAGTGTCGGGATGGAACTGATCAAAGTATGGGCCTAGGGCAATGGCAGAGTTTGACGTCTGCTGAGATACCGACAATGGGACGTGTGACTTGTCGTAATGCGTGTTAATTGTAGAGTTGGACTGTCGCCGCCGTATGCTGGACATGTCTGTCGCAGTGTCGCCGGAATAGTAGTCAGCTCCCAGTGTAGCCGCCGACCGTTGTTGGCGAAGGCCAAGGCCGCTGGCACTGTGCAAATGACGCGGGACCACATCCGATTCCTCGTCCCAGCCTCTGTGGTTGATGGTGAGTTGGGGAACGCCGTGGTGCTGCCCTGCGCGATATGTCGAATTAGTGCGGCCACCCATGCTGCTCTCTGACACAGATACGCTGATGCCGCCAGAGGATTGAGCGTCCCATCCTTCATGACCTTTCCACTGTCCTGTGTGGTCAATGTTGATTTCGCCAGTGCCGAGAAGTCGCTGCGCCTTGCTAAGCGGTGCGGAGATGTTGGTCGGGGAGGCATCTTTGGCTTTCCGCCCCGGTATGGGGAACATAAATTTTGATTTGGGTTTCTGCCCCATCTTGACTACAGCCACCAGAGAGCTGGTGCCGTGTGTTCAAACAACCCTTGTCGCTGGACACGCACGCGGTGATATGTCTATCGCTTCTGCCACATTGGAGCTGGATGCCGAAATTCAAAGCCACACGCGAGGGGTTGGTGAAGAGAGCCGGTGGAATTGCGTTGGTTCCAATGAAGCTGGGCTGGCCGAGGTTGCGCTAAGTTGCCGGTTGTGTAAACGTCGTCGTTCACAGCAAACAAATTGGCGGCGATCCTTGTCGTAGTCGTGCCCGACCAACCAGTAAGGCGAGCTGGATCTCATACAAGTCGTGGCCACTGTTAGGCTTTCGAGAACAAGTCCCGGCTGGTGCTGTCGTCCTGGGACAGGTTGGCAGGACGGCAAGGCGGCCACGACGGAGGGACGAATGATCGTAGGAGAAAAGAAGGATAGTAGTGAGCTATCCAGACTGCCGGAGATTTCAAAGACTCGAACAGGAGGAGCCCAGGGAACGCAGATCATGAGAGGGCTAGCAGACACGACTAGCGTCGGCGACGGGGCGTGCAAGTTGGTTGATGACACTAGGTCCACTGGGTAATCTCAGGAAGAGCTGCTAGCCACGAAGGGACGGTAGTGCTGCGCTATTGCACACGATTGTGCGGGATAGGCCGGAGAGTGGAAAACTGGTGTTGGGCTTCGAAGGGCGTGCGCAGGTGCCCAGGCTGGCCAGGTGCGTAACGTCGAAGGTGGTGATGGCAAGCAGGTTGAGCCCAAGGCCACGCCACGAGCAACGGGCAGCAGACGTGGGTGGTGAGTGTCGGCCAGAATGACGGTGAAGAGGCGACCGAGGATGACGAGCTCGCGGGACACTGCATCAAGGGAAAGCAGAGGACATAAACGAGCGAGTCCTTTCGAGCCGGGCGGCTGGAGCGCCGAGGGATCCATGGCATAGCATGGCATGGCATGTGCTCCGGTGGGAGGAGCGGCGCGAGCCAGGATGGTGAAGGCGGCTGGTGCTGGCCACACATGAGCATGGGGAGGCCACAGCGGGCAAGCGACAGGGGCCGCAGCAAGCCACGCTGCACACCCACCCAGGGGCTGCTCGCTCGCGACTGCCGATGGATGCAACAATTATGCCACCTGCTGCCACTCTCGTTTCTTTTGATTAACTCACCAGCCAGGCGCTCTCGGCGCACCGTGAGCCATCGACACGACCTGACTACTCACACAGCACCGCAGGCAGCGAGCACTGAGAGCCCTCGTCCACCTGCGATATGCGTCGACCACGGACCCCGATTCGCCTGCCATCTGTCAAATGCCCTGGTGCTGCTCTCTCTGCTCGCCGCCCCAGATCCTCGCAGGGGTGATGCCCTGCTGGTGCTTTTGCGCCCCCCCAGGGTCGCCTCTGTCTCCTCTGGCGAGGATGGCTGGCTCCCTGGCTTCTGGGCACATGAGTGCATGCATGCATGGCCAGTGCAGTCCCAGAGTCGTATTCGTGCATCCAGCGGATTCAATGGGACTCATTTTGCACATCGTTGTGGAAGGTCCATGCACACCCGTTCCAGTGCCCCAAGCCACAGGGGGGAAGGTCTCAAGGTTCCCGCGTCTGCCGCCACCCAGCCCGTCTCGCGACTGACTCGATCCCATCAAGCAAACATCATGACACCATGCGTTGCTTGCTCCGTCCCGTCCTCTCGGTTCACCTCGAAGAGACACGTCTTGCGGCATCTTGCCGCTGGAGAATCCCCGGCGAGAACCTTTCTGTGCCCGGCAGGTGGAAGCAGGCAGGAAAAAAGAAGTGTTGCCTCTTCATTCTAGTCGGGGCCCGTGGGCTGAGCACCAGCCCTCGATAGGACGACTGGCGATATCATTTCGCTATTGCATGGATGGTGGCGCTATTTGCAGGCACGTGTTCGCCCGGTCGTGAATTATCGACTCCACCAGGCGCTCGACGCACCACCGCTGCCACCAGAAGCCCCTTGCGCCGCCGGCTCCGACGCCGCTCGCGCCCGCCGGATTGCCATGTGCTGCAAATGGTCATCGGCCTACTAATTATTTGATGTTCAATCGGGAAATGCTGGCACGCCAGCAGCCGTGGCTGTCTAGCGCTATTCCACGAGTCGCGCACTTGCAGGTTTGCACGCGGTGTTCTCAGCGTCGATCCAGTCGAGACTCGAGATTGGCTCCCATCACGACCACACTCCAACCGGCCAAGCCTTTTCGGCATCCTCGCGCCGCTTCTGGCTAGCCTACAGAGAAGCGATTCGAGCCTAGTCTCTCACTTGACGAGAATTGCTGACTGGCGTCCTGCCTACGGCGTACACTCCGAGAATTCGAGGGCCGTTCCTAGCTTCCAGGATGTTGGCGCTGCCTTCCCCTGGCCGAAGCCACCGCCCAAGCGGACAGCGCCATGCCACAAACCTTGGCTTCTCCCTCAGGCTAAAGTATGCGTAGCGAAGCTCGAGGTGTGCTCCTCCGAGACAATGCATGGTTCCCACATGGCTTCTTCAGCTCGACGGTGGAGAAGATTGAATTCAACGTGCGTCATCATTGCCGATAGCACTGGGACTTGGCGCACTCTCAAAGTACAGTACGATTCGACAGTTAACGTGCCTCGGGCCACATCGCGTCATCCTCAATCGACAGCAACGACAACCTCCGACGGGACGCAAGGTCACCAGCTTCCTGAGATGGGGCCTCAGGTCAGGGCTCGCCTGCGAAATGGCGCGGCAGTGTCTCCAACAAGATCTGCAGAGGCGCTGGTGCCAGCCTCAGCTGAGGCACGTTCGTGTGGTCATGCCGCCACTGCCGATGCTCGCTGTACGCACTGATTCTCATTTGGCATGAAACCATTTGTCCGGGCGGGTGGTTTCGAGCTTGACTTGCTTGCGATGCCCGTTCGGTCAGCTCCGCCCAGGAACCTGGAGCACCGCCCGCGTTCAGGGGTCGGCCTCGGGTCTAGTCACAGATGCAACTGGAGCTTAATCGGGCACTGACCAATCGCGAGCTGCGCCACGTTGGGATGCGAAACAGCCGATCGAGCTTTTTGACGATGAGATGCGAGCTCTCGCGAGGACTGAAACGCGCAGGCGGAGCGGGCCTGCTGCCGTTGCTCTTGACAGCTCCGGCAATGGGAACCGCCTCATTCAAACCTCGCTGGGCAGAGCGCATGATCTGCAAATTACGTGATGTGGATGGAGGCCATGGCTGTTATGAGCTCCAGGCTCCGTGCGTCATTGACAGCCTCGACTGGGCACACTATTAGGGCTGCGGCTGCGCCGGATCGACGCACAGATGGAGAGCTGCTTGCCGTGGCCTCAGCGCAGATTGCCATGTTGTGGGTTGTGAGGGCTCTTTGATCATGTTGGCCAGAGACGAACTGTAACAGCACAACAATTGATGGCTGGTGACCGCCGCGCCAGAAGCTCACCGATTCATACCACATGCAGAGATGACTGACCATCGCTAGGGATCGTACTGCCTGTCTGCAAGCCTGATTGCACCGGGCGTGACCTGCTCCCTTGGTTACAGATGAACATCCACACAATGGCAAAGGGGCAGTGATTCTCCGGTAACGTGTCCGTTGTCTTGACTCCATTAAGGGCGACCCTTCAGGCAAAGTCCCTTCTGACGTTTCGTCAAGGTCCACTATCCATCCCAGGATGCTTGTTCTCTTCCCTGCCACAAGTCGTAGCGGTTATGGGCTCACTTGCAGCCCATGTCAGATGCGGGCCAGGCTCTTCCCCTCTCCTTCTGCGTGTGAAGCGATGCATTCCAGTTATGCATCACGGGCATGAGGAATATCATGTGTGCTCCGTCCTCTTCAACCCCTCCAAATTTCTCCGCCACGGAACCGGGTCGGCCGTCGCCCCCCTCACGGACGGCAGGCACTCCATGCCCATGTCGGCCCGCTGAGGCTTGATCAATGCCCACCCCCGATAGGGATCATCCCAACAGCTATGCGCATGGCGTCGTCGATAGCCTTCGCTGGTGTCCATCCCCAGGGTCTCCGCCGCGGTGGAGCTGGGAGACGAGGAGCTGCAACAAATACAACTCTGTGCGGGTTTGGGGGGATCGCGCTTTGGGGAGGGGGCAGCAACCGCAAGAAGGCCTATCCCTGTCGTTACTGTGCGGAGTAATTCTGGGCGCGCACGCGTGCCAGGGGAAAAAGATTGGAGGAACGACGAATGTCACGGTTGGGAAACCTACGTCCCTTCTTCTCGTTCGGTCCATCGGCCGGGCAGGCTTGCTTGCTTCTGCTCGCGTGTGAGTCGATTGGGTAAGCTCATCGTCACCATGCCCATGCAAGGGAAGTGGGAAGTTTAATAATATTGACGAAAAAGTTCCCGTCTGTCTATGGACGGGAAACGTGACGCAAAAAGGGCAAGGACAAATCCAATATCCCGAGAAGCAAAAAAATGAAGAAAATCAATATGCTGGCAGAGTTGCAGCGGATCGTCGGTACGGATAAGTGATTGGTCTGGGCTGAGAAACCCTGGCTCCTGGCTCAGCGCTCCCACTGTCACAAAATCTGCCAGATGGGAAATTGATTAACCAGGAAAAAGGTGTGCAAAAGAATATTGATATTCCCCGACGTATCATATTTGTATGCACGTGCAAGGGGAGATCCCCGGGCTAATTATCGATGTTGGTGAATTGACAAGTGACTGGTTAGTAGCACTGGTAATCAGCCTCTCCTGCGCTGACGGCAGCTGAAGGAAGAAAAGAACATTATTCCATGGATGGGTTGTGGAGAGGCTTTGTGAGCCGGGAGCAGGACGGGAGGTCACGCCGTGTGCGTTTCGTTGTGACGGACGACGCCCAATTCGGCCTGCCGCGCGAAGCATCTTTTGCCGTGCGCAAGGATAAGTGTGCCGCTCCAAGCGTTTTTAAGCTTCTTGCTCGGCCCTGAATTTCTTCTCGGGGCATGCGGGCGGGAATGTAGGGTTTTCTACGGTGCAGGACGCTTAGTGCAGAATAAAGTTCGTCTCAACTACCGTGCTTCCCGTGCTTCTTGTTCCTGCATCATTCGGAGTGAAGGAGGCGGGTCTCTTGGTGTCTCTGTGGCTTTTGTTGAGCGCTCGTGCTTTTGGCGCGCTTTCTGCACCGACACTCGATGACGCAATATCCAGTCAGAGAATCGGGCAGGGGCGACTCACAGACGCGCCTGGTGTCTGGCATCTCCATTATCATAAAATAAAATTGTACCCCTGGAGAAATTTCTGGTTGCAGACATCAGAGTACCGAAAGGCAAAATCACACGAGTATGAATAAGAAAATTTCTGAAAGTGAAAATCGAAATGCGGCGAGAACATTATCGCACTGTTGCTGTGCAGGTCTGCTTGCCAGAGTAAGGTTGCAGTCACTCGCTGGCTGGAAAGTCAACCTTCAGCCATTTCCAGTCAGCTACGCTCTCCCATTCGGCATCACCCCGTGTTTTTTTCTGGCTTTATACCCTACCGCCCTCAGAAGAAGTTGGCCTTGTGCTTTCCCATGCTGCATAACCGCTTGTTGTTTCCCTCGAATACCTACCCAGTGATGGGTGATCACGCCCGCCTGTATGGCCTCTAGCTCGCACTCTCCACCCATGGCCGGCTCTCTTCGTCTTTTGCCCACATCCAATGCACAAGAAACGCATGTACGTCGATGTCTCAGGGGCAAAGAAGGCGCACAGGCAAAAAGCAAGATCCCCGGCGCTCTCACTGGCCCCCAAACACACCGCCGTTGAGTATCTTCCTCGCCTCCCTGCTCATGATGCGCACCATCTCCAGGCCCGCGGCCTCGGAGATCTCCTGCCCGTCCCTGGACCGCGTCACGGGGAGATCGTCGTTGAACGAGTTGCGCAGGTGGCCGACGTGGTGCCGCTCGCACGGCGCCGTGCTGAGCCACTCGACCTCGAACGGGTCCGTGGCTTCCATCTTGAGGTATTGGTACCATGTTGGCTGGGGCTTGGAAGGGGACGGGACGGTCTTCATCTTGGCCTGGGTTGAGGTATTGAGAGGAACATGTTGTTAGTCTAGTACAACGGTGTCGGAGGGAAGCGAGGCGGGATGGCTATTGGACTTTTGCATCGAGAAGCGACAAGCTGCGAACCAAGTTCTTCGGCGGTGTGCTCGCCACGAACTGCAGCCCGCTCGCAACTTCGTCGAATGGTTCTCCACAAATCCCATGTCAGACGATGAAAAGGGAGGAAAAGAACTCACGTATCCGTAGAACGGGCCAGTGTTGACACCAAAGAAGAACACGACATTGCTGCACACGCGGAACGCATCCGTGAAGACGTCCTCGTTGGTCTTCTGCGTCGCCCAGATGCCGGTCTTCTGGGCCTGGTAGATGTTGGCGTAGTTGTACGAGCGGAGGACGAAGAAACGGGTTTCTAGTAGATGAATTTGACGATGTGAGTTGCACAGTTATGGATAAACAGTAGCACTTGCGTGAGAAGCCACCGGGCAAGGAAGACCAGTAGAAGGAACAGCAGGAAATATATCTTGTCCAGAAGGTAAGGGACCCAAAAGTCCTGTAGAGAACAGAGGAGTACAGTAAGAGCCCCTCGATGTGGAGGGATTGGAGCTGACTTTTGGGAATACAAGGACTTACCACCAGGCTCGCCAGCATTGAACGGCTTCGGTGTGATCAGGTTCTCCTTTTCTCGTCGCAAGTCACGGTCTTGAGGCTGGTTCCCGACAATGTGTTTCGCCGCGCTTTGGGCAGCTGTCGTATTCGTGGTTCTGACATCTTGAGCACTGCTTGTCACTTCCTGTCGGCTCAATGACGTGGCAGAGTACGACTCAGCTGCCGTCACCGGGCCCCGGGCTGGACTGTAGCTCGGACTCCTCTCACGCCGTGAGCCATAGCTCGTCCGCAAGGAGACACGGCGTCGGTCTGGCGATCGTGTTCTCTGACGCCGGCGCCCGTCATGTCGTCGTTGATCATTCTGGTAGTCCTCGTCGTAATGGCTCCGGCGGCGGTGGTGCGCAGGGCTGGAGTCGCGGTGTCGGTTGCTGTATTCATGCGGTCGGTCGACCGAGCTCTGACCATAACTGTGCCGGCTACCCGAGCCCGAGCCGCTTCGTTGATTTTCACGGCGAGTGTCGACCCGGGATAACTTGTCATGGCGATCCTGGAGGCGTCGCGGAGCCGGGTCATTGGATACCTCATCTGTCCTGCTCGTGCTGCTTCTGCGATCCTCATGGCGAGAAGAGTTCCCAGTTGTCGTGCCACGATAGGCCCGGGTATGGTTGACGCAAGTTCCGTGCTGCCTGCTGGCAGGGGCACTCCCGTGCACGGGTTGGCCCTGCTCGTAATCGTCGTAATAATCGCGAGTAGCATATCTCTGTGGCTGGATATTCTCCTGCTGCACCTCAATTTCGGAGAGAATGTCTGTAGATGCTCCGGGGCTGTGAGGCGCTCGTGAGAACTCTTCGTGTTGATTTGCCCGGGGGTGTCCTTGGTCGTTGTCTCTGTCCTGGTGGTAGGGCAAACTGTTTTCATTCTTGTCATTGTTGCAATTGTAGGCATCAATGCGGCCTAGAGCTGCTCGGGCAGCGTCGATGGCATTTTGCTGGTGGTCGAGGGTCTGGTGAGCGCGGAATGTGCGGCCGTGCTGGGACTGCTCGAACCAGCCAGATCCGACGAGCCACTGGTAGATGTCCGCTGCTGTGGCTGGGTCATTGATCAGGTTTCGCAGCGTAGTAGCTGGTCTAGCGTCTTCGGGGACGGGGATGTTTTCCATTCTCGTCAAGGGCGCCAAGCTGGCTTGTAGCAGTACCTGCGTTGTTCAATGTTTGGGGGTTGACTGCACGGATATCTGTGTGAGGATCTGCTTTGGGAGGTTGTAGGGATGCCACCTCTTTTGGAGGGCCACAAGATGTAGCAGGCCGAAGCTATGCCTAGCAAGTCACGCACTTCCTCCATCAATTACACTTGCTTGTGGACGAGGCAGAGAGGCGTGCGTCCGAGCAGTTGTGTCGCATGGCCAGTCAGTTACTCTGCTGGATGTTGCGAGAACAAATCACCGAATGTGCCGCTCGACCAAAATCAGACGGTTCTTTTCTTGGGCAAGGCATCAATCATACACATACGGCCAAAGGAACCGCGAATTGTCCAACCACCAAGGAATCTAGTAATGATTTGTCCAATCTAGTGTTCTGAGATAAACCGGTCTAAGGTGTTCATGCCGGAGGCATGAAAGACGCAAACAACGCGCCTTGGATCGTAGCATACAAGATCATGAATATGACCACGTGTCCGCCAAAGCGCGACGTCTTGCCGTTGCAGAGCTTGTTCGCTAGCCAGAGATACCATAATGGGTACGCCGAGGCTATCCTCGTGATGATCTGGATGTGAAAATTCGTGATCGCCAGCCCGGCGATGAGCAACTGTGTAATAGCCATTGAGCGTCCGAGCCAGACGGCCTGAATGTTTCCTGGGTCGGATGATGCCGCGCTCGCTAGCCCTGACGGAGCCTGCAAGGTGTCGATGCCGGACCGGATCATGAGATACAGGACGGGGCCAGCCAGCAAGAACAGTGGCATGTTGCCAGGCACCCAGTAACGGAGGAACCCAACATTCCTAAGTCCGCCAAGTCAGGTTCACGCTCGTCAATGCGTAATCAGGATAGGATGAGTCCCGACTCACCAGTAGTGCTCTTGCACGAACGTGTAGATGCTTGGCAAGGCTTTATCGCACCAGGGCCGCAATGCCTCGCCACTCGGTCGCACACAAAAGCTCAGATATGCAGAGAACTGGGGAGCGATGAAACCAACGGCAATCGCCAGGCCACCAAGGACAAGAGCGAAACGCCGCCTGATGTTGGGCAATGTTGGTGGTGAGCAGGTCAACTCGACCAACAGGGCCACCGCAAAAGGAATGCCGCTGAAGAGCCCGTTGCTGCGGAAGGTGCAAGAAAAGCCGAACCACAAACCAGAAGAGACCAAGCTTGCGTCGTGAGCAAGCCTACGTTTTTGATTTCCCAGGAGACCTTTGGCAAGGAAGAGGTACCCTAAGAACGACAGTAAGGAGAACACGCTCTCTGCATACGGGGCTGAGAGAAAGAGGCCTGCAGGTGAAATGATGTGCAGGATTGCCGCGGTGAAGGAGGGCTTCTTCTGGTTGCTGATGGCCAAACAGAGCTGATACAGCACGAGCACGGAGAGAAGGTGGGAGAGATGCGAGACGGCGATGCCGGCCAGGGACTCGAATGTCCCTGTGCTTGTGTCAAGGCCAATCAGGCTCAAACCTGACAAAGAACGAGTCAGCTCGGGACGTTGCGCATGCTGGCTGCTCTAGAAACACACCTTGCACGATGCGAGCCATCAACCACGATGGGCCAGCGGCAAAGGCCCGCTCCTGCTCGTAGACATAGCCTCGGCGTGCCGTTTGGACAAAATAGATGGCGTCCCAGCGAGTCAGCTTGGAGGCGATATCCCACGCCGCTTCATTGCTGGGGGCGGGGCGGTCGATTGTGACCAGTGTGGTGGATGTATCGTAGGGCTGGGCGATCCCACTGCCGATGGTAATGGCAAGAAGCACACTCTTCCATGCGGTGAAAACCCTGACAAGTGAAGCTTGCGGCTGTGCCGGATCGACTAGCATCGAGGCCATTGTGTGCCGACTCAAGGAGATGTGACAAACGACAAACTAACGCATGGGTCGTTTGATGCTTTCCCACAAGTTTGATTGGCATCTGCATGTCGCGCCTCCTGAAGCCACAGTTGTCGTTGGGACCACCAGCCCCAGGCTAGACGGACCCACGTCCAGAGGCTGTGCAGCTGCGGGTTCGCGCACCCACTCACAATCCCCAAAGATCTCCAAACGGTGACCTACAGCACTGACATGGCTTACTTGGGAAAGCAAATGCAAACAATCCAAGATTGTGTTCGCATCTCAGGCACATGCTGCGATGCAGTGCTGGCATACATCTGGACCGCCCGGTCTTGGTTGGACTTCGCCCATGATTATTTCAGTGTTTAGGTGATGACGCTCATGCGGCTTGCTGCGTGTCGTGCTGGCTGTGCCAGCTAAGACATTGATCGCCATGACGTGGGTTGATCTTTCCAAGGACTGTCACGGCGCATTCTCTCCGCCGGCGGTGAACTTGGCTGTGCCGCTTCCTTCGTCCCACTTTTGGCAGATTTCACGATGACCATCGACCCAGCTGCGACCTGCACATTGATTGCGAAGAGGCAGAACACCTCACCACCACAGCCTGTCGACCGATTGACCTTGGGCGACGCAACGACCTGCTGAACATCCTGGCCGCGAGCAACATAAGCTTGCCTCTGTGCTGTAGCTTGGCGTGCTGTACTGTGCTGTGATGGCCCCGGTTTGGTGTCCAAATGATGGCCTTGGAAGCGTCCGACTCAAACGGCTCTAGCAAATCCCGGTGATCATGTGCGTGATCTCGCTGGTGCCAGTCCCCATGTGGAGAAGCCGGGGGTTGCGTCAATGACTTGCCTGTTCCCATCAGAGTCTCGTGAGACTCGCCAGCGCGGCATCGGCAACGTGGAAGCAGCTGCGCTAACGCGGGGCGGGGCCTAGACTCCTGCGCCTAGCGGGAGCGCTAGAGACAGACTTCCATCCTGGGCCTTCGATCGCGGGGTAGGCAGTTGAGGCGTGACGGCGATGTCCCGAAAGGCCGGTATGGCTGTGGTCATGGGAACACTTGCATGTGGCACTTTTGCGAGACGCGCAAGACCGCCTTGTGAGAAAGACCAGCCACGGCGCTCCAGGCTGGTCCGGCAATCGTGTTTCTTTGTGGCCACCCATAAAAGATTGTTTCGGCCATGACCGTTGTATGCTGGAGGTCTATGCTTTGTGGCGGGACAGCAATGGAGTCTTCGAATCTGGTGTATCGACGTCGGCGGTTTGCTGATGGGAAGCTTGCTTGTTCGACCCGCTACAGGCGTTCAGTCCTCGGTGCGTTTCGTTTTAAGTCTTGCATGAATCCGTGCAGCTTCAGCTTGTGCTCAGACGAAGTGCTGAGCCCGTGCCTAGGAGATGGGGATTGACCTCGTGGGTCAGGTGTCATGAAGTGGACGAGAGGTGGCACCCGTCGGCCGACCCTGTCTGCAATTCAGCTCAGGCACGGGTGGTGTCACGATGGCCACCCAGCCCTGCCTGCCCAACTGGGCGAGCTGTGTGGTGCCTGTGTGGACAGGCAAGTTGCTGCTCGACAAGGTGCTGACTGGTGGCTGGCGAGATCGTCGAGAACGGGCAGGGGCCGGAGCAAGGCGGCCGTCATAGCGAGCAGGGATGGCGCGGGCGGGTGTGCTGGCTGCCCCACCACCCACTGCGCCGGGCCCACCCCTCATCCACCACAGGCACTGGTAGCTTGCCCTAATTGCTGCAGCAGTCGCACATCGCCCTGCTTCCCCAGCCGCGCCTGACGACATCACTTTGATGCTCCCGTTACGCAGCCACGCCCCGAGCCAGCGCTCTTTTAGTCCAGATGGTGCTCTGGCATACCCGACTGCCGGCCTGTCCAACCTCACTTTCCTTTATACGAGACGATTTGACGACTTGACGACCCTTCCATACCCCCTCGCTTTCGACAAGCGCTCTCCTTGCGACGCGCTGCCGGTCGACGTTGCCCACTTACCACGAGGGTTCTCTGGCCCTTTTTGCTTGGGCCAAAGAACTCGCCTCTCGTCGGATGCGCCAAAAGACCCCGTTGCAGCTCTTCTCTGTCCCTAGACACCCCAACCCCGAACAACCATGGCAATGGCCTTTGACGACAAGCCCAAGCCCTTAGGCGGGCCGACATTCCTTGGCGTCTCCGTCAAGCTTGTCTCGTTGGCGACCGTGAGTGGCACTACTCTTGCTCTTGAATGATCTTGTACGACAGGTTGAGTTAACTGACGCAATACCTATCCCAGCTCACCTTCCAAAACTCGATCCTCATCCTCCTCGTCCACTACTCGCGTGTTATGACACCCTCAGGCGACCACAAATACTTCACATCCACTGCCATCTTCCTCACAGAGGTCATCAAGCTCGCAATCTCCTTGACGGCTGCCATATACGAGGTTTCACGAAGTCTTGCACCATCTACCCCTGCCACCGTGCTATTCGAGCAGCTCTACAATGCCGTCTTCTCTGGCGACGGTTGGAAGCTCGCGATTCCTGCAACGCTGTACACCATCCAGAACACTCTGCACTACGTCGCTCTTGGGAATCTTGACCCAGTACATTTCCAGATCCTGTACCAGATCAAGGTAGGCCTTGAACTTATCGCTTCCCGATCATACTGCTACCATGAATGTAGCTGTGCTGACCTTGCATGCCCTACTAGATCCTCACGACAGCAATCTTTACGGTCACGATGCTCGGCCGATCGCTCACAGTCAACCGCTGGATCGCGCTCGTTATTCTTACCATAGGCGTCTCGATTGTCTCGATTCCTTCATCCACACCGGAAGTCGGCATGTTCACCCTTCACGACATGACGGACCATTTCTTTCCGCGGTCGATGCACGAGCTTGGTCAGATTGCAAATGGCATGGGCGAGGTTGCCAACCACTTGACGCGGCGTAGCCTCGACGGACTCGCTGAGGTCGGAGCCGCTTTGGCCAAGAGATCGGCGACATATGAGGGCATTGACGAGGACGTCACGCAAATCGGAATGAACTACTCAATCGGCGTAACAGCAGTCCTGGTGGCTGCTGTCATCTCGAGCTTGACAGGCGTGTACTTCGAAAAAGTCCTGAAGGACCCGGCAACGACCGTCTCGGTGTGGACCCGCAACATCCAGCTGTCCTTTTACTCGCTCTTCCCTGCTGTCATTATCGGAATTGTCTACAAGGATGGCGACGAGATTGCTCAGCATGGATTTTTTGACGGTTACAATTGGGTGGTGTGGGCTCTGATTATCCTGCAGGCTGTCGGTGGCATTCTTGCGTCGCTTTGCATCAACTATGCCGACAATATTGCCAGAAACTATGCGACCAGCATCAGCCTGATCCTGAGCTTCACTTTCAGTCTCTGGTTCTTTGACTTTGATTTTTCCTTGACGGTATGTACCCCACTTGCGGACAATAGCGGGCTTCGCTCGGGTTCGCTGACTTGTGTCCAACAGTTTCTCATCGGCGCGGCACTCGTGGTGGCGTCTACATTCATGTACACAGGCGAGCGGCGACGCAATCGGCCACCTCCGATCCGCATCGCTAGCTACGAAAAGACTACGATTGACCCGGCCATGACGCCGAAGCGCACAAACGACCGACTTGCTGTACCGACGCCGCTAGACGTGATGAAGTCGATGGGGCTATCTACCTCGAGGCCATCTTCACCATTACGGCACCACTCACGTTCTGGGGGGAGCGACAAGAACTACGACGAATAGGTTTAGTAGTGGTGGTAGTCCATTTAAAGTACATAAGCAAAGCGCAGGCGTGTGCTATCCTCAAAGCAAAGCGCTGGTCTCGTGTCCGGTATTCTTTCTTTTGAGTCGAAAGAACAATGCTCAACGTCCTGGAGACACTGATTCGGGCAGCCCCTTAGTCACTAGCAAAAATGCATCGTTGTGAGCAATCCAAATCGCACATGGACCGACGGTCCAAGGATCGGAATCATATTTGAGAAAGAGCAAAGTTTCATGGCATGTTCGTGCCAGGTCAAACATTAAGCCTGGTCCCAAGGACCCGTGGCAGCTCTGAGAGAGCTTGTTGATTGTCTTGTCTTGTGTTACGGCAAATCGCTCACTAAGAGCATCTGCAAGCATCAAGAAATTGTAAGATCCATGCAGCCTGACATGGCTTTAGGTAATGGCTGGGCAAGAGCTCGATCTCTGGTGCACAAGGCGTTTGCAAATGCGGAGGCTTTGAGATATCACGGCAGATCATGCGGTCTTTGCTCCTTCCCCATGAGCTACCTGGGGGAACTGCCGCACGGCTCCAAGCAGCATCGCACTCAACCCAATCTTGGAACCCGTGGATGCTAACCCAGCGGCGTTCTGAAATTATCTTCTTACCAGCGGACACGGCCTTAAGCTTGTCATTTTCGGAGCAGCGTAACGCATACACTCATACATCGCATGCGTTGAGCGATGTCATATTGTTGCTACCAACCCACCACAACCACGGTTACAGAAGCTAACGCAGTGGGATGCACTGTTGAGGCCAGCCAACAACCAGACTGGAGTCTTGACAAGCGTAAGGCAGCATGCAGGACGACTACGAGCACGAAGGCGCTCACCACGAGCCTTATGGTCTCCCGTGGGTGCAGCCCGCCTCACATCGTGCTCGGCACGCTCAAAACTCAAGTACAACCGCGGACATTCCGCTGCTTCGAAGCCAGCCGACCTCGGACAGCTGGCCTTCGATGGCTACCCTCGACAGAATCGAGATGGGCTCGAATCCTCTTGCCCGCGGTCGTCCGTTTGATGACGGTGCTGGGTTGGACAGCTTCGGTATGAGCCTGTCTCAGCAGGACTTGACCCATATACATCACAGCTCAAGTGGCTGACAAACGCAGACCGCCAACTCCTAGGCCTTCCTCAGCAACACGTTCCACCCACGATGGAAATGCCGAGCTCTCGTCTGTCTCTTCCCCCAAGAAGCTTGCCACAAAGACGAGTCTTGGGTGATGCGAGTCACCACTTTCGATCCTTCGCACCTCATGGCCCTCAGCCGGCTTCAGCATTCTCTGCATCAACTCCCTCAAGCAATATGGACGGGGCAGTCCGCCAACCAACGGAGTCTTCGCAACCCATGTCTCAGAGGAGACCATTTACACCCCCACGCTATGTTTGTAAGTCGTGACGGAGATTCCTTGTGCGAGATCGATTCACTTCACAACCCCGTCAATCTTAGCTGACCATCACTTGCAGTAGGTCCCACTCTTGGCCCAAAACCATCGGTTACAAGCTCATCGCCTTCCGATGTAGCAAGATCCAGTCCCCTTGCCAGAGCGTTCCCATCTGCACATGCTCGAATGGCGTCAGCTGGACCGCATCCGAGCGCCCAAGAATGGCATTCAGAGGCACACACGAATCGTAGTGGGGTTCACACAACTTTCCCCATTGTCAACAATACTGGACTCATCCCTCCACGAGAAGTGTTACCGAGCAATTTCCATCCGATATTTCCGTATGAAGTCTTCAATGCCGTACAGTCAAAGTGCTTCCCGCTCGTCTATGGCTCGACCGACAACATTGTTGTGTCCGCCCCCACCGGTTCAGGCAAGACGGCGATCCTCGAAATGGCCATCTGTAGGCTTCTTGGTTCACCAGGGGGCGAGAACTTCAAAATCGTCTACCAGGCGCCCACCAAGTCGCTATGTTCCGAACGTTCTAGGGACTGGGAGCGAAAGTTCAGACACATGAATATTCGCTGTGTGGAGCTCACCGGAGACACGTCCCAAGCTGAGGCACGCCGGGTTGGAAGTGCTTCAATCATAGTCACAACCCCTGAGAAATGGGACTCCATCACTCGAAAATGGTCTGACCACCGCAAGTTGCTCGAGATGGTGCGTTTGGTACTCATTGACGAAGTCCATATCCTCAAGGACGTCAGAGGCGCCACACTCGAGGCCGTGGTGTCTCGCATGAAGACAATTGGCGCACATGCGCGTTTTGTTGGTCTTAGTGCGACAGTACCCAATATTCAAGACATCGCAACTTGGCTAGGCTTGAACCATGGCAATCAGACATCTCCTGCCAGATTCGAGGCATTCGGCGAGGAGATGCGTCCTGTGCAGCTCAAGAAATATGTATACGGATTTCCAAACGCGCCAAACGATTTCGTCTTCGAAAAGTCGCTTGACGGCAAGCTCCACGTCTTGCTTGCGAAGCACAGTGAGCGCAAGCCGATCATGGTGTTCTGCTTCACACGAAGGTCGTGCGAAGGCACTGCTCGTAAACTAGCAGAATGGTGGGCGGCATGCAGCAATGACAACAAAGCATGGGCACCACCACTCGGTCGCGTTCGGGTTGTACACAAGGAGTTGCAGGAGATCGTCCCCTTTGGCGTAGCATGGCATCACGCTGGTCTAGAACAGCAGGACAGAGAAGCGGTCGAGCAGGGCTTCCTCAAAGGCAACCTGCAAGTGATCTGCTGCACTTCGACCTTGGCGGTTGGCGTCAATCTCCCATGCCATACAGTTGTCATCAAAGGCACAGCAGGTTACTCAAACAATCAACCACAGGAGTACTCTGACCTCGAGGTCATGCAGATGCTGGGCCGAGCTGGTCGCCCACAATTCGACAAATCGGCCGTAGGCATCATTATGACAAGGCAAGAGAATGTGCAGCGATATTCCGCCATGGTCACTGGAGAACAGCTGCTGGAGAGCACCCTCCACCTGAATCTACTGGAGCACCTGAACTCCGAGGTGGGCCTCGGCACAATCAAGGATATTCAGACGGCACGTAAATGGGTCAGCGGCACGTTCTTGAGCGTTCGTATGCGGCAAGCCCCCGGGCATTACAATGCAGACGGTGTACACACCACATCCGATGCAGACACACGCATGCAAGAATGGTGCGAAAGAGACATAGGTCTACTGCAAGAGCACGGCCTTATCAGTACGAGCACGCCTTTTAGCTGCACAGAGTACGGCAACGCGATGGCAAGGTATATGGTGCAGTTTGAGACCATGAAGCTTCTTTTGGCCGTTCCTTCAGGGGCCAGCTTAGAGGAGATGGTAAGCACTGAGAGGATGCACAAGATCGAGCGCTTGCTAACTCAGATTCATTTTAGCTGATCGTGTTATGCCAAGCGAAAGAGCTTACCGAGTTCCGTCTGAAGGCAAATGAGCGGGCCTTTTTCCGGAGCATCAATTCAGGAAAATTCGTCCGCTTCCCAATCCAAGAAAATTTGACACAATCGTGGCACAAAGTCTTTTTGATTGTCCAAGTGTACCTGGGCGGATGCGAATGGCCCAACGACAAAGACGCGGGTGGCATCAAACGACAAATGTCCGTGGAGAAGACCGTTATTTTAGACCGGCTGAATCGACTTGTTCGTTGCCTGATTGACTGCAAAGCGTATGATGGCGATGGCGAAGGTACGCGAACTGCGTTGGAATTGGCTCGGTCACTTGCCGCAAACTCCTGGGATGGCCAACCCTGTCAATTGATGCAAATACCCGGCTTCGGACCTGTTGCTGCGCGAAAATGGAATGCCCACGGCGTAAACACGGTCAAGGCCATCGCGGAGATGGACTTCCAGGACATCGAACGCATCGCCAGTCGGAACCCTCCATTTGGAAGAAACTTGTCGAAATTGTTACAAGACTTCCCGCGACTTCAACTCGATGTGTCGCTGCATGAACCAGGTCACTTCGAGGCACCGCAGGATATCATTCTAGCCACAGTTCAAGCACATCTCCGCCATACGACACCAAGCAAGCCCCCAACCTGGAATAAGAAAATCCCTGCCGTCAGCTTCATTGTGACTGTCTCAGATGGCAGTCTTGGTTTTGTGTGGCGTGGAAACATCAACAAAATCGACCACGAGAAAGGGTTGACCCTCAAGTTCTCAGTGCCTCTCAACTGTCCAGCGCAAATAATCACCTCCTCCTTCAGCTGCGAAGAGATCGTCGGCACAGAAGTGACTTCCGTATTGGAGTCGCAGCTCCCTGCGTCAGCTTTCATCAAGCGAACAAATGAGAGGAGCATATCGCGCACGACAAAGACGATACCAAAGCAGGGAGCGAGCAAAGAACTTGATTACAACGACATACCCGACGAGGATCTGCTTGCTGCTCTGGAGCCTGCTCTATCTCAACGCTGCAATCCCGCCCACATCAATCAGCAGGATGGTTCAAGTCTGTGCGACTTGCCTTTGATCGATGATGTTCCTCGGAGAGCTAAGTCACCCGAAGTATACGAGCCAGAGAAAATGCAAAATGGCCGGTGGATGTGCAACCACGTGTGCCGCAACAAGGGCCTTACAAAGTCCGGGAAGCCCTGCAGCCACAAATGTTGTACAGAAGGTTTGGACAAGCCTCGAGCGCCAGTTCAGACGAAGAAGTCGAGCATCGCTGCCAGCAAGGATGCAGCAGATAACGCAGGCAGGATCACTGACGAGCCTTCACAAAGAGCCAATGCCGCCACGAAGAGCAACGGAGATAGCCATAAGGAGCTTGCACAGGTGAACACACGCTTGACGAATTCCAAGACCAAAAAGCGTATGAGAGATGAAGATGGCAATCAACCTCGGGACCGCCTACCACTCAAGATGCCTCGAACGAATCGTGTCTCTGAAATTGACTGTGTCGACCTCTCTATGCTCTCTGATGACGAGCTCATCGGCGCACCCAAACCTGACAGAAAGGAGACTTTATCCGCAGCCGAGAGAGGCAGGCTAAATATCAGCGATCTGCATCTACGAGTCGCTGGTTCCGTAAATGAGTCGCCACGTCTCACCAGAACACACACATCCAGCACGGGGCCTGCTGCGCAGCACCACTTAACAGCACTTTGCACAGACACCGCGTTTGCGGAACCGTCCACAGGTACGCAGGCAAACAATGACACGGTGGGAAAGTATTGCGCCGACAGCAATGGCGACGATTTCCCCGAGGTTGAAGACATCCTGAAGGTCACGCAAACCACCGCGAAGAATTCATTCAACGACACCCCTGGAAACATCCGAGGCAATGCAATTGCAAAGCACGTGGAAACGCGAACAGCGCATACAGATGGGTCACTTGAGACGAGAAGCCCGGAACCTGATTGGTTTGGCGACTATCTCGAGGCTGAGCTGCGACCGCCATGTCCACTGGTTGGTTGGGCTCAAAGCGGTTGTCACATCGAACCGACTAAAGACATGAAAAGCTCAAGCACAAGCGAGCCCGATGTCATACAGGAAGATTCGCCGTTGTTTTTTGGTGATCCTTTTCAGGTTTGTGTCGATCCCGAAACAGCAACGGCTAGGACGATTGCATGCACGAGCTCGACTGATCCTGCCTGGGTCGCCACCATAGATCCCAAGCTCATAGAGTCACTACGCGATGTAGTGAACTTTGTCGACTGATGGAGACTGGGTCGACGTGGGCATTCAGCTAGAGCTAGGGTCTGATGCTTGCGTAGCACTGGATGAGCATTCGGGATGGGCCAAAGAACAAAATCGCACGAAAGCAACGCACTATGAGCAATGCGATGCTGGGAGATGCGACTCCGGGGCCAGAGTATTTCTCTCTAATTAGAAAATTGCCCCACTCCTTTGGCCATCAATAGCACATAGCAGATATCATGGCATATGCAATCTCACCTCAAGAGCGCTCGTCACGCAGACGATTATGTGAATCAACAGCCCACGGGAGCTGCTTCGCCTGGAGAATGAGGTTGAAGGTGGTCAGCTGACGCGCCACGTTAGTTCGCGGACATAACCTATTGCGGGTAATGACCAGGTCCGCCGCACATGAATGATGGGGCTCGCGTGGCGCTGACACTAAGCCGCCATGCGGAATCAAACCATAAACTACAGCTCTCGGCCTATGATTTGGTCAACTCTCATCGGAGAAACGGGGGCTGTAAGGCTTGTTTGCATACGCTCGGGTCGAGTGTGCCAAGTAGTGCTGACATGAGCGGGCGCCATGCCAGACAGCCTTGGGATATCGGGAGACTGCCTTGGACTATATAAGCGCCCGCTCGCTCATCACTTGAAAACCTTCTGCCCCTCAAACTTTCAATTCTGCAGAAGTTCAAGACAGCATCTCGACACTCTTTAAGGAGGAAGAAAGCAGACGAACTCACCTCCGGCCAAATATCGAAGACGAGCAAACACTGCTTGCAAGAATCCCGAAAACAACACAAGACCGCAGTTCTAGACCAATCATGGGTAGTCTGGCGCCAAACCTTGACATTGATGCCCTGCGGGCGATGGTGCCCAAGGGCATTGTGCTCACGCCGGACTCGGACGGGTATGAGGCGAGTCTTCAGAGATGGAGTCAGACTTGTGTGAAGCGTGCTGTGAGTCTCCTTTCTTTCTTCCTAGACGGTCACTCCATTGTGTGGACTACTGTTATTGTCTTGCTTCCGCTTATACCTGGTGAACTTTATATATAATCACGTGTCAAGAGTTGGTCAACCTGCTTACTTATTGCGCTTGTGAAAAATTCCAGGCTGTCGTAGTCAAGCCGACCAACGCCAACGAGGTGTCGGCCGCCGTTACGTTCGCCACGTCGCACAAGCTGCCTTTTGCGGTCAAGGGGGGCGGCCACGCTACGAGCGGCGTATCGGCGTGCGAGGACGGGATGGCGATTGACCTGGACCTGCTGCGCGGCGTCTCTGTCGACCCTGAGACCAAGCTCGTCTCGATTGGCGGCGGGTGCCGGTGGACTGACGTCAACGAGGAGCTGTGGAAGCACGGGCTGGCGACGGTGGGCGGGACGGTGGCGGATACTGGAGTCGGAGGGCTGATCCTGGGAGGCGGGATGGGGTTCCTGACGCCGCAGTACGGGTTGTGCACGGACTTGCTGGTCGAGGCCGAGGTGGTGACGGCGGACGGCAAGATCCGGGTCGTCTCTGACAAGGACGGGGTGAGCGAGGAGGACAAGGACCTGTTCTGGGCGCTGCGCGGGGCCGGGCAGAACTTTGGGGTGGTGACGCGGTTCACGACGCAGGCGTTTCCGCAGGGCCATGTGTACAGCGGGAGCGTGGTGGTGGGCCTGGACCAGCTGGACGCGGTGGTCGACTTCAGCAATGTCATGATTGAGCGGCAGGACGAGCGGAGCACGCTGGTGTTTGCAGTGACACACCTGCCGCACGGGGAGGAGCTGGTGGCGGGAGTCCTGTGCATCGTCTTCTACAACGGGAGCGAGGAGGAGGGCCGGCGGTTCTTTGCGCCGCTGCTGGCGGTGGCGACGGTCGACATGACCAAGGAGATGCCGTGGCCCGAAACCAATGTGCAGCTGGGCCAGGTGGGCGAGGAGTCAAAGTGGCGGCGGCTCCAGGGCGGCTCGACGTTTGTGCCTCCCCTCCAGGCCGACACGGTGCGCAAGGCCGTGGTCGACGAGTTCCTGCCCTTTGCAGCGAGCCAGCCGGGCATGAAGAACCCAATCACCATGATCCTCTACGAGATCCTGCCCAACAAAAAGGTGCGCAGCGTCCCGCACACGGCCACGGCCTTCGCCGCCAGAGACAACATCTACCACATCAGCACCCTCTTCCAGTGGGAGGACCCGGCCCTCGACATGACGGTCCGCCACTTCAACCGCAAGATGATCCGCATGCTCAGGGAGCTCGGCGGCATCAAGGACGGCGTCACCCAGTACAACAACTACGACACGGCAGGGCCCATCTCCCCCGAGCACGTCTTCGGCGTCAACCTCGAGAGGCTGCGCGCCATCAAGGCCCGGCTCGACCCAGACAATGTCTTCTTCAAGTGGCTCTCGCTCTATCCAAGGCCTGCCGCCCCGGGGGACGACGAACAGCCGCTATGAGAGTAGTAGTAGTAGTACCACCAGTTCAGCAGAATGCAAGACAAGTCCAATGCTTAGACCGTACACACGTGACACTCGCTCAGACTGTCTGAGCGATACACACAAAGATGTCCTGTGCACGTCGCACGAACCCAGAAGTCGTGACGCGGTATGCTTCAAGTGGCCGTAACGTGCAGTCGTAGTCCTTGTATACAGACTTGATCATCCTCACACGTAATCTACATACAGTCCTTTGCCTGTTGTAGTTAGCTCTGTGGATGCCTGGGCGCCATCCACGTGAGCCGGGCACGTCTGTGACGCCCAGCCTCGAGACGCCTGAGCCCTTGTACCTCTTGTGCACGCCTTCCGCGACCAGATTCACACCTGTGCCACCACATCAGACCCAAAGTCCATATGGCCTGGCAGGTACGACCTGGCACGCAGTCAACATGAGTCAACTCAGGCTTGACCGTTCATAAAGAGGAGCTCGCCTCCAAGCCATCCATCCATCTCCCCTTGACTCCATCGCCAGAATTGCACCGTCATCAGACAGATATCGTTATCACACATCCCAACCCAACCATTACACCATGGCTCACCACCGCTGCTTTGTCGTTCCCCCTTATCTCCTCAGTGCCATTGCCGACAGCTCCCACAACAGCGACGCCCTGCGCGAGTCGGCTCGTCGTGCCCTCCAGCACCAGACCGGCTATGCAGAACAACGGCAGCTCCGCCTCCAGCTCGTAGAGGCCGAGGCCAACACCGTCGCTCATCCCCAGCATACCGAAGGCGTCGTTCCTCTTTACCTGCTCCAGAGCATTGCTGACAGCCCCCACAACTCTGCTGAACACAGAGAAGCTGCTCACCACACCCTCGGCACCGAGCAGCAGCATATCGGGGAGTCATCCAAGCCAAAGCTTCCCCACAAACTTCACATCCACCGGGCCATCTATGATGCTCAGCACAGCATGAACGAGGCCAGCCTGCCCGGCGAGGTTTGTAGGGTCGAGGGCCAGCAAGCTGTGAAGGACGATTCGGTCAACGAGGCATACGAAAACACGGGCAAGGTCCTCGACTTCTATGCCAAGCTCTTCCACTGGAACAGTTATGACAACAAGAATGCTCCGGTCAAGAGCTCTGTACATTTCGGCAAGCATTACGAAAACGCCTGTGAGTGACTCGCTTGCAGAATCCACATCCTTCTTTGACCTAGCAACCTCAGTCACTCACTCACCACACCGCACGTAGTCTGGGACTCCGAGGCCCGTCAGATGGTCTACGGCGACGGCCACGACTTTCTCACCAACTTTACCGGCGCTGTCGACGTAATTGGTCACGAACTGACAGTAAGTAATCAGTGACCTCTCGCGTGCAAGCTTGACACTTACAGAGCCCTGGCTTTAGCACGCCGTCACGGAGCACACCTCGCGACTTGCGTACGTCGGGCAGGCAGGAGCTCTGAATGAGAGCGTGTCCGATGTATTCGGCATCATGATCAAGCAGCTCGTCCAGAACGAGAAAGCCGAAGACGCCGACTGGCTCATCGGTGAAGACTGCATCTGCCCTGGCGTCAAGGGCGTGGCACTGCGAAGCATGAAGGCTCCAGGCACCGCCTACAACGACCCGCGCTTCGGCAAGGACCCCCAGCCAGCACATATGCGCGACTACCGTGTCACCACAGTGGACAACGGTGGCGTCCACCTGTACAGTGGCATCCCCAACAAGGCCTTCCAGCTGACTGCTGTCGGACTCGGCGGCTACAGCTGGGAGAAGGCAGGCAAGATCTGGTGGAAGACGGTGACTGGCGGACTTATTGGCCCCAACTGCAACTTCCTCCGGTTTGCCGATGCAACCGTAAATGTTGCCGAGAAGGAATTTGGCGATGAGGCTGCCACAATTGTGCGCAATGCGTGGAAGCAGGTCGGCGTCGTACGAAAGGAGCATGCCTAAGCTACAACTGTGGGAAACGTGGCTCTTGTACACTCAGAGACGGATTGACTGCTTCTGTATCCATAGACTACTAGACTGATTATTGAATTCAAGTGAAAGTGTTACATACTACACGTATGGGGACCGGGCCGCGCGTTGTCCGCCAAGCAGACAAAGCCGACGTCGTCGGCTCGCTGAATTCAGGAACTCACGCGCTTTCAGGTCGCCTATGAGCTTGACATTTCAGTCGTAAGCCTGCGTATCCTTCTTTGAATTCAGTCTTCCATACGGGCTCCTTGCTCTTGGGCGTTCTCTCGCGCCTTACTTTCAAAATGGAATACTAGAGTACAACAAGAACATCACATAGCAACGGCAGGGGATAATAGTGGGCCCCCAAGAACGCAGAGTCTGGGTCGCCGGCGCAGCAGGCCGCGCGCCATCGGAGATACGTTGGCTGCGCAGAGAGCGCTGGTCAACTTATATCAAGGGAGCATCCCCTTCCCTTGAGCGAGTTTTCCACCCCATCATCATCAACCACACACAAAACAAGGAACATCAGAACGCTACGACACTTCAGTCAACCAACAGTCTAACTGCATCACAATGGACTTCACGCGTCTGATTCTGGATCAGCCCGGACAGCTGCGCAGAATTGGGATGGGACACTGCGGCTCAGTATGGGCCAACGACGAGCAGAGCAGTGCCAGCGCAGGAGTGGCCTCAGACACCAAGGCCCCAGACAACAAGGCCCTAGACACCAACGCCCCGGACTCCATTGCCTTGGACAAGTCGAACAAGAAGCAGACGACCTTTGTCATCAAGAGAGAAGACTGTGGTCCCGGCCGATCTATCAAGAAAGAATTCGACATGCACAAGATCATCATGGCTGCGCAACATGCTCACCGTAGCCCTGCTACTATCTTCGTGCCCCAGAATCGGGGCTTCCTCGCAACATCAGATCCCCGATGGACCAACATCTTGCCACGGCTGCCAAACAATTTTGAGCCCTGCAACGCCATTATTAATGAAAGGATTCCCGCACTTGGAGTCACGGGCCGTACCACACTTGTCCACCGATTTTGCCCCAACACACAGGGACTCCAAGATTGGGTCCTCAAGGACGTCAACAACAGTGATTGTCTCGCACGCGTCTATCTCGGCTCGCGTAGACAACAAAGACCCAAAGATGGTCCTCCGCTCCGGTTCTTCAAACTCCGCGACATTCCACTACACTTGGACCAATTTTCAGAACTAGACGTCGACCCGATCCCTTACGCCAGGGCAATGGCCGAGGGTTTGGCCTTCCTGTGGTTCCAGGCCAGAGTCGACGCGAACGACGTCGAGTTCGTGCTGGCAAGCCCTCCAGCTGCAAACCAAGTAGATAACAACGATAACGCGATATTCGAGTCCAAGACACTTGGCCGACACGCAATGTGGGTGCTCGACTTTGACTGCTGCAACCCACTCTCCATGGATAATGACGGTGTCGAGGCTGCTGCCAGATGTTTCTGGCGCAATGACCCGTATTATCCCCGACCACCTCTGCAGACCGACAACGCAGCCAAAGACGCTTCCTCACGCTCGCTGCTCGAGGACGAACAGCGGACCGAACCAGCCAAAGATGGCTCCACGACTCTCGAGGACGCACTATGGACAGAATTCTCCAGAGCTTTTCTGGCAGCCGGCGAGAAGATTTTGATGGAAGACGATGATTTGCGGGACCTGCCAAAACTGGTCCTCGACAGGATCAACGCCACACGGGGGCTTTATGACAAGACGCCTTGCGTCTTCTAGAAGGCGGAGATTGGGACACTAGTATAGGTTATACCGCCGAGCAGTTTTATCCAGTCGTTACATGAATTCACAGTGCTCTCATAGAATAACAAGTGACTGCATGCTGCACGGCTCTTCGTGATATCTAGATGCCTAGCCGAAAGTAGACGGCCTAAACCAGTTTGAGGCGAAAACGCCTTCCGTCTTATAGAGAGTATAATCGTGGTGATACGAACCATCCTAACGACCAACATCTTGCTCGGGATCAAAGGGTGCAGACGGAAAGCAAACACATACTCTGCGTGCCAGAGGAGTCTAGTGGGACGCTCGGAAAAGTAGTCTCTTTAGCCTCTGCGTGTTGGCAGAAACATGGCGGTAGTACAGATGAAAGCCCTCGAATGAGGAATAGAGGGGGCTTTGGGGGCAGCCATTCTGACGGGAATGCCATGGTTGTTGGACTTTCAAATAACCATTTGACAGCAAACGCCAGTACTGTGTGTATTGAAGGATCACAAACATTATGGAAGAATCTCGAAAGGAAAGTCCTGATACTCGATTCTAATACTGCATCGCCTTGGACCTATTGTGACAGGCCGATGTCATGAACCCTAGCACTCTCAACCTTGAAACTTCTGATCGACTCGCGAAGCCTCTGCATCTCTTGAAAGCCACGCCTGGGGCTCCCATCTTGGAACAAGATATTTCTCTGACCATCGTTGCATCCTTGCCATCCGGGCCCATGATCCCATGATCGAGATGGAGGTCTCAATGTGTCTGGTGACTAGCACATCGAAGTCGAAGTCGGCAGCTCCTATTGTTTTCAAGAAGTGTTAGTGGAAGTGATTTTCGAATAAAAATGGGCTCCGTCGAGAGTGGGGACGATTCATGACATACCATCTATGATTGCGGCTCGACAACGTAGAATTCATGTTCGTGAAACGAGTACATTGCCACGGCCGAAATTCGGGCATCATGATCGCCCCTTGCCGCCGCCTCCTGCTTTGCCTCTCTCTCCACAACCCCTTTGAGCTCAGCGGTGACTGAGAATCGATACTTTCCCAGACGGTCCAGCGTGCAAGGCCAACCATAAAAGTCTTTCTCGGCCCTGAGGCCGTGAAGAGGACCGGTCCCCCATTGTTCCGGAAGTCTCTTGAAAGTGTCTGCCAGGCCTTTCTGAATCTCCTTGCGCTCTCGTTCGTTGTCAGGGAGCGGCTCAATCAGCTCAAGCTTTCCGGTGACGGTGTAGTCTTCTCTCTTGGTCTGCCTGACCACGTGGTCGAAGCGGAACCTGAACTCGACGCCTTTCGTGACCTTGACCCCCTCCGCGGGGTCTTTGACCTGGACAGATGAGAATGCGCCGGGCAAAAACACACGGTGCATAGACTTATTCTCGGGCTGAGAAGACATGTTGGATTCAGCTTTGGTGTTTTCACACTCCTCAGTCTGTGCGTAATCGAAACGAAGTGCGGCCGGGTCTGTGGGAATGATTTGTCGATAAAATCCGAGACGATCTATTGGAATATTCTGGGACATGGGATCATTTTATAAACTGCAGATCTGGGGTAATGCTACACATCAATCCTTCTGTTGCCTCTGGGACGTCACTTTGGCGGAAAATATTCTGAGTAGGGACGTGGTTGGCAAAGAGGTGCGGAATCGCTCGTCACAATATTCGATGTGACCATGGATCACTCATGAAAGGTTTACGGGAACACAAACTTCTGCCCGCATGTCTGTCCGTGTCACCAACATGACCAAACGCAAAAGACCTCTTATGGCACATCTCGTACAAATCTCCCAGATGGAAGCATCGTGTCACCTGGACAAGAATGTGAGAACTCGAGAGACATTCCTCGAACTCGTCTGGTGCCCCCCCTAGAGGCATGTTCAACAAGTATCTGTTAACATCCATCAAGCACTGGTGATGGCAAACGTCATTTGGGCTTGCTTGTTGGATGGACAGGGCTGTGGTTGACCAAGGTTAGTTCTTGTAACAAAGAATGCTGTGCTACGCGAGGCGACATGGATCCGACGAGAGGTGGCACTCCATAGATGGGCTGGTGTTTCTCGAGACAAGGGACCGTGACACCCGAATGCAATGGTCCTCTTGCTGGGCAACGCGGCCTTCTGGTCATCTGTGACTAAGCACAGATTTGGACACTGCAGTCATGCGTTCCGAAGAGTTGCCAGCCGGCGTGGGTGTATTTCACTGCTATTTTCTGTCCTTTGACCCTTGCTTGTAGTATGGCCTCAGGTATACAGTAGGCTCTTGGTCAGAGGAAGTGGCTGATAACGAGGTACTTCACAATGTGGAAAGTACCTGGACATCAACGGGCGGGAGCGCAACAAAACGCCCTTTAGTATTCCAGGACGCAAAGAATGTGAAAGGTCTCACAAAGTACAGCAGTATATCCTAGAAGTATCACGTGTTTCCTTTCCTGTGTGCGATGATAAATGTCGTTGTTGATTTCTCCTTCAAAAGCTCATGTGCGCTCCGGCTGGAATGGCGTAGACAAACGGACAAGCAAACACGGCGGAAGCAGGTCCCTTTCGATCATTGTGCGGTGGAATGTGGGCTAGCTGCGTGTCGCCAACCAATTTTGCAAATTCCAAGACAAGCGACGCCTCCTTGCTTGTCGTTTCACATGGTTTATCCTACAAACACAAAGCGCTGCGGGTCACGGACAGCTGCCTTTGTTCATTGACTTGATTCGTAATGATTGTGCTAGCACCCCGAGTAACAATATACATTCTTCTAAAGTACGGCACACACAGTGTGTATTGGAAAGCACTGTCATGACAGGACAATGAAGATTCGAGGAGCTCTTGTGCCCGTCAGACTGGACACAAAAGCTCCTGGTGATCACAAGGACAACTCTTTGGCGCATTTCATATCCGCCAGTGTCCATCTTCCTGTTGGTTCGAAAGCCCGTCGCTCTTTTGTTCCTTGCTCCCCGACGATTGCAGCCACGATGCGGTTAGCCAACTGTGCGAGCGGAGCTTGTGTTCCCTCGCTGGGGTAATACCTCCTTTCCATCCATCGCTCAAAGCTGCTGCTCCACGAAACATTCGGGGTAGAATGAGCGCCAATGATCGCCAACTGCCTTGTGCCAGGCGAGATACTGGTCATGGCCGAGCGGACCGTGCACGAATGTGATGTCACATGCTGCCTGGTTCGAGCCGGGCGCTCTCAACCACGCTTGGGCGTTGTGCTCCCAGCCCTCGTTCGGGATTGAGCGACACTTGAACGCCCAGTCTTCGATCATCTTTGGTGGCTCCCGTGGCTGGCCGAGACCAAAGGTCACGGCTCTGGCAATGACTCGATAACGACGGCCACCTTCGTCCCAGTTGTTTTTCCAGTTGACATAGAGGCCGCAGAAGCTGTCGCGCGTCTCCAGACCAACACCCAGCTCCGGGAGATCGTCAAAACCGGTGTTGGTATGCTCATTGTGGTGCGTCGGACTATCTACGATTTCGGGCCCGATGGGCCTACTTTCGAGTTTGGTAGCTGTCGAGCCTGGGTTGGTCACATGCGCAGAGGTGATTGCGGGAATGGCGACGACCTTGGTTGTCAGGGGAAGCATCAGAAGGGCAAGGGCGAGACGATATGGAGCAGGCTGCATTTTGAGAGTGGTTGATGTATTATTGTGTCGTGTGGGATTGTGCAAGTTGTTGAGTGCGGAGGGTTTTCATGAAGAGAGGAGCAGATCATCATATCCGTGGACAGCGCATGGGAGCATCGCTGATTCTATATACCCTACCCCGGGTTTCTCACATTCCGTGGCTGAGCGTAACTGCGGCTATGCCGAGCATTTGCAACCTGGAGAACAATCTTGACGACAGCGCAGAATTCAAGTTCAGGTAGGCATGACAAACGTACTCTTTCTCGCTCTTGTTTCAGTTAACAGCTTGTGCATGCATTCCTGCTTTACGTTAGTTTCAAACTGTTTATCTCTACGTTTGTCTCGCAGGGCCTGACTCCACGTCTCCAATTGATCAAGTTGGTGAAGCAAGCTTCTGTCAATGAATCGCTCGATTTCATCAGCATGTGAAAATAGTACAAACGATCTTCCTGGTTTGGAACAATAACGTTCTGGTCAGCACCGGCAAGCACGCGAGAAGACAGCTCGGTTGTTGAAGAACCGCCGCCATCATCGCCCAAGTGCTCCAGCACTGGCCAAGGAATCTCAACATGTGCACATAGGTGAATTGGGAGAGCGTAGAGAGTGTGTCTTTGGACATGATCTGAGTACATATTGGATAAGGACCGGTCTACTGGGGGGAGAGCCGTGCCTGTTGCTGTACATCTCAACCAGAAGACATATAGGGGCTCATGATTGTGTGCAGGGCTTGTGCTGTAGCGCAATTGTCACTACCTATTGCGCTTTAAAGATACTCTTTGAACGTCTATAACTCTGTTGCCGTTAACATCATACCGGCAAGCATTCTGTATTCGTCCGTACAGCTTCCAGAACTTCTCCATATGCTCACGACCTCGGACAATTCACAGTCTCACGCCAGGTCAGTTCCAAATCCCTTTGTGCTGCCCTGTAATCATGACCCTGTCCCATGCATTCCCATACGATCAATGTAATGTCAAGCTGGCGAAGCCTTCCGGCAAACTTCATTCAGGGTGCCGGCAAGAGTAAAACGGGTCTACAAGGGATATGCGCCTGTGGTGGGATTCTGATAGCTGTTTCGCAACCATGGTGAGCGCGTAAGGCAATATTCAACGTGTAATTAGGCCAACTTTCAAGTTGGGGTCGAGGGCAGGGCGATTACTGACCGTTGTGTAGGGGAAGCAAGGGTTCCTGCCCCAATATCTGACGAATTTGCTGCTGCGCCAAGAGACTAAACCACCTTGGTTGGATGTGACGATACAGCCAGTACAGCCCCGGCACGCACGCGACGAGAAGAGCAAGCAGCGCGATTGTGTTGCCAATCGAGAGAGCCATTTGAACCACGATCAACCAAAAAGGCAGAGGCGCGTTGGCGGTCAGGCGGAGGTGCTTGTAGTGGATGATGGCCGTTTTTGGATATGATCCAGTATTGAGGGCAACTTAGAAGGTGAATGGCCCTGGAAAAAAAACTCAGGGCTGGCTTGGGAAGGTGACAGAGTGGCATGAGTACATTTTGTATTCTACGCCAAATCTGGAGTTGGCGATCGAATATGTCACTCGGTGTAATTTTCTTCGGTCGAGGTCCTCACGGTCGCAGGCCGTGCCAGATTTTGGACAGAAATCTAGCCAAAATCTGATGCAAGCCACCAGATATTGGAGATGGTATCACAGGCAAAGGCCAGTCTTCCAAGATAACACCCTGCTATTGGGACAAAAGTCCGCATTTCCCTTTGAAGCTATTCCGTAGTGGATCTAGGGACCCGATCCCATGTCCTTGGCCGAGCGCTATCTTCATCTTTTTACCTCCTCTTCCTTTGCTTGCTCTTCGGGTTGGATTTTGCGCTGAGACGCAGAGACGCCTGGACTCGGCGTGAACAAGATGTCTTTACGGGGCCGAGGGCCAGCAGGCACATGTGAACGGCCAGATTTTGGACAACTATCCCCACACGGCTCAAGGTCAAGGATATCCGGGCAAGAAATTGGACCAGCTAGGCCAAGTAGGATATAGCGAAGCTATTCACGTCACAAAGGCCGCGCATGCTTGAGCTCCACCCTTCTCGTTGTGATTCGCCAGATATTGGACATAGGGCAGTGATTGGAGGTGTTCCCGATTAGCTTCAACTGTATTCCGACCACACATTGCTTTTCCTTCGTCATCCTTGGTGCGCGAGGCATACAAATATCCCGCTGGCTTCGCCGTGAGGTGGTCCGAGATTGGCCAGCCCCTCGCACATACACCATTCTATCTAACACACTCTTTTTTGTTGCATATTTGCACATCCTCTGCTATGGCCAGCATCCCACCTCGCCAACGACTCGATGACGCCCCGCACGTCTGGCTGGAGCACAAGGAGCTGATCCGACAGCTGTACATAGGGTGCGAAGGGAGGAAAGGGGGCACCCTTGATCAGGTTCGAGAGACGCTGGTGGAGAAACACAATTTTCCTGAAAAGCCGTATGTAACATTATCGTCACAAACCGAGGTATTCAATTATGACAGACACATTTCACTGATACTTCTCGTCGGCAGTCTTTCTATTTACGAGACCAGGCTTCGAGATTTGCTCGGCCTGAGGAAAAGACTGCGTGCATCAAAGGGCGAATGGGCCCTGGTCGCACATCACCGTCACAAGATCCAGGGCGATGGGGAAGTCCCAAAAGTCTATATCCATGGCAATTTTGTTCCACACCGCAAGATCCAGAAAGAGATAAACAGGAACAAGGCACGCCTGGCGTGTGTAGGTAGGTGCTCCAGTGCGATTTCCACACCAGTCCTCAATCTCTCGGAACTGAAAGCATGAAGTCCACCAAGGCGCGCTTTCCACTCAAGTGATGTTGAACAGCTCCTTGTCCCTTTTAACCAAGCGCGGGTCCGCCCGAAGTGCCTGTGTGGCAGCCGTTGCTAATCTCATAATCGCAGACTCAGGTCGGGTTTCCGGTTTGCTACCACCAAGTGTTACTTTCGAAGGTATGAGCGCGACACGCTCCCAGCCGTCGTCGAGAAATGTATTTGCTCCCATTATATCAAAACCTCCGACCAGGACTTGCCCAGAGCTCCCCGTCCACAGAGGCTTGGGACAATGTACTGCTCAAGTTTCTTGGGAGACTCCCGCCGTGGCTGCAAACGACGGGAAGAAGGTAGACTTCTCGTGCCACGCGGTACCGGCGCCGCAAAAGCACGCACACTCCAGCCTTGTTCTTGCCCAGTATGGCGCGCGCAGGAGTTTGTCGACCGGCAACCAACTCACTACAAATCAAGCAGAAGAGTTTAGCTTCACGGAGGCCGATCTATGGCCCCACGGTTGGGCCGGAGGCAGTTCAAATCTGCCCATCAATGACCCCTGGAAGCAGTGGAAGAAGATGTGTTTCGAGGACATGCCATTTCTACAGCTCTTGGCACTCATGCAAGGTTGGTCTATTGCCATAGCGTCCTGTCACGACTCAGACTAATCATCGCCAATGGTAAATCCAGACCCCGAGCAAATTCGAAGCCCGCGATGTGGACGACGCTCTCTTTACAGTGACGCTCCGCGTGGAGCTGTGGGCGACATACCATCATCCGCTTTTCGAAGCCATGATGACTACCTGCAAGCTCCTGGTGCAGTCTCGTGGGAAATCAACCCGTTCCACTTCCTCTCGCGGGCCATCTACAGACTTGGGAACCAGCTCGTCAGCCTGCTGAACCCGACTCGGGAGGACGAGTTTATGCGCCAACTGCTCTTTTCTCGAATATCGCCTGCGGTACTTGCGCTGATCCTGCAGAGCGGAACGGCACTTGCAAGCGCCGCCCTCTTTGAATTGATGAAATCGACAACTGTGGTCTACACTGAGGGATCGCTCTCATTTCGTGCTGGCATGTTCGTGGCACCCGCGAGTCTATCCATTGAAGCCATGGCTTCTGGCTCGCAGTCCTCGAATTGCCGCCCTGGATTCCTGGAAAACTTATTGGGGTCGTTGCGAGCGGATGTCAACCTGGCAGTTCTCGTGGCGAGACTTCTGTTCCCGCTCGCTGGAAGGCCACTACATGATGTATCTCTGCATGCCTGCCTCCGCTGGTTTCAAATCCATTGGAAGGACTGGACTGACAACGACTTGGCGGAGCTGCACAAGGGCATTTCGAAAGTCATCATAGCAACGGGCCACACCACGACTTTCAAGGCTGTCTACAACATGATGCGTCACTGTGGATTTCCAGATACCATGGTCCAAGACTTGCGCCTGAGGCACGACCGGGAGGAGCGGAAACGTGCACTTATGTCGACCTGGCTGGCGAGTGTCGGTCGACACACCTTAGCCGCCATTGGTCTGCATGATTGCGGAACACGATATCGGCAGTGTGCTCTGCGCATAGATGGAGGCATACAGATGTGCAAAGCAGTGTGGGACATATTACATGAAATGGAGGGATACCGCAAGGACGAAGTTCATCAACACTTTGCCGCCTACAGGGCCGACGGACAGGAGAACGACGACGACGACGACCCTACATCCACAGAGAGTGCTCACCAGCATCTCCTGGGTTATCTTGTTTGGTCCGGTTACAACGAATATATGCCTCACCCCAGAGTCGTGTCACTGCAGAGGTTGATGGTTAGGTCTGTCCTACAGCTTGCGCAGAAATGGCCCGACCAGAAGCTGCTGAGCTGTGTCATGCTATTCCGTCACGCAGGTGCCTCATTCTGTCAGGAGAGCCTCGCGTGCGCCGCATCCGGCGAGAACGGGGCCGAGGTCCTGAAGCAGCTCAAGGCCATAGACCCTGATGTTGACATTGCAAAGCTGGGGGCCTATGCTGTCGCCATCGCTGCCAGACACAACAATCGAGAAGCAGTGGACTGGCTTCTGGAGCAGGGCGTCAGCTTGAGTACGCCCATCCGTAAAAGGCACCACCTCCAAGATTACACGATCTTGTACGCGGCATTGGGCCCTATCGAATTCGCGTTTGAAGATCGGTTAAGAACCGGCCCCGCGCCAATCGAGATGCTGCAGCTCCTTGTTGACCGCGGGGCACGTCTGCGGTATATACCGGGCGAAGCCCACCATTTCAACTTTCTCCATCGCTTCATTGAACGTCATGTTGACGACCGCGAAAGTCACAAAAAGGTCCTGCAGGCTTTACAGCAATGGTGCGACATTGCAGACCTCCATCACCCAACAGCAGGCATTCTTCTCGAGGCTTGCGCAAAATCGTGCAACTGGATCACACTCACGTGGCTACTAGACAGACTACGAGACAGGAAGGTGTCCTTGGATGACGGTTCTGCTGTTCTCGCGCGCGCGGTATGGTCACACGCTCCAGACGACATCATCCAGCGGCTGCTTGACGCGGGTGCCTGCGTGGATGCTGCGGGAGACGATGGCGCCACAGCCGTCATGCAAGCGTGCTCGTGGGCGAACCTCGCTCTGCTCAAGCAGCTGGTGGGACTGGGTGCAGATCTACATGCTCGCGACAGGGAGAGAAGTACAGCACTACACTACGCATGTGGCGCGTATACGCGTACCAGCCACGAGGCCGCGCTGCAGGCTGAGCTGGTGCAATACCTCCTACACCAGGGGGTCGATTACCGAGAATATGACAAGATGGGGGAGACGGCCCTGGACATCGTTGCTAGCAACGGCAACGTCGAGCTCGCCATCTTGTTGCTGGACGACGGGGCCGACCCCAATGGCCTCCTCCCTGGCATTGGATATTGTTCCGCCTTGGACAGAGCTGCAGGTCAAGGAAGTCTGGACATGGTGAAGCTGCTGCTCAACGTCGGGGCAGTCAGTGCCGAGCAAGAGAGAAGCGCCTTTGACGGTGCCATACGATGGGCGTTGCGCGGGCAGCATCACGAGATTGTCAGTCTTATTCAGCAACATGCTGGGCTGCGAGAAATGGACAACTTTGAGCCATGGAGGAGATCTTCGGGCGAAAAGGACTGGACCGAAATCGTCACCTACAAGCAGCGAAGAAAGCAGGTAGAGCAGGCCTATCGTCATCGCACAGGCCTGGCCTAGGCGTAGACGCGCCGCATGAAATCTGGAAAGAGTTCCATCTTATACATGAGATCGGTCACTGCGATTGAGTTCTAATTTCTTACTGACCCACTCTCCTTGACATCTTGCGCCATTCCTCTACTTGTCGTTCTATTTTCCTCACTCATTGCATTTCAATCACTCGTGCAGTGCTCGATACTCGTCGACGACACCAGCGTAATCCCATGGCTTGTAGGCCCGGAACCATTCTTGAAACACCGAGCTCTTGCGCCGCACCTTGAGCCCGAGGTCGTTCATCAACATATCAGCATAGGGCACCGAGTCGAACGACATGTCCGGAACCTGGCGGCCGTAGCTGCACGGGTGGCGCCATTTGCCAAACTGCGTGTGCAGCATGATCTCGTCCACGACCGCCTTCTCATCGGTGGGTGGTGCGCGTCGGAGCTTGCCGTCAAAGAAGGCCGTGATCCACAGCCCCTGGAGATGGGAGCTGATGGCCGTCGAGAAGGGCGAGATCAGGCCGGCAAAGGCAATGTTCCTCGCCGCGACGCCCTGCGAGGGGACAATGAAGCGGTAGTTGCGGAGGGGCTCGTTGGCAGCGTCCTCGCCCCGCGTGGCCGCCTCGTGCTTTGCGTCCTTCTCCCGCCGGGCGATCTGCTCGGGCCGCAGCTTCGGCTGGTCTCTGAGGATCGGGAACCTTGCCAACAGCTGCTGGTCCGCCTTTTTGATGAGCGCCTCGCGCTCTTCGCCCTTCTGCGCGAGACCGGGCTCGAAGCCGACAAACCGGAACGGGAGCGACGTCTTCTTCCAGCCCGTCGCGCACACGACGACGTCCGTCTCGATCTGCACGCCATTGTCCAGCACCACCTTGTTGCCCTCCAGCCTCGCCACCTCGGCCAGGTGCACCCTGATCTTGCCCTCGCGCACCAGCGCCAGGCAGTCCTCGTCGTAGTTCCAGATGCCCAGCTCGCTGCCCACCCAGAGCGCGCCGTTCCAGGGCATCAGCTTCTTCGTCTCCGGGTGCCGGCCGAGCCCGGAGCTCTGCTGGACGTCGGAGCCGATGACGAAGAAGAGCAGGCGGACCAGCCAGTTGCCGAGGAAGGTGGCCTGGAGGAAGCGGCGCACCCACGAGTAGCCGTCCTCGTCCCCCCAGGGGCAGGGGCTGAACCAGGACAGGGCGCGCGTGAGCACGAGGGACTCGACCTTGCGCTTGAGCGGGGTCGCGTAGACGTTGCTCATCCACACGGGGCCTCTGCCCGAGGGGCGGATCAGCAGGTCGACGCCGCCGGTGCAGACGTCCGAGGTGGCGAAGGCGTAGGCCGCGTCGATGGCCGACTTGGCGCCGCCGACGACGACGGCGTGGCGGGCGGTGGCGAGGATGTCGCGCCGGTTGCAGAAGTCGCGGGCGTGGAAGAGGGGCGGGGTGAAGGACTCGGCGCCGGGGAAGGTGGGCATGTTGGGCTGGGAGGTGAGGCCGGTGGCCACGATGAGTCGCTTGGCATGGATGCGGGATGTGGTTGAGGCTGTGGACGGTGAGGAGGTGGTGATGATCCAGCCTCCTCCTCCTCCTCCTCCTCCGTTGTTGTTGTCAGGGACTGCCTCGGCCGACTCGACCCTGGTGTTGAAGCGGATGTGCTGCAGGACGCCAAAGTGCTCTGCGTAGTCGGTGAAGTAGCGGTGCATGACCTCTGCGGGGATGTGCTTGCCTCTCTCGAGGCCGTACTTTGCTCTGTCCATGCGGAAGTCTGGGTATTCATACGAGCTCCAGACGTTGTTGGTCTTGAGGCCCGGGTACAACCGGTCGCGCGACCACGTCCCTCCACATGTTGCCTCGGACTCGATGACGAGGCGCGACTGCTCTGGGTGCAGGGCCAGGTGTGTCTTCGCAGAGGCGAGCCCGTAGAGCCCTGTTTGTGCGTTGTGCGGTGTGGTGTCAGTCGAGAGTCCTTGCAGAAGGAGGAGATCAGGACAGCCGCGTACCTGCGCCGATCACGACAAGATCAAATTGTTCGTCAACGCGAGTCGCCATGGTTGTTGGCTGGCCTGGTGTATGGTGTTGTGGGTTCGGGACAGCAAAGAGTTCAACACTTTGCCAACTCGGTGCGGTAGCAGAAATCATTTAAATGGCCCGCCGGCCAATCTGGCCCCAGAAGCAGTTCCGGAATATTAGCCTTGTAGGGTCGATGCGTGCGGTCAGTGCCCTGCGCGGGCTGACTGCATGTGGTGAGACGAGCATTTCAGCCCTGGAGAGCCCAAACACACAAGCAGGACAGCGCTGCCTGCCAGCCTAATTATTCCTTGCCTCTGCACTCCTGCATCTGCAGTTCTGGCGGCTGGGGCATGCCTGATTGCAACTGCAAGTCATGTACAGCTGTGGAGGCGTGCCACAACATGCCCTGGTCCGCCAAGATCTGGCACTTTGGTGGGAGCCTGGTCTACGAGGTGGCTGACATCCATTGGCCTTCGCATTTACAAAACAGATTTAGAGTTTTCTTCCATCGTTAGCACACCGTTGCGGAGAAAGCAATGATGCTGGGAAAGAACCCCTGCCAACCTTGAAATCATCCAGATAACAGCGCGCATCAAAGCATAGGAGACATGCGCGTGGCTTGTGATCTTTATTTCTATTTTGGTACTAGTGTCCCGCCTCTGCAACCGCCAGCCATTTTGTGTTTCCATACCTTTATGCTAGCATCGCGGGGGTTCGGACATGTAAGCAACGGTGCAGGCCGTCTGCTGTAGTCCCTTGTGGCTCACGTAAGCGCTACAGCTCGGGATCTGTGTTACGGTTTGCACCGTGCCCGACACGGTTAGCGTCGTGCACGTCAGGATTGACACCGTGCACGACACGACCGTCTGGCCCAACCCAGACATTTGCACCCCCGTGGCTGACCTAAGGTCACACGTATATATAAGACGTTCAACAGGTCGTAGATAACCTTAGAAAGGACAAGCTTTACCATTACTACATTTTGTACTGCTTCGCAACCATTAACTACCGAGACGTCTTAACTGACTGAACGAAGGGAAACCTTAACAGCTACTAAGTACGACACTCGACGCTTCTTCCAGAAGCGCGTCTCGGGAGGCTTCAAGATCTCTAAGGTCCAATAAAGCAATCGACCGGACGCAGCGGGGTCAGCTTCTGGCGGGCGATCTGCTGCGTGGCTGGGATTACGAGGTGAAAGAGGAGTCCACTTAGCCCTAGCGGGGGTTGGGGGGACTGGGAGTTCCCTGAATATAACGTATTACTTGACGAATAATTATCATTTAAAAGTACTATACTTAGAAAATACTCTTCTTTCAATAGTGCTATACTTTCAGGGAAAGGGGCTATAGCTTATATTACTTACTATCTTTGACGTAAATCTCGATAGAAGTATAATAGCGTTAAGAATTATGACTAATCAGGAATTCTAAACTAATACTAGGAGGAGGGGACTGCTTAGTATAAGTCTGCTATCATAACTCTGTACGGAACATGCAAGACAGCGCTCCTTACTTGGCCTCCTCGCCATCCTTCTTGACCAGCAGTCGGAGCCCGTACAGGCCGTCGCCAACATATAATTCCTCGCGCTTGGCTGACTCCGGCACTTCTTGACCGTCCTTCTTGACCAGCAGTCGGAGTCCGTACAGGCCATCGCCAACATACAAATCCTCGCGCTTGGCTGACTCCGGCATTTCTTGACCGTCCTTCTTCACCAGAAGTCGGAGTCCGTACAGGCCGTCGCCAACATACAAATCCTCGCGCTTCCTGTTGTCCTCCTCGCCCTTCTTGATGAGCACCGACTCCTTATAGAGGGGCTCGGCCTTCTCCCTCTTAGCGAAAGTTCCTGGAGGGGACAGCTCCCTCGGCTGGGCCTCACGCGCCTGGATGTCTACGTAAGCCATTGGAATCTGATAAATGAGGAAATTTGAGGGCTCACGTCTACTGGGGCTGCAGCGACGACGGACCAAATGGTGGCCGAAGCTATGACAAGGAGAGCGGAGCGCATTTTCGAGTTGGCTTTGTCACGAGGACGACTGCTTGTGGAGTGAGAGCAAAGAAGGAATCCGGTTGAGATGAGATGGGAGAAACAAATCGGACGGGAAATGCCCAGGCACCCAATGTCGACAGTCTATATAGGTCCGTCGGCCATCAGCCAGCTCTATCGCTCGGGGACAGGTTTGGTATCAACCAGCGGGCTTTTCCCTGCTAAGAAGCTGAAGGCTCTCAACGTTGTGTCGATCATGTACCTCGTAATATCGCCGAATCATTTGTTCGGTCGCAGGCTGCACGACGTTTTTCTCCTTCCGTTCTGAGCCAGGCCGCTGCGTGATGATAGCGACAGATATGCACACCTCCTAGTAATGGAAAATCTGATTACCTTTCGGATAATATCGTATACGCTGCTGACTCGCTGCTTGCTGGCTTTCAATGTGGATCGATTGGCGTCGAAGACCGGGGTGTGCTCTCGTATTGCGTCTCAAGAAGGCAGGTGGACGTGCGATAGTGTCAGCCGCAGTGCGGGGACGATTTCCGAAATGCAAGTTTGGCTGTAAGCGCAAGGGATCTTCTGTTAAATCGCTTTCCCCTTATAAGTTTTGACGTGGAGACGATCCAGACAATGAAGTTTCAGCACCGAGCACTCCATCCAGAGATAGACTATCTTCCACCTGTCCGCCACTGCTCATTAGGGTCTTTGGTATTTTAAGCTCTGGTGAATATTTATTCACTGAAACCCGGTCGCATTTTTCTTTAACTAGAGGCTAGGCTGGCGACAAGATGTATCCGAGGAGCGAGCCCAAGTACGACCGCCTAAACTCATCACCAAATTCCTCTAGCTCGTCGGACATCGGTGAGAATGAGCGAGAAGCGTTTCTCGGAGGTCAGCTGAAAACTAAGAACCGGGAGGGGAAGTCAAGGACACTCCTTCTGCTGTCGATCTGTAATGGCATCGTCTTCCTAGCCTCACTCAGCCTGTTCTCGACATGGTACTACCGAAGCCATATGCTGCTCAATGCCCAGCTTCGCCAGACTTCAACCTATAGTAAGCACTTGCTGCAAGACATGTATATGTCGAACACACTCAGTTAATTGATCGAATTCAGGTCCCATTCACGACATATTCGACCTAGGCATGCAAGCAAAAAAGATCAATGGCACATTGTTCCCCTCAAAAGAGTCGCCGTCAATCGCACGACACTCGCCTAGCGCAGAGCTCGACGACATCTGGAACGAATGGGAGCTCACGAGAGTCTACCCTGTGACAGCCGCTCAGATACGCTCTATGGGCAAGGACCCATCGACGGCAGCCAAGCTTGAGGACGACGTCTGGGGATTAGGCGACGATGCTTATGCCGCTATCTTCGACGTATACCACCAGTTACATTGCCTTAACTTCCTGCGCAAGCTTATCTACCCATCGTACTACAACACATCCAACTGGCATCACGCCGACGTAGAGGGCTTCTTTGAGATCCATATGAACCATTGCGTGGTGAGTCGCCCCAATCCTCTCTTGACCTTGCTTAATCTCGCTAATTGACGACTTGCCAGGATATCGTGATGCAAGCCATCCAATGCAGCGGCAACGTCAACCTGATAACGCTGCATTGGGTCGAGACGCAGCCGTACCCTTTCCCCGACATGAGCGTGAATAGGCAATGTGTCAACTTCGAGGGGTTGACACAGTGGCGGCTGGACAACACCATCGACATGGACAAGTACGGGCTAGTTATGCAGAAACCTAAGGGTGTGAAGCAGCAGCCCGCTCCTGAGGGCTACTATGAAATGTTTGGCAACAAGACGGACTCTGATCATACCCATGAGGGACATTCTTCTCACGAGATGGCCGTTGGAAGAGAACGCCATGGCCCTTACTGACCTCTTATGGCCCTTCAGTGTCGCCTGCAGCGTGTCAGTCCCCGCATTCCACAGCCGGACCTTCTTGTTTCCCGATGCCCGAGCCGGTCGTCGGGCGTGAACGCTACGCCGGTAACCGTTATCCCTCACCCATGTTGGGGGTTATGCTCTTTTTCCAGCACGCCACGGCCAGCCAGCATGCCGTGGCATGCACAATACTGGTAGTAGATTGCCCTTGGCTAGGATCTTCCCCAAAGGACAGGTTACGATCCTCAACTTCTTCGCCGAACTGGCCTCACTCCTTGCCCTCCTTGCCCAAAGACTTTTCGCACATTTAGCATAATGCAGAAATAAAGGTCCTTTGATTGGTATCTTGCGATTATCTCTATATAAGACAACTAGGATAAATGTAGGATAACATATAAGCCGGTTTTGCACCAGTATCGCTTCACCGGGTTATAGGTATTTGATAAAGCTTCAATATTGGTGTGGACTTATCCAGGCGTCTCCACAAATTATAGGGTGCAATAGCCGTTATCGCCCACTAACGAACCTCTTTTCAGGTTCCCCACAAATTGTAGGGTACAATAGCCGTTATCGTCCATTAACGAACCTCTTTTCAGGTTCCCGTGAGATAGGGAACTTTACCGATCCTTAACTTATCTAAGATGGGGATTGCGCAAGTGGATAAATTTAGGCATTCACCCACACCACGACACTTCGGACAGGCATGAGCTCAAGAGTCAATCCAAAATGAAGGGACTAATTGGCATCTTGTTAGCAACGGTCCTCGGGACAAGCCAGCCTGTGCGCGGTGCACAAGCACCCGAGGCGACTGGTCTTGCATTCGCGGTGCCTCCACCTACTTCCAATGGCGGGCAAGCCTGGAAAGACAGCCACTCCAGGGCTTTAAAACTGCTCGCCGAAATGACCCTGCAAGAGAAGGTTCGTGGGAAACCGCAATCCGACATGTACCTCGGATTGGCGAGATTAACAAGAAGTTTCTCCACAGATCAGCATGGTTACTGGACAACGCGGACCATGTGCAGCGAACTCCGAATCCATAGAGCGGCTTGGAATTCCCCGGATGTGCTTCCAAGATGGGCCTGCTGGCGTTCGGCCTGCCCTCGGCCATACACAGTTCCCGTCAGGCATAACTACCGCGGCAACTTGGGACGTTGAGCTCATCTACAACCGATCTGTTGCATTAGCACAGGAGTTCTATGACATGGGTGTCCATATTGCTCTTGGAATGACTACCGGTATGTTTCACTAGAAGTGTTTTACCGGAACGACAACACTCAAACTTCAAATGCTAATCCTCCTAGGTGGCCCGTTGGGTCGGTCTCCTTACGGTGGCAGAAACTGGGAAGGCTGGTAAGTCCTCGGGTCCGTCAAGCGATCAAGATCTAACACTTCCAAGGTATGCCGATCCTTATGGTACTGGAGTGGCTAGCTTCTACGGAACGAAAGGGTTCATCGACGTGGGCATGCAATCTTGTGCCAAACATTACACAGTCTACGAACAGGAAACTTTCAGGTATATCCCAATCTTTCTTGGTGCTAGAAGACGCTCCAGAATATCGCTACTAACTGTCCCCAAAGAAATCCCTTCAATTTCACCGAGCCGTACAGTGTCTACAAGGCATCGGAACAGGTTCCCATATCGAGCAATGTGGACGACAAGACCAACCACGAAGTTTACTTGTGGTCCTTTGCAGAGGCAGTGCGAGCAGGCACCACGCATGTGATGTGTGCCTACAATAGCATCAACGGGACGCATGCTTGCGCAAATTCCGAGTCAAACAATTTGCATCTCAAGGGTGAACTGAACTTCCAGGGTGCCCTTATCAGTGACTGGGGAGGTAAGTATTACCCGATACCGCATGGTTCGTTTGGCTGGGATCTAATCGTGGGCTAGGCACTTGGGGAACCGAGGGATTCGTCATGGGAGGATTAGATCTGAACCTGCCCGGCCTGGGTTATGGTAATATTTTGGGTAACTTCTACGACCAAGAGCTATACCAGATGGTGCTGAACGGGACCATTCCCGAGTCAAGGTTGGACGACATGGTTGTGCGTGTTCTTGTGCCTCTTTTTGCGAGCGGACAGTACGACAAACCTATTCCATCCACCGTCATCAATTCCGTCGGCGCAGCCAATTGGCCAGAGCCTGCGCAGTATCGAAATGTGCAGAAAAGGAGCACCGTTGAACTCATTCGAAAAATCTCGGCGGACGGGACTATCCTCCTCAAGAACACTGGTGGCTTGCCATTGAAAGCGCCCAAAAACATTGCAATCATCGGACAGGATGCTGGGCCCAATCTGCTTGGTATTCAGGGCTGTGGAAAGCTCTTCCGAGACTGTGACATATGGAACAACAACGGAACCCTGAGTCTCGGTGGTGGATCTGGGTATGCCTGGCCGAATAACCTCATCACACCTCTTGAGGCCATTCAAGCCAAGGCGCTCGAAACGCAGGCGCTTGTCCAATTTGTGCTGAACAACACGGCCACCAATGCCATCGACTTAACCATCACAGGACGTGCTCTACCCATGGGCCAGCCCGACGTCTGCCTTGTCTTCGCGGAGCGATATGTTCGTGAAAACATGGACAGGAATGACCTTAGCCTCAATATCGGCGAGTGGACCCACTCCGAAGATATCATTCTCCAGACGGCGGCCAAGTGCAACAACACCATTGTGGTTCTGCATATCCCTGGACCCGTCATCATGGAAGCTTGGATCGACAACCCTAACATCACAGCTGTGGTTGCACCCCTTCTACCGGGAGAGCAAACAGGCCCGGGACTGGTTGATGTGCTCTGGGGCCACGTCTCGCCCAGCGCCAAACTGCCCTTCACCATTGCCAAGGCGGAAAAGGATTACCCTCCAAATACCATTTCGTATGATATAAGCGTTACACCACAGGCGGATTTCACCGAAAAGCTGAAGATTGACTATCGGTGGTTTGACTCGTATAACATTACTCCCCGATTCGGTAAGCACTTTCCCTTTGGACTGCAAAGAAGCTCAGAGCTGATAAATCAATATGAAGAGTTCGGCTTTGGCTTGTCGTATTCGACGTTCGCCTATAGCGAGATTAAGAGCGATCCCACTGAAGTTCCTGACTCGACGTCCGTGCAGAAAACCAACGAATCATTTGTTGGCCAGCAGGATGGTCAATCGATCTACGATATGGTCCTTACAATAACCGCAGAGATTACAAACACAGGTCGTTGGACCGCAGCGGAAGTTGTTCAGCTCGTACGTTTCCCGTCTATCACTTAATATGGGTCAACATGAATATACTAACTGCCGGGCAGTATGTGTCCTTCCCCACAGCAGAAAACCAGCCACCCAACGTGCTTAGAGGATTCACGAAGCTGAAGAACATGAAGCCTGATGAAACTCGAACTGCATCATTCCCGTAAGCTGACCCTCTATTTCAACATTGCAACCGATTTACTTTCCAGCATTTATAATTGAAATAACGGATGCTGATCAAATTTCTAGAATTCGCCGTAAAGACGTAATGGTATGGGATGTGGTTGTTCAGAAGTGGAGATACCCGGCTGAGCAAACCGTTACTTTCAGAGTGGGGTCGAGCTCACGAAAATTACCACTGTCGCTTACGCATAGGTTCTGTCACTGATCCTAGAGAATAGTAGGGATAAATGGAACGAAAACTTGGGATGGAAAGAAGAATATAAACGTGAATTTTCTAGTAAAGTTGGAGCATTTCTATCGTCGTTAATATCGACCAAGGTCATGTGTGGCACCATTACTTTCTTTGCAACAATAGTTGTTACTTGGTCTAGAACCGACCTTGCTCTCCAAAAGAAACATAATTGATGATTATTCGTATATATCATGCTGCTCTTATACCAACGATGAAGTTCAGAGGCGCTTGTCCCTGACCTCAACGGTGAACTGAAACTCAACGAGGTACTAGACACACTGTTTATCAAGTACCCCTTTAATAAGGAGGGCAAATTCGATGAAGCCTTTAATCGCTTCCTAGCTAATGGTCTCGATACTTAATCGACGCGAAGCTGGCTGCTTACTCGAGCAGAGCCTCTGTAAGCCGAATTAATACCTGCTATACAAGATGATGTTTGAACTTACCGCTGATTTTTCAATCTACTACATTAGGCTCACATTTGACGAGACCGTGGCTGCCGAGTCGTTTGATACGTAGGTATCCCGCTCACTACGTAGACTCACATCCTCCCCTACTGACGCTAACATAAGTATGTTCAGATCCACCAGCCTCTTTGTCCAGGTCATGCTCGAGACCATCTGCGACTACGTTAACTCCTAGGCCGCCGTCGACAGCGGGGAGCCCTGGTCCCGCCTTAACGGCGGTATGAAGGTTATTATGGACGCTATAGTAGTCAAGGTAAAGGCCGTCCAGGGAACCAGGCTTATTCACGACACTCCCGTCGTCGCCCTGCGGAACAACAAGGCGGCTAACACAATTACCGTGACTACCCGTATTACCAATAACAAGACAATAATAACTGACTACCGTGCCGTCTTTTGCACAACGTTAATGCCGTGCCTGCAGCGCATGGACATCTCGCAGCTCGAACCCCCCCCCCCCCCCCCATCGATATCCAGACATGTTTCCGCACGCTTGATTACGACCGCGCGACTAAAGTCGCCATCAAGTTCTCTCGGGCCTGGTGGCGCGACTACCTTGACCAGCCCGGCGGCGTGTCGACGGACCTGCCGATCAGCAAGATCGTGTACTCGTCATAAGACGACGACAAGGAGAGCCCCTCGGTGCTGCTGGCCTCGTACTCGCGGGCGCAGGACGCGACACGGATGGGCGCGCTGTTTACCAACAGCGAGGGCAGCAGCAACAAACAACCCCAAAACGACACAGCCAGAGCCCTACGCCCCCGTAGCCACGCAATGCCTCGAGAACATTGCTCAAGTCTGGGCCCGTGCAGAGGGTATCACAAAGCCACCGAGCGTCGAATATCTGCGCGGGCTATACATGGACCATTTCGCCAGCGCGTGGTCCCACGATCCCAGAACAGCAAGAGCATGCGTGTGGGTGCGCGAAGCGCTTCCGTGCCTCGCGAAGGAGCAGTTGCCGCGTCTTTTCTTGGCTTGCAATCGCCTCTTGCCTTTGATCTGGCTACTTGATATGACGGGATTGCTGTGGGGGCTGGTGGCGGGCCGTGGTGCTGATCTAGCAGAATGGCGGCGTCGTGGTGGCGAGAGCCATTGAACAACGTCGGCTGTGTCGCCACTCATACCGGGCCTGCCTACCAGCCAACGCCAATGGCAGCATTGTGAGGCTTGCTGGAAGCATGATGCGGCGACAAAAGTATGGGGGCAAAGATGGAGGAGCATGTGGAGAGCTTTTGCTAGTCATGCGAAGTGATGTTGAGGTGAGGTGTTGGTGAGAAAGGCGACGGTGGTGGCGATGAGGGAAGTAATCGTGGACCACGTAAGCACGCCGTTTGCTGACCGCGGCGACCTGACCACTCCACAACTGGCAGCACGACTGCACCTCTTGCCGCAAGTAACACCAAGAAAGAAAAAAGAGCAAAAAGGGGCAAAAAAGGGGGGTGCAGAACCTAGCGAGGGTATTGCCTTGCACACTTGGCGACTCGAAATGCCGGACTCGGCCCTCCGACCAGATCAGTGTGTTGTGACTTAATTCCAACCACTAGGCCAGACGAGGATTGCAACATGTCTTTGAACCCTCTGCCCTGGCTTGGCTGTCTGTACCGGGGATGACTCTTGGTTGGGCTTATAAGGTCTTGCCCTGGAGCTAGGTGCTGTGATTTCCAGTCCCAGTGTCCATATGCTGCCTGTGGACGCCGGAGAGTGCTCATCATGGCGGCGGCCACAAGCGTACGGGTGTATTGTCTCGACATCTTAAACACGTATGCTTGCGATGAACCTCGTTCTTTGACCTACTCGAGCTGGGTGTTCACGACCTGTCCATGAACATGGGATTATCAAAGGCACAATGCCATCTGCCAAAGTCCAGGAAACCATTATGCCTCTAAATATTGTTGCGTAGATCTCGAAGATAGCGAGATGCAGTCTGCGTTCCGTGTGTCAAGCTCCATGTTGGAGGATACACCGAGACATCAAGGCTGCCACCGTCTTGAGGGAATTGATCTCATCTCAGCCCGACTCGCACGCGAGACACTCCTCGCCACTTTCAATGACCACGCTCCCTCCTGTACGCCAGATCTTGACCGCAAAGTCCCGCTCGACCCTCTTCCGCTCCTCGCACGTCACACACTCTGCCTCCTCCTCTCTACTGATGATCGCCGCGATCTTGGCAGACTCCTCCGCGGTCGCCTCGTACGTGCCCGGGCGCTGCTGGAGCGCATCATCGACTGCCGCGACCCACCAGTTCATCTTCCCCGCCGACGAGAGAGCATAGTAGTCCGACCTCAGGTGGTCGAGCCGTGCGTGCGGAGATGTGGTCTGTGGGTAGTACACCAGCGGGACGACACGCGATGTTGGCAGAGGCGGCGTCAGCGCTTTCGTCGCCGCGTTTGCTTGGGTACTACTACTCTTCGTGGTGGTGGGAGACTTGTTGCCTTTGGCGGCCTTGTTGGATGTCTTTCTGAGTTGCTTCTTGCTTGCTGCCGTGGCCGGGCTGAGGCTTGCAAACTTCGGGCTCGGAGTGACTTGGACGTCTGCTAGAAATGCTGCTGCCGCCGATGCTGCCGCTGCCGCATGATTTACATCGACTTCCTTCTCATAGCACTCGTCACAGCTCGCGATCCTGCGGGCGCGAAAGTGCTCAGACCCGTGGCTGTTCGCGACTGCAGGCTCGCGCAGGCGGAAGTTGCGCGACGCCATCGCCCGATCAGCGTGCGTCTCGTCATGTTCGGCGCTGCGGCAGAAGCACAGGTCCTGCCCGTCCGGGGTGTCATATACGTCCGTCGGTAGCTGTCCGCCTTCGCGATTATCGTCGTCTTCGGCGCCATTGCCATTGTCAGAGTTCAGATCCGGGTCACTCGTCGTGCAGTAGATGCAGACGGCCTTTGGGTTGGGTGAGCTCTTTGGGGTGGCCAAGAAGCAGTTCCGAGGCCGGATGTTGGCGCAGCCGCCGTGCCGTGGGTCGCAGAGCATGCCTTGCATTTCGAGTCAGTTTCTTCATACCAACCAGAGACGGGCTATCGAGGAGGAAAGTGCATGGTGCATGCAAACGAAAATTGCGCTGGCAGTTGGGCTTCCAGACATACTCTGGGCATCCATCTTCTCAACCGCGATGGTGATCACGTCCGTGGCTGGATCCGCCAGCTGGGTGCGGCGTGCGCTCTTTGGTGTCGAAGAGGCGGTCATTTTGTAGCCACTACTACTCGTATCCCCGAATGCTGAGCAGCCAATATGCTGCGCTTGTTCCGCGTGCGTGATTTTGCTCTATCCAGACTTTGGTAGACTTCGCAGTGATCGTAAGGTCTGACAGTGGTGTTGCAAGAGAAGTATCGGTCCTGGGCATGTAAGAACTCTGCCGGTCATACGTGGTTTGAACGCCGATCATGATCAAATACGAGATTTTATAAAAGCCACAGGCAAGCGCGAGGTGAAAGTAGACTGCATGTTCATGTCTCGAAGCCCATCGTTTCCCCAGGCAGGAACTTGCGCCGCGGCCCTGAACGTGTGAAAAGGGATTTTTGGGTGGCGCTGGTAAGCTTGAAAACAAATCCCCAGTGCTACAATATTGCTCCGTCCAGCGAGGGACCTTCTCTTGAGTTGAAACTACTCGCCGCAAGCTGTTGGGGGCCAGCCAGATCTCCTCTTTGAACCCGTTTCTCAGACTTGACTTGGCTGGCCCTTGTATTGCAGCTTCGTTTGCTCTGTCGGGAGCGAGGCAAGCAACGCGACGCAACAAGCCTATTCCTCGCTTCAGCAGAATATTGAACTGAATATGCCCACAAACACAGAGTACGCGCATCGGCTTTGTAGTTTGCAAGATCCTAAAATTTTTCATTGTCGGTGTTTCTCAAGATCTTATTATGCACACATGGGTAGTTGGAGCATCAGCTTGGTTTTGCCAGCGAGCAAACACATTCCAACAGTAAAGGAACGAGCATGTGCTCTTGCTCCAAACCTGCCGAGTGGGGCTCACATGACAAAATTCTTGCACAGACGGAGACAATGGTTTTGTGCGTAAAGGTTTATTTATGCAACAGCAACAACCAGGGGACAAGGGCAGTTATTCTCGCTGATGCGAGACCACCGACAAGACCAGGTTCACCGAGTGATGTCACGTCGCAATTCCCCGGCCCTCCCGGTGCTGGGCGCCGGACTTTGCCCCCCTGCACTGGCAGGTGCCTACGCAGGATGTACGAGGTCGGACCACCAAGAACTGCACAAGCAAAGTTCTCTGTGGGAAAATCAAGAAACGGCGGTCCGGCGGCTTGGCTCGCTGGGATTCCCCGCAGTCGGACCGCAAATCGTGGAGAAAAATACCCCTGACCGCGACTAGGGTCGGGTCTCCACATGCTCGGTCGATGTCACCCGAGGCCGAGCCAAACCGCTGACTTTTAGAAATGCCGGGCGTGTTGGTCTCTTGCGCGCCAATGCCCGTGGAGAGCGTGGAGACCACCCCCGGGAAGAAAGATTCTGGGGGTGATCTGCCGATGCCAGGGGCCTTTTGGGGATACCGCGCCCATGACGCAGCCAGAGCCGACAGCAAGGTGCAAAGGACTGGCACATGAAGATCCATCCCCAACACGACCTGGTGGACTGGCGGTGTTTACCCCAGGTCGGGGTATATAGCTACTGAGCCTGCGGCCCCGTCTCTTTGTGTACCGTGACTCTTCCACGGGCAGCTCTCGCTCAAGCACGCTCGCCTTTGTTGTCGCCTTGTCCACCAAAGCCAACATGAAGACCTCGTCCACGACAAGCATGCTGCTGTCGCTGCCATTCTTGGCTGCGTCGGCCACTGCTGCCTTTCTCAACCTGCCCAGCAGCGGCCCGACAGAGCCGCGTTGGATGACCAAGGACACGATTGTCGCTCCTGACCGGCGATCCGCCAACTCGTCCGCCTGGCCCTATGGCCCGCTCAACACCAAGGGCCGCGATGTCGTCAATGCGCGGGGCGACGTCGTGCACTGGGCGGGCGTGAACTGGCCGATGAGCGGCGAGACGATGATCCCCGAAGGCCTCGAGTGGGCGTCGGTCGACGAGATCCTAGACCAGGTGGCGGGCGTGGGGTGGAACTACCTGCGGATGGGATACGCGATCGAGATGATTGACGAGATCTACCTGCGCGGGGGCGAGGACGTGCCGCTCGAGGTGGCCATGATCCAGGCGCTGGGGTATGTCAACGGGACCAAGGTGACCAACGAGGTCATCGCGAAGAACCCCGGGTGGACCAAGCAGACGGGCCGCTTCGAGATTTGGAGCGACATCGCCCGGGCAGCAGCGAAACGGGGCATCTTTGTGCACCCAGACGTGCACGTGGGCAAGGCGCAGTGGTGCTGCTCGCACACGGACGGCAACGCGTGGTTCGACGACGTCAACTTCCCCGTCGCCAACTGGCTCCGCGGCCTTTCCTACGTCGCGAAATGGGCACTGGACCACCCCAACGTCGCCTCCATGTCACTCCGCAACGAGCTGCGCGAGAGTTACAACATCACCAACCTCTACTACAACTGGCAGACTCTCGTCGGCAACATGACGGCCGGCGCCGACGCCATCCACAACGCCAACCCAGACCTCCTCATCACCTGGTCCGGCATGCAGTACGACCAGGACCTCTCGGCCCTCACCACCCGCAAGAACATCCTCACCGCCCCCTGCTACAAGTGCACCGCCGTCCGCGACGCCGCCCGCCGCGACCCGGTATACTTTGACCTCGACTCCCACCCCTGGGCCGACAAGATTGTCTGGGAGCTCCACCTCTACACCGGCAGCGAGGACATGGACACGGGCACCTGCGACGTCATCGAGGCCGGGCTCTTCCGCAGCGGCTTCAACGCCCTCGGCATAGACGCGCCCAAGGGATGCGACATCACCGGCGACTGCCCCCCGCCGCAGCGCATCACGCCCGTCATGCTGTCCGAGTTTGGCAACGCCCAGGACGCGAGCCTCTACAACGCCACCCTCCAGAACTGCCTCCAGGACTTTACCCGCAAGCACAACATCTCCTGGGCCATGTGGAGTCTGGCTGGCAGCTACCGCATCCGCTCCGGGGTCCAGGGGCTGGAGGATACTTGTAAGTCTTTTTTCTTAAGGAGATTTTGGTCCCAAGAAAGAGATTTTGGTCCCAAGAAAGACATTGAAAAATTGGCCTGTGGAATGACGCTGACAAAGATGCGACAGGGGGCTTGACCAACTTTGACTGGACTGGCTGGAACTTTGCCGAGGGCATCGAGAAGTACTGGAAGCCTTGGATCCAGGCGACCAACCCGACAAAGCTGGACTAAGGTACACTGAGTGTGGATGCTTTCGTCGCCGCCGTCTTGATGTTCGTAGATGAGTGGAATCAGGCGCTCTGTTCCACGTCGTCGCAGAGACGAAGTAATGATTAGCCGTAATGAGACAACCAACAAAATTTCTTGCACTGGAAGAGCTGTGATCGCACCCGGTCTGTTTCGTTTCAGAACTGGCCTGATAGATTGTGCCAGTGCCAGGGATAGATTCGAGAACCTACCTTGAGGTATTCGGGGACCTCGACGCCTGTGCACAGTGGATTTGGGAGGCTGGCCATGCAACCAATCAGAGCCACCAACCCTTGGCGATAGCGTCATAGGTGCTTCCCGTCTTACTTGGTGGCTGCCTTTCTATCGTGGGATACCGCACCAGACCTCACGTAGACTGCCACCTTCTACCCGTGACAGCAATTATTCCGCAATCGACTTGAGTGCATTCTCACGTCCGCAAAGGATATCATGGATGACCAACACGTAGCGGCACGTAAAGTGCCCATGCGTGTGCTATCACTGGGCTTCTCCCGCACAGCTACCTCTTGTGAGTGACAATTTCTGACAAAAAGGTCTCGCTGCGTCCAGGCGACGACAATCGTCTCTGCAGAACGATTCGCAGACGAAAGGCCGATAAACAAACAGGGGAGCCCTTATTTGGATAGCCGAGCGACTAACATGACTCCGAACTAAACCTCCATCGACACAGCAATGAAAGCCGCGCTAGAGATCCTCCTCGGCGCACCATGCTACCACGCGTTTGAGCTCTACGACCACGTCGACCACTGCGCGACCTGGAACGCCGCGCTCGACGCAAAGTTCTCACCACCTGACCAGCAACAGGGCAGCGGCGGAAAGCTTTTCACGACCCAGGCCCAGTGGGACACGGTGCTGGCCGGCTACGCCGCCGTCACGGACGTCCCGGCCATCTGCTTCGCCGACGAGCTCCTCGCCGCGTACCCGGACGCCAAGGTGGTCCTCGTGCAGCGCGACACGGAGAAGTGGTTCCGCAGCTTCGACGACAACGTGTCCCGCCACCTGTACGACTTTGCGTCGAACCTGGTCGCCCGCCTGGACAGGTGGTACCTCGGCCCGCCCGTGAGCGTGCACCACCGCTGGGCGAGGGGGTGGATGGGCGCGGGGAGCTGGAACGAGATGCGCGTGGTGTCGAGGGGGTTTTACGAGCGGCACTATGAGCATGTCCGCGAGATCACGCCCCGGTCGAGGCTGCTCGAGTATGAGCTTGGGAGCGGGTGGGGGCCGCTGTGCGAGTTCCTCGGGGTCGAGGAGGTCCCGGATGTTGAGTTCCCCCGGGTCAATGAGTCGGCGGCTATGGATGAGAAGATCAAAGGTGTGGTGAGCAAGGGGATGCTTAGTATCGCGTCGCATGTGGTGTTGTATGGCAGTCCGGTTGTCGCCGCGCTGGCTGCTGGGTGGTGGTTTGCCAGTGCGCAGTGATGCAGCAAGCAGGCAGGAAGGATGAGCCGACTCTAGACTCTGGGCAATGTAGAAGCTGCGGCATTGCTGATTTCAGCTTCAAGTGTTTAGGGCGACTAGGCTTGTGTGGAACTAGTAGACTCATGCGGCAATCCAGAGAAGAAGGTCCTCGCAGACCAAGTTGTTGAGAGGAGTGACGGGCTCCCTGCCTGACCCCATCAAAGCGCGGACTGTTGCTGGCCATGCGTATCCGCAGATATCTCTAGGTCCCCGGGTTGGCGCGGCAGATGATGTCTGGGGCGGTTATACTCCGCATTGTCTCGCATTGTGATGAGACAATAACAACGCCAGGCCGCATCGGTGGCGCCCCTATGCCCCATGCGGGCGGCCAGGCCTTGGAGTCTGCTGGGAAAATGGCTGGAAACTTTTTGCCAGCAACAAGTCAAGTGAAACATTTCGTTTGTGAGGCGGGGGATTCTCTCGCTGCGAAACATGCCGACTTTTTTTTTGTTTGTGTTTCGTAAGGGGCATGAGGCGTTGCAACTCGGTCATGCCGCGAGAGACGAATTGTCTGTGAAGAAGGCATGGACGCACGACAGAAGCATACATCACATGACAGACGCACGTAAATACACGAGTAGGGAACCCTGTCCAGAGGGCTGTCCAATGAAAAGGCTTGAGCCATCGGCTTTGCGATCTTGCTAAACCGACATACTTTGTGTACGCATGTTGATATCATGAGCTAGTCTCAGATTGCGGAGTGCAGCCGGATCTAGACTGCAGCGCCTTGACTCCGAGATGGTCAGCAAGTCAATTATGACGTGTGATGCGGGCATTACATATAAAGCAGGTACAGTCATACCCTCCACCACGGGAGACACAAGCCCAGACCCAAGGTCATCACGCCCTCTATCGTCACATTGTGCGGTCAAGCAGGCTTCATAATTACTCACATGCCTGAATCATGCTGTCTTCACCGCCACCGCAGCAGCTCCTGCAGAGCCTCGACCATGTAGCCTTTAGCAATCAAGTCAGTGGCGAGCCACTGGAACTCCGCGTGCAGTTCGCCGACCCGACACCAAATGGTCGCCGGGGCTCCTACTCCTACCGCGGCGTCGACTCCAGCACGTCTCGCGCCGAGCACATCAACGCGCTGACCCGCGTCGTCAACGCGACCTCGGCCGACATCGCCATCAAGAACAACATTGCCCCGATGCCAGTCACTGTCAACATTCTCTCACCAGAAGCAAGCAAAGATCAGGCTGACGAGGCCGAGAAGCTGCACGACCACCTGGTCTCGGCATCCTCAATCGCCCACTTATACACGGCGATCCTGCTGGTCAACCAGGTCGTCCAGAATGGCGCGGGTAGCGAGCTCTGGAACGTCAACGAGGCCGACGAGGCCATCGTCGCGCTGTCCAACACCGCCAGCGCCGCGTACCGCGCCATGATGGGGCCCCTGATGGGCCTGTACAGCATCAAGAACACCACCGCTTCGACGTACAACAGGACCATGCCGCGCGGCCAGGTCCACGGCAGGTTCCTCGACGAGTTCCTGCGCGAGTACGGCCCCTTGCCGCGCGAGCAGCTGGACGTGCTGGACGAGGTGCTCACGGACTACGTCCGGAGCGTGGGGGGGATCCCCGTCACGCCCGAGCAGCAGTCCACCGTGGACCAGGTGTTCCGCGTCAATCGGGTGGTCAGGGTGAACGTGTCTGGCGACGACAGATACCCCGTGTGGGTGCTGCAGCCGCAGACGAGGCTGGTGCACTTGAAGATCAACATCGTCACGTGGGCGCAGGCGGTGCAGAAGAAGAACGCGAAGAGGGCGAAGTCGCAGATGGAGAAGCCGGACGGGCGGCCACCCGGGCCGGACGAGAATGTCAAGATCGCCATGGACATTACGGTTGTGGACGCGGTGCTGAACGTCGAGGAGTACCTGCGGCACCGCGCCAAGTTTGAGGATATTATTCAGACGTTGACGGGCCGGGACCTGCATACGTTTGGAAGGTCTATTAGTGCAGAGAGTGTGACGAGCCGAGTTTGAAAAGGTCTTCTCATGTCACGCTAGATGATAGCTTAGTAGTCAAAACGAACAATCTGAGCCCTCGAAGAGGAGTTCATTGCTGCAGACAGACACGGAGACCGCCTTGAGCAATGTCAAACGTCTCCCTTTGACACGCGAGGCAATGCTTACCCATGCGGAGAGCCCCGTGGGTGCAGGTTGCGGTGTCGGTGCCGAAGCGTCCTTGCCCACGGAGAATGCTCCGCCGTGTTGCGAAGATGTAGCTGACGGCTCGTGAGACTGCGACGATGCTGGCAAAGACGTGTTCGTATTCAAGCAAACATCGCATGCTGGTTTTCCTCGGTTCGTTGGGTACCATTCGACGAGGCCCTGTTCGATGACAAATTCTGCGTATCCATCGAAGATCGGACCGGGATGTTCGTAAGTTTCCTCGGACGTCAGACCCATGAGTTCGAGATCCGACTAGCGTTTGCCAACAAGGAAGCATCGGCCCGGGGCGCTTGTATTGGACTGTTTGCCATGAAGAACCGGCGACCGGTCGGAGCTCAGGATGCCGACTAGCGTCTTTAGGCGCTGAAGTTGTCCTTAGAAGATGGCGTTACGGCAAAGGGGGATCATGTTTGTCCCATCGATTCTATCGTTTATGCGTCTGGCGCTTTGTTCGACATCTCGTATGGTTTGCGAATCCTCGAGGACAGTCGTGTAATCGTTTCCTGCACTTCCCAGTACGCGCGGTGTATGCTGTTTGGAAGACCCCTGGATGATTGCCTCCACCTCAATCATGGAAGAGGGGGTCCTCCCGACTTTATAAGGCAGCTTGAAGATCAGAATGACTCATTATGAGTCGGGGGCGTGCACGAGATGGCTATAATGCCCACACCCCACCACCCAGGGTCAGGGCTGCTGCCTAAACGACCGCGTGGTCCATTTAAACATCTGACAGGATGCTTAACCAGCCTTGAAACACACACTTTGGCCATAATCGGTAGTGTGGGGATTCTGTAGCCCTGCCTATCAAAACGACCTTTTTGTCCAAAAAGAGCAACACTGCCCATTCAACAAAGGGTGATGTGCATCACACCCGCATGTCTCTCTCCTTTGGCCCTGCGATGTGGAGCCTGGCGTATGGTCATTGCAGACAGCAGCTCCGAGTAAATATTTGAAGACCATCTGTAGTACTGCAGAGTTGAGGCCGTTGGTCTCAAGCGAGAACCCCAATTCCTCAGATAGGCTGGTAGACCAGAGTCATCATCACGTGGATGATGAAGGACAAGATGTTGTGTGTTTGGCCTACGCATTGCCTGGCTAGCAGCTTCTGCCAACTTATGCCTTTCCGCTTTGATCAGGTCACCAACCAGGGGTGTTGGCCTGTTCGACTGTTGCGGTGAGGGTATACCAACTTGTAGTTGAAGCATTTCCGGCCCCATACATTGGGCTTTGGGCATTGACCATTGGGCGGTCGGTGGAAGTAAAGCTAAAACACGTCTTCATTGGCTGCCACAAATCTGCCGCGGTGGTATTTTAGGCTCAAGCTCTTGCACTTCGGATTCTAAGCAACACTCGAAGGGTCCAGATAGGAGAAGAGCGCCACAAGTCCACAAGCCCCGCCGCATGACAAAGTCAACAGTGACGCATCAGATGGTGCCCGCCGGCTGTCCGTGCCGACTTGCTATGGCCGCACCTTGAAGAGCTCCCAGCCATCCGGAACACTTTTGTGGACTGAGGTGGCATCGATCGATGTCAAGAAGAGGACTTCCGCCAGAGGCTGTGGGCCCTTCAAAGGCTTGTTTGCGGAAGATTGTCGAATCAGAGGAGCGCTGCTGGAAGTGGTTCGCCGTATAGACAGGTCCCTTGGTCTGATCTCCCCGCGCCTTGTGGGGGACAATGGAGCCAGAACACCTTCGTCCGATGAACCCTGACGGCCTTCCTGTGATTGAGATAACGGGAATACTGCACCGGCATCCTTTCTTGCCATGTCTGCGCGGGCCGCGTGGTGCGGATACCAGTACGATTCTGCCCGTGTGGGATGCACCTGACCCTCCTACGCCCGACGATGGATCTCTTCGGCCACGGAATCGTGGAGTCGAAGCAATTTCTGTTCGAGTTTTTGCGCAGCCTCGATGTTGGGTGCGCAACCACACATGTGTGGGACCGGGACGTGCGTGCGCAGTAGCCAATTCCGGTAAAAGGATGATGTACAAGTCATCCCCGCTGCTAGCGGTTGCATGACGGACAGAGATCATGTCAGTAACACGAGTATCAAGGCGACTATCAAGGAGGGGTCGCAGTCAATACATGGGAGGACCATGTCGCTGCAGTGGGACGTTGACGGTGCAAGCTTTGGTCTCCGCACCCTGAGCCTGCCAATCATGGACAGGGGCTGTTGGCTTGCCGTCATGTGTGGATTGCGTCGCCCTGGCTACGCGGCCGCGGACGATAGAAGGGTTGTCGCGATTCAGTCTTTATCGCTCTACCATCCCTCGGCTGTGCCAGACAAGATCACAAGTCTCTGTTGCGAAAATGCCTCAGGAGGGGGGGTGATACTCGATCACCCGGATGCCGACTTAGCCGCCAACGAAGCCAGCGAATGGCGTATATTACGAAGGTGAGGCAATGTCCAAGGGGGCGACAGGATCTTGCCGGGGCTTCCCGCTCTTGCTAGTGGCTCTCTGCGCACCGGTGGCGCCCCTTGATAGCCAATGTGGTCAGACAAAGATTGTTCGTTATCTTCTGGCGTGGAAGGACTGAGCATTGCAAGTCTGGTATTACGCATGCCGTGCATTCGGCGGCCCCCCACATCGCGCCTCAGTAAATGTTCTCGATTGACGCGGCTTCGAGAGTGGTCGTCGTCACCCGCCTCTAGCCCCAGACCACAAAGGGAAGCCGGAACGGGGTCCTGAAACCCACAAAGCGGGGAGGCGAATCAAACTTTGGCAGAGTGGCTTGAGCACGAGGCGTGCCGTATTAACAGGCGTCCTTCTACCAGCACAAAGGGGCTGCTGGTCTGCCATAAGATGCAAGTCCTGCTGTCCTCCTCTTTGCACACTGCTCCCGCATCACGATGCTTGTCGTGCGCGCAAAAATAAAATGAAACGCACACTTGAAAAGCCTCGTCTGGAGCCAACGGCGCCGTAATCGCGGGCCGAGTCACGCCATCAGGGCGGATTGTACAGTAGCTAACTGGCGTGCCTCACAAAGAGCATCATCGCCCGAGCTTCTCGCGTGACCCAACGTCTCCGCCTCTAGCAGAAGGCGTTGGTAGACACCTTCCAATTTGGGATGTTTTCCTGGCTCCCCATTCTCGCCGTTCCCCCCCGGAGTGCAGCCCCCGGTGAGTTCATGATGCAGTCCCCCGGGCGCTGCACCCTGCACTGGCTTTGCAGGATCATCGAAAGCTTGGTCTGATTGGTGCCAAGGCTTTCCGAGCAAGGGTTCGATGCTTATCTACGCGCGTGGCGTGGACGCTTCATTGTTGGTAGTCGACATGGGGGTTTTTGCTCCCGTCGTTGCGTGCTTGCGAATAGCCAGGTCTAGATTTTGCGGGTACGATATGGTGTGCATTTCTGGGCATCCTCGACCCCAAACGTGTAGGTGTACCAAGTGTCTGGTATGGGATCACGAGAACCAGAGAGACGGTGTACTTCGATGTTCCTTGTCGGGACTGGGACAGGCCCGATGGCACACGAGGACCCCTGCCGTTGCATAATCGCTGGCCGTTCCACTTGCGGGTCACAGCATGCTGGAACCACACCACGACATGTGCTCGGGAGATATTTAAAATGCTCAGCGAGTGCCAAGTGCAAGCCAAGTCTTTTGGGGCTGAGCTTCTCGTCGTCAAGCATCCGCCAAACGTCTTGGCACTCTGGTTGTTCTTGTGACGGTGGCCCCTTCTCTGAGCACACATGGCGGCAGACGACACCATCATCATCGGGGCGCCGAACCCCGTGGAGGGAAAGGCCATCCCAGTCCCCTCCACTAAAGAACTGAACGAGAAGATTAGGGAGACGCCTGAAGGCCCCGAGATCGACAAGGCAGGAGCGCTCGACCCAGACAATGCGATCACGGCCGCCCCATTGGCGTACGACAGTGAGGGAGAGAAGGACCGTGGCAGTGAGGACGCCATCATCGTCACTGCTACCGATGCTGCTCTACACTTGCTACCGCTGCGCGACGATGGCGATCCTGCCCTCACCTTCCGCAGCGTCTTTTTGGCCAGCATCCTCGCTTGCTTCCAGGCCGTGATGTTCCAAATCTACATGGTGAGCTTCTCCTTCATCAACTGGCCAGAAGCCCTTCCGTGAAGCTAACCTCAAACGCGATGCTGTAGTTCAAACCCACAGCCATTACGATCCAGGGTACTTTCATCGTGCTCATTGCCTACTTCTTGGGCAGGGGTTGGGCAGCAGTCTTGCCAAGAGGTGACAAGTTTGAGGCACGCTGGCGCGAACGCGGTGGCCAAGGAAAGCTCCCTCTCCACATCGCCATCATCAAGTTCTTGAACCCTGGCCCGTGGGGCCTCAAGGAACATGCCATCTGCTCCATCACTGCTACGTCTGCCTCGAATGCGTCGGTCTCCATTCAGGTCTTCACGGCGCAGAGTCTGTTCTACGACAGCTTCCCCAGTGCCACCACAGTGATTTGCAGCATCATCTCTATTGGCCTCTTTGGCTACGGCCTCTGTGGTCTCCTGCGGCCGATCACAGTCTGGCACGTCGAAGCTGTGTACTGGAGCAACCTCCCCACAGTCAAGACCTTGCAGGGACTTCACTGGCAAGAGATCTCCTCGTCCAAGCCACTGCGCTGGTTCTGGATCGCTTTCGGTGGCATGTTCGTCTGGGAGTGGTTCCCTGCATACATCTGGCCATGGCTGAACTCGGTGTCAATCCCGTGCTTGGCGTCAATGAATGCGACTGGCGACACTGCCACGACACTTACTCGCCTCTTCGGCGGCGCGACGAACAACGAAGGTCTCGGACTGTTCAGCATATCCCTGGACTGGCAATACGTAAGTCTTGCGCTTTGGTTTCGTCCAACAAGACGCATCGTAACTTTTCGGCTAGCTGACACTCATCACCTAGCTCACATCCTTCCAAACATCGTTGCCGCTCAAGCTTCAGATCCACCAAGCGCTTGGCCTTTTCGTCTGCTTCATAGTCATGCTCGCCGTCTACTACGGAAACGCATGGAACGCCCAGAGCCAGCCTTTCATGTCGACGCGGATGAGGACCGAAGATGGGAAGAGCTACCCTTTGACCAAGGTCTTCACCAATGGAATCCTCGACCACGACGCGCTCGCCAAATATGGTCTTCCTCGCCTTACTGGCACCTTTGCCTACGGCCTTTTCATGGCAAACGCTGCGGTACGTCAACACTGTTTCTTATCTGTGGTTGATTGATAGTGCAGGCTGAAGCTGATCGCGGTAACATGTAGATCGGTGCACTTGCAGCTCATTGCGTCCTCTTCTGGGGCGGTGACGTGAAAAGGGCGTACAAGAGCGCCAGGGAGGGCCGCTATGACGACCGCCACCACGACTACATGAGCAAGAACTACAAGGAAGCCCCTTGGTGGTGGTACGCTCTCACCATGCTCATCAGCTTTGTGCTTGGTCTCGTCGTCGTGCTCAAGGAAGACATTACTCTCCCCGCATGGGCCTACGTCGTCTCGTTGTTGCTCGGAATCTTGATCGCTCCCTTGGTGAGTTCCTTCAATAAAACAGTTCTTTTTACGCAGGGGGCCGCGAACTAACGGTTGTTACACCGGCACTTAGAGCACAATCTTGTACTCCCGATTCGGAAACGGCATTGCCACCAACAACTTGTCCAAGATGCTGGCTGGTTTGCTTGTGCCAGAACGTCCCATCGGCAACATGTACTTTGCAGCTTGGTCCCACAACGTCATCCTGTGTGCGGTCAACCTCTCTTCGGACTTGAAGATGGGTGAATATTGTACGTCTACCATCTTCCTAATGCTCGCTACCTTCTCAACTCCAGGCCCCGTGTACTGACAGGTGTCTTTACAGTGAAAATCGGACCTCGCGTCATGTTCCTCACCCAGGTCTGGGGTACAATCCTCGGCGGGTTTATCAACTACGTCGTCATGGTCTCCATCGTCACCGCCAACGCCGCTCTCCTCACCGACTCTGACGGCAACTCGTCCTGGAGTGGCGCCACCATGCAGGCCTACAACACCAGTGCCACCTCTTGGGCCCTCGCGAGATACCTCTACAGCGACGGCGGCATGTACCTGATTGTGCCCGTCGGTCTCGCAGTCGGCGCGGGCATCGTAGCTGTGCATCGCATCGTGGCTTATGTGAGTCGCCTCATTTTCTTATCTTTTCCCCCCCGTCTCCTTCTTCCCAAGCCCCTTCCTCCTTACTCGTCACGGTACTGTTTTGCTGACCGAGGGAATTTGCACAGTTCTACCCTAAAATCCGCGGATTCGCCCTCGACGAGATCAACATGCCCCAGTTCATCCAGTATGCCGGCTACATCCCCTACAACCAGTCGCAGACGTGCGTCATCTTCAGCTGGACCATCGCCGGCTTCTACGTGCAGTACTACCTGCGCAACTACAAGCCCCGCATCTTCAAGGACTACTCGTACCTCGTCACCGGCGCGTTCGACGGCGCCAGCCTGACGGTGCTCTTCATCCTGAGCTTCGCCGTCTTTGGCGCCGGCGGGCCCAGCGTGCCGTTCCCGAGCTGGTGGGGCAACAATGTCGATGGCAACTTAGACTTGTGTCCTGTAGGGGAATAGAGTTGGGTAAGGGCAGAGGTGGGATGGGATAGGCTCAAGGAGGAAGGGCGGAAGGGGTCTGTTGGTTGTCTTCGTGTTGTATAGTGCGGCGGGCCAGTCAAGACGTCTTAATCCCCGAGCAGCTGAGGGCTTATATCAGCACTAGTCGCCGATCAACCACTCGCCTGGTTGGTGGTTCCTGCCAAGGGCTAATAGTCGTGCAGATTGAAGAGAGTTTGGTTTTCCTTCATGGTCGTTCATTCTCATTGGAACAAGTTGCCGTGCCTTAGCGCTTAGCGCGCGGGGTGCGAGGACTAGCGGAGGCGAATGTCAGATTATGATGCAGAGCAAATGCATGCTGGAAACAGGATATGAAACCTGCGATGCCCCGTCGACTGTGAATGCTGGCGTGGTGTCCCCTTCCCACTCACGAGAATTCATGCCTTGCGCGACTTGATGCGCGACTTGATGTTTCCATCGTCACTGATGCAAGCCACGGCACACAAACACATGATCCAAAGCCCGCATCTTTCAAGGGGAAACCAGCAGCTTCCCAAGCAACAATGACGACTTCAGCACTCACGGAAGGTTCTCGGCTGCAGCTGGTCCTGCCGGCAGCGGCAGTGTTTCTGCTGCTGTACGTGACCAGCGTCGTCGTGTATCGCATCTTCTTCCACCCGTTCGCCAAGTACCCGGGACCATTCCTAGGCAAAGTATCCAACTACGTGACCTGGACCTCGACGTTCCGCCAGGACAAGACCCAAACCATGTACCGCCTGATGCGGCAATACGGTAGCCCCCTGCGCATCGGGCACGACACCCTGCTCTTTGCCGACGCGCAGGCGTGGACAGACATCTACGGGCAGCACTCGAGGCCCTTTGACAAGGAGGCCATGCTGCCGAAGCTCTTCACGGCCACGGGGGCACCCAACGTGCTCAGCACCGACGACCGCCAGTACCACGCGCGGCTCCGGCGCCTCATGTCGAGCGACTTCAGCGCCCGCGGGGTGCTGCGCTTCGAGTCCCTCATCGCGGACAAGGTCGATGCGCTGATGGAGCACGTGTTTTACCCCAGCGCTGCCGCCGCCGCCGCCGCCGCCGCCGGTCCTGGTGAGCAGGGAGAAGAGGTGGAAGAGAAGGAGGAGGACGGTGCGTGGTTTGACGTCTGGGAGCCTGCCCAGAAGCACTACCTGGACATCATCAGCCACTTGGTGTTTGGCACGTCGTTCAACTGCATCAAGGGAGAGAACCCGAGCGCGCTGTTCGACGTCAACTCGTTCGCCACGGTCGTCCCGGCGCGATACTTCTTCCCCGCGATCCGGTACTTGCCCATCCCGGCATTCCAGAAGGCGGTGCTGGGCCTGAATCACCTTATCAAGTTCAGCAGAGATCACGTGACAGAGTATGCAATGGCACTTGAGAAGGAGATGGGGAGGAGTGGAGAGGATGAGAAGAGCGAGGCCGGCGCTATTACAGGGGACGGTGATTCCAAGAGCCAGTCTTTTCTTCGAAACCTGGTTACGAGCAGAGATCCGGAAACTGGGACAAGGTTGTCGGTTGACGAGCTGGTCGAGAACGCAATCATATTCTTGGTCGGCGGCAGTGGAACGACTGCCGTGGTCACAACATACTTCATCTGGGAGTGCGCGCGGAACCGGGACACCCATCAGAGGCTGGTCGAAGAGGTGCGGGGTGCGTTTCCGGCCAGAGACGTCATGCCCACCTATGAGGCTGCCTCGAAATTGGTACGTGCAACACGCAAATCGACTTACTTCGGGGTTTCTCACCTGGTGGTTTGGTTCTGGTTGTTCTCATGGAGACGGACCGGCTGAGACACAGTGTGTGAAGTACTAATTAACTGACCGCCGCTGCTAGCCTTTGCTGAACTCGATGATCCAAGAGACGATGCGGCTCTGGGGCCCTCTGAATATCATGTTCCTCCGCGTGTCCCCGGGCCGCGAGGTCAGCGGGCACTATATCCCGCCTGGCAAGACGGCATCGATCCTGAGCTACGCCGCCGCGCGGGACCCAGACGTGTTCCCGGACCCGGAGACGTTCGAGCCGGAGCGGTGTCTGCACCCGACGGCCGAGATGAAGGCGCTGTCCCGGCCATTCGCCACGGGGCCGCGCAACTGCGTGGGCAGGCACCTGGCAGAAGTGCAGCTCACTCTGACGCTTGCGAGAATCTTCCAGCTGTACGATGTCGAGGTTGACCCCCTTACGACAAGGGAGGACATGAAGCTGCGAGATAAGGGGGTGATGGAGCCGTGGGCAGCAAGGTTGAGGATCAGAGTCAGCCCCGCGCCGCCAAGAAGCTGTTGAGCAAGCCACGAGCAGCAAGCTGCATGCGGCCGGCCTCCCCCAACTGGGCACACTTGACGAACCTGCAGCCTTGTGGGGAAGAGGTGACGAGCGTGGTGGAGAAGAAAGGTCGTAAGGGACTGACTCCAGGGAAGAAGCTCTGGCGAATGATTACATCGGTCCGTACGATTGAAAAGCACCAAGCGAGTGGTGCTGCCAAACCCAAACGCCAACCCCACAATTACGCAAGCATGAAGAAGCATGGCCGTGATGTGACGAGTGGTGATGTTTGACGTGTTAGTCATGCTTGCTCAGCGGTGGGGCAGGTGGACGCAGTGGGGGCCTGAGGCATGAGTAATGGCTAGGCAGGACAGGGTACATTATTCAGGCTTGGCTCAGCCTTAGTGAATCTTGGTCATGATTGTGTGATCCACTCACTGTCTCTCACTCACCCGCGCACCTGCCCTTGCAGCTGAGACAGGCACACACACGAGGAAAGCACCCACCACGGCTAGCCCAGCCGACAAGACAGACAGCCAGACAGACAGCCATGGTTGGCCTGACACTGGCGCATTCTGCCGTGACGTCGTCGTGGGCAAGGGTCTCCTCGTCGAGCTACAAATAGCAACGCCCGCCTGCCCGGAGAGTTTAGCCGAACTCTTGCTCTCTCGTCGTCCACCACCAACACCAACACAACACACACTCGTGATACCCTCAGCACATCCTTCAAAATGGCGAAGATTGCGATTGTCTACGTAAGTACACACGCCGCCGCCAATTGTCGCTGCCATTGCCGCCACCCTGCTGCCTTGAACAGACAGAGCAGGGTGGTCGGCCTACACGACACTAGCTTCCCCCTCCCTCCGCCAGCAATGCTAACCACGTTGCAACCCTCCAGTACTCGATGTACGGCCACATCAAGACTCTGGCCGAGGCCGAGCTTAAGGGCATCCAGAAGGCCGGTGGCACTGCCGACCTCTACCAGTAAGTCTGCCTCTGTCTCCACCCAGCCTGCCCGCCAGCCAACCTGGCAGCAGCCACAATGAGCGAGAGTTAGCTGACTTTTCCATCTCAGGGTCGCCGAGACTCTCCCCGAGGACGTGCTCGCCAAGATGTACGCTCCTCCCAAGCCCACCGACGTCCCTGTCCTCGAGGACCCCTCCGTCCTCGAGCAGTACGACGCCTTCCTGATTGGCATCCCCACCCGTTACGGCAACTTCCCCGCCCAGTGGAAGGCCTTCTGGGACAAGACCGGCAAGCAGTGGTCCACTGGCGGCTTCTGGGGCAAGTTCGCCGGCATCTTCGTCTCCACCGGCACCCAGGGCGGTGGCCAGGAGTCGACCTGCCTCGCCGCCATGTCCACCCTCGCCCACCACGGCATCATCTACGTGCCCCTCGGCTACGCCAAGTCGTTCGGCCAGCTCGCCAACCTCAACGAGATCCACGGCGGCTCCCCCTGGGGCGCCGGCACCTTCGCCGGCCCCGACGGCTCCCGCCAGCCCACCGCCCTCGAGCTCGAGATTGCCGAGATCCAGGGCGAGGAGTTCTACAAGCGCGTCAGCCTCCAGTCGAGGTGACTGCATGGTAGCGACGGCGCTGCCGCGAAGCCCGAGGAGAAGACATCCGAGGCCGAGAGCAAGCCCGCTGTCCAGAGCAAGCCTGAGGGCAAAGCTGCCAAGGCCAAGGACGGATCCAAGAAGGACGACGGCGAGAGGACGTTTTGTGGCCTGCCGGGAAAGTGCGTCATCTTGTGAGAGTCCGAGGGATGAGACGAGTACAAGATGAGGAGGATACTCAGCTTTAGCATAATAGCGCATAACTGGCAGAATACATTGCATACCCAATGACTATACGAGTGGAAACAAATATTCTCGAACACATGCTAGTGATTTGCTCGGGCCGAAATGATGACTGCGAAAATATTCAAACTTGAAAAGACACCAGCGATTTCTTGACCATTATCATCTCGCGCACCCAACCACTATCTCGCATCCTTCTCCCCAGTATCAGACAAACATAACAGAAAAAGTGTGGATAAAGAAGAAGAAAAAAAAGAGAAGAAAGGACAAAAGGAAAAGGAGAAAGCGACGACATAATTATCTGAACGATTGATTGTATCCCCCGTGCAATGCTTACCGCATTGTTCCTCTTTGCGCGCCGACGCGAGGTTTCTTGCAAGCCTACACAAGGTCTTTTTCGTCTCTCTCAATATGACGTCGGTGCCATTCATCCTTGTTGAAGCGCTCGAGCCGCAAAACTGCCCGAGTTTCTTGCCTTCTGCGATTGTGATAGTAACTGCCATCAGTGAACCCTTTCCAGGGACATGCGACGCAAGTCCTGTAACACGTTTCCTCGAAGGAGACCTTCCTTTGCGAAACCGAGTCGGGACTTTTCCCAACGAATATCGTGAGGAAGTGAGTGTTGATTTTCTTGGGCTTGACTTTGCATCCTCGATTCCATGGATCTGAGCAATCCCGCTCGAACGTGGTCAACTCATCTATTGCGCGTGACATGGCGGTGCGCATTGAGAAACCTTCGAACAAATAGACATGTTCGGAACCAATGGTGGAGAAGCGCTTCCATGGCCACCAAGCCACTTGCTCGGTCCCGGTCAAGCTGTAGTAGTCGAAATCCAGTGGATTCTTGCTGAAGCAGTCCACTTCATCCTTATCATCGAGATTCATGTTCTTACGGGCGAACTCGACTGCTGGAACGACTATAGCCATTGCCTCCAAGTCCTTGGGTATCCGGCCCTACGGCTTGTCCTCCTGGGACGCTACATCACTGTCTTCTGGCAGGAGCACGCCCCTGCAAAGATCGCAGACGCTGACGCGCCGATATCGCCATGGTTAGTCCTTGCCGTGCGAATCCTTCACGTATGGTTCGCGAAGCCGAAAGTAAGACGATGGCAGCGATGCGTCCCTTTTGGACGACCCCTTCCACTCTATTGCGAATTCGAAGGTTCCGAGGTGTTTGGGGCCTCTGCACCAGATAGCGTCTTCGCCTGGTATAACATTCTTCCCCAGCACCCTCTTGTTCGTAAACGGTTCAAGGCGGCAATAGTTGCATCGAACGTCGCGCCGCCCGGTCGGGGTCCGATCGAAACAACGAGCTGGGCGGAAATTGCCACAGCCCCCAGCGCCGACAGGGCACCAGCCGCAGCCGAGCACTATAAGAAAATCATTAACTACGCTGGCATAATAACCCGTCGGAGCCAAGTACTCACACTTTTCCTCTTGGGCTTCAACATGTAGCATGTTATACATTTCAAGTGGCCGAGTTTGGGCGAGCTCCGGCCTATGTTCCAGGCCTTCGTAGGCAACCGCTCCGGTCGCCCACTCAATGGCAGTCTTCTGGGTCACCTCCTCGGGGTTGGGCCGATATGCTTGAACGGAAGCCATATTGCGATGCTGGGAAATATCTCCAGCGGTCTCTTTTTCTGTTTCGAGGGCGGATAAAACGCGATTTCGTCGTCAGCAACCCCAGTGCGGTGTTCAGGTTGCTGTGAAAGTGTTCCTGGCGTAAACAATCAGGTTCCGACCGGGTCGAGAAGCGACCCCTTTATCTTTGGCAGCTCGGCCCACGCGATGGAGACAAAAAGCCAGATTGGGAGTGGCAAACTACGCCAAGATTGGAGTCCTTTGTTCGTCTGCCCTTATTCGGTGTGGCCTCTGAAAGGTGTCACATGAGAATGTGTAAATCGCTGATGGGGTAGGACCATAACTCCTTTCCGTGGTCGGCCACCTCCAGACATGGCTAATTACGTTACAACTCACAAAGCGCAGACTTTCGGAGAAGAATGGCCTCAACAAACAAAATCGCATCTCCACTAAGAAAACCACTGGAATGTCGGGCAGGCTGAGCGCCTTGCTGGCCTGTCCAGACGTGCAATCGGGGTTGCCCACTCGGGATCCTTAGGCTGGGTGGGCTTCTTTGTTTTCCGCAGAAGGAGGCGCAACGTCTGTGTCACGGGCGATTTTGCTTTGCTGAAGGGCTTGCTAAACAAAGAGGAATGAGTTACTGGCAGTCCTCGCACAATGCATCTGTTGGTGTCGACTTGCGAAGAGGTGGGACAAACAGAACCACGTTCCACACCACATAAAGCATTCCTAGGGCCGTTTCCAGAAAACGCCCGCTCGTCGGAAGGCTCGAAGATTGGTTTGCGTAGTGCATTCTCTGACAGTGCGAACCCGGGATCTTTTTGCATACGGTTTACAGGAGCCCGGCCAACTTGTGTTACTGAGCATACCTTGGCGCGCGATGTTGGAGAGTCCAAAATAACGACACACAGGCGATCCATGCTACTGCTGGTAAGCGCCAACGCTGGTATTTTGCTTCAGGCCTTCGGTCTTGAGCCCTTGACTAAGTCCTATTGGGGGACAGCTCGACGATAGGATAAGCAGGCTCAAATCCGAATTCGCTGTTAAAGCAAAGCAGTTTGACTATTGCTGCCACACCCGCTAGCAGGCGCCAGGTGTCCCTAACACCGTCCACACGAAAGACTTGGATGCTAACAGGCTAGCAAAACATGTGAGTTGTTCTGCAAAAGGGCACTTTTATTAATTCTATTGGATAATAACCTTAGATTCGACGGGGGAACCACAAGGTCCCTTTGGGAGACCATCGCTTGGGCAACTATCGAGTCTGATCATTACCGCGGACGCTTTTACGAAGCTCAACCCCAGATCATCACCATCCTCGCACAGCCCACAAGGCTCCGGGTACAAACGCGTCCCACGTTATCCGGGCGCTGATCGAAGTGCCCATATAATCACTGTTAACGCGGAAGTGGCGAGTAAAGATGACTATCGCAAGTACTTTCGAGGGTCTCTGCCGTGTCGCGCAACGAATAAAGAATCTCCAAACATGACCGATCGTTTTTGCCCAGATCCCTGTATTTCCTCCACTACTTTCGTACCGAAGCCTCATGGGGAATCCGGCTATGGGCTGTCCGACCATATCCGTCTCCCCGGATTGCTATCCTGTGCGCCTGCCTCGAGCTCGTATATCCACCAGCCGGTGACTGGCTGCAGCGAGTCGAGCCCTGTTTCGTCGCTGACCTCTGGCTGGAACTTGACAAACTCTGGCGGGCCCGAAAACGAGAAGCGCCTCCCGCTGTGTTCCCGACTGCTGTCGAGCTTGTCGCCGCTGCTCGTGACTTCGATACCGACAGACCCGGCAACCATTTTGGTGTCGAACACTCTACCATTGTCGTTGACCTGGACCGGCACTGAGAGATAGCCGGCTGGGATATCGTCCGCGTCAATCTGGCTGTAGATTGTGGCATCGAAGCCGACAAACTTGTCCTTGCCTGGTTGCAAGCCGAAAATGCCGTCGTCGTCGTCGTCGACATATCCTCCTCCCCCGGGACGATACAGGACCTTGCCGTCGGCGTCCCAGAAACAAAATGCCGTGATCCAGCCCGTCAGATAGTCCGGCCCGGACCCCATGTTGCGCCTGTCAGCAATCTTGTTCCAGAAGTCGAGCACGACGTCGTCGTCGGGGTTGTCAAAGGAGCGCACAAACTGGTCCAGGATGGGCACGAGCAGTCGGGAAAACTGCTTCGACTCGCTGCCAAAGTCTGGCAGCTTATCGAGACGAGCCCTGATGTCCTCCCAGTCGCGCTTCTCCCCGAGCAGGGTGACAGAGGGGATGCCGCACGTCAGCATAAAGCCGTAGCTAAAGTACTTCTGCATCGAGCCCATCATGAGCACGGCGGCAGTGACCGTATCAGTCGTGGTCGTGGTCGTGAAGCTGGGCATGATCCACTTTCTCAGATCCTTATCCACGAGGTTCTTGTCAATCTCGCCCGTCATCCGCACGGCCAGGCCACCAAAGTCCACCGAGTGGATGGTGCCAGCTTCCACAACGACCAGGTCCTTCTGCCCCTCGTGGGCGACAAACTTGGACCGCAGAGCCTCGGCGTTGGCGTTGATGTAGAAGCTGAGCTGGGTCAGGATGGCGAACCAGACATCCTCGGGCCGGATGGTCAGATGGTGATGGTTGCTGTAGGCCTCCTGGGCCGCGTGCACAAAGCCATTCGCGTAGGGCGTGATGTACCTGCCGCTGGCCGCAAGGTCACCAAAGGAAGACTGGATGATGCTTTTGCACTGCTGGCTCTGCGCGCGTTGGAAGAGGCTGAAGACGTTCTGGGCCGGCGGCCGGCGCCAAAGACGCGGGGGGTTGCTCGTAGGGCGGATGGTGACGGGCATCCTGGTTCTCGCTGCGTGATTCTCACTCGTGATGGCGGTTGAGACGGATGTATAGCCGTATGAGTGTTAATGGAGAGGAGAGCTCAAAGCCCTTGCATCGCACGCACCGAGATGTGCAGTCTACTTATACATGGACGAGATACGTCAAGCCCGTATTCCTTGGATGGATGGTGGTTGCCTGGCGGTCGAGTCACAGTCGCATGCGTGCCAAGGATGACGGAATCCTCCCGCTCGTCTGGCAGATGCGGGCAGCTGCTCGCTTGGCAGATTCATGAACTGAATGGCAGGATGCAGCAGCATATGGCCATGTGATGCAGACCGGGCATTGCCGACTCGTGTTCTTAAAGTGCCGTCATTGAGGTTCTCTGGCCTCGTAACAGAGTACGTAGTCGTCTCCCGATCGCCGTTTAATCCAGGCAAAAGCATGTTGTAGCCGCCAGAATACACCCCTGGTGCTAGCGGCCGTTTGTCCCCGCACTTCCCCGGCAACACAGGGGTCCAGTCGTGACTACAGAACAACAAATATTATGACGTATCGTACTTTCCATCCTGCGCGTCTTGGTACGCGCTCCACTCACTTAGATGAGCAGCTCATCCTCGTTTTCAGACATTCGCACATCTCGGCTCTGAATAGCAACCAGCCAGGAGATAAAAAAACTAGTGACGGTTGAAGCAAACGAGCAAGTAGCTTATTTATTCAAGGTTGATGACGGTAAAAGTCAGAAGAAGGATTACGCTCAAAAAATACCGTTCTCCATACGGCTGACAGCAACATTAAAACCGAGTTTCTCTCTGTATTCGCGACTTTGACCCACATTCTCCATGTCAAGTTTGTTTACACCGCCCTTATGCGAAACAAACAACCGGGTCTTCCTGACACCAGAAGCCGTCAGACGTGCGGTGAGGGTTACCCGAAGATCTCACAGGTTGTGCCGCCCAAAGTTGAGTCGTGGGCCACCTCTGGTCAGCAAAGGGTGGATGAAAGGTGAGCCAGACGCCTGTATCCTGGCTAGCACCATCTGGTTACTGCATAATTATCTTCCATCTGTTCTGATTTGGCTTGCTATGCTTGCTTATGCCAGCCTGACCATGCTAACTAAAGCATGGCAGCCGAATTAAGTCAGCCACTTAGCCACATGTCAGGCAACAGGTTGGCAGCCAAATGTATATCAACGGCGTTGGTGCTTTGTCTCTCGCCGCTCTCTGAGCAGAATCAGCAGGCCAGTAAGTTGTGCCAAACTTGTGGGCAAATTAGATAAGTACTTTGGCTATTATTATTCACAAAGTTCACTCTGGCAGAACTGCCGCCGCCATAGTCGTTAGCCCTAATACCTTCAAGCTCCCTGGTGTAGTCTCGCTACACTACGCAAGACGGGCGCGAGTACTCTGCGAAGCTAAGCGGGCCGAGCCGACAGTGCGCTCCAGTAGTGCGCAAGGCGCTGAAAACAACAAGAGTTCCAGCATTAGCTTATCTAGAAGACCGATTTGGCCGGCATAGATTATAGGCAGAGTGGTGATTGTTACATGGTGTCGAACTTGCTACAGAGTTCCTCCATGGTAGGGGTTTAATTCCTTTGAGCTTTGGTTCCGCAATAGTCATTAGCCTCTTTAAAGGTTCGAGTGTCCTTTGCCGATTTGAGCTTCCTGCTTTGGGGTCTCATTGGTGTTTGGCTGTATCACAGCAAATCTTGGTGTGGAGGGGTTGGGCCGTAAGCTACAGCAACGAGTCGGTGCCCGACTACGACGGATGAAGTACATACTCGCGATTTCTATTCCTTTGCTTAGTGTGCTCTGGGCTTGTCTCTTCGATGTCTCACGGGTTACTCCTCATATGTTCGTAAATTTTCTGTGCCCGACCACGACCACGACCACGACCATGACCCTCATTCACATTAATTGTTGGCAAGTCCTCATTGTACAGAGTCCGCTAGGCGACTCGTTCAAAAGTATATCAAATGCTTTAGCCTGGCCAAGTCGCGCCTTGGGAGATATCCAGTCACACATCGACTGGGATCTGTCGGACACCCAAACACTTCCACCCATCACGGCCGAACTCCGCTTCGTACGACACTATGCTCTATGTCTCGTCCCCAAAGGTGTTTGGAATAGGGACGACTTGACTCGACTTGAAAAAATACAGCAGGCCTGGGTTTGGGAGCACACTGGGAAAAAGGCGGAACTCCGAGACCCAACGCGACTGGCCCGTGAAGTCATCCAGAAGATTGATGCTGTGCAAGATATTGGTGAAACACAACTCAATCCAGACGCCGTAAGCCAGAGTAAGCAATATTAGCCCAAGCGCTTCAACCTTCTCGCTGCTGAAGGAAGTGATAGTCTATCAGCGATTATTCTGTGCTTGGGGTCCGTACCACCCCTTGTTCTGGAACTGTCATGATCTCGCTATCCGCTTAGCATATGTCATTCTCGGAGAATCCGCCGGCGAACTCCTACGAGAACTACTCGGAAGCTTGAAGCGTGTGGTAGGCTCCGTTCTCCAGGAGGCTACCTCGATCAGTCTTGGGGCACTTCACTTGATTAGTGCTGCTACTATGGGCAATGCATATAGGTTGGTCATACGCCAGTATGAACTGGCGAATGCAGTGCACATCGCTTTATATGCACTCTACAAAAAGGCTTCGGGTGCGCCGACCGACGAAGCGGACGAAGACTCAGCTCGCGGTCAAGCTGAGCCACCATGTCGACGCAGTATTCATTTAGAGCAAGTGTTTCCAGAGTTGGGGCGACTTCACGAAGTTCTTGCCACATGTGGTTACGGGGCCAGTATGTAACCAAACATCCCACCGCACCTGTATCCTCTTTAGGAAGTCGTCCATTCTCTGAGCTATTAGTCGATACTTCACTACTCATGTAACGTTTATTCCTCATAAGGAAGAGTCTCCTTCCCTCAACTATTCAAAGCCGTATGTGACAACATTATAAATATGGGCAGCTTTCGCCGCCGCTCACCATGCGCTTTGCCCGTGCTCTCCCGGTCACCTAGCCGGATGAGCCTAAAGCGGCACGGCTCAGCCAGTTCACCTCGTTGGATAACAGAGGGTGTGCCAAGGAAGCCCCGGCTGCAAAACTGTAGTCTTAGCGAAACGCTTCATGTCTGGCATGGACTGCCAGCCAACCGATCCGAATCTTGCATTCCTACACCGCCCATTCTTTATGACCACATAATTTTTGTATATCTTTGCTCCTTCGAGCTCTCTTTCTGTTGCCAACGACGATTATTAGCGACTGGTCAACTCTGCGAGAATGTAGAGCTGGAAGGAATGGTGGGCACCGAGTTCTCAAGCGGCAGATGGAAACCCTTCGGCGCCCCGAGTCTTACTTCCATAAGTCTCTATGAGAGTTCTTCACCTCAAATCAGCCTACCACCACGAGATGAGGTGCAACCCCCCATCCGACATTTTCATCCGGCCGTGCTGCTGCCATGACTCGCTTTGTGCACCCCATAGTCGCCCCACACTCGCGGCATCCGGTTTCTGCTAGACACACGCTCCCGTTGTCCAGGTGCTCTTCGCTGAAAAGGGAGCTGAAAAGCCCTTGTAAACCTGCATGAGTAGCTCAAGGCGTGAGGGGTCCCGGAGCTCGAGTCTGGGCCCGCTTCAACAAGCCCTAGCAGCTGGTACTTCACGCCGACGTAGCATCCAATCTTCAGCCCTATACGCCAAGCCTTTGGGGGCCTAAGAAGTTCTCCATGATTATGGCAGACGACAGAGCATCTGGAACCCGATCCGGGTCGCCTAGTCTAGGACCGTCATGGGCAAGGCTCAGGCAGCAGCCGCTGTTGCACAAACAGGGACAGTACAAGTGTCAGAAGGAGTACCCGATTAGCCCAGGTCGGGCGTGAGCAGACAGACAACGATGTAAGTCGGACCCGTCTTACGGACATGGGATACTGCCTTTCTTCTGAGACCCTCATGGAGTTCAGCATGGCAAAAGTTGTATATAAACACGGTGTCAATCTGCGACTGATGATCATTTTCAGTTCGAAACCAAGCAGCGCCCTCCAAAACCTGACTGCCTTCGACAGAACCAGCACTCATTGCTCATACCGTTCACAAGACTTCACATCGTGTTCTTGATCCTCCCTTTGCCCGCCACAAACCATGAAGCTCCTTGCACTCTCCACTATTCTCGCCTCTGCAGCCCTCGCGGCCTCGACCTGCAACGACTACAAGGTCTTCCGCGGCAGCCACGGCTACGACGTGTGGCTGCCCGTCAACTCGGGCTCCAAGACGTGCGAGATGGGGGCCAACGCGCAGAGCGACGCCGTCTACATCCTCCAGACGACGCTCAACTCCAAGTGCTACAACTACGGGCTCGAGGAGGACGGCATCTTCGGCCCCAAGACGGTCGCGGCCCTCAAGAAGGCCCAGGCCAAGCACGGCGCCGCCGCGGACGGCGTGTACGGCCCCGAGACCAGAGACAAGATCGCGTGGGATGCGTACAAGGCGGGCGCCGTCACCTGCTTGAAGCTGTCGCAGACTTGATTGGGGTTGTTTCCGGATCAGGGGTTCACGGGCGGGGGGTGCGGAACCTGCCATAGGACATCGTGAACAGGGGAGATTTGATCAGTCTTTGAAATGACCGACTGGGGCTGTCAACTAATCGGGCATTTCATCACTGTGAGATGGGGAACCGGGACAATGAGACAAGAATGCTGCTTTGTGGATTGCACGACAATTTCATTATCCTCCAGCGAAGGTCACTGACCACCATGTAGACGCGTGCTGAATGCTATTTTCGTACCCATTTTGTCCGCACTCATTGACTTAAGTCACAGACCCCGGAGCTCAGGCTACATCATGACTCGCCACTCCTGAGGACTCAAAACGCCCTGACACGTTGCGCTTTCCTGCTCTCTGGGGAAAAAGTACTCCTCCCTACTGCCTGGCCTCCAGTGCCACCGCGATCCATTTCCCGAACAGTGATTGCGACCAAAAAGCGTTCTTTCTACATCAATAGGGGTTCTCAAGCAAGATAGGAGAAAGCCTCACTTCTTCGGCGCGGGTTCCACGCAGCGCAGGCACTGCACCCAGTCGGGCCGTATCGTGATCTCAAGGTCGTTGAGCGCGAAGCCGCGGAAGAACAGCTCGACGCGGCCGATGACGCCACACGAAGGACACTGCAGGCCCATGTCGTTGCTCACGAGCGTCTCCATGTTCTTCCTGACGTGCGGCGGAGCGTTCTGCCGTCCTACGGGGAGGATGCTGGAGCTCTGAGGTGGCTTTGAGGCTGGTTGTTGTTGTTGCGCGTGGTCATGGTGGTTGTGGCAGATCTGGATGTCCGTAAGGGAGTTGTCGTGGTGCTTCATGTCCACGTCCATGTCCATGTTGACGCACTGATCCTCGCCTTGAGTAAAGGGGTGCTCGTACTTGATCTCGGGGCTCTGGCTCTGGCTGTGATTCTGACTGTGACTCTGGAATTGGACTTGAGATTGAGCTTGATCGAACTGATCCGTGTAGTCCTTCAACAACTGCAACTGCTGGAGCTCAATCTCGCGCTGCTGGGCCTCCCACGCCGTCACGGCCTGCTCCATAAGTTGCTCCGCCGGAGGGGTCGGAGACCTCTGATCAGCCTGCCGCTTGAAGTCCTCGTACATGGCGGTGACAAAGTCGACGCCCTCGAGGTCGCCGTCGAAGCCGAGCAGGTCCTCCTCCATGAGCTGGAGGGTCGCGTCCCACTGCTCGTCCGTGTAGCTGTCGATATGGTCGAGGTCTACCTCCGCAAAGGGAGGATTGGTGCCATTCTCATTGCAGACGGCCGGCGCGTCAAGCATCATCGCGTCGTCCGGCTCCTGCTGCTTCCCACTTCCTCCCCTCGGGTGGCCCTGCCCAACGCCGACACCGCCGCCTCCTCGGGGATCGCATTGCAGCGCCGCCCGCCGGAACGCATTATACCACCAGTCGAGCTTCTTGCTCTTGACCAGGCTGAAGTAGTCCGTTGGGATGTAGTGCACCTGTGCAATGGGCTCACCTGTAAGCCGACCCGTCTCGGGGTCCCGGATTCCCCTGCACGAGTCGCACACGATGTCGCGCCGGATCCGCCACGCCTGGGTGCCGCGGTGGTCCTCGCACGGGTACGGCTCGCGCGGGCGGAACTGGGCCGACGACGTGGCTCGGTCGCCCTCGTGCCCGGCGCCGGTGCACCAGATCTTGTCGCTGCCCTCAGGGGTCGGGTAGGATGTCTCGAGGGCGGCGTCGAGGAGGAGCGAGGAGGAGGAGGAGGAAGACGGCACCGCATTGCTAGGCTTCTTGGGCTTCCGCTTGGCGGCGGCGTTGTTCTTCTTGCTGCCCCGGCAGTAGCTGCAGCGCGGGTTGTCGGGGATGAACTCGGTCTCGGCGCGCAGGTTGGCGCAACCCGAGCTTCCCCATATGCAGAATCGTGAGCCTGGAAAAGATCACATCATTAGATCATGTCCCGAGACGAAAGGTTGACGGTCAAATTTGTCCTTTGCTGAACGGTTGCGCATGTTGTGCATCAGGAGTGAGTGAGGAAAAATACCTTCGCTAGTCCCACTGTCGTTCCTAACGAGACTGGGTCCAGACATGTCTGGAAACCGGTTCTGGCGCGTCGACGACATGGCGGCAACTTGAGTTGAGTGTGCAGGTGATCCCTGGTCTGGCCGCTCGAAGACAGATGAGTACTTGTTTTGGGAGCTGCTCGACGTGAGTAAGTGGTGATGTATTCGTGGCAACGTGGTGAATTCTATACCGAAGCAGAGCATATGAGTTCCACGGCCGTCATGCGTTGCAAATCACGGCTATATATGCCGCGCATGTGGCTTCGGGAACCTGCCATCGCGAGTTTCGAGGCTATTGATCTCCCGGACGGCCGGAACTTGAAGGCGCTCAGGCTGGCCTAAAACCCACGAGTTAGTGACTAAGTGCTGGCATCGTTCTGCCGTGGGTGAGTGAGCATGAGATTGAGCCAGAAGTTGAGATTAACATTTCACTTTGAACTGTGGCGAACGAGATTTCATATTTCGCATTTGTTTAGGGTGTAAGGGGGTAGAAAAGTTCTCCTTTGATGCTTCCGACTTGTTGCCCAACGTATTTGCATAACGAGCCCTTATCTTTAAAAAAGCACTGGCACAATGCAAGCAATGGACAATTACACTTCCCATCATGTGGAATATTGATTGCCATTGCTCCTTCGAGTATCCACTGGCGAATCCAACATCAGCAAACTCGCGGGCCATCGTGCCTTTCTTCCCAACACATAACGCAAGTGGCAAAGGATCGTCGCATGTCGTCGGGAGAAGCTTTTTCCTCTGCAGCTTGTGACCCAATCATGCTTCAGCATAGTCCCGCAAACTGCCAGGGTCATGTAGGTGGACAAGGCCTGCCCAAATGGTCAAGCGCTATTCCACCATATCCTGGCGGAGACCTGACTAGGGCCAGCTACAGGTTGGGAATCCAAAGTTGTCTCTGCCCACAGCATCAACGGCAAACAGCGCAGGGAAAAGTGTTGGTTTGTATGTCGTTATGACCCAAAGAAAGGAAGAAAGAAAACAATGATCGTGGCAGGACGAAAGTGAAAGACACGATGAGCCCACCAACAGAAACACACGAGGCTCATTCCTCCACTTTTGACGACAAAGACGTTCATTCAATTACATTCTGCCATTTCATGCATCGATTGGTATCGCTATCGCAAACTGTGATTGCTACGCTCATAACTCTATAATTCGTGTTTTTTTTCTCCGGATCAATCCGCCTTGCCTTTGGCATCAGCAGCAGCAGAAGCAGCCTTCAGCCCCTTGATCTTCTCCCGCAGCTTGCCCACCAGGCCGGCAATCTTGCCCTTCAGCCCACCCAGGGCAGCCTCGCCCGCTTCATCGGCGCCCACGAACCGCCGGACAAGGATGTTGTACAAGCCACCAAACGCCAGCGCGATGGCCGTGCTCGTGAAGATGATGACATTGTAAGGCATGCTAAAGTCGGGCGTCGGCAGACTCAGCATCAGGCTCGTCGTCCTCAGATTCGACGTCCTGGAGCCGGGCGCGGACGACGGCAGGATCGTGATGATGCCAGAGGCAATGTCGAACCCACGGTTGGCGTCCGGCGGGTACTCGGTGTACCGCAGAATGGTCTTCTCAAAGTCGTAGGTCAGGAAGACTGTGCTCGCGGGCGGGATGCGCATGCGCAGCTCGAGCTGGGTGGCGCGGATTCGGTCCAGCGCCGGGCGGTAATAGATCTCTTCCACAATGTCGTTTCTGATGCCTGGCTGTCCGTTGATCCGGGCCTCGAGGGTGTGTAGGTAAATGCGCATGAACCACGGCAACGTCTGCATGTAGACAAACTCGACGGAGCTGTCGGGGCTGGGGTTGGTCAGGATGGTCTGCACGCCTCCACGTTCCTGTCCGTAGCCGGTGAACGTCCGTTCGGCATACAGAAGTGGCGTCTCTGGCTGCACAATCTCGTCCGCAGGTGTCATGGCGTCAGGGCCTTCATATGGTAGCGCCGGGAGGACTAGTGAGAAGGCGCCCTCTGAGGGGAAGAAGTAGCACCGCTTTTGCAGGCCATTCTGCTTCACCTCCCTGGCACCGCCCATTGTCATGAAGATGCTGCGCCGGTCGGGCACTTCAATGCAGACAGGTGGTACCTCCGGGTCGGTCAGGGGGCAAGTGCCCTGGATGCTTTTGCCGAACACCTGATGCAGGCTCCATTCAATACCCTGGTCCACAGGCGCCGGGAAGCAGGCGTCGCCAGAGTTATAGGGCTTGGAGGCATTGCACCTCATCTCGTGAGCTGGAGGAGGTCGCGGAATCGGGTTGACTGCGGTCGTTAGCAAGGGCATCTTGCCGCGGTGCTTTTCCGTGGACGCTACTCACCAGTCGGTCTCTTGGACCGCTCAATGTCGAGAACCATGTCAATGGTCTGCTCGACCTGCAGAACACACTCCTGGCCAGCCGGGCAGATCGGCCGGACGTCAATGGCCATGCTCTGCCAAGAGGCATCAAACATCTTGTGGCCGCTAAGCAGCGACGACACTCCGGCTTTGCCCTTGCAAGGGAGCAGCTTTAGGAACGGGGTGAGGTTTTCGGTGCAGACAATCTCTCGAGGCAGCACTCCGTGGAGGAGGTGCATGTTCTGCATGGCCTCTGGCGAGTGGTCACCTTCGGGCTGGAAGGACATGACGGGCCGGGTCGTCCTGGTCTCGTCGATGAAGTTGAGGGAGGCGCAGAAGAGGCCAGACAAGGCGTTGGTCAGTGTCAGCCATTTGTGGTCGGCCCTGTTTCGGTATCTGTCAGCAATCTTTGTTTCCCAACATCGCTCGAATTCGCGTCTCGTCCCACGTACTCTTCCTCAGTCTGCGCATCGAGCCACGCCCAAAGCTCTACACCGGTGCCCCCCTCCTTTGTGCCGTGCCAGGGCCTGGCGCCCCAGCTCTCTGCGTCCCAGCGGCCGAGGGCGAAGCGCAGGTGCAATTCGCGGGTACCGACATGCTGAAGCAGCTGGCCGAGGGAGCGGGGGAAATAGCGGTAATTGTGAGCGTCAAAGTCGGTGAGGGAGGTGTTTGAGCGGAAGTTGAAGCTGGCGAGCAGGGACGAGCCGGCCAGGGGTTTGAGGTCGAGCTGCTCGTGGTAGTCACGGTCGGCGGCAGCAGGCGAGAGTAGTATCGCAAGCGGCATGAGCACAGAGAGTATACGGGCCATGACCGATGGGGGTGCCATTGTCGCAGGCGGCGGGTGGCCTGGTTGGCCGCTGTTTGAGGGCGAGTGGCAGTCTGTCAGCCCGAATCAGGGAGGTGGTGAGCTGTCGTCAGAATCGAGGAGAAGCAGTCAGGTCGAGGGGCCCTTGAGAAGGTCCATGTGGCCTGCAAAGGCTGACCTGGCGTGCCTCTCGGAGGCGTAGGGTGCCGTCGGCGGGTTGTGTTTGGTGGCCAGAGGGTCGGCCGTTGTTGCGGGATGGGGGACGCGTGAAGTGTCCAGATGGCATTTCCAGCGATCGTGGGGCAACAGCTCTCCGCTGAAGTCACTGCACTGCACGGCACTAAGGACCCCTGCCCATCACCACTGCCCAGGCGGCCGGCAGCTTTCCCCAGCTCCACCTTTTCTTTCTTTCGCGCCGCGCGCAACAAGGCTCCGCCGCAGCCTCGCCGCCAACTTCACCTCTTTTCCGCAAGCACAGGCAACCAGCCAGCCAGCGCAAGTCACCACCGACATCTATTCAATCACCGCGACGACTGCAGAACTCCAATCCAAAAGAGCCGTGCAGACACCACAGAACCCGCCGCCATGGCCGCAGAGCAACGCAAGCTGCTCGGTACGTCACAACACTTTCCTCGAACCAGCTCCGATCATCAGCTAACACTCTCCCTCACTCAACAGAGCAGCTCATGGGCAATCCCATCTCCTCGTCGCACGCCAAAGTCTCCCTCACCGACCCCAAAGTCTGCCGGTCCTACATAGTCGGCACCTGCCCGCACGACCTCTTCACCAACACCAAGCAGGACCTGGGCCCCTGCCCAAAGATCCACTCGGAGGGCCTCAAGGCGGAGTGGGACGCCCTGCCCGAGCAGGCCAAGAAGCAGCACGACTTCGAGTACGACTACCGGCGGGACCTGCAAAAGTACATTGACGACTGCAACCGGCGCATCGACACGGCGCAGCGCCGCCTCGAGAAGACGCCCGAGGAGATCCGCCAGACCAACGTCCTGCTCAAGCAGATCTCGGACCTGTCGGCCAGTATCAACGACGGGCTCGCCGAGGTCGTGGTCCTCGCGGACCTGGGCGAGGTGGGGAGGGCCCTCGACGACTTCTACCGCGTCCGCCAGAACCAGCAGCACAAGGCCGAGCGCGAGCGCGAGCTCAAGGCCCTCTCCGACACCTCGGGCCCCTCGGGCCACCAGAAGCTCCAGGTCTGCGACGTCTGCGGCGCCTACCTCAGCAGGCTGGACAACGACCGCCGCCTCGCAGACCACTTTTACGGCAAGATGCACCTCGGCTACGCGCAGATGCGCAAGACGTACGACGCCATGCCCAAGGACTCGAGGCATCGGCCGAGGCCCATGGGAGGAGGCGACGATGGCGGGATGGGTGGCGGCGGCCGGGCGGGCGCGATGGGCCCAGGCGGGCCGAGGGGAGACGATGGTTGGGGCGGAGGCCCAAGGGGCCCGAGGAGAGGAGGACCTGGAGGAGGTGGTGGTGGTGGTGGCGGCGGCGGAGGGCGCAGCGGTCGTGGATATCGTGGTTGGTGAAGGGCGACGCAGATTACTGTACAACCAAAAGTAGTGCCGCAGTTGGCCTACGCATCTCGGGAATCAAAAGGCGTCTGGCGCATGGGAGAGCATCAATCTAGAATTTTCAAAACATGATCACGAATTCACCTTCTGGCCAGTTAGAGAGCATGCGCTGATAACGTTAACAATGTTTCTTCCGCCCGTGCTGCTTTTTGTGGTATCTCATGTTGTTGAAAACTTCCTATGCCCTGCCCCTGCTGCCCCTTTCTCATGCCTTGCCACTCTTGACCCCGGCTTTCCATTCAATAACGCTCCCTTGCGCTCTTCGTCCGCCGCAAAGATGCGAGATGGTTGCGTCCGGTGCATGCATGATAACAGGAGTTGGGCCAGACCCAGCTATCCTGCTCCCATGTCGAGCTCGAGCCGCAGTCGCTTGGCGCACAGCTGCTATTCCGGCGGCCGCACGCGCCGCTGCACACGCCGCCGCCACAAGCACACTATGAAGTTGCCGGCGCCTTCGCAATCGCGGCAGCTGCGGCCTCCGCGTACTCGACCTCTTCGTCCCACCTGCCCACTGGCGGCGAGTTGAGTTCGACTGGTGGTAGGCTGGGGAAGTCCTTCTTGTCGGGTTGTTCCGCCTTTGCAGCATCTGGTTTCGTCGCCGCCTTGTCACCACCGGGCAGTGCTGGGAAGTCATCCGCTGATGGAGGCTTCTGTGGGTTCTCTGACCGGGAGCCGTTCTGTGCGCCGCCCCTTCCTCCACGACCACCCCGTCCAGCACCGCGATCTCCCCGTCCGCGACCACCGCGCCCACGACCCGTGCCGCCACGAGAATCGTCGGCCTCGAACAGCTCCTTTGACGGGTTATCTGAGCCGTCGCGGTCGGAGAACCGGCTGCCGCCCAAGCCTCTAGCGCCACGGGCACCGCCATGCGCGCCTCTGAATCCTCTACTACGGCGATCATGCGCCTCCTCCTCGGCCATGCGAGCGTCCTTGCCTTCATCCCAGTTCGCCCCGGGGTTCTTGGCGCTCATAGCTCGCATCTTGCGCTCCCGGTTGCGCTCGCGCTCGTCGTCCATGCGGCGCCGTTCTTCCTCGCTGCGCTTTCGCCGCTCTGCTTCCTCCGCCCTTCGCTTGCGCAGTTCCTCCATGCCCTTCTCGTACGCGACGGCATGGGAACGCGAGTCGTTCTCGGCCTGCTCGAACTTGCGCGTGCGCTCGGCGGCAGCAAGCCGCATGCGCTCCATCTTGTCTGCGAGCTCCTTGTCCGACAGCTTGGTACGCGGGTTCTGGCCGGAACCGAGACGGTCGACGGAAGCTGTGTTCGAGCCACCCTTGTTGGCTGCAGGCTTTGCGGAAGCGGTAGCAGGCGAGGAGGCAGCCGCTTCAGCATCTGTTGAGCTGGGTTTGCCGGGGTTGGGTGGAGGTGTCGACGTCTCGGCATCTGTGGGAGGAGCCGGCTTTGCCTCGGAAGGTTTCGCCTGCTTGTTATTGTTGTTGTTATTATTCTTGGGCGGCGCCGACTTTGGCGAGTTCTTGCGGTTTCGAGGAGGTCGTTGCTTGACTGGAGTGGCGTGTCGCGACTGGCTGAGGCCGTCCTTGGGTGCTTTGGGAGCGGTAGCTCCATTGTCCTTGACGGGCTGCGCAGGCTTCGCTGCTTGTTCCTGCGCAGCTACAGGCGGCGTCGCAGGTTGCGCAGGAGTCTGAGTGGCTGGCGGAGGAGCGGCGACAGCCTGGGCCTCGGCGGGCTCGAAATCATCGGCGAAGAGGTCGTCATCGGTGCGGCCGTTGAACTGATCGTCCATGGTTTCTATGGGGATGGGATGTGGGTAGGTGGGCGAGCTGGCTAAGGCTTTCGAATGGAGCTGTGTGCGACGAGACGAGGCAGACGGTACCTGTTAGCGAATGTGTAGCGATGTGGTGAGCGATGGAAGGTTGCGAGAGCAAGTGGCACGGCCTGCCAGTGATTGATAATGATGTGCAGAGGGGACGAAGACGGAGACGGAGCTGTCCGCGGGAGGCGGCGGGCATGCATTGGCAGGGGACCAGTCTAGAGTAGTGTTGCAGGCTGCTGTTGGTGGCGGGGTCGTGGTTGGGGAAGGTGCAGCCCTGATGAGGCACAGCTGGAGGGGACAGCTTATTGCGGGCACATTCCCAAGGGTTGTCGGCCGCGACGATACCCTCATTGGCAACCATTTGCATCTAGAAATGCTGAGAGGGACATTGCGCCAGTGTTCCCTTGCGTGACAGCGCCTTCATGAATGAGATGATTGTAAACTGTCTTGCTCCCCACTGTTCCACAGTGCTACCAAACCAGTATCATCAAATCGACAACTTACACCAGCCCAAACCTCTCCTTCAAACAGCCCACAAGCTCCCCCACCCCGTCCACAACCTCGACGCCAAACCGCTCACACACCATCCTCACATTCCCCTCCTTCCAGAACCCTTCCTCGCACACAACCACCGCCTTGCTCCTCCTCGCCCCCTCGCCGTCCCCTGCCGCACGCTGCCTCGCCACGAGGCCCAGCTCCAGGAGGCTGACAGGGGCCTTGGTGTCCCGGGCAAACCACACCACCACGGCGGCCGCCGCCTCCTGCATGTCCAGCTCCCACTGCACCTGTTCCTTCCAGGGCGCAAAGTCGGCAGACTCGCGCCAGCTCGCGTCCCAGTCTGGGCGCGCCGGGTCGAAGATTGTCACTTGGTAATTGGCCAGCGACGAGGCGAGGCTCGCGCGCCAGTCGGACGAGGGCCCCGGGAGCGAGGAGGACGTGGAGCCCGCGAGGAACACTGATCGTGTCGGGTGGTGGATGTGCGAGGGCCGGAGCGGGGCGGGGATGAATTGGCTTGTGGTAGATGTGACCGAGGCTGGAGCAGGGGACATGGTGGTGTCGTTTCCTGCCATGACTGTTGTTGTGTCTATTATTGTTGGTAGTCTAAGGTATGTAGAGAAGTGCGCAGAAGGACAGATACTGCTGGTAAATGCTGAACAAGTCGTGCCCGGGACGAGAATGGACGGTTTCTTTCGTATGTCGTTGAGCGTGATAACGTGGAGAAATGCTGCAAGAGCCAAGACTGCGGGTGCGAATGAATAGCTGGGCCATGCGCGGTGCTGTCTTATCCAGAAAGCAAACTGGTTCACGTCCTTATTCTCGGCTGCCTCATCAAATCAACCTAATGAGGCTGTGCTGAAGTGATTTGGCGCCTTTCGTCAGTCTTAACTCGAACATGCGGGGGCGGCTTCCCACCTCTCTGCCCTCACAGCAACACCCCTGATACGAAAAACCCAGGTGCAGTCTCAACAGGACCCAGTTGGGCAAAACAAGAAGTTTGCTCCGGGGGCAAGCCTATACCAAGTCGACCGAGCATGTGCGATATATGCATTCTGGCACAACAAATGCACGTAATCCATCGTATGAAGGGAGCATGCCGCTGTATAATTGAAAACCATTGGCATGTCCTCGCGGTTCTGTCTCTAGGATGAAAAAAACAGAGGAAGAGCACATCACAAGCTGCCTTCTGCTCACCCGCAATCACAGTGAACGTGGTTGATTTTCAAAGATTTTGCTTTGTTTCGAGTTCTTTGCGTTTCTTGAATGCTAATTTTTGTACAATGATTACCTCGGCACCAATTGTCTCTTTTCCCGCCCCCATCCGCTCAAAACACACACAACAAAACAAAGAATATGTGTACAAGGGAGACAGGTCGATGACACCAGGCAGGCATAGCTCTCATCATCCTCACCACCCCAATTGATTGACGAGTCGAGTGAGCTGTTTCTACCGCCTCGCAGTAGTATTGTCAAACTCGTCCACCACCGAGTCGACCACGCTCTTCGTCCCCTGGCCACCTTTCTGATCGTTTGCGTCAACAACCCCGCCCTTCTCAAGAACATGCTTGGCCATTGTCCTGCTCTGTGCCTCGCCGACCTTGCCGTACACGCTCAGTCCCGTGGCAATCATGCCGCCAATGTCGCCCACGTTGCCCGGCACGACCACGGCGGTGCTCTCGCGTGCGAGCTTGGCAAACGCGTCGACGTACTTCTCGGCGACGTTCATGCTCACGGCACCCTGGGCGGAAGCGCCGCCCGAGGCGATTGCCCGGGCCACAGCGTCGATGCCGTTGGCCGTGGCCTTGGCCTTCATCAAGATGGCCTCGGCCTCGCCGGTTGCGCGGTTGATGTTCTCGGACCGGATGGCCTCGGAGGCCAGGATGACGCTCTGTTTTTTACCCTCGGCAATGTTGATGGCCGACTGCCTCTGGCCCTCGGACTCGAGGATCTCGGCGCGCTTGGACCGCTCGGCGGTGACCTGGCGGTGCATGGCCTCGACGACGGCGGGCGGGGCGTGGATGTCGCGGATCTCGTAGCGCAGGCAGGTGACGCCCCAGGCCTGGGCGGCCTCGTTGATGGCGGCGGTGATGTTGGTGTTGAGCTGGGCGCGCTCCTTGAGGACGTGGTCGAGCGTGAGCTGGCCAATCTCGGAGCGCATCGTCGTCTGCGCGAGCTGGCTGATGGCGTACTCGGCGTCCTCGACGCCGTACGACGCCTTGTACGCGTCAAAGACCTGCGTGTAGAGCACGCCGTCGAGCTCGAGGGTCACGTTGTCGGCCGTGATGGCGGACTGGGACGGGATCTCGATGGCGGCCTCCTTGAGGGACTTTACGTAGGCGATGCGGTCGATAAAGGGGACGAGGATGGCGAGGCCGGGCTCGAGGATGCGGTTGAACTTGCCCATGCGCTCGACGATCCAGGCCGTCTGCTGCGGGACGAAGCGGATGACTGTGTTGGCTGGGAGAGAGGGGCGCTGGAAGTACGAAGGTGGAAGTGGGCCGAGGGCGCCGCCCCCCGAGCCGAGGACGCCGGAGCCAGGTCCGATGAGGGCTCGCGAGGAGGTCTGGAAGCTGCGTATGTGTTGTGTCGTGTGCCGCCGGTGGAGGTAGCTGTGCGGGTGGTGCTGCTGTATTGACGAGCCGGTGGCGGCAGCAGCGGCGGTCCTGGCAATGGCGGCGGCATTGGCCTTTGCGGGCTGGATGAGCCCTCGCCGTATGGCGGGCGTGAGCAGCACCTTTTCCGAGTGCATGAGCGACATCGTGGCGGGTGGTGGGTGGTGGTTGTGTCGTGTGGTTTGGGAGGGAGAGAGGCGGCTGTGGCAGCTCGCTCGAGCTTTGACGTCGCTTGTCGCTGGTGCTCGGCTCGCCCGAGCAAACGTCAGTCTTCCGACGCCAGCGGAGCACGCCTGCTCAGGTGCCCACCCACTCACACCCTAGCGGCACGGCCCCGTGCCCACCCGCTTCCGGTGCCAGCCGGGATGCCCATCCACGACAACCACTCAACGCCACTCGACAATCCTCATCTGGAGTGTGACTCAAGACATGTCGGGCAGATTCGCAAACAATGCTTCCCCGTCTGATTCGCCTGTAGTTTTGCTCACCTCTCGCATTCGGCCATAGACTATGCCCAGGCTTCATTGCAGCATCGCCATCCTAGTCACTAGACCATGCATGCCAAGGGTTGTCGTATACGTCAAGTCATCAAGCAAGGGCCATACTGTCGGTGGTCCTCACTACTTTTGCTGATACTACACTGCTCGAAAGTTTGAACTGGTGTCAGTGGCATATAAACAAATCTATTGCATGCTGGCTAAAACATCATGGCCCTCAATGTCCGTGTAAAAACCTCGCTACATTAATCCTAGCTCGTCCCCAATGACATCAGCAGCCTTGGCCAGCAGCCCAACCGCAGTCATGTCGCCTCCCCGCGCCGCAACGGCCTGTGCTTTGCTCAACAGCGGATACAGCCGAAAGAGATGTTTCCTCTTCTCGTTATCGACGTTTGCAATATCGGGTATGGCAGCAGGCTCGCTGCGCAGTCCAACTAGCTTCTCCAGTACGTGGTAGAGCTCCTTGCGCTGGCTCAATGGCTGTGGCATCCTGCCCCTCAGGGGGTGATCTGCAATGAAGGCGCGTAGTACCAAGCCAGATCTCAGGATCGTGTACGGTGCAGTAGCACGTGCCAACCGGACATAGGATTCTGATGTTTCGGACTCGTCGCCACTAGAGATGAGAGTGAATAGCTGGTCCAGGCAGGCATAGCCCATCTTGCTCCGCCTCGACGGCTCGGCGTCAATCGTCAGCCCCGGCCGTGGCTGGTAGAGGCTGGCAAGGCTGCTCGCGCCGATCCCACCATAAATCATGTCACGTTCCCCGGGTGACGGTGGGTGCACAATGGAGGTCTGGAACAAGTTCTCAGCAAAAAGCTGGCGCGTCCTTTCGGGAACGACCTCTCCTCCCAAAGCAGGGATGATGAGATCAAGGAGCCGCTTCAAGGATTCAATATCAAAGGCTTCGTCGGCGGCAAGACTGTTAGGCCCGGACTGCATCTCACAGTCTGCATTTGTCACACTATTAGTGATGACGACTATCATGTCCCAAATCTCTGGCAACGTAGCTGAAGGTATTGCCAGAGATGGGAACTGCGGCACAGTTGCCTCAAGGATGGCCAGCACTGAAGTTGTTGCCTCTTGCCAGGGTTGGGCAGACTTCGTGAGAATGGGGAAGCTGTATTTGAGGACGATAGGCAGTGACAAAGCCTCCAGAGCGGCGACGTATGCTCCACTGTCATAGATATCGACATCAGTCGTGCGTGGAAGGATCAGGTCCTTAAGCATGGCCATGCATGCTTTTGACATGGCGACAAAGGTTCGCTTCTTGTTTGGATTCGTGGCTTCAGATTTTCGCGGTCTTGTGTACGCCAGCGAGACGAAACTTGATGCTTGCTTGATCAGAGCAGATGGGGTGCCTGGAATGTCGGTTCGGATCATCTTGAGGACATCCAGGACCTGTCCTTGCAGTGGTGTCATGTAGTCTATGTCGCTGACGAAGGCTTCAGGTACGGCAGCTTGCATAGCTTCCTCGAGGAGCGAGAGCATACGTGTAACCTGCTCTACGGTGACGCTGGTCTCAATGAGACGGTACACATCACGGAGCGCCGCCACATACGCGATGAGGCACTTCTGATTGTCCGTGAGCTTTTCGGGATTCCTCTGCTGCGAGATGGGAACGCCGCGTGACCACAACTGCCAAGCCAGGTCGATTGTTGTCGCGTCAAAATTCTTCTCGGAACCGCTTTGACATTGTGACAGGATCTGTGTCAAAGCCTTGAATGTGGCAGTGTTGATTTCCATGACGTGGAAGTCAAGCATGGACTCAAAATGCCCAAGCAGCTCCTGCCAGTAGGTGTTGAAAGTGGGGTGCTCAATCAGTGTGTCCAGGTAGTTCGAGAGCAGCCCGGAGATTCCATCTAGAATCACGACTGCCGTCTCATACCAGTCTTGTCGGTACTTGTCGTCACTCTCAATGGTCGCAGCTGTGCGGAGCTCTTCTTCGATGGATGAAAAGAGCTTAAAAACAACAGACTTGATACACACGGACCACGCTTCAGGACTGAGCTTGTCACCATAGGCGTCAAGAACCCGCAGCAGAGTTTGTATTGCACTGTTACGAAGTTCAATCCTCTCGTCTGCAGTGACAGCCGTCAACCGTAGGAGCAGCAGCATCCACAGTGCTGCGTCGGAAGAGCCGTTGTTGGCCAGGGACGCCTTCTTCACAAGGTCTGCCTCAGAAATACCGACCAGGTCATTCGAGATAGGCAAGGACGTGTTTTTGTTTGAGAGAAAATCGGATAGGACCCAGAAGAAGGTGATCGTGGTCAGGGCAATGTTGAGATCATCCTCTTGAGAGCAAAACTTGTACAGTGTGTCGACCAGGATGAGGAAGCATGAGTTCGGGAGAGAGCTAAGGAAGTCGGAGCAGATGAGCTGAAGTGAGCTGAACGCGGGACGTATCAGCCGGTTCGAACGGGTCACCAGCCGGATTTGCGGCGCGGTCGGGTTTCGCGGCTCGACGTCGGCGACAGCACGTTCCTGCACGAAGATGCTGTCGATGATCTTGAAGCACGTTTCCCAGCCTTGAACGAGGGTGTCGCCACAGTCCTCAATGAGATCCTTCAGTCCATCAAGTATGATTTTATGGATCTCGACGTCAGTCAGGTGCTCGGCGACAGACGTTTGCCTCTCCTCATCTTGCAGCGGCGAGAGGGCATTTTGTACTGCTTCTAAGAGTCGCAGCTGAACAGCCCCGCGGCTGTTGTCGCTGAGACTGTTTGCAGCCTTGGCCGCGTCCAAGACAATGCGAATGATGATGTCGGCAGCTCGCGTCCTGATGACTGGTGCAACATCTACAGCCGTCAGGGTGATACTCAACTCGCTTGTCATTTTGTTCCACCCAGAGACATTGGGCGGGTAGCTGAGTAGTCTCTCGACATTGATGATCGCTAGGTCGCCCAGCTTCGCCAGCGCGAATTGATCCTCTTGGGTCGGTGCGGATGTTGGGGCAACAGAAGCAAATGAGATTTTGCGATGTTGGCCGCTTGGAGTGCGCAAGGCTGGGGTTGGCGGCGCCAAAGGTGACTGAGGTCGGCTTGCTGCAACTGACTCTGAGTCAGACTGGCGCTGCAAAAGGCCACAGACTGCAGTTACCACCTCGACAAAGGCGTCATTGGGAAAGTCAACGGTGCTTTCAAACAGCCTGGACGCCGCCGTCTCCACTGATCGAGTCTCAGCCTTGAAATTGCCAAGGAGACTGGTTGCCTCGCTCTCCGCATGGGGATCCGGGACCTTGGAGTGCGCTACTGGCACCCTCCCTGGCGATTTGCCCGTCATGAAAAGCACAAAGTCAGCCTGCTGCAAAGTCTCAAGCACGATGGTCCATGACTTATTCAGCGTGGGGCCTAACGCGATGCCGAGGTTGAGAAGCGCGCGCAAGCAGAGAAGATTGCGGGTGTTGATTGCCTGCGATGTGCTGTTTGCGTCCATCGACGACTGCCTTTGTCGCTCACCCGCGGTTCCCACAGGAGTTACTAGGCTCTCGACGCTCAGCAGACCGCGGGCGTTATTGAGCAAGCTACTTGAAGCTTCGCCCGCTAGTGTGCTTGGCGGCTTCGCTGCGCTTGCATTCAAGCATGCTGAAAACACATTCGGGGGCACGGCTGCCTTGCCCAAAGTCGTCAAGAAAGCGTCCCTCGGAGTCGAGAGCTGCAATAGTCCTGCGACATGTGCAAACTTCTGGAAAGCTCGAACGAGACCGTGGTAGAATTCGGAGTCGAGCGCAGAAAACAAGAACGTCGAGCACGTCGCCAGGATGGCCGGCCAGCATGAGTCGATAATTTCCGCGCATATCTTGATATCCGCGATCAAAGGATGATCTTGGAGTGTGAGAGGATTGACTGGGACCGGATTTCGCTTGAAAGACGCGGAGCGCTCCAGGGTGCCGTCATGGACTTCGCTCCTGTCCACGGCCTTGGTGTCTGGCGTACCTGGAGCATCTGAAGGTGCTGGCGAGGCCTTTCCAGCTGAGTCATGTTTCGGTACTCTTTTCCTGGAGCGACCATCAACAGGAACGGTCAAGGGCAAGATGAATTTGGCGAGGCCTTCGGAGAGCGATGTTATGCAAGACAAAGTCAAAGCGTAGATGTACGATTCGGGTACGGGCGGCGCTTCGTTCTTGTCGAGCTGATCGATGCATGGCAGTCGCACCATACTCCACTGCGCGCTGATGCCAACGTTGGGGGCGTCACCGCCAACGGAACCGCTGATGATGCCAGAAACACTGCTTGCCTCAATCATGACCTGTTCTGAACTTGAGCCGTCGCTGCCATAAGGGTTTGCGGCAGGTATCGTTGACTGGTTCCCTAACCCAATGACCTGCGGCTTCTCGGTACTGACACGTACGAAAGTGGCGGTGATTTTCTGCAAGACCTTCTTCTGGCCCTCTCTCGCGTCGTACAATGAGTATATCCGTCGTAGCAATGCTGGCTCTGCAAAGATGCCCCGAAACACTTCCATGCATAGCGCTCTCTTCCAGAGAAACGTATCCTGATCCAAAACCTGAGCGAGGATATCAAGCGCCTCAGCTCCTTCTGAGCCGAGGACATCCAGGTGCCACTTTAGCAACGTGTACAGTATTCGAACGACACGGACGGAGACGGCAAACTTTGGCTTCCCCGTGAGTGCCGCAATGATGAGGGGTAGCACATTGGTGCGTATGATGTGGGCTTGCTCCGGGTGTGAGGTAAAAGTCGCTGCATGGCTGGTGAGGACTGACTCGATCAGCTCCAGGCCGAATGTCTGCGGCAGGCCAGAGAACCGAATATACTCGGCTCTTTGGTTCTCAGTCAGCAGGCAAATGTCGCGGAAAACTCGATAAGCATCCATTGCTGCTGAGCGGAGATTGACGGCGCCATCTTGCGTAGGTGCATCGCCGACGAATTCTTCATTGGCAGAAGACTCTATGAAGCGAACGTCAGTCAGAGTCGACACAGAGAGGTGCCTGTGGAATGGAAAGGGCTCACTATCTTCAGTGGCTACCTTGTCGAATACGGAGACAAGCAGCTGCTGCAGGGTGGCGGCCGAGGTGTTGTTGATGATGCCATTCTTGCTGGTCTGCAGAATGAAGCAGATGTTGAGCGCGGTGACAAGCAGATCTCCCTTAATATCTGCCGAATAATTCTGCAGTAGTGTTGGCAGAGCCTGCAAGACCTTCAGCTGAGCATCGACGCCGGCCGAAGTCGCCTCCCGGAGGGCTTCGAGGATGGAGTTCAGCTTGGACCGGGGGAGTGCACTGATCACGATGAGCCGCAGCAAGCAGACGATGGCAATCCCTGTGAACTTGGCATTCTTGGTGCCGCACGCGACGATTAGAGGGTTGACGAAGTTGACCTTCTGGGCAAGCTCTGTAGTGGCGGGAGCAGCGCGCGCCGGATATTAGCCTAGAGAAGACCAGGGCTTGAAGCTTCAGAGAGAGGTCAAACACGCACCGGCGGCAATCTGGGCTTCTGTAGTTCCCCTGAGGGATTTGAGTTCCTCTAGCGACTTTTCTGCGGCCTAATTACTGGAGCGTCAGCTGGAAAGACCATGCACCCAATATTGGGGATGGGCTGAATGTACCTGGCGCAGATCTGTGTTCTTGCGCTTGCTCTCCTGGATGAGGTTGGCAAGCTCCGTCGCCAACAGCTGAGTGGTCATGGTGCGCACTTGCAAGAGTCCATGAGCGAAGCCGTGGTCGCCTATGCAGAGAGGCGATGTTTACGGAGATGTCGAGGTGCGAGACAGACAGCTAGATGACTCCAATCTGGTTCAGACACGTGTGAGGCACAGGAAATGCACATGAGCTGGTTCATCGCTCCCTTCGATGTGAGCTCTAGAGGTCGACTCGCCAATCGTAGGCTGCCATAACATGAGGCAGGAGCTCAAGTGGACACCTGGAAGGAGGCACTAGGGTCCCTGCAGGTGCTGGGAGTTCTGAGCCTACCTGGGACGTCTGTCTGCCTGAGTGGGCCGCGGCCCTGGCGTCAAGGTCCCGACCCTCCAGGGCTGACACACGCCGGGCGAGCCAGCATACGGAGTGAGGGTACGTACCACCACGAGGTCGAGCCCCCACTCCGCTGCGACCCCACCAACCTTGACGTCGTGAGCTTCGAATGTGAGGCGAGCTAGACCGTAGCTCCTAGACCACATACACAGCAACATCATCCTCGTTGCGCTGACCAAAAGGCTGCAGCGCATCTTGTAGCACGCGTAGCAGGCCACTCATCCGCCTCGAACAAGCGAAACCACGACTCGACTCTTGCCGGGAACAGCTCATCGACGCGACAGCGCGGCATCAAGATGGGCGCCAAAATACCCCGCAACTTCCGCCTGCTGGAGGAGCTTGAGAAGGGCGAGAAAGGTCTTGGAGCTGGTATGCGGCCATGCCCACCAAAGATTGACTGCATTCCAGGAGATTCTGAAGGCTAACAACCACGTTACGAAATGTAGAGGCCTGCTCGTATGGTCTGGACAACCCCGATGATCTGCTCATGTCGGACTGGAACGGCACCATCCTCGGTCCCCCTCACGTGAGTTCACACAACTCAGGTGCTTGTGACTGAGGCACAATCGCTGGGGAAGGCTACTGGGCTTTGTACGCATGCTGATCACTTCACGAAAATCTCCTGCAGAGCGTACACGAGAACCGCATCTACTCGGTGAAGATGCACTGCGGTCCCGAATATCCCGACAAGCCCCCAACGATCCAGTTTGTGAGCATGGTCAATCTGCCTTGTGTCAACCCCAACAACGGCGTGGTCAACCCTAAGGAGCTGCCCTGCCTGAACACCTGGAAGAGGGAGAATACAATGGAAACAATCCTGATCGAGTTGCGGAGGTACGCGGCGAAGCTCATTTTCCCCGGCGTACTCAGTGCTGACAATTTTGATTCTCAGATATATGGCATCTAGCGTGTGCAAGAAGCTCCCTCAGCCCCCGGAGGGCACGGTCTACCCTGACAACTAGGGACCATGTGGGAACTCGTGGGAATAATGAACCCTGACGGGCAAGGTTGAGGATAGCCGGTGTCGCAGTCCCTTCACGTGAGGGCCCTTAGAGATGACAGAGGGACGACAAGGGAATATTAAGCCTAGAGAGATATTCTTAGGGGTGCCCGGTCGGACCTTTAGCTTGAAGAACAACACCTATACTTTTTCGTACGCGGCCCAAGACTGGGCTTTGGTCCGCGTGGTGGCCTGTGGATATTATGCGTTCAAGTGCCCAAGTGTTGTTTGCATGATTCGAGAAGAACGATGCGTGAGGACAACAAGTTCTGCTTACCAACTACTTGCTGTTTGAGAGTTGGTAAACCCATTCCACCATGTTCTGCCTTCGCGTATGTGGCATATGCCGTCTGTACTGCACGTGGAGCTGCGTGGACCCTGAGTGCGGACTCAATTCCGCACTTGCAGACCAGACCAGAAAAGTTTCCGGACGAGACAGCTGCACAGCTCAACACCAAGCGCTCGAGCACGCGACATTCACTTGACGAACCCGACACCTATCCAAGCCTGATCGCACCGCTTTCTGCGCGCCACTTGCCTGGGGCCTGCAGGCGCCCACTCTCTCCTTCCTGTGGCCGTCGTCTGCCCCTAAGTCCACAATACGACCCCCGGCCGCCAAATCGTGGGCTTCACAATTCCCATGGAGCTTCAGACAGCAGTAGCACCCACGAGCCCGCCCCTCAGCAAAATCCGGCTGGACCGGACCTTCGTCCCAGCCCGCTCGTCACGGCACCGGATAGCCGTCATCGCCCTCTACCGCGCCCTCATAGCCCTCGCCTCGAGCATAGAGCTCCCGCCCGAGCTCACGCAGGCATGGCATGACGCCCGAAGCCCAGAGAGCAAGCAGTCGACCCGGACACCACCGCCGCCGCTCGTCGCGATTGTCCGCCGCACGTTCAAGCGCAACCGGGCCGACGTCTCCCCTCGCATCGTGGCCCCAGCCCTGCATGCCGGCTACCGCTCCCTCGCCCTCCTCCGAGATGCCAAGGCGGCCTCGACCAACATCAACCCCAACACCGACTCGCCTCCCTCCTCCTCCTCCTCCTCTTCCGCTGCGCGCGACCAACTCCTCGACCTCGTCCGCACCAAGCTCGCCGAGCGCCAGCGCTCCGTCTCCGCAAAGCAGGCATGGCTCGCCGCGAACCCGCCCCCGCCTCCGCGGCGACGCGACCGCCCAATCCTAGTCCGGCTACACCCGATCCCGAGTGAGGAGAACCCATTCCCGAAGCCGGAATACCACACGCCAAACCACCCACGGCCCCTAGACGAGATTCGCGAGAGCTGGGCGGCCAGGCACCCCGACGTTCCCGGAGGGCACTGGCGCATGCGGAGGATCCCGCACATCGACATGGCGCACGCGGTGCCCTTCCTGCGCAGGGGCCACGGGTTCGACCCGCTCCAGCAGAGCATCATACAGACGCGCATGGGGAAGGCGGTCAAGAGGATGCGCGACTACAAGTGGATTGAGCGTTACGAGATCCCCGACGCCCAGCTCGAGGATGCGTGGGAGGACCTCGTGCGCAGGCAGGCCGAGCGGGAGAGCGGGGTGAGCGTGGGCAAGATGGCGTCCGCGCTGACGGCAGATGCGGCCAGTACTGCCGGGGAAGACGGCAGCGGCGGCGGGGCCGAATGGTGGAAGGTCGGGAGTGTGGCGGACAAGGTGATGAACTTGAGAAGGGACACGTGGGATAGCCAGTCTCTGAGGGCGGCAGAGCAGGAGCGTCAGCGGAGAGAGCAGGCCGAGCGGGACGCGGAGAACCCGCCGAAACCCAAGGGGAACTGGTGGGAGAGCGGCGAGCAGAAGCACGGCGTCATGCGAGACATGTGGTCGCGAAATGCCGCGGACTCGCCGCGCCCTCTGAGCTCACAGGACACTGCGAGTGCTTCTCCCGCTGCTACTCCTGCTGCCACTGCACCCGCGACTACGACGCTGGAATCACCGCCGTCATCATCAGCAATGCAGCCTGGCCCAGGATCCGTGGGAAAACCACGATCCAAAAAAGAACGCGCAGCCCGCTTGTCCCCACTCCTTGACGAGCTCGCCCACGATGCCGTCCAGTTCCCAGAGAACGGGGGTTTCGACAGAACCGCCTGGGTGCATGGCATCCAGCGCATCCGCACGCTCTTTTCGTGGACAACCGAGGTCCACAACGCGCGCGCCGACGCCCTGCGCAAGCTCGTCCTCGAGGAGAAGGCCCTGCTCGCCAAGGAGAAGGCCGAGGACTCGGCGGCGCGGCGGAAGAAGTGGGAGGAGAGGATGGCCGCAGAGCACGGCGAGGACAAGTGGCGCGACGTGGTTGCGGAGGAGACGAGGGCACGGGACGAGGCGCGGCTTGCGAAGCTTGAGAAGATCAAGACGAATGTCTTAGAGAGGGAGAAGGCTCTGGAAGCGGCCAAACAAGATTCCGAGGACCGGGTTCGCGATGTGGTGAAACGATGGGGAGGACGTGGGAAGAAATGGAAGAAATTCGTCCCGCGAGTGCATACGGGGTATGAGTGGGAGCAGACTGGGTTGGGGGAGGCAAAAGTGAAGGGCAACGGTGGAAAGGGTGGGAATGGTGGCAAGGCGCATGGAGCGAGGGATCGGGCTGCGAAGCCAAAAGAACGTGAGGGTCGGCAGAAAAGAGAGAAATAAGCAGAATATCTGGAGCAGAGTGGCACGTAGGCAGCATGGGCAACCAAGGTTACGCTCTTGATGATCCTGAGTGCCGCAATGCTCCGTCGTGTAGTCCGGTATCCGGGTAGTCACGCAGCCCGATCGCGCTCCTGGGCCAAGAACGAGGATGATCAAAACCAAAGAGGTGACCTTGATGCAGTACATGCGTGAAAAGACCTTCGCGAGGCATACAAAAGTGCTACAAGCCGGGCCAAATGGCAGGCATGTCAGACATTTGCCACTTCGCGGTTATGCGGAGAGCTTTGAGGGTGCAGAAATTGTTGCATTTCATTCCCTCGCAGTCATTGCTCATTAGATCTATCATGTGCTATTCTCCCGCGGTCGTATGTGGCGCCTACAACATAAGGATATGCCAAACACCAGTGAACCACGATGCTCGCTGCGACACGGAACGCGTAAATCAAAAGTCAGCCGATCAAGTCAAAGCTGTGACGGCGCCCCAGAAAGCCTGGTTAACGTCGGCCGGGCGAAATCCAAGAGTGCGCCCAAGATAAATGGTTTGCGATGCAAGATCTAGGCAGGTCAGTTTGGGAAGGGTGCTCGAGGGGGGAGGAAGAAGACTGACCATCAAGCAGCTTGTTTATGTCCACCCTCACCATCTTGCGGGGCTCTCCAGCAGACGAGGACGAGGACTCTGGCGGAACAGGACCGCCAAACGTTGATGAGGGCGGGTTATTCCATCTCACTTCGTTGAATTGTCCATCGTTAGGCTGGCCATCATTCGCTGCGTGGCCGACCATGTGAGGTACTTCAGACAGCTGAGAGGCACTGCTGTCCTGCGTCAGGAACGCCATGGGATTGATCTCCACGGTGCAAGCCTCATTCGCATTCGAGAGTGAGACTCCTCTCTGTGTCAAGTAGAGGTTTACCTCGTCACAGTCCCAGATTACGCTTCTCGCAATCGGCAACTGCATCGCTTTGCATATCTCTAACAGTCTCCCTCGCAGGTCGGATGCCCTGATCTCGGCACTCCCAGACTGGTAACTGCTGCCACTCTTAAAGTGATTCGGCGCACCGGCTGGCGGTGCCTGTTGGTGCCTGTCTACATACTGCGATGTGCTGCCACCATCGGTGTAGTACGGGAATTGCATGTTGTACATCACTTCATCTCGGCTGCGCTGCAAGTCTTCATTGATGCGCCTCCGAACCTCCTCTTGTGATTCAAACACGGACGAGAAACCGAGGACGCGAAGAATGGTTTCTGCCGGCGGGTTCGTCATACTAAGCAGGGTGGCAATCTTCTCCCTGGCGTGCCGCTGTAGCCTTCTGCCGAAGCCACTCATGGGGGAGGGATCCGCATGGGGCAAGGGAAACGCACTGAGTTGCGGCTGTCCTGTCCAGGGCATGCCTTGCAAGAAGTCGGCGCTCAGGTCGATCTTGTTCGGTGCAAAACTCGCATTGTCGTGGGTAGGAACGGCGATGACCTCGTATTCTGAGCTTCCGCGGCTCTGGTATGCTCCATAGCCATGGCTATCATGACCATCGTAGCTGGCGGCAGTGCTTCCGAGCAGTTGCTGAGATTGGCCATTTGGTTTTGCGCCATGCGAAGAAAAATCTTTGCTCTCCTCAGACTTGATGATTGGCTCCGAGTCGTCCAAGGTACTCCGGTCGTGCACGTCTTCTGAAGTCGAATCCTCGGATCGTGCTGAGCTTTTGCGAGTCTTTGTAAGGGCTCGAACCTTGTGCAGATGCCGCGCGAGCTCGGGCATTTGAATTAGAAGATGACTGTACTGATTGGCACAGTTGACAAGATCGTGGACCGCTTCTCTCATCTCTACGTTGTCGTCCTTGAGCCTTTTCACCTGACCCTCCAGGTCGTTCATGGCTGTCTCTTTGCGACTTCGGTATGCTCGCTGGGCAAGCCGGATCTGGGTGCGGCGGCGCTGATCGAGCCTGTTAGCCTCCTCAGTCTTGTCGCCATATAGAATCAGATCATGCGTGCTACTCACCTCAGATGCGGTCTGGTCCGTGGTCTGCAGCCGCGGTCGACCCCTCGCTCGTTTTACTTCATCCTCGGCTGTATCTGGCTGTACTTCATTCTCTGCAGTCTCGAGCCTAGGTCGCTTCCCCACACGACTGGGAGTCGTCTCAGTTGGCCAGGTCCGCTGGCTGGGCGGCGCGCTTTTGTTACCAAGAGCCACGCTAGACGCGTTGTCAGCCGGTTCGGTTTTCCAGGCGGGAAATGCGTCGTTGTATCGCTCAGTATTAGCACCTCGGAGAGCAGCGGGTTGCGAGTAGCCCGGCTGCTCTGCAGGCAAATGTATGGACTCGTGGTGCCGGTGTTGCGGAGCTAGCGGCACTGGACTCTGAGGCACAGTCTCTGGCTGACCGACGATGCCGTAACCGGGCACGGTCACATTCCCAGGATGCCGGTCCACGGTAGACTGTGGCATGAAGGCGCCCAGGGATTGGAAGGTCGGCTGGCCATGACTGAACTGCTGCTGCTGCTGCTGCTGGTCATACTGGAAAGGGCTGGAAGCTGGGCCTCGAGAGTGGCCCAGCCCAAAGGCCTGGGCCTGGGCTGCCGTGGTGCCGACGGTGGGCGAGGACAGAGGGACAGCCCCGAAATGTGATTGCGATGGATGCTGGTGCTCGCGGGGACCAGACATTGGCAGTGCCGAGAGTGCGTCCTAGTGTGGCCAGGCGGTCGCAGATGACGATGGCGCTCGGTGTGGAGGAGATCGTGCCGGAGATATCGCCGTCCGCGACAGGCAGGCAATGTGCGGGCGGGGACTGGGGGGGTTGCGGAATTCGAGCCCAATGGCCGTACTCGACGCAGACCTGCCAGCAAGACCAAGAGGTGCCTTGGACGAAGAGACCGACTCGTCGGATCCAGGAAGGAAGCAGCCGGAGCTGGGCTGGAGCTGATAAAATACAGGGCGCAGCGAGGTACCTTTGAAGGCCAGGATCCTCGCCAGCCTCGCCTCGACAGTGGGCCACAGCAGAGAGCTCCCCGTGCTGCTACCGAAGGGCTCGGCAGCGCAACGCGCCGCGCCGAGGAGCTAGGGGGCGAGCGGGCAGGGTCCCGGCACCGGCAGTGGGACGTCAAAAGCTCAGCGTATGAGTGTGTGTTGTGTGTGCGCGCGCGTGTGTGGGTTGCAGTCCCAGCAGGTGGTGATTAGTGAACAAGATCCGGGGGTGGACGATGAATCGAGGTGCAGGTGGGTGCTGCTGTTCTGGAAAATACCGGTAGCTCTGGCGATCTTGCCCCGAGGGGGGCGTTGGGGCAAGGAAGAAGCTCGCGGCAAGCTCGAAAAAAGACCCAGTATCCCGGTGTCAAACGCCTGGCGTTGGCAGCTGCCGCCGGGGATGACGTGTGCCTGAGGCTGCCACTGGCTGTGCTCAGCTCCTTCCTTTGGACGAGAAAGAGGCAAACACCATGTACGCGTTGCAGCCTCACCACCACCTTGTCCCCTTCAGCCTCAAACTCACGGTTCAATCACGGGTCCTGCCTGTCGCGTCTTTGGGTCTGCCCCCAGTGTCCTCCTCCACTCAGCGCTTGTTGGTGCTGGCCTTGCAAGGGCACCGGCGACAGGCCACGACTCTGCCCTACCACGCCAGGGAACGCGACGGGGAATGCTCCGGCTTTGCTTTCTTTTCTCCCTGCTCTTTCGAGACTCTCGTCCGGTCCCTGGTCAATCTTGTGGCCGGCGCGGCTCCGCTATCACCTGCCCCGACACTCGCGAGTGGTGGCTCCCCTGGTCGCATTCCACATCATCATCATCCCTCGCTGGCTGCTCCACCGTCTTCAACGTATGTATTGCCGTCCCCACCAAGCATCAACTGCCGCGTCGTCTCGCGCTACTAATCGCTTTTGGCCTAAAGCTCTCCTTAGCCCCCCTGCACGCATGTCTTAGGCGTTGGCCAGAGCCATCTGTCCCATCCTCGCATCAGTCCAAGGTAAGGTATCGGATTCCCTCCCGTGTCACGTCTGTCAAGCCTCGGTGCCCCAGAACACAAACCCCATGACTGAACATTTTTCTTTTCCCTCATCATCTCCTCCGCCGCCCCGGGTAGGTTGATCCGGTCCCCTTGTTGCGTTCCCACGACCACAGTTTACCCCCTCAGCCTTGTCCCCGCCTCAATGCACGGCTTACACATCCTCCCTGCTGTCAAAAATGCTTCTTTCCCCATAAGCTTGACGCGCCGCCTGCAGCTAGTAAGTAAATAGAGCGTGGACCGTGAGAGCTAGCAATGCAGCTGACCCCCGGCGGCGGGTTGCAGTCCCATCCCGCGCCCCTGCAACTGATCGGCCTGTATTGCTCCCGATTCCAAGCCAGTCCCAGCATTACGGAACGTTGCCGGCGATCGAGGCATCCTTATTGATCTCTGAACCGCGCCAAGTCAACTCCATCAGGCAAAAATCGACACTGCCACCAATACTCGCTCCCTGCTGGCACAACAGATCGGATATAGAGACACAAGGGGCCACACATGGCCCATCATTTGAACACGTGATACTGGGCACTCGAAAGCACCACCAGGAACCGGAATTAACGAAATCAGCGCAATTCACCCATTGCTGCTTGCTGCATACTACTTTCCAGTCTAACTTCACCATTATCCTCCGTTCAAGGCTATTCTTCAATCCCAGCCCAGCCTGCGTTCGTTCAGTAAACTCATACCTGATCTTCCAATATCCAGCTTGGCCAGTACAACTGCCAAAGTCGCCAATGCAGCCGTGAGACCGTTGGCCGCGACGTAGCATTTGAGCGTCGCTTTTTGCATGACCACATACTTGCGAAGGTGTCACCTGTCAGTAATCTGCACTGCTTTTTGTACTTCCGTCGGGATATATTGCTCGTATGACTATCAAGATCGGCAGTGGCGTACGGTCTGGGCCCAGGCGCCCATTGCCGCTTTTGTCCATGTTCTGTGTTTGGCCATCAGGAAGTGTAAGAAGAGACTGCATCTTATCAAAATCTGGCATGTTCGCGTGCTCCATGGACACCGGAGAAGTTGTTCCGGGCTTGGACACAGCAACGATCTGCACGCCAGCTTACAGGCGTCTCAACTTCTCTTTGCTGTGCAGAGAAGGTCTAGACCCTGGCGAGGCGGAAGCTTTTCCGTGGCTATTACTCCTGATTCGTTTTTGGGGGAAGAGACGAGTGGGTAATTGTTCAACCATCCGGCCGAACCCCTGAAACGCAGGGTTAAGTTGAGGCCCGGTTTTTGCGCGAGTATTTGCTTTTTCCTCCTCTGTCGCGGCCTTGGTGAGTGTCCGAGGGACCAAGTCTAGAAAGAGAATTGACGCCATCGCAACGGCTCGGGATGTTTTGACTCGAAGGAAGCTGGGGGCCTGACTCGGCGTGCTGCGGCCCTTGACAAGCGAGGCGAGCTGCAGGAGATGTTGGTCGCCGCGCATAGAACAATCTTCATCTTCGCCACATTCATCGACGCCTCATCCTCGTTGGCGACCCTGGCGATGCGTCTCGATACAAATGTACTTGGGGCAGGTCCCCCGCCACTTTCCCGCAGAGGAACACCCACACCGAGCCGCGAGACTAGAACCGTGCCGGTCATCCCAGCTGTCTGAATTACCGCAACAGCTGTTTGGTCTGAGGCAGATTAGGACACGAAGGCAGCACGCGTCCTCCATTGAGCGGCTAGCTCTGTAGCCCGAATATGGACACTATCGCCCCTCCACTTTCCATGGAGCGTATCAGATGTTCCGGCACAGCCCACTCCTCATCAACTCCGTCCATTGCCACCAGATGCCAGCGGGGACGACTCACGTCCTCTTCCGTCACCGACCGCATCCGGGCCGACTCACTCTGTACACCAGCGGCATAGTACTCGACATAGAAAGCGACCGACATCTCCAGCACATACGTGAGGGAGCGCAGTGCGGGGCTTGAGCTATCCTCAGGCGCTGGCAGACAGCTGACCAGCGGCAGCAAGTGTGGCACAAAGACGCCATCGTCCGGCCTGTTGCGGAACGAGAACTGCGGAAAATCGCCGTCCTCGCGGGCCCACGCCCGCCCGCCAGGAGGAGCAAAATCTGACGTATCCGAGTCGGCCGAGTCGAAGGCGGCCTCGGACGCGTCAGAATCCGTGGGAGCCTCGCTTCCTTCGTCTTCAGACGCTTTGTCCTCGTCGCCAGTCATCAGCCACTGCCCTCGCCATGTCGTGCCTGTGGACTCGATGCGCACGGTCTGCAATGCTTGGCCGAACACTAGACCAGTACTCACCCCTGCTGCGAAGACGGTCACCGGGTCCAGGGTCCAGAAGCCGGAGAGCTCGCAATGGGTGATGTTGGGTAGTTTGAGGACACGCCCGACTCCAACACTCAGCGCATCATCGGAGTTGTCGTCCTCTTCGGAGAAATCTCCCGGTTCGACGCGCTGGTCTCGCGGGTCGCCGTCCTCTAAGTAGATCTTGAGCACCGTGACCTGGTCCAGCTGAGCCATCCGCAGCGTGGTTGCGAGAGAGGAGCGTATCTCCCGCCGCACAGCTTCCAACCGCCGAGGCGGCATGAGGCAATCCCACTGGACGTTCACCATACTTGGCAGAGCCGCGGCAAGGCTAGTGATCACACTGGGATGCAACCGCCGCCCTGCTCTTGGCCATTCGCTGCGCAGGTCGAGCGCTGTGACGGCCCGAGTCTGGGGCAGACCTGCCGTGCCTAGGATGCTGGGATCGAGACGCAGGTATTTGAAGTCGTTCCGCATGTCCCATATGGGCGGCCCATCGTGCCGGTGCCTGAGCGACGCGTGCAGGGCCTCATCGAGATCGGCGGGCGCTGAGGCGCTGAGGATGAGCGCGATGCCAGTGGTGTCTTCCCTGGTGCCGACTTCTGCCGCGCTGACACTCCCGGCTTCCACTCCTGTTAGTGCCGGTGCTGAGGCGGCGTCTTCTCCTGCGTTCTGTTCTTCCTCTGCTTCCCAGGCACTCAAGAGCGTGAAGAGAGCCACCAGGGCCCGCGTGAATTCCGCGTCATTAGCAGCGGCCTCCCGAGAGCTCTGCAACTTCTTGAAGCGTTTCGGGGTGATCTCCGGGAGAATGACGTGGTAGTGTATCTTCTTTAGACTGCGTCTGCAGCTCTGCGAGGAGTAGGTGCTGGAGAAGTTGGCCAGGGAGTCCGGGGCGCTTGTCACCCTGATCGACGTGGCGTCTTCTGGGCCGATAGGCACAGACATGATTTCGATGGTCAAGGGTGAGAGGCAGACAGGATTATGGTGTTCATGTGTGCTAGAAGAGATGTCGAGGTTGAAGTAGTTGCTCGATGAGGGGAATGGAGAGTTATAAAGTGACTACGGATTTATCTGAGGGTCCCTGGAAGGTGGATACTATGGGCTTGGCGATGGAGGGTCCTTGCGCTCCATACGAGCACAATGCTCTGGCCGCGAGATGAGTTCGAGTAGCCGTCACAACGTGGATGCCTGTCACGAGCAAGCTGAGACTTGGTCGGACTTCCTAAAGCACGGAGATCACCTTGAATTACGAAGCCCCCCCCCCTCCTTCCGGACGGCGCCATGTAAACGAAAACATGCTAGGGAAACCTCTGATGAAACTAACTCTACTTGTGAAATTGCTTATGCTATGTGCAGTGCCCGACGGTGGGGTTGCTCGGATCGCTGAGCCTACAGTCGCCGCTGCAGCAGAGGGTATTGCTTGTCCCATCACATTGGGCACCTTTCGGCAGGCAGCACTGTGGAGAATTTCCGAAGACGACCATGCAGCTTCCGGCGCAACACTGGTTATCTGCGCTGCAGGTTGCTGCAGGTGTAAGACAAGCGGTGGTAACGATAGTTGTGGTGGCGGTGGTGGTCGTCGACGTGCTGACAATCACGCTCGTCGTGGTGGTTGTCGTGGTAGTCCGACCTCCCGTGACCGTAGTAGGCAACGTAATGGTGGTTGTCGCCTTTGCCGTTGAAGGCTTTTGGATGCAACTGCAAAACTGGCTCACTAAGTTTGGTGCTTGCGACAGGAGATCGCACAAGCGTGAGTCGTAAGGACAAGTATTTGATCGGGGCATTGCTTTGGCAGTGGGATACCTTATCGTTTCGTCATCGCGGCGCTGGAATCTCACCCTAGGAGCACCAGTAAAGGTGGTTGAAGTGGCAGTTCTGTGAAGTCTCATTTAGCAAGGTGGTTCGCAACATGGGCAGCTTTGATTGCCTACGTAGTGGTCATTGTCGTAGTTGTGGTAGTCGTTGACATAGTGGATAAATCAGTTTCCGTGTACGTCGAAGTGAATGTACTGAATACCGTAGAGGTCCTTGTACTCGTCGTCGAAGCTGGGATAGGGTAGAACTTCGCACAGTAGCTAACCACTGGAGGGACCGATGCCAGGGGAGCGAAGACGGCGAGCACACCAGTCAGGCAAGCTCCTCTGACTTCTATGACCGCGGCGTCGGCCGTCATACACCCAATTATTGCAAGAGAAAGCAAGAGTTTGTGGATCGATTTGCACTTCATCTTTCCGGAGTCGTAGTCAAAGGACGGGGCGCTGGAGATGGACTTCCAAACACAATTGTATCTGAATAAAAGTGAAGACCTGTGGGACCGCTCTATAGCTTGGGCTCTTGCGTTCCAGATCGTTCTAGTCCTATATAGCTGCGAGAACTTCGGGAAGCCAAAGTTAATTGCTACTGTACCAGTGCTCCGTCCCCATGGTCGTGCGGAGTGCTCATAGAAGAGTCTTACATGTGTACCGGCAGAATTTCTTCCGTGCTTTAGCGTCAGCCTCGGAGAAAATCTGCGTAACTATGCACCCTCCATCATGTCCCTTGGATCGTCGAGCAATAATCACCTTCCTGTCCTCAGAACCAAACACATGCGGTACGGATTCATATTTTTAGCTTAAAAAAAGGCTAAAGAGAAGCTCAGCATGAAATGATAAACCTAAGCCTTAATAAATAAGAGACACTACAGTGGCTATGCTACTTCCCATGTATTGAAAGCCCTGTCACTCACAGCCACTGAATGAGACAGCAAGGGTGAATATTCTGCGTTTTCACGCATCAGATCCAGATGCCGGAAGCTTTGTCGATAAACTTAATGTCTCCGAGGGTGGCAAGGCCCCGGCTACACCTCACTTCCTCCTCACCCTTAGTTCCCCGCCCATTGCGGCCCGTGTTCACTCGCACAGCTGGCCAGGCCAAGACGCAGCTGGACTGTCAACTTGAAGAAAATCTAGCCTAGACTTCACAAGACCGGCGCTATTTACGCCGAGCTGGGATATTTAACGCGGCTTGAGTTGTGAGTAGGATGCGGAGCCTGCATCCTTCTCAGGATTTCTCACACGATCCGACGACTAATCATACATCCTGCTGTAACGCCTATTCGTCTACTGTGTTTATTCACATACACGATCGCGAGCAAAAATGCCTGAGAATCGAGCCTCAGCTGAGAGTGTATGCTTGTAGACCTTTGGAGCGTGGCACTCTCTTGTGTTTCAGCCCTGGCTTTCGCATCCCGTGTGCAACCAGAAGAATGCAGCTCGGAGCAGAAGGTTTAGCTTCGCAGGAGCTGGCATCGAGGAGGCGGCTATCCCAAGCGCTGAGCAACGATATCCTTGCCGCTTACTTTGAACTTCAGGTCAACATGATCTCCTTTCTCCAGGGCCAGATAATTTTCCTCGGCTTCCAAAGTCCTGCAAATCCACTTGAGCACAGATTCCTAAGAGACCAGCTGATCTATTCATACTTTCTTTCATTTGAACATTTTTTTTCTGGCTGAGTGGTCCAGGCTTTCGGGCAAGCACAAGGGTCACAATTCTGCCTGGACTTGGAGGAATGATGGGCTGAGGGCAAGTGGCGTCGAGCTGAAACTTGGCAACGGTTGGAGGCGCAATGTCAAGACCAACCAAGCTTTTTAGTGTAAACTCTTTCGTACTTCCGGAGGCTTGCAGCGTGGTCTAAATTGACTTTTACATGAGTGACAGAGCTAATCGGGGCAAGAACCACGTTCGGCATTTTTGACTCGGCATGCTCGTTCGGTAGTCAAGCGTATTTGATCCTGAGGGCTTGTGAGGTGTGCTGAGGGACTGTGCTTTGTTCCGCAATCTGAGGACGTTCCTCAGAACTCGCGCCCGCTTCCAATTCTGACAGGAACAACTCCATCGCGTAGAAGTGCTGGTATGGACAGCTTAGCTTGGTGAACAATATTTAGACTACCATGCGGTCACTAAAAGAACAGAAGGGTTGGAGCCTCAACCCACTGTGAGGGGCAGAATCGAACGTTGGAGCCTAAGAATAGGCCCCGGAATTATCCGTGGATCAACGATGGTCGGAAAAGTCCCCGAGAGTCTTATGGGGCCTGTAATGAAACAGGATCTTTCCTTGTTGACACCTCGCCGAGCCCAACGTGTCTGGCCTCCGCCCTTGCTCCTTGTATTCTGTGATCATTAACTTCCTCAGCCCCGGCCCTTGCAGACGAGGACCTATCATGGCCAGCCATGGCCGGGTCTGTACTCTCCAAATAGCCTACTGGGCCAAGTTGACAGGGTCGTTGTCATCACGCTAATCCAAGCTGGGACGTGTACGACGTGCATAGGGGGCGGCAGGGGCCCATGCCCGGCCAGGTCCATTTTTCGCCAGCACTCCTGATGACGACCGCTCCTATCAGCTGGTGAGACGTCGCTCTTTGCAAGCTTGGAGCCAACTGAGGACACTCTTGTGCATCACAGGCCTCTTCACATACTGATTACGCCTCGCCCGAGGCAAGTGTTCCCGACAGCCCGCCCACTATCTCAGAGGCCCTGAACACGCACGATAGCCCGTCGTCCCACCATCGTTGTTAGCACGAGCATGACGGGGACCGAGGACGGCACAGCCCAGCTGCCACTACGGCCCTTGACAGGGCGGACGTACCACTCAAAGTCCCGCGCCGGGTGCTTCACCTGTAAGAGGCGCCATGTCCGCTGTGACGAGGCCCAGCCAACGTGCTCGTCCTGCAAGCGGCTCCTGCTGCGCTGCGAGTATCCTGCAGGGCCGCACCGCCTGGCCAAGAAGGCTGCCCCGGCCAAGCAGCTAGCGATGCAGCGGGTACTCGAGCCACGCAAACCCAGCAACAAGACCGGCTCTTGCTCGGCTGACGTTTACTCACACCGCGCTGAAACAGCTTCGGTGGCTCTGATGATGGCAAGAGGCGCCCAGATAAGCAGGCCCCTCTGGACGGCCGATGACTCGGCGCGGGCTGTTACGCATGCCGCCTTTGCGACATTCGACCCTGTGGGCTTTACACGGGAATATTTGTTCGCGGGCATAGTGCCGCGCGAAAGCCTGTACAAGGACTACTACCGGTACGTCTGCCTCGCGGTCCGGGACCTGAGTAAGTCGACCAGCACGGCGGTGCGAGCTATGGGCTTTGGCGTCCTTGGCCATTTCGAGCACCTTATCACTCCGACATCCGGCAGCAAGGCTACCAACAGCAGCAGCGACACGTGGACCAGCAAAGACAAACATCTCATCTCGGCCGTCGGCAACTACGCTCGCGCCCTTGCGACCTTCAGGGATGCCCTGCCAGATATGGCCCCTCCCGATATTGCCTATGCGACCATGTGTTTCGCCGTGCTCGAGCTGCTCATGGGTAACTTCGGCTCCCGAAACACCATCTGCGCTGCCGGCGTCGCTGTCCTTCGGCCTTATGTCGTCTCTCCTCGAGAAGCACGGCCCGATGGCGCGGTCCGATATGGTTTGCACGTACGCTTCGGCGACTCTAGAGCTTTGTGTAACATAGAGGCTGTGGCAACCCGGTTCGCTGCGTATAGTGTGTTGGAGGGGTTGGCGGCACCGCCTCCGGTCGTCGACACGACGATTTCAGATTCCCTGGCCGCCAGCAGTGGAAAGAAACCCTTGCTTCCAACATTCCACATCCCCGACATACTCCCTAGCCCTGCTGAGGTGCGTGACGACGGAAAGAAGGACGGCGTCCTCGGTCTACTAGACTTCGACTCGCTACGACGCCAGTGGGAGGCTTTTCACGGTATACTCGAGTCGTGGCTGCTCAGCCGATATTGGGTCATCGCCATCGGTAATAGGCTCGACGCGGCACAACATCTCGATGACGAGGCTCGGCTACGTCAACACGCGGGCGTCTGGCGGCACAGGTTTCGCCGGGTGCTGGTGGCTGTCGAGAAGGAGCAGCAACAAAGAGCAGGACAGCAACGGAGCCAGGACGATACCACGGATGCCACAATGGCCAGCCTCGAGAGGGACGCGACAACAATCAGACTGCTGAGTGCGTACTTGCACTGCTTCGAGTTCTCCATGGCCGCCACGGACTGTGCCCACCTCGCCGACAGTAGCGCTGGACGAGGTCTGGAGAGAGCCAGCACAACCTCGAGCGCACAACTGGGCCAAATCCGCACAGAAGACGTGGACGCCGCGAGCCTGGTAACGCTCGCCTGCCTGCGGGCGCGAGAGATCAACGGCTTCAGCCTGCTCGGGTTCGCCGACGTGTTCCTCGACCTCACGTTGCTCCCCGTGATCCATCGACAGGCAACACGGCAGGTCAGGGCCACCCGAATGGGTAGCGGCGTGATGGCACAATCTTGTCACCATAGCGGAGGACGAGACGAAGGACATTGGCTGCTTAGTGCTGCTGCTCCAAGCACACGGGCAAGAGAGCTCGAGGCCGTTGTCAGTGAGCAGCAGCTCGCCCTCTGTGATCTCTTGTACCGCGTCGCGGAGAGGTCATTCGAGGAGCATGAGGGGATACTGGAAACCGTGACAGTGGCAGGTGGGCCGTCACATTCACGGTCAACTTCCTCGCTGTCCTCGCCGACATCGTCAACATCTTCGCCATCCAGGGCGGTCTCTATCTCTTCAGCAACCGCGAGCCATACCCATACTTGGACCCCATCCGATATGTCGTCCACTCAGCGCTCTTGCTCATCATCACCGTCCTCGCCTCCTTCTACACAACTAGCGCACGTATGCTATCAGAAAATGCAACAGCAACAATATCAACATCAACATGATTCCCACTACCCCCACGGCAACTTCCAAGCCTTGCCGCTCCTCGCCCGCAAGGAGCTCGCCCTCGCATCTATACGCATGCACATCGACTCGGCATCGGCTGCGCTGCGCGACGGTCTCTTCTACGCGCGTGTCGTCGCATGAATCTGGCACTTCCGGCTGGTACAGAAGACGAGGGCACCAGGCACGAGGACGCAAGGCTCATCAGCAAGTGGGCAAGTTTTTTATCGCCTTTGCAAGCATGCTGATCAGCGATAATGGTTTCTCAAGCGTGCAGTCATGCAGACCATGCGAACGCTCAATGATATTGAGGCTGACTGCGTGTTCGGGTGCTACCCCTGCGAGTGTGCCGTGTGATGAGAGAGTTTTGTCGGACTACTTTCACCTGCGCGCGGCATGATAGCGCCGTGACTCCCGCAGGATTCTGCGCTTCGAGGCCATCATCAACTCAAGCGCCTACATCTAAGCCAGCGCTGGGGCGAGTAGACAGTGCTCAAAGAGAGGACGTAGCCAGATACGTAACTACGGGTTTAGATTGCCGTATCGTTGCAAGTGAGCGACAATAGCCCGAACAAACCCAGCCTGCCATCCCCTAGTATCAATTCAAGAGACTGATCCTGCCTCTAGCAAGCCTAAGAAATACATCATCCAGAACTTTCCCGTCACCGAACTCGCGCAAGACGTCAAGACGATCCATCCTTCTCCGCATCCCCAACTCCTCACCTCCACGATCGAGTTCCTGATACATCCCGTACGGCCCAAACGCAGCGACTTCGTCACCATTCCACGGATCGCTGCCATTGATGAACCTGATGAACCGCTTCCGCAGCTCTCGTCCAGTCTTCAATGCCCCCGATGCCGTCATCTGCTCATCGAAGCCGCCAAATAAAAGCACCAGATCGACAGCATGATGCGCGCCGTGGGACGGTTGCCAAGGGTTAAGCTCGTCTATGATGCAGCGAAACGCCCGGGGGGGATCATTTCTATGGTCTGGCGGCAGTTCGGTCTCGTTCTGCATGTCAACTGTTTTGTCCGGGGCAGGAGTCGACTTCTGCTGCTGCTGCTGCTGTTGTTCCGCGAGCCGCTCCGCAGGCAAGAGAAACTTGCAGTCGTTGATGAAGTCGAGCGCGCCGAGCTTGCACGCCGACGGGCGGTCGCTGGAGATGCCGTATGCCTGCTTGAGTTTGGTCTCTAAATGGCTGTACGGGGTCTCGGACAGGTCAAAGGCTTCTAATATTGACTCAGTGGACGCAGCCCAGATCCCATTGCGCCAGAGGACGGACTACCAAGGACCAGTTGTGTCAGCCACTGATAGCAGGCATACATGGACGTGGTCTCGCTGTCGTGGGCACACATCGACTCGATATCAAAGAGGTCTCTTGATGAAACTGAACGAAGGGACGGTCGTCAGGTTTGGTGTTAGTTCAGACTGACCTCGAACTGGACATCGCTCACCAGCAGCCGCTGGGAAAACACTCTTTCCTGCCAGTGGTCAAAACGATCTTCGGACTCCAGGAACCAGGAATGAATGCCCGACTTGCGCAGCGCCTCGACCATGATATCTACCGGCGCATTGTCCAGGTTGAGGCTGCTGTCTAGCTCTTGCAGTTCTGCGGAGACCTTATCCCGAAGCGCGTCGATGACGACACGCGGCTGCGGGGGCGACAGTGCGAGGGAGCCCGAGAGGAGCATGCACTGCTTGATGAGGCTGCTTGTGCCGCTGGTGCGTGCCGTCACGAGATGTGCGTGGCAGTGGACCGCGCCTGCGCTCTCGCCGGCAAGGGTGATGTTTTCCTACTCGTGCATCATGCTTTGTGAGCGGTCGCGACTAGTCATCGCTCGATAAGGCATGCTTACGGGATCGCCGCCAAAGCCCGCGATATGCTTATGCACCCATTGTATTGCGAGGTCCTGGTCGGAAAGGGCGAGGTTCTTGGAAGCCTTGTCATCACCGTGAGCGAAAACGTTAAGACGATATTGCACCGACACTGCGATTATGGGCGCTCCCAGCCTTGCGGAGTCGCTGACAATCTTGGTCATGTCTAGAGAAGAGGGTCAGTTCTTTGCATAAACTGACTCATCTGTGTCACTTCAGGAGGGCGCAGGAACAGGAACCACCAGTTCCTTACCGCATACTTTGGAGGCTGAGCTGCCAAAGGTCATAGCCTGGGAGCCACCTGTTTCATGCGCGAAGGCTTGTCAGCGTTTTCGATCTAGATGATCAATTCCAGCCTCAAGGATCTGGTTCGGCAAGCTTACCGTGAACCCAGATCAAGACAGGCAGCCTTGTGTGCTCGCTGCTGGGGAAAGGAGCCAGGCATCCCTCCGGTGCGCACACATCGAGGTTGAGGCATGCAAATTCGTCCTCGGGCTCTACCGGTAGAACATGGTTGCTCGGAAGGCGCAGTAGATGGCCAACATCTATCTGCACCTGAGGACATCTGGGACTATACGTAAGGAGGGTTTAGCTCATGTATGTTATAGGCGAGCCAACGTGCAAAGAGCCACCCACCCAAATTCAGTGCAGTCCAGGGTTTCGGATGACGATGATATTGGTTGGTCCAGCCGCTGAGCGGCAGCAAATCGTCGCGGGACCGTAGCATAGCGAATGCCACGAAACTGGACAACGCCGCGTGTTGGATCGTGTGCTCCTCGGAGGACGCAGCCTAGCGAACCATGGTCAAGCGTGACCGTCATTGCTCCTGTCGATGGCCTGCGAAGATGGACTCGTCACCGCCTAGGCACAGTTACAGCCCCAAGCATAATCTGCTCTCGCCCCTCTTTGGAGAATGAGTGCGTCAGGAGTGCGACGCCAGGTCAGCGGCTCTTCTCTAGGATAGTGTGCGGCAGGTGCCGAGTATGGCTGACTAGAAGCTTACCAATGACTCCAGAGGCGGTTGTCCCGCACTCGGGCCCCTTGTTTCTCCATCACCTTCTCCACAAGTTTGCCGGGCGGCAGCATCGCCGGCTGGTGCATGCGGGGTTCCTGCAGCGGTGATCCCAAGTCGACTGAGGGGGCTGAGCTGGGCGAGAGCTTTTGCTTCCTGTCCTTCTTGCTCTTCATCCACTGCAGACCTCGTTGTTTCCTTCTGTGGCAAGGACAAGAAGACAACAAGACTAAAACAGCCGGCGAAGATGGCTTCCCAAATCCTGACGCCGGAGCAACACCAAAATGCCTTCCACTGGGCCGAGACGCAAAAGAACGGCACCGTGCCGTCCTTTGCCACGCGCCACAATGACCCTTACAAGTATCAGCCGGGCTTTGGCAACAGCTTCGAGTCCGAGGCCATCCCTGGCGTGATCCCGCGTGGCCAGAACAGCCCGCGATCGATCCGCTTCGGCCTCTACGCCGAGCAGATGACGGGCTCGTCCTTTGTCGCGCCCCGTGCCGCCAACAAGAAGGCCTGGCTGTACCGCTCCCGGCCGGCCGTGGCCCATCAGGGCTTCACAGACCTGCCCGACCTCCAGGACACCGAGTCCAGCTTCCTGACTATAAACCCGCGCGTACACATCTCGCCAACTCAGCTCGCCTGGAAGCCCGCGCCCATCCCGCAGGGCGAGGACCTCGACTTTGTCAGCGGCCTCAAGACGGTGGCTGGCGCTGGCGACCCGACCCTGCGCGAGGGCCTCGCCACGCACGTCTACCTGTGCAACAAGAGCATGACCAAGAACGCCTTTGTCAACTCGGACGGCGACTTCCTCATCGTCCCGCAGCAGGGCGCCCTCGACATCCAGACCGAGTTTGGCTTCCTCTACGTGCAGCCCGGCGAGGTCTGTGTGATCCAGCGCGGCCAGCGCTTCAAGGTCAATGTCGAGGGCCCGACACGGGGCTACATCCTCGAGATCTGGGGCTCCAGCTTTGAGCTGCCGGAGCTGGGCCCGCTGGGCGCCAACGGGCTCGCCAACGCCCGCGACTTCCTGCACCCCGTGGCCGCGTACGAGGTCACCAAGGACGACCCCTGGACCGTCACGTACAAGCTCGGGGGCAAGTTCTTCGCCTCGCGGCAGAACCACTGCCCCTTTGACGTCATTGCGTGGCACGGCAACTACGTGCCCTACAAGTACGACCTGACCAAGTTTGTCAACGTCGGCTCCATCAGCGTCGACCACATCGACCCGAGCATCTTCTGCGTGCTGACGGCCAAGTCGCGCGACCCGGTGAGCCCGCTATGCGACTTCCTCATCTTCAGCCCGCGCTGGGACGTCGCGTCGCACACCTACCGCCCTCCTTACTACCACCGCAACTGCGCGTCCGAGCTCATGGGCCTCATCTACGGCGAGTACGGCGGCCGTTCGGACGAGTTCCAGCCGGGCAGCATCTCGTTCGAGTGCGGTTTCGTCCCGCACGGCGTCGCGTACGAGCAGTTCGCCATGGCGTCAAAGGCGGACCCGCCAGTCATGCAGATCTCGGGGGGCTCAATTGCCTTCATGTTTGAGAGCAGTCGCGCGATGACCATTACCGACTGGGCGTGGAACAGCAAGGAGAAGCATGAGCACGACCCGAAGATGTGGGATGATTTGGTGGACAACTTCTCGAACCACAAGATTGAGGTTGACGAGGCGCTCAAGGAGGCTGGGCTGCCTCTCAAGGGTAGTCAGTGAAAGTATTAATCGTCGACCAAAGAAACAAGTGATGAAGATGACGCGCTAGTTCTGGTGCAATATACGCAAAGTCCTGTCTTCATACTGCTCGGTGTGTGGCATTTGCCACGAGTTTTAATGAACGTAGACAAGGCCTATGTTACATGACCCGCAGTTGCCTAGCTTATTTAATTCTGCCCGCAGCACAGTATACAATCGCAACATTGCCTAGGACTGCGAGGCTTTCTCAAGGGCACGGACCAGGATGACGGAGACCAACACTCTCTCTGGCTGCCAGGCTAAGAAGCTGGCGCTATAGCCTGCCAACCCCAGCCGATGAAAGCTACGGCTTCCAGAATGTCCCAAAGGAAAGGAGGGCTTCACAAGCCACTGGCCTTTGGCAGTGCCGGATCCTGGCTGCGCGCATAAACTGGAAGCTGCTCGGAAAGACACCGGCAAGAACCCTTGACCATGTTACCATCGATCCGTCGGAAGCAGGGGGGTTACGTCAGAGGAAAATGGCGGTTCCTGTCCAGTACCAGCAGCGGATCAGGGCGAATGGCAGCGGGCGCCCAATGGGCCGGAACTCATTGCCCCAATGGGGGAAGGGGTCCACCGCGGACGTTAAGTCAGACGGATGTGACGTCTGCTCCCGGCGACCAATTTCCCCCCGACAGTTCAGACAGTCCTTGCGAATCAAGACTGGCACCAATCTCTGGGTCGGCCGAGATCGCGGGGTCCGTTTCCATCAGCAAGGCCGGCCAATGGCATGGATTACGTCGTCCTGACTGGGATCCTGAATCGCTCGGATGGGGCCGTTAGAGACAGATTGATATTGGCCGGACCCATTGGATTCCCCGCTATCTGGGCCAGATTGACGATCGCTGCCGGTAGCTCGCTAGTCCGGGTCGGCAAAGAGGGAAACACGCTTGTTTCCAAGCCGTCGGCAATAGACAGCGCGTGTGTCAAAGTTTTAGACCCTGGTTCCTGGCCGCCCCAATTTCATGGAACACCCAGCAAGCTGGGCCTTGTTTTTGCAAATCGACTGCCGTCTCGTCGGCAATGTTGCCGCCACGTGCGTGGAGCTCGGCAGTCCTTGCATCTCGTCAGCCAGCCCGGTTTGCTCATTATAAAGTCGGCTTGATCGTCATGTCCTTCTCGCTGCCACGTTAGTGTCTTCTTGCCAAGGCTGTCCTTAGCGGTACCCGACATCAAACACCTTACTGTCTCTACAAAATGAGGTTCGCCACATCATCAATAACAGCGGCTCTGCTGCTCGCCTTTGGTGAATATGCCAGCGCCCAGGTCCACCAGGCCGCCTACGACTACATCGTTGCGGGCGGTGGTACTGCCGGCATCGTTGCGGCGGAGCAGCTCACCCGCTCCGGCCGCAAGGTGCTCCTTGTCGAGCGCGGCGGCCCTGCTTTCTACGCCAACGGCAACACGGAGAAGCCTGTGGCCTGGAACAGCACTGTCACGGCCTTCGACGTCCCGGCCCTCGTCGACTCGGTCATGGGCAGCCCCAACTCGGGCTGGTGCGACGACCTCTCCATCCGGGCAGGCTGTGTACTTGGCGGGACGACCACCAGCAATGGCCTGATGTTTGTCCGCCCTCGGGCTGAAGACTTTGCCAGCTGGCCTCAGTCATGGCACTGGGACAATAAGAACGGTATCGCTGCCGCGGCAGCCGAAGTATACGAGAAGCTCCCCGGTACGATCCTGGCGTCCCGGGACAGTGTGCGGTACGATGACGGCGCATTTGATGTCGTCTCGCGGTTTCTCAGCGACAACGGTTGGAGCGAGACCAACGCTCTCGAGAACCCCGAGGCTAAAGAGCTCGTCTTCTCCCACCCGGTCTGGTCGATTGGCAACGGCCTTCGCGACAGCCCGGCCCGCGCCATTCTGGACGCCGCCAAAGCCCGGCCGTGCTTCTCGATGCAGCTCAACGCCAAGATCTTGCGCGCCGTACGGTCCGGCAAGCGCGTCACGGGTGTCGAGGTCGAGCGCGCCGACGGCAGCCGCGAGATCATCCCCCTTTCCAACAAGGGCTCGCTTGTCCTCGCCGCTGGCACCCACTCGACTCCTCGCGTCCTCTTCAATTCGGGCATCGGTCCAGCCGCGCAGATCGAGACCGTCGCCTCGGGAAGCACAAACATCATCCTCCCTCCCCGCGAGCAGTGGCTCGATCTCCCTGTGGGCGAGAACCTCCGGGACCACGCTGTCGCCAGCATCACGCTAACCACTCGGCCCGATGTATCGCTGCCCGTGATTCCTTCGACAGACATCACGAGCCCGATCCAGCAGAAAATTGACCAGTTCGCCCAGGCGAGCGGCCTGCTCACCCAGGGCAGCCAGCGGCTCAACTTCTGGACCAGCGTCAACACCACCTCCGGGCTGGCCTACTCGCTGCAGGGCACCGTCCGCGCCACAAAGGAGAGCACAATCTCCATCAAGCTCTATCTCACCCACGGGACCACCTCCACCGGCACGGTGGGCATCTTACCCAACGGCACGACCACCATGACCTCCAAGCCCCTCCTACAGACCGCGTCCGACGTCGAGGCCCTCACCGCGGGGGTCAACATGTTCCTCGACTACACGCGGCTGCCGGGCTCGATCCTCACCGTCCCGGACAACGTCACCGCAGAGGCGCTGCTCCAGAACATGGCCAGCGGGAGCCACTACCTGGGCACCGCGCAGATGGGTTTCGACGATGGCGGCAAGACCAGCGTCGTCGACGAGAACGCCAAGGTGTGGGGTATGGAGAACCTGTTCGTGGTGGATGGCAGTATTCATCCGCATGTGCCGACGGGCAACACCCAGGCGCCGATCATGGTTGTGGCGGCGTATGCGGCCAAGCGGATCCTGCGGTTGCACGGCGGCGGCCGGGTTTGATGATAGCGGAAGGAGAGCTTGATCTTATACATAATCATTAGTGCCTAAGCCAGTTATTGTATACAGCGAGGTGATCGGCTGATGAGTAGATGCTGCCATACCAATGCAGTGAGTCAGCCAAACTCACTCGTGGAGGAAGGTACTCAGCAGAATGACAGCCTCGGGGATAAGCCGAGACGATGCATCGTATGTAAGATTCATATTGTCTGAAACGAAGGGCAGGAGGCGATCGGGACAGTTCAGAAAACCTCCTCATTGCTTTACGCCAGCACTATTCGGCTACGCTATGGTGAACCCTTCACGCGTCTGGACCTTGTTGTAAATTCAGCTGAGTCTAAGCTCTGGTATAAGTGGGGTTTGCAATGAACTCAACACGCTAATGTATAGTGCCTCACTCTTGTGTCTTTCGTCGTCGAGTTTGATAGTAACCATTGACATGGTGTGGTCTTCAGCCAAAAAAAGAATAAGCAAAGGTCCCGTGAAGAAAAGAACCAATACGGAGCTAGCAATTCGTGTGCTCTGCTCCTCACTCTGGATGGATTTGACGGAACGGAAGTGGGTTGACCCAAGCCAATTAGGCTGTGTGAGTAGAGTTCGCCTTCTGCCATAACTATGATGGAGGGTAGGCAGTGCATTATTTGGGCCACGAAGACTGGTAGCAGGATAGATTCGTCGAAAATCTGACAAGGACAGCACAGAGCGATGTTGAGAAGTCTGATTGTTACAATTACATACTGATGTGGAAGGCCCGCAAGACTTCGCATGACGCCGGAGGGCGAGGTGCCGTCACAATACAGACACGCCGCCACTTTATGGACACCACGTGGCATGAGAAGTGCCAAGGCAGTTTTTTGGCCCGCCTTAGAGCTAGGGGTCAGGCGTATCGCCATGAAATACGTCTATTAACTGCCAGCAGAGCTGCTGTCAACTTAGCAAAGGACCAGACTGAAAGCAACCAATGAGTGCACGTGTGCGCTGGCTTCTGCAGAAACGAGTCTTTACCCTGGCGAGATCATGGTCCACTTCCAAAATTGGCCTTGGTACGCGTGATAACCCCAAAACCGCGCGGGATCCATGATGATCTGATGTATTTCGGTGAATTCGAGGTCTAGGATGTCAATTTGCCTGGAGCCAGTGACCCTGCCCGCGGCGCCCCTCATGTGGAGCGATGGACAAGGTCAGTACATACGTCACTGCAAATTTCCCTGGCAAATTTCACGTGGAGTGTGTCTGAGGCGTTCCCGTGACATGTCGCAATGAATGTTATGGGCGCTGTAAGGCTGCGAAAAGCACCACCCTGATTTGCTGGCGTCGACATGCTGGGAGCGCTTATATGCAGCCAAGGCGGGGTCTTTAAGGACGCGGCTGTGCCATGCAGCTGACATGGGCACCAACTGACCTCAAGCCTAACGTCCGGAGGTTAGGGGGTGTGCCATTTCCAACGACACATCCACTTCACGGCGTCAGACTATGCACACAGCTCTGTTTGCGAATGAGGCCATCATAGGGTGGACTGAGAAACGACGGTCGGCTTTCTACACTTTCCCCCAGACCCGTCATGGCTGAGCGGAGCAGACTCATGGCGGAGGACTACACCGTTGGTTGGGTCTGCGCCGTCCACCCCGAACTCGTCGCGGCAAAGGTGTTCTTGGACGAAAAGCACGAGGCCTTAGGCGAGGGCTCCAAACACGACAGCAACTCGTACACTCTCGGAAGGATCGGAAGGCACAATGTTGTGGTCCTAGGCCTGGGTGGAATGGGCTCAGTCCCAGCGGCGACAGCTGTTCGGAACATGGCTCGTACGTTCCCCGAGATCCGCTTCGTCTTGATGGTCGGCATCGGCGGCGGCGCGCCTTCCAAGAAGCACGACATCCGGCTCGGAGACATTGTCGTAAGCCACCCTGGCGATAAGCATGGCGGCGTGATCCAGTACTTGGCAAAGACAATCAACAACACGGGTTCCAGCGAACGGGCTTCCTCGATCAGCCGCCCGAGACCCTTCGTACTGCCATACGCGATCTTCGCGCGGACCACGATATTGAGGGAAACGGACTGGAAGACGCCGTGAATAAAGTTCTCGCGCAGAACAAAAGGCTGCGCGCGGGATATAGACGACCGCCACGAGAAACCGATATGCTTTTCAAGAGCAGTTTCATGCATCCCGATTATGACGATGACTGCACAAATTGTGGTTCAGACCCTTCGCGTGTCGATACACGTCCCGAGCGAGACGAGGATGAACTGGTCAAAGTGCATTACGGACTGATCGCTTCAGCAAACACCGTCGTCAAAAACGCCGTGCTTCGGGACAAGCTGTCTGCAGACATGAGTGTGCTGTGTTTCGAGATGGAAGCAGCAGGGCTGATGAACCACTCTCCTTGTCTCGTGATTCGAGGTATCTGCGACTATTCGGACACTCACAAGAGCAAGAAGTGGCAAGGATACGCTGCAATGCTGGCTGCCGCTTATGCCAAGCAGGTCCTCGAGAAGGTCATTCCTAGCAAGCTCCATACTGAGCGCAAAATCCTGGACGTGCTTAACGACGGTATGGCCCCTGACATCGTCTGAGCGCAGGAAGTGAGCTGATGAGAAGTTTTGGAAATAGTGAAAGAATCCACGGCTAGGATAGAGGTCCAGATCGAGGATATCGCTTCAAAACACAGGAGCGACTTAGACGAGAACCTTCTCGATTGGATTACCCCAGCCAACTATGGTGCGAAGCAAAGCGATCATTTCGAAAGACATCACCCAGACACCGGACTTTGGCTGCTCAAATCTGAAGCGATGAAAGAGTGGATCCACCGCAGGGGCCATACTTTATTTTGTCACGGGATTCCAGGGTGCGGCAAGACCGTCCTGACATCTATCGTCATCGAATACTGTCGCACGCTTATGAGGCAGAAGGAGAAAATCGCCTTGGTCTGGATCTATTGCAATTTTCGGGAGACCAAGGTGCAACGGACCATCGACTTGGTCGCGAGCCTTCTCAAACAACTAGCTCAGGCAGCACCTTCAATACCGGAATGTGTCCGCACTTTACACAACAGCCACCAAAGACAACGCACCAGGCCTTCCATGGGCGATATCCTCAGTACAATCAGCGCAGTGTTGACGCAGTTCTCGGAAACCCGTATCTTTGTTGACGCCCTGGATGAGTGTCAGACGACCGACAGTTGTCGTGACCAATTTCTCTACGAACTCTGCATGCTGCAAACCACACACGCCGTCAACTTATTCCTGACGTCGCGCGAGGATCCCATGATTAGTGACAAGATATACGGCTGGAATTCGGTGACGTCCCTGGAGGTCCGCGCCTCGGAGCATGATGTACGGAGCTACGTAAGCAGTCAACTCGACTCCTTTCCGGATTTTGTGAAGAACAATCCGGAGCTTCGCGTGCATACTCTCACCAAGATCCCGGAGAAGGTCGAAGGAAGGTGAGCTTTACCGGAATTCGGGATTGGTGTGGTGTGCCACGATGCTGATCAATTGCAGTTTTCTCCTTGCCAAGTTGTATCTTGACGCGCTGCGACCAAAAACTAACATCAAGAAACTGGCCACGGCCCTCGGTGATCTCAGTAGCGGAGCAGATGCATACCGCAGCGCATACGAGGAAGCCATGGGCAGAATCAATAGCCAGAACACGGAACATGCGCAGCTAGCAACGGAAGCTCTCGCTTGGATCACACGGGCACAACGACCATTGACATCAGCTGAACTCCGGACAGGGCTAGCCGTTGAGGTCGGCTCAGATCGCCTGGACAAAACCAACATGACGAGTCTCGACAGCATTCTGTCCGTTTGCGCAGGGCTAGTCATGCTGGACGAGCAGAGCCAGATTGTGCGCCTGGCCCATTACACAACACAGGAATATTTTCGAGAAACGTGGCAGAAATGGTTTCCCGAAGCCGAAACACAGATAAGTAGGAAACTGCTGACGTGTATGTGTCACGATGGTGTCGATTCGTTCGCAATCAAGCATCGGCCTTCATTTCACATGTCGAGCCGGACGAGGTATTTGCCTTTAGGGGATCAAGGCTTATACAACTACGCGCTCGAAAACTGGGCCGACCATGCAAAACAGGGAAACGGGATACTCGACAGCGAGCTGCTTTGGAACTTTCTGAGCAACAGCCACTACGTGCAAGCATGCTATAAGTTTACACATGAACGCATTAGAACTCAGGCCGCTTTCGATTCGCCGGCTGTACCATTGCATCTCGCTGCCTTTTACGGCTTGCCGAGCGTGGCACTCAATCTGCTAGAAAAGGGGGCTCATGTTGACCCAGCAGCGCAGCAGGGCGAAACGCCACTATTTGACGCTGCTAGGAATGGCCACGCAGAGGTGGTCAAGATCCTAATCGAGGCCAACGCAGGAGTCGACCATGTCGACAACTATGGCAACCCACCACTATTTAAAGCTGCTGGGCATGGCCACGCAGAGGTGGTCAGGATCCTAATCGAGGCCAACGCAAGAGCCGACCATATCAACAACTATGGCAACACACCACTATTTGAAGCTGCTAGGGGTGGCCACGCAGAGGTAGTCAAGATCCTAATCGAGGCCAACGCAGGAGTCGACCATGTCGACGACTATGGCAACACACCACTATTTGAAGCTGCGCAGAATGGCCACGTGGAGGTGGTCAAGATCCTGATCGAGGCCAACGCGACAGTCGACCATGTCAATTATGGCAGCACGGCACTATTTGAAGCTGCTAGGAAGGGCCACGTGCAGGTGGTCAAGATGCTAATCACCGCGAACGCAGCAGTCAACCATGCGAACTCAAAAGGAGATACGCCACTATCTCTAGCTGCGTCTCAAGGCGACGTGGAGACAGTGAACGCCCTGATCACCGCGAACGCAGCAGTCATCCATACGAACTCAAAAGGAGATACGCCACTTTCTCTAGCTGCGTCTCAAGGCTACGTGGAGACAGTGAACGCCCTGATCACCGCGAACGCAGCAGTCAACACTATAAATGCGCAAGGCGACACGCCGCTATCTGCAGCTGCTTATTACGGTCAAAGCACAGTGGTCAACGCCCTGATCGCCGCCAACGCAATGACGAACCATGTCGACCACCATGGCAATACGCTGTTATTTCAAGTAGTCCTCCACGGCAGCTCGCTTGTCGTCGCAGACAGAATCGACGAAAACAAAGCAATCGACCATGTCAGCCAAGATGGTGAAACGCCGTCATCTTATGGTTATTGTCTTCATCAAGTAAAGGCGACTGTGCACCTTGTCGCTGCGAAAGCTCTTCCTGGGAAAAACCCCCTCTCTCGGGCAGCGAGCAAGGGTCATGAATATATAGTCAGAGACCTCCTCGCCGCCAAGGCTCCTGTCGACGGAAGTGATCTTGATTTGGAGACGCCGTTGGCCAGTGCTATCAATGAGGGCCGCCGCAACGTGGCCAAGATCCTGATTGCTGCGGACGCCAACATCAACAAGCCAGATATTGATGGTGTAACGCCGCTCATGCGCGCCGTGGAGAACGGCTCAATGGAGATAGTGCAACTGCTCCTCGACAATGAAGCCAAGACGAATCAGACAGATAACGATGGCCGACCGGCACTGCTATACGCCGTTTGGTACGGGCGCGCGGATATGGTCAAGGCATTGCTTGCCAACGGGGCCTCGCCACACACGCCGGACGCTCTTTTCTCATACCTTCTCGAACTCGCGGTCAAGCACGGCGATACGGAAATCGCCAAACTCCTGGTCAATACACGGGCAGACTGCGATAGTCGCGATGCTGCAGCCGGGCGGGTTGCGCCCATTACCGCTTCCGAATAAGACCCCCTGGAAATCGCCAAGCTGCTGCTGGAACATGGTGCCACGGCTTACCCGGGCGGACATGGGCAAAGGCCACGAGACATCGCCCAGCCGAAGAGCCGTGTAGACGGACGCAATTTATTAACGGCAAGGTATCCATGACCCCGCGGATGGAAGCATGCAGTATGGAAGCATAATGAAGCGGCCCTCATAAAGAGAACGCAAGGAACAAGAACGCCTCCAACGTCTTAAGGGTCGGCAATTGATGATCGCCATGAGTTGTCTACCTTAGTTCGAGAACACGCATCCGAATGATCGTGGTACATCCTAACCAGATAAATGTGAACTTTTGGGGGATTGCGTTGTCCCGAATGCAGGGCATTGTGCCGTGAAGATTTTTGCATGTGGTACAGAATGAGTCAGCGGATCGCGGGGTTGTCTTTTTTTCCTTGTGCCACTTTCTTTTACATTTTCTATCAGCTCCAAAATCGGATTTCTGGAATATGAAGTGGTCATTCCCCTGGCACTCCTACGGATTTGGTCAATCATAACGCCTCTTTCATTGTTATGACAGAACGCCTTAATGTAGATTTCACCAGAATCTGAATGGCGCGGTGTCCAGGTGTAGTAGAGAACGTGCTGTTGTTCCCGCAGAGTATGGCAGCTTCTTGAAGTGGATGAACGTGGTTTCCACTTTTGGAACTGTCCCAAATCTAGTGCTGTCGAGTTTATTTAAACCACCACCCGTACCCGCAAGTTTGTTATACATTCGATTTCGCTTTCTCCCCTCTTGATCCTCCCCTCGTTCCAGGTCAGGTAGTACCCAGCATCTAATCCCATGAAAAGAAATCCAGGCCTTCTACAGACTTGCTTGTATTCCTTCAAAGAACCCACAAAGACCTGGGGCACTTGGCCAAATCTGCAACTTACTCTATATTTGCCCCTTGTGCGGATCACTCCTTCGGGGTTTCGCGAGGCATTACTACCCAGATTCTTTGCTGGTTCAACGGAGGTAAGACTTCATCGTTACACTGGTAGGGACCAGGACCTTGTGGCACAGCGTTGTCGCTATGCACAAGAGCGGTTTCGAGCACAGCAGCTTCCCTTCTGGCCGTTCTCGTTGCAGGATCTCCCAGTGCCAAGCCACTTTGCAGACGTTTTGGGTGTTGACTAGACCGAGGTAGTCAATACTGTGGTCAATGGCCCAATCATTCATCTTGGGTATGCACGGCTCTTTTGTGACCAGATGCCGTGGCACCACGAGTGCCACCTTCAGATTCCAAATGATGGAGGCCTTCGGAGATTACATGTTTTTGCATTTTATAGTGGGCCATTTGGTATCCGACGGCTAATCTGAATCACACCTGATTCCTGATGTGGTAAGCGCCTTTGATAGGGTTATCCAGTACCGGCCCAGGTTCAATCAGGCCATGCTCAGGTTTACTCAGCCTCTGCTCAGCCCCCGTCTCAACATATAATAATGCCATCACATTGTACCTACTGCAACTCCGAAGAAGTTAGAACCGGACGGAGAATAACGTAATCCACAAGTGAGCGGGCCACACAAGTGAGCGGGCCACTTTCCTACCATATTCGTACAGGCCATCTTCTTTCCCCTTTTTCTCCACCAATAATTATGGTACGACCATCAATTGAAGCCGATTTGATTCTAGCGCTTCAGGCGCTCCAGTCTGATCCAAAATTGACTTTACGAAAGGCTGCACAGCTATACAATGTACCTCGTACGACCCTCCAACGAAGACGAGCCGGCCGACCTGCGCAACAAGATATCCGACCACCTTGCCAGAAATTGACCTCGTACGAAGAGGACAGTATCGTACGATATATCATCGACCTAGATTCGCGATCGTTTCCACCGCGGTTAGGTGGTGTTCGAGAAATGGCGGATCGACTCCTCCGCGTGCGCGACGCGCCACGCGTCGGAACGAACTGGGCCTCAAACTTCGTACGACGACGATCAGAGCTCCGTACGCGTTTTAATCGAAGAATCGACTACCAGAGAGTCCTCTGCGAAGATCCAGACGCGTATCGCGCGTGGTTTGAGCTCGTACAAAACATAATCGCGAAATACGGGATCCACGATGACGATATCTACAACTTCGACGAAACGGGCTTCGCGATGGGTAAAATCTCCGCCGAAACTATCGTTACGACCTCCGATCGACGCGGGAGGCCAAGAGCCGTACAACAAGGCAATCAGGAATGGGTTACAGTAATCCAGGGTATCGCGTCGTACGGCTATTCAATCCCGCCGTACATTATCTTCGCCGGGAAGGTCCATCTCGACTCCTGGACCGCGAATAGCCCTCTACCGGCCAACTGGGTAATCGCGCTTTCAGAAAACGGTTGGACGACGAACGAGAGAGGCCTAGAATGGGTAAAACACTTTGATTTCCATACAAAGAGTCGTACGAAGGGTACCTACCGCCTCCTTATCCTCGACGGCCACGAGAGCCACCATTCCGTCGATTTCGAGCTCTACTGTAAGGAACAGAATATTGTTACGCTCTGTATGCCTGCTCATTCGTCGCATAAGCTCCAGCCTCTCGATGTTGGGTGTTTTGGACCTCTGAAACGGGCGTACGGTAAAGAAATCGAAGGTCTAATGCGGGCGCACGTAACCCACGTTTCAAAGGAGGACTTCCTCCCAGCCTTTTATAAGGCGTACGACGCTGCAATGACCAAATCAAACATCCAGGCAGGCTTCAGAGCGACAGGCCTAGTACCGTACGACCCGAATTATGTGATTTCGCAGCTAGATGTGAAGTTTCATACGCCGACACCGCCAGGTTCCTCTGCTGGACTACCACCCCCATGGGTTTCAAAGACGCCGAACAACCCAATTGAGACCGAATCGCAGACGAAGTATATTGAAAATCGTATCGTACGACACCAGAATAGCTCTCCGTCGTCCATTGTTCAGGGCCTACGACAGCTAGGAAAAGGAGTTATAATGATGGTGCACGAGCAGGACCTTATGCGCCAAGAAATCGCCGAACTTCGAGATGCAAACGACCGCCTCAGCCGCCGTCGTCGTACGAAAAGAAAGCAGCTACAGAAAGGAGGGTCCCTCACAATTGATCAGGCAAAGGATTTGAAGGCTCAAATCGATGCGACGCAGCAGTTAATAGCGGAAACGAGTCAGAATAGTGGTCGTACGAGGAGGCCCGAAATGCGCGCGCGACGATGTGGCGTCTGCGGCGAGCCCGGGCATAATGCTCGTACATGTCAGAAAGTTATATCTGCCTCTGAAGAAGAGGATTCCGAATAGTTTCAATTGATTTAAGGCGTTGTGGTTGAATTCTCTTATACATTATCGTACGAACACCTGGAGGGTGGCCCGCTCACTTGTGTGGCCCGCTCACTTGTGGATTACGTTATGCATATTATGCATTATACACACACGAGTAGAGGTTTAGAAACAAGCTAAGTCTACGTACGCTAACACATAACTATCGAATTTCGTTCTCTCTTGATTCGTATATGTTAGACAGCGCGAAAGACGTAGTTCAATTTCGTGTGCGACTAGTGCGTGTACAGCAGTGTGAAAGGCTCGTGCGACTTGATGGCGTAGTTATGTTCAATTCTACGCACGCGAGAAACCTTAGTAAAATAGTAATTGTGTCCCATAATTGTGTATACAGCGCAGCGAATACATAATGGATTGAATGGGCAAGCTGTTAAAGGACATGCTTGCGAACGATGGTGTCGGCCACATGTGGTGTTCATTCTACTCGTGATACGATGTTTATTGGGGGTTGTGGAATGTCGAGCAAGTAAGGTACGAACCCACGTGCCCTGGCGACATGACCAAGCATTCTGGAGAGCCTCCGCGACCATATGAAACAAGCTTCGGGCTCGAGAAACATGTCTGGATAAGTCTTCTTAGTAGACAGACTACTTTGAATTATCTCCATGGGGAATCATCCATCGCATGCTCCTTCGAGTGCCTGTTTGCGTATTCCACGTGCGTCACACCAGGCATCAAGATTCCACCCGATCAGCGTCAGTAGTAAGACAAAGTTGCAGTCCAACTCACCTTCGGCTCGTTCAGCTGAACAGTACCCCGGCCCAAAATTCAAGACTCATGGCGCGTACGGGCAGCCTCATTTCACATTGACCGTGACAACGAAGAGCTGCGTCCACATGATACGCGCGCGGTTATAGCTGAACGTAGGCAGGAACCAATGTCTGCCCCTGCAGGATCGCCTGCGCCGGATTGCCTGTCAGACGGAACAAAACCCCATCCAAACACGGGACAAACAGCCAATCACAGACTTGCGAGTCCTCTCCCTCCTCCACGTTGTCTGCAGCTACGAACCGTCCCTGTGTCTGGCAGCGGCTGTCCACACTACTCTTGACCTGACCGCAGCGAGTGCTTTCGGTTAAATGGTTTGATGGATCAGGCCAACTGCATATGTATTTGTTTCATCTTCCGAGATGGCGCAGAAGCGCGCTTAGGAGCCCAGATAGTCACGCCGATGGGAATTCAGTGGGAAATCACAGCCAAGAACCTGGTGGACCTTAAGGATATAATGCCTCAAACGTCCCTGCCATGAACGATTGTGGAATAGACTCTATGTGTAACACTGTCCATTTTCTCCCCACCTAGCATTGTGATGCCTAATTAGCCTCACCGTTCAAGTCTCTTGGTGCCCTCGTAAGCATTACGTTCCAGATTTCTTACTGTCTGAATAGCTACAAAGAACATCTTCCTTTCATGGCAGAATATCGACCTCGAACCACATTGAAGGAGAGATCTCCTCCAGAGCCAACCATGGCTGTGGGCAATTCACCAGCTATGGCGCCAGCTTCCCTTAGTCCGAATGATGTGGACGACTTTTGTGCCGAATTTCACGGGCTCGAGACGAGTGATTCAGACACCATGTTGGAGAACCCTTTTGACAGTGAGGGAAGTCGACTCTTGTTTGAGGCCGTTGAGCAGATGCAATCCTGTGGTGCAAGCCAGGACATCGATATTCCGCAGGTTCGACCCCAACCAGCCCTTGCACTTCGTAGCGAACAAGGAAGCCTTCTTTTGGGCTTCAGGTTCAACACGGGACACTTTGCTGATCCAGCTCGACACAGCTCGTCATTGTCGGTGGCCAGTCCACCGGAAAATCATCTCTGCTGCAGCAGCTCACTGACATCCCCTTTCCCATCGCCTTGGGTTGCTGCACGAGGTTTGCCACTCGGATCGTATCGAGACGCACGCCAGCAGGCTCCCCAAATCGCTTCAAGATATCTGTCGTCGAGCCCGAGGTCTCAATCAGCGACTTTAATTATCCGGTGGGAGACGGCAAGTACAAGGACTATGCCCTCACCGGGGAGGTCTTGACTGCGACCCAGTTCAGGAATGCCATTGATGAGGTAATGGTCTTTACTTCTCCCTGGAAGCAGACAGTAGCTCCGCCTTTCAAGTCGTGAACTTGGCGCTGACTCTGGCCAATTTGACAGGTTTCTTCTGAATACATGGGCATCACGGAAGGCACAGGACCTGACGCGAAGAACTTTGCCACCCAGGTTTTTCGCATCGAGCTCTCGGGACCCGCCAGGTCGCACTTCACCATTGTGGACATTCCGGGACGTATCTCGAACCCGAAGGGCATCAACGAGCATGAAATGCGAGGCGTGCAGACTATGGTGCTCGAGTACATCAAGAAGCCTGGGGCGATTGTCATGTAAGCACTTGAGGTGATCCCTCCAATCCACGTGCCAACCTAGCTGGAACCGCGCGACCCTTTGCTAACCGAAACCTGTCACTGCCAGCTGTGTCGGCGATGCATCGAATGACGTGAGCAACCAGGAGATCATACACCTGGCCCAGCAGCACGCTGGCGACAGGCTCGTCGGGGTGTTTACAAAGTGCGATTTAGTCAGCGATCCCGACCAGGTACGTGCCTCGCCGGCTTCTGCAAAGTAGGAAAAAGCTGATTGCTGACTCGCTATAATACTCGCAGTTCATATCCCTGGCTACCAAGCAGGGCTACATGAAGTCTCATAGCGCCAAGGACAGCTGGTTCGTCGTAAGCAACAGACCAACCACAGCAACGAGTGCCAGCACCACTGCCGCGGCCACCGAGACAAGCTTCCTCTCCCTTCCGCCCTGGAACCGGATCCCCAGCGCCCGCCGGGGCACGGCCATGCTGCGCGCCTATCTGAGCAACATGCTCTGTGACCGGATCCACCTTAACTTCCCGAGGATCCACGCATCCATCTCTGCGCACCTTTCGGACGCGAAATCACGCCTCGAGGCTCTTGGGCAGCCGCGGCTCACCCATCACGACCGCCAGCGATACCTGGGTGAGGTTGTTCAACGGTACGCCGCGCTCGCTAGGGACGCCGTGGAGAACCCGGGGCTCGTGGAAGAAGGGCTGCGCGTACGAACGCAGGTGCAGCGGCAGAAGGAGGCGTTTGCAAAGGAGTTACGTGAGCGCGGGCACACGTACCAGTTTGAGGACGCCGAGGTAGACCCCATCGCCAGGCTCGCCGGAATCATGGCAAAGGAGCAGCAGCAGCGCGAGCAACTCCGAGAGGCGAAGAGGAAGCAAGCGGCGGGGTTAGCTTCGCAGCAGGACGGCCTGGGGCCTGTCACGCCACCGCTATCCCGGCACGTGTCGGCATCGTCGCCGTTGACCCAAGATGCGTTCGCAGCCGACGGGTCGCAACCCCCACCCAGGAAGAAGCAGGATCGGGATCATCGTGCTGGGGGACACGGTAACGACGGCGCGGAACTTTTTGATTTCATCCGCCGCCAGCTCCGCGCTTTCCAGAGCACACAGCTCCCCGGCTTGGTCAACCCGCAAGTCATGCCGGCCCTCGTGCGGGAGCAGACCGCACAGTGGGAGGCCATCTCGAGCAGGCACCTCCAGGCCGTCCACGCCCAGGTCGGCACGACAGCGGCCGCGATCCTCCACGCGGTGTGCCCGGAGGATCAGTTCCCCACAATGAATCGGGGTCTCTCGGCCGTGCTATCGCGGCAGTGGCAGGCTACGGCGGTCGGAAGTGGGGAGGAGCTGCTCAGGCATTGCGAGAGAGAGCGCGGTGGTGTTGATGGTACTGGATCGATCACAGGGCGTGCCAGCGGGCACATTGACGCAACTGGTAACAAGAACTTTGCACACGAGTTGAAGGCCCTCCAGACGCTGCGGCTGCTAGAGTCGATGAAGGTTCTGGCGGACGCTGAAGAGGATGATGATGGGGATTGGTCCACTCCTCACCAAGGTCTGCGGACAGAGCTGATCTTCAATCAGCTACATTGCTCCATCGAGGACAACATGGCCAAGATGGTGCACGATATTCTCAAAGTTTACTACAAGGTGAGCTTGCGCCAAGACGCGGGCGAGACGGCAAGATTTGGCCCGAGTGCTAACCATCTCGCGATGACGTAGTTTACCATCGACTCTTTCATATCCCACGTCACGAGACACATAATCGAACCCTTCCTGTGTCATCCAAACGGACCTTTGAAGGCCCTCTCAATGGAGTGGGTCTATTCGCTGAGGGAGAGCGAGGTTGAGAAGTTGGTACGCGACGATGCCGACACTGTCAGGAAGAGAGCGACGGAGCAGGCCACGGTGGCAAGGTTGCAGGCTGCGTTGGACATCGCCATTGAGGCTTCGGAGAGGGCAAGGGAGCTAGTTTGACGCTCAGCATCTCGTTTCTTTGCGAGCAATGTATCATACCGAAATGTCGCATGGTGATGCGCTGTGTGAGCTTATTTATTTATATCTCGAGTACTGGCACTTCCACTATTTAACACAACTCACATATATCCCTTTACATTGCAGCTAGCCATACCTACCCTGCTGTAGCTAGCCCCTTCCCCGGCCCTGGATAACAAGAAGTTTGTCCATACATCGTTACGAGCGATACATTTTTAAATATCTTCATTATTAGAGCCCTCGTATACTGCCCTCGACTGCAGAATGTAAAAAGTGGACCCTGGAGCAGGCAGAACCTCGACCCCCTTCTCGGCTTTGTTGAGTCTCGTTGCAGGAAAGCCGTTTCGCGATCAAGACACTGCAACTCTGCCCGTGGGTTTAGCACCCCTCGCCCAAGATTGGGCCTAAGTCCTGAGCTAAACGTCTTAGTGTGAGTTTATTGGCGCTAGTTCAAGCCCCTCCATCGTCCTTTCCAAGGTTGTACGACAACTATCAGTCCACGGATAAATATTAGCAATTAGCAGCTGTTGAATGAATGACCCTAGTCCATGGCCGATTGGAGACTCACGATTGGCGCCCTACGCCAATGCTCATATCCTTGTATGTCCCTTGGACCGGCATGTTCTCTCACCCAGCTTGTTCATGCCAAGAAAGGAAAAGTTTGGAGTACCTGGCCGGGCGCGCGTCACTTTCATCTCGCGATAAGAGCCGACTGCACAATCAAGGTTGCGCGGCTCCAGGGATGCGGTCTTGAGCAACAGCCCGAGGCTTTGGGTCATTATAAGAAGTCGTTCGAGGTCCAGCCAGAGATCAACAACACGCCGGCAGTAGGATCTCAAGAACAGCACAGCAATTAGTCCTCGACCTGTCATCAACAACAGTTCTTCTCTTGCCATGGCTTCAACACAGTCTGGGGAGCTTCAGATCCCGGGCACTGTCTACCTCGTCGACGTGGCCCAGGACGAATCCAACATTCACGCCCGCCACGATGGCTCGCATCAGGACATTGTCCTGGTCCCTCAGCCCAGCTCCGACCCTGAAGATCCTCTGAACTGGACATACCGCCGCAAGCTCCTCGCTGTGAGCATGGGCTACCTGTACGTCCTGGGCACCGGAATCGCGACATCCCTGCAGTACTCTGTCCTGGCCAACATCACTGCCGACACGGGCATCTCGACGGCCGACCTGGTCCAGGGCACCGGGCTGATGTTCTTGTTCTTCAGATGGGCGTGCCTGATCTGGCAACCCATTGCCCTCACCTACGGCCGGCGCGGCGTGTACCTGATCACCATGTTCCTGACCATCCCGATCATGGTGTGGACGGCATACTCGTCCTCCTCGGGCGAATGGGCCGCCCACCGCGTGCTCATCGGCATCATTGTCTCCCCGATCGAGTCCCTCTGCGAGGTCACCATCTTCGACCTGTTCTTTGCCCACAACCGCGGCACGTACATGGGCCTGTACGTGTTCGTCCTGTTCGGCTCCAACTTCCTCGCGCCGCTGGTGGCCGGGTGGTTCAACGACGCGTACGGGTGGCGGTGGACGATGCACTTTGGCGCCATCGTTTGTGCCGTGTGCTTCGTCATCATGTTCTTCTTCCTCGAGGAGACAATCTACTTCCGGGAGCGGTCTATCGAAGGCCAGGCCGCACCGCCGCAGCCGCTGGTACCCGGGGCCTCAACGACAAACAATCCAGGCAGCGAGACACCCACCGCTACCGCCAAGGACGAAAAGTCCAACAGCCGACCCGCAAGCTCCTCGACCTCCTCCAGCCCGAACCGAGCGATCTGCCCTCCCGTACTCCAAAGCAGCAGCAGTCGTAGGGCCACCCAGCACAGCCAAGGTCTGCTTGGCAAGTACGCCCTCTTCCGCCCGCTCCCGGGCCGCCCGAGCAACCGCGACATGCTGCGCATGCTGTACCGGCCGATTCTCATGATCTTCCGCCTGCCCACAGTCGCCTGGTCCGGGTTCCTGTACGGCATCAACCTGGCGTGGTACAACGTGCTCAACGGCACTGTGAGCCCCGTGCTCACGCGCGCGCCGTACAACTGGTCCGCCGCGCTCGTGGGCTGCGTGTACGCAGGCCCCATTGTCGGCGCGGCGATCGCGTGTCTCTGGTCCGGAAAAGTCGCCGACTGGGTGGCCATCCGGCTCGCGCGGCGGCACCACGGCGTGCGCGAGGCCGAGTACCGCCTCTGGGTCCTCGCGGTCTCGGGCGTGGTCTCGTCCGGGGGGCTGATCCTCTGGGGCGTCGGCGCGTACCATGACTTGCCGTGGATCGGGCTCGTGTTCGGCCTCGGCATGCTCACGTTCGGCGTCGTCACGGGCGGGTCGATCGCGGTCAGCTACAATGTCGACTGCTTCAAGGAGATTGCGGGCGAGACGACCGTGTCTGTCATGATCATCCGCAACACGATCGGGTTCGGGTTCAGCTATGGCATCACCCCGTGGTGGACCAACACGGGCTTGCAGAACTGTTTCATCGCCGCGGCCATGATTTCTATTGCCTGCACTGCGACTTTCTTTGTTTTCATCCTGTTCGGCAAGAGGATCCGGCGGTGGTCTATTCCGGCCTATCAGGGCTTCATTGCAACTACAGTAGTGTCGCAGGAGTAGTGCGTCGTGGAAAGTCCTGAAAATCAGCCCGCGGGTAGCTACAAGAGATGGTGCAAGAGCAATCTTGATTTGTGCGTGATGTCTGTTTGGTCATTCACTTTGAGATAGATATTAGTTTGTTGGTGCTACAATTATATTTCGTTACATCAGGTGTATGCTGTAGTTGCCAGTTCATGAAGTTGCTCGGCCGCCTCAATGGCAGAAGGAATGTCGTTTTCCAAGTTCTTGACCAAATCACCAATAAAGACAATGAGCCGCTTGGCCTCCGCCCGGTGCTGGCCATGTTCGTAGTGAGAAGCATTATGCAGCATGCGTCCGACACCCAGAAGCTGATGCACAATCTGGCTGCCCGCAATCTTGAAGAAGATGAGCGACGCATTGGTGAGCTCCTCGAGAAACGACTCGGCGACATCCATGACCTCTCGCGCGGGCGCCTTGCAGTACAGCAACGCCATGATATTGACGAGTGTCTCAGTGCACAGGATTTGCACGGCCATGTACTTGCACCTGTTGCTCTGACTGTCATCGTCCTGATTGACGGTCAGCGCGTGCAGCATGTGCGGCTTGTTGGCCTTGAGCCTGGCCAGACCATCCAGAAGAGTCGTCGGGGAAGGCTTGTCGCAGAAGATGGCTAGAGCAGTCCTGCGGTTCTTGCACCCACGGAGACTGAAGATGGCGTACTCGAGTAGCCGGAAGAGGTCGGTGATGTAGTCCCAGCCAGCAGTCCAGGCCTGTGTTTCTGGGGACATTGCCGGGGTGATGCGAGGGTACATGACCGAGACCTGGGCCTCGGGAAGGCGGACGACGTGGCCTAGGACACAGGCAGAGTGGATCTCGAGTCGATAGACACACCAGAAGAGGCGCCGACGTTCGTCCACGTCCGACATGGTGATGTCGGCAGGCCAGCGGCTCTCGTCGTGGAAGCCACATTGGGCGACAAGGGCGTGATACAGGCCCAGGTAGCGGTGCAGTTCGCTATGGTTACCACGCAGCAGAGAGTAGGCCGCAAGCAAGCCGAATGCTCGTAGAAAGTCGAGGTCGTGCTGCTGTTGAGGCATGTGCATTGGTATCCGGGACACGGCCTCCTCGAAATATTGCTCGCTGGCTGGTAGAGGATGGCCTTCAAGCAAGGACTCGTCAAAGACGGCATGCAGAGCAGCCGACTGCGAGCTAACAGCACACAGGGACATCAGTAGAACGTAAGATGGAGTGCTGGCGTCGGGAATTCCCTCAGCCCAGCGGGTGATGAGGTCTTGCTCGGGGAGAAAGGGGAAGCTAGCAAGTAGGATATCAGCCCCACACCCTGAATCACAGCTACACGAATCGACATACTAGCACTGGTACATGGTGTCAACGTAGATGTTGAGCAGCCGCCGTATCGTAGAGAGACACCGGAAGTCGCCCTGAGTAGCCGCTATACATCTGCTATGAAAGTTGGTTCCGGACGGCTCTGGGGATGGGGACACGAGTGCACGAGTCGCCGGCTTGCGGCCCCGACGGCGGACGGGCCGAGTCCGGGTGCACTTTGCCCCATAATCTCTACAAGTGAGACACGGAGCACCGGGGGACTGTTGGGGATCGCTGCGACATCGCAGACCGCGGCCGTGGCAGAAGTCGCAGGCGCTGGAAGCACGCTGTCGCATTGGCGAGGCGTGGGCCGGCTGGGCAGGCATCACCAATGGTAGCCTGATGGCGGGCTTATCAGATAGAAGACAGGGGATTGCAGTTGATGAAAGGAGGGAAGGCGAAATGATCGAGATATGGAGATGCTCGCATGCATAGATGACGGGTGAGGCACCGGAGAGAATGGTGGAGGTTGCAGGCGTCAAGAGAGCTCATGTCTGGATTGTGCCGCCGGTGATTGGTGTTATTAACAGCGGTGCCATTTTCCAGCTGCTGATAACCTCCAAGTATGCTAGTCTAGAAGGCTTAGGGGACGCGGGCAGGGGAGTCTAGCGTGCGTGGGGTGGGGTACGCGGCCTGAGGCAGGGATCCCCCGCCTTGCCTTTTAGCAGCTGATGAAGCTGATAAGTCTGGTTGGGGTAGGTACAACCACACCACCATCCCCAGGTCTCTACTCAGACAGCCATGGCACAACGCAAAGACGACGGCGTTTCGAACAGAAAGAGTACATGTCTACATCCCAGTCCATATAATGGCGTATCCGTTCAGCTTCAATGTCAGGGTACACACCAGACCTCTCACGAGTCCATCGATCTCTCCCACAGTAGATCATCATGGGTTCAGTCGAAACCACAGCTGTAAGAACCAGCCCGTAGTTGCGTGGCACATACTCCCTGATCTAACAAGCCATGACAGCCCCTCTCCATCGTCGAGGCCTCGGTCCAGGACCTCGCGTCGGCCCTGTCGAGCGGCTACACCAACAGTGTCGAGCTGACTGCAAAGCACCTCCTCCGCATTGCAAAGTATGACCGCCGTGGAGCACACCTCAATGCCGTGCCCATTATCAACCAGAATGTCTTTGACCTCGCTCAGGCCTCGGACGAGCGGCGAGTCCAAGGCAAGACCCTCGGGCCCCTCGACGGAATCCCCTGCACCATCAAGGACTCTTACAAGATCCAGGGCATGACAGTTGCCAGTGGTTCGCCCGCCTTCCAGAATCTTGTCGCCAACGAGGATGCCTTTACGGTCCAGATGATCAGAGAAGCCGGCGGTGTCATGCTGGGCCGCACAAACATGCCGCCCATGGCTGCCGGCGGCATGCAGCGAGGCGTCTACGGCCGTGCCGAGTCCCCCTACAATCCCAACTACCTCACTGCTGCTTTTGCCTCTGGGTCGTCCAACGGCTCGGCCACAGCCACCGCCGCCAGCTTTGGCGTCTTTGGCATGGGCGAGGAGACCATCTCGTCCGGCCGCTCGCCGGCATCGAACAACGGCCTCGTCGCGTACACGCCGTCCCGCGGCGTCATCTCGATCCGCGGGAACTGGCCGTTGTTTCCCACCTGCGACGTCGTGGTGCCACACACACGCACTGTCGAGGACATGTTCGCATTACTCGACGTCATTGTCGCCAAGGACGACAACAAGACCGGCGACTTCTGGAGGGGCCAGCCTTACGTCGAGCTTCCTAGCGTCGAGTCAGTGCGGCCCCAGACGTACCAGTCTCTGCGCGACACTTCGGCGCTGTCTGGCAAGAAAATCGGCGTGCCCAAAATGTACATTGGCGGCGTCGACTCTGACCCGGCCGCGCGCAGAGTCCATACTCGCCAGTCTATCATCGATCTGTGGTTGCAAGCCAGGAAGGTGTTGGAGAGCTTGGGCGCCACAGTCGAGGAGATCGACCTGCCAGTAGTCACCAAGTTCGAGAAGCCCGATGAAGACGGCGACGACGATGTCAGCAAGGCATCTGAGGGCGGTGTTGCGCCGCCTCACCGGAACGACGTCGACATGTGCCAGCTCATGGCGTACGCCTGGGACGACTTCCTCGCAGCCACCAACGACGGCAACGTCGCCACCTCACTGGCCCAGATCGACTCGGCCACCATCTTCCCCCAGCCGCCAGGCACCATCCCGGACAAGTACGACGCGCAAGACCCGCTGGTGCGCCACTACGATGTCAAGAACCACATTGTCGCCCGCCACGACGCCGACTCCAGCAGCAGCGGCGCCCCAAGGAACATCTACGACCTCCCAAACATGGAGAAGGCGCTCAAGGGTCTCGAGGCCCGCCGCAAGGAAGACTGGGACGACTGGCTCGCCACGACAGGGCTCGATGCCGTGGTCTGGCCGTGCAACGGCGACGTCGGCCGCGCCGACGCAGACACCAGCGAGGACTCATCCGCCGACGCCTGGCGCAACGGCGTGCTGTACTCAAACGGCAACTGCGCGATCCGGCAGCTGGGTATCCCCACGGTCAGCACGACGATGGGCTGCATGGCGGACACCGGGCATGCCGGTGAACCTGACCTTCGCGGGCAAGGCGTACGACGACAGCAGCCTGCTCAAGTACGCGTTTGCGTTTGAGCAGGCGGGTGCTGCTGGCGATGTGTGCAAGAGGAAGGCTCCCGGCTTGACTCCTGAGCTTGCGACGGACCGTATCGAAGTATCCCGGCCTGTCTCCAAGATGAGCGGTGCTGCACCGCGACTGGAGGTCGTCCAAGCCACGGCCGGGACGAGCGGCAGTGTCGTGGTCAGTGGCAAGGCTGACAAGGGTGAGCTTCGCTCGCTCAAGGTTTACATCAATGGGGAGGAGACTGGTGGGGAGCTGGAGGTTGCAAAGGATGGATCATGGCATGTCCAGGCCAGTGTCCCCACGGGCCAGGCCACGAGTGGCGCAATGATGAGGGCCGGAGAGATTAATGTTCCAAGCCGTGAACAGTCGATGGTGGTTGTCCTTGCTTCGGGTGTCAATGGTCGGTCTTCGGCCAAGGTGGTGTTTATTTAACGTTTCAGGAATTGCCTCTTGTCCATATGGCTTGTAGCTTTATGGTTTATGTCAATGCTGAGTTACCCAGAAGCACTACCACATGTCATAAGGGCTTGGAACCTGGTGGCAACCTCTCCACTCAGGACCGAGTACCTAGTGCACTCGAATCCGGATCCCTCGACGTGACTCAGATGTGATTGTGTTTGATAGCTGGATCGCGCAAGTACGACAAGCGCATGCGCTACGTGCAATGATTGACAGCAGCGAGTGTTCCATGATGTGGGCGCAATGGCCAGGAAGGATCGCATCTACCGGTATGCCATGGTTCGACAAGCCTTCCGGTAAGGCGAAAAGTGGATAACACCAAAGGTCAGATACCCCAAGCTACGGCCATCGTAATACAAACCATTCGATTCTTCATATTTCTTCGCAGTGTGGCCAGGTACCCATCTGCACAGCGCAGGCTCGCACTTGGTCAGAGTAGGGGTATCTGGGAAATGCGGCGCTACCGCATGAGAGATGCCTGGCGGGGCTCAACCCTGCAGACCACTTCGCCACATCGAGCCGCCAGGGTGGCATGCGGATATGTGCTGTGAGATGTCCTGGGACGAGAAGTCGTTGTTGGGATGAAACTGGGGCCCGGCCATCCGTAAGGCTGACCACTGACGTGCAAGCTTATCCGAACTTCGCAAGAGCCATGCCCTGCAGTGTGGGGTGCATGGTATGGTGCGCCATCAAAGCCACTCCGCCAAAACCCTATATGCAAGGGCCGAGTGCGCAAGTGCACTTGGGTGCCTAACTGAGGCGCCCCAAGCCCATTTGGGTTTTGGCAGAGTGGCCTTGATGGTGCACCATACCATGCGACACACATGGTTGTGATTCCTGCCATGAGGACGCGAAAATCTATGCAGTCGTATCATCTAGAGCCATGGGTTGAAGACAGTCTACGGAGGTCCGGACGGGACCATGCCACGCTTTGGCCTTGGTAGGATCGCTAAGCTGGTTTAGGAGACCATCAGCTTGACTAGCGTTGCTTGGGCACGTTGGTCGAGACGCAAAATAGGAGATGTCATAATTCTCTCCACGTTCGGGGTGCTCGCCAGTCATGTCATTGGTCCCCAAGGTCGTTCACAGAAGATGTTCGTCCGTAGCGCCTCCAGGCAAGCTCATCCTGTGTCACCTGCTGTGTCAGCTGAGCCCTCCCCTCGGCGCCACATGGAGCGGGCTTCGGTGGTGATCGCAGCGGCTGATGGTTGTCAAAGGCCGTTTGCAAGCCGGGGGTCCTTCCACATCCGAGTGAACATTGGTAGACAAGGAGGCATGTCAGCAAACGACCATGCCAGGTACTTAAACCACGAGGCCCTCTGCCCTCCAGATTGTTGTTGCAAACCTCCCAGAACACCACCACGCAAACAAAGGCAACAGAAATGGCACCTGCCAGTGAGAATGAGATGGACACCGCCCGCAAGAACCAGCAAGCCAGACACTGGCTAGTTACGTCCCCGAGGACGGCGTCAAACCTGCTCATCAAGATGCTCAACCTTGACGAGCAAGGCGTCAGGCCGTCGCACCAGGGAGGATACTTTTTCAAGCCTTCTGTGTTTGTCCGCTTCCCGTTGCTCTTCCATGATGGGCCTATCGACAGCTGGGCGCAGGAAGACCGCGTGGCTGTCGCCAAAGTCATGCAGAGCTGCCTCGAGACACTGCAAGATCACCTCGAAGCCTCAGAGGCTGCTGGCAACACCATCTTTGTCAAAGAACACGCAATGTTCGTGAGCAATCCTTCGATCGAGTCGCACTTCCTCCACCCAGACCACCCTCCAGAATGGCGGAGCCCGGTCCTGGAAGCTCGCGGTATGGCCAGCCAGACGCGCAGCGCGCTCAACATCACAGCTCTGCCGGATGAGTTCCTGCACACTTGGACGCCGACGTTTTTGATCCGTCACCCGGCGTTGATGCTGTCATCATACTATCGTACTTGCCTGGACCACATGAAGATGGCGGCAGCTGCCGCAGCTGCGGCGCCGACCGCGGCAACTGGGCCCCCGAAGAGGAAGAAAGGGGAACCGACGGATCTCGAGATGTCGATGAAGTGGATTCGGACGCTTTACGACTTCTATGCCGACTACTTTTCTCGGGAGGGCAAGGCTGGCCCAGTGGTACTTGATGCGGACGACATCATGAAGCACCCAACACAGCTGGTGCCGCGGTACGCTTCGCTTGTCGGCATGGATCCGGCCAAGGTGCGGCTCAGCTGGGAAAGGCCAAGCGAGGCGTCCGTGAAATGCCTGTTGCCAAACGAGCGGCGAATGCTGAGCACAATTCTGGCATCCTCGGGTATAGATGCTTCCAAGGCGGCAGGCGACATCGATATTGAGCAGGAAGCTGTGAAGTGGAAGGAGGAGTTTGGCGAGGAGCGAGCACGGAAGCTCGCGGCGTGGGTGCGGGCTGCGATGCCAGACTATGAGTTTCTGCGCGCCAGACGAATGCGTGCCGAGTAAAGGTAGTTTTGATAGTCGCGTTGTGGTTCAATGGACGGCGGTTTGTTGTCGACGCAGATCCAGCATGTCGTGTCTGCCCATTTGGCGACGAATCAAGAGGTCATGCCGTAGCACGAACGAATCGCGAACTGTTGAGGGTGAACCACGTCTACTTTACTTGGACCCAGAGAACGTACGCTAGTGTAGATGGTGTAATAGTCAATGGTAAGCGTGGCTAGAGGCGTGCTGGTGGCCAGGATGCGCGTGAAGAGGAGATTGGATGCATCAGGTGGCCGCAGCTTCAGAGGGTGCGGCGCTACTGCCGGTGTTCCAGGGCTGTTTCAGTGGGCTAATACAGTGCACGCCGCCCCCGGTGGTGCGCTGTGCAGCAGCACATGTGCAGCCTCGCCAGGCCGCCACTTGCAACCTTGGAAATGTGCAGGCACGTGAGCTCGCTGGGTGGTGTTGATTCGGAAAGAGCTGTCCACCGGTAGCGCCAGTCCTCCGTGATCTCGCAACTGCCTCTGCACCACGCTCAATCCCATGGCAAAAGAGCCCTTATCACATTTCAGACTGCTTTGGCACATGTCTTCGCACTCACGGTTGGCCGTCCACAGTGGCCAGAATGTCCACCTTTGACGGCATCGTCCGCGAGTTCCCGTCCATCCGCAGTACGTGCAGAGTGCGTCTCCTCGTCCAGTTTGACCAGGCTGATGCTAACGCTAGACAGTTGACTTCTTTGCTGGCCTCAGGGAGCGCCCTGCCCTGGCCTGCTTCCTCAGCCATGTTCACAGCGATCATCTCACCGGGCTGGACACCCTGAAAAGCCCCTTGTGCGTCATCCGCTCCTCGTCCCAAGACCCAAATGCACCGGACACTCATTCTCTGCAACAGCGTCTACTGCTCCGCCGCAACCAGGGAGATTCTTCTGCGCCTCGAGCGCTACCCGTGCCGCATCAACTATGCCCAGGGCATCCTCGAGGCTCGTGAACAGACCTATCGCCACCTCGCCAAGGTTCTCAAGCCCCTGCCCCTCGATACCCCCTCGCTCATTGAACTCGACTCCCACCAGCGCATCCAGGTAACACTCATCGATGCCAACCATTGTGTCGGGGCTGTCATGTTTCTTGTCGAGGACGAACACACTGCCATACTCTATACAGGTGATATCCGTGCCGAGCCTTGGTGGGTCAACTCGATCGCTCGTCACCCGTGCTTGGTCGAGTACACAACAGGTCTCAAAACGTTGGATCGTCTCTACCTTGACACTTCAATGCTTGATGATGTGCCTCTGCAGACGAAAGCAGAGGGGTTGCGAGAGCTCCTGAGTCAGGTCTCTCAATATCCTCCAGATACTGTGTTCTGCATGCAGGCATGGACTTATGGGTAAGGCCAACACACTCTCCTACCTCTGGCAGAGATTGCGGCTGATACTGCTGCAAGATACGAGGAAGTCTGGTTGGCCCTATCTCGGGCTTTGAAATCAAAGGTTCGAGGATTCCCCACCGCTTGCTGGGTGCTCATTCAAGCTAACCGGCAGTGGCAGGTACACGTCGACAAGTACAAGATGCGCATCTACAAGTCTCTGGTCAGTAAGCTGGACACGGACAAGTATGTCACGAGGACTTATCTGAGCAAAGAGGCTCCTGCTCTTGTCGGTTTTACCTGCGGCAATCACCAGCTGGAGGGCTGTCTTACCCTTGATGAACATGTGCGAATACACAGCTGCGAGAAAGGTACACATTGCGACGTCATGCAGAATCAGCCGGTGGTATGGATCAAGCCAATCGTCGCGCATCTTAAAGGCGGGAGAGATTTGGTGGAGATTGGTGTTGGAGGGGGTGGCGGAGACCTGAACAAGGAAGCAGAGCTTCCAACGTTAACAACTGACGATATGGCCTACTTCATTGAGCTGTGAGTGCGAACTCGGAACTCGAAGGCTTCCAGACTAACGCTGTGAAATAGAGCTGCCAACGAGTTGGAGGTGCCTAAAGCCCTCAGGGAAGACTTTGAGACCATCCTCCACAAGGCTTCGGGCAGCCTACGCAGCCTGGCTGTGAACATGGACATCTCGGCTTTCACAGACGACATGCAAGCGAACTTGCAGGACGTGATCAAGGCAATGGTCTCGAAAGCCAAAGCTTTGCACGACTTTTCAGAAGTCCGGTCTCGCTCATTGGATGAAATTACTGGAACGAATACTGAGACGAGACCTGGGAACCTTGAGATGACAACCAGCCCGGTCAAGAGCCTAGACTTGCCGAAACGTATTCGATTCCCGTATGCACGACACTCTTCACTGCCTGAGCTGCGGCATCTCGTTGACACATTCAGACCAAAGGATGTATGGCCTTGTACAGTCGACGCTCGGGAATGGCGGGATCGAGGCATAACGATGCAAGGGCTCTTTGGCGACTGTTGCTCAAACGCGAAGGATTCCTTCGAACATGATCAGCTCATGGAGGACGTCTTACGGGACCTGCCACAAGATGAAGAGCGCCTCATTGGCGAGCATGATAGTGTCCAGGGTCAACGGAGTCAGCTGACAGGATCGTTCCTGCCAGCACAGTTCTCGCCTCCAAGGACCCCAGCCCGTCGGGTTGAGCTTGGTAGCAGCAGTCCACCTCAACTGACAGCAGCCTCGCCTCAGAATGGATCGTCGCAGGAGCTAGGCTACTCCCCTGCCCGGCGACACCATCGAAAGCGGACCCTCTCACAATCAGATTTGGAGCTTGACGACGGTATTTCGAGGAGATACAGAGATCAACACAGTGAACATGACCAGGAAGCAAGCAATAGGCCTTCCGGCCCCTCAGCCAACCACGCAACCGGCAACAACTTCTTCTTTGAATCACGCCTGGGCAATGCCAATCCCATCGAGACCGGCGGGCACAACAGGGATGGCAAAAGCGATAAGTCAGGCGCTGCCCATGGGAACAACGTCTCCAGCCCGAGTGGTTCTCAGGACTCGATAATGTCCAGTGCAGTAAGTACCACTGACGAGCCGAACCTCGATCCTTTGGACACCCGCGCGCGCGCCTTTCATGCCGCAGAAGCGTGCATCTTTGGAGGCGCCACCTGGCGTGAGTCTGCCGCCGGCGCAGGACTCATCTCCACGACAGATCACCACAGCACGCTTGAGATGGAGCTTGGGGTCGAGGGTCTGTACAAGCCGCAAAGATGAAGAGAACGGGGTGTTGTATGACAAGCAAATCACCCTCCTGTCAGCCTGGTCATAGAGTGCAGGAGGATTCGAGCATAACAAGCATGTGAAGCCTTAGCAAGCCACCTCCTACTTTTTCCGCCAGTCCTCCGACAGCGCTGAAGCCAGAATATCTCAATTGCGATGGCCACGAGAAATGTATTGAATGACTGAAATAGTAATGCTTCTTCAACGAGAATGAGATGCTGAACTCGCTCGCTCGCTTTCCACAGCTACAATCGCATGCCCGTGATCATGAGACCCTACGGCCTACCCGCCGTGTCTCGCCTGGCCATCGCCGTCATATTCCTCCCAACGATATCATGCAAGAGTCTTCTCCACAAACACAAGCACAGCACCACCGCTGACTCTGCCATCCTTGCTAAACAGGTGCACCCACCTGTACCCAGACTTGAGGCGGTCGAGCCGGACACATGCCCAGGCAGCCAGGTCGTCTCGGCCAATCTCCTCGTCCTTGACCAGGAACCGCACGAACGCGAGCTCGGGCACGACGCAGGTCACCTTGCTTGCCACGGTGAGCACCTCGCCCTTGAAGTCCGGGTTGACTGTGCCTTCCTTGTTGGGCTTCGTGTGCGCCTTGTACTCGCCCTCCTTTGCCTTGGCGCTCTCTTGCTTCAGCAAGGTGTGCGGCGGCTCCGTGTGGAGCTCGACTTTGACGTAGGGGCGGAAGCCGGACACTTTGTCGTCGCTGTGCGGCAGCGGGAGGTTCTGGGCGGCAAAGACGGTGACCTTGAGGTCCACGGTCTGGTGCGAGATTGCTGGCTCAGAGTTAAGTGGGAGGCTGACTGGGACTGAGGACGTGGTGGGGGCGGCGGTTGCCGTACCAGACGCTTCTGGTGCTGGTGTCGGAGAGCTCACGTTGCCGGCCGCAGCGGGCGCCTCTATGGGTTTCCGACCACGATAGCCAACTGGCTTCAGCACGAATCCGCCCGTCCCAGCAAACATGCCCTCGTTGAGCATCATTCCTTCATCCCACTTCTGCCAGTTGAGCGCGACAATCTGGATGCCCTTGCGCCAGAAGACCTGCGGGTCTAGGTTGGAACTGTTGATGCGCATGCCCGATGGGTACGTGCGCATCATGTAGTGCCGATTGTGGTCGAACAGAGCCTCGGCGTTTTCGTCGTGGACATCGGCGACGGCGCTTTCTGAGAGGGAGAAGATGTGCGTGGGCATCTTGGCCTCGGGCTGCGTCAGGGACTTGAAAGACACGCCGCGGGTGAAAATGCCCAGCGCCGAGAGAGCTTCGATGATCTTGGGAGCCTTGGCTGCCTTGTTCGCGGCCTCTGGGTGTTGCGCATCGGTGGGAGAGCGATCGCTACTGTCAGTGGCCTTGGCCTCCTTCTTTGGTGGTATGTATTTAACCTTGACCAGAATCTTGCCACGCAGGTCTCCTGGGGGAGGCAATGAGTTGGTCTCGCCTGTGGGTGCCTCGACCAGCAGACCGGCCCATGTCTCATTCATGATATCGACCATGATTTCCTGTTGCTGCCGGCCGCAGTGCACCTCCAAACTGACAATGAGAGGTAGGTCTGATACGGTAAAGGCATCCTTCTTGATCGCCTCGCAGACATGCCGAAAGGGGACCTCCTTGGTAAGTGTCCAGCCGTGCAGGACCCTGGGCTCGACAATGCCACTTGTCGGGCTGGGGACTTTCTTTAGTGGTGTCGTGGTCGCAGCCTCGCCTTCCGCGGCTCCAGGGGTAGTCGCTGCAGGTTTGCTGTCCTCGCTGGACTTGAGCTTGCTGGTCAGGCGACGACCAATTGAGGTCTTGTCCAGCCGGCTCGTGAGGGAGCCTGGCAGCTTGGATGCAATCATTTCTTTGCGGCTGGTCTTGCGAATACTCTGCTTTTCTTTGTATTCCTCGTCGCTAGACGAATCCATGCTGGACCGCTCCGAATCCGACTCGTCACCATCCCAGACGTCGATCTCGACACAGCGGCAGCCGCGCAGGAGGACCGTCTTGTAGGCGTCGGCATCGGACTCACTGCTGAGTTGGTTACCGGTGAGGTAAGTGTTGTGGCTGGAGCTGATGTAGTAGCTGCTGATTGGCCAGGAGAGGTCAACCTCGGGGAGAGGTCCATGGACGTTGGCGGCGCTCGAGCCCATATAGCGCAGGAAGCCGTCAAAGCCGAGTTCGTCCTGCGTCGCCATGTCGCCCGAGGGGTCTGTCACTTTGTCGGCTTGGACATGGTGAAGGAAGTCGATGATGGCAGCTTTTGACCAGGTCTTGCCAGGGCCTCCTGCGCAGGCTGTGTCAGTGTCGTCGTCTCGTGATCTGTAGAGGATCCAAGCACCAACCGGCATGCTGGTCAAAGATCTTCTTGAGATAGGGCAGTACCGCCGGCTGGATCTGCTTGACCTTGGTGTCCTCGAACGAGGGCAGACCGCCACCCGCCTGGTGGACTGGGTGCGTGAACTGCTTGGCGATGGCCTGTGGAGGAGGCGGGGTTGACTCCGCCATGGCTGCGATATCTGACGGGACGTCGCTATGAGAAGCCGACTTGGGGCCTGTGTCGCACGGCGAAGAGGGGATAAAGAGCAAAAGGATCAGTTCAGCAAGCGTGACGGTAGCAAAGTTGACGCTGCAGGGACAGGATTAGGACAGGAGCAAGCAATTCTGAAGATATGGGATGGGGGTTGGAAGCTGAGCTGTGCCCCCACAAAGGGTCCTTGGCTGGCAGTAGTATCATACGTCGGCCCCGCAGCTCAAGTCCAGATCCAGCTCTAAGGCATCACCTCGTCCCACGCTGTGAGACGAGTGGCGTGCCGTTTCGTCTTGTCGCCTCGAGGGACGACTACGATCTCGAGCTCGATTGCTGTGGTGGCGGGCTCGAAAGCAAGGAACTTGAGGGTCCAAACGCGTAGGAGTTGGGCGGCCCTGGGCTGGGCCTGACGTATGCGCACGACGATCCTCAGGCCTAGGTAGCTGTGCCTGGTTTCCCTCGTGCCTGGGAAGGAGCTCCCCAGATCTGGACCCCACCTGCAGCTACACTTGACGAATTGCGTGGAGCGGCCTCCTGCCGCCTGTGCAAGTGCGCAACGTCATCCATCCTCCAGCTCGAAACAGCCTACCCTTGACCTGTCCACTCGAGGTGCCTTCGCACACGAAAACATCGAACTGCTCCGCTCTGAAGCCGTCCATTGCTCGGTCCAACGATAAATCGACGTGGCTGTAATCCGAGCCAGCTCTGCGATGCGAGCTGCAAACACCAGTAAGCCACGGCAGGCGGTTTGTTCATACTGTCGTGTTCTTACGCGGATGTCCTTGCCGATGTCCAGCTCAAACAGTGCTCGTCCTTCAATCAGTCATAGCTGGGAATGCAGTCACACGCCATAATTACGTACGCATACAACCAGCCGATCTTGCATGCTTCGAGACGGCTCAATATATTCGCTGCTTTGTTCCAGACTATTGCCGCAACGAGTGGACAAAAACGGAACATATTGGGGGTGGCAGAAATGAAGCAGCTACTGTAGCGGGTGGGTGGACCAACTTGTGTGTGGCGCCCGTATGATCGACCTCTAGGAAATGACACAGCCGCTTCAGGTGGTGCCACTCTCCATCCAGAGAGGCAAGGCTTGAACGCCTACTGGCACATCGGGCTGCAGCACCCTTCACTGCGCTAGGGAATTAAGTGGCTTCCAGCTCCACTCGCGGCCATTACAGCCGGTACACAATCCAGAGAATCCATCATCCTTTCACATGCCGAAACGTAGCCCCCCGATTTGCTATGGATGGGCGACAATACGATAGCCGTCGCTTGTCGAATTCCTTTTGGCGGACTTGTCCGCGTGTGGAGAACCTTCGCTGCATGGATTGTCACGGGTCGGCTATACCTGGCGCGCATGAATGAATGGGCTCTGGACCCTCCTCGTACCTGACCACCCAGGGGTTTATTATGTGAAATATTAGCAAAGCATGTACAAGCATGACATCAGGCCGATGCGACACTCCCACGAGGAAAGGGCGGAACGGGAGAACGTGTGTCGCGTGGATGTCTAGGATGCCGCAATAGTCACTGTTGTGGGCGGCCAGTCTCACGCGGCGATGCTCTCCATTTGCCAAAAGCAGAGCAAAGGCGCCGTGGGACACGACCCAAAGCGACCTGTCAGGCCTGGGATAAAGTCGTTTTGTCTCGGCTATTTTTATTGGAGATTGTGTTGCTGGCCATCTGAAACAAGGCCCTGGCGCCCCCTGCCAGCAGGGGATCAGGGTGTGCTATGGCGTTATTCTGGGGCCAGAGGGCACGAGGCACGAGGCATGAGGCATGATTCAATATAGGACAGCGGCCTGTGTCGTCGGATGGCCATGTTTGTCGTGCCATTGGGCACGAATACGCATCGAGCAAAAGAGCGAGCAGACAGATGGCCCGAGCCGACCAAAGACGACCATCATCTGATGGGCAAGAGCTGCAAAGTGGCGTCATTGGGGAGGATCCAATACGACAGTAGGGATATTGTTGGTTCGGTGCAGCCGTGAGATGTCTCGACCTGCCCTGCAGTGGTTATCTGTTCGCAACGGATCTGGCGTTGTATCTCTGTTTGTTCGGAGTTGGCTCCCTGTGGTAGATGGCGTGGTGCTCTTGTGGTCGTCGCAGGAATTGGCAGCGCGGGTGTTGTCCTTGGCCCGCCTTGGTGATCCGCGCCGCGGTCGTGTTGTGTTGTTGTGTGCAAGTGCGGGATCCGGATGGCTGCGACCCCTTGGGTGGGTGGTCTACAGGGGTGCGCGCGGCCAGGATGGCGCGGGTGCGGATCCGGCATCAGCACCGGCAGCACACGGGGCAGGCCAATTGGCCCGCCGTGGCAGCATCCCAAAGCAGATACCGACCTGGGTGCACGGCCTTGAACCAAACAAACAACACCAAAGAGCTCTGCTCTCACATGGCTGAGGGGAGGGGGGCTAATTACCTTAATTGAGGAGTGGATGTCTTCGAGAACCAACAGAGTGAGACCCTGGCGGTGGGCAGCGACGGCAGTGGCTGAGACGGGGTTTCTCTCCAGCGAGCATGGGCGTGCCGACATCCATCCATGGAGGATCCTCTGCCAGAGCGAGTGCAGTGCAACGCTGGGGAACAGCATCCTGGAGCATGAGCGAACCAACAACGCCGCATTGCATGATGTTGTTGGTGGTCAAGGGGCGGGGGGCGCCGTCGAGACTGGACTTAGTCGGTGCTGGCTGGCCTTATCGGGGACGCAGGAAGTAGGTCGATGGAAGAAGGCGCGCCCGGAGGAAATGCAGCATGTGCGCGCAACGGCAGTAGCCGTTCTGAGACAGTGGGCTCGTCCTGCAGCGTGGTGCAAGAACGCCAGCAACTCCAGTCTGGGTCAGACATCATGATGGCCAGCAGCAGCAGCAGCATCAACAGCATCAACAGCATCAACATCCGCCCAATGCCATCATCACCCGTCAGATCAGATCAGGGCCGGGCTGGCTGGCTGGCAGGGCAAGGGGGGGACCCCTACCGACGTAGACTGCTCCCTTCCGCGCCCTGCATGCGCACCCCAATCGAGACGGCATCCCAGCTCGGCGGCCTGGGATCCGTGGAGGCTTTCCGCCTCGTTGGCCTGCCCGCTGGGGGCCGGTGCTACTGCTAGCGTCGCCGCCGGGCCTCGTCGACCCTCCTCCTCCTCCTTGGGCCCGGCGCCCTCGCTCACCACCACCGGGCGCCAGCCATGTCCTCATCCACCCGCCGCTGTCTCGAGACCCGCCAGATCCGTCGCCATCCTGTGGCGCGGCCGTACTCTCCTTCCGGCCCGCTTCATCTTTGCCAGAACACGGCTGCTGCTCCCAGCACCCTACATCAACGCCTTCCCCTGCCGCCGCCTCTCTTCTTCACCACTCCAAGCCGGTTGCTTCTCCCTTCGTCACCACCACGACACTACCCAACGGTCGCAAACTCTAACTCTACTCTACTCGGCTCGCAAAGCCCTCGACTCAGCGCTAGCAACTTCTCACAGCTGTGCCATGGCCTGGTCCCGCTCATGAGATTCTCAGCTTGCCATTCCAAGACGCCCTAGTCTTCCTTCTCCGCTGTCGTCGCCACCAAGGGGGTTCGCATGTCTACGTAGCTCAAACGTGACGTCCGTCACGGTACCGTTGTCTCGCGCGAAACAGCCCCCAGCGCTTCGTCTTGTCCAGCAAGTCTTCTCTACTTCTGGCCACGCCTGCATGACCCGCGCGAGCCGTGCGAGCCGCCATCCGTGACGATCGCCTCGGCCCGTCCCACCAACCACTAAGCCAGACTCTCCGTAGGCAAACATGGCTGGTTCTGGGCTTGTTGTTCAGATGCTGGACTGCCTTTTCACGGCCAAGACATGGCTCTTTGTCGTGTTCGTGCTCATCGGCCTCGTCGTCATTGAGATCCTTACCAAGCCAAAGCTCCCAGCCTCGGTACCTCGTGTCGGCCATGCTCCGGGCTTTATCGGTACTATCCGCAACTACTTTTCCTTGTGTTTCAACTACATGTACTGGCTTCAACGTGGCTATGAAGAGGTACATTCGCTGCCATGCTAGCGCTTTGATGTTGATAGTAACACGCGACTAACTGATGGAATACAGCACTCCAAACATGATCGCACCTTTATGGTTCCGTCAGCGGCTGCGCGGCCAGCCCATCTCATTGTCCCGCGGTCGCAAACATCTTGGCTCCTGGGACTTCCGGACCACGTGCTAGGAGCTACAGAGGCGCAGAATACGCTGCTCCACAGCAAGTACAGCTTTCCTGTATCACCAGCACTCGGCTACGAATTCCCCTTGCGAGTTGTCCACAGGCACCTTAATCGCGCTCTCCACAACCTGACTCCCGATATCTGGGAGGAGGTGCAAGCTGCCATGGATACAGCACTCGGCTGCGACACGGAGAACTGGAAGTCACTCAACGTGTGGGCCATATCTCTGGACATCCTGACACGGGTGACGAACCGCATCATCCTCGGACCGGGCATCAACCGGGACCCGACTCTGCTGAAGCACATGGTTCACTTTGTCGACAGCATCATCATGAACTGTTTCGTGCTCGACTTCTTGCCAAAATGCCTGCATCCCATCTTCGGCCCTTTGGTCAGCATACCTAACAGAATGCACTTCAAGCGTGGCGCCGAAATCACGATACCCCTCATCAAGCAGCGATTGCATGACCTGGCACGCAAAGAGGCAAGCGACCCGGCCTATGAGAAGTGGAAGGAGCCCGAGGACTTCATCACATGGGACATCAAGATGGCCAAGGCCGAGAACAACAAGGCCGAGCTGGAGCCTGAGAACATTGCCAAGAGGATCTTGCCCATCGAGTTTGCCGCGATCCACACGACAACAATTACCTGCATGTACATGATCATCGACCTCATGTCGACGGATCCGAGCCTTGGTGTCGTGGAGGATCTGCGCAGGGAAGCGGCTCAGGTATTTGCGGAGGAGGGTGGCCAGTGGACCAAGGAGGGCCTGTTCAGGCTGCACCACATGGACAGTGCGATCAGGGAGAGTCAGCGCTTCAGCACCTTCGCACTGACGCTGACGGAGCGGATGGTGGTTGCGCCCGAGGGTATCACCAACGAGATTGAGGGATGGCATGCGCCGCAAGGGACGGTGATCAAGCTGAACCTGTTCAGCGTGCACAAAGATCCCGAGATCTATGAGAACCCGGACGCCTATGATCCATTCCGGTACTCACGCACGCGGGAGAGCCTTCTTGCGGAGACGAACGGAATGGCGGGCGTGGTGCAGCTCAAGAAGACGGGCCTGACGACGACGAGTGATACGCATCTTGCCTTCAGCCACGGGAGGCATGCCTGGTGAGTTTCCTGTCTTGTTGCGCGTGTGGGAAATGGCTAGTGGCAGTTGCTGACTTGTGAAACCCCTGCTGGGATGGATAGCCCCGGGCGGTTCTTTGTGGGCCAGGAGCTCAAGATGATCTTTGCCAACCTGCTGCTCAACTACGACATCAAGCCGATTACGGAGCGGCCCAAGACGGAGTGGCTGGGGAGTGTGGCGCTGCCGCCGATGAAGGCGACGATTGAGGTGCGGCGGCGGAAAGCGGCGTGGACGCCCGACTCAGCCAACTGAGCAGCTGTCTTTGGGAGGCGTTGTCAAATGCGAGACTTGGGTCTAAGTTGTGTATCTTTATTTCTGGCGTTGGGATGGCCGACTGCGAAAAGAAGGCGGCGCGAGGGCGCTGGATATGCGATTCTGCCGTTTGAACGCGGAGGATGTGGTTTGTCTGGTTACCTACTTATGTAAGCAGGACATTGCGTCTGTTGTGTATATTCTTCTTTGAGAACCGGCATGGGTTCTTTGATAATCAACAAATCATGCCGCACAGAGACCACCCACGCCTGTGGCTTGCGCATGTGAAGGTGAGGCAGGCAGGCAGGCATGCATGCATGCACTACCCCACCTGCACAGCACCAGGCCATCCCCGTTTCCCCAGACCCGGCTGCGAGTCTTAAGTTAGCGGGGGGTGGAGCCGAGTGCCCGCTGTCGGCATCTCGAGCCTCGACCTCGCGCATGTCGACTTGCATATGCTCGCTTGCTGCTTTTCCGTTCGCCCGAAATCGTACCACCACCGCCACCACCAACAGCCAGCCAGCCAGCCAACCAGCCAGCCGAGCCGGCAGCTGGCCACTGCCGTTTTCGGGAGAGATGTTTCTGGACACAAGAAGCAGCCAGCGTGGGGATTGCCATTTTGGTTGGTCGGGCGAAAGGGTCTTGTTTCTTGGCTTTCGGGCTTCTGGTGTCAGCCGAGAACTGCAAGGTTGAGTTTAGGCGCGACAGAAGCGTGTGGCTGTTATTAATATGCTCCCGGATGCCCTCCTCGTCATCGTCCCTGCTTGGACTTACTTTCTCCCCGTTCCTTGTGAGCAGAACATCCTCCATCACATCCGATCGCGAATCTGGTTCCTAAGTACAACAACTTTTCGCCCTTAACCCGAGATTTCTACATACGCTGCACACTGTCACAGTTCGACACGAACATATCAGCTCCGCACCTGCATCCACAACTCACTGTATCTGCATCTGGCAACTACCAGCAAAACCCGGCGCTGCCGCAAACAACCACCACCACCACCACCACCACGCCAGCAACCTACACCTGGAGCGATTGCACATAAAGCAAACGACCTTTACGCTCGCAACTACAGCTTTTCTACAAATCTTCAGCCATATCTCAGACTTCACCCCCCACACATACATATCCAGAGACCATGGCCTCCACAGCGACTCTCTCCCGCACTGCCGCCGCCCGCCGGGTCCTCGCCACCACCGCTAGCAGCAGCACCAGCACCGCCCCACGCACAGCTCTCACTATGCCTGCCAGACTCCTCAGCACCACCACGTCCTCCTCTTCCACATCACAGCAAGACCAGCGCGCCCTGTCGTCGTCGTCGTCGTCGTCATCATCATCAGGAGGCGTGATCGATCCCATCATGGAGCGCCTCTGGGCGTTCGGTCGGTCCGTGAGCATCTCTGCCGCTGCTGCTGCTACTGCCACGGGCACGCCACAGCAGCAAGGACAGAGCGGCGGCCAAGCAGATTCCGCCAAGAGGATGGAGATGTATGTCGATGGCGTGGTGCGGGATCCCATCATGGAGAAGTTCTGGTCGAATGGTGCGGGGCGGGCGTGAGCTTTGTTGTGGTGGTGATGAATCACATTCGCCATTCGCCCTTGATGGTTGTAGGCGCGTGAAAGCTGGGTGTCCTGAGTTGAACTCTCCCATCCCAGGCTCCCTTTTCTTTGTTACGAACAGTCTGATTGAAGGTGGCTTCTGAACAGAGATAAGAGGGAAATGACATGCCTCTCGGCCTCTCGGTGAGAGGGGGCATGATTGTCGTGGGGCTGTTAACGAAGCGTTGAATTGAATATATATCCCCTCAAGAATTGCCGTTATCCATTACAGGTTAGCTTCCACAGAGCCGCGTGACACCTGCGAGAGATGACATGTTCAGAATAGGCAACTCGTTTGTTGGAAGTGGGAGGCACAATAACTTCGACTGGTGCCAGTTTCTTCGTATCCACCCGTGAATCTCTCAGGGCACCCTGTTATCATTGTCATGTCTCTGTGATCTACGCCAAGTTCCAGGCCGCTTCATATCGCTCTCGCTTGTTGAATCATGAGCGAGATATCGTTGGGGAGCGCAAAGGCCGCTATGAGTCGCGATTCATTTGCGCATCTCACAGGCTAACGCGTGTCAAAGGAGTGCTGAGCCTCACTGATACAACCCCAGCTCTCAAAATCAACATATTGGTGTACAGGTAAAGGCCAGTAGACGTGTAAGCCCGGCAAGGGGCTGATCTGGGTTCAGGGTATCGCTCTGCCGATTGGGGGCGCGCTGGAACCCTGGAGCCAAGACCATGTCAAAGCGGACGATATCCGTTGTGGCTTGCGGCAGAAGATCGGAGGTTTTCCACACTCGCCTCACCGTGGTTGTTCGCTGATTTGTTCAACAGAGAAAAGATGCGCTTCTCTCCGAGGCGACTCGCCCTCGGGATGTTATACATCGTGGAAGAGCCCTGCACGCTTTGCTGTCGTTCATTGCCATAGGCTTGCATCGCAATGATCAACGCAATCCAGGTCGTCGTTGTCGTCGTTGTCGTCCACTGACGCCGGCGTGCTGGCCGGGACGAAAGTGCCGCTGTACCTGAGGGACGAAGCTGGAAGGGATCAGACGTTCATATGTGCCAGGAACATTTTCTGGCTGACAAACGGTGCCGAGTATTCCCTCCTGAGACCTAAGTGCCAGTCTGCAAAGTTGACGGCAGAGTTTGTACGAGCTCTTAGTCGCCCCCGGGCGTGGTACTAAATCCGTAGAACGCCCTCGGTTGGTTTCACCAGCCTTCCTCCGCCGGATATCTAGATACGTTTGGAGACGGGGATACAGGCGCCTGAAGACAGTGGAAAGGACATCTATTCGGAGGTGGTGGAAGGGCTCTGCTGATAAATCCCCTTCGTGGTGGCTGGCACAATCATGACTACTAGACGCAGATGTCATCAAATCAGCTGTGTTGGCTACTTTCTACCTCGATCTCGGAAGATGGACTAGGTGCAAGGCGCAGACTGCCACGCCGACTCGAACCAAGCATGACTGACAACAGAAGATGCGTGACACTAGGCTGGTCTCACAACAAGCAACCACAACTGTTCACGCTGTGCGAGCAACCCCGGAACACGGTGTAAGGGGGCCAGCGGTTTTTGCGAGATTGAAAGCTAGAGACTTCCCACTATCAAAGTGCCTACAAACCACTTCTAACCCCACCAGATAACTTGAACAAGTCAACCCGCTGCTCTCTTTCTTTTTGTCGAATCAACACGTCCCCTCCAAACTCCTCACTTCATGCTGCTCCCGCGATGCTCGAGTTGACGAACAACGGCGAGCTGCTTAACAGAGCCTGTACCAGCCGTCGGCCTCTACGCACACGGTGACCGTCTTGCAGGAGCTCAGGGGGAAGAGCGGGTAGCCATTGGCACACTCGGACGGGGTGTAAAGGCTCGGGGTGCGTTCCTCGAGCCGGGCAGTGTGAGGGTAGCACTAATATTGGTATCCTAGCGTTAGCGTGAGGCCCCAGCATTGGAATCGACTACGTTGGTTGGGACCAAGGAAATGACCATCAAAAGGGGGAAAGCGAGGAGAAGAAGGGAGGGGAAAAGCAGGCTGAATAGTTGGGACTGGGCAATTCGGGACGTACGTATTGCTTGCCGTCAAGCACGGCGATGGCGCCGTTGCCGTAGATGCAGGCGCCGGTGGTGGTGTCGCCGGCCGCGTTGATACAGGCGCAGGCAGGCACGGTCTTGGTGGTGACCTGGCGGGCGACCTCAAGCTCGGCGGCCGGGGCGGCCATGGCAACGGTGGCCAGAAGGGCGACGATGACGGACTTCATTTTGGGGGGTTGAGTTGAAGTGACGTCGCGAGGTGCAAGGAGTAGCGAGTGGGATGGGCTGTGAGAAGTGCTGGACTCTGGCTGGGAGTTGAGGAAGAAAAGAAACAAAAGAGGTCTGTGATGTTGGGGAGCTGTTGCAACTCTTTATATCCCAAGTAGGAGCATCATAACACCACGGCTGGCTCGGAGCGGCAACCACAGCGCGCGTGGCAACCACAACGCTGCAGATGAAATTTAGTCAGTCGCATGGTCCTGATGACAGAGCGTAGCGGCTGATGCGACGTCGCATGGCCATTGCGCGGGTGTCGCTGACATCACGTCGCCGTTGTCGGCAGTTGGTGCCCCCAGACCTTGTTGCGGAACATGGAGCGGGCGGCGCCTCCTGCCCGATCCGTTGGCGGATCGTAGGTTGTTGGCCTTGGCAGGGCAGTTTTGCCGACAATGGTGGAGTCCGGCCAAGCCTCCTCCTTGCTGCTATGTTGGGGTACTATAACAAGCAATGACACGCCATAATCAGGTTCGGCCCGGCGAGGATCATGCGGGGGACCTCGGCTCCGAACTGTTTGCAGCGACTCGGCAGGGCTGGATTCCCCGTAAAGCATGACGATGACAAATGATTGATCTGCCTTCACCTGAGTCAGGGCACCAGTCTTGATGTGTTCCAGGACGACAACGCTGCAGGCTGGGGAAATCACCTGGGCCAGCATGGACCACGACGCAACGACAGCACGTGATGCCAAGAACAGAGAGACTGATGCAGAGCATGGAAATCGTCTCTGGTTTCCCTAATCGGGAAGTTTCTCACAAGGGTTAAACCTCATTCTATTATTCTCGTGGTGCTGGACGGCATGTGGTATTCAAAAGGAAATGAGCGTCTCAGAGATTGAATATTCGCGCAACCGTCTCAACTTTTCACAGGCGCATCCCACCACATCCCTGTCATACAAGCTTGACTATCCGAAAGCGACAGATTGGGTTGTCTCTCTATTATGTCAATCGATCGCAACGCACGTCATATAGCCGAACGGGTTTGCTTGGCAGCATTCCGACTTTGGCACGCCAGGCAAATCAACTTAAAAAAACAAAACGACCTTCTGCAGTGAACCGGGCAGATGAGTCGTAGCCACTAGAGGACAACCAGTACAACAGCCCGAATAAATGTGGGGAGAAAAGGCCCTTACCACGAACACGAACCCCGGAACATCCTTCCACGCCAAGTGTTGACCTAATGTCCCGCGGAGCTATAAGTTGAATTTAGAATAGCAATGTGTTTTCAGTACAGATTATGACATACGACCTCAGGCCCAATTAAACCAGCTCGCCCATGCGATTTTCTTTTTGATCAACGTGCTTCTGTACTTTATAATCGCCGGATCTGCTGGCGAATCCCTGGTATGTCAACCACTCTATGGGCATAATTTAGTTCCTAGCCGGATTGTCACATAGTACCGGAGGCCACGTCCGCGGACACATAGTCAGGGTATATCGGTAGTAGCAACAGAGGCGTTGACTATCTTCACAGAGCCAATAAGCCTTCGGTATTTATTATTGTGGAGGATTTTCAGGGATTCTCTCAAGGCGTGATATTGATCTGTGTTTGAAAAACATCGAGCTCCACCATCAACGCACTACAGCCATAGTAATTGTGATCTTCACATGTACAAGCGACCGCATTTCGAGGAGGGCGTTCACGCGTCTCCACTTAGATAGCTCGATTAGCGCCGGGAATAACATGGGACCGCTAAGTACCGGAGGCTTGTCGGCTCTGCGAAGTTCTCCTATGCTCCCGGGACACTCTTGCGAAAGACACGGGGTCCAACCTGTTACTTGTCACTGCTTGCTGGCATGGTGCTGAATGCGATTCTAGCAATGTGCAAAGGACAAGGACAGAAACATCACAGCTCAGCCAAACGTCGGGGCATCTAAGACTGACGGCCGTCGCTTGTTGTTGTTGCCTCGCAATCCTGCACTGTATTTGTTGGAAGGCCCTCGTATGACCCAACCGTGTCTGGAAATATTTTCAAGTGCATCCGGGGTCTCCTTTATTGTCAACCGTCCTTACGACGCACATCACGTCTTTTTTGCACAGCCGGAGTTTGTCGGTGCGGAGATAGTGACGGACATCTGTGATCCTTAAGTCCCGCCTAAGTCCTTATGTCCTTATCACCGGGAATCCTTCCCTGGCGCCCTGGACAAGCTTTTGCAGGCTTATGCCAAAAGGCTTGTCTTCAATGTGCTTGTGTGGTGTTGATGTTTATATAGTAAGTCAAGAGTGCCGGTGGTGAGCGGTTCTACAGTGCATGAAGGTCAATGACGGGCTCGGGGCCAGACCTGGAGTATAACGCCCAGTTTGAGTGCAAAGTCGGCCGAATCTCGCACGAGGGGTATGGCCAGCCCAATGTCCAACACTAGCGTCAACTTTACTTGTTCAAGGATGCATGATCAGGCACAAGCCGGGCTTTGGTTCCTCGCTCCAAGCGGGGTATTCCGTCGGTATGCAGGCGAGGGGGTGACGATTACTGCCGGCCAACAACAAACATGTCATATAAATTTAAGATTCTCTACTGCCTACTACTGCCGTGAACCTCTCGCCCTCTCCAACTCACCAGTGACTCATCAGCTTTGAAGTATCAATTAGCCATGGCCAACGGAAAAGTCGTCCTCATCACCGGAGGTGAGCACCCTCTAGTCCCCTGACCTTGTGCCAACCTCCATGAAATAAGCACACATGAAGCGCACATACACAAACACGCAAACACTAAAGCCATCAACAGCCAACACCGGCCTCGGCTACGAGGTGGTCAAAGCCCTGGCCGCCACCTCCCACGCCTACAAGATCATCCTGGGCTGCCGCGACCCGAGCAAGGGCGATGCCGCCGTGGCCAAGATCAAGAGCGAGGTCCCCGAGACGGCCTCGTCCTTCTCCGTCGTGCAAATCGACATCGCCTCGGACGAGTCAATCGAAGCAGCGGTGGCCTCGCTCACTTCGACGGAGCCGCGCATCGACGTGCTCGTCAACAACGCCGGCGCGCACTTTGAGATCGACGCCACCAAGAACCTGCGCCCGGACGGCATCCCTTCGGCCGCCGCGATGCGCCGCGCCTTCAACCAGTCCTGGAACGTCAACGTGGCCGGCACGCAGGTCCTGACTGCGCTGCTCGTGCCCTTGCTGCTAAAGTCGCCCGATCCCAGACTGCTCTTCCTGACCAGCGGCACCGCGTCGCTGACCGAGACGGAGAAGACGGACGGCCCCATCTACGGCCGAATCAACGCGCACCCCAAGGAGACCGGGTGGCCGAAGCCCGCGGGGTCGCTGGGCGAGGGCAAGCCCTCAGGCCTGCCGTCCGCGTACAAGTCGGTGAAAGTCGGGCTCAACATGGTGATGCGCGAGTGGGCGAGGGTCCTGCGCGCCGACGGGGTCAAGGTGTGGTCCATCTCGCCTGGGTTCTTGGCCACCGGTCTCGGTGGGGTTGGCGCAGATGCCTTGCGCAAGGTGAGGATCTTCTTTTGCTTTTCCTTTTCATTATCGTTTCGTTGCCGTCTGGCCTCGGTTCCGGCAAAGATGTTCTTTTCAGGTCTTGCTAATGTGAACGACGTGTTCAGCTTGGTGCCAAGGAACCGCACGAGGGGGGCGAGTTCATCCGCGATGTGGTCGAGGGCAAGTATGACCATGAGGAAGGCAAGGCTATCCGTGCCACTGGGCCGCAGCCGTGGTAAAGATGTCCCGTCCTTGGGCTGAGATGATGCAAAATGCTACCATGTTGGTCAGTGTGGGTTATCGCTGCAGGAGCTCTTTGATATGGTGGAAGGATTGGGTCTGCTGGATTCTTCGTGGACTGGAAAGCAATAGCATGATTGTTTGATTGATGCATGATGATGGGGGAAAAGAAAACTCAGATTGATTGATGCTCACAACCCCGGAATATCTCAATTGACAAATAAAAAGTGATAGCCCGCAGTATCATGCCACGGTGTTCTGCCAGACTTGTTGCTTGATATACTTTCCTTCTTTAGCAGAAGGCTGGCCCTGCCTGCCAACCCTCAACTGTTCGTGACCTCCAGGGCCGTCTATTCAATGTAACATCGGGACAATACCCGCCCTACTCGATCCTTGGTTACTGCCAGTATCATCCCCTGCCCCCTCCCATATCGCTTATTGCCCCAGATGCCAATTCCTACAAAAGCTTGGCCTGCGTCGCCCCGCCGAAGCGCTGCACGGCCACGATGCGGCCGCACTTGGAGCACATGTGCTCCGCATTCTTGAAGTGGTTCGCAGCATAGGGGATGAAGACGCCCAGCCCGGTGGTGAAGAAGAAAAAGGTCGCCATCCAGCTAAATTCCTCGCCCCACGAGATTAGTACATCGTGCGTGCCCACTGTGGTGATGGAGGAGAAGAGACAAGTGTGGCTTAGGTGCGAAGATCAAGGAAAGGAGAGAAAAAAAGGAAAAGAGAGACATACTGCGTGCCCTTTCCGGGGACGTGCCTGACCGACGTTGGCCCGATGTCGCGGCATGCGGGACACTGGATCAGAGCGGGGAAGCGCTGGAGCAGCGGCACGGGGACCACGTTCCCGTAGAGCCGTGGCGGCTCGGCGTAGTAGTGGTTCACGGGCATCTGGCTGTGGGTGTGGTGGTGTACCGCCGGGGTACCGGTGGCGGATGCGTGCATGTTGTGGTGGTGGATGGTCGTGCTGCAGTACGCTGGTGCTTGGAAAGGGAGCTGCTGGGAAGCCCCGACGTTGCCGCCGTGGTACGAGTGATGGGACGGAGGGGTGTGGATGGAGCCGGCATGGCTCTGGTGGATGGGACTGGAGACGACGTCGATGAGGGGAGGAGGAGGACCAGTCGTCGCGTTGTGGATGGTCGGAGCCTGGACCTCGCCGGAGCGGGTTTCGACGGACATGGTATCTGTTTGAGTGGGAAAAGATACAGGTCAGCTCTCAACATTATAGGTGTGATCCATAACAAAACTTAGAGACCAAGACAGCAGGGCCCAGCTTACCAAAGTTGGCCTTGGTGTACGAGGTCATGTCTTTTCTCTTGATGGGCATTGAAGACTTTTCGAGAAAGCAGTTGCGACAACCGACGTCGAACGTGTTGAAAGCGTAGAATCAAATGTGTTTGAGAAAGTGCTCGAGTTCTACGTCGTTTAACGAAAGGGCATAGGGGAATATAGACAAAATGGTCAGGAACATCTGAGCCAGGCAAATCCCCGGACCATATATATACACACCATCACATTCCGGCACAGCCCCTGGCATGCCGTCTATCGGCCATTGGCCAATAGTGATGTGAAGGACCGTCTATCTAACTAGCCAAGCTTCCCGGAGCAGGCACGCCGGCATGGAACCATGCGACTCAGTGCATCTCCTCCCAATACTAGCCTGCGCCCCACGACTGTAGGAGCTGTGTTCCCGGCTACGCCTTGCGCCTCATCTCCAATGTGGGAGATCGGGATCTCCCAAAGAAGCGAAGCCAGACGCCTCTCGTATCAAAGACTGCTGGTCCTCCCACATCCCTAGGGAACCTTGTCTCATCCAACAGGCGCAAAAGCAGCGCCTTGTTTACATGTAGGTACGCCCAACCGGGCAGTGCTCAGAGCAGCACCAATACAAAACAAGACCAGCGCAGGACAGACTCCGACAGAGACAGGCAAAAGGCTAACCAAAAGCATCCCGCTTTGCCAGGCAGCAGGTTAAAGCAAACCCGTGATTGGGCCCCTGCGTAGCACATCATGCGGGAGTGCTGGGCTTGGTGCGGGATTCCCAAGCCTTCCCGCCCTTCGAGGTGAGAGTTGAGATCAGGCATCCAGATTGTGTAACACCTGATTGGTCGCGTTGGTGCCCGGCGCGCTTTCGGGGGTGGAGCACCCCTCCGCTACCTGTGGGGAGCAAGAAGAGCGAGAAACCTTTAGGCTCTGCATGTCAACACCCCAGTAGCCAGAACCAGCCAAATTACTCTAGAAAACAAAGACGAGATGCATGTGGGATACAGTTATTATTAGATCTCGCAACTAGTGTCCAACACCTCCATTTGGGGGTCCGATGCGCACGGCATGGAGTAAATCCCCAACTGCATAAGGAGCACTCTCCACTGTCTGAGTAGCGTTAGCTGGTCTTTCCGGGAGTCCGTTTGCAACTATGCTTCACCCAATCACCTGCAAACGCAGAGGAGGACCAAAAAAAGAGAAAGAAAAGGAAACAGAAACCCACGCTTTTGCAGACAGGCAAGACAAGCGGGAATGCCAAAAAGATTGATAATCAAGGAATTTGTCCTCGGTGAGGCTCGAACTCACGACCTTTGGATGTCCCAATTTTCTAATTGGGTCAATCAATTGAATGATATGAGACCAACGCTCTAACCAACTGAGCCACGAAGACATGTGATTGGTTGTTGAGAAGCTCGTGTCTTGTGATGATAAATATCCGTGAGTCAATTCATCGACATGCAAGAAGTCAACATCAGCGTTCAATCACCCAGACTGGGGCACGGAAAGATGCCTCTACAAGTGCGGCTTTCTAGACCAGTTTCTATTTCTAAGTCGTGATCAAATCATGCTAATGATACAATGCCCAAAACTCCTTGCCTGCTACCCTAATGTTTGCCCGAATGACACCCAATACAATGAAGACACCATCGGCTACAATCGCCGGAACACATCCGCAAAAATTTCGCGGCTCTTGAAAAGATTCTCCACTCGCAACTTCTCATTGTTCAAATGGGCAGCATCAGACGCTTGCCCACATGGGAGATGAGCTGCAGGCGCATCAAATTCCTTCTCCAGAAAGCGGATGGCCGGAATGGAGCCACCCTCCCTGATGTACAAAGGCTTGGATGGACCAATGCGCTTCGCAGTGCCTGCCGGGACAATCTCTTTGGCATCTGATTCGTCAGTGTCTGAAGAGTTGTCCGCGGAGAACAATGGCGACCAAGCCTTGACCACTGCTTCTTCCAGGGTGCGGAAGATGTAACTGTCAGGATCACCAAGCCAGGGCTCTGCCGTGTTGTCAATCTGGACGGTCAACAAGTTGTCAGAGACGAGATTGTCGAATTCGCTCTGCAGGTACGATGTGAGTGCATCAACTGTTTCTTGTACTTCCTGACCAGGGACGAGGCGAATGCTGATCTTGGCGCTGGCATGGCTGCTGATAAGACCTCCTCCAGAACCCGACACGTTGACAGCGTGCTGAGTCAGGTTGGGTTCTCGCCATCGGGCCATCAGGCTCTTCTTCAGGTTGTCAGCCACTGTCTTGCCTTTGGCACGGATACCAAGCGCATCGATGATCGCGTCATACCGCGCCTCCTCCTCCGAAGTAAGGGACGGAATGTTGGCATAGAACCCCGGAAGCATGATTGTGTTCCTTGGGCCTTTGAGCTTGGACAGGATAGTCATCAGATCCGACATTGGCTCGTTGATCATGTATGATCCGTCGACGCCAGAGTGAAGATCAGGCCGTTGCGATTCAACGCAAACCGTGGCGTGCATGACGCCACGGAGGCCATACGTCAGGCACGGCATGTCGTCGTTGAGCCAGTAGCTGTTCGCGAGGAGGATGTAGTCGACATGCCCAATTGTATCTTTGTGCTTGCGCACTGTCCGCCTGAAGCCACTGGAGCCAGATTCTTCCTGTCCTTCTATGAGGAAGAGGACGTCTGAGTCGAGCGACTTGGCCTGCATCAAGTCGGTCACTGCATATAGTGCTGCCATGATGGGGCCCTTGTTGTCGCTCACTCCACGACCATAGAGGAATCCATTTTCGCCCTTGAGCTGGAAAGGGTCGCTGTCCCACTTCGCGTCTTTCGTGTCGGCAGGCACGACATCGTAGTGCCCATAAAACAAGACACGCTTCCGCTTCTCTCCAGCTCGCTGCTTGCCGGTGAATTTCGCAAACACGACCGGGTGATGCAGGATGTCGTCTGCATGGAGCATCTCCACTTCGGCGCCCAGTTTCTTGAACAGGCTCCGAAGCCATGTTGCTCCTTGCCTGCAGTCTTCGGCATACTCTGGATTGGACGAGATCGTCTTGTAGGAGACGAACTCGCGCAATGAGGTGACCATCATGTCTTCCGACTCCTCGTGGCTCTCTGGGTCTGTTTTGGCTTCGTTGCCCAACATCCACACCGATACACTATTGTCATTCGCACCGGTGATGTAGAGCTGGTTATTGTCATGAGTTGTGACGACCGAAGCGAGTATCTTGCCGTTGTGAGCATGCCACTTTGTCAGGCACTGGTATTTCTGGCTCACGTTCTGAGATTCGGTCGGCTGGTATTTGCCGTACTGCACAGTGCTATGCTTCTGCAAGGAACGTCAGTAAAAGCTCGCCAAGGGCTCCGCCAAACCATGAAGCTTACACTCGCAGTACCGCTGGAGCCTACGCTCCAGAGATAACCCCAGCCCATCTGCAAGCTCCAGACATTTCCATCGTGCGCTTTGATTTGCCGGAGCTTCTGCTGCGTGTCAAGATCCCAGAGCTCGATGACGCCACTCAGCTTTCCGCTGTAGAGGAACGAGCCGTCGACCTGCAGGGACATGATAGAGTTGGCGTCCTCTTCACCCAGCATCATGACTTCTTCCAGTCCGTGCTCGAGCCCGTCCGGCGCTGCATCCTTGCTTCCCAATTTCCAGGCTTTGATGGTGCCGTCTCCTCCGCCAGTTACCAAGAGCTCCTCGTCAGCATCAGCGAGAGCTGTCAGGCCTTTCGCGATCATCATGCAGTATATGAATCCGTAATGCGCATACATAAGGTTAGCGCGCTTGTCGGTCTCGATCACGGTATGAGAGCGAGGGATGAGCTCAAATCGCTCGTCGGTCATGCGAGGTGTGCTGGCGCCCCCACCGACCGCCCTAGAGTCGAAGAAGCGGTGGTTCCTGCGATCCGGGTGGTTGGCAGAGTCGTGGGCGACCTGCTGCTTCAGGTCGCTCAGGCTGGCCCATTGTATGGATGTGTTCTGTGCGCCGTAGTAGACGGTCTGGTGTTGTGGGGAGTATGCGACCGAGAAAATGTCGCCAAAACTGTCGTTCGTGCTGTAGATTTCGTACAACCGTCTCATGGTGGTCGGGCACCATACATTGACGATCGGATCGCTCGCGGCGCTCGAGAAGAGCATGGTGCCATCATCGGAGAGGAAGAGGCTGAGGACACTGCGCTTGTGCGCCTGAATGCTGTGCAGCTGGCGATATGTGCTGAGTGACCAGACGACGATTTCGCCGTCTTGTGTACCAGCATATATCCTGTCGTCGCTAACCGTGAGGGCGAGCACGGAGCTGTCGTGCTTGAGGCTGTGGTGGAGTTCAGGGATGGGATGTTGGGTTGACTGTATTGTTGCGGAGGGTGCCCACGAGGGCGAGCGCGACGGCGCCATTGTAGAAGAGAGTGACACTGAGAGAGGCAATGGCCAACGTTAGAACAGAGAAACCGACTGAAGGTGTGCGAGAGGAAGCTGCCACTGTCGCAATTCCGAATCACGGGCGGATGAGCTGTCCACACTAGTAGTGTGGCTAACAGTGTGGGGAGGCACGTCAGAGTGCAAGCGTGCCGAGCAAGGGTCTCCAGGGCTGTCTGGGCCCCAAGCTCTGGTGGGAAAAGGGTCCGTCCACAGACTGGTGGGCTTCACTTTGCTGTCCTGAATCACTGCGCTGGAGGTCCTGGCTGCGAGGCACGCCATAGATTAGCCGTGCCAATTTTCGCCAGGCTGGTGTCTAGCGCTGGCGCCTCAGGCTCTACACCAGCGTTGCGAGCCTCAACTCTTTGGGGTGTCGGAGCACGATGACTGACTCAAAGTTGGGTGGACTGGTGCAGACGGTCGTATGGATGTGGGGTCCAAAACCCACGAGTCCGGAGTCGGAGGCGTCCAGTGGAGATGACAAGGTTGCATCTGGCAGCCGACGAGTGCAACTCGAAGTACTTGAAGTACTTGATGGTAATTTTCCAGATGGCTCGTTCGCGTAGAACCAAACAGTGGTCTGGCAGACAGCTTCGCCCGTTGTGAGAGGCGCCTTGTCATGGGGATCCAGCTGTGCAGTGTCGTTTGCGATATCCGGGTCGACAATCCTGGTTGGGGCTGCTTGATGGCAAGAGCACGCGACATCAAACCACGTCTAGCAAGCTGAAATGGACTTACTCTGCGTATTGGCCGATGAGGCCACCGACGTAGCCAGCTTTTCGCTCTCCTCGTCATCGCGCATCTTCTGGCAGCCACGGCATCGCCCACTCTCGCTCCCGCTATGCTGGCTGTGGTGGTCACTGTCAGGGCCAAAGTCGACGTCGATGGGGCGGGTGCCGGGGCCGTGGAGACCGCTGGATCCAGCAGCCATCTCTAAGGGCACCAAGCGCATCTGGGATGCTGTGGTCGTGGTGTAGGCCGAGCTGCCGAGCACAAATATGGTGAGCGAGTGAGAATCCTGCTGCGAAGGGGCAGGAGCTGGGAATGATTTGCAGGTGAGCATCAGTCGAGAGACGGAAAGGCGAGTGGCAGGCAGGCGAGAGATGCGATTATGAACTGCCTGCGGCGGTCCTGCCGTGTGGTCGCGGGCTGCTGCATTACTGTTGTCTGTGCTCTCTGGTTTGTGCTTTTGCTGTCTAATGTGATACAGGGCAATGTTGCATCTCTCTCGGCCTGGCCTGGCCTCCCCAATGGCTGCCTCACCGGCAACTACAGGCCAACAATTCACCAGCTCACCTGGCAGTGGCGTGCTCGCACCTTGGCCGCCCCTGATCAGCGCCTGGGCGGACTGGCGGTAAGACCTCATGCCAGATTACTGCGACACCCGGCGAATCAGCATTCACTTGGCCACTGCCGACAGGGCGCGACACCTTGCACTTGCTTGATGCCGTGCCTGCGCTGTCATCTGTCACGAGAGCTTCATCTTGTGCATGCCAGGCCGCGCTGGCACAAACCTTTTAATTGATTTTTACATGCACGTGAGCGCAGCACTTGTGGAAATCGCCTTGCTGCAGCCACGTGTCCACGACCCGGGAAGAGTGCTGTTCTAAAAGCGATAGCAACGCCAGACGGACTTACTGCGCCCGGAGAGATTGTCCCAAGGCGCCATTCAGTGGTGACATGACGTGCCGGTCCGCGCGGTGAGACTGTGCTCATCAGCAGCACTTGCGACGTCCACGGCCCGTCCGAAATGTCTCACAAAATCATAGTGACGGCACCTGGGCATGGCATTCAAGTTCAACAAGTGTGTATTGTATGGCTCGGAGGGGATCGTCCAACTTGAAATTCTGAGCCATGCATGGGTGCCTTTGATGATGAAAGCCCACCTTTCTATGCGGCCAGTCCTAAGGATGAGCAGTGTGCGAGCCCTTATTATATACAGGTCCAAGTTTCTGCCGTAGCCAATGACTGAGCCTCGACTTGTAACCACAAGAGTGCATGGCGTATCCAGCCATTCGAGCTTTCAATGTTCCCGTGGCGGCCACTGTTGGACGTGAGAAGTAGGCTGCTGACTAAGACAGGCACGACCTGAGTCGGCAGCCCAGATTTCCACGGCGACTTGTCCCGCCCGCCTGCCTGCGGGAGCCAGCGATGGGGTCCGTGCGCAAGAAATTTCTATTGCGCTCAGCCTATCCGTCATTGCCTTGGGCAGGACTTGGTGATCGTGCTCAGCGATCTCGACATCCATCCCACACGACAGCCAGAACCCACCGACTCGACGTACCCAGCCGGCGACATTCCCGACGATAACACCGACTCTTCGCCATAGCGACGACTGTCATCGCTACGCACTCCGTGCACCCCCGCGCAACTCCAGTCCCTCGTCATCTTCGACACCCAAAGACCGCACACGATCGGCGGCCAACGTCCTTTTCGTCGCGCTTTCCGACGACTCGACTTCTCTCTCTCCTCGTCTAAACCCACACACATCACAAAATGGATCACGGACGCGATCCCTGCCCCTGGGTCATCCTCAACGACTTTGGTGGCGCCTTTGCCATGGGCGTATGTTTCCTCTCCTCCCCCGCACGATCCCGAGGCGCATGAAGCGCACGCCACTCCTCCGACAACGACGAACGCCTTCCACTTCCACCAGCGCATAACATACTGACATGTCCCGCCGCACAACCCATATAGGCCATCGGAGGCACCATCTGGCACGGAATCAAGGGCTTCCGCAACAGCCCCGTCGGCGAGCGGAGGATAGGCTCCATCACAGCAATCAAGGCGCGGGCGCCAGTATTAGGAGGCAACTTCGGCGTCTGGGGCGGCCTCTTCTCCACATTCGACTGCACCGTCAAGGGCATCCGCAAGAAGGAGGACCCGTACAACGCCATCATTGCCGGCTTCTTCACGGGCGGCTCGCTCGCCATCCGCGGCGGCTACAAGGCCGCGCGGAACGGCGCCATCGGCTGCGCCGTCCTGCTGGCCGTCATCGAGGGCGTCGGCATCGGTTTCCAGAGGATGCTAGCTAGCGGCACCAAGCTAGAGGTATGTCGTCCCCCATCTCCACGTGCGCAGTTTATGGCTATGAACTTCAGATTGCTGATCTCTCATTCACTTTTCCCCAGGTCCCTCAGCCGCCTCCGGAGCAGCAACTCGCATAATGGCCCTGATATTTTCGAAACTGTAACGACCAATGACGTGCCAAAACCCATGTACATCACACACCACTCTATCATTGCGCGAAGGCTTTTATTCTTCACGAAACTACGGCGCCCTGGCACGGGGGGACCGGGGACGCCGCTGGCAACACTGTATTCCACACCACCACCACCACCCCTGACGAACGAGAAAATCTTCCATCGACGAAAGTGCTCATATGCGGCGGTATGGGCCGAGCAGCAGGCGGAGAAGAAGAAGAAGAAGGAAGACGATTATGCCCCTGCTGCATTTTTGACGATTTGTATACCATAGACATGGACCTGCTACTACCGGGAAAGGGGGACACTTGATCTTATAATCCTTCTTGCATTTGCCTAGACGGGGACACAAGAGCTAGGCGTGATACAAACGCTCGTTGCTATGCCGCGCGGACACAGCGGGGAGCTGCCCTTGTGTGTGTGGCAAGATTTGCGTCAAAGCGTGGCGATATAATGGAGCCAGATCAACCGCAAAAGCACACATGCGGCGAGCAAGTACTGATCATTTAATGCAATTGTACCACTCCAATTCGATCACCTTGCTCTGGCGGCGGTCTATATGTACTGTCTTGAAGTGACGCAACCCAGCATGCGGTCGAACATGCTAAGCGCTCTAGTCGCACAAGGTCTATGTATTCCAGGTCCAACTTACTTCAGGGGCCCCTCGGTGGTTCCCCAGCTCCATCTAAATATTCTTTGTCTCTAATCAACTGGCATCAGGATCACCAGTGATCAAGATCTAGCGTGTCCGGCCCTTTATCCCTCCAGATCTGGAAGTTACCCTTGCCCTCGTCGTCGATCCAAGCACGAAACATGCCAGTGCTGTTGTGATCATGCACAATCTCGCTCTTCACGACCCGGCCGACAATGACGCACTCAATCCCAATCATCCCGCCCTCTCCCTCGCCCGTCTTGCCCCACCGGTCCTGCGCGGACCGCTGCAGCTCCCCGCCCGGAGCGGCGACTTGCGCAAGCGCCAGCCGTGTGGGCAGCTTGCCCCAGCGCGCGATGGACGCGACCGTCCTCACGGCGTTGATGCGCAGGAACGAGTCGCCGTTGCCGGTGCCGGAGAGCGCCGTGGCGCGGATCGCGGGACCAGTGGTCGGGGCGAGGCGGTGCTTACTATCGGCTCGCAACAGGGGAATGGGAGAGTACCGCTGTGATGACGATGGGCCGGCGGCGATGCCGGGGAGGCAATCGGCCAGGACCCCGCGCAAGCTGGATGAAAGCTCCGTGATGCCAGACGGTCGGCTCAGAGCTTGGCGGAGAGTGTTGAGGGACCAGTCCGCGGGGCTTGAGGGCAGCAGGGCGGTGGCGGGCGTCGGAGCGGAGGATGCGTATGCGCTCGCGTCGTCGTCGGGGTTGTAACTGTCTTCCCATTCCTCGGCCCAGAACCCGGCTCCCACGGAAGGTGTGTCCCCGATGCGGCCGGTGAGCTTGTTGGTCATGCCGCCCGTGCTGGTAGCCACGCAGATGGTGCCGGTCTCGTCCATGGCCACCGCGCCGCAGGTGCCCTGGGGCAGATACTCGTCTGGGCTCCAGGTCGCGGACACTGCCGGTTGTGAAGCATCTGACGCCGCCGCTGCCGCCGTGCCTTGCTTCTGCTTGTGCTCCTTCTCGCGCTCGAGGGCTCGGACGTGCTCGTCCCACCTGTTTTGCGTGAAGAAGTACTCCGGCCCGACGAGCTCGAGGCCGTACTTCCTGGCGAGCTGCTCGGCACTTGGGCCGTGGATGAGCGTGTGGCCCTGTGCGGAGGGGATGTTGAGCTCCTCCTCGGCTTCCGGCTGGCCTGCCTTTTCGTTTTCCATAGTGACGCGTGCAGCATCAGAAGCAGCCCAGCCAAGATCCGTCTTGCCCCAGAGGTCGTCCTCGCCGCGCTCGAGCATCTCCCTTGCCAGCAGGATTGGGTTCTTGACGTGCTTGAGGCCGGTGACGCCGACGGCACGCTTGGCGTGGCCGCGCGTCACCATCAGGCTGGCCTCGAGCTCGTTGATGCCGTCGCGGGTGAAGACGGCGCCGTGGCCGCTGTTGAAGAGGGGGTTGTTCTCGAGCTGGACCATGGCAAAAGTGGCCACGTCTAGTGCCGAGGGGAGCTTGCCCGACTCTGAGGTGCTGCCACTGGTTTTGGGCTTTGGGGTGTTCATGTACTTGTTTGTTTTGGCGATCTGTAACATGTTGGGTCAGGATTCCATTCCAAGTACTTGATTGGGTATAATTGAAGGGGCCAGCGCTTACAATGGTCAGCAAAGCCTCTTTGTAGCCGTTGTATTTTTCCGGGGACATGGAGGCAGCAATGTTGCCGGCGCCGCCATGGATGATGAGGCGCGGCGTGACCTTGGCATGGTGTTGTTGCTTGTACTCCATGGCTACCTGCCTGTATGCAGATGAGGGCCGTCTGCCGTGGTATGTGTGCACGCACTCGGGCAAGTGAGAAGGAAGTCTTTGGCTGGGCTGGGCGACAAGGCGGTGATGGTGAAGCAGCAGCACTGGGACTGGCGATAAGAAGAGTGAGCTCCGGGGGTGTTGTAACAGGGTATCAAAGGGCGACGTCGGAGGCGGCGTGGCCAGGGCCCGGGGCCGGCGCAGATCCGACGGGCAGCTTCCTCATTGGGGATGCACTCACTTACAGGGCAGGCACGACTTCCCCGCACTCCAACCTCTCACTGATTGCAACTCACCACCACCACGCCTCAACACGAGGGCGTCGTCATCTTCTTGACAGCTCCATGCTTGGGACAGGGCCAGATTCCCTTCTGCTCTTCACCCTTTTCTTCTTCTTTTTCAGGCTACGCAACCATGCAGGTCGAGACACCCTCTAGCAGTTCGGGGCTGGCAACCGAGGACTTTGTGATTGTGGATCGCAGCCAGGCGTCATGTCCCCAGTACACGCTACCCACGACTAGCGCACCACCACAAAAGGACGACAGCAACAACGGCCACGTCTATAATGATGCCACTCAAAGACAAACAGAGTCCATCGTGGACCGCATCGTCAGGGTCGGCCTGGACGAGCAAGACATCAAGGCCTTCTACAACGTCCCAGGCTCAACGGCCCGCCACGACCGCCTTTCCACCTTCTACGCCACCGAGTTGGCGTCTCTGCCAGCAGCCGCTTTCGGGTCCCACAGCCTCCAAGACAGAGCAGACTACCTCTTGCTCAAGGGATACCTCAACCGCGCACAGAGGAACCTCCGCCTTGAGAAAGAACACAATGACGACGTCGATGGCTTTATCGGCTGCATTTCCAGGCAGATCCGCCCCTGGTGCGAAAAGCGACAACGTGTGGACCCCATTAAACCACAAGAAATGGCCACAAGCCTGCACGACACAGCCAGGCGAGTCGCAAAGTACAAGGCCGCGATTGTAAACGAGAGCGGTCCCCCGCCCACACTCCCCAAGGTCACGGCATACAGAGTCATCAAGACTCTGATCTCGCTCAGCGAACTGCTCGCCGAGACTGTCAGCTTCTACAAGGGTTATGATCCCTTGTTTGACTGGTGGGTGACTGCACCACATGCGGAGCTTGCTACAGAACTGGCCGGCCTCGTGAGTGCCATCCGCGCGCACATTCTTGGCATCCAACCAGGCGACGAGGACATTATCCTTGGTGACCCCATCGGCCGCGACGGACTCCTGACCGAGCTGGAGGCCGAGCTCATCTGCTACACGCCAGAAGAACTCCTCCAAATTGCAGAGAAGGAGTTCATCTGGTGCGAAGAGGAGATGAAAAAGGCCGCGGCCGATCTGGGCTTCCGGAGTGACGGGAGTGACTGGAAAGACGCTCTCGAGAAGGTCAAGAACATGTACGAGCCCCCCGGCTCGCAACCAGTCTTCATCCAGGCTCTTGTCCGCGAGGGCAGCGAGTACGTCCAGAAACACGACCTCGTCACCGTCCCGCAGCTTGCAGAGGAAGGCATCCGGATGTACATGATCGACGCGGCGATGCAGAAGGTCTCGCCTTTCTTCCTCGGAGGGCCGTACCTGCAGGTCTCGTACCCGACCGCCAGCATGCCCCACGCGGACAAGCTCATGTCGCTGCGCGGCAACAACCGATACTTCAGCCGCGCGACCGCGTTCCACGAAATGATCCCCGGCCACCACCTGCAGGAGTTTGTCGCGGAGCGGAGCGCGCGCGCGCGGCACCGGGCCAAGCTGTTCACGACGCCGTTCTACATCGAGGGCTGGGCGTTGTACTGGGAGATGGTGCTCTGGAACCGGGGCGACTTTTTCGTGTCGCCCGAGGACAAGATCGGGTCGCTGTTCTGGCGGATGCACCGCTGCGTGCGGATCGTGTTCAGTCTCAAGTTCCACCTCGGCGAGCTCAGTGCCCAGGAGTGTGTCGACCTGCTGGTCGACCGGGTCGGGCACGAGCGGTCCACCGCCGAGGGCGAGGTGAGGCGCAGTCTGAACGGGGACTACAGCCCACTGTATCAGGCGGGCTACATGCTGGGTGCGCTACAGATCATGGCGCTACGTAAAGAGGCTGTTGAGGCTGAGGGCGGCATGGGCGAGAAGGCCTTCCACGACCAGATACTGGCTGAAGGGGAGATGCCGATTGAGATGCTGCGCGCTTTGATCTTGCAGCAGGACCTGAAGCTGGATTTCAACAGCACTTGGAGGTTTTACGACTTGTGATTGAGTGGGAGCAATTTTGGGTAGTGTTTTGTTTTGTTTTGTTGTGCACATAGAAGTTGCCGGGTCCGCGCCGATGGGTGTGCCCGACATAGCTGGGAGCATGGGCGCCGCTTTTGAGCTTGCCCAACACAGATTAATTCAGAGTGACCATATTGTCTGACGAAACAGCGAGCTCCATCGTGGCCTGAGAGCCGTTTTCCTCGTAATCTGCACACAAGTCGGGGGAGAGTGGTAGCACATCCAAGTTTTCTCAACGATGCATCTTCAGCACACTCTTTCCTGGTCAGAAGACTTGGAGGCGGCTCGCGTCAGACAATGCCGGCACACCGAGAGAGAGTATCCAGAACAGATTCTCTAGACCCAGGGAAGTGTGCACGACAGGCAGGGATGCCCAAAGCGCCGAAAGATGCATGCAGCCTGCAGGGCAGATCCCCTGAGAAAGCCCATGCATGGCGCTCTCCCCGGGCGCACTAACAACCAACAAACCAAGGGCAGCGGCGGCTGGCTACTTGCAGCAAGCAAGCCAAGCCAAGCCACGCGAGCTCCAGGGGTTGTCTTCCGATCTTGCGGAACTGTATAAAAATTTGTCATGCTATTCACCTACGCAGCTAGCCACCCGAGGCGAGCTGAAGACGACGGGTGGATCCTGGTGTGACCGACTTAAACAACAACCCGATTAGAGTTCCGGGGACCGGCGCGCGGACGGGTGGCGTCTGCACGTTTCGGTAATTGAACCAAGTTGCTCGTGTCAGCCGCACGCAGGGAATGCGCTATTCTAATCACCCACCATCAAGGGCTGAACTGGCCAATGGACGGGGTGGTTTTGACGATTACACTCGCGGAACACCGTGTCTGGACCTCGAGCCTGCAGCAAATGGGCGGAAAAGAGCAGGTTTGAGCTGGAAAGAAGCCCTCAAAGTGTTTTTCAGCTTACAAGCTGTTCGCCTTTCTGTCTTGGTCTGGCTTGCTTGTTCCGTGTCACAGCCATGCGGTGCGTATCCCGCGGACAGCACCTAACTGTCCCTCTCGGGGCGACTGGTCCGTCTGCCGACGAGGCCATGGTCTCTCGTACAAGCTCATCCTCCAGACTAGCTAGTCCCTTGTACAGCTGCCAAGCCCATAAGCTTAACCTTTTGGCTGTTCAGGCTCGTCTCGTGATCGTCGTCCAGAACTGACAGCTTTGCCCCTTCAGCACACACTCAAAGTCCTGTCTTTCAAGGTGCGGCCGGACCCGTCACTTTGTGTGCCTCCGCCATGGATAGATCTCGCATCAAAGGCCCGAGATTCGCCTTGGCATACCTGATGCCCGACCCTACCTAACCGTAAAACCCCCCGGCAGCCGAAAAGCTTCTCCTTTCAGACGGGAAGCCCAGGGCCCCGTCGAGCTTGGCCCATCCACTTCGGTGATCATGCTCATGCACGTAGCCCTCTTCCGGCCGCGAGCCATGCCCTAGCGAGTCGCCTTTTGGTGCCAGATCGGGATTGTTGAACTGACGCCGGTGCTTGCGATTGGACCTAATCTCGACGCCTTCTTTTTTTTTTTTTCGTGGTCAATAGCGCACACAGCCTGGGTCGGCTTGCAGTCTTGTTTTTCTAAGCGGCTGTGCTTGCCGCTGTGCGGCCTGATCCGGTGGCCTATCACAAGATGTGCCATGCACACAAACTTCCCGGGATAGTTACTGGTCCTTCGGGGGAAAATAATGTGTGTAAGCCGCACCTCCTCCGTCAGCTTTTCGGCGGTGAGAAATGCATCGTGGAAGACCGAGCTTGGCGTCCGGCTCGGTCCCGCAATCCTGCATCGTGGATGAGGTGTCCCATCCCAGGCTTTGACCTCGAAAGTCGTTCGTGTGTTTGCTTACCTGCTGCAGGCCGAGTTGCCTTGGTGTGTGCGTCGCCACGAGGCGAAGAGCCCATAAGAAGAGCCGTCACGCCGTGGACGATGCCTGTCTGTCCAGACACTTTGCCTACCGCTGTGTGCTTTCTAACCATCTCAGGGGCAAAAGCCGATCTCGCCAGGAATATTCCAACCCGTCTGTTCGGCACCCTTGTCTTGTCTTGTCTTGTCTTGATCGAGCTGTTAGAGTCTTGCCCTGCAGTTGGAAAATCAAACCTTGCGTTCCCATAATCATGAAACCATCACTCGTCGTCACCCTGGCACTATGCCACGTCCCGTCCTCGACCCTCGCATACCCCGGCATGGCCGAGACACTCGCCGACATCCAGGCCAGAACGCAAGCTGGCGGGAGCGGCAGCGGCACGCTTGAAGGGCGGTCCACCGACCTGCTCGGCGACCTTCTCTCGAGCGTGGCCACCGCCATCGGCACCACCATCGCCGGCATCCTCAAGGGCACCGCCTCTGCCGTCGCCGACGCGGTGACCTACAAGGCCCCCGGCGCCCTGGGTTCCGACGCCTGCAACAAGGACAAGCTGTGTGTGTGGAAGTACATCTCGGACGACCTGGCGTCGTCCTTCAACGGGTGCTCCGACCTCGCCCGCGCCGCGATCCGGCTCGGCTTCCACGACGCCGCGACCTGGGACAAGTCGTCGCCCTACGGCGGCGCCGACGGGTCCATTGTGCTCTCGGGCAATGCGGAGTTAGGGAGGCTCGAGAACCGCGGGCTCTCGCCGGTCGCGGCGTTTGAAAAGTCCATCTACGACAAGTACTCCCCTTACGGAAAACCCGGGATGGCAGACATCATCCAGCTGGCCGCCAACGTCGCGACCGTCGTGTGCCCGGGGGGACCGCGGATCCGGACCTTTGCGGGCCGCAAGGACGACAGCCGCGCCGGCCCGACGGGCAAGCTGCCCAGCCCCGTCCAGTCGGCCGAGGCCCTCATCGCCCTGTTCCAGGCAAAGACGTTCACGGCGAGCGACCTCGTCGCCCTGCTCGGCGCCCACAGCACCAGCAGGCAGCAGTTCTTTGACCCCAGCCGCGCCGGCCTCCCCCAGGACTCGACGCCCCAGACCTGGGACACGAGGTACTACCAGGAGACGCTGTCCGTCCCGCTCGACAGCAGGAGCATCGTCGTGTTCCCGAGCGACAAGAACATTGCGACGTATCAGGAGACCAAGGGCACTTGGAATGGGTTTGCCGGGGTGGGAGGCCAGGGCCGGTGGGCTCGTGTAAGTCCTCTCTTGCATTCTTTCTTTCCATTTTCTTTTCTTCCCTCTTCTCTTTCTCTTTGTCATGTTTTCGCACTGTCCCGTTCCCTTCATTGGCGTGCAGCTGTGCACATTTATTTTGTAAACTGTGATACACAGTGACACTTTGCCACCTCCTTGGTGTTCTATTACTTCCCCGTCGTCCACGAATGCCACGCCATAAAGATTCATCACCTTCACCTTCACCATCACGCACCGCGTAACGTATACTTAAGCTAACAGCGCCATAAACCCGAATACTAGGCCTACGCATCCGCTTACTTCCGCATGAGCATGCTCGGCGTCACCAACATGAACAACCTGTACGACATCACCCGTGTGCTGCCTCTCCCGCGGTGATCAGTGCACGCCGTCGTCGGGGGACTTTTATTCTCCCCCACAGTAGTAGCCACGCAACCCAACGATAACGCACATGCGCCCGAGATGACAAAACTAATTTGGCACAATAATATGGTCTAGTCTGGGGTATCTGCTTCTTCTTCTTCTTCTTCTTCTTCTTCTTCTTCTTCTTCTTCTTCTTCTTCTTCTTCTTCTTCTTCTTTTCTGGAGTGTCGGTTCATTTACGGGGCAAGCACACAGCGCCGCCGCCATGAGAAGGGGTATATATCATGTATCACCTAGGCAAAATCCTCGTCCCGACCGTCTTTGTTTGTTTGGCCGGGTAAAGAACATTACTTGGCTTGACTGCTGGACAAGCCGCGGAGGGGAATGGGCGGGAGCAGAATAGAAACTTGAAGTCCACTTCCTGCACTTCCCGCACTTGCTGTACACGAAGAGAAGCCCCAGGGACTCTGTTTACAGGTTCAACCTTCCCTCCCCCTTCAGTACACTTTCTCCCTTCGAAATGTCACACTTAGTCATTGTCAATAAAAAAAGGCAAAAAGAGGCCCTGATGATGAGGAAGGGCAACCTGTCCCATTCTAACCCATCTCTATCTCACGGGATGTGAGACAACCCCATCGACGGACGTCCCCATTCGGTTGAACCAGTTATTTCCATCGAGTTTTGAATTCTCGGAGAGATACTGCTCGCCTGTTTGCCCCCCCTGATCAACAGCACGGCCACGACCACGAGCTGCAAGCAAATCGGAGCGGGTGGGGGGAAGAATACTCCGACACACACACATGGGGTCTCAAGGGATGACGAGTGAAGAGTGCTAGTCGGGCCGGGCGATAAGCAGTAGCTGTGGAATCCACCAACCTCAACTGCTCCCCCTTTCCATAACCCCACAGTCGCAGTTAGGACGATCGTGCGTTTCCCATGTCGGCCGGCCAGTCTTTTGTGACCATGGAAGAAGGAGGCAAGGAACGAAACCAAAGCCTTGGTTGGAAGTCAGCTCCCATGAGCTCGGCGACCTAGTTGAAGCCTGATTGATCGCGACTTTGCCACCACGCTCATTCATCCAGCCACCCGCCCACACCCCCCTCCCTTCACTCTTTCACAATTTCAACGCCTGAAACATGTTGGGGCGGCAAAACAAAGGTGCAAACTCTTTGAGGAGTACAATTCATCTCCATGAATACATTCAATCGAGTCTCAACCTGTGGGAGACCTTGACAGCGCCCTACTGATGATATATCTTCTAATATCCCCCTCACTCTTGCTAGACCTTCTTCCCGTCTGCACAGCAAGTAGCCACATGGTGTGTCGTTGAAGCACCTCTGCTGGACTGTCCCTGTCCTTGTCCCAATCCCTATTTCCAGCGGGAATTACATGAGTATCCTTTGAAAAAACCAAAATCCCAGTGTTTCATAAACTCCATTCTTCCACGCTTTATATCGAAAGAAAATAAACCCAAAAGTTCCCAGATGTACATGTGAGGCAGCAAACGCAAGCGGTAATTGACTCAAGGCGCCGGCACCCTTGTCCCGTCCCACCAGGGATAGAACCGCTCGCCTTGGCTCAGATACTTGAGTAGGCATGCTTTGCCCTCGCACCCAGCCTCCGCCTGTGTCGCGCCCCACCAGTTGACGTCGATGCCATACCACTGGACCGTGAACAACATGATGATGCCCGCAATGGCGACTCCTGCGGAGAAGGCGGCCGAGAGGACAAAGTTGTACTTGGCCCAGAAGGCGAGGTACCGCCCACGGATGTAAATCCATGAGAGCCACGCGATCGGGACAGATGGCCACATGTACGAGAACGAATACGGGCAGTAGTTAAGGGCGCCGGTCCAGATGGCAACCGGGTGGATCTGGCGGATGAAGCGGTTGCGCGGGAACTTGCGAATGAGTGCGTAGAAGATGAGCGGAGCGGCGAAGCCAATCGGCCAGCCAAGCAGTGCCCAAGAGTACTGGCCGTTGGCGCCAAAGATCTTGAGTGGGCCGATGGTGCCCCAGAGGACAGAGGCCGTGTAGAATGTCTGCGGGTTAGGGCAGAAGAATCGCATGGGCGCTTTATCAGTGCAGACATTCGGGATGTTCATCTGAAACTGTAGGACACCGACACAGACAAAGGTCGAGATGAGAGTGGCCACCATCTGGGCGGCAAACGTCTGACGGGGGGCAATCTGCATGTAAAGTCAGTAAATCTGCTCGGGTCGCCGTGCAAACAAAAGAGACGACGAACCTTGAGGTAGTGCGCCAGCTTCAAGTCGTTGGAGAACGAAATGGCGTGTGCACACGTCACGTAACCAAACGATTTGAAGAAGTTCATAGCCAAAGCATTGCCCTCCACCCACATGCCGCCAATGAACTCAGCCAGGACGTTAAGTGTCACCTCAACACCAGTCATGGCGCGGATGATGCCGAGCGGAATGACAAAAATGAGGGACAGCATGACGCCATATGGCACAACTCCCACCGTTGTGTAGGTTGGGTAGCAGGCCACACCGGCCATGCCAGTGGCTCCAGCAATGGCAAGCACACCAAGATACCAGTACTCGGAAACCTCAGGGTACGATTTCATCAGCCGGTTGTGTACATCCTCGTAGTCTCCAGACTCCAGGGTGCCCTGGAGCGAGGCACGCCTCCTGAACGACCTCCACAAGTTCTTTGCGCCCATGGCAATCTCGTAGCGGTGGAACAGCGCGACGTACATGACTGTGGAGGCATACACAGCAAAGAACGAGAAGTACGCGATGATCTGAGCCGAGCTGAGGTACACGGCCGAGTATGCCATGTATTTGTCGTGGTCGTAGAGGCCCTGTTCGTTGAGAGCCATGGTAACATTGTAGATTTTGCCAAAGTGGTTGTACATCTTGTTGGTGACAATTGGAATATAGCCCGTGTTCCACACATTGGCGTACCACAAGCCCACGGCAAGCCAGCCAAGGACGAAGGAACCAGCCACGGAGTTGAAGGTCGAAAATGCAGGGACCATGAGAGGGTCAACTCCTGTGTACAAGAGGACGTTCCAGTCCCATGTAGGCCAGAAATTGAGCAGGCCCATGCCGTTGTTGAAACCGGTCAAGATGTTGAGGTCCCGGTTCTTTGGCGCAATCCACGTCATCCAAGAAAAGGCGGTCATGACCGGCACGAGCCAATTCGGCAACCAGAAGTAGGCGAACATGGCGCAGAAAGCGAGCATGAAGAAGCGGAAACGCGACATGGTGAAGATCTTCCGGAGCGGGCCGGGCACGGGGAAGTTGGATTCATTGTGCAGAGCGGAATTGAGCGCAACCGTGACGAGTGTCGCTGGCCACACACAGTACGATGGGTACACAAGAAACCTCCGAGTCAGGCCGGCAAGACCGTAGCCGAGAAAGTTTGTCGACAGTGCGATGAGGATTTGGTAGCCGAAGCTGCGAGCCCACTGCTGGTTGAACCAGTGGGGCATCACCTGAGTCCAGACAATGTACTGAGAGTAAGGCAGAGACTTGGACGTCGTGGCCATGATGGCAATCAGCATGTGCTCCTTCTTGTTGAAAGGGCCAGGGTTGAGGCTGTGCCGAATGCCCCAGAGCGTGAAACCCCAGTCCGGTAGGAACTTCTCCCAGGCCTTGCCGACCGGGTACGCTAGCAGCTGCGCGACGTTGGACTCGACAAAGATCTGAGGTTGACGGATCGAGAACAGCTGGTTGATGAACGCGAGGAAGATGGAGAAGAAGATGCCGATGGTCCACATGCGTATCGTTGAGCTGGGCATGTCGACATCGTCCTCGTTGGAGACGACTGCCCGCACTTCGGCATAGGGGCTGTTGTTGGTGATGAGGGCGGCCTCAAGCTTCATTTCCCAAATCAACTCCTCATGCTTCTCTGGGCGCTCAAAGACGTCTTCGTTGCTAAGAAACTCGTGTATCCTCACGAGTACGGCAAAAGGAAAGTTGGGGTCTCGTTCGTGAATCTTCATTACATTTTCCATCATCTGCCGCGGGCCGAGATCAGTAAACCAGCCCAGCGACCGTCTAGCCCGGCAACCAGGACCACCAGGGATAGAGAGGGAGGGAAGCAAACCTTTTTTGTGGTTTCGAGATCAATGGTGTCGGCGAACTCCTTCGCCTTGCGAAGGTCGTCTTCAGTAACGTTGAGCTCATCTTCGAAGATGCGCTCTGCATCGCTGACTTCGACGTCGACGGTGCTTTGCTGCTGAGCCAGAGTCGTTAGCGACGAGGTCCCTTTCTCTGTGCCCACAGCCGCCGTGATCTTGTCGTCATCTGCCGCAGCACCTGTGACTGCCTCTTGGACCGCCATGGATTCTACTCCCCCTTCCTCGGTAACTATGGCGTCGGCGTCGTGGTGCTGGGATGCTGGGCGATCACGGGCGAGAGGGAGATGAACCTTTTCGTTCGAGTCTTTCCTCGTTGAGGAGGACATGCTTTGTGACAGAGTGTCGGAGTCGATCTCCGCCTGGCGTCGTCGAGCCATGATGGAGACGGGCCAGCGATTGTCGACTGGCACGCGACGATGGGTGACGGCTGGGTGGCGACGGGGGGGGTTGCAGGAGACAGGCTCGACGAAGGAGGTGGATCGTGCGGCGAGGATATATCAGAGGCGGACCATGCGACAGAGTGGCATCAGGCCCTGTCCCACCTTATCTGGGTTTGGCTGGGCTGGCGGCGCGCATGGAGGAGCCAGATCGGGGGGTGGTGGTGCTGGCGATGGTGAAATGACAGAGGGAGGAAGGGGGCCGGCGGGCGCACGCAGTCGGAGACAGAGAGAGACGTGAGAGGTGGGAGGAGGCGACGGGGCCAGGGCGATGGTCTGACTGGAGGGGATGAGCTGGGCGGGCCAGGGTGGAGGGGAGATAACGGGCACCAGCCAGTCATGCAGCAGCTGCATGGCGGACAAGGCTGCCCAGCACGCAGGAGCAGGCGCCCCCAGGATGGGGCAGCGCCGCACCGGTGGAGGCGGCAGGGGCCAGCTACGCTCACTGGCGCTGCAGTCCAGACCAGCCCTCGAGACACGCCGCCCGCTCCTCGTCTCGGCACCACTTGCGCGCGTGGCCATCGACTCAAATTCCTGCTCCAGACCAAAACTCAAAATGAAGTAAACCTGGCTGCCAGGTGCCAGACCTGAGGGGCGCCCAATCCGGCTCCAGGCCCTCGCCGCCCGCTCACCTACCTACGAGATGAGCCCAGAGCCTGCCTGCCTGCCTGGCGGCGTGGACGTGCCAAAAGGCCAGCGCAAGCGAGCTGCGATTCTCAATCATCATCATCCAACTTCTGTGCCGCAACTGGGGGGTGGTTGTGAGAGCCTGGCAGGGTCGCTCCAAGCCGGGGATGACTGGCGCCACGCCAGGTTGCTATCTGGCCCAGAGCTCCAAGCCAAATCCTTCCTGCGCCGAGAGGCTGCGCTCTCTTCCGTCTTCCGGTGTGAAGGGAGCTTGCTGGCAATTCGCCAGCCGGCAGCGAGTTGCTTTTCGAAGCCCAGCCAGCCCAGCATGTAGGCAAAACCTTGGCAGCCTTCCAGCCTATCCGAGCCGCGAGCCCAGCCAGACACGCATAGCCGCGACTGGCCCAGGAGCAATAGATCATGTACCATATAGTAGTCTGTTTAGCCCCTCGTGCCTTAGTTGTGACGGCAAGTTGAGCTGAGTGATTACTAGTACATAATACCGACATCCCCACTAGTCACCCGGGCGTGCTCGAGCCTTCCGCCTCCGGCCCGCAGCGAAGAGGCCTGACCCCGATTGTAAAACACTGACGCCGTCAGTGCTCAACTCTGGCCGTCGGCAGTGCCATGCATGCACGGTGGATTTCCCGCGGGTTTCTGACCTTCTCCACCCTGAATCGTGCCTGGCTGTGGAGGGTGTTTTGTCACTGGGCGGAATGCGACGGTGGGCAGGTGCTTTTGACAGGTCGGAACTCTCTGTGACGGGTCTGCATCGACCATCGTCGTACGGGCTGAGGACATGCCTGTGGGTGCACCCTGGGGAGCCGGAGCAGCTGAGATAAGAGTTTCGGTACTGTGGCCGTGCGTGCGAGGTGCGAGGTACGGGGGGGCTTGTCGGCCTGTAGCGACGATCTCCAAAGATCATCTGCAAGGCGGCCCCCCACACCGAGGTGGTTGTCTTGGTTGTCACCTGTGTCTGCCCATGCGAGACGATGCTATTGGTGCACCCTGTCGCCCAGCAGGTTTCCGCTTCCGAGGCCTTGCGTCAACCAGCGCACCGCTTTCGGCCGGATGCTCTCGATCTGACGAGTAGTGGCCGAGAAAAGGCCTTGCTCTATTGATGTGCACGATCTTCGCCTCCTGACTAGGAAAAGTCTGGGAGTCCGCCCGCTGGCCCTGAAGCCACTGAACCCGAGGAGTCGAGCTGGGCAGGTGCCTGAGCGCATCGCGGCTGTGCAGGGATGTAACTCTGAGCGAGCACAGCACCAAGGGTTCCTGGAACAGACAGCCGAATACTATTTGGCAGGACGGGCCAGGGTCTCGTGTCGGGGGTGGGGAGGGGGGGCGCCGTACCAGGTGTGCAGGGTGGTAAACGAGCCACCTCGATGCCATGACAGCTATCGATGATGAAGCAGGTTCGGCATCCGGAAGCTGGATAGAAGCATGGCAAGTGCGCTGCTAAGGAGATGGACGGGGAGCATGAGGCATCCTGCCGTGGTAGGTGACGAGGAGTTGCTGGTATGTCTTGGGTGGTTGCTGACCAAGGCGCATGGCGTGTGGCACAGCAGCCAGGGTGCTGTAGGTGCCTGAAGAGGGATAGGCCCTTTGCGTGCCGACCTAAGCGTCTTGGGATGGTTCGTGACCGTGACGTGACATGACGATTGCGCTGCCGGTGCAGGTGCTTCATGTCTCGAACCGCGGGAGGGAGGGCGGCGGCTTACGTGATGCTTTGTGCTGGTGCTGGTGCTGGTGCTGGTGCTGCTGAGAAGAATGGAAAGCCCGGGGCTGCAAACACCAGATTGGCTGGCTTCTGTAGGGCAGGAGTGGACTTGGCGAATCGCAGCTGCAGCCCCTTCCTGCCTCGAGAGGTGTGTGTGCGTGTGCATCCACGGGTCTCTCGAATCAGCTTTTGGAGCATCTTGCCTTGGCTTCCAGAAGCCCTTTGCGGCAGCTGTCTCCTGTCGCTGCCATGCCTCGCGATGGCATCCCAGCATCGCACTGCATCCCACCTGCGTCGCATCACATCTTGGAGCCAGCTGCCGGCAGTGTCTGTTCCAGTCTTCGCCAACAGCCTGCGAGGCCTTTGACGGCCAGCACCTCCTTCCTCACTGGACACCAAGCATTGCCAATTACGCCTAGACGCAGCCAGGCCAGAGGCTGGCTGCCGTCGTCTGCAAGCCACACCACGATCACAGCTAGCGACGCCTCGCAACGCCCGCGCAAAAACCCCCCCATACGCCCTATCTCGCCCGCCAGGGTCTGCTCCTCGCATCGTCTGTGACGCCATCTGTCCTGGCACATGCCCCTCGACCTCTGCATCGCAGATAGGGCTACAGCATCGTCTTCCAAGGTCGTCTCCTGCCCTTCTTTCGCTCCTCGTTGCTGTCCTCTCCGTCGTTTACTGATCCGTGTTCTAGATTCAGCCACCACAAAGTGCCATTCCTCCCGACTCGCTAGGCTGGCCAAGCCTGCATTCAGGTGGGGCCCTTCCAATCTATGCCCTCGCAATGCCCGCTTTTGTCCCGTCTTGGCCGCCAGCGTCACCCTCATCTGGGGGGTATCCTTTTTCGCCTTACGCAATGGGGTGGTGAGACAAACAACGACTCGCACGAGATCGTGATATGCAGTGCAAGAGATGTGCACGAGTTCGGTCCAAACCTGCGTAACGAGTGCACCCGTCTGATCGTGGAGGCCTGCGCTCGCTACCAGCAACGAGAAGCCGCCGTGGTCTTTTCGTCTTTCTCCACTTGAGCACACACCCTGGTCAAATTGCTGTACAAGTTGTGCATGCTCATGCTGCTCGTGGAAGGGCACGTCGAGTCCGGAACAACAAGCCACTCAGCGCCTCGTCCAGCATAATTACCGATCCGCGCCAGGAAGTAGGCATTCTGCACCGACACGCGAGCATCGTGCCACGTGAAATGTTCCCACGAGCGATCATGCCCCGGAAATCCGGGGTAGCGGACGCTCACAGCCAGCCAGCCATCGCAATAGGCATGGCTCTGCTGGACCCTTCATTCACCCTGCACATCTCAAGTCACTCTTACCTAATGATATTTGCACTTGCCCAAGCAGCCAATCATGGCACGGGCTACCAACTGGGGGAGCAGGTCTTGCATGTGATTGGCTCAAAGTGGGCGGTCGCACAACGACACCTCGCCAACGCCGGCCGCAACAGCTTGCAAGCAAAGCACTTGGTGCTGAAATATTGGCATTTGGCACCCTCTCGACCCGACAGCTGTGGCAGGCCAAGGAACGCGCTTGCTGGATTGTGTTGGCGCAAGGAGTGACAGAGCTGCATGGCCAATCGACGCCCCCCCCTGGTCTCGTGTAGCCATGAAACCATCATGCGGCGCACAAGAGCCTCCCGAAAGAGACAATTGGGGGTCCCCAGGGTCATGACTTGCATGCAACGCATAACCATGATTTCAATCCTTTCGCTGTCACCGGTCCTTCGAAATCTCATCTCCCCCACGATGGTGCATCACTTCGGATGGCATTTTCAGATCGAGCATACACTTCGGACTCCGTTTCGGGCCTGCATGGCAGCCACTTGCGGCCTCCTGAGACGACCTGCGGCATGCGGCGTCGCCGCGCGAGCTGTATCGCTCCAAGACGGGTTCATGTTGCCGGAACGGGCGAGAACTGGACAGCCTGGACGACTGATAATTATTATCAGCCTTTCAGCCCTCTTCAGCTTGCCACAGCCGCACCAACAAGTCATCGGCACGCGTCCCAGAGCCATCGCCCGGCGAGGCAGGGGCCACACGTTCAGCGCGCTCGACCACGAGGGCCACACCGTCTGTCCCAATCCGGAAGCTCATTACCTCTGCCGCCACAACTGTTGGCCCGTGGAGCAAGAGCAATAGTCTCAACGGCTCGTGCTACGTCGCACCCATCTATCTGTCTGTGCTGGGCATTGACAGAAGCACGTCACCCTCGCAGCTGCGTGTGGACCGTGCCGCCTTCTCGGCAAGCCCTCTCGATCCCTCCCGTCAAGTAATTGAATAGGGCACCGTTGCAGCATGCCAGCCGAAGCCCACTTTGGCACAGCCGCCTCCCGGGCACGGTTTCGTTTTGCGTGAGCAGGGCAGGGTTGAGAGTACCGGAATATAATGCAGGAGGACGACGCAGGAACACTCACCAACGTTCGAACCCGGGCGCTCGACCCCGCCTGCGCGCCACGCCCATGCACGTAGAGGGCAGCCGGCTTGAACAAAGAGCCGAGCCCAGATGCCAGACGCCCAGCTGTCCGCCACAGAGGGGGACAAGCAGCCAAGTGCTTGGCCTGGATTGAACAAAAGGCTCAACCGTGCCGTGATATCTCCAGCATCACATGGGGGCTGTTGCCACTCCCCACCACCAAGTGCGGGACGGCAACTCTATTATATTGCTCCCGCACGGGTTGTCCCCTGCTGCCAGAAGCACTTGTCCGAGTCCTTCCAAGCCTTGGCCGCCTCAACTCGGACTGGCGTGGGCGGCCAAGAGAGATCGCCGCGCATTCTCGTAAAGGGTCCATGCTGCAAAGCGGCTCACACGGGCAGGCTCGAGCTTCCCTGCTGGGCAGGTGCCCACTCCGGTGACCGTTGGGAAAGCAAGTGTGCGGCGAAAAGTGTGTGCGCGCGTGTGTGTGTGTGTGGTTTATGTGGTGTGGGTAAACACGTCCAAACACGACCCGACCGAACCCCGGCGTTGGCTTCCAGAACGGGCATGCGTGCAAAAATTGTCCTACTGCTGTGATATACCACGTCTTTGTGTGGATGTGTACGTGTGTGTGCGTGCGTGGGGGCCAACCCGTCGTGTAATATCAGCATAACACCGACAGCTCTGGCCTGTGCTGTGCTTGTGCATGACCGAGAACCTCGCCGCTTGTGGTGGACCACCAAGGACGAGAAGCTGGGTCATGGACAGATTTCCCCGAGAGCCGTCGGGACCTGGAAAAGAGGAACCGCGTCATCACGACCCCGTTGTCTCCGGGGGTTCTTCTCCTGGTACTGCTGCTTATGCTACCGGTTTTTCTGGTATTGGTGGGCCACTGTCCACTTTCACCGGTGCTACTTGACGCAAAAAAACAAAAATTAAAAAAGTCTCTGAAGACTAGGGCCGGCTAACGATGTAACTGCCGAACGGCGTCTACTTTCTGATCTTCACTGGCGACGGACAATGAAGGATCTCCGAGCGAGTAACCGAGCGGGCTACTGCGCAATGTGATGCTGCCCTGTGCATATTTGGGCCGTCGGTATCAGAGGAAAGGAAACATACCTCTTGACTTGGCGAGGTCAAAGAGGCAAAACGGGGGGTCCCATGAGCTTACACACAGAAAAGATGAGTTCTGTTGCGACGCTGGTCCTGGTGTCCTCCTGCCTGATCGCCTGCCCTTCCTTGCCTTTCCTGCCTACCATATATCGCCCTGATCTGCAGTGGGGGAAAAGGGTGCAAGTGCCCACCCGTTAAAGCATCTGTGCCGCTACCTGGAGGAGGAGGAGGAGGAGGTGGAGGAGGAGTGGGAAAAGGGGCGGGGTCCCAGACAAAGTGAAGTCTCTTTCATGCGAGCATGAGAAACGCCGCGGTGGTGGTGATGATGATCCACGGAATAAAGGGGGCAGATTACTCCGAAAGGAAGCGGTCTCCCTCGCCCCTTAATGGCTGACCTGGTCGACCTTGGATCAGGGCAGAAGGAATTGTTATGGTGTTTTCCTTTTTTTCCCCGTGAGAAGAGACCAACAACTTGGATCTCACTCCGATCGCGTCCTGAGTCGTGGCGGTAGTGGCCGTGGCAGACCCAGCGTTGTGCTGTTTCAAGAGCACAAATACAATGTCCTCAGAGGGTTAATTCTTTTCCTGGTTCCGCGTGACAAAGACCTGTGATTTAATATGTTCGGCCACACTGTGGGGGATGGAACCCATTGGCGATGGGAACTTCGAGGACCAACGGTTGCTGGTCGGTCCTTGGGCTTCTGGCCCAGGCATTGGAGCATGACATGGCAAAGGCGTGCGACTGTCGAGTGTCATCTTCTTGACCACTGTCTGTTTGATGAGCGGGAGCAGGTATCGTCATTGACGTGGGTGAGGAGCAAGTCGACGATGGCGAAACGTGGATGTACATGCCATCTCTCTGCTTCCGAGAATCGTGTTTCTCTCTGCTGGTTACGGCGCTCTTGGTTTTTTCCTTGGTGTAACTTCTGGATTCCGCTCATGTGGAAGATCGATCGTTCTGCACTAAATATCCACAGGCTTTTCGCATTGGACCTCCTGCACTGGCTCTCATTACTTGGTTATGTCGTCGTCGTCGTCGTGACATCAACAGGGAACAACCAAAGCAACTCGAAAACGAGAGATCAGAAAGTACGAGAATACTGTAGCGTGTGGTCTGCCATTTCTGTCATCACTAACGGATTCTTTTCACCTTGTCCTGACTCCGTCCTGTTGTCCACCACGACCTCATCCTCTTCCTCTTCTCCGGAAACGGCACCGCTGTCCATCCTCATTCTCGACAAATTTACTGACCGCCCGGGAAGTACGAGGGTTGACCCTCGTGAGAGCCACCCGGATACGGCCAACCAGATTAATCGTCCGAGCACTGATAAAGACAAAAAAATGAGGCGCATCCCCCTGACAACGGCCTTCTGTGCATTGAACTGGTTTCATCTCAAACGCTGGAGCGATTGGCCATGGCTGGTATTCTGTATATCTCTACTGCTGTGCTACATCTCAGTGTTCACACTTTGTCTTCCAGCGCTGCACATAAACTCCTCTGTTTCAGACTTTATTTTCGCGTTTTTTGTCTCCCTGGAAGAAAGAAATCTCTGTCGCGTGGTGTCGTTTTCGCTTGTGACCAACATAGAGCCCCGGGAAAACACAAAGATCAGAAAATAAACCCGCGATATCTTCAATCGGTGATTGTTACATGAAGAGCATGAATCGGGTGCGCTCTCAAGACTAGCTGGAGATGATACAAATACACATCGATGAAGAGTTGAGCGACCGCCTTCTGGATTCACACAGTCACAATCATGGGTTGTGTGCTCGGGTTATCATGCATTCATTCATTTTTGATATGGATCTGACCCTAATCGGGGGAGCCGCGGCTGGAGCTTTTACCACTCCAGCTGCTCTACCCCTATCTTGCGCGGCAGTCTCCTGCTGGCAACGAGGACGACAAGCGGCGTTCCGTCAACGCCCTGCACCTTCTCCGCGATGACCGACCTCGACTCAAGCTATCACGCCAGACCCAGTTCGTCCATCATCTCCATAAACTCATCCATCCCCTCGCCCTCCACCCCGGACTCTACCTCTGCCTTTCTCATCTTTTTGACCTCATCCATATCTTCAGCCTTCTTCTTCATGGCCTCGCGCAGCCATTTCAGCCCGGTAGCCGACTCGGCATAACGCATGAAGTCGAGGACGGCGCCAGCCTGCTTGTGGACATATTCGACTGGAGAGCCCAGCCATGAGTCTAGCATGGTGAGTGTTTGCTTGACCAGAGACTTTTGCTCGGACTCGTCTGTCGGCGACCCGAAGTCGTAAATGACATCGCCAAGCAGATCCTTGGCCAGCCACGCTCGCATGTTCTGCTGCGTCTGGAACAATGACCTCTCGGCTGCAGAGGCCCGTTGCGGCATCACATCGAGTTGGCCCAGTCTCAGCGCGAGCATCAAAGCGTGCTTGCCTCGGTGGACGTTTTGTGCAGTGCGACGAATTTGGTCGAGCTGGCCATCATCGTCGTGCAGACGTCCAGAAGTGATGAGCTTGTCTACCTCGGCGAGGAGTTCATCAGCGCAAGCCGCGACCTCTTCGATAGTGACATCCTCCTCTGCATGTCTCTCGTGCGTGTGGAGGAGGATCTCCAGACGATATCCGAGGAGGTCGGGCAATTCCTCCAGCTTTCCCCGGGCATCCTCTAGCGACTCCTTGGCCTGGTAGCTTTCGATGGTCTCAAGGATCGATACCAGAACTGGGCGGACGTTGCGTCCCCACCTGACTCGTTGGACTTGACTCTCCTCTAACGAGCCACCGAAGAGGTTGGTGGTAAGACATGATTTGAGACTCGCCAAATGGACCAGATCGCCCCGCCGGATATGCTCCTTTGACAAGCCGATGAGGAGCTTCTGCACTTTTGCCACGGTCACCCCAGGCCCGTCCGCCGTGTCATCCGCATCGGACTGCTTGAGGAAGCCAGCAAGGATCTTGACTCCCTGAGAATACCCGGATCCACCAGTAACCATCTCCTCCGAGCACCACATGGTCAAGAAGTGCCTGCCGCCGTCTGTGCTTCTGAGATCCTTGCTCCGCCGGATCTGCTTGAAGACTTTCTGTAGCGCAAGTGGGGGGGCCCCGATGACGGCGATCAATCTTCCGACAGTGTGTATGGTATCCGCTGGCATATGCACCGTTTGGTGCTCAAAAGGACCCAGGAGGATGTTGAGCTTCGACGGCACGCGTGGGAGGATGTCAAGGATAGAGAGCGGTAGCGCGTTCCTTTGAAGGAACAGCCGGATCCAGCGCATGTGGTTCTCGGCAGAGAGACGGATCAGTGGCACGACCACGCGCTCTATCCACACTTGTCTCTCCTGAGAAGACGGGTCGCTCGCAGGATGGCCGCACGCCTCAGCCAGCAGCGTCAGCAAAGGAGGCAGCTGCCGCTGGTCGGCGGAGTAGAACTCGGGGAGAGAGCCTTCTCCAGCTTCTAGACGAGTCCAAGCTTCCTCTGTTAGAGGACTGCGTTCGTCCAGGCTGGCAGCGAGCGGCATGATGCGTTCTGCAATGATGTCGACGACGCCATTTTTGACGGCCTCATCGTTGGACTCGGCGCGTTGCTGGAGCAGACTCTCAACAATGCAAATCACGACGTCCGGATGCGCAGAGTTGCACAGAAGTCTGTCCAAGATGTCAAAGGCTAAGGCACGGTCCATGAAGGTGGCCCAGCGCAGCATTTGGGCAATCATTTTTACAGTCGAGACCTTGATGATCGGGGCTGACAATGGCTTCGTCGTCGTGTCATGCCCGCTGCCAACTTTGTCTGCCGCCGCCTCCGTGTTCTGGGCCATCTTGCGTTGCTCTTGCAACTTCTCCTCAACAGCTATGGCCAGACCTTTGAAGAAAGTCTTTGCGTCTTGCGCTGGCAGAGCCTTCAGGAAGGAACGGTCAAGGAGTTGTCGATGCCACGAGCTGTCTTCCGGGCGCTCCAGAATGATGTGGCGAACGAGCTCGCACGCAGTAGTCGGACAATCACCGCGGGTGAGTCGCTTGATGATGGCGATCGTGGCTTTGTGCACAAAGGCGTTGCTCTGGCCTTCGCCCTCCCCTCGCTCCATGCGAGACAGTAGTGATCGAGCAAGCTGTACCAACCAATCATTCGGGATAGCCACCGAGAGGTGAGAAATGACTTGCAACACTCGGTCCAAAAACGCAGGTCTCTGCGAGATGGCCGTGCTCTGCTCCTCCAGGAAATCTTGATCCAGATAGACACCAGGGATTCGGACAGCCGCTTCAGAGGGGTAGGATTTCAGAAAGGGCGAAGAGTCCACGCCGCATTTGGCGTTGACCATGGAGATAGCAGCTACTGCTAGCGCATCGCGCTCGGCGATTGGCAACACGCCAAGATAGCCGTTTGCGCGCCAGACGGTGGGAGCACTAGCGGTCTTTGACGTCGGCAAGCGGAAGAGGAAGCGGGAACGTCTCTCTGTGTCGGCCGCGTCAAGAAAGATAGACCAAGACACAGTGTAGAATGCGTGCAGCATGCAGTCGAGGCAAGAAGACGGAAGGGTTCGAGTAGCTGGCGCCGAGGGCTGCGGATTCCACTCCACAGGAGAAGAGACATCACTAGCCAGCGGCAGCTGCACGATACTGAACAATCCGTGCGCCGGTACGGGTAGATACTTTGGAAGTACCTTCGCTTTGATGAAAACGTCTCGCCAAAACAACGTGGCTTCGTACGATGACATCCTGTCGCCAGTTAAGGCTGTGATGGCGTGATTCCAGGCCTCAGAGACTCGTTGCTGTCTCTGTGACGGTTCGGTAAGGTCAATGAGTTTTCCCAACGCATAAGGATAGCTGTCAACGAACGGGCCGACTGCATCTTGGATCTCTGGGTCTTCCGGCACAGAGCCCAAGACTGTGTCGCCACCGGCGAATACTACGGCGCGCAGACGGGCGTGGAAGTAGGGCATGTCGAAGAGCCAAGAGTCCGACCCGAGTATTTCGGGGCTGAAGTAATGGGAAACAGCAAGGCCACGAGGCCAGGGTTCTTGAAGAGTAATTGTGGCAGGATGATGGCGTACACGGTGTTCACGCCACAGTTGATCTCGTTGCCCGGCGAGCTGGTCTAAAAACCAACACACGTGCTTGCCACTTCCGCGAAAGTCGACATTTAACGGACCTCTGAGGTAGGCTCTGTCCAGAGCTTTGTGTGATTCATCGATGAAGAAGCGCTCCACGTCCATCAACAGCTTGATTGTCGGATCCCACACTTGGTGACGTACCCAGCCGGCTGTGACCAACCCGCGAGCAACCAGAGCGTTGGCACGATCCAGACGCGCTTGCGTTACCTGATTATGCAGATTGAGAGCATCGTGTACCATCGATTGGGTGTAGCTTGGTTCACGTGATATCATCGCCGCAGTCTCCAGAACATGCATGACAACTTCGTTGGCGCGGAGGATGTCTTTGGCCACAGTGGTGTCCTGCTCGATCTTCCATCGCGTGCAGTCAGGCAGCCCCGAGAGGAGATTTGCAGCTTCGGAATTGAATTTCAGCAGATTGTGGCCGACCTTTGGATCCTTCACAAAGCGACGGGCCCATTGCAGCGCGCTGGCATATGTCTCGATCGAACCGGTGGCGAGCGACAACAAGATGGCAGCCTGTGCCCATGTCTTCCGATCATCCGGGTCGCGGGCTACGGCGGCCTTGGCCTTCCTGGCACTGATTGTCCGATCCGCCACCTCACGCCACTGACCTGCGCCGCCTCCATGGGAAGCTACGGTCGAGGCTAGGGCTGTTGCAACGTAATCCATGTCTGGTTCGAAGGAGTCGCTGCCAGGATTTGTAGGGAAATCCGTACTGCATGAGAACTCCACGGGCCGATCTGTTGTGCTGGCGCTACGAATCTTATCAAACAGATCAAAGGCGATGCGGCTTGGGATTTGTTGGAAGAGCTCAGGGCTCCAGTACCAGTCTGCACCCGCCTCCGGGGAGCTCAAGTTCTGAAGACTGGCGTCCAGATTGATCCGTATGTCTTGGCGGCTCCGGCAAATAATTTTGAGCAGCGGGAGCCTTGCTGTTGGCGGAACTTGGCGAAGGGCGTTCTTGGCATAATAAAGTGGCTTGGAAAACGTGGTCGGAGCAACAGCAAGGAGCCTGGCCAAGTGATGCTCCAACAACTCCCTTCCGTTCTCATTTGTCCGACTCCAAGCTTTTATGGCCGCCGTTGTGAGGTTGTCCCTGATGGTGTCTGCGATGCTCGGCTCAATCTCGAGGCACTTGAAGAGAAGATCATAAAGGCGAGCATGAACCGATGCTTCTTCTCCCCGTCGTGTGAGGCGATTGGTGAGTGGCCACACGAGGTTCCAAACGAGGCATTGTGCGTTGTGTTTGAGGTGGAGAGGGCTCCGAGTGAGCTGCTCGAGCACATCGAAGGCAAATGAAATTTCGATGCCAAGCACGTACGCCCATGCTGATACGTGGTCCTTCGGGGTTGGGTCAGCGAAGATTGCATTCCAGCATTCTTGCTGAAAGGCCCCCAGATGAGCCCTGACCGTCGAGCGCTTGGGCTTTGTGTTTCTGGTGAGGGATCTGAGAACGACGTCGGATGTGCACGACGGCACAAGGAGGCGGTAGAGATCTGCCAGTGGGCGCTGGTCTGGGTTGCGAAGGGTCGAGCTGTTGTGTCCAGTGAGGGCGTTGTAGAGCTCCGTCAGGTGCTGCTGCCGCACAGGCTGGGTGTTGTTGACCTTGCAATTGAGATGTAGTGCGCGGCACAGTTGCTCAACCTGGGTGACGGACAAGGTGGCCATGAGGTCCATGAGACCGGAGGTGCCGCCGACGGCTCGCCAGACCTGGACAAAGCTGTCGTCGCGTCTGGACCATCGCCCAAAGTGCCTGAAGGCGATCCTGCGCCCGAGCATTGACGACGACTGGAGCATGGCAACGACGATGGACTCTGGCTGGCGGCATCGGGACAGGAAGACGTGGATAAAGTTTGAGGGCAGCAGGCCCTCAATGATCTGGCCGAACAGGGAATCCCAAACAAGTCTCCAACCAAGCTCCTGCATCTTTGTGGCAAAGTAGGCAGAAGCCTCGGCCGGGGACATTGCCCGAACGGCGGCATGGTCGAGAGGTGAAGCCATGGTGGATGGCCGACGAGTGGTGAAGCACGTGTTGATCCCAGTGACGGCTGTGTTGTGTGCCGAGACGTTTGGCTTTATATGTTGACAAGAGCGTCCTCGACGGCGCCCAAGGGAGGCGTACTCGCAGTCGAGCCATGACTTGTCGTTGGCTTGATGTCTTGGTGCTGCCCCGCAGCGGCTGGTTAGCACAAGGCTGAGATGAGTTTGGGCCTCGTTCCTGAGGCTCTGCGGGCGGAAATGTGGTTGGCCGAGGGGCCGGCGGGTGAGTCAGGACGGCGTGGGCGGAGGACGGGGAGCCAGAGATGGCCAAGATCGCTGTGAATGTGCCAATCTCGATGTGGACGCAGCGACGCCACGAGGACCGGCGTCATGCCTGCAATGGCGAAGCTGCCAATGGTCCATGCCGTAGGATCGACGACGTGGGCATTGGCGGGGTGAGTCGAGGGGGTGCGGGGCAGGAGGTGGCCATTGATGCTAGGGGCCAAGGCCGCCATCTGGCGGGCGAGGCTGCGATGTGTGACTGCTGTGCGCGTCCGAGTTGATGGTGATGCAAGTCATCCCAGGCGCAAGAAGCCAATGGCCCAAGACCACAGCCAAGAGATGATGCGATGCGATGCGATGCGATGCAATGCATGCTCAAACGATGGGGCTTGGTGGGAGCTTGTGTGGTGGGCCCGGGTACTGGAGGTACGTACTGTACACTACACCACCCACCCCAATCGCAGCTTCCGTTCCGCTGATAGGGGCGCGGCCGCTGCCCGGCCCTTGGCACCTTCCCATTTGGGCTATCACGACAGCCCAGCCCGCCCTTTTGTCTCCGGCCGCCGCCACGCTGGACGGGACCCTTGCGCCGCCGCACCGCGAGCACCGCGTTTCCATCGTCGGACTGATTAAGCACCTCGGGGAAAAAAAACAATCTGGCATTCGACGACCGTCGTAAGCAACCGCCTCGAGCACCGGCCTGCTCAGCACCAGCATCTTCATCGTCTCGCTCTGCCCACGCCGCCGCTGCCGCCGCCTGCTCTTGCCCACTCTTCTCTTATCTCCCTGGCCGCGCAGAACTGCCCTCCTCTCAGGCTTCGTCCGCAAACCACACCCGTTTGCCATCATGGCCGGCGAGACGACGCCCCTCCTGGGCACGCGGGAGACCGAGCCCGAGCTCAAGAAGAAACAACCGCGACTTGGCTGGCTGAGCTTCGAGCCAACTTGGCCCGTCATGATCGCGGGCCTCCTCATCTCCGCCTCCTTTGGCCTCACTCAGACCCCGTGCGTATCTCCTCATTGTCTCCAGCCGAGCTATGGCGGACACAACTGACCCGGCCCTCACAGCATCCTCTACGCCTTCCGCCAGATGGTCTGCGAGGACTACTACAGCCACCACCCTCCTTACGCCGGCTCGGGCGACAGCTGCAATGTCCCCGCCGTCAACAGCGGCAAGGATGCCCAGTTCGCCATCCTTGGCTCCTGCACCGTCTTCTTCGCCATCTCCAACCTCGTCTTCACCGGCTGGCAGATGCGCAATCTCGGCCCCAAGAAGGCCCTGCTCGTCCAGAACTTCTTCCCCGTCATCCGCGTCCTCACCCAGTCCGTCGCCATCTCCATTGGCGGCGCAACCGGCATCACCCTCTTCCAGCTCGGCCAGGCCATCACCATCCTCGGCGGACCTGCCGGCTACATTCTCGTCCTCAACACCATCCTGTCAGAGCTCATCGAGCAGGCCCAGCGCACCAGCATGTTTGGCAAACTTCAGGGCTACATCCTGGTTGGCAATGCCATGGGCTTCCTTGGCGGCGGTGTCGTCTCCGACCGCTTTGGCGTGGTCTCTCCTTTCCGCCTCGGCGCCATTTGCCTTTCCGCCACATTGGTCTTCTGCGCCACCTGTGTCCCTCCGGTCAGCCTCAAGAAGGACGAGCGCGCGCCGACCACAAACCGTAGAAATGCCGTAGTGGCCTCCTTTGTGGACCCCCTCCTCGCCCTGGGACCCCAAAAGCTGCGCCTCAAGAACGGCACCATCACGACTCACTACGGCGTCACCATTCTTGCGGTCGGCATTTTTGTAGGTGTGCTCGCCACCGGCTACGTTGCCCAGCTCTTGCAGCAGTACTCGATGGACGTCTTCGATTTTGATGCCAGCAAGAACAGTGCTCTTATGGCCCTGACCCTCGTTGTGCGCGGCCTGTTCCTCATGTTCATCTTTCCCATCATCATTTCTAGTGGCCGCAAGTGGTTTGACAGTACAAGCCAGCAGCAGCCACAGGCAGCCGAGCAGGACGCCGAGACCGTCATTCCGACACACCCTTTGGATATGGACCCGACGCCTCAGCTCGTGTCAACCGAGGAAGAGCCCGTGCAAGCACCGCCGGCCCCTCCGACTGCTCAAAGTGGGCACTTTGACCTCTTCTTCCTACGCTACAGCTATCTTGTGGACGCCGTGATCACCATGTGCGCCGCCTTCATCTCCGACGGCTGGCAGTTCTACCTGAGTAAGACCCCAACCATCAGCCCGCACAGGCTGCTGTAATTCTAAAAACAGTTTTTGGACCTGCCAACTGACCATCCGATTACTCGTAGTGGCCGTCTTGCTTCCTCTTGCGTCAGGATCCTATGCTGCCAGCAAGGGTGTGTTGACAGAGATGATCCCAGAATCACAAAAGGCGGATGCACTCGCAGGCATGACCCTCGTCGAGTCACTTGCGTCAGTGTCCACATTGGGTCTTTTCGGTGCCGTCTTCTCGTCTCTGGTCGAGATCGGGAAAGCGCACCTGACTTTCTATCTGAACGCGGTAAGTCTGGCACAGTGATCCGTTCGGCATCGACAGCACGCTCGACATGTACAGAGAAATATTTTTCTAACTGAGATGTAGGCTATTGCACTCCTGGCGATTATCATCCTGCTCTTCTCAAGGTATCCCGCGGAGGACAGCAAGTTGATCGAGCAAGAGGAAGAGGAACAGCCCTCAGAAGAACCGGTTGCCGCTTGAGGGGCAGTATCGTTTGCAATGGCATGGAAAGGCAAGAGCTGGGCATTGCCGGTGGCGGCTCTTGAGAGGCTTACCGGAGCCAGCGAGTTGCTCGAGATATATTTTGGATACAAGTGAAAGTCCAATCGCATACAGTGTTCATGTGATTTATGGGAGGATCTCCGGAATGCAGGATAACTGGATACACCCCGGCGTGGATTTGAGCACACGATCTTCTAGCATGCTCGGACCCCAGATCCCTTGGACTCTGTTATATTGGCTCCCGGTGATGTTGCATCGCAGACGACTGTTGCTACACCATATCATTCTCCTGCGTGATTTCCCTGGACGCCGTCGTCACTTAACCAGTGCTTTCCATATGCCAACTGGGTACTTGCAGTGGCTGGCACCTTCTTTCTTCCACCGCGATGCAGATGTCTTGCAAGTCACCATGGCCTGCTCTTTCATCAAGGCGATTGTCGGCTCACCCACACTCGTCTATGGCCCATATCACCGTCAAAGAGTCGCAAGGTCATCTTTATCATCCCGCATTGTTGTTTATCGCGCACGACTTCACTTTCAAGCATCCATCTTTCACATTGAAGCAGCTCCGCCCTTGACCTGAGACTGAGGTGCTGAATGACGAGCACAACGACTGCATTGTCACTCTCATCTGCCTTAGACATCCCTTAGGCATCGCGATGCCATCGTCGTTGCTAGGATGGCTTACGACCGTTCCCGCGGCCAGTGTACCCAGCACTGCTTCGCCTCAGGCCCCAACGAGTGTGCCGCCGGGAAACAACGAGAAGAGCAACGAGAAGGGTCCAAACTCACCGCCCATCGATAGCAGCGATCCGTATCTTGAAGCGGGCCAGGCGTCCTCGCCAGTGTCGACGGCCACGGAGGACCACTTGGCAGGCGGGAATAATCCGTCGACAGCCAATCTGCCTCCACACACGCCATCCCCCAACCACTCATCTACTGTTGTTGACACACCGATAGCCATCAGCTCGCCAACGCCAACATATCTAGCATCGCTGTCGTTTCTGCAGGCGCTGGCAAACATACCAGCGAATTTATACTTGTCAATGATGGGCCACTCGCCAACACTAGTCGACTCACCCGCCGCCAGCCTCAGTCCAGGATTTTCGGCTGACAGCCCGTCCATAATTACCTACACGCTCACCCGGATGCTGTTTGATGACGGCAGTGAAGATCAACTCCGTTTCGACTTTACATATGGGATCGCAGCCAGACGGTTTCGCGTGCCGAGCACTCGCTTCACGATGTCTCAATGCGGGCGTATCTTTGCGCTTGCGGTCATCATGGCGCCATTAGGTGCAGCATTTCTTCACCTTGCCATCGCTTACTGTGAGTGCCTGGCTGTCCGAGACGCAATCCTGCCGCCAAATCCGAAACTGACTGATCTCATGTCCAGTGGTTTATGCCGATTCTGGATGTAGTCCGCCAAATTCTGACCCGAGATTTGTGCCCAAAGTCATCCGTCTCTTTGGCTCCGCCTACCCGATCGCTGCGGATGCCGCAGTCGCAATCTTCGTCCAGAGTGTCACGACATGGTTTGGCGTGCTTTGGGTGACCCAGTCTTCTCTCAAGTCTCCGAGTATTCAGCCTGTGGGGTTCATCACCGAACCGCGGAACAGCTGGGTGCGCTGGTTCGTATTCCTCGACCAGGACACAGCGCAGCCAGAGCTTGTGTCATGGTGCAGATACATGGCATTCATCTTCGGTCACTTGATGAGGGCCACCCTGCTGACCTTCCTGGTATTTGTGATCTTCTGGCCACTGGACATCGGGATACTCACGACTTTTGCAACGCCAGAGAAGCTCCTGCGTGAGCTTGTAGAAACTGGGACGTTGAGTGACAAGGACGTGGAGGGGTGTGGGTGGCAATTGTGCTATTGCGAAAGATGGACTCCTTTGCTCTCGCGGGTGGTCATGGCTGCTGCGATCGAGCTGGTGTTGGCTCCGCTGCTGATGATGTTTTGGCTGACACGGTGCGGGTGGTCCCTGTTGCAAGAGACGCCGTGGTTCGGGGCGAGTGTACGGGGATAAATACACGTGTCGTCTCTGACTCAACCCGGAATGCCAGTCGATCTGGGCAACCGGCACGGCATCAGGACAGAAACACGAGGCACGAGAGAGGAAACCCCATCATTAGCATATCTTAGGATTGAATCACTACTGAAGCATACATCATCATCACCATCATCCGTACCGCACGTTGCCGTCGCCTTCCCTGAACCAGTCGTCCGTGGCGAGAGCCTCTTCTGTGGAGGCATAGTTGATGATTGTGCTCTTTGTGGTGGTGTATGCGTGGTAGGCGTCGATGCCGTTCTCGCTGCCGACGCCGCTGGCGGACTTTGCGCCGCCCCAGGGGCTGCTGGGGTCGTTGCGGTGGTGAGTGTTTACCCAGGTGATCCCCGCGTCGATCTGCTCGGCGACGCGGAAGGCCTGGGAGAGGTCGGTGGTCCAGATGCCCGCGCCGAGGCCAAACTCGCTGTCGTTGGCGAGCTCGACGGCCTGGGCCTCGGTGTCGAAGCCGACGACGCAGATGACGGGGCCAAACGCCTCCTCGCGCCAGATGCGGGTGTCGAGGATGCCCCTAGGGCCGGCGGCGTCTGACGAGACGAGCAGCGTGGGCTCGTAGTACCAACCTTTGCTCAGGTCCGACCCGTCCAGCTCGCTCGCGCCCGTCATCCGCCTGCCGCCGACCAGGGCTGTGGCTTTGCCCGAGCTCACCGCGTCATCGACGAGCGCCTTGACATTGCCAAACTGCCTCCCGCTGACCAGGGGCCCCATCATGCAACCCTTGTGCTCAGGCTGGCCCATCCTGCGGGTGATGGAGGCAATCTTGGCCGCGAGCCGCTCGAGCACCTCGGGCATGACGCTGTTTTGCACAATGATCCTCGTCGAGGCGATGCACGTCTGCCCGCTCGCAACAAAGCTGCCAAACACGATCCCGTTCACGGCCAGCTCGACACTGGCCTTGTCAAAAACCACGAGCGGGGCCTTGCCACCCAGCTCGGCCGTGTACTTGGCCAGGTTGGCCCCCGCGATGGCGCCGATCGCCCGCCCGGCCACGGTCCCGCCCGTGACGTCGACCTTGCGCACGAGGGGGTTCTCGACGAGCGCCTTCCCCGTGACGGCGCCGTATCCGGGCAGCACGCTGAACACGCCGTCGGGGACGCCTGCCTCTTGCAGGATCTTGCCGAGCAGCAAAGTAGTCAGGGGTGTGAGCTCGGAGGGCTTGACGACGATGCAGTTGCCCGCGGCGAGGGCCGGGGCGATCTTCTTGACGGCGATGAGTAAAGGGTGGTTAAACGGGGTTATCTGCACCACCACGCCCAGGGGAACATGCTCCAGGAAGTTGTGCAGCTTGCCCATCGTGGGGAGCACGGGGCGCTCGTGCGTGCGCAGCAGCGAGGCGTAGTACCGGAACCACTTCACCAGGCTGGGAACCTGCGCGGACATTTCGCGCAAGGGGCGGCCCGTCTGCCGGACCTCGAGGGCGATCAGGGAGGGGAGGTCCCGCGTGAGTAAGGCCGCGCAGGTGTCGAGGACGTCGGCGCGCTGGTGCCGCGAGGAAGGGAGGCACCAGGGGCTGGTCTTGTAGGTCTTGTGGGCGAGGGCGATGGCCGCGGAGACGTCGGCGGGGGAGGCGGCGTGGCAACTGTTTTTGTTTCATGGTCTTGTTAGCCAAAGGTCTTTTTTGGTGGGAAGATGGTGGGAAGAGGGCGGGAGTGGTCGGTGGTGGTGATGTTGGCGTCTGTTGTTTCTGTGATGGGATACACGGTAGATGGAGGGAAGTCGCTGGCTTACTGCGCAAAGATCTCGCCGGTCGCAGGGTCCTCGATGGGGATGCTAGGAACATGTTTGGAGTGGTCAGCCTTGTCCATCGTTCGTCTTGAAAAGAGGTTGGTGGTGGCCAGTATTGTTCATGCTGCCCGCTCCGCCTATGCTCGCGGGTGGTCACTCACAGCTCTGCATTGCCCGGCTGCTCCTGCCCGCCCACCCACATCCTGAAGGGCTCTGTCGTGTCTGCGGCTGCCATTGCGATGTCGAGATGTGCCTGTCTGCCAAGAAGCCTGTCTGTGTGCTTCAGTGTATGCTCCCTTGGGTGTTCCTACTGCTGCGATCGCCGGTACGGGAGAGGGGTGCGTGGGTGTCCCTCGGAGGAAGTCGCGATGCCGGAGAGGGTGTCGTGAGCAATAAATGAGAAGAACCAGAGCGGACAGGGCAGTCAGCAAGAAAGAAGACCAAGAAAGATGTGTTCACGCGACGATAAGAGGCCGCGAGATGGCGCCAGCAAGGTACAGGCGAGGTCGAGGTCGAAACGTGTTAGTCAATGAGTCGAGATAAGCAGCAGAGGACCCCGCGTGCGACTGTGGAGAAGTCGCCGGCCGGCGGCCCCCGCACCGGCACGTACAGGGTCTGGTGCTTACCTACCTAGGTACGTAGTAGGTGCACTTACAGTGACTTACAGTTACCTTGCAGCTGCGGGGAATGCACCGGGTGGAGTGGACCCTCCAGCGCCGGAGCGGAGCCCCGTCACGCCCCGGAGACCGCAGGACCTCCCGGACCGCGCCTGCCTTCGCTCCCCTCTCACCATGCCTTCTGTATAATTCATTTCAATCACAAGTCCTCGTTATGCATAGAAAGTTTTGCATTGCAGCATGTCTGGCGTCAGCCAATTGATCCACGTCCAAGCAGCTGCAGCCTCTCGTCACAGCATACAACGGCAGGGTGTAAGTGCGCGTAGAAATGCTAGTATCGCGAGTCTCAGTCTTTGTCCAACAATATAAGGTATCCATCTACTTCTGTCCAAAAAGGAAAAGACTCTTCATCCTGGCAGCGCGTTCCATTCACCCCCTCGACATCACCGAAAGATCCCTCTCGCCCGCCTCAGCCCCCGTTCCACAGTCCTCCCCATGATTTGCGTGGGCGGCACCGCATTCTCCCCGCGGAAATAACAGCCCTCCCTGTGCCCTTCCCGGTGGAACCGCCCCTCGACCACGATCCCGCGCCAGTCGGCCAGGCACTCCCAGCAGAACTGGCTCTCGCACGCCGGGCACGTCATGTGGAAGCACCCGTCGCCCTTTTGCAGCGCCATCCCGCAGTTGCGCCCCGGGCACCGCTTCGTGTGCGCGTCCAGCCACGCCTGCGTCCTCAGGGGCCTCGGGTCTCCGTGCTGGCGCTGTGTCTGGAACTGCTCGCAGGTGAGCCCTGAGTGCCAGGGTGTCTGGCACGAGTAGCACATGCTGAACCGGCAGGCGTGGCAGGCGATGCGGGTGTTGAGGTTGTCAGGGTCGTGGTTGTCATGCTGGCTGCTGCTGCTGCTGTTGGCTCGTGCCATGCTCTGATGTGTTCCTGTGGCGATGTTGCTGGCTTGCTGGTGTCTATTCGAGCTCGTCCGCGGAGGCAGAGGCAGCGGCGGCAATGGTGACGACGTTGTCGTGCCCAGTGCTCGAGCCTGGCGACCGCGCCGGAACGGGCCGCTCTCTCTGTGGTTCCCTTCTCGAAACATTGGCACAGGCAGCTCTGGCAAAGGCTTGTGCTCTGGCACACCATGGTAGACAGCCCCGGACTCGCAGCCGGGCCGCAGGCACCAACGGAAACCCTCCTCTTTACTCACCGCCGCGAGCGCCACGAGCCGGTCGTATCGTACAAATGTCGTCGGGCTCGCGAGCTGGCGGACTTGCTCGTACGTGAACTTGTGGTGGCTGCCGCAGTCTAGGGCGGAGCAGGGCAGAGGAGAAGTGATGCCGTTCTGGGCGACGCGGGGGCCGAGGAGGGTGAGCTGAGTCTGGATATGGGTGGCTAGACAGGGCCGGCATACTTGTTGCTGTTGTTGTTGTTCTGGCTGTGTGGTGGTTCTGGTGGTAGTAGTGGTGGTGGCCTCGAGAGCTGAATCACAGCTGGGAAGGACGTGAGCCGGGGGAAAGTCAGAGATCTGCCACGCCCAGTCTCCGGGGAAGTGCTGAGCCGCTTTCGTCCATGGGTTTCCACTGCTGTCGTCCTGGTTGTGCTCGTCGCCGATGCTGGGAGGGATGCTGCCTGGTGCAAAGTCGTGATATGTCTCGTTGCAGATGACACACTCTCTTGTCATACGGGGAAGGCGCAGGGCGTGGGTGAACAAGGGGACCTGGACTCGGCGGGTGCTGCTGCTGTTCTTGCGCGGAAGTTCGACGGCCACGGTCCTGACTCTCACCTCGAGGCTGCCTGACTGCCCACTGTTCGCCTCAGTCTGCCCACAATGATCGCCAGTCTCGTCGTCGCTCTCCTCCTCCTCCGCTTCCTTGCCAGACACATCCAGCAGCGGCCGCGCACACCCCAGCTTGACCAGCCTGCTATGCATCACCAGCCCCAACCGCACCTCCCTCGGGCTCGGCGACGGTGTCATCCTCCGCAGCGCAGTCCTGAGCCTCTCGGCCGCCCCGTACGTCTGCACGCACTTCTCCTCCTCCTCGGGGCCCACGCCGCGCAGCATCTTGCGCACGGCACTCGAGCAGGGGCTCATCGTCGCCGCGCATGCCGGGACGGGACACTCGAGCCACGTGTCCCGGGGGATGTCCCGCCACCAGCTATCCGTGATGCCCCGGAGGATCATCTCACACAGGCATGTCTGGCAGACATACCGCCCGCAGCACTCCGTCTTACACCCTAGATCCTGAGCAATGCCCTTGATGCTCTGCACGGCGCTGGGGGCCAGACTCGGGCATCGGCTCGCAACGTCAGTCAGATACGAGGACGCCGGGCTGTGGTCTATATCGCTTGCCGCCGCCGCCACCGCCGACGACGTGGATGGCGGTGTACCCCCCCTGAGCTTGGGCTGGGAGCACACCGCGCACATTGCCAGCCGCTGCACCGTGACAGCAGCAGCGGTTCCTTGCCTGGGGGTGGCCGCAGTACTAGTACTATTACTACTAGTGCTCTTCCTCCTCGGTCTCGGCCTCCTCCTCACCTTCGCCACGTCATCCATGGCCTGGAGGAGCTCTCGCGTCTCGACGGGTGAGAAGGTCCGCTCCCCCCGTGTAACGATGGTGGTCGTGCGCTTGCGGCCGTGGCTGTAGCTCCGCGTCAGTGCTCCGTTGTGGTATCGCCGTGCTTGCGACGCGACAATCTTCTTCATCAGCACGTCATGGAGGGTCACCGGCGCGGCATATTCAAGCTGCTGCTCCGTCGTGGCCCCGGGTAGCGTAACGTTGCCTGTCTGGCCCCGTGATGTTCTGAGGCTGCTCTGGCGGTTGAGGCTAGTAATCTCGATGAGGATCCCGACTCCGTCATATTCGTCGTCGCAGGTGTTCTTGTTGGGAAGAGGGTTGTTGCAGAGAGGCTCGGCCGCGGTCGTGGTTGTCGTGTATTCTTCACGGGAATTTCTCAAGCTCCTTGATCGAGAAAGCCCTGCCATCGTGGCTGCAGCGTAATCTGGCGGAGCATCTCCGGACTGGTAGTCATGTTGGAGGGCGAAGTCTTCAGCGGGGAGAGGGGGCAGTGCCCTGAGCGTGAGGATCCGCCCGACCGGGTGGCTGTCCTTTGGTCTTGCGGCATTGACAGCACGCTTCGAAGCATTTTGCCCATTCCGATGCAAGCGGCCAGTGAACTTTGTCCAGAGCGACGATCCGTACCTCGACCGTGGTCGCTGATATGAAGTCTCGGTCTGGCTCGGCCAAGCAGCCGTCGTGGTTGCTGACGCCATTGCTGGGCCGTGGTCTTTTCTTGGGCGACGAAATCTTGACTGGGTGGTCGTTGCGTTGTGCTCGTATACTATTCCGAAGTTGTCAAATAATCAAGGAGACCCAGTCTCTAACAAAACAAAGTGCTTGGCCCTCGGCTGTTTCGCTTCAACGCTGCAAACGTACAAGAAGAAGGCGGACAGCAATACTATTTTTGCAACAAATGCCCGGAGACGCATGACGAGAAAGGCGGGAGGTCTTCCCACAAAATAATAAACGCGAAATCCATCATGCTGACGTCGTGCTCCGGACCTTCCTCCTCCCAAGCTCGACTCGAACGGTCGCCCGCTGGCAAGCCGGATGAACTTAGCGTCACGTCCCCCTGTGCAAGCGGCCGCCTCCCTTATCCATTACCGTCTCGAAACGGCGCCTAGCTTGGCCACTTGTGACGATGCCTTGCCCGTTTGAGCCACGCAACTGACCCAACGGGCGGGTAGGTTCAGCAAACAGAAAACAGCCAGGACAGGGGGACTTGGCGAGGTGTGGTGGTCCTCGGCCGCCATTGGCTAGTACTACCGCGGCGCGTTTCCTATCTGGCACACGCCGCGGCGAAAGTCTAGGTGCGGCGTGCCCGGCCGCACAGGCACCGCGCGGCGGCGCCGGTGAGGTGGGGGCCTTGGCCGCCCTGGCCATGTCTCACTTGAGTCGTGCGGGTGGTTCTGTGGCCTCGAGCGTGGAAGGACCAAGATTCAGGACTGGGAATGCAGAAAGCACACGGCAGGCCCTAAGTAGGTATTATACTTTCTGGCTCATGCGATGCTCGATGAAGCCCGCGTGTATATCGATGATATCTCAAGTCATGACGATGACAATGTCTCTGCTGGTTGTCAAGGCCAAACAACAACGGCTGAGCAGACAGCTCTGTCCTGTGCTTCCGGCCCGCCGATCTTTCCCGACTTGCACTCACTCACACGTTTGAGCGTTTGAGCCCACAGGCGGCGGCAAAAACTCTAAAGCCGCGGCGCCGTTCGAGGCAGACGCCACGCACCGCTCCACCGTGGGGGCGTTGCAGCCCATGTTTCTGCGAGTCACCGCCTGGGGGGGCCGCTGATGGAAGTGTGTTCCAAACCAGATTTTGTCATGGGGAAATGCCAAGGACAGTTGGGGCTGACTTTGTGTTCGACAGGGACGGCCCTGTGTCCTGAGTCGAAACATGCATACTAGACCTCTTTGACGAGATGGAGGTGTCTACTCCGATACACGCACTCGAGCTCCCTTGCGGTGACTCGTATCGATAGACTAGTTGGGGATTGCGGGCAGATTAGTGATCACTTGCCTCGATCGTAGCAAGTTATCAAGTGGCTTTTGAATTTTGCTATTCATTGCGATGAACTTCCCTCTCGCATTATTGTATGCGAGTATACCATACAGATCTCAACGCCCTTGCCCCTTCCATTCTCTCTCTCCTGCTGCCAACGCCGCCGCCGCCGTGTCTAGCCTGTCACGACATGTAGGAACCATCATACCAGGCCGCGCTCGCGTAGTTGCTGCCCAGCACCTCGGCCAGCGTGACCGGCGACCCCAGCTTCCTCGTCCACGAGGCGCGACTACCCGACGCACCGGCGCCGGTGTTACCATACTCGCCATAGAAGACCTTGGACACGTCCTGGTCGCTGGTCCACTTCTGCCATCCGGCCCCGTTGAGAATGCTGCTCATCGCCGTGTTCTGGAACACGACCCGCGCATAGTCGCGCCAGGGCCGGCCGAGGAAATAACTGCCCGCGGCGACGTTCTGCCCGTCCGCGGCGCGCAGGTCGCACCGGTTGAAGGCGTAGTAGCTCGGGTTGGAGTCGCCGTCGCGCCCGTTGGCCGTGACGATGCCCGTCTGCCGCGCGAGCCCGCGCAGGTCGCACCGCTCAAACCACGCGCGGGCCTGCTGGCCAAAGATGAAGTCGGTCGCGCCCACGATGCGCGTCCGCGCGTACACCTGGCTGCCCACGTTGGCCAGCAGCGTGTCCTGGTACCCCTCGAGGCTGCACCCGTAGTACCCGCTGTCGGCGTACGCGCTGAGCGCGACGGCCTGGGACCCTTCGCCGTAGGTATTCCGCACGATGACGTTGTACAGCTTGAACCCGTTGGCCTTGACGCGCAGCGTCGCCGTGTTGTCGTTGTTGACCCCGTCGGCCTGCGACCTGCGGCCCGTGATGACGACCTGGTTGTTGGTGTAGGACGACGTGTCGGTCGTATACCCGTAGATGGTGAGCTGGGCGGTCCGCGCGGGCACGAGCACCTGCTCGGTGTAGGTGCCCGGGTTGACAAAGATGCACTGCTTGCCGCTCGCAGAGGTCGACAGCGAGTTGACGGCCGCCTGGATCGTGCTGAATTGCCCGCCGCTCTTGGCGACGTTGAGGCAGCCGGCGGGCGCGGAAGTCCTGCCCACGGCAAGGACCGTGGTAGCCAGGCCCCAGAAGGTGGCAATGGACGACTTCATGATGGTGGTGGTTGTGGCGATGGTGCTGTTGGTGATGAAGGGGCAAAGGAGCCGGCTGAACGAGTGAGTGAGTGAGTGCCAGGCGCCTTTTGCCGACCAGGAAACTAGGAGAGAGGCTGTCCTTGTATAAGATAAGAACAGGTTATAGCTTGGTCTCGGACGAACAAAGTTGCACGGCTATATAAGGACCTCGAGTCAGCCGGGGGTCGGTGAGTCTCATGAGCAGTGAGCAGTGCTGCGATTGATGGAATACACTGGACTATCCGTCTCATCTCGGCCAGCGTTAGGCCCATTCTGGATGCCCGCGTGTCGTGCTACACGACATGGGGTGCCGCCCTCTTGTCAATGAAGAGCATGGAAGAGCCCGGGGGGACTATACAGGGCCTAGAGTGCCCACTGCCGGGACGTCAACAAGGGTGCATCCCTGGCGTGCCATGTTTTTCCCCAGATTGTTTCTTCGTGAACACTTGTGGAGTCATGCGTGTCGTCCAGTTGTCAATTTTATTTACCCCGGACCATAACCTGCAGGGGTCAATGTCAACCACCCCAGAGCCGGCCTGGTCTGTGGCTGGCAGCTTGATTGGCGGATAATTTCGACAGACGGACCGTGGGGTTTGCCAGATCAGGCAACTCGGAGGTTATGGCCTACGCCCCGACAGCTCGACTGGTGTCGAGGACCGATATGCTTGGTGATCGAGTAGGACTTTTCATGTTGTGCAGGTGGGTGCTCAGAAAATTACGCATTTGCCTACAGTCCAGGGTCAAGGAAGGAAATTTGCTGTTTCTGGTTGTCTTGGCGAACTTGTCACACCGGACGGATTTACACCGGACGCATTACAAGTGTCTATCTGAAATAAATTGTGTAGGACATGATGCCAGGATGTTTTGCTTTGAGTACTAAGACCTCTGAAAAAAGCCACATGCTGGACGGTTCAAGAAGGATGTAACGCAACACCTCAATATACCTCTCCCTCGGCGGAGAGTGCCTCACAATGTCAGCTCGAGACTCGAGAACAGCCTTGTTGCTAGGCGGTATCTTAAAGTCCAAACCCTTTATCTGAACGTCTGACAGTTTCTATGAGTCCGCGGCAACAGGCACTCCAGCCCCAGTCGGCATTGGATGCGACAACCCGACCTCCTTTCCCCAGAGTGCAACCGCTGGTCCTGGGATCTGATAACGTTTCTTCTTCGTAGAGCCCTCAGCATTACCCGATCCCGTCCCATTCTGACCATCAAAGGGCGCGTAAATGTCAATGTCAAAACTCGCCCGGTCCCGCCCATTCGCATCGTACAGCTCCCGGCCGAGCACGCCCTTTGGCAGGATATAACCCTGGTCGTTGTTGTCCTGCGCTACTGCTCCGCTCTCCGACTTGGGCGGCGGCGGCGGCGTGACCAGCAGGTTGAGGCACTGTGGGTAGTTCTGTGCCCCGTCGTCCATCGACGCGTTGTGCAGCGCAATGATCTCGTGGCGCAGCACGTAGAAACCTGGCCGCAGCTGCGCGGGGATCGAGACGACCCACGAGTTGTTGTTGGCGATGAGCTGGTCCGACGCCCACGTCATTTCCGCGAGGTTTGTGGGCACAGCGGTGTCGCTCTGTCCTGCCGCCGCCGCCGCCGCAGCAGTAGCAGCAGGGCTGGGGGCAGTGGTGGTGTTAGTGTTGGTCTCGGTGTCGACGAGCCCGGCCTCCTCGATCTTGAAGAACTCGAGCTCCGACTTGCGCACGGCGTTGCAGCCTCGGACTCCAGCCGTGTCGGTATCGGTACCGTTAGCATCACCGCAGAACGCGAGGTAGCTCAGCACGGGACCCTTGTGGCCCTCGGGCCAGCCGTTCCACTGGACATGGATCGCGCCCCCGGCCGCCACAGGCGCGTGGTATGGCGTGGCGCGGGAGCCCCGGTGGCAGATGATCTCAAGATCATCGTCGTTGTCCTCGCCGTCAGGTGACGTGGATGTGGAGATGGGTGCGAAGCCGGTCTGGTTGACGTAGCCCTGGTCGTAGGCTGTGGTTGACCAGCCTACGACTCTCGAATCAGGGGCGTCGCTCGCAGACGACGACGACGACGGAGTGGCGGCGGGCCCGGATGCGACTGGCGCGAAACCGTGGTAGGCGAGCTCGTTGATAGATATGCTCGAGACAAAGCTGTGAGCTGACACTGGTGGCAGAGCCAAAAAGGAGTTGTCGATGAGGGCGGCGAGCAGCAGGATAGGCAGCCTCGGGGCCAAGCGGCGAATCCCCACGGGTGATGATGAGGCCGTCATCGTGTGCGTCGTCTTACGTACTGAATTGGTGTGCTTGGTCTCAACAGCTTGTCACAAGTTCCCAGCCAATACCGCCTATCGAAGCAGCTAGCCCACCACGAGATCCATCAAACGCAGTCGAGCACTGCCACCTCTGATATATACGCTGGATATCATTTCTCTCCTGCTTGTGGGAGAAACCCATATCCAGCTAATGTTATTGATCATAGCATTGCAGGTATATACCTCAAATCACCCCCACCCGGGCCTGTCCTCCGAGCGACGAAACATGACACGTCCCATGTCCTGCTGTAAGACCATGGGGTGTTGCTCGAATCCGGGACAAGATCAGCAGACGCTCCACGGGCCGGCCCGCTGACTCCAACGGCTAGGCAGTGTTGCAGTGCGGAGTGAGCAAGCAAATAAGGCTTACATATCGGGACATCATTATAGACTTGTAAGTAGGATATATCGTAAGCATCTTTCGCCGCCTTGGACTCGGTCAGGTTTTAATCTAATCTAATAGACTTTTCTTCACAAGCATACAATTGCCGACATAGTGAGGTAATGTTCTAAGAATATTAAACACCCTGCGTCGTCAGCAGCGGTAGATAGGAGTCCGGAATTGATGTCAAATTTGAAAAAAAGAAAAGCCCTTGCCCAATCCGAATCCAGAAGACTGGAGACGATCACATACCTCCCGCGCCGATAGGCGTAAGCCTGAACTCCTGAAGGGAGCATAGATCGACATGCACCACTAGGTGAAACAAGACGTCAACGACCCCGAGTCAAGCCAGCTGTCAGCATGTACCGCAGATCTAAAGTCATTATGCGGTGTGCGGCTCATTGTGTGCCCGCAATGAAGAGGGTACCTGCATAAAAACCGCCGTGACCGACACGGCAGGCTCGCCTCCGTCCCTCGTCCTCTCGACCATTCACCAATGAGTCTGCGTCGCGAGAGCTTGGCCGCAATCCATGCTTCAACAACACCGAGAAGAACACGTAATTATCTCATCCTAATTGGGATCCAGGGGATCCATCGTGTCCACAATATCGACGAAACATCCAATTCTCCCCCAAGTGGCCGGGCTCGGCCGTGGCGGGGCCCGTTTGAGAGAGACCCGCTCCCGAAAGGGTCGGCGGAGGATCCGGCTCCGGATGGGTTCGTGCGCCCCGGGGTTTTCCTGCCAACTGCACTGCCCAATCCAGATGTGGAAAACAAAATTCAGCAAGGATTTCCTGTTTCACACTAAGGCCACGCTCTAGACATTTTAATTGAATATCACTGGCTTGCTAGACGTCTCACCCATGTGGCACTTCCGGGCATCTCTCCGTAAGAATTCAAGCAGCACAGAGCCCCTTGCCCCAATCTCACAAACCCCGCCGGGGCCCAAGAAGAACAAACCCCCCCCCCCCCCCCTTTCCAAAAATCACCGCTGCCACCCAAAGTCAAACGGACACCCCATCTGCGACTTGCCGCTCCCGGCGTACTCCTCGAGCGCGGCAGCCTGGCGCTCCACGTTGTCCCTCGACACCTTCTCCGTCCCAGGGGGACCCAGCTCGTGAGGCAGGTACCCCTGCTTGCGCCACTTGTCGCCGGGCACCTTGCCGCTACCGCCGCCGCCGCCGACGCCAAACTTGAGCCACAGCGCGAGCCTGTTCCACCACGAGTCGGCAACGTACCACGGCTCAAACAGGACATATGCCGGGGACCGGTAGTACCTGCCGTCCTTGCCCTGCTTTGCTAGCGGGCTGAGAGCCCGGAAGCGTGGCAAGGCCAGGTGGCGGAGACACATCCGCCGCAGGCCGAGGACGCAGTCTTTCAGGCTGAGGGCCCAGGCTGGTGGTTCTGGGTATCCGATGGCTCTCAGGACGTGCTTCTCCTCGATGAGAGCGCAGAACATGGTTCGCATGAAACTATGCAAGGGCTTGGGCAGGTCCCTCAGGAACACGTCGAGCGTGGCGTCCGTCACCATCTTGTTCTCGGGGATGTAGTACAGGTGCGTCTTCTCGTACTCGACCTTCCACTCCTCGAGCTCCTCCAGGGTCTCGGGGATCCCGCCAAACCCCATGCGATGGCCAATCTCGCGCCAGTAGAGGAAGTGGGCAACCTTTTCGAGCCGCGTGAGCGGGCGCCAGTCGTACTTTTCAATCCAGCGGTGCGGCTCGAGGACGAAGAGGGCAAGCGTGTGCACGTAGTCGCCCTCGAGGATGCTGAAGCGGTGGTGCATCCAGTTGAGCTTGCCCATGGCGAGGCGCGCCCGCTCGCTGTCGAGGTCGCCCGCCAGGAACTCGCCCAGTAGCACGCCCGTGTCCTCGGCGCGCTTGCCGGCCTTGGCAGGGTCGCTGAGCTGCCGCGTCTTGACGAGCAGGGGCGTCCCCGTCGCGATGCCGTAGCTCTTGATGAGCGCCCACTGCGTGCTGAAGCCGAACAGGAAGGGCATGTCGTAGAGAAGTGACAGCTGCATAATCTCTTGGGCTTGCTTGTAGTCGAGCTTGTACGGGTCGTCGAGGTATGCGGCGTATTTGCGCTCCATCTTGTGCAGCGCCCGAAAGCGCAGTGCCTGCACTAGAGCAAAGTACGAGGCGGCCACTGTTGGGACAATGACGTGCCATGGCATATCATGCCGAGCATTTTCGAGCCATCGTAAGAGACTCCGTGTCAGACTGGACACGTCCATGATTGAGTTTGGACGTTGAAGCGCTGGCTCCCTCCTGTGGTGAGAGCAGTGTCCGTGTTATGGGCACCAGCTGTCTGCGGTCGCGATGACGTCGTCTCTCGTATGTGGGTTAAAACTCGCATGCGAGCTGGCAGCATGTAATCGAGAGGAAACCCACCACATCGCCACGTCGCAGAGGAGACGCAGGTGATGTACATCTGGGCTCCGACCGAATGAAAAACAATGTAGTCCCAAGGTTGCTTATTGGTTCGTGCCGGTGCCTCGGGATGACGGTCAGCACCGGCGGGGTCCTGAAGGTGCCCGCAAACGCCACAGATGTGCCGCTAGACAAGGGCATGGTCTCGAAGGGGCATGCTCGTCGCAAGCGCCAGCCAATAGTTTGTGCAGGGGCCCGACGACACCTCTCGTAGGGCTTGGGCTTTGATACAGGTCAGCATACAGTGAGTCGCAATGAACAATCAATATCTGTTGATTGGTGGATGAGCATGGGGCTCTGATAAATTCAACTAAAAAACGCTATGCTTCATGAACCTCATCAGCTCGTAACAATGATCCGCTTCTGTGCCGAGACTCATCAAGAATGAACTCTACAACATGGACCGGAACCCTCAGCAACTGACCTCGTCAGCTTATGTAGGTTGCGATGAAGAGCGTCATCCAAGCCAGGCACAGGCCATGTAGCCGTTGTGATTTGGGCCGTCGAGCATACGACGAGTTGACGAGGGTGGACGGCGGCCAGCCAGATGTTGTGCTTTGGAAGGAACTGAAGGTCGAGCTTGTCTTGGAGGAGGAAGCCGCCTCTGTCAACTCCTTATTGGTGGATCTACTGCTTGATGCTGGGAACCAGCTTTGGGTCGGAGGTCTAAAGGTTGTGGCCGACAGGTTGTTTGTGGGAGGCGACCCAGTTGGGACTGTGTTGGAGGATGAGGAGGTCTGGACGGGAGTGCTCGAGGTTGAGACGTCAGTCGTCAGCGGGGGCAGCGTCGGCGATATGTTCTGGCCTGTCGAAGGAGGCAGAGAAGCACCAGTAGTACTGGTCAGCGCAGGATTGGTGGCTGCAATGTCGACAGTGAGCGCTGGCGCCCAATCCAGCCCCATCAGTGACGCGTAGAAGCCAGCCACCGGCCGCGGCAGCAGGCTCAGATCTTGCTCTTCCCAGAGCACGGTGACCTGGTCATGCTGTATCGACTTGACGTCGGGAAGCGTGGTGTAGACGTCGGCTGTGGTGATGTCGGGGATAACGAGCAGGGCGATGGGGGCAGTGACTGTCGAGGTACAGAAGAAGTCTGGGTTGGTATCCGGGACTGTGAAGCCGCTGTGAAGGGTCGATGTCAGTGTGCCGCCAAAACGGTCTGTCAGAAAATGATACGGGGAGACACACCTCTGGCAACAGCGTCCTGTCCAGATTGTGCGACCTCCAGAGATATTCGACTCGGAGGCGACAATGGTCATGGGGTGGGGACAGATGCCCGGGCTGAAGCTGGGGTATGTGGTCGAGTACTGCAAGGGAATACACTTTGTAAAGGACGGGTCGACCCAGCCACTGCTAGGCACATTTGTGCTGTCCCAGGGCGGCGTCTCAATGAAGACGGCATAGCGATCGGCACACCAGGCAGGCGGCGTGTAGATGGTGGTGAGTGCATTCATCGTTTTGGTGGTCCGGCTGGTGGCCTTGGAGAATCGACTGAACACGCCGTCGTTTTGAAGCGGGGGGGAATACAGGATGAACGATGGCCTACGGGATGAGGTGCAGCGTACCACTAGCAATAAGAAGCAGCCACAGGGCGCGAAGCAGACATTCGCGGGTGGAAGCCAGCTTAAGAGACGGAGCGTCGTCTTTGAATGTGAGGCGAGGGGAAGAAAGATGTCTCAGATAGGACGTCACGGCTCCCTGTGAAGCTGGCCACTCTTGGACTGCACTGGACAGCCAGGGCAGGCGCCACGAGGGCGGCCCCTTGGACTCTGACGACCCTAGCAGAACCGCATTCTCGGCAATGGCAAGCTGGCACAAAGGGCAGGAAGGGTGCATGTTTCCGTGACTGTTACTGTTTGTTGCATTCGTCAATGGCGATCCCGGCACACGCATCACGCTACGGCCCGGTGCTGGTTCAGCCGTTGTGGTACCCTGACTGGAGCTAGGTGACCACCTCATCTGGGGGCGGTGCCCGGCTTCGGTGCGTTCCTGGTCCGCAATCGAGCCTGTCCGTGCATCGGCAAGAATGAAAAGGCATGCCAGGGTCCTAGAATGTCATTGTGGGAGCCTCGTGGCAATACAAGTCCGTCTGGACATCGGTATGTCTTGTTAACATTTACGAGGGGCTGGGTTCCTGATCTCGAGGCTCTGGCATTGGGGGCGGTTGCAAGCGGAAATGCGCTAAGAGCACTGCCAGCCCTGTGGGTCGTTCCTGCCGTTGGTCGCAGCAAGGGTCCATGCCAGTGCACCTGCACCTGCTCACGGGACAGCGGCGCCAGACCTTGCCCCACACGCCGCCAGTGGGGGTGGCCGATGACATAACACTGCCGTCGTTGCCCGCGCGAGGTTGACATTCTCGACTCTCACTGCCGATTGCAAGCAGAAACGCCAACCGCCGTGCCGAGTCTCGCAAGCCGCTTCCGCCCAGTTTCGGCCATTTCGCACTCAGCACGCACTGGAATTGTGTCGAGACACCTCAGTCTCGTCTCTGCATAATGGCGCCTGTCCACAAAATCGCCCTTGTCCAGCTGCATCCGAGGGTGCGCTGCCCTCTCCTCCCTCGCCCAACCCTTTCCCCACCTTTATCCTCCCTCTGCACACACCTTGGTCTCTGCTGACCCGGGGGAGCTCCCTGCACGGCAGACTTGAGCGGTGCAACAAGGGATCTGGACAGCACCAATCTGACTTTTGATGCACAGGCACTCGCTGTACAAGACAATTATGCCCGGGCCGAGGCCTTCATCAGAGACGCAGCGGCCAAGGGGTGCGCCCTTGCAGTCCTGCCCGAGTACCATCTCACCTCCTGGGTGCCGGATGACCCAAACTTTGGAGCGGCTTGTGCTGAGTCTGCCTCATATCTGCAAAAGTACCAGAGCTTGGCCAAGGAGCTGTCGATATGTATCGTGCCAGGCACCATTATTGAGGAGGCTCCCAAAGATGGCGACGACTCGCTGCACAACATCGCCTACTTCATCTCCTCTGACGGCAGTATCCTAGGCCGGTACCAGAAGAAGAATCTCTGGATTACTGAGCGCAAGCACCTCGTATCTTCCGCGCACGAGCCGCACCAGGCGTTCGACACGCCACTTGGCCGCATCGGCCTGCTCATCTGCTGGGACCTGGCTTTCCCTGAGGCGTTTCGCGAGCTGATCTCTGACGGAGCAGACATTATCTGTGTTCCCACGTTCTGGTCGCTCAAGGACGTGTCGGACGAAGGGTATGCATTGAACAAGAATGGCGAGGCGCTCTTCTTGCAGAGCACCATCGTCAGCCGGGCATTTGAGAACACGTGCGCCGTCGTCTTTGTGAACGCGGGGGGCCCGCCGGAGCGGGGGGAGGAGACGGCGTTTGCGGGGATGAGTCAGCTGGGGATGCCGCACCTGGGGGCTGTAGGCAAGCTAGGCCAGGCCGAGGGCATGAGCATCGTGGAACTCGACATGGACGTGCTGCGGATTGCCGAGGACAACTACAAGGTGCGCGAGGATATGCAGAAGGAGGGCTGGCACTATGCGTTCACGCAAGATCGTGGCTCAGGCAGCAACAGCAAGCTGTAGCTAGATATTGGTTGACCTCGAGAGAATGGCACAACGCCAACGCACAGTGGCCAGCATCGTCACCAATGCGCGTGCAAGAGTCATGGTTGGCTAGTGAATAGTGGCCGCCACGAGTCATCAGACTCTGTCGCGGACACCTGGGGAGGCGCGGTGTTACAGAAGTTCGATCGTGCTTAGGTAATGCCCGCAAGTCGGAGGCTCGATGGCCAGGCCCCAGATGTCGAGCGGCGGATGGGCGATGGTGCAATCCGGCGGCGAGCGCATGCCGGGCCAGAGGCGGCGGTCGGCCGGCTGGCCCGTCTGTCGGCGAAGCTCTGGAACCACGCCTGGAGCCTTTACTGGGCTCTGATTGGCGCGCACTGGACGGCCGAGGCTCGATCCCAACCTGGATCCGGACTAGTGGATTGCGTGCTTGCCCTTGCTGCGCGAGTTGGGTGCACCTTCCGCGCCAGACGCAGCAAGCACGTCAACACTAACCCGCAATCCGCGAACCGTATCCCGCAACTTTTTTTTTTCTTTCGCTCTTGGCTGGTGGTTGTGTAGATGGCGACATGGATGCTCCGGCCAGCGCGAGCACGCCACCGATCCGCCCGCCTGCCCCCCCCCCCAGAGCCGGTGCCGGTGGATCCTTCGGCGCCCGGTCTGAGGCCTTGTAAACACTCTGCGCCCCGTCGACTTTTCGTCATGGAGCCTCTCCTCGCCCCGAGAACCGCAAACCCCATCACGCCTTCGCCGTACTAGCATCGAAAGCCAGGCCAGTCCACGACACAATGAGCGAGCCGGCTACGCTATGGGGCGTCCTCCGAGGAGGCCAGCCGGTATGTCTTTTCCCATAGCAGCAGCAGCACTGCCGTCCGTCTCCTAAATCGGAACATCCCACTCGGTGCCCCGTCCTCCTTAGCCTGGCCACCCCAGATCTGCCTGCCATTTACTGTTTCCCATTGTCCCGGTCGTGAAAGCCGCTCCAGTCGGGCTAGTGGCGGGCACGTTGTTTGACTTTTTGTTTTCTGAATACCTACCCATCCATCCATCCGTCTTTCTTCCATACAACTCTCACTCGATATACTTCTCTGGGCATCGTCCCTTTCTCTCTCGCCTGCCACTTGCTGTTCGTGTCGTCAAGTCTAACTGTGTCTTGTCACTCTCGGCAGCAAACCCAGCGACAAGGACCCCTCTCCCCCCTCCGCAGGCAGTCGGGCGATATCTTGACGATGCATTTCAAGTCGCAGGAGAGCGGCGGCGCCGCTGTTGCCAACGCCGACCTGCCCAACAAGCCAGAGGTCACTGCCGTCCACTTCACAAAGCAGTCCCCGACACTGCCATTTGGCCAGCCCATTGACCTCTCGTCCATCTCGGGTCCGACCTACGTTACCGGTCAGCTGCTTGTTCAGCAGATTGCGTACAAGCTCTCGGACAAGATCTTCTCGTACTCGCCCGAAACATTCGACCTCGACGTTGCTGCCAAGCAGTGGTCCCAGTCCGGTGAGGCCAACATCCACGGCTACCCGACGACCGTTGTGCCCCTTCAGACTCGTTCCGGTGCAGGTGCCTTTGCCCTCGGCTACATCTTCTCGGACGACTTCGACATCACAAAGAGACACATCCCTCAGTCATTGCTAGCCCCGTCTCTCAGTCTCCGCAACCTGAGGGCTGCTCTCGACCAGCTCGCCGTTCTCTATGGCGTCGGTAGCCCCTTCGTGGCCCACGTTGCTGCTGCTGACTACTCGGTCGAGGACGGGCTCGCCGCTGAGTACAGCACTGCCCTGCAGCTCTCTGAGGAGCTTGGCCTCGCACTGGTGGCCAGCTCGTCCGCCCACGAGAGCCAGCACATGGCCTTGTTCGCCACTCTGGCAGCCAAGATCCTGCCTACCCTGCACATCTTTGACGGAGTTCGCACATCCCGCGAGACCCTGCGTGTCATTGACGTACTGAGCGAGGTTGGCGTGGCCAATGTCTTCAACAAGGTTTCGGAGGCTGCCGCTGGCATCAATTTGCGTCTTGACAGCGCCGGCAAGGTTGTTGAGCTGCTCAAGGCCTTCAACGAGGAGCTTGGCACTGACTACGAGCCCTTTGAGTACTCTGGCCACAAGGAGGCCGAGACTGTCTTTGTGGTTTTTGGCAGCGTCGAGGCCCAGCTCGCCAAGCAGGTCATCACCAAGCTTGCTGAAGGTGGCGCCAAGGTTGGAGCGGTGAATGTTCGGGTTTACCGGCCCTTCATTGAGGAGGCCTTCCTCAAGGTCCTGCCTGCTTTGGCCCACTCGGTCGTTGTCCTTGGCCAAGTCGCCAACGAAGCTGCTGTAGCCGATGCGTCTGTCCAGTCTGTCCTCTACTCAGATGTCCTGACTGCAGTGTCTTTCTCCAGCCAGTGGAACTCGGCTCCGGCCGTGATCGACTCCAAGTACGCCGCGCCCAACGCTTTCACGCCGACCAGCTTTGCTGCTACCGTGGACCGCTTTGCCAGCAAGGCCCCTTCCGCTGAGATCAGCATCTCCCTGCCTCAGCTTGAGTCGGCCAATCAGTTCATCTTCTGGGACGTTGATGACTCCAAGACCTTGATCACCCCCGCCATCATTGGCGACCTGCTCTCGCGGGACTCCACCAGCAACGTCCATCTGAGCGAGACATTCGACAACATTATTCAGGGTGGCCTTGTCCGCAGCGACCTGCGCATTTCCAAGAAGACCCTCGACGCTCCTTATGCCATCGAGCAGGCTGACGTTGTTGTCATCAACGAGGAGAAGCTGCTCAAGGCTGTTGCTGCTTCACAGACCGTCAAGAACGCTGGCAAGCTTATCCTGAGACTGCCTGGGTTCAAGGAGGAGGAGGTCGAGAAGCGCATTCCCGCATCTGTGCGTCGCGATATCCAGGCTCGGGGCATCTCCGTTTATGTTCTCGACTCTGCGCTCTCGCCCGCGCTCGAGAACGACGCCATCGCCTCCAGACTGCTGGTCGAGCTTGCTTTCCTCAAGATTGCTCAGCCTGATATTAAGCCTGAGCTGCTCCACAAGCTTTCCGGACTTGATGGCAACAAGGTTACCCTCGAGGAGTGCAACGACGCCGTCGAGAAGTGCCTCAAGTCGTTTGAGGTGCCCGCTGCTTGGGCCGATGCTGTCGCGGAGGCTGGGGCGCGTTTGCCGCACGGCATTAAGGCGACCAGCTTCGTCCCCTTTGTCAAGGAGGAGACTGAGGCTGAGCTCGAGGTCACCGATTGGGAGTCCACTGCCAAGGGCCTGGTCTTCAAGGAGGCCTACGGCACTCAATCTAATCTCCGCCCCGACCAGACCGTCAAGACGTACACGATCACTGTCAAGGAGAACCGCCGCCTTACGCCGGCCACCTACGACCGCAACATCTTCCACATTGAGTTTGACCTCGGCGAGTCCGGCCTGACTTACGACATTGGCGAAGCTCTTGGTATCCACGCCGAGAACGACCCGGAGCTGGTTGAGGAGTTCATCAAGCTCTATGGACTGGATGGGAACGCCGTTGTCCAGGTCCCTTCGCGCGATAGCGCAGCCGTGCTCGAGACCCGCACCATCTTCCAATCGCTCAAGCAGAACATTGACATCTTTGGCAAGCCTCCCAAGCGCTTCTACGAGGGCCTCGCCGAGTACGCCACAGACGAGACCGAGAAGAAGCAGCTCGTCGCTCTGGGCGCGGCCGAGGGTGCCGAGGACTTCAAGAAGCGCAGCGAGGTCGACACCGTCACTTTTGCTGATGTTCTCGAGGAGTTCAAGTCTGCGCGCCCCAGCTTCCCCGAGCTCGCGCGTCTCGTCGGTGCCCTGAAGCGCCGCGAGTACTCGATCGCGTCCGCGCAGGCCGTCACCCCCAACAGCGTCGCCCTGATGATTGTTGTTGTAGACTGGGTCGACTCCCGTGGCCGCACCCGCTACGGCCAGGCAACACGCTACCTCTCTCGCCTTCCTGTCGGCGCGACCGTCACCGCTTCCGTCAAGCCATCCGTCATGAAGCTCCCGACTCGCGACGACGCGCCGCTCATCATGGCCGGCCTGGGTACGGGTCTCGCGCCGTTCCGCGCGTTTGTGCAGTACCGTGCCATGCAGAAAGCACAGGGCAAGAAGATTGGCTCGATCCTGCTGTACCTTGGCTCGCGACACCAGCGCGAGGAGTACCTGTACGGCGAGGAGTGGGAGGCGTACCTGGACGCCGGGGTGGTGACGCTCGTGGGCGCCGCCTTCTCCCGCGACCAGCCGCAGAAGATCTACATCCAGGACCGCATGCGGCAGACGATGGACGACGTCATCAAGGCGTACATCAAGGACGAAGGCAGCTTCTACCTGTGCGGCCCGACGTGGCCGGTGCCCGACGTCACGGACGTGCTCATGGAGGCCATCCGCACCGAGGCCAAGGCCAGCGGGAAGAAGGTCGATGCCAAGAAGGAGATTGACCGGCTCAAGGAGGAGGGCCGGTACGTGCTTGAGGTGTACTAAGCGCGAGCGGTGGAGGGCATGTGAAGGGGGGGAAGATGTGTATATAGAAAGATACGACGAGTAACGAAGCAGCAGAATGACACTGCCAAGTCGAGTCACAAATATAGACAAACATTATTGGTTCCTCATCTCGTGATCAGTCGTGGCTTCGCAATTTATCGTTCTCCTGCAAGTTTTTGTCTGTCTGTCTGTCTGTCAGCATGCTGGAGTGGCTCCAATAATCCTGTGCAGGATGGCGGCAGCTGATCGAAGTAACGGATCAATGCGCCAGCTCGTGCTTGTATTTATGGAAAATAACATGGAGGAAAAATTAAAAAAAAAAAAATTAAAAAAGGAAGAAGCAAGAAAGAAAGGAAACATCGAGTCTACCACCACGCGGCACAGTTGGCCGGAGGGCCGAACAGCAATTTGGGCAAATCTCGAGTGCGGTCAGCAATGCAAAACGATATAAATACGATTGGCGCGGGAGGTTTGGCGAGAAAAGCAACCACAGAAGAAATTTTGAATACCCCCTTTGTTTTTGGATTCTCTTTGCGATGCTCTTCGTGAGTCTGGGTTGTGCGCTGTGGTGTTTTGATAGAGTATTATTATTTTTTTACTTCCTGTTTTCGTTTCTTCGTGGGGCACAATGGTTACAACCCCTGTGATGTTTTGTGTTTTGTGTGCAAGTCGCACCATGCGAACCCCATTTCCATGGGGCTAAAGGGGGCCTGTCAGGACGGTCTGCGAAGACTGGAGAGAGCGAGAGAGAGAGCGAGAGAGGTATTGTCTATGTCTAATTTTATTACTTCGGCACCGACAGCAGCTCGTTATCCATGTGTAGCTGCCTGCTGGAGCAAGGGGCCCAGAGCTCCGCGTCCTTCTAGGGCTGTGTAATGTGTATGTATGTGGAAAAGCCCATGTCCGACACGGGGGGCTACCTTGAACATAAAATTTATTGTGTAATACATTCATGTGTCTTCAACATGGAAACACACACACCCACACATACACCCCTGCGTATCGAAGGTATTCTATTTTTCTGTCTCGTACATACGCTTAACTGGAGAAGGTCTTCAAGGAAAACGTCTTGCTGTGGAATACAAAATCGTTTGCTCAAGCCCCCCAAAAAAAACTAAAAAAAAAGGCACCATCAAGCAATGGGGACTGCCCCTGAGAGCTGGCGCTTACCCTGCGTACCCTTTTCGAGTCTCTACGCGGTCTTCTTGTCTTCTGGCAGACCCTCGACGGCGGCCGAGGCGGCGACTTGGGCAGGGACCTCGGCAGGCTTGATGAGCCCGGCCTGCAGGCGCTTCTGGTGGGATACCTTCTTGAGGCGCTGGTCTTCGTCGGAGGTGTAGTGGAGCTGTTTGCGGAGGAGACGGGAGAAAAAGAAGTGTTAGTGATGTGTGTATTTGACCTAAAAAAGAGATACATGGGGTAGACCTACGTAGACCTCGACAAGAGCGGCATGGAGAAACAGGCAGATCCAGGTCGAGGTGCCGAAGCAGATGTTGAGGGCGGCCGTCTTCTCGATGATGTTGCCGCGCAGGTTTGCGTTGACGACGGCCATGCTGGCGGGGTTTGCGCCGGAGACGTAGGCGGCGCACTCGGGGAAGGTGCCGGCGAGGGTGACGTTTGGGTCCTGGAGGCGGGTGGTGGCGAGGATGTACTCGATCTTGTCGCAGGGCTGGGCCGAGTAGAAGGTGCCGAGCTTCGAGACGAGGATGGCCGAGGCGATGAAGACGGGCCGCATGGTGACGATGCACCAGGCGTAGACCCAGGCGCGGAGCATCCAGGCGCGGTGCTGGTCGATGTGGAGCTGGCGGATGGTCTGGTAGGCGCGGAAGGTGGCGCCGAGGAACATGGAGGAGAGGACGACGGCCTGGGTGTCCCAGTTGCCGCCGGCGGCCTTGTCGAGGAGCATGAAGATGCCGGCGGTCCCAGTGAAGGAGAGGAGCCAGACGGCATAGCCGGCGTAGCGGTGGACGGCAATGGCGCGGCGGCGGATGGCGGGGACGAACTGGAGGAGGGCGAGTAGGCTGGCGGGGAGGATGGAGGCGAGGTGGAGGACGATGCCGGTCTGGTGGCGGCCGGGGAACTGGTAGGTGAAGCACTCGCCGGGGATCGAGTTGCCCGGGGTGCAGAAGTGCGAGAGGGAGATGGAGGGCAGCCGGTAGGCGCTGAAGAGCGCGGTGAGCCCGCCGAGGACGAGGAAGAGGGCGACATTGTAGCCCTTTGTGAAGCCCAGGGTGCGGGACAGGAACCGCTGGAGGGGGTTCTTTGTGGCGGCCATGGTGGGGGGTGTCTACTTTAGTTATGATTGTTGCATTCTTTGCCAGACCAAACACCCACGTGCTAGGCCGTCAAGAGAGAGGGGGAGGGGATGAATATATACACTAATTAATTACCTCTGACCTTATTTTCCTGTGCCTGCAGTGTTGACAGGAGCCGGCTCCGACGCACCCAGGGGGGGCCCGGAGCTGTGGATCGGCCCGGCCGTTGGGCCACAAGATCAGCCTGGACAGCCTGGACAGCCTGGACAGGGGACGGCGGGGGGGCTCAGCTCAGCTGGCAGTGGAGGATGCGAGTGCGAGCGTGGATCCCTCCCTCCCTTTGGCATGTTTTCCGCATGGATGGATCAGTTATCCTCTCGGAGCAGGGCGAGCAGGGGTCCTGCGAATGCGACACGGCGCCTGGGCACGGCCCCCCCGGCACACCGTCCGGGCTCGGCAGTTCATGCCCCTTGCTGTCTCCAGGGCTGCCTGCCCGTCTCTCGTCACGAGCCGAGGCTCAGGCAACAGACGGGATTATTCAATATGCAATGGCCACCGCTGACACAGCCTGGCCCGCATGAATTTGCATGGCTCCAGAGTGGTCCTCGTCGTCGTCAGATGGTCGGATGATGACCAGGTCAGGTGGAGATCGACTCGAGAATGCCCAGGTGGGCAGTGCTGGCGAGCATCAAGACAAGAGGTACATCCTGCGACATGACTCCAAAGTGAAGTTGGATGGACAGGCGCGCAGGTCGCTTAAGCTCGCACCCGCTTCCGCTTGCGCTTGCGCTACATGACGCCGTTAGGTTGAGTGCAGATCACTCACTGTTGGCGGCGTAGCAGCTCAAGGGGCAGTAACCAGGACGGACAGTAACTGCCCCAGGTGCACCCGGTGCTGGTCATCATGTTATCGCTGATTGGCCGTAGATCTCAGCTGCTGCCCCCATCAGCCAATCACGTCGCTCACAATGGCAACCCGCGCCCACTGCCAGTGATGTCAGCCCTGCCGCCAACGGCGTATAAGTTGATCCGCACGCCTCACCACCGCTAACTGACTGCACCACCACCACCCCACAAACACGGCACGCGCATCCAGAAGACTCATTCCACCCACGATACATCTCAGACTCGAAAACCGGTCCTCCAAGACACGCATCTCAACCAAACACTTCACACACAAGACCTCCTTCCACCACAACCATGTCTGCCCAAGTCACCCAGGCCACCCCCACTTGCTGCGGCAAGAAGTCGGGCGGCGAGTGCGTCTGTGGTATGTCTCCATTGCGTCGTCTCACAGAGACATCTCTCCCCTCTCCTCTCCAAGAACCACCCTCACTGACTCCTCCTCCTCTGCCACAGCCAAGCAAGCCACCTGCTCCTGCGGCAAGCAGTCTGCCCTGAACTGCACCTGCGACAAGGCCGCCACCGAGAACGAAATCACCGGCGCCCGCTGCTCCTGCCGCGCCCGCCCTGCCGGCCAGTGCAACTGCGACAACGCTTCCACCGAGAACAGCCCCGTCAAGGGAAGCTCGTGTGCCTGCGGTGCCCGCCCCGCCACCTCGTGCACCTGCGAGCGTGCCGCCGACTCGGGCGAGGCGTCCAACCCCAACGAGATTGACTTTACTACTCGCAAGTAGAGAGAGACATGCCTTGACATTCTGAGAGTGCAGACGGGGGACATGAAAGGGGAGGCACTGCATACACCTCAATTCACACAATCACACAATCACACATGGCGGCGTTACACGGATCCGGTGGGGAAATGCATTGGGCGGCGACGAGCATAACGGGACTGCAGTTTTGATACCACTGGGGGAGAATTGACTAGGAGAGACACAGCTCCATAGAACCAGGCGTTTTTGGCATTCAAACAAATCGAATACATTTAATCCAGTCAGATCAACCTATGAAACCATGCAGAGTTCCCAAGTATGTCCATCCACTGGTACCTAGGTAGTCCTGAGGATGGGGAACCTTGCGTCACCGCCTTTGGCCTGCGGCGTGATGTCTTCTGCCGGCCTGAAGCAGCGCACCCTGGACAAAAAAGTTTCCCAAGTCACAGTCGGGCAGGCGGTCAGGAAGCTGTTGTGGGGCTTTCCAATACAGCTCTCTTCCTCCGACCCGACACCGAAATAGGCCAGTGTCAGGGGGGGTGTGGGTCAAGAGAGCATGGGTGACCCCTGTGAGGGACGAGCAGAGGCGCGCGCGCGTTCCAAATTTTTACTTTGCTACGATAAGGGCTCGCCCTGCTCTTTCATGTCGGTGTGTGTGTGATGATGGGCTTTGAACACTGGAGCAACAAAGCTAGGAGTAATTGATTAAAGCTGTCCTCCTCCTGGCTATGGCAGATGGCGTAGGAAAGGCATCTGGTAGCCAAGACAAAGGGGGGGGTGGTTGGTCCAAGGGCAGTGTGCTGGCGCGTGTTTGTAGCAAGCAAGCATTCTGCTACAGTAGGAGGAACAATGATTGAATGCACCAGCGCATCGTCCGAGGACTAAAGGAGGATAAAGACGGCAGGTTGCCAACCACGGGTGTCCACGTCCCGTCGAGTCTGATGCGGATGCCCTGCTAACTGCAGCAATACTGCTGCGTAATCACTGTTAGCGTGCCAGCCAAGGAGCTGCCGGCTGGTTGATTTCTCAGGCGGGTGTCTCCACACCCACCACAATCACAACAATCGCCGGGCCTGATGACCTGACCCGTCCGTCACACACCACACCACACACCACCCAGTTCAACCCATTCCATCAAGGCCGCCGTCATCCATTGCGCGACTTGTTCTGTGCTGCATCATCTCTGCGCACCTGCAAATTGTTCCGTCTGCCAGCTTGCACATCACACCACCTTCCACATCCTCGTACAAAGCCGTGGTTTGCCGCATCGTCTCGCAGGCGCTGCTGGTCCTGTCCTCTTTGTCATCCTTTCCCCAGCCAGACTACCCCAGCCAAAATTTTGACGATTGGGCCTCGACCTCCTCCGACGCGTCCTCCACCCAACACACGACTTTTCCCCAGCCTTCGCGACACCTCTTCCAGTCCGCGATCGCTTTTCGTCCACCTCTCTGCACCTTTTCCGACTTCGACCACACCTTCACATCCCATCTCACCCACACCTCACAATGCCTCCTCGCCGAGCTGCTTCGGCCAAGCCCGACGCGGCCGTTGCGAAAGAAACAAAGGCCAGTGCCAGCAAGGTCACCAAGCCTGCCGCAAAGGCCACCAAGGCCGCTCCCAAGAAAGCCGCCGCCGCAAAGGCTGAGCCCAAGCCCAAGCCCGCCGCGAAGCCCAAGGCCAAGGCTGCTGTCAATGGCGTCAATGGTGTGAACGGCGTCAACGGTGTCCACTCTGACGAGGACGAGAAGCCCGCGGCCCCGGCCACCAAGACCAACAACAAGCGCAAGGTTGACGTTGAGGAGTCTGACACTCCTTCCGTAGCCTCTGATCGGCCCGTCAAGAGAGCCAGAACCGCATCAGTCTCCCAGCCCAAGCCCAAGGCTCCTGCCAAGCCCAAGGCCGCGAAGCCGGCGCCAAAGCCCAAGAAGGTGGTCCAGCAGCCTGTCATCAACAAGGTTCCCTCAACCAAGCTCGACATCTTCGTCTTCGGCGAGGGCTCCTCCGGCGAGCTGGGCCTCGGCAGCAAGAAGTATGAGGGCAAGCTCAAGCCCATCGACGTCAAGCGTCCTCGCATCAACCGCAATCTCGAGAAGGCTGGCGTCGTCCAGGTCGCCTGTGGTGGCATGCATGTTGTGGCCTTGACCGCCGACAACAAGATCCTGACCTGGGGTGTCAACGATGACAAGGCCCTCGGCCGCGACACGACCTGGGACGGCGGTGTCCGGGATGTTGACGACGAGTCGGACGACGATGATGAGGATGACACGGGCATCAACCCCCGTGAGAGCACACCCACCGAGATCAGCTACGAGGGCATCCCCGAGGGCACTGTCTTCACTCAGGTTGCTGCGACCGACTCTGCCTCCTTCGTCGTGACTGACGAGGGTGACGTCTACGGCTGGGGCACCTTCCGTGGATCGGACGGGATCATTGGCTTCTCGCAGGATGCTCGTACTCAGGCAACACCTACCAAGATCTCCGTCAAGGCCGTCAAGAAGCTCGCCTGTGGTTCCAACCACGTCATTGCGCTCGACAAGGCCGGCAAGGTCTGGACCTGGGGCGCTGGCGGCCAGTACCAGCTTGGCCGGCGCATCATCACCCGCCACAGCGGCGCCACTGCTGGCCTCAAGCCTGAGCTCTGCAGCCGCTTCGGCGCCAAGAAGTTTGCCGTCGATGTCGCTGCAGGCTCTTACCACAGCTTCTTCCTTGACAACCACGGCCAGGTCTGGGCTTGGGGTCTCAACAACTTCTCGCAGACTGGCCACGAGAGCGTCGGCGAGGATGACGCCATGGTCCTCGAGCCTGCTGTTGTCGAGTCGCTGAGCGAGCTCGAGGTCAAGCAGATTGCCGGCGGCGAGCACCATTCTGTCGCTTGCACCAAGTCTGGCAAGCTCCTCACCTGGGGTCGCATCGACGGCCACCAGGTCGGCCAGCCCAGCGAGGTCTACACCGAGGACAACACCGTCTTTGACGAGAACAAGCGTCCCCGCATCCTCTTTGCTCCTACTGAGATCAAGGGTAGGGATCACCAGCGCTGCACACCCTTCCTGTTCCCCTCATTACGTCGTGCTGACAATCTATCGCTTGCAGATATCAAGGCATCTTACGTCGCCACCGGAACCGACACGAGCTTTGCTATTACCGAGGATGGCGAGGTGCACTCGTGGGGCTTCTCTGCCAACTACCAGACTGGCCAGGGTACGACGGACGATGTCGAGACGCCCGAGCGGATTGAGAATACTGCCATCAAGGACCGCAAGATCACCTGGGCTGGCGCTGGCGGGCAGTACTCCATGGTGGGTGCTGCCCACGCAGAGAGCCAGGTCAATGGCAGTGCCTAGAGGGAGCGGGTCTGCATGACGACTAGGAGCATACGAACAGATGTGACGAATGAAAATCAGGCGGGCGTTTGGCATGCTATGGGACAGGGTTTTGCATTTTGTGTATATGCAGCGAGATGGCCGCTGCACATGTGGAGGGCCCATGGCAGTCTCACAACGCCGCAGCCCACCCCAGCAGGTAGGGGCCTTGCCAGCTCCGCGCGCGCGCGACACGCCAGAGGCTGTATATTATACTGTAATAGTGGTGGCATATCCTTGATTTCTCTCCCGTTCTGCTGTTTGCACGAGGCCTTGGAGAAGAGCATCGCGGGCCATTGATTTGATCTTGTTTTGGTAGACTTGCGATAGACAACAGCAATTGATTTCTGGGCTCTCGCACCTCGACTGGCTGCTTCCTATCAGCTATGTCACTCGTCACCACAAAATACACACTCCGAGACATGAATGGCAGCTGTGTCTCCGCGACCCCAGTTCGATGGCAGGGCACGGAGGGTGTTGTTGGCTGTACTAATATGTGTAAGCGCCGGATGGGGAGCCGCGGGGGCAGCAAGCGCCGATGACAAGCGAAAGTACGTACTTGGGGTGACACTTTGAGGAGGCCCCAACTGCATATGACAAAACTCTATGCGATGCTCCGACAGCCAAGGTTTGCCACTGTTTTGGAGTGAGTGCTAGGTGCTGGCATTAAACTCTGCCTGCGGTGTCTGCTGCTTTTGGAGCTTGGGGCACAATCGTCCAGTGTGCTGTGCTGTGCTTCAGTCTAGACCCCTGGAGACTCGGAGCTGGGCAGGGGTAGCTTTCAGGCCCCAAAGCAGAAAATCAGAGTTGACAGCGCGGCACAGGCAGGGGAGGGGACGGACGGAGAGAGTCCTCCACCCTCCCAGCTGCAGATCCGGCGGTTCCTCCTGCCAAGTGTGTGTGCAACTTAGGTTCGTCCACCCACCCCCGCCCCTCTGCACAACTCGACCAGCGGCCCCCCAGTGCTGTGCTGTGCGTGCGTGGTGGCTGTTTGTACTCACTCAGCGTTGTTGTTGCTGCACATGATCTTTTATCCCGCGCCGCTTGGGGAATCCTGCATTCCTTTCGGCCTCACCCACCTCGACACCGACCATCTATCACCCTCGCCTACCATTGTCGTCCGTCCCTCCAGCCAGAATCGCAATCCTCGGCCTCGTGGCCTGCCCTCGATTCGACTCGACTGATTGCTGTGCTACTCGTCTGCTGCACACTCCTCTCCCTCCCCGGCGCTTCTCGATTCGGCTTCCCGCGCCTGACATGCAATAAGCACCGTCGCTCGCCGTTTGCGCCTGCGCTGCTGCGATGGTCGTGCGGCATCTCACGACCCGGCATCCCTCCCCGACCGCATCGCTGCTCCTCCCCGACACCGCCTGACTATACCTACCTCTCCATCGCCACAACCTACATTCGCATCGCACATGCCCTTTGTCGTCCACCACCCGATGGCGGCGCCGGTGGCAGCTCCGGGCTCGGCCCCGGCCTCGCTGCAGACGCTGCCCAGCGAACTGCTCTGCCTGATCCTCGACAACCTCGTCCTCGCGCCACTCCCCACGGGCTCTCGCCGGCACTTGCCCATTCCCTACTACACAAATCGCGGCGCCCTGCTCAACCTCTGCCTCACCAGTCGCCGCCTCTACAACTTCGCCACGCCCCTCCTCTACCACAACATCGTCGTCGCGTCGTCCCCCCAGTGCGCCGCCCTTTTCCACACCCTCCTCTATTCGCCGCACCTCCGCCGCTGCCCCAGGACCTTTGCCTCTCTCGCCCCGCTCAACAGCCCTGACGACGACGAGGACGCCTATCAGTTTTTCGAGCGGCTCACCTTCTCACGCAACCCTCGCTTCTTCCACGGCGGCCTATATCTCGACGACCAGGCTAAGGAGGTCGTCAAGAGGCTCAGCATGAGCCATGGCGAGACCAGTGGCCACGTCTACACGCGGTCCAGGGATTTCACCCAGCATGCCGTGGCTGGCGCCATGCTGCTCATGCCCGATATCCAGGACATGCTGTTCGAGCTGTCCCAGCACACAGATTATACTTTCTTCATGAATGACGACTGCATCATCTTTCGCAAGGCCCTCGGGAGTCCGACACCCAGCTGGGGTACTCCGCTGTCATCATTACACACTCTCCGGCTGCAGAGTGACCCGGACATAGCCGGGTTCAAGGCCGATGCCGGCATGCTTGCCATATTGATACCAGAGCTCTTCCATGCGCCAAACTTGCGGCAGCTCGACTTTTACGGGGACGAAGGCAATTACACGCACCACTGGGAGCGGTCTCTCGACGCCATGGTGGCGTACCCGGAATGGTTCTGGGGCTTTCTGGGCAAGGTCGTGGACCTCAAGCTGTTGAAGAGCCAGGCGGCGCCCAGCACTGTGGTCCAGCTTCTCGCCCATTGCCACAGTCTGGACCATCTCACGTGGACGTTTCGACAAGAAGCTTGGTCAAGCATGCGCGACCTTCCCGACATGTCACTAGACAAGGCACTCAAGCCTGTGGCGCGGAAGCTCAAGTCGCTCCATCTCGAGTCGTACTCTGTGGGGTTTGGCTGGGACGAAGACGCCGCCGAGATGTGGGATCTGCTCGAGGTGTACCAGATCGAAATGTACGAGACGGTGTCGACTCTCCACAACTTTGTACTCCTCGAAAACTTGACCATCGACATGATGACACTCTTTGGGCCGTGTCATCGGCAGCGCTTGCGGGACTGTGCCGCAGATCTCTCCAGCTTGCTGCCACCACATTTAACCCGCCTCGAGCTCATTGAGCGGTCATACAACGACACCTACGAGTACTACAAGACGGTAGGGCCGCACGACCACTGGCTCGGGAACATTCTGAGCAAATTCGCTCAGACCTGCAAAGTGGAACAGCGCCAGCTCAGGCATTTTGTCCTCCGAGTCTTCCCACCTGGCCGGACCACTGATGGCGTCGTGCAGGGGTTCCGATCCAAAGGAGGCATCCTCGAGCTTAGGAGCCGGTTCTTCGAGGCAGGTGTCCATCTGGATTGGTGCTGGGAGCAGGTGGAGAGGCTCCCGCTGCCGATAGGTCGGGATCGAGACTGGAGATCGTGAGTGCCAAATGGAGCAGGCTCGATCCATAACTCCCGTGCACACCCATACGTTGTGGTTCACAGGACAACCTTTTTTTTTCCCCCGGGGGAGTCGCATATAGACTTGGATTTGTTTTTTCTTGCGCGGCAGTCAGCCACGGGATTGGCGTAAATGGAGCGATCTTGTTTTCCTTGTTGGTTTCGGCCCCTTGGCCGTCTTCCACGGCTGGCAGGTTTTTGCTGGCCTACTATTATACCCTAGCGCGTTCTGCTGTTCTCATGTTGCATCAGACTCTTTATTATAGAACAAACGAGGGCCCTTCTTCCAGATGATTGATCGGTTTGGTCGTCCCAATACACTCATGCTGTTCCAAGCCTGGCAGTGGTGACAGTACACACAGCCGCGCTTCCTGGGATGGAGGCCCAGCTGGAGCCGTAGCCCCACTTATCTTGAACAGCAGGGGCGCCGTCGCACGCACGCACGCACGCACTTTCCACCTGGGCAGGCGCAACGGCCGCGATTTTTCTTCCCATGCCCACTTTTCTCCCACGCCTTCCCTTTCTCACAGCGTCATTACATTTCGACAACAGCAGTCGCGCGCGCGTGCCAGGCAAGACGTTGCAATACTTGCGCCGCCTCTTTGAAGTATTCACTGCACTCAAAGGCAAACTACTCTCGCGACACAGCACGCACCATCCACCAGCAATACGTACCAAACCCACAAGAACGTGCTAGCCAACTCTCTCTGGAGCACCAAGCCGCAACGCACGACAAGCACGACACACCACCACATTGCGCTGACAGCGGCGACGGAGCCGCCAGCCCACGATGGCGTCCTACCGCGACAGAGATCGCCCTCGCGACAACAACAGCAGTAACAATAACAACAACAACAACTACAGCCGAGACAGAGATAGATACCAACCACAGCCTCCTTCTCACCGGCGCAACGACCGCGGCGGCGGAGCGGACACCTACAACCCTACATACTCGGCGCCGCCGCCACCCGTGTACCCTCCCGCTCCTGGCCAAGGCCCGCCGCTGGCGCAGCGCGTGTCGGGGTACCGGGACGACCGCTCTGGTCGTGCAAATGGATATGGGAATGGAGGTGGTGGTGGGAGGGATGACCCGCGACGGGGCCAGCAGCAGAGGGATGAGTTTAGGCCGCCGCAGGGTGAATTCACGTTTCGCGCACCGGCGCCGGGAGGGTCGGATTCGTATCGGCCTGGGCAGGAGCGGTTTCCTCCACCGTGAGTATTCATCATCATCAGTTCCTTGTGATGTACGAGAAAGGATATGCATACTGACAACCTACCAGCCGCGAGTTCTCCCGCAATAACGACTCTCATGGACCCTCGAAGCGTGGACTGTTCGATCGAGATGGCAGATCAGGTGCGCGCGGACGCGGGGGTCGCCTGGCAAACCGACCCCACGACGGGCGGCGCCGACAGCCGTGGTCTAGGAAAGCCGCGGACAGAGCGCTGCTCCAACCGGGCGTCAACGACCAGCACGCCGAACTTATGCTGGGCGACTTGTCTGCGCGCGCCACGTACCGCGCCCTCGATGAGATGTCCGACTCTGACGAGGCGGAGATGGAGATATCCGGGGAGGAATCTGAAGGCGACTCGGATTCCGAGGGCGCAGACCGTGCTGCGAAGCGTGTCAAGACGTCTGCGGCTGCCGAGAAGGAGTCCAGTCAGGAAGAGCAAGCCCCGAAATGGTCGAATCCCGATCCTTACACGGCACTGCCTCCCCCAGACGAGCAGTCGCGCAAGAAGCTCAATATGGTGCAGCTAATCCGCAAGGCGCGGGTCGAAGCTGAGGCCAAGAAGGGCTTAGACAAAGACGAGTCGGCCGACTTTATCGCGTGCGACTTTAGCGATGACGACGACGAACCACCAACGAACGGTAACTCGCTGGCTCCGGCGTTCGCACCCAAAGGCCCCAGTGCATCTAGAGCCCCTGCGAACCTGCCTCCCAGGCCACCGTCGCCACGAACTCACAGACCACCTCCGCCTCCCCCTCCACCTCCGCGGGACGATGAGCCACGTATGGCTAATGGTAAGGCCAAGGGTAGAGAGCCAGTCGACATGACCCCCTCTGCGTCACTCGGTAACAGGAAACGCGGCATAGATGATGTAATCAAGATGCCACACGCGACACTGAAGCGCGTCAACCGGGCACCAACAACCGGCAAGATCATCAGTGACTGGGCTGCGCGCGGCGATGAGGTCCCTTGCCCCTGGGCTACACGAGACCACTCCGACACGCCTAACATGGGCGTGCGGCTACACAAGGAGATCATCGACTTCTACAACTACGTGCGGCCTCGCGAGTTTGAAGAGGATGTGCGCAATCTTATGCTTTCCAAGCTCGAGGCAGTCGTCAAGTCTAAGATCCGCGACGCCGTCCTGCTGCCATTTGGTTCGTTCAAGTCGGGACTCTACCTGCCAACGGCGGACATGGATATTGCCATTTGCTCGCAAAAGTTTGTCGATGGAGGGCCCTCGAAACTGCACACAAAGGGCAACCTCTACGCCCTGCGCGCGCATCTCGTCAAGCATCAGATCCCATACAAGTCCGAGGTCGAGCTCATCTTGCACGCCAAAGTGCCGCTGCTAAAGTACACGGACGCGGCCACTGGTCTCAAGGTGGACGTCTCGTTTGAGAAGATGGACGGCCATAATGCCATCAAAACCTTCTTGGATTGGAAGGCAATGTATCCGGCCATGCCCATGCTTGTCGCTGTCGTCAAGCAGTTTCTCGCAATGCGCGGGTTGAACGAACCTGTCAATGGAGGCATCGGAGGTTTTACGATTATATGCCTGGTAGTTCACCTTCTCAACTCGATGCCACAGATCCAGAGCGGCAGTATGATACCTGAGCACCATCTTGGCGAGGTGCTGATGGAGTTCTTTGACTACTATGGCAATCACTTCCAGTATGAGACAGTGGCAATCCGGATGAACCCACCTGGACTGCTCAACAAGGTAAGTCGAGTCTGTGCACCAGACGTATATCCAACTCGTTTACAGCCTGCTAACGAGAAGGAGTACAGGCCGACTCAAGCACAGTCGTGTATCGTAACCTCGACCGGTTGTCGATCATCGACCCCAACAATCCCGACAACGACATTTCGGGCGGCTCGTCAAACACGAGGACCATTATGAAGAACTTTGCCGATGCCGCCGCCCTGCTCAAGCGGCACATGGCTGACATGGCGTCTAGCAAACGCCATGGGAAGCATGCCTACCGTCCTTTACTCGAACCTTTATTGGGTGGCAAGTACTCACAATTCCAGATCCAGCGCGACTGGATCCACAAGCTTGCAGTTGAAGGCTTCCCTGCGCCGGGGTCCTCACAACAGTACCGTGGCAGGTGATCATTGCTCGACGAACGCAACCTGTGTTTTGACTCGCGATAGACGCGGCGGAGATTTGCGTACACGATCGGGATGCGACGTGTCGTGCTGTACGGCGCTGCGGACACGACCCTTATGACGGAGAACATGATTTTGTGGATGGATCGAGACGATACCAGGGCCCAGGCGTTTGTGGTGTTGCTCGGCATGCCAGTTGACGAGATACCCTTGACCAGGCCGACATGGACCAGGCCGACATGCGTTTTTGTGCATTCCACCGTGTACATCGGCACAGCGGTGCTGAAAGATGCTGGCTCTAACTGTACCTTAGTTTCCTCGGGGCGCAAGAATGTTTCTTGTGTTGACGGATCACGACTCTAGCAAAGCGGCCGCCGGCTCCGACATGGGCTTCGTTCTTGCGCCCTCCGATATCTATTTTTCTTCGACCCGGCCACTCGCGCGCCTGTGGCACAAGTCAGCTTCTTAACTTGGTTGTTTGCCGCGAAGTGGCGGGGGACCAATGCATACACGCTGGCGATATTTCGATTGGCACTGTTCTTTTTTATCTTCTTTGCCCTCGCGCTTCTCCGGCAAGGGACGGAGGGAGACTGGATGGACACAGCTCACACAGAAGGGCTCCCTCCGGCCCTTTTCCGGACTGTGAACCAAAACCCTTCCCATCTTTGTGGAGGGGGAGCCTGTGCTCCCTCTACACCCTGTTTTTGCTGACATTAGCTCTTTCCAACAGATCCTCGGCGTGGCGTGCGAGGCTGCAAGAGATGCAGCAGCATATCAAGACTCTTCGAAGAACGACAAACGACCTCGGCAACACCTTTTTGATCTTCTTTTCCGACTTCCGACGGTCTTGGTCAGCACGCAGCTGCCTGTCTGCTTGTCTGCTGGGCTGCGGTGCACGACGAGACGGTGTGGTGGATGGAGACAAAATAACATGACAAAACGTCCTTTACTGGACTTTTTTCCTACCTTCGACTCCACCCGCCCCCGTCTGGTTGTTCCCGCTCTGGCAGCCTTGCGCGCGCTTCGATTGCCACTTTTCTCCTCTCTCACTGGATGCTTGACCTTGATTTTTGTCGGGCTCTGGGGAGGGTGGGGTGGGTGAGTGGGTGATGGGTGGTTGGAGTTTGGGAAACTTTTGGAGGAGAATGTGAAAACCGCCACGGGGACACGAGAAGTATCTCGACGACAACTATTAGTCCTGTGTCGGTGGTGCCTTGCTGGACAATTGGGTAGCTAATTAGACGGCGGTCAGGTGTCAAGGCGAGGTTATGATCCTGGGTTTCTTTTGGTGGTGGCTCCATCTTCACAGAACCCATATGGCCCCGATACAAAGCCGCCCCACGTTGTCCCGGCGCTCATCGAAGTACCTCGATAAACCCATGTTTAAGCAGAAGTGCCAAGTAACTGTGACGATCGCAAAATACTTCGACAACGCTGCTATGCCTGCGCAACGAATAAAGTATCTCCGAACATGACTGATCGTTTTGGCTCAGATCTCTGTATTTCCAACAATGTTTTCGTACTGGAGCCTTATGGGCTCTGAGAAGATAGTGTTGTCAACATATGGAGATAGTGTTATGCTACATATAAAGATAGTGTTGTCTACATATCAATGAATTGTGCGGTTGCGACGTCAAAACGACGACCAGCAAATGCCGAAAAGCTCTCTGAAAGTGGCGGACGGTGGAGCGTGCTCATCTCGACCTCGGCTGAAGTCCCCTTCCCCAATGGATACGTAGTTTCATGGTGTCCGCACACTAACAACTGCGTGCGATTTGCGCCTACGACGCCACGGCTTGCTTGACCCCCTCGGGGTTTGGTGGAAGCTAAGGAGGCCAGGTGCCGGGTGCCGGGTGCCGGGGCCGGGGCCGGGGCCGGGAAGCAGGGGGCCGGGGGCGGCGTTACGAGAGAGGCTTGGCTTGACCCGGGCGTCGGCCGTGCGTGCGGAGAGGCTCTCGTTTGGTGTGTGTGGGCTGGCCGGCTGGCTGGCTTTCCGCTAGTAGACACCTGTTACATTGGCTGGTGTGGCGCCTGCGCGGAAAACAGGCCCTCCGAGTTTGGCCACTATCATATTACATGTGGGGGGATGCGCTTTGAGGAGGAGGCGAAGATGGAGGAGGAGATGATACTCCGTACAGGAGTACGCCCTGCCTGCTCTGCCCAGCATGAAATGGATTAACCACGAAAGAGGATATGTGCGGCGAAGATGGCGGCAATACCTGTTTGGTGAGGTTTTTTTTTAACTGGAAGATGATCAGAGTCGAGGTCAACACAGAAAAGGGGTCGTCTAGAAATGCAGGGGGATAATGTAGTGAAGCTCTTTGAACTTGGTTTTTTCTCTTTTGATTCTTCTTTGATTATTTTCCTCTTTGGGACTGTCCAAGTCTTCCATGTGTGTATTCCATGTTGCATGCAGATCTTTTGTTGAACAACACGGGCCAGCTCAGAGACAGGGACCTCCAACTGGTCCGTGACATAGGAATGGAGAAAGGATTTTTGCTTCCTGTAACAACACAGTGCCACACACGCCGACTGGTCATACACCTTGGCTGTCTGGCATGACTCGTTGGCGTAGGCTCTTTTTTGTGGCGCCTCTTTTTCCCGCGCCGCCCGCTAGTGGTGTGGATGAACTGACCCTTGCCTGGCCAATGCGCCATGCAGGAGCTTTGTTTAGGGGTTATTAAACAACAAAAACAAGGTCGATAAGTCCCTGTGTATGTGTTTGGACTGGGGTTCCGGCCGAAGAGGAGCGAGGGGGACGGGGATGGGGGGGAATATATGGCTGCTTCTGCCCAATTATCTCTGGCCGGCGCTGCGGATGAACCGTTTCTTGCCGGGATTCTTGGCTGGTTGCCAGACGAATGTTCTTTGGGTACGGGATGGATATCTTGGGCTCAGGTCGCGTTGCCCACGAGAGGTTCTCGGAAGGATACGTCCGTGGGACATGCCAAGCCGTATGCACACAATTTTCGTGACAAATACCGAGTCTTGTGTGCTGCTGCCCTGTGTCACATGATTGGGCTCGTGTGTCGATCATGGGCAGGGTTCGTCCTGCGTGTCGCCGAACAACGACCCTGGACTGGGAGTTCACCAACCAATGAATTCGTTTTATGGTCGTGCAGCGAGGCCACGGAGATAGTTCCAAGAAGACAATAGTCCGCTATAGAGAAAGAGCAAGCGTGCAAGGGGGCTTGTAACCGCTAATGACAGCTAGCCCTGCCGCCGCATGCTAGACGTTGGACCAGGAAGGCAAGGCTTTCCGAGAAGAGAGACAAAAGAAAGCTCCTTGCGCAAAAGGGGCTCAAGCGAAGGATCCTTGGCATCAAATGGTGGCGCCGCCGCACCTGCAACCCCACAACTCTTGGATCGGCGGGTGTGTGTGCTTTCTTTTTTAAGGTTCGCGCGTGCATCGTTGTGGCGTATTTGGCATCTGGAGCCGGCAGTGCACTCACGCTACTGTACTCTGGTAGAGGCTTTAAAAATGATGTCCGAGGGTTTGCAGGAACTGCAGGAGCACGACATGGGTCACGGCACCACTGTCTCGGTTGGAACTGTCCGTAGATGACGCAAGAGTAGCCATTACTGGTAAACATCTCGAGGTCCATGCTTCACAAATAGCCAATCACTTGTCCGCCCCATTGTCGGAGCCAAGCCCGCAGTATCACCCTCATTGGGCGACGCGACGCATCCAGACGTGGCGCCCAGGCTAGACCCAGCGCTATGGGAAGAACTTGGTACCTGCCATCCCGCATGCAAAGAAGCTTGTGGCATCAATGATGTTGCTTAGCCAAGGAATAAGGGTCGGCAGGCGACGTAAGGAAGAACCCTGACGCTAGTCAGTGCCACCCTCCACTATACACAGGTATTAGCATCACGTGAAGTTTCGTAGATGCGTGGTGGCCAAGGGACGGTCCAGTCGCGAGGGTCTGATACAGGTGCTTGGGCCGGCCGGCTAGCGCGACGCCTCCGGACGGAACTATCCGCTCAGCAACAACCCAGGTGGAGTGGGGCAAGGGAGTTCATATTCATCGAACGGATGTGAAGAGAAGTCATGAAAGCCGATGCGGTATGTACCTAACGTCATGATGAAATCTCATGCCTTTCGAATACTGTGTTGCTGTTATGCTGAAGATGAAGTATTTGGCATCATTGCAAGGGAGGCAAAGGAGTGTGTCGCCATGGGCCCAGACAGCGCCAGCACAGATGAAATTGGTTTAGAATTGCCAGATATCTAGTGCCTGTATGAGAATGGCCTCCAGAGGACCCTGTAATTTGCCCTTGTCTCCAAGCGCCATATGATTTCTCACCGACTTGAGCGGTCGCTTGAGCTGTCACGCACATCATTGCTTGGATATCCCCACATGTCCCTCGTAGGCGCCGACTGTCCCGGTACCGACGCGTTCCGCCCGTGTGTCGAGGGGGCCACCGTCTCCGTCACTACCGAGACCTCCTTGCCGACGACAATCTTCTTGTCCCCCACCACGGTCGCCCCGGCCCCAGGGCCAAGCTGCTTGGCGCCCTCTTCAAGCAGGATATGCTCGTCGCTGCCCCACGCCGCCACGGTGGTTGTGTTCGCGCCGCCTCCGGCACTTCCCTCATCACCACCACCCACCACTGTCCCGTTGCGAGTGCCGAATCTGGTGGCACGACTCCCAAGTCCGTAGCCCTTGGAATGACTCCCCTGGTGCGGGTTGCTGCCCAGTGGATAGCTCTTGCCGGATCCCCCATGGCCGGCACCCTTGCCGGAGCGGCCGCCAGATCTGCTGAATAGTACGCTGAGACCCATGTTGTTGGCGAGCTTCCGCAGTACGGGCTGGATCACGGGGAGGTTGGTCACCACGGCAGAGACAAAGATCTCACGGCACGCCCACTGGCTGCCTGATATCGCGCCATCGCTACCGGCCTGTGTGGAGACTTGGAGGTCAGTGGTGTCACCCAGAGATTTGAGCTGCAAGGAGAGCAAAAGAAAAAAGAAGAAAAACAGCCCGCGTTTGGATGACATACCGTAATGATGACAACGGCGCGGATCGTCGCGGCTGCCATGATAAAGACTGCACCACTGAACAGAAACATCAGGGTGATCTTGCGCCGAAGCGAGATGTTGACCCCCCATAGGAGCTATTGGAAACCAAGCGTCAGTCGCTGCTTGCACAAGTTATAAACGTATAGTAGGATGACTGGTCTCTTACTGGAAGTGGAATGGAGAGCAGATACAGGTCAGTCACGACGTTGGGTATGTAGACCATGAGAACGCTGAGGTGCGAGTTGGTAGGCTGGCAGAGATCTGCAGGGCTGGAGTTTAGCTTCTGGTTTCAAAAACCAACAGGCAAGATTCTTCTGATGATGGGCGTGGCAAAGACTCACTGCCAGGGTTCGGGTTAATCTGCCAGTTACGCGACATGGGCTGGCACCCGAGCAGAATGGACAAGGCAACAGCGATATAGCTGACGCCGATGATGCCGTAGGCGATCATGACCCGCGTGTGTAGATTGCTTAGTCGGGTCCTACAGAGACACAATGGTGTTCAGTCAGCAAGTATCGATTCCAGTGTATGATGCCGAGCTTGTTCTCGCTCCTCCAAACAAGAGGCGCGCGTGCTGGCACTGGAAGAACTCACGTCAGGCGCGAATAGAAGACTGTGACGCAGAGCTTCAACACCCAGAGCTCCATGGCATAGAAGGACCAACCAATAACCTGGATCTTGGATCCCATCTCTCGGTTGTAAGCTTCCGTGCTGTTGGGATCCAGCGCCTCCCTCTCTTCATCCGTCATGTAGCTGTTGGTGAGGCCGCCATAGCTGGCTCCGACTAAGTACGCAAGTGCCGTGACTAGTGAGAAGAGAAGCTGCACCACCAAGAATGGGGAACTTGTCAGCGAACAGCTTGTCATGTCTCCTGTGCGGGTGGTAGTAGCCAACTTACGCCGGAAACCGGCATGAGATAATCATCCAGCTGGAAGCCGGAAAATCCAACCTGCGACCATCTATACCACATGCGCACCCCAATGGTGCAGAGCGCGAGCGAGAGCAGCGTAAAGGACTCGGCGTTCGTCATGGCTGTTGGCGGTGTTGATGGTCCGGCAGATGTCGTGAGAGAACGGGACTCGGGCCCCGGGGCTCGACCTCCAGATATAAAGCGGTTTGGATGTTAAAGGGCAGGATGGTCATTCTTAGCTTGTGGAAGCACGGGATGCAGGGTGCCTTTGAACAAGCCTCGTGCTTAGACCATCCGCCGAGGTACTTTGGAGTAGAGGGTCGTCGCCCACGTGGACGACCAGTAAACTGCCCACAAAGCCATGGAAGACGACAGACCATGCACGGCCCATGACTGCCGAGTCAGTCTTTGCACGTCAACAGTCTGGAGAAAGGGGGAAGGACATGCTCGTTCGAGACTAGCCCATGGTCATGGCGTCCGATAGAGCGCGCGGTGGAACATGCGTAGAGCTTCTGCTGCATGGAGGATCGGCAGGACTGCAACAGGCGGGCATGCTCTTCACGTTTCTTCTCGGTTGCAGCGGCTGCACGGGGAACACTCCGTGCAGCATGGCTGGTGCCTTGCATAGCCGGCATCCTAAGGAGCAGGGCAGGGCCTATGGATGCGCTCTGCGGCACTTGGACCGGAGCTAGGCCAACTAGCTCATCACGAAGTGCCGCAAGGGCCACACACCACCTCGTCGGCGATCTGCCACGGACAGGGCTGGTCGTTAGTCAGGTCGGAGGCGATGTTAAGGAGTGGGAAGATAAGGCAGCCAGCCCTGCAACGCCTCGTCTCCCCGGGGCCAGCGCCGACTCTACTGGATCGTTCAGGTTTCGGCTCTGCCACTTGCGCCGCAGACCTTGGCACAGCCCTCGATGCAGATGAGGAGGGAGCACTGACTACCGGCATGCACGCGTCGCCGTCATGATCAAGTCCAAAAGTGTGTTGTCAGACTCCATTACCCCTGAACCTATGACATGCCATTCTCACCAATCCAGAGTCTCACTGTCCAGCTATCATCCACGAGCTAGGCTCCAGCCGCAGAAGGAGAGGCCGGCACTGTGCAAGCAAGCCGTCTTTTCGGGCCCTTTCGTGTCTTCAGCCTCTTATTACCATCCATCCTCCAACGGCTGCCCCGCAGCGGCAGGAGTAGCTTCCAGTGTGAGTGGAGGAGCAAAATCACGACTTTAGCGCCATTTCAAGATGACCAGGTACTCCCTGTAGCCCTCCTGGCCACGCCGGGATCAGGGGCGAGGATGATGCAGATCCGTGCAGTGACATTGTGGGGGGGGTCCTTTGTAGATCTTCTTACGATTGCGTGTGCGGCGCTGTCTGTGCGACAACCCTTCTTGAGGCGCGATCCCTACCATCATCATATACCACATGCCTCGGAGGAGTTATTGGATGGCCACAGCGCGTCAATGCACAAGGGCACACGTCGAGGACTTCAAATTTGGTTCTCGCATACAGTGTCGATCGAGAGACGATCTTGCCCATTTGCGAGCCACTTCCCACTGCTGTGCTGCCGCCAGGAGCTGACTTCACTGGTGGTCGCTGACTGTTGTATTGATAAGCTGGAAGACGGAGTGGCGTCCATGCAGAACGCTGGGTGGCCCCCCCCCGCATCAGATCATCAAAAGTAAGGTAAGATGAGTTGCTTTATGACATGGCATCCCACTAGTGCTATTCTCTGACGGTGAGACATGTTCGGACAATAATCTCCCTCAACGCTGCCCCAGATTGTTTATTGCGCTGCTTTTGCTAGGCTCACGCACGCGTGAGATTCAGCTGGCGTTGCAGATCCCTCAACTTGCTTTTTCCCAAATCCATGTGTGAAGATCCGCATGCCTAAGAGCTCTCACATGGATGTCCTCGTTGATCCCACATGCTCAAATCTGCGGTGCACGATCCGGTGGGCGAATCATATCGATGGCCATGACTTGGGGCTCCGGAAATAATGCCTGGGGACGTTTCTCCACGTGGGTTCTTCAAAGGATGACATTGCCAATAGCCATGACCTCCCTTGGCTCTCGTAATGCGGATCATCTATAGATTATCGAATTCAAATGCGATGTCATGGTACCGAGATCAACGTGGCGCATCCCGATAAGCCAGCTTGGCAGCCTCGTCTTTGCACCACGCCTCGTACCAGTCCTGCACCTGTTCGTCCGCGAACCGCCACGGCTCAGGTATAACCACGCTGTCCGGTATTGGCGCCATGGTACTGGCAAAGATGTCACTCCTCAGCCGCGGCGGCATGTTGTCTCGCCCAACCTTGTACATCTCGACCATTGCCCACCGCCGGAGCCGATCCGTCAGGAATGATCGCCACAGAGGCGTCCCCGTCAGGCAGCGATCCCGGAGAACCGGGGAGAAAATGTCCTGTGCGAGGACCTGTGGGGTATAGTTGGATAGATCTGACAAATTGGCCTGTTGGCTGCGGGTGCGCGAGGGGCGACGACCTCCAAATCGATCACGCGTGATGTGGAACTGGTGATTCTCCAAGGGACAATGCCTCATCTTCCTGGAACTGTCCTGCTCCAGAGAGACGACGAGCGTGTCGCGATCTCCGACACGCCGCGGCCCACTGGTTCGAGAGACCATGCCGGGGTTCTGATCTGGCCAGAGGTAGTTCTCTGTTCCCCAGCCCAGGATGTCTTCAGCCTTGCTCAGCGCGGCGCCAACCTCGTCCCCCATTGGTCGGAGTGGAAGGACCTTGCTGTCCACAAACGTCAACCGCGGGAACATGCAGTATGCCCTGTCCGCGGTCATGAAGTTGAGACACGCCGTCATGGACGCGTTCAAGAGGACGAACAGTAAGGGGGTACGGTCCGTGACGTGGAGACATATCTCTATGTTTTGGCGGTCTATGTGCCTCCACATGAACCTTTTCGTGGTCTGGATGAGAATATCGTCAGGTTCAAGTATATCGCGCGTGGGCCTTCAAGGTTTCACACATCCGACTTGCTCACCTTGTTGAACCCAGATTCCGGATCGACCGGGGCATACTGCTCATACAACAGGACACTCTGAAGCGATTCTGCCTGGGCTTTGGTGGCGACGTAGATGTCCAAGGCGCTCCGCTGCTGTGGATGTTTGTGGAGCGCAAAGAAGTTAAGGAGATACGGGCCTGCAATGATGGCATCGCTTTCCCGTATGCGCTCTCGAAAGTGTCGTACTTCGCGCACAAATGTCGCCAACCAGGTTTCGCTGTTCCAAAACTGCCGTTGGACATACTCGTCTAGGCTTACAAAGGCCCTGCTGACACGGCGCAGGGTAATGTAGTCGGCCATCGACAAATGACGAAATAGGCGATCAAGAACAGGATAGTATCGTCCGCTGTTGAACAGTCCCGGCCAATCCGGCTGGGGCGCCTTCGGCTGGAGTAAGAGCGCCATGGATGCAATCGGTGCAGTGTGCTTCAGACTTGTGAGCGTTTGTCGATAATCCTTGGCTAATGGTGACATCGCGACAGGGGATGAGCTGACGATGCTTTTCCAACCCCGTCTCAATAGGTGGAGGAACGGTACAGTGATAACTGAGAAACTGCGCACTTGACACTGTGTGCTGACTGATTGGATATGTGATAGGCACTCAAAGAGACGCGTTGAATAAGCGTCAGCATTCGATTTTGCATTCCGCATCAATCACCAAACATGTTGGCAAGTCGTGGCTGCAAGACCGCCTTGAGCACCATGGCGTACGGCCGACTATCTCTAAGTCCAAGGCCATCTTCGCTTTTAACCTCACACCTCAGGTTCAACCACCAAGGCTTCCGGCACCCCACACGATGGGCTTGTAGCAAGGCGAAGCCCACCTTGGCACCAGCCGGCACCACATCGCGCCAGACGCCTACATCATCATGTCATAGCGAGAAGCCTGCGAGGCCGTTGGTGCCGCCAATGTCTGAGCTGTCATTCTGGACTCTGCGGTCGGCATGGAGACGGGCTTCGGTCAACACCCTACGATGTCTTGTTGGCTGCACCGTGGGCGACTTTTCCGCCATGTGGACGCTTCAGACGGTCTATCCAGAGCTGGGAATGGGCACCATCATGGCAGCATCCAGTCCGTGAACAATATCGAAGCTCGTTTGTTGTGGGTCTCTTGCTGACGCGTATATCCCGCAGTGGCTGCCGGCATAGCATCATCCATGACGCTCGAGACAGTGCTTCTGCGCATGGGACGCGATGGGCTCACATGGCCAAACGCCTTCAAGACCGCGGCCGGCATGAGCTTCATCTCCATGCTCACCATGGAAGCAGCCGAGAATGCCGTCGACTACTACCTGACTGGCGGCGTTGTCGCGTTCGGCGATCCGAGCTTCTGGCTGGCATCGGTGGCAGCTATAGCGGCCGGCTTCCTGGCGCCACTGCCCTACAACTACTTCAGGCTCAGGAAGTACAGCAAAGCATGCCACTGAAAAGCTAGCACTGGAGGGTTCTGGGCTTTATAGCTATTGTATCGTTGTCATATCTCAAAACGCATCACTTTGCCTTAATAGACTCCCCCTTGAGCGGAAAGATCTTTGTCACCTCGTTCGCATGGATAATTGCCTCCCTCGCCCCTGGCCACGTCTTCCTCTTGCCCGTCTCAAACACCCTGAACGCGTGCGCAGTCTCGACACCATGATTCATCAGCCACGACAGCTCGCGGTCCTTCCACCAGAACTTCCACCCTTGCAGGCCCCAGCCGAGATTCTCCTTCATCCCCGTGCCGGCCGCCTCGTGCAGGAACCCCTGGAACTCGTAGTTCTTGACCATGGACGTGTTGATCTGGTGATCCAGCCGCCACCGGCTCGCCACCCACGCATGGTGCGCGTCAATGTGCCGCTCCATCTCCCCCCGCGAGGGCAGCGGGTGCACGCCCCGCCAGACGTTGCTCACGGCCATCGAGGTCACGTCGGAGAAGGAGAAGCCGTTGTTCTTGCCAAAGGCCGAGTGGCACAGGAGCACCATCGAGTCGGCGTACGCTGGCGGGAACATGTTCATGTACATGCGCACGAGGTCCCCGCCTCCATACTCCCCCGCGGAAAGCGGCGGGCGGGATGTCTCGAGCCAGGGCGTCACGGTGAAGTCGGCACTGTACCCCGTCGCGTAGATGACAGCATCGACATCGTCGAGGGTCGTGCCGTCGACGAACTCGAGCGTCTTTGGTCCAGAGAAGCGCTTGACTGCGGGCACCGTGACCAGGGTGCCGTCTCGGAGGAACGGCAAAACCACGTCGCTGGTCCCGGCAAGGGAAAGCGAGAGACTCGGAAAAGGCTCGAGGCGCCAGGCCGGGTCGAACTTGCCGTACTGCTGGTGCATCATGTACGTGAGGGCCATATCGCCGAGCCGCCGGGTCAGATTGGGGAACCAGCGCTGCATGACGAAGCCCGTCTGTCGCCGCTGCCAGTTGATGATGAGGTCCGTAGGCGTCCCGTTGCGAAACCGAGGGAACATGAAGGCTCCCCGGCGGTGGGAGGTGTAGACCTTGGCGGCCACGGGGACGAGCTCGGCGATGATGTCTGCCGCTGTTGGACCCAGGCCGAGAATGACGACCTTCTTGTCGCGGAAGTCTTCGGGACTGTACATTGTCGTACGGGGGTTAGTTTTTCCGAAAGAAACACGAGCTCCGAGAGAAAGAAATCACTCACGATCGGTACTGCTGGGCATGGATTTGAGTGCCTTCAAATGCCTCGGACCCTTCAATCTGGCGACGGTTCGGCTTGGTCTGGTAGCCGTGGCAGAACGCGACCTTGTCGAACTCTTGGGTCTCTAGCTTGCCATCAATCTCAAACTCAAGCCGCCACTTGGTGTCGGTGTCGTTGCGGATGGCCTTCTTGACCCATGCGCCAAACACAATGTCCTTGTGCAGGTCAAAGTGCTGGGCGTATGACTCCATGTACTCCTGGAACTCCCACGTGTCCATGTGGGTGGAATATTCTTGTCCCGACATGTTAGTCATCTGGCGTATCCCAAGCCTTGTTGAAGACAAAAGACTTACTGTCAGGCATTGGAAAATCCGACATGCCGCATGTGTACTTGCTGATGTTGGCCCTCGTCGCTGCAGCATGACGGACACTGTCAGTCGCCGTATCTCGGAGGCTGCGTCTCTGGACACAACCATCGTCTCGCTCAACTCACATCGCAGTGCCGTCGTCATGTTCTTATCGTCTGTGTATGCCCACAAGCCGCCGACCTCGGTCCGCCGTTCATACAGAGTGACCTTGAAGCCATCCTCGCGCAGGGTCTTGAGCATCGACAGGCCCGAGGACCCTGTGGGTCGCCATTAGCATATTGAGGTGAACCCTTGATCGAAAGGGCCAGAGGGTACTTACCTGCCCCGATGACTGCCACAGTCTGCTGAGCCATCCTGGCACTGGTGATTGATCTCAACGATACTGCACTTGGTGGTCGGCGCAGCATGAGCAAGCCGTGGTCCAGAAGCGATGCCAAGAAGTGTTGGCTAACAGCTGGTCGCAGGCTGAGTCTATCAGATGGCGGTATTGGTGTGGAGCAGCAGCAAGCCCCGGCGCGGTCTTTATGCGGGCGACCGCACACATAAGAAGCGATGCAGATGCTGGCGGAAGGTTGTTCATCTAAATTCACAAGCGCAATGACGCGGGGAAAAGGTGGGAAGAAGCAGGCAGTTTGCCCCCGGTCAGACATGGAGATAAGCACTAGCTCTCGGCCGTGCCCCGAGATGCGGATGGAATGCTGGTCAGCGGCGAGATCAGCAGCAAGTGCCCAATCTGGCACAAACCTGTCAGCACAAGCTTGCGCAAAGGGGGATGTCAGATTGCGACATTTGTTCCCAGGCTATCCGCTGCATCGGACTCCAGGCTCACCTTGGATAGATCTTGCAGCAACTCGGAACAGAAGCCGGAACATCATAGGTCTACTGGAGGAAGATGCTCTCAAATGGGGTTGCAAGCGCATACTGGATTTATCTGGCTTTAGAATTCCAATACAATACAAGAGGCACAGCCCGCAACCCTCAAGCAAACCCCCTGAGCAGCTACCTCGCCTACCCAGCGTTCCCCATCATGGGCGACCACCTTGGCTTCTAAATCACTTTGCCCCTGCCGCTGCCCAGCTGTCTGCGACGGCCTTCCAGTACTGCTCTGGGTGTCGGCGCATGTGCCCAACGTGCTCAGAGCCCTCAAACTCGGCCAGGTCCACCCCGAAGCCCAGGCCCTTTGCCTGCGCGGCGTGCACCTCGACGTCCTTTGCCTGGATGATGTCGTCGGCCTGCGAGTACAGGTACAGCCTGCGCGCCGGCACGGCAATGATGTCGCCCGCGTTGACTGCCGTGCGGCTGTACGCGCCCGCGTGGTGCCGCCGCAGAATCCACTCGACGCCCTTCATCATCCACAGGAAGACGTAGCAGAGCGCGTACGTGACGGCGTACGGCCAGGGGAAGCGGCGCGACATGCCAATCGCCATGGCCCGCGCCCACCGGCCGACCTGCTCGCGGAACACGACGCCGCCGGGCGTCGAGTCGAGCACCAGCAGCCGGTGAGGCATCGGCGTCCCGAACCGCTGCTTGCATGCGTGCAGCGCCGACGCCAGGTTGATCCCACCCGCGTTGGACATGGCGTGTAGCAGCACGGGGCTGTGCGGGCTCAACGCCGCCGCGCCGTCTGCGCTCGTCTTGGTCTTGGTCTTGTCGCGAGCGGCGGCCGCCAGGACGGGCCCGTCGGGGAACGCGGCGTCGATGACGGGCATCATGCCGCTGACGCGTTCGTGCAAGGGCTGGTACGCCGCCTTGAACGTGGTCGCCAGCACGACGACAATCTTGGTGACGGAGGGGAATAGCTCCCGGTAGCCGCTGATGTACTTGGAGACATGCTTGGCCTGGCCGTCACCCCAGCCAAAGATGATGATGGTCGAGGGCTCGTCTGCTGATCCTGCCGTCGTGGCTGTGGGCTCGTACTCGAACATGAAGATCTGCTCAGAGTACCGCGCCGCGCTGGGGAACGGCGATATTTCCTTGCTGGCACCCATTCCGGTTTCTTGTGATGTGTGGCTCCTCGCTTTGGCGGCAACAGTCCTTTGTTGGCGGGCGTCGTCTCTTTATCACTGTCAGACTCCAGACGACGACATGAAGTTTTGTTGAGCGCCGAAAACCCGTCGGGCAGGGGTAAGGACCCATTCGAAAGGGCGATTTCTTGTTAATTGCACCCACAGCGGTCACTGGGCACGTGGCCCGGGGCTGTATCAGTGGACAGAGATTGTGTCAGGTCAGGGGCTCTCGGCCGCTAGCAAGTGTGTGGCTGCCAGTGGAGCATCAGAGGGCCGTTGCCTAAACCACATTCTCCTAGTGTCGCTCAGGCCGAGGCCCCCAACAGCTATTCTTGGCAGGCTGGTCCCTCTGTGACGGGGCATCCTTCTCCAGAGTGCAGGCATGTGAGAGTGGTGCGTCGCCAGGGCTCTGCAAGTAGTGTGGAACACATCCGTGTGCCGGAGCCTCGCATTCGCAACCGGGCTAAGGCAAGGGCCCGTTGGCGGCTTTGTAAGAACAACAGCCTCAGCTAAATTGGCGAGGTTAAGCCAAGCCCTGCTGAGCCCAAGGGACAGGGTTCTGGGGACGGCGAAGTGATGCAGCAATATTGTCCGATCACGTGTTCAATTGGATCACTGTTCTGTCTTAGGTGTCCTGGATTGTCTCAGGTGCTTGGCCATGTATGTCCAGAATCGCAGCCATGAATTCGGGCAATATCTCTAGAGGTACTTGGTATGGACAGAGCACGAGAGAGCCGGCGGACGACTGTTATAAATACTTCTACACCTGTCTCGTACGAACCCACAATAGCCCGCTATTGGTAGTGCAGCAAACCTTGTCTTTCATTCTTAGCCCTCAAGCCTCCGCCTGGCACACGGGTGCTGGTGGCCGGTGCCCCGGAGGTCCTGCCCCGCGAGCGTGCTGCCCCTCCCGGCGTCCATGACGGGGAAGGAAGCTTGTTGACACGCACCACCACCGCCATTTGCTCCGGGCCGTGTCCATGATGGCAGAGACAGACAAGCTGGCCCATTATCGATGCCGGTCGGCTCCATAGCTTCCCCGCACGTCACCTGTGCCTGCTGCCTGGGCGCTCACTGACGTACGTGCTACTCTTCCCATTGTCTTGCTTTGCCTTGCGTACCTTTTGGAGTATTGGCTTGCTAGAGGCAAGACGCTTGTCGCCCAGCATCTCCACAAACAACCTCGCTTCACATTGAGCAGAGTCTCGACGCTTCGCACGTCCCCGAGCCATCATGGTCCGCCGCCAAGCAATGCCACTCCGCCAGGCAGAGGCATCGGTGATCCACAGTGGTGGAATCCATGCGTCGACAAAGAAGACTCTCGTGGTCCACACGAGCCTGCTCTTTGATTCTGGAGCAAAGGAATTCGTCAAGAATGTATCTGTCGAGGCGGACACCAGCACGGGTCTCATCACACGAGTCTGGACGCGGTCCGAGGACGAGCTTGTGCAGCTCGACAGCACGGCGACCGAGAACAAGGACAAGGACAAGCAGGTCATTGACCTGCGAGGCTACACCGTCATGCCAGGCTTTGTCGACTCCCACTCCCACGTGTTCCTGCACTCGTACCGCGTCACCCCCAGCATCTACCAAGAACGCGACGAGTCCCTGGTCGAGCGCATTGCGCGCGCCACAAACCACTGCCGCACCGCCCTGCTCTCGGGCTACACGACCTACCGCGACCTTGGCAGCGAGGGCATCCGCGACGTCGACATTGGCCTGCGCGACGCCGTCAACCGCGGCATCATCCCGGGCCCCCGGCTCTTCGTCGTCAGTGAAGCCCTGGCCTCATCGGGCAGCTACGAAGTCCGCCACGAGTCTCACCTCAACGGCACTGCGGTCCCGCGCATCTCGGACCCCTGTGACGGGCCCGATGGCGTCCGCGCTGCCGTGCGCCGGCGCATCGGCGCCGGGGCGGACCTCATCAAGTTCTACGCCGACTATCGGCGGCGTGCACGCCGCTTCCCCGCGCAGGCATGGCCCGGTAGCTTACCCGTGCGGTTCGCGCCTCCCTCTTTGCTCGATCGCAGTCCGTCGAGCCCTCTATTCAACCAGGAGGAGATGAATGCGATTGTGGACGAGGCGCGTCGAGCCAAGGCCCCCGTGGCGGCGCATGCACAGGACGCCGAGGCCGTCATCATGGCTGCCAAAGCGGGCGTCACAAGCATCGAGCATGGCTTCGCCAGGTCGGACGAGGCGCTCAAGGTCATGAAGGAGAAAGGAACCATCTATGTCCCGACTCTGAGCATCATCGACCAGGAGAAGGAGACGGTCGGGCAGGAATTCTGGGACGATGCAGTCGAGCAGGTTCGCAAGGCCTGGGAGATGGGCATCCCGCTGGCAGTGGGCGCGGACACGGGCGCGGTGGCGCACGGCGACAACATCCGCGAGACTGAGATCCTGCATAAGGACGTGGGCATCCCGCTCGCAGACGTCCTTGGTGCACTGACGCTAGGTGGCTGGCATGCCTGCGGCGGAGACTTGTGTGGACGCAGGTTCGGCACGCTCAAGGTCGGCTGGGCTGCAGATCTCGTGGCGCTCCAAGGTGATCCTCGCGATGATCTCCAGGCGCTGAGGAAGGCCACGTTCGTGATCAAGGATGGTGAGCTGTTGGTACGAGATGGCCGACTCATCACGGACGAGCGACCAAGGATTGACTGAGACGTCATTAATGCATGACCCACTTTCGTCGGCAACTCATGCTTGTCTTCATATGACAGTTGGTGGGTCAAAGAATAACCATAGGCTCGAGACCAGAAAATATAGAACACGGGCAATGTGATGGTGGTACTTGTATAGCTCTGCTATCCCACCTGCCATTTCAGATGTACCACTCCTCTAATCACCTAAACTCCCAGATCACTGGCCTCCTTCCCCAGCCTGATGCACCCGGTATGGAACCTCTCTCGTGGTGAGCAACAGCCTGGCTGCAATGAGAGAAGGGCGATCCTGCATGTGAGCTTCCCTAACCCACTAGCCCCAGGAGCTGAGAATTGAGGTACGCGAGTGATCTGGACTAAAGTGTAAGCGTCACTGATACCCGCATCGACAATTGGCTCCGATGAAATACGATTTGCGATCAAGCCACAGCGCGCTGTCGAAACCAGCACTAGTGGATCTGTGCGATGGAGCTCGACTCTCCAGCGCCCACGAGCCGCGCACCAGTTTGATGGGTTGTCCCCGATTGGTCACAAGCCTCTAGCCGATCGAGGAGTAACCATGCTCCCGCACCCTCCAGCTGCAAGGTTAGCCGGCCGTTGTAGTAGATCGAGAGTTCGTCCGGGGGGAAACATGGCAGCTGGAGCTTCAGCCCCGAGCTCGTCGTCTACATCACACTAGGACAGTGTAGCATGCAACCACGAGCTACCGGCTTTTGTCTGGTATGCTCTAGTCGGGCCTGGATGCTTTGCTTGGCTGACACTCCTCACTCGTGAACCATCTACGCGGTAGTTGTCAAGTCGACATACTGTGGACACGCTCGTGAGTGGAGTTCAACCCATATTCCTTGCTGCGAAGTCGCGATTTGACGTGTGCAAGTACGATGCCTTTCGATATTGCCGTGGAGGATCGTCGGCCGCGTCATCACACGTTTACTTCAACGATATTCCCACCGCGGAGTGTCAAAGCCACGATCGTTAGCTTGACTGAAGGTTTCGTGGACTAGGGAAACCTGCTTCAATGCTGCATTGCTAGCCGCTCGGCTCCAACTGTCCGACCCCACATCGATGTTTGTCCGTTCAAGAAAACATGGCGTCCATTGAAAGCTCTCACTGCGCAAGCCATCATGCATTTCAGCCGTACCCTAGTGTGCGGACAGGTAGGTTCCATGGAGGCGTTTTTCTACAGTCTTCAGCACAGCAATGGAAAGCAATGTGCATGGCTGGTGAGAGTTGGCCAGTCTTTAAGGCCCTGCACCTGCTTTCTCCATGTGCGATCTTCGTGGCCGCTCGGACCATAGCTTCCCATCGTCACACTCTAGTCTACATCGGGCCACCCTCGAGCCTACCTCGACGGATGTTGTTAGTAGAGAAGAAGTCCTAGCACCATGCAGCTCGAACATCGCCGCATATGTGTGGCCGGAGCGATATTTGGGGGAGGCCACGCCTGACTGAACTAGGAAGACATCCCGCAATACTTTTTCCAGTCAGGCACGCCATTCCCACTATCGCAACGCAGCGGAACGAATGAGTGGATGTCATGTGCATGAATAAGCTTTGAGGTAAGGCCTAGGCACTTCTACCCAGGTAGCATTGTACCCCATGAGCTGGATTCGATGCGAAGCACGATGGTAGACCAGTCGTGGCTCGAAGCTTGTTTTCCACGACCCGCCCAAGGGGCTCAGCAACAAGCCCTGCTGCCAGTCCTGGTAGGAGCATTCAAAATAGCAGCGGCCCCCTCGTGTCCTCATGTCTCGGCTGGCAGTCTCTTCTGCCACGGTCGAACAGAACCTTGCTGTCAGCCCACACCCAGCCTCTATTCCACTTTACACGTGAAAGCCCTCATCAAGTATCACGATGCATCTACGTCGAGCTCTTGTTCTTGGCCTGGCCGGTCTCGTAGCCGCACAGTCGGGCACCCCTGACCTGATCACAGCGCTCCAATCGCAGAATTCCAGCTTGTCGCTACTGATTGGTATGTGTCGGGGGGGGGGGGGGGGGAGATCATTTTCCGCCGTTGCAAAAGTCTCTGACAAACGCCCCAGGTCTCATCAGCAACACAACTGGCTTGTCCTCGCAGCTCTCACAGCTCTCAAACGTGACGTTGCTGGCACCAAGCAACACTGCTATCACCAAGATCCTGAACAGCCCCATGGCTGGTGAGCTGAGCCAGCCAGGAATCCTCCAGCTGGCTCTCAGCTACCACATTCTCAATGGGACTTACTATGCTTCCAACTTCACGAACAACACGCCAATGTTCATCCCAACTCACCTAACAAATTCCTCATTTAGCCTTGTTACTGGTAGCCAGCGCGTTGAAATACTGGCACAGAACGGCAATGTGACAGCATATAGCGCGCTTAGGCTGCCATCCAACTTTGTCACTACGGTGGGTTATTATCCTGGCCAATGAACAAGCTCGGGCTTGCACGGTTTGTACTGACAGTGCGTCGTGCAGAATGTCAATTTCACGGGCGGAACCATTCACATCATTGACAGCCTTCTCACGGTGCCTACCAATGTCTCGTACACTCTTCGCGCCTCAAACTTGACCGCGGCGGTCGGCGCTGTCCAAGCCGCTGGCCTCAACACGACCCTTGACACCACGCGGAACTTGACCATCTTTGCTCCAAGCAACGACGCCTTCAATGCAGTGGGCAGCATCTTCAACAATATCAGCATGCAGACACTGGCACAGGGCCTCGAGTACCACGTCTACGAGGGACTGGGCTACAGCAGCACTCTCACAAACACCACAGTGAAGACTCTGAGCGGCGGGAGCCTGAACATCACAGTCATCAACGGCACGGTTTTTGCCAACAATGCCAAGGTCACCATCGCCGACATTCTCGTGCGAAACGGTGTGGTCCACGTCATTGACCAGTAAGTGTCCCTATCTAAGCCATTATACCTGGTGTCAGATGGGGAGGCAAGCAATGCGCTGACGATCACTTTCTTGCAGGGTCCTGAACCCCAACGCGACGGGGAGCAACCCACAGCTCAGCGCCTCTACTACGACACCCGCATGGACCAGCGCAAGCGCTGGCACTGCCGGCGTCCCATTCACCAGCGGAATCGCTGCTCCTTCGACCACCGTCCCCGCCGCCTCGACGAGCGCGACTTCGACCAAGTCTAACCCGGCCATGGCTGTCAAGACTGGCGCAGTTGGTGCTGCCGCGCTGTTCGGCGGCGCTGCCGTCATGATGAACCTATGATCTTCAGACTTGCCCAAGTTGACTATGGATCTGCATTATGTCCCAAGCCGATCGCGTAGTCTCGTGGTTTCATTTATGGCGTGGTATGGCTAATGCAGTATTGGGAAACTGGCTATTGATGCCAAACGGCGCGTGGTGGAGATTACGGGGTTTTCGCAGCTCTCGGTACCTGGTTTCCGGCAAGTCGCTCAACGGTGTCTACAGTAATAATTGTCTTATCTATTTGCAGTCAATCCAGTGTAATTCTGCCAGACTTAGGTCTTCTTATCCTGCTATCTTTCGCTTATCACCACCGTATCGATTCGAATGGTTGTAAGAGTGTGCGACACGGCTTCGGCTTGGACGATGGTTTGTTGCTGGGTGGGTCGGTGAGAGTGACCTGGCCGATTATCTCACAGTCTATGAATGCCAAGATGTAGGTGTCTGTCCTCATGTTTTTTGCTCCAGTGCGATTTCAACAGCCAATTGGTCTTCAACGACGGGCGTTCTTGGCCTCGAGTCACAACGGCTGTCACACTATATCCTTGGAGCGTCGTTAATGACCATGGCCCGGGCACCTTTTATTTCGAGCTAGTACGATCCGACAAACAATCTCATACGTAAGTTCTCGATCCGGCTCAAGGCCATATATAGATCTGCTACGAACACCAACTTGCTGACTTTCCGGTACGGCAGATTACAGCGGCTCCATCGTCCTTCTTTCCTGTGTCGAGCTTGCCGTTGGTTGCATTGCAGCTTTGCAGCCTTCTATGCTTCGTCATACAAGGGAGATTTGGCAAGAACGACAAATCGTCCTATGGCACTTCGCAACACTCCAAAGATCTGGTGACCATTGTTGGCAGCAGTGGAATGGGGGACAACCCCTGCAAGTCAAAGTTCCATCCTGCTCGGGTATTATTCAAGCCCTCTGGTCAGGGAACGACGACAGTGCACGTGGTAGCGGTGAGGAATCCGGGAGGGATTTCACGACATAGAAAGCTCGTCTGCAACCAGCGCCATACTACCCCAAGCCCAGTTACAGGCTGTCTACACCTACTCGATTGAGATGGAGCCTCTGAACAAGAGGCCAGGGGCTAACTAAAGCAGACAACTTCGGCGAGGTTGTCGCGTCTACGCAGGCACAGCGAGGCGTGTTTGAAGGCTGTTCGATTACCCAGCTGGGATTTGGATAGTCGCTGTCAAGGCAATGACAAAATTGTTCACAAGTTCAAGTGTGTTGCTGGCGATAAGCATGGATGTGATGCAATTCCAGAGTATGTGTGCTGTGCCTGTCAGGGGTACTGACTCGTACACCCCGGACCCCACATCCAACTGAGTCTCGGGCCTAGATGTCTCCGCCCTCTGTGCGCTTTCGAAGCCGAATTGTTGCACGCTATGATTTTTGACATGAACAAAGACTCCCAGTGGTCCACTTATCCAGAAGTATCCGTCAAACCGGCCACTTGCTGTAGATGGTCAGACTCATCCGCGCTTATCTCTGGGCTATGGCAACCAACTGGCCAGTCGTAATTGTCCGTGATCGGACGAGCTACGGAACTGTTCCGGATGCTTCGGACGCCCTTACGGTGCCGTTAGCGCAGCAGACTCCCAAGAGAATGTCTTGGCGTTGCTTAAAGTGCCCTTGGTGCCTGCCGGCCCCCATGTTCGCGTGGGAACTATAGATAACCATCTCGCCTCCGGATCCAACTGAGCCTTGCATCTCTCTGTCTGGGCGGAGCTTAAGCTTATCTGCACGACAATCTGGGGCTCAGTCGGCACAGGGGCCCCCACACTTCGATGTGACCCAGCCCAGGTTCCATTCCGCTCTTCCGACGCCGGTAGTACCGCAATGCGGAGTTACGCCTATGGCCTCTGTTATGTGTTCAGTCTGCCACGGTCTCGCGCAAGACACTTGGGAGACGTGTACACTGACGGAATGCAGTCGTCAGTCAGGGAAAGACCCTTATCATGCCAAGCCGCTTCCCAGCCATGCAGGCTCAACTTGGCAAAACACGGTTCGCCGGCAAGGTGCATCACACGTGGCGGGTGGTGATCATGCTTTTTGATGCAGGTCCCAGAGCAAAACGACGCGCAGAGAGCATGGACCTCACGGCCAGTAAAGCCAGCTCCCCAGGGGCTAGTGAGCGGCTCGTGGAACAGTCCCACAAGTATAAGATCTCGGGGCGCGCATGCCTGTTTCCACTGATGATCTCGTATCAGCCAAGTCCTCTGAACTCAGCTTCATCCATCGGAACTTGTGGCGACCATGTCTGTCCTCAAGGCTGTGGTACTGGGCTGCCTAGCCCTGCCCTTCGTCCATGCCGCCCCTCGACCTTTTCAAGCTGGGCCTCGAGCAGTGGTCCCCGGCTTGTCGAGCACGGCTAGCAATGGAACCTGTCCTGCTCCAGTTACCGAGTTCACCACGGCTCAAGTCCCATCCCCTTTTAAGCCTTTCAACCAGGACGAGTTAGACGCCCTTGTGGCATGGCTCCACGCGCCCGAGCGTAACTTGAACCTGACGAAGGCCGAAGACCCCAACCTGGCCATGTCAGACAACTACATCTACCACATCGAGGAGCTCAAACCCAACAAGACTGACGTGCTTGCATATCTCGACAATGGCATCCCGATGCCCCGATATGCCCGCATCACAATGCATGAGGGTGCCAAGCAGGTCCCGGTCGTGACCGACTACTTTGTAAGCACAACTAGGCAGGTCACAATTTAGGGCCACACTCCACTGACATGTGGCATCTGCCGTTTAGATCGGCCCTCTGCCGATTTGCGACGAGACCGCAATCCAGCCACTCGATTACTTTTATAATGGAGTCAACGGACCCAGGATTCTGTTCAACGGCGCCATCAGCGCTGGGCCACGCGCAGCTGCCATCGAGGCGTTCATTACCAGAGAGATGACCGCCCTTGCCGACATTACCCAGGATGTGCTGGGCATGGCGTACTTCGGTGAAGAAGACGAACGCTCCACCTTGTCATATTTCGTCACGAACCCGTTCTCCAAGGATGGAACGCAAGCGTTAGCCTGGAGCTCGTGGCGGCGCGCCGGCCTTGCACCCTATTCTCAGCCAACCGATCTCAACATCCGCTGGGACATTGGTGGCACCGACCCCTCGCTGTACAAGCTCAACATGGTAGTGTACAACAACAAGGTCTACCACTCGGCCGAGGAGCTGCGCACTGCATGGAAGAATGGCCAGATTGAGAAGCGCCCCTTTCTGTCAGCAGATAACAGCTACATCTACAAGGACAGGAAGGGCCCAGTCCGCGCACTCGAGAATCGCATGGCGCCCACGACTGTTGAACCAGATGGGAAACGGTACAAGGTCGACGCGAAGAACAAGTACATCGAGTATCTGGGCTGGAAGTTCTACACGCGCTTCGACAGTGACATTGGCCTTCAGTTCTATGATGTCAAGTTCAAGAACGAGCGGATTCTTTACGAGTTGTCTATGCAAGGTTAGTGGCCTCGCACTCATGTAACTTCGTGTGGCCTCAATTTGAGGATATCCTGCTGATACGAGGTGTTGCAGATGCCATTGCACAGTATGCCGGTAACAACCCCTTCCAGGCCAGCACGGCGTACATGGATCGACATTATGGTATTGGAGGGCTCCTCAATCGGCTGGTGCCTGGATATGACTGCCCCTACCATGCAACGTACCTGAATGCCGATTTCAGCTACTTGCTGAAGGCTGTGACGACCAACAACTCGATCTGCATTTTCGAGGCCGACATTGGCACGCCCATAACCCGACACTTTGAGCCTTCGGTGCCAGGAAGTGCCAAGGGGTATCTGCAATCCACCAAGGGCTCGAAACTTGTGGTACGACAGATTGCAACCGTTGGAAATTACGACTATCTCTGGGACTATGTGAGTGCTTATAAAGATCTGCCGAGCTGATGGAGCTTGACTGACCGAGCCTGAATTGCAGGCGTTCTATGTGGATGGCACCATCACGATCGATGCGCACGCTTCGGGCTACGTGCAAGCCACTTACTATCGCCCCGAGGACGGAGGGCAGTGGGGTCCTCGTCTACAGGAGTCTATTCAGGGCACCCTACACACGCACGTCATGAACTTCAAAGCCGACTTTGATCTGATTGACACTGCAAACACGTTCGTTAAGACAGACATTGTGGTTGAGAATGTGACCAAAGAGTGGGCGCCAGAGCTCGGCGAGTTTGAGATGATGCGATACAACTTCACGACGATTGAAACAGAAGCACAGGGCCTGTTGCCAGGCATTAGCAACGGCCAGACCATGTACACAGTCGAGAACACGGCAAAGCTCAACAAGTGGGGTGTCCCCCGCGGCTATCGCATAGTACCAGGGCTGAGCAACGTTGGCCTCACGTCCCAGACGAACCCATTCTTCCTCAAGTCGGGCCAGTTTGCCAAGCAGCCATTTGCCGTAAGCAGACAGCACGACACTGAACCTGCTGCGTCGGCTGCCATGAACCAGAACGTCCCCCATGCACCCCTAGTCGAGTTCTGGAAGTTCTTCGAGGACGGGGAAGATCTCGTCCAGCAAGACATTGTTGCATGGGTCAACCTGGGCATGCAGCACTACACTCGGTCCGAGGATATGCCCAACACTCTCATGTCCGAGGCACACTCGAGCATCATGTTTGCGCCCCAGAACTGGGGCGAGGCAGAGTTGACGGTGGATCTCCAGAACGCCATCATCTATAATGGCAACGACGGTGAAGGACCCCTGCAGCCCGAGACGAACGGTGTTTCTCCGCCCGTGTGTTTCCCTCTGGGTAACCAGGACGGGCTGCTGGGCGTGTGGGAAGGTGTGGCCGCCTGATTGTAGATACGAATATTTAAACCACGGCAGACCCAGGTAGACAACGCATCAAGGCCTTCTTCAGAATTAGAGCCCTTTTATCTAATCAATGCACGAGATGTTCGCCCGGGACCGTGTTGTGGTCTTCCAAGCAATCGCATAGCCGGAGCAACTAGTCCGCTTAGAGGGGCATGTGTGCAATTGACTAGGCTCATAATGACGCGAGACTGATGGCTGCTCCGACGTGGAACCCGAGCTGCACAGCTTCACGCTGCAGGTGAGCCAATCGAGTCTCACATGTCTTCCAGCTCGACCAGGGCTGATTGACGAATCAACAACGGAGTGCATGCTCTTGGCAGGCACGACTGTCGTAATCCTGACCATTATACTGTCTTGTGAGGCTCATTACTTGGAACTCAGACCCAATGTCGGAAAAAGAAGTGCGACCAAAGGTTTGGACGAATACCAGTATATGTCTACACATCGTCCGGTCCGCTCGAATGCTTCTTGCAAGTGGCCTCACCAGCCGCTACACCCCTAGTCTGTCTCCCTCATCTCGATAGGTCGTTTCAAGGTCAGAAGGAGCTTTTCAACCCCTGTCATTCCGCTATCCCTGGACAAATTCGCACGCAGTGCTTCGACGGCGACGCTACAATTAGCCCCCGCCAGTCTTCAGACGACCGACCAGAATGACGTCCTCCACTGTTACCAGTGGCGTCTTTACCCAGTCATCCGGTATCACGGAGCCAGTGTGGCTGCACGACACGCCGCACGAGAAGCTGCCAAAGTCAGAAAGTCTCTCTGAAAACATCGAGACTGATATATGCGTCATCGGCTCTGGCATATCCGGCATCTCGATTGCCTATGAGCTCGTCACCCGCGGCCGCGAGGTCGTCCTTGTCGAAGCTCGTGAGATTCTCTCTGGCGAGACAGCACGAACAACTGGACACCTTTCGAATGCCCTCGACGACGAGTATCCGGAGATTGCGAAGAAGCACGGCGAGAGTGGTGCTAGAGCAGCTGCGGAAAGCCACAGCTGGGCCATAGAGCGTGTGGGCACGATCGCGTCACAGTTGGGCATAGACTGTGAATACCGTCGGCTTCCTGCTTACCGCGTCTCTCAGTTCGAACGTGGTACCGCGGATTACGAAAAGGACGTCAAGCACATCCAGGAAGATGTTGCTTATGCGCGAAAAGTTGGCATCAACGCATCATACGATGACGGGCTGACCATCAAGGGGTGGCAGGGCAAGATTGATCAACGTAGTGGTGGTATTTATGAGGATCAGGCCACTTTCCACCCGACCAAGTATGTCGTTGGTGTACTCGCGTGGCTGAGGCAGCAGCCTAACTTCCGGGTCTATACCAACACTCGGGTCATTTCAGTCGAGGAGAAGGGCGTGGAAATCCTCGGCCTGGGGAGCAAGACTTGCTACGTCTCCACACAGTCGCAAAACACCATTACGTGCGCATTTGCCGTCGAGGCCACAAACGTGCCACTGCAGAAGCTCAGCGTAATTGCACAAGAAGAGTACCAGCGCACATACGCCATCGCCATCCGCGTTCCCAAAGGTAGTGTTGCAGACTGCCTCATCTACGACTCTGCCGACCCATACAAATACGTCCGCGTCACTCCATGCGATGACAAGGACGATTATCTCGTCGTTGGCGGGTGTGACCACGCAGTGGGTCAAGAGCCTACTCACGGGCGATTCGAGGAGCTTGAGGCCTGGACTCGCGAACGGTTTCCTCAAGCAACAACGACTGACTACAAGTGGAGTGGTCAGGTCTTCGAACCAGTTGACTACATGGCATACATTGGGCAAAATCAAGGAAATAAGCACATATACATTGTCACCGGAGACTCAGGCAATGGCCTGACTCACGGCGTGCTGGCTGGTAAACTCATCGCGGACGAGATTACTGACCAGCCAAACAGTTGGAGTAGCCTTTATTCGCCCAAGCGCATCGCCAGCACTCTCAAGTCCGCCCCGAAAATGCTCGCCCATGACATGCAGATCAATACCCAGTACAAGCGCTTCTTGCAATCGGACATTACAGATATCGAAGACCTTGTCCCTGGGAGCGGAGGCGTGCTCAATCCCAAAACAGGCACCCCGGTTGCGGTCTACAAGGACGAGAATGGCCAAGTGACAAAGCTGAGTGCGCTTTGCCCTCACATGAAAGGCGTTGTGTGCTGGAACGCGACAGAAAAGTCGTGGGACTGTCCAGTCCATGGAAGCAGATTCGGTGCGGAAGGCACTTGTGTTCAAGGACCAGCAAAGATGGGTCTGACACGTATGAAGTGATTCGAGATAATGAAGCTACATTCCCCATGTTCTCCAAACTCGGAAAACATATCACACGCATGGCATCCTTCAATGAGAACTAGAGTGTGTCGCGTTATATATTGATTTTTGATCGTATTTCTTGTGTTCCCGGTCCGCCCCGCTTACCAGTCCGCCTTCATCGGGTCTGGCGGCGCCGGGTCATTCCGCAAACTCTTTGCGAAGTGTGCCCGCATCTTGAGCATTGGCTGCAGTACCCACGTGTTAAATACCAGTACGTCCGACTCCTCTTTAGGATCCCTCGTCACATTGAACAGATATGGACTCTCCAGCTTGCCCTGCCCCTCGTTGACTTTGGGCTCCCAATAGAAGTGCAGCTTCCAATCCCGCCACTTGACCGCGCGGAGGTCGTTCTTGATGTAAAATAGGAAGCCGTCCCGCGGAGACTTGGTGTTATTTGGGTTCTGGAAGAACGCTGTCTGATCGACGCCGTCGATAGGCCGGTCTTGCGGCACCTGAGCTCCCGCGATGGAGATAATTGTGCTGAAGATATCGGTGACATGTACGATGTCGTTTGAGGTAACGCCTTGGGGCACCTTGCCGGGCCAACGGATCATGAATGGGACACGCAGGCTTCCTTCCATGGCTGTGTGGTATGTACCTGTCCATGGCCCTGCAGTTCCACGGTACGGTGGGCGAAATTCGGGTCCGTTGTCGGAGGCAAAGATGACGACCGTGTTGTCGCGAACGGCTGCGGGAAACGTGTCGATATGATCCAGGAGCTGACCGACGCGGTGGTCCATCTCGACCATGGAATCGGCAAAGTCGCCATTCATGGTTCTGCCAGCAAAGTCGGCATGAGGGAGAGTCGGGAAGTGCAGGTGAACCAGCGGGTGGTACAGGAAGAAAGGCTTCTGCCCAGCCTCAGCAGAGACCCTTCGACTCAGCCAATCTTTCGACTTTTCCACCAGGTCGTGGTCGATGCACCGTCGCTGCTCGAGGTCGTAGATGCAGACCTGCTCCGACTCACTACCAGCCTCACCCTTCATGATGTACCCAAACTCGGCCGCATCACTCGCGAAGCCGGTCGCTGTGGGGAACTGTGTCTCATCAGTCGTCCGGGGGATGCCGTACCACTCGTCGAAGCCACGGTCCGATGGATAGCGGCCGGGGACATCGCCGAGATGCCACTTGCCAAAGTGTGCGCTCGTGTAGCCAACCTCGCGGAGGATCTCTGGCAGCGTCTTCTCCCACGGCGTAAGTCCTTGGGGAAGTCCCAGAGGCACTGACTGAAGACAACCAGTGCGGATAGGATGACGCCCTGTCATGAGGGCAGAGCGCGTAGGAACGCAGTCGCTTTCGACGTTGAAGTTGTGCAGCAGCAGGCTCTGCTTGGCAAGCGCATCGATGCGAGGCGTAGGCGCACCACGCAGGGCACCGCCGCCATAGCAGCCGAGCTCACCCCATCCAAGGTTGTCGGCGAGGATTAGCACCACGTTGGGCTTGCTTGGGTCTTCTGACATGGTGTCGTGAGCTAGGGAGCGTGGTCTGGGTCGACTTCGAGAGACAGCACCTGGGCGGAAACCGACGAGGAGGTGCGAAACGACAGCTGGACGCTGCTGAGGAGGCAGCTGGTGACGAAGAACATGGTCGATGGCGTCAAGAGCGCTAGTTTGACGAGCTGGGCAGATGGTAGATTATTCACGATAAATCAGCGGGCACCGGGACCCTGTCTTCCGGTCATGTTGGCGGATCAAGGGCCTGTTGAGTCTTCGAATGGACGGACTCGGCCCCCGTGGGTGGGCCGCGAGTCAGCCCGCGCACGGGACACGGAGTCCAAGTCCGGCGCGGGCCTTGCCCGTTTGGGGACCCCCGGTCGTACCGGCCCTCCAGCGCATGCGGAGGCAACGTTGATAAGGCTGCGATACCTGCCAACCGGGCCCTCCCTGGCCACGGCGCGCTCGATCTGCCTGGAACAAGGCCCAGCCGGCTCGTCAAGCAAAGCCGCATTCCCCAGATAAGCCCCTCGTTCCAGGGCCAGCGCTTTCGGAGCCGGAGAGGCAAGCCGATGTCTCGGCCAGCAGTCCTCGACTACTTATGTGCTGTTGAAGCCTCCGCTTTGGAGAGGCTGCGTCAAGGCTGTCTTCGTTCGAGCCTCACGACAGGCATAGATTGACATTTCTTTGACAACCAAAAGCATCTCCAACGGTGACCGCATACCCGGTTCAACACCACCGGAGTCACCATGTCCTACGCAACGGATCCCGAAGCCCCTGCAGCTCAGGAGAAGCTCAGCCAGTCCATCTCCAAGGTGTCAGAGCATGGCAATGCCACAAAACTCACCGATAGCGACGAGGGCCAGATGGTGATCAACAAAGACTGGACTGATGCTGACGAGAGAAGCGTTGTGAGAAAGTACGTCGGCCCCATCTGCCATCCTCTCTCGCATTGAACTCTCTGCCTCCTGCCGTCGCGTCTCTGTGCATTTACTGATACTTCGTGTTTCCAGGCTCGACTTTCTCCTCATGCCATTGCTTGTCCTGGGGTTCTTCGCGCTCCAGCTCGACCGCAGCAATATCTCCAATGCCCTGACTTCGACAATCACCACAGATCTTGGCGTAACCCGCGCAGAGATCAGCAGGGGCAACCAGCTGCAGCTCGCTGGCATCATCATTGCGGAGATCCCCGCCAACCTCCTGCTGCAAAAGATTGGCAGTTCGCTATGGCTATCGGTCCAGTGCCTCAGCTGGGGACTCATCGGCACCTTTCAGGCGTTCATCACCAACAAGAGCTCATACTACGCAACTCGCTTCCTCCTTGGCTTCTTTGAGGCCGGATACATTCCCGGCTCTATGCTGCTAATGAGCCTCTTCTATACGCGCAAAGAGATTGCCGTTCGCACCGCTGTGTTCTACTTCGGCAACTACTTCTCGGTTGGCACAGGATCCCTCATCGCTGCTGGCGTGCTGCAGCTGGAAGGCATGCATGGATGGCCCGGCTGGAGATGGCTGTTCCTGAGTAAGTTGAGGTTACATTTTGTTTCTTCTTCTCGCTTGCATATCGTCATCTCGGCATGGCTCTTGCTAACATGACGCTCGTGTTCTCCAGTTGACGGCTCCATGACCCTTATCATGTGCATCGCTTTCGTTCTACTATTGCCTGCGTCACCCTTGCAAACCCTTCCCTTGTGCCGGATCAAGGCGCTCGACAGGTTTTCAGATCGGGAGCGGCAGATCATGAACTCGCGCATCCTGCTTGACGACCCTACAAAGCGCGAATCATTCCACAAGCTCGGCTTCATGCCTATCCTGAAGACTCTCGCCGACTATCGCCTTTGGTGCCACTTTTCCATCAATCTGCTCGGTCTGGTGCCTAAAGGCGGCTTGCAGCTCTACTCCCCATACATCATCAAATCTCTGGGTTTCAGCACGACCAACGCCAATGCCCTGTCCTCCATTTCCAACTACGGGGTGTGCATCCTGTCTTTTGCCGTAAGCTGGGCGTCTGACGCCACCGGGTGGCGTGGTCCATGGGCCATGTTGACCTGTGCGTTCCCAATGGTTTTTGCCGGTGTCCAGTTCGCCCTTGCGCCTATGAATGTCAGCGCCTGGACTCGATTTGCTATTTTCACCCTTCTCAACTCGGCCAACGGCATCGTGCAGACCATGAACGACGCCTGGCTCAGCTCCAACGCAACAAGCCATCGCCAGCGCAGCATTGGGCTGGCCATTGCCGTCATTGGCAGCAATCTTGGTGGCCTGGCTGGCCAGCAGCTATTTCAGGATAGCGATGCACCGACCTACAAGAGTGCATTCATCGCCGTGCTTTGCCTCTATGCGGCAAGCATGACCATGATTGGTGTCCAGATGGCAATCTACTGGCGATGGAATAAAAGAGCCGCCGCGCGTGACGACGTAAGCGGTCAGGTTGACGGAACGGTTCCTGATGCTGAGCAAGCTGTAGCTGTCACGAGTAGTTCTCAGGGTGGCCAAGGTACGAATATTCGTAGGAGATACGAGCTGTGATGCCGTGCAGTTCACGGAGAGGTACCAGCCGCATCAACTCCCTGTATTTAGTGATTTACCAGTTGACTCAAGTTCTCTTTGGAACTTTACAAACAATCATTTTGATGTGAGCTTCGTGTGTGACATTTAATTGTGCCGTGTAGACCTGAACCTGGCCAAGGTCCGAATCAACGTCAATTCAACAGATTCAATAGCAAGCAAGCGAGAAGGCGCTCCAGGCATAAGCCGAAGCCACGCGCGCCCGCGTCCGCCCCTTTGAGCACGCCGAAAGGCTACCAGTCGCTCTCAATCAGTTGGCTATCGTGGGGCCCATGGGAGTCGTATTGCCCCCACCATGGGCTGGTCAAGCACGCTACCGCTGGGATTCTTCACGTGCTAAGTGGCCCCAGGCGGTCTGGGACCACTGCTAGCGCCGGGGGTTGTACTCCGTCAATCGCCACTCTTTGGGCACGAGCATGTTCCATCCCACATCTTCCTGAAAGCAGCACCACCACCCACACAGGGATCCTCACCCAACCAGTAGGATCAATCCCATCTCCACACGACTCGGGAGCTGGAAACGGACACTATACCCAGCCGGGCTGCTCATGCCCTGGTAGCTCTGCCGATGCAGTCCCACAGCACCCGGCAGATCTCGTAAGTGACGGCCACCGAAGCACACACCCATGATTGAAAGATTTCCGAGCTTAGCTTTAACACTGATTTCAGTTGCAAGCGCTGTCAAAAGCGCAAGGTTGGTCCTATCTCATGACCCCTGGAAGGAAGTTATTGAGCTGACAGTCACGTTCATTCTTTCCACAGATCAAATGCTCGCGCACATTCCCTTGCGTAAATTGCACCACGACAGGTGTCCCCTGCGAGTTCCGTAATGATGGCGCTCGCAAGTTTCCAATATCACGCGACTACGTCGAGTCGCTGGAGACCCAGGTCGCAAATTTCGAGCACTTCCTTGCCCAGCTCAAAGCTACACCTGCCGGGAGGCAGAGGGACGCGATGATTGACGACCTGCAGCTCACAGATCATCATGACCAGTCATCCCAGCACGCATCATCTGCAAACGACAGTCAACCCGGACGTGAAGTGGAGGTTGGCCATGGGCATCTTGTTGACCGGACTATGAGTGAAAGGACCTCGCCTGCATCCTGGAACGACCAAGCCGTCCTGCTTCCTGGCGGTATGGATGGTGAGTGCGCCCACACTTCATCCTGCTCAGCACAAACCAACGAGATGGAAAAGACTGATAAGTGTGTGCCTATCTTTGACATGATCGTAGCAAACCTCGTCTATCACGGGCCTACGAGTATCTATAGTGGCGTTCTGGGGACTTCAGAAACGGAGACGCGGCACAGCCAGGGCGAAAATGCCTCGTCCGCAGAGGCAACATTGCGGAACAAGCTTCCACAGAATTTGGGGCTTCCACTGTCCCTTGAGCTGTACCTCGACACTGGAGAGCGCCGGATCAGCGAGCTCATTGCACTATTCTTTCGCTGGCAATACCCACAGTTCATGTTTATCGACCGAGAAGCCTTTATCCTCGACTTCCGCACTGGAACATTTGGCGGCCAGTTTTGCTCCTCCGCACTCGTCCACGCCATTAGCTCCATTGGTGCCCTTATGACGCCACCATCACCAGGATCCGCCGCGGCCTCCTCGGCGACTGTCTGTGGGGAAGAGTCTCGGAACCACGCCGAGGCGGCGACGCGAATCCTGTTGGGCCCGGGACTATCCACGCCACATACGACATCCGTGCAAGCTTTGCTCTGCTGTGGCTTCTACGAGATCGGGCAGGGCAACTTTTCACAAGGCTGGCTATACTCAGGTTCGTCAGATCACCATGCCGGGTTTGGGTACTTGATGCGTGAATGCTCTCGTGGCTGACGATAGGCAGGTATGGCATTTCGCATGGGACAGGATCTTGGCTTCCAGCGCGATCCCGGCGTATGGGAGCGTTTCCGTTCGCCCGAAAATGATCCTTTGGCGCTCCAGAAGGAGTTTCATCGGCGTATCTACTGGGGCTGCTACATATCCGACAAGTTCTTCAGCCTCTTTCTCGGCAGACCATGCTTCATGCACGAACTCGACAGCGATGTAGAGCCAAGCCGCCCAAAGCCGTAAGTCCTTCCTGGTCGGTGTGGCGAGTACTCTTCGTCTTCCCGCCCATACGTATGAAAGACGGTGTCCAGCTAATCCTCAGCCCAATTACCAGTCAAGAGCCGATCTTTCGGGACTGGCTACTCGAGCGTGGGCTTGGCCACCTGCATGAACAGACTCCTGTCGTCCCAAAGTATACACTTGTCTTCAACAAGCAGATTGAGATAGGCACCATAATTCGCGAGGGCTTGACGATGCTGTATTCGCCCAAACGTTGGTCAACCACCGGTGATCAGCCAGCAAACCTGTCCTTGAGCACCATCAACGCCAAGCTACTACGTTTTAAAGAGCACCTTCCAGCGGAGATGCGTCTCAAAGAATGGACCTCACTGTCAGAGCTAGTCCCGCCTCACCTCGCTGTAATGCAGTAAGTAAAACTACATAGCTCGCGTATGGGCTCCATCTCGTGATCGAGCGCCGAGCGCTAATTCAGAGCGCTTGCAGCGTCCTATATCATTCCACGTTGATAGCGTTCAACAGACCATTCCTTCATATAGGCCAGCCCAGGCCAACGGAGGAGCCATCCTCCATAAGTCGATCTTCCGGCAGCTCCGAGCCCGCTCATATGTGTATCGAGTCCGCAGAGCGCATCTTACATATCCTGAAGCGTTTCAAGGCGCAGCACGAGCTACGGAATGCACCGCTCACACTCGTCCATGGCGCCATCAGTGCTGTCAGCGCGCTGCTGGCTGTTTATTCCCTTAGAGGGGGCCCCGGTATGCAGCAGCTAGGAGATCAGAGCACCGCGGCAAACCTGGAAACGGCGACTCAGTCAGGAGCCGTTCACGACAACACGACGACCCTTGTCAACGCTTTCTCTATGCTTCTTGGGGATCTCCAGAGCACATGGCCAATTGCGGGAAAAGCACTACAGCGGCTGAACAAGGTGGTTCGGACAAATGGAAAGGAAATGTCGACCCCGTCGAACCCAATCTCAACCTTCCACCAGGAAGATGCAATCGGCCTGGACAATTTCCACGACTTTATTTGGGGATCCAGTCTAATCAGCGGTGAAAATCTGGGAAACAATGACATCTCTATCTGACATAACACGAGTATACTTGTAAAGTAATACTATGCACTCTCGTATACGCTCTAGGGTATTCCAGGTCAATGAGTTCATAGGCGGCCGTCTGGGAAGCTGTCATTCCAATCACTTCTTGGGCCTCAAAAGCAGACATCGCATGGGTGCACTTAGTGTTTATTCTAGGTGACTCTTTTGTTATCCACAATGTCGCCATCTGTCTTCCTTGTCTTGAAATCATGATGGTCCGAATAATTGGACCAACACACGAAACTTGCAGTCGCTGAGCGACAAGGGTCGGTTCCGTGCGACATTGAGTCTGAAGCAGAAGTCCAGAGATTCAGATCGGCGATTTGTGCGCTGGGCAGGCCGTATCCTAGATCGAATGCCACAACAGCGCCATGCATGCCAGCAATGGTGATAGATTGACCCAGAACAGTCGCTGGCCAAAATGGGAAGCTTGGCTTTGACTCGTATTGCATCAAATTTATGTTTTTGCCAATAGTCACGCAGATGCTCGGGACGCTCCCAATATCCCGCCGCACTCGAAGTAGTTGCACCTACATGAAGCTGTGGCAATCAGGACTAGTGATGGAATTTGTGATAATGCTGTGTAGTGCTTTCGACGATGGAGCCGCACATGTGTGAGTGGAGCTAATATGTCAGGAGTCATGACCCTGTTGTGGCTGGGACCAGATATAGCATGTAACTGGTATTTGTGCGTGCTCATGTCGATCATGCTGGATAAAAATCACACGGCTGAAACTGTTTGAACTAGATGTGGCCACATGCAGTCCTTCATGCCTGGCTAGTGCTCAACATAGATAGCACAAGCCTCGTAGGGCGACAAGCACTTGTCATGCGTCGCTTCGTGTTGTTAAGCCTCTTGTGATTGAGTGCTGGTGAGCCTCGGCATGGCTTCGTCGCTGTTAATCACCCTGCTGTTTTCTTTCCCCGCGAATCACAAGAGTCCGGGCACGATAACTGAACGTAAAACCGAGATGGGGTGTTTGATAACTCTGAGTAATTGAGGGAAAGCAGCGCCGATCATGAACAGGGCCTGTGGACGGTGCCTCGAACTAACAAGGCAAGGCTTTGGAGGTATTGCTGTACCGTTCTGGCCTTCCGACGTGCATTTTCACCCAGCTGTTTAAGCGCGATCTTATTGTGGCTTCTATGGATCCCGGAATATCTCCATCTCGAGAACAGAGGATGACGTAAGATTTGGCCAGCCGAGTTTGGTCCCTGATTTTGGTCTCATGAGATATATGGCATGGACGCGATAGCTTGGGCTTAATAGTGAATCCGGAAACACTTCTAATTTGGGAACTCAAGATTACGTGAGCCTCGATCCCCGAGATTCGCCTAATCACAACCCCTGTAATGTGGCAGCATTATCGGCGTGGCCAACGCATCTACATAAGAGCTCCGTTGGTCGGCTTCATGAAAAGAACCTGACTCAGGTTCACTAGTATATGCTTCGAAAGCACCACCATCGAAAAACATCTGGATCGCGACATTACCGCCGATACTTGCGCCACACATTCTTCGTTCTTTGGTCTACACACCAGTATCTCAAGCCCCACAGCCTTTCTTGGCATAGCATCTTGTGTACTCGTCACGACGAACTGCCCTAAGCCCATAACAATCTCACCATGGCCAAAATGCTTGCTGAGCACTTCAACCGGGACGGCCATGAGCTCTTTCTCACCGTCCAGGGTCCTGAATCTGGAAGACCCGTTCTCTTTCTCCATGGCGTAACATGAGTGACTGGAGTTTCCAGCTTCCCCTCTTCTTGCAGACTTTCACATGCTTCCGGGTTATCACGATGGATATGCGCAACCATTGCGCGAGTCGCTATCGTGGAAAGTCTAACGAGGACGGCAGTACCAATGACACCAGCAAGGACGTGGCTATCAAGACTCTCTCTGAAGATGCCCCCGCCAATCTGTCTCATATTGGCATTGGTCATAACAACAAAGCCATCGTCATTGGTCATAGTGTTGGGGGTGTTGTGGCCGTCGAACTCGCACATGCTCACCCATCGCTCGTAGGTGGCCTGGTGCTCCTTGATCCTGCCTACCTCGCACCAACGGAGGGTTTCATCCAGCTCACCCAACAGCTACGAGACGACTACACCGTCGCTATTGCCGCCTTCTTCGACGCTGTATATAGCCCGGACACTCCTGAGCACATCAAAACCTGGCACAAGCTAAGGGCCTGGGGCGCCGATCGTTCATCAACTATAGGAGCTGTCGAGGAGCTGGCTAAGTACATCGGGCCCAGCGGTGTAGAATGCGCCAAGCGAACCCGAACCAACGTGCCTAGACTTGTCGGGAATTCTATGCCACAATTTTTGAAAGTTGAGCGGGAGGCTGGAGTAGATGATGTACGTGACAGCCTCGTGGCTCTCGAGGGCGGCCATTGGATGATGAAGGTGCGCCCAGACGCCCTGAACACTCTGCTCGAGAACTGGCTAGATGAGAACTCGTTCCTAAGCTAGTGAGCCATTCATGCGAGTGAGCTACCCTCTATGCACGCGGTCGGCAAAGTAGAATATAATTCAGCTGAAATACACGACATAATGTAAATGAAGAAGGAAGTATGATCATAATGGGCGTACAAGCTGCGGTCTTTACCCTTGTAGGATTATGTTGACATAGTGAAGTACGGTATGCTAATACCCAGCTCATACTTCTCCCCTGTCTTTCATCTATTAGTTGAGGGCCAGAGATTGTGAAAACGACCAGTCAATATTCAGTTGCTTGCTATTATTCAAGCTATAGAGCGGGAGGAGTAACATGCAGTGGGCGCTTCACCTCAGGGGAGCCACCATCGCGATCGCGCTTTTCAGCACCACGACGCGCGAACGTCCGACTGCCTGGGTCGCGCCGCGCCGTTCGGCGGAACAGTCTCGTGAGCAAACTCTGCACGAGACACATGCTCACGGTTGCAGACGTCGTACAGCAGTTCTTGCCGTTGCCAATACACGTCTGCCCATTGGGGCAGTGCTGTGCTCAGGCACGAGAATATGGCTTGGGCTCAACCCGCCTCTCCGAGCCTACAAACCCCTATCACATAAGTGCAACCCTCGTAGTACTTGTGAGCTCTACAAGATGGAGCGACTACAGACATTGCTACAAGCTCCGAGGACCTTCTCCAGTGGACGCTACACCCCAAACAGTCAACTATCCTTCATGGTTGCCAAAAATGATGCCCTTCCGAGAACGTCAACATACTGGTGCGCATGCGGGGTGCCTGAACGAGGAATCTGTCGATGTCCTCCGCAAACAAGCAATTGTTGTCCTGGAAATCGCCGGTTTGCGGTATGTGACTCGGACATTGAGGTCGGCGATTTAATGACAATGACCGCTGCGTGGGAGGAGTGCATAGCCTTGAGGCCAGCTAAGGGAGGTGGTGACGGATACCATTACCTTGTTGACGGAGCCGCTTTCGTTGATGGGCTGAGTGACTCGAGAACATTGGACAGTCGCTATGTGGATGAGATTGCTAGTCTGTTACTAGAGAATATTATACTGATGTGACTACGCTGGCGATTTAGGCTGTGAGCTGCTGACCTACCTCTTGAGCGCCCATTCAATTGTCCTAGCCAATCAACAGATCTGTATTCGAGCTGAGAACCTAAGCCTACGCCAGGGCTCCGACACCTTTACGGCTTCCACTCCGTATAAGGCTTATCCACAACCATATCCTTGACAGTCGGCAGCGGCCCCTCTCCCTCCCAAGTATTGCCAAATGCAACGCACATCCTCATCAGCTCCCTCCATTTTTTTCCCGGCGCGATCTTACCAGATATGCAGTTGGGCGTGAGTGAGTCGCTGTTGATAGGCACGAGGGCGGCACGGCCTAGGAGTGCCTCGACGGCCTGCTGCGCGAAACTGATGGCCTCCTTGGCGTCTGCAGGCACGCCCGTCTCATCGAGCTTGCAGATGCGCGTATTGGGCAGCTGCTCCTGAAGGTACTTGATTATGTTTGGGTTGCGCGCGCCGCCGCCGCACATGAAAATCTCGTCGATATGGTCCGGGTCGATGCCGTAACTGGGCAGGAAGGTGCGGTACTGGCGGATGATGTTCTGGCTCGTGATGCGTGTGACTGTCGCCAGCGTGTCATACTTGCTGCATCCGGCCGCCTCGCACTTGTCGATGATTTCTTGGCACTCGTTATCGCCGAACACCTCGCGGCCCGTCGTCTTGGGCGGGTGATGGTTGATGTAGGCGTTGGCAGCCAGAAAGTCTTCGACGATCTGATGGTTGACGGTACCCTGGGCGGCCCACTTGCCGTCCTCGTCGTACTCCTTCTCGCCGTTGGTGAAGTGCCGCATGGCGGCGTCGATGAACATGTTACCCGGCCCACAGTCCCAGTCGACCATGGCGTCGACGCCGCCCTCGCTGTCGGGGGGGATCAGGCAGAGATTGGCGATGCCCCCAATGTTCTGGCACAGCCGCATCTTATTCGGGTGGTGGAGGAGGAGGCCGTCGATGAGGGCAACCAGCGGTGCGCCCTGTCGGCCAATAGCTTGTTCGGCCTGGCGGAAGTCGGTGATGGTCGTGATGCCTGTCTGGGCGCTGATGATGGTGCCTTCTCCCAGGCAGAAGGCAGAGCGCGTCTCGCCTTGCTTGGGCATGCTGAGCAGCCAGATAGTCTGGCCGTGCGAGCCGATCAGATCGATGCTGTCCATGGCGACGTTGTGCTTCCCGCAGAACTCGTGCACGGCATCGGCAAACATCTCGCCCAGCTGGACGTTCAGCTGCGACATGGCGCTAGGTGTTGTCCTGGTCTCGCGGAGCATCTTGAGGATGGGCTTCTTCATCCGCTGCGGCACGGGGATCTCGTCGTACTGTTTGGATAAAGCACATTGGCAAATTGTCATTAGAAAGACATAACAGAAGACAGGCTTTCTCACCTTGAGAACCTCCATATGTAGAGGAGCAGTCGGCGACTCTTGGCGGTACCGCACGAGGGCGCAGTCGATACCGTCCATAGCAGTACCGCTGTTCATGCCCAGCACTGTCAGATCCAGAGACCCGTCAGCGCGCCGGTGAACCTCATTGCCCTTGGTGGTGTGGCCGTTGATGCCATTGGTGTATCCGAGTGAGCCCATTGTGGAGAGTTGTGCGAACAGTCGAGTTTGCTTGATCGAGTCCCCTCTCAAGCCATGTCCTGGACGGCCTCCAAGAAGTTATATCTCCGTCCCAGGGGGAGCCGGATCCTGCTCTTCTCCCATACCCATCACTTACTCGTGGCCCGACGTGGACTCACCCCGCACGGAAACAGCACTCTACAGTAATTTCTGGGGAAGCTAGACCCGCATTGCAGTCGTGCCGACGTTACTGGAGGACTCGTTTCGAGCAGGATGTCCTCGAGACGAAGAGTGGAGTACCGCTAAGAATCGTCACTAAGTACAGTTAGCGCACGAAAGCCTCGGAACTCTCCGTTGCGCGTGTGTGGCTAAACACAGCGCGAAGCGGAAATGGCGTTACGCGAGGCTCGGCAAACATCGGCACGACTTTCCCAATTTGGGATGAGGTGTCCAAACCTTCTCCATATGCCACGTGCTGGGCACAATATTTCGATGGGGATCACAGGAGCGACCACGTCCGTGATCCACTGCGTGAAGACGGCCCGGTTGATAGGACCCCAGTCTCGGTGAAGTCTGCAGTGGCGATTGTAGGTCGTCCGACAGTCTGTATTTCAATATGTAAACCTATGGCCGTTCCTCTTCCCTTGGCCGATGCTTGAGTTAGAACCGCTTGATCACGACAAAGATTCGCATTTCTTCAATCGCAAATATGCCTTGCACCAAACAGCCCGAGACCGCAAAAGAGGTGTGGACCTCAGAGGAGGGGTCTATGGCCCGCGAAACGGCAATTACCAGGTGGCCGGGCATTGTACAAGGCATGATCGACGACCTGGACCAGAGCTTTGCACATTCCGAGGTTGCAGAGCAGGTCGAGGAGGGACGGCGCATACAAGCCACCCTGCGCATCATTAAGAACGAAATCAGCCAGGATAAGCCATTGCAGTGCGTACCAAGCAGCATTCTCTCTGATGGTTGCTAACGCAGTCTTGAATTTCTTAGCCCCCTGATGCCAGACGGCCGCTCTGACATTGATGGCTTCAACGCTCAGCTCAAGTCCTTCGGCAACATCACATGGCATAACGCGCCCTGGCTATTCGCCGAGTGCTATCTCTATAGGTTCGTCCGAAATTGCCACTCCTTTGCTCGCCCGGCGCTGACAAACTCAGATGCGTTCAAACGCTTTTTGGCCGCTCCACTCACTGGCGCACCTATGACATTTTCGCCCGTCAAAAGGTCTCCGCGTTTGTCGCCTCCCACGCCGCTGTTGAGGAGCTCTGTGAGCGCTATGTGTCCCTCACTTCAGCGGGCGCCTTCTGCAAGACGAGCGAGGAAGAACAGGCCCTCATTTTTAGCGAGATGACCGAAATTGCTCTCTGGGGTAACGCCACGGACCTGAGTCTCTTGAGCCACCTGAGTCTCGACCAGATCCACTCGCTCCAGGGGGCGCAGGCTATCCAAGCAGGGCAAGCCCGCATTGTCAGCAACGACATGGCCGTGGCCTGGGACCACCTCAGGTCCAACCGGGGCAAGCGGGTCGACATCGTCCTTGACAACTCGGGCTTTGAGCTGTTCACCGACCTCGTCTACGCACTGTACCTTCTTGATGCCGGCCTCGCGAGCTCTGTGAAGCTACACGTGAAGTCCATACCCTGGTTCGTGTCGGACGTGATGCCTCACGACATGGACGTGCTGATCTCGGCCCTGGCCGACCAGTCTATCTTCCCTGCTGCCAAGAACTCAAGTGTACGAACCCTGACTGAGCGGCTGAGGGAGGCATACAGCAAGTCCGGCGTCATGAGCATCGCTGAGCACCCGTTCTGGACGACGGGCTACGACTTCCAGCAGATGCCAGCGGTGGCTCCGGAGCTGCTCGGGGACCTGCGGGGATCGGCGCTTGTTATTTTCAAGGGCGACCTGAACTATCGCAAGCTGGTCCGCGACGCCAACTGGCCGCACACACTACCGTTCAAGCAGGCCATTGGTCCCCTGGTGGGAAATAAAGCCAACGAGGGGATCAAGATTTTGGCGTTGAGGACGAACAAGGCGGATGTATGTGTCGGTCTGGACGAGGCGACGCTAGAGAGGGTGGAGAAGGAGGCACCAGGCAAGAAATGGGTGAGAAGCGGGAAGTATGCGGTTGTGAGCTTTTCTGACGGTGTTTAGTATGATAGTCTAAGACGTGCAGACAAGCTGGTCTGCTTGGGCGACGGCATAGTAGCATGTAGGCGTTACAGGGTTATCAATCATGGACTCGGTAATTACAGACAGTGGTTGAGATTTACATCGAAGAGATGCCCCATTCCTCCTTCAGCGACGATATGATCCACGCCGTGGGCCAGGCGTGATTGTGCTCCAGCTCTTCGAGCAGCTGCACGAGGCAGCTCTGTTCACACGGGTCGTCCATGAGACCGCCCCAGAGGAAAACACTGTGGCACAAGGTGATCCGCGCCGGCACAGTCTCGGGATGGCTCCTGCAGGAACCGCACAGGGCACGAGCGTGCTCTAATATTTGGGCCTGGTGCGTGTTAGGAAAAGGGGAGATGGTCAGCTGGGTTGTGTAGGGTGCAGCAGAGTGGTCTCTCATAACTCACGTCTTCTTTCCGCAACCCCACAGCGTGGGCACTTCGTATCGCAAAACGGGGGGTCGGTTTGTATATGGTCAGCAGGATGCAGGCGAGCTGGTAGAAGCCAAAGGCGACGATGTGCCAGTCGGCGGCGAAGTAGTACTCGGGGAAGGGCGCGCCGTCGCAGGGCCCGCCCTGCCAGATGGGGTCGAAGCTGCGCGGCCGGGACCGGGCCCAGTCGGCGACAGTGTTGTTCAGCTCCTGCCACTTGTCCATGCGGCTTCTGGCCTCCAGGGCGTGCGGCCCGAAGCAGAACTGCACGATGGTGGCGCAGATCCACGTCATGGTGTTGGCCCACGCCGTCTCGGACCGGAGCATGTCCACACCAGCGGTGCCAGGGCTGGGGATCAGCATCAAGGTCAGCGAGAAGTCCACGTTGGGCGCCTGCTGGTTGATGCACGCGTTGTACAGGCACTGGCGCAGGTAGACCCAGAAGGCGGCATCGCGCAGCCCCGGAGCGGCCGGGTCGACACAGGGGCCTTGGGAGGTGCGGAGGAGGGCGCTGCACCCGGCCAGGTGGCGCTCCTGGTCGCTTCCGTTGCCGAGGGCCGTCAGCTGCTCGAAGACGCGGAGGATGACAATGGCGCTGAGAAGCACATCGTCGTCGGCCACCTGCTCCGAGTCGAGGAGGACGATGAGCAAGGCGATGCAGCGCTCGTGCGCGAGGCTGGCCGCCTCCGTGTCCCCCCGGTGGCGGGCCGCGAGGGACACGATGGCCTCAAGCAGGACCGGGGAGCCGGTGCAGAGGGCGGGGATCCTCAGCGTGAACTGCCGAGATGCGTCGGTGCAGTCGAGCCACCGGCCCAGGTGCGCGGTGTAGTACTGCACCAGGGACGCCTCGTGGCGAGTCAGGCCCGCTGCTGCAGGCGGCCACGGGGTCGAGGCATGCAAACCCTCTGGCGAAGCAGAAGCGGAGGCCGACTGGAGCAGATGTGCAATGGAGATCGGAGCAGCGCCGGCCAGGGGTAGGGGCGAAGCGCCGGCGCCGTGTGACGAGGTCGACGGGCTTCTTCTTCTGCTGCTACTGCTGCTGCTGCCGCCGAGGTTCGTGTTCATGTCTTCCGGTCGCCCCGACCTGGGGGCCGCGCGGCGCTTTTCATTGTACAGGCGGATCCGTGCCTCTCGGCGGTCGTCCTGTTGGCAGTCCCGGTCGGATTTTTGGCAATTGCCGCAAACTGGGCGCGTCTCATCACCTGCAGGCTGCTTAGTACTAGGTAGCAGATGCAGTATCTTTCCCATCCGTGAAGTGGCTTACATTTAACACGCCGCGCCCGGCATGTCAGACTAGCGCCCAGGAAGTCAGCATCACAGGAAGCACATCGCTCGGCTCGGCAGCCGGTAAAACACAACGTGGGGGAACATGACAGAGAGATACCCACCAGCCGTCTCTGGAGCGCAACTTCCCCATGGGGTCAGACCATTTGAAAGAGAGGGGGATTTGCAACGAAATGCAGAAGGGGAAAGCTCGTCTCGAAAGCTCGTGTCGAGAGCTCACATTGAACAACTCGCATCGAGTGACGACCATGGTTTGCGGGGATGATCCACTCCTTATTCCCGGTTGCAGTCATTGTTTGTCATAGCGCGGTGTGGCCGCACCAGTCTGTTGCCCCCCTAGTTGAGGCAAACTCGAGCAGGACTAGCCTCTGGTGCTAGCCTCGACCTGGGAATTCGAGACGAGAGACGACTCCACAATCCCAACTTGATGGTGCCCCAGAAAAAGGCCCACGCGTGGAAGAACGCGGTCCATCAACTCCATTGCCGTCCAGTGACCCATGGGGACCCCAGGTTTTCACTCGCTCCCCAGTTCTGCTACCACATGGCCCTGCAGACAAGGGTATGCGTACATGCATATATATAGAGATACAGCTCTGCAGCCTCAAGTGGTCCACCCGGTCTGACAGACTACAGGATATCCTCGACTCTTCAGACACATCCTTCACAATGATTGGCCGTCACCAAAAGTACTGGCGCTCTCTTCCAGGGCCGAAGCTGCTCAAGCTGATCATCGCCGTCTCCGCAATGGCCATCGCCTATGAAGGCATGAGCCAGGGTGTGATGGGTGCCGTCAACGTGGCACCAGAATACGGTGTAAGTCTCTGTCTTCCCGGCGGCCAGCTCATGCGGGTGGCTAATTCGGGCATCTGTTCATCAGCAACGCATGGGCTTTGCCGACGAAAATGGTCACGTCATCAAGCCTTCCTTGCAGGGCGGCATCGTTGCCACATACTACGCAGGGTCACTCTTCGGAGCCTTCTGGGCCGGTCATCTCTCGGACAAACATGGACGCACGTCTCGTCCACCCTTGCCGCATCCGACTTTGAGAATCCTCAGCTGACATACAATGCAGGTATCAAGGGTCTCTGGATGGCCATCTTCTGGTGCATGCTCGGTGTCATCCTCCAGTCCTCAGCCGTCAACCTCGCCCACATGCTTGTCGCTCGTCTCTGCGCCGGTTGTGGTGTCGCCTTCATCATAGTCATCGCCCCCGCTTGGACCGCCGAACTATCGCCCGCAGCGCACAGAGGTCAGAACATCGCCCTGACCTTCCTCGCAAACTTCTCTGGCATCAGCCTGAGCTCGTGGATCGGGTTTGGAACATCCTTCAGCGACGCCGCGGGGGGCGCCTTCCGGTGGCGGTTCTGCTTCGCAACGCAGGCCATCCCTCTCGCGTTCCTCTTCGTCGGCACCCTCCTCATCCCTGAGTCGCCTAGGTGGCTGATCAAGGTGGGCCGCCGCGAGGAGGCCCTCGAGATCATTGTCAAGATCCGCGGCAACGATGACCCAGACCACCCTGACGCCCTGCGCGAGTACCGCGAAATCATCACTGTCGTCGAGATGGAGAAGGAGTCTGAAGACACAAATTACGTCAGGATGTTCTTAGGGATCGGCTCAGGTGATATCCACATCGGCCGCCGCATCCAACTCGCATTTTGGCTGCAGGTTCTCATGCAGTACGGCACGGGTATCGCCGCTGTCGTCATCTACTCGGGTACCATTTTCCGCACCGCGGGTTTCGACGACCTCAAGAGCAACTGGCTTTCGGCTCTGCTCATGATGACAGGCATCCTTGGCACCGCCATTGCCGCCTTCACCCTCGACCGCGTCGGCCGCAGACGCACCCTCTATTGGGGCGCCGTCGTGCTCAGCATTGTGCTTTTCGCCATCGGCGCCCTGAGCCGCGGTGCCATCGACCATCCGGACCGCAAGGAACAATACGGTACCGCATCCGCCGCCATGGTCTTTGTCTACGTGCTCATCTTCAGCTCCTCGTGGCTCATGATCCCCTTCATCTACCCGACCGAGATCTTTCCCACTTGGCTGCGGGCTAAGGGCAACGCCTTCGGTGTGGCCGGCTGGGCCATCGGCTTCGGCGGTGGCTCGTTGCTGGTGCCCATCATGTTTGCAGGCATTGGCGAGAAAACGTTCTACGTCTTTGGTGCGGCCATGTTCGCGTACATCCCCATCATCTACTGCTTCTTCCCCGAAACATATGGCCGCACGCTCGAGGCCATCGACTTTTTGTTTGCAAGCAAAAGCCCCTTCACCTGGGACGAGGAGGCCGAGTTCGCCAAGCGTATGGCCGAGCTGGACGCGAGCGTACAGGGGAGCGGTAAGGAGACGGACTCGTGCGAGGAGAAGGCCAGGGCTGTCCTTGTTGATGAGGTATGAGACTTGAGCCTCGAGTCGGCAGGTGGACTGGCGTCTCCAGCAATGTACACTGCTGAAGGAGGGACACTACCCGCACATTGCAGCCTGATATACCTAATGTGAAGGCTAAGTAAGAAACAGCGTGACGGCCAGTCAATCGATTGGAAGCATCAAACTTGCTCAGAAGTTCCGTAGAACTGGAATATAACAATTGCCCTGGCAGATTGCCCAAAGGACGAAATGTCAAGTCCGGATCGTCCAACTTTGCGAGATAATGTTTGGAATGAAAATCGGGCCCGCGCTTGAAACTTGTCCAACAGTAGCTGACCGGATAGAAAATATGGGTTAGTATAAATACTCGCGGATATAGTTTGGTAAGTCAATAAAGAGGAAAGTGCGGCACGCGCAATATGTGTACAAGTGGACCTAGGTATCAGTCACAGGCAATTAGAAGGGGACTTTCATAGATTCATAGAGTACTAAAATATCAGAAGCTTGGGAAAGAGAGCTGATTGCATCGTTTAAGGGGCATGCCTACGACTATGGCTAAGAACAAGGTACCGGGGTAGGATTCGTGAAGCACCATATACCTTAATGGAATACCCGGCTACTTTTCAGGCCTATTTATCCCCCTTACACGGGCGGTGGCGGACACCAACCAAAGCCTGCGTTACAGACAGCACGTCCTCGCTTCAATCTGTAATCCTGGGCTCATGGAGGCCGTCCATAGAAATATTCCAGGAGGCGTAAGCTAGGGGCAACCAGAGATGCCACAACAATAAATACCACATACGTAAAATAACAGCGTACTGGGAACAAGGAATCGAGTCTGATTCTTCATAACGGGTCTCGCAGACCCGCAGAGCCCGTCGTGTTTACTGCAAGACGAACCTATTCTGAAATAATCGTAAGCATACCCATGTACGTATATACTAGTAGTGATAAGGGGAGAAAGGGGCTGTAATCCATACCCCATACTCGGTAGGCACTGAAATCGCCGCAGACCATTGGAACGATGTGTCGCTGAAATCCTTGCCCGTGTCGATGGGATCTCCCTTGGAAGTCTTGCCATCGAAGCAGATTGGATCCCTCCGGCGCTGGTGTAGCCTGTATGAATACCACATGTTGGAGAAGGAGAAGTCAAACTCCGGCTCCACCACAACGCTAGCCATGACGCGATCGCTGTTTGCTGGCCAGCGCAGGACAACGGCTGCCTGGAAGTACGGAGGGATGCCGTCTAGCTGAGCCGAGTTTTCTGTGATAGTCCACTCGGCAATGTCGTCGATATCCGAGTAATTCGAGCTTTTCTTCACCCCGCAGACCCTCATGCGCATCTCTCGGTCAATCGCAGCCTTGACTTCTCTCTCTATGGTCATGCCCCCGGACGGCCCTCCTCCCGGTGGCTGTACGGAGATGGGCAGCTTCCAGTTCCACATCGTCTCCTCCCTTCGGACCTTCGGCTCGCCGTAGACCAGCGCCGGGACGAGATAGACGATGCTGGGCTCATTCTTATCACTTGCGTCGTCATCATCATCGCCGTCACTGTTGTAGTCACTGTTGTCTTTCGTGCCCACCTCTGACCCAAAATACACAGTGATCCGCGCAGACCGAAAACGGCGAGACTGGCTGGCCGGCCAGCGGAAGGCGTAGTTGAACGTGACGAGGCATGCCCTCTGGCCGTGGCATGTGCCATACTGAACGCGATGGACTGTCGCTCTGAACCCTGCGTGACCAGCTTCCCTCTCAACAACATTGTTCCGATCGAGTGGTCGAGGGCGGTCCTTGCCGAGTTGGAGGCTCCCCTCTGCAATTTCAAAAGTAGTCTCGAAAGATTCGTTCAGGTTATCCATGTTGGACGTCGCCATAGTCACAGCCCATGGATCAAAGGCCCTTTCATCTACAGGTGGACGTGTCTCCCGAGAACTTAGGAACCAGGCCAGTTGCCGACAAAAAGTGTGTTGGGAGGGGAAATACCTAATTATATATCATAACTAGACACATAGCGCACATACTAGACAGATCTGTCCGACCGAGGGAGACGGGTAGCACTCTGCACATGTCACAATGCTCTTCTTTCAACAACCTCGACGCGATTCGACGCCACTTCATCATAGGTGCGGGGCTCAGCATCCGAGTGGACGGCAACTTCCAACAGAAAAGAGACCATGGCCGTGGGCTGGAGAGCCTTCTCATCGGGAAATAGGTGACTCTCTCACATGCCAAACCTAGTCTTCCAACTTTCTGCACAGCCATAGCCATACTGATCGGAACTCCTCTGCCAAACATCCTTCCCGCGTCAACTGGGGATACTTAAACGAATAGAATCATCGCACCGAGATGCAGACCATCGGAGCTACAAGTCCTTGTTGCGTGCGAGATACAACAGGGAGGCCTCCGCGTGCTCAGAGGCTGCTGCACTCGCTTTTCAGGTGGCCGTCGCTCACTGCTAAATGGCAATGGTCAAGTCTGGATTCTGCCCCCCAGCTCCATCAATTCTCGCATACGTCCAACTGCAACATTCAACTCCACACTGCTTCCAAATTCCGACTCACCATTGCCGTATCCATCTCTCGACACCCAGCACATCATGCAGGCCTTCGCCGGTTTGATAGGGGGCATGATAGCTCAACAAGCGGCTGCGGCCACCATGCTGACCTTCGCCAGCCGCATCAGGCTTCTGTGCCAGCAAGCCGCCCTACAGCCCGACCCGTTTGCTCGCAATGCTATCCAAAGGCAAATTGCTGCCGAGGTGAATGCCTTCCTCCAGAGCACCCCCGCTGTCTGGCACGAGCAGGTCGCCAGTAATCTCCTCTCGGCCACGGCCCAGTTCCCGATACCCGCAGGCCAGCTTCGACTCCTTGGGCCGCACGAACTCGCTCGCCGGTGGCCTTTTATTGCCCCAGTCATCTACGCAATTGCAGATGTGTTGATGCCCGGGTGGAACCAGACGCAGACGGCCAGCTCTGGCCCCTCGGACCGCATTTGGGGCCAAAACTTGAGTCCGCCACAGGCTCCCACTAGGTTCCCGCCAATTCTGCAGCAGTCTACCCCAGAAGTGCCCTCGTACCCCGGATTACAGTCTCCGGGAATCCCTGGAATTCCTCTGGAAGGTTTACGGATCTCGGACGAGCAATATCCACCAGCACAACAGCGGCGAGAAACTCCTCCAGCTCCAGGCTCGTGGTTCAAGACATTAGGGGCCGTGGGAGGCCCACCTGGAGCCAGTGGCAGCCGAAAAGAAGCCGTCGACTTCAGCCTACCCGCAGAGTTCCGGTTGGGACGTCAGCAGGCCGCCGCGTCGGAACCAGAGGGCACTCCCGACAAGCCAGGCCCTAGCACCAGTGATGGGCATGATGACCCTTTAGCAGCACTACATGCGCAGATAGAGAAGCTGAAGGGCGCCAAGACCCCCCAAGAGAAGCGGGAGGTGCGGTTGGGAATGATTGACTCTGCGGATAAGCGAGGAAGAGCCCTCGACAAGAAGATGGAGGAGATTCTCGAGAAGCATCGAGTGGCCGACCGGGGTCAGCAGAAGTCCCCACTTCAACACCGGACCGACGAGTTGCTCATGGGAGCAATGGACATCCGAGACGAGAGAGACAGGTTTCGGGATGCAGCAGTGCAGATTATGGACAATCCAGGCATGAAAGTGGGCGACTTGAAGTCGATTGTGGACGCGTTTCAGCCCGCTATGCGCGACATGGTCGGCCACGAAGTTATCGATAAGCTAGATGCCCAGCTTGATCAAGCCGCTCGAGACGAGGCTGGCCGCCAGGGAAGCGGCCTGGGCCGAGAGGTCGGAAGCAGGAAAATGGACCCGCTAGAGGAGGAGCAGGAGTCTAACAATCCAGGTCAGCGCAAGGCTGAAGTTAAGTATCGATGGTGAGAGAGGCGCAAGACAGGCCGACTATAGATTCTAATATATGAAGCAGGCTCAGATGATCTCCCAAGTTTGGTAGATGATTCCATCTCGACAGACATGTCGCTTCAAGTGGGCCGTCTACGGCGCCAACGACGATTCGAGCAATGGGGGGCTTTCAAGGCGTACTCGGCTTCACTGCCCAATAGTGACAAGCTCCATCCAGAAGTTGCCCTTGAATTGGGATGGGGCTACTTCATCCAGGGGTACATTGGCACGGCGCTGGATGTGGCCGATAAGTCCTACAACCAATGGGGACATACGTGGCCGAGCCAGACCACCCGCGATGCCCTGCTCCTAGCGCGCTGTTTCTTCGCTTTGCTCTCCAAGTGTGAGATCCGGGCGGCGTTAGATGTTGCCATGTCCATCCAGAACATCAGTGATACTCCCCTGGCAGGAGTCAGACTCTCAGATGCAGAGGTGTGCCCACTGTCGAGATCATACACACATTCTCCTTACACGGGTTCTGACACAAGCGTTATAGATCGCCTTGAATTATTTCTACCACAAGATTATTCTCATTGCAACATACGAGGGACTTCTGGACGCAGAAGTCTTCAAGCCCCTTATTCGAACCCGCCTGCAAGCTATTTTGCACCTATTACAAGAGACTGGCCAGAGTCACGACATCGTCACGTTTGCCTTGTTTCTCGCCGATGAGACAACTTCAGAACATGATAAAGAGGACATTTTGAGACCAATTATCGATGATCCCGATCTGCCACCCATCGACCGAGCTCGTGTCGTTTTCGAGCTAGGTGTAACTGCGGCAAGATCTGGAGACACATCTAAGTCGGGAACCCTTCTCTGGAGCGCCGAGGATCTATTTAAGCAGTCGTCGTGCCAAGATGGCGTCTTCAAAGCTCAACTAGAGCGACTATACACGACGTCACCAAAGACGGCCGGTACCCTTAGGGAAATTCTGTCTCTGGCCGATGTCTTCCACCGTTCGGACTCAGTCGCGGCAGAGTTCTCGAGTCTCTTCAAAGCCATGACCCTTGCCGTTGACTTGGCCTCTTGGGGCGACTTCGCTAGCGCCTTTGATCGGGCTCGGACAGTCTCATCGCGGACCAATAATGGATACCTCCTTTTGAGTGCTCATTCCGCCTTTGCGTCTAGTATGGCTACATGGCCGCAGCACATCGGCAAAGCCGTGGCAACCTTGCGCGGGTTTCTCGAGTCTACCACGAACCCGACGCCACGAACGCGGGGCCAAGTATGCGTGCTCCTCGGTCAAGTCTGCACCCTGCTTGGGGACGAGGAAAACGGCCTGAAGTATGCGAGGATGGCTGTGGATGAGTTCGAGAGGGGGTGCGACTATGAGTTGATCTCGGACGCGAAGTTGATGCTGGCAAACGCCATGGAGTCAGGCGAGACGGGCGGCCAAGCGGCAGCCGAGCTGCTGGAGGAATCTCTCAGTCTCGACAAGCAGCACAACTATTCCAAAGGGCAGATTGCAAAATACGATGCTCTTGTGAGGCTAGAAGGCCGCTTGGCATTACAGGGAAGTAGCTCTAGAGACTTCCACAGGGCGCGACAGAAGTATTGGATGGTAAGGTGGGAAGATTCCAAGTCAGCAGAGTCTCGTGGAGCCCTGCTCAGCAGAGCTAAACTCTGCGTGGCGGCAAAGGAATTCAAGGAGGCCGGGAAGCTCGCCAAGGAGGCACTCGCAGAGCTCTCTTCTGGGGGCAACAGCAGAGAAGTTGCGCAATGCCAGAGCATCATCTTTCAGAGCTACTTCCGGAACACAGCTCAGGCGGCCGACAACTGCACGATTCTTGATCAGGCTAGAACGGCCTCCGAAGCATACCGCAAGCTGGGTCTCAACAATGTCCCGGTTGAGTTTATCATCGAGATTTCCATGGCATTCGAGGAGATTGGCCAACGCTTGCCTGAAGACAGGAGTCTTCTGTATGAGGAGGCGCTCTCGTACCTGAAGGTTGGCCAGTCGGCCTGCGAGCGCAACCGGGCGGATCTTTCAGCCTCTTCGGGCATTGCGTCGCTGCGACAGAAGCGGCTCCTCGTGGCTTCTATTTCCCAGAGTGATATCCGCACACGGGCTCTGAGGCTTTCTGTCGCATTGGGAGACAGCGAGAAGGTGTGGGAGTGGACGCAAACGGCAAAGGCAAGGGCCCTCGCAGAAATGGTAGCGCCACGGCTCATCTCCATTGCCGCCACGTCCCCAGACCTCATAGGCGACACCGAGGCTGTCGAGATTCTAGAAGAAGAGGAGCGGCTCCTCGGAGAGCTACAGAGCGAGAGCGCTGGTGAGGGCATTGCAATCCGCATCCAACTAGACCAGCTTCACGCCCGGATGGAAGGCCACTCGGCCCTCAGCCATCTGCTGGTATCGAGAGACGGCGTCAGTGGACTGCAAGACCTCGACTGGATCTTCAAGCGCGACCCGGCAGGGCATCTACCCGACAAGAATATCGTCCTCGTTGACTGGGTGTTTGTCGGCCAGGCCATCGTCATGCTGACCGTCGACTCCAGTTTGAAGCCACAGCTGACGACGCTCGACATCACAGTACCTCAGGTGCGACAATGGAAGCGCGAGCACCTTACCATCTCCGAGACGGCACGAGCTCAGGGCCAGCCGCCGCCGCCCTTTGATGAGCGGCTCGACGAGATGGCCGGGCTGGTGTCGGGGCTCGACCGCATCACATCCAAAGGCGATCTCCTTGTCCTGTGCCCAACAAAGGTGCTGCACGCCATTCCTCTCCACGCCCTCAAATATGACGGAGTCCATATCCTCATAGCACGGAATCCCGTCATCTACACCACCAGCCTGTCCCTGCTCCGACAGTGCTGCAGGCGGGCCGACGTTCGAAGGCGCCAGGACCAGCCCCTCAGTGCGGCTGTGTTCGCGGTTTATGAGGACAAGACCAAGGATTCCGGCAAGGAGGAGGAACGGGAGAAAACTTACTCGTGCATGCGGGAGCTGGCCCGTGGCTTCAAGACGGAGCCGTTCCTCGGCCGCGACGCCACGCGGCACAACCTGAAATCGCAGGCCCGCGGCGCCGACATCGTGCACTACCACGGGCACATGGACGCGCATGTCAACGTGCTACACCAGTCGCTGCGGCTCAGCGGCTCCGGCGGTGACGACGCCTTCACGGTGCGCGACGCCTTCGCGCTGCGCCTTGATGCGGCGCTCGCGTGCATCGTGGCCTGCAGCTCGGGCGCGCAGGTGGTGGCGGCCGGCGACGAACCGCAGGGCCTGCTAGCGGCGCTCCAGGTGGCCGGCTGCGCCGCCGCCGTTGGCTGCCTGTGGCCCGTCGACAGCCGCGACGGGCGCGATTTCGCCGCCTACTTCTACCGCGCTCTGCGCGGCCAGCGCCGGCGCGGCCAGGGGCCCGTGGACGTGGCCGTCTGCTTCCAGAAGACTGTTCAACACCTCATCAACAGGAAGCCGGCGGCGGGCGAGGAGGGTAAAGAGATTCGCGTCCCGTATCACTGGGCCGCTTTTGTCTTACACGGGGCCTGGTATCTATAAGAGGAGACCGGGCAGTCGACCTACCTGTCACGATCCTGCCTCCGGGGTCAAGCGTCTGGCAGGGCGCTGGGGTTGCTAGTCTGCAAGATAGGTAAAGCCTATGCAATAACACTTCCACTCTACTGTCGTTCTCTCTTTAGGGTAGTCGTATCTCTAGGAAGAGATACCAGTCTCGGTAATTAAGTAACAAGTGTATGGTAAAACTAATACTTGGATTGATCGCTGAAGTATAAACCATTGTAGACCCTGCGGCGTTCGAGTCTCCGGTTTGCATCGCCTCTGATATCGCCAGTTCCTACCCACCCATTGATACAATAATTGTACCACTGGTGTACTCGAGCTCCGTAGTGAGCATTATAGCAATGGGGGAATGGGTGGTATACAATGCCTTAACTTCAGGTGTGCGAATGAAGAACCATTTAGTAATAGCAGAAGTGTTAAAGATTGAATGCAGGAACTTGGGGGGCGGGTGGGGCATGGAGCGAGAACTAGAGGCCGGAGCATACAAAGCTCGTGATGGTGAAAGCGGAAGCAAAAAGACGACGACAGGCAGAAACGAGCGTGGATGATGTCTCGTATGGTGTGTGCTGGCTGGCAGCAGGCAGGGCGAGACAGGGACAGGGATAGGGGCGGGCAGGCCTGGGATGATGGAGGACAGGACAGGACAAGCCTGTGTGGACAAGACATCCGAAGCTTGTTATTAGGCTCTCGTATGGACGTGTGGGCCCTAGTCTAGACAGATACTCTCCCCTTGTGTGCACCTCAAATGCAAGTATGTTAGGTAAGCTGCGCCGGGGCAGGGACTACTCCGTGACAGAGCTTGGTTAGCGACAAGGGGATAGAACAGTGAATATTATACAACGATGAAAACCAAGAGGAAAGGAACTATCTACGACTTGGTCGGCTCGCCGTCCTCTGCCGATTTGTCTGGAACACGGCATATAACTCCGCATCTTCGCAATTCCTCGTTCTGGGCCAGAATCTTGGCTTTTTCCTCCTCTGTAGGCTTCGCGGGAATACTCTCCGTGGCAGGATGGAACATATCCCAGCGGGATATGTTACGGCCGTCGGCGGTGAGGAGTCTTGGGGGTAGAGGTCGGCCATCGTAATACTCTCTAATCTGGGCTGGGTTGAGGCCAACTACATCAAGAACATTCCGTTCCTCATCGAATGTACGGAGGACACCATCGTAGCCCAATGCGCTTATACCTCGTCCATCTGGATCCTTCTTCATTAAACTTAATATGTCGCGTAGAGACATTGTATCGCGTTCTGCGACGGCTTGAGGATCGGTCGGGTCCTGGGATGGTCAACATACAGACAAATAAGAGAGTCCGAGGAGTACTTGCTGGCAGTTTGTCCGCCATACTACCTGCGAGTTGAGGTCAGTGATGATGGCGCGGCTTGAAGATTTTGAGGAGGAATTACGTCTCTTGAACGTGGGGTATATGGCGAAGGGTGACAGTAGATTTGATAATCGCGATAGAACAGCGATAAGAGAGTGAATGTTTTCGGTTCAAGAAATTTCCACCGACGGCTCAGGCAAGAGTGGCGGGGGACACTGAGACAGCACCAGGCGCGGCGGTGAGAACGTGGATAACGGGGTGAGGCCAGACGAACGAGAGAGACAGAATGTCGAGTTCGTGCCCAGGGGGCGCGTCGCAAGAGGATTGTGATTGGCAGCACGCGAAACGAAATGAGTAAAGTTGGGGCAAAAGCAGGCAGGCCCGTGGACAGGGAAGGCGCGCACAGACGTGCGGACCATATGGCCAGTCCCAGCCTTTCTCGCCCCAATTCGCCATATATCCCCACGGCAGCCCAATCTTTTGGGAAGGTGGTAAGGTCGCGTGAGAAGGTTGATCAGACGAGGGGATTCCACGCTGCGCAGTGACGATTCCTGCGATCTCTGGCAAGGTCATTGGCTCGCTCGTGCCCAACATGGCCATCAGACGAGGGTGGATCCCGCCCTGCGCAGTGACGATTCCGGCCATCTAAGGCAAGGCCATTGGCTCACTCGTGCCCAACAGGTCCATCAGACGAGGATGGATCATCCCACGCTGCACAGTGACGATTCCGGCCATCTCTGGCAAGGCCATTGGCTCGCTCGTGCCCCAACAGGGCTCTGTGAATTTTGGCCGTGGGTCGGAATATCAACAACAGTAGCATAATCTCAGTGGCCAATTCGGGCCTCTGGGCGCGGTTGTTTGATCTAGATCATAGCGAAGCGGTTGGGAAGTTGCTTGCCACTACTACAGTTGTCAAGCAAGCTGACACTTCTAAATAGGCTGAAGCGGCCCCGTCATGACCCAAGGACCGAGGCAAACGCTAGAGTGAGCAGTCACTGATATATGTAACTGTGTAAATGTGTATACTCGTTCTCGGAACTTTGATAAGGGGCAGGGATTATATGCAACCGAGGTCCTACAGGATTCGGAGCTTGACTTGGCTGGACTTGGCTGGACTTGGTTTGAGATAAGTATACAGCGCACTTTGTGGCTCATGGACTTTACGACCAAGGGTAGGCAACGTGAGCCAAAAAGCTCCATTATTAGTCCAGATCACGCATCAATTACTATAAGTAGAGCAGCCTTCTCGCATCCACTGAACGACAAGGTAATCAGAGTCTTTAGACCTATCCTCAATTTCTACACCTTCTTTATTATCCTACCAAAGACAAGAGTATCGTATTGCCCAGCATGCAAGCCAACCTCTTCAAAATCCTTGCTCTCATTGCCGCATTTTCGACTGTGCAGTCCGCCCCATTAGACACTGCTGAGGGCCAGGCCGCCCAGGGTCAGGTCGACGAGGCTCATGCCCAAGAAGTAGTACGTGCTTAGTTTCAGCCACTCAAAGGAACTCATACAATGATTTCTATCGCTTCTCCGGAGACTAATACCGAAGATCCGCCTTCTCAGGCCCGGCAGCTGGAGTGCCCTAGGAAGGATCTTCTCGATATTAGCACAATACCAAAGGAGGGAGATGTTTTCGCGCAGGCTTGTAGGGACTATGACTGCTACGCGGACTGGCAGTGTCGGAACATCGGATGCAGGGAGTGCAATCTTTACTTTGATCCCTGCGGCAACTCATGGACAGCCTGCTGGTAATATATGGCCGAAGGATCTACTACGATGGAGACGGAGAAGCATGGACATCGGGATAGCACAATCTAGGGGACAACCTCGAATCTATCAAACAATTTCGCCAGAGCTATGAATTAGTTTTTTGTGCATTACTTAGAAGGCTCGGACGACGCCCACACTGCGCGCAACTGAGGCACCCTACCAAGAGTAGTCGCGGTGCACATTAGGAGGGGGATCTTGTAGCACTAAAAGAAGCACCTATAGAGGCCACTGTTAGCAGCCGGTGTTGAAACGAACCCTTCCATGGTTGGGGATTCACCTTAGTAACTGTCCTGGACCTACTATCTTATTCCAGCCCAGCGTCAGGTCAAATCCAAGGCATGAAGACTATCAGTCGTACGATCCCGTCTTGCTCCGAGCATATTGCCGAACCCCTGTAATGACTCAAGCGCTCAGTCTCAGATGAATGTGATTGCAGGAGTTACCACGTAGCAGGTAGCCCCAGTAATGTCTGCTCCATCGCCAGTCGACATGTAGAACAAGAACTTGGTAGACGTCGTCGGCGAGCTGCAATAAAGCATGTTCATCCTGGGCGTACCGGTGGTCGAAAGTCTGAGCAAGCCGTCGCTGCCAGCGGATGCAGGGACCAGACCCACGTAACCCAACTGGTAGTCATTGTTGGCGCTGTTGGTGAATGTGGCGCGGATCTGAGCTGATGGCCCGCGCGAAATTGGGAGGGCAAAGTACGCCATCAGACGCACTGGGCTTGTGCGCGCGAGGAAGCTGTCTGGATTGACGACCCATTGTGCCTGGGCGCTGAACCTAGACAGAGGGGGTGCGAACCAGGTGAGGTCGCCGCCTGAACGTGATGAGGTGGCCAAGTAGAGGGTCGTGCCGTCGATGGGGGAGGTGATGGTAACATAGAACGGGCGTCCCCGTGGCTCGTCCGTCACGACAGCTGTCTCCGTCGTTGTGGTCGTTTTGGTAGCTGTAGTCGTTACGCTAAGCGTACCTGTCGTTGTGATTGTATCGGTTACGGTAACGGTCTCGGCGTCTGTCTGAGTAGTAGAAACCGTTGCGGTCACAGAGACTATATCCAGGGTGCTGATAGACTGGGTTGAGTACGTCGTGGTATCGGAGACGCTCGAAATGACGGTCTGGGTAGTGGTCAACGTTATGGTACTGGTTCCGGGCTGTACGCCAAGTACTGCGCAAGCTGAGGTATATGCGGTATGGCTGTCGCATGCGCCCTCTGCATAAGCCGGTAGGCTCGAGGCCTCTGACGTCGCACGAGCCTGAAGGCTACGGCCTTGCACGAGAGTAATGGCTATTGTTGTCGTTGTAGTGGTGGATGTCGCTGTCGTTCTCACTGTCGACTCCTCTGTGGTTGTCGATACGTCGGTAGTTGTTTCGAGAATCGTGTCGGTACTCGTAATGGTAACGAAGGACGTCTCTGTTAGCGCCGTGGTCGTGCTAGACTTGCTGACGACAGTCGTGACTACATCGCTCTGGACGACAGTGGTGAAAACAGTGACTGTGGCAGTGCTGGGCAGAGGCGTGTTAGTGTTTCAATGAGGAACCGTGTAGGAGAAACTGGCGAGGATGGGTTTCTACGCTTACCTAGTTGGACCTGTCTCCGGAGCTAATAGCCTCACCGAGCAGTCTGAAGCAGCAGTCTCGCCTTGTAGCTGAAGAGCTACGCATAGAGCGTGGTCAGCACATTGTCTATCGAAAGGGAGCAGATCATCCTAGCTAAGTCGGGTTTATTTACCGGTCAAGCATGCGTCGCCAGCACTAGAGCTCGCAGCGGTAGACGACGGAAGAGTAATAGAAGACGATGTTGGCACTTCAGAGCCTTTAGAACTGCCCGTAGTAACGCTGGATAGGATGGTGTCGTATGACGTCAAAGATGCCATACTCGACGAACTCGTGCCGATGACTGATGAAACGACGCTGGCAGTAGCGGAGTACGTTAAGGATGGCACAGGAGGCGATTGCGAGGCAGTAGCCGACGAGTCGATACTGGCCGTCGCGGATATTGTTGACAAAGACAAGATCGGATATGCGCGTCCAGATGAAGTTAACAAAGGCCGGCCGCAGGGCTTAGCGCTAGCCGCGGCAACAAAGATCGCGACAAGAGATGCTAGAAGCCGGAGCATGATGGATGATCGATGGTGTTGTTATGAAATGTTACAGTCCCCAAACTCACGGAGCGGCAGCGACGAGACAGAATAATGAGTTGGCTCGCGCCTACCACGAACGTCCACCCATACATTTAGTACTCGTGGGACAACGGACAGCGCTGGGTAATTTGAGCCTCGCGTGCACATCACAATTTGCTCAACGCTGCCGTTCCAAGCGCCATTCAGAGGTTCCACCATACGATCGACGGTCTGGTATCGACTAGTACTAGTGGTTGGAGCTAGTTTTGGCGCTGCTCTGTGAGAAGCCTATGCGCAGATCGATCTGGCCAAGCATTAGCCAGATTTACAAATGCCCCGCATAGATCTAGGCTTCGTGCTAACAGGGATTACGAAATAAGTCATGACTCCCTGCTTTTTCCGCGGCTCGTGGCATCCATATTGAGCTCTAGACTGGTCTTTTCCTAGACGGTTAGATTTATCCTTGAGTATCCGGTAGGTATACGAAACACACTTTCTAGATCGGCGATCCTTAAGCTTTGACAGGCTTGACGCTCTCATCATGTCAGCTAGATAGAGTGGTAGGGATGCTGCAAGATTGCTATCTTCATCGCAGAAATCGATAATTATACATGTGGCGAGTGGATCGTAATAGCTGACGCTACCGAAGATGATAAGATAGTCAATAATGGAAAGAAGTAGAGTTAGAAACGAGACCAGCTTTTTATCGTGCGTTGGAAGTTCAATGGAAGAGCCTGATAATTATTTGGCTTCATCCATAATGAAAAGGTGAATTATTGTCTTGTCTGTCGAGACTACAAAGGGCATCCGCCATGCACTGGCAGGTCGGCTTCATGGGGAGGAGCCTATAAGAACTGCATACCGACTTCCAAGATTTATATTACTCTCTCTTACATACGCACAATATAACATTAGCCTCCGCCTCTTCTCAACCCCTCAAGCCCAGGTCCGGTTATACTCGGCTACCATCTCGTGCTGCCAGGCCAGAAGCGCATCCCAGTCGATGCAGCTATGCACTACGCCCCAACTCAGCCCGCCCTCCCAGTACTCTCGGGGGCTGCCCGGAGGCGAGTCAGTCTCGAAGGTCATGTAGTCGCCGCAGGTAACGCTCAGTCGGAGGTACTCGAAGCAGTGCTCAATGTGGTCGATCCAATCGACGTCGAGCGGATTGCTCGCTAGTGGTGTCGTGTTGGCAGCGTCGTACACAAGCGCGTTATAACGCATGCGGATCATGTGTACGCAGTGCAGCTCGTGTAAGTTATTGAGCACGTAGAATTTGAGCAGGTTGTCTTTGTCGTCTGCGGCCTTGGGAGGGGGCTCGTGGAAGAGGAAGAATGGCGCCTTGATGCCCGGGTCGTTTAGCCCGTACTTTGAGGGGTCTGAGAGATATATCGAGTCAGAACCTAAAGGGCAAGTTTTCTGTTAGTCGAAAAGGCACGCTAGCCGGGAAATGGAATGGTAGTGTTGTCCCGCATTTGTAAGTCTGGAGCCCAGCACCTGCTACGAACCTGCGGTTAACGATTTCCAATTCCTGGCGGCCTCCTTCGAGGGGCCCATGTACTCCTGATGCGGAGTGAAGGGTATGTCTTTGCGGTTGATAAATATGTGCTTCGGTATGGGTGAATTTGGGTTGATGCCAGCCTCGCGAAGAGACTTGACCGGATCGCAAGCTGCGGGACAAGAGGTGACTGTCCACCATGCTCCAAGAAATCCAGCCAGAGCGCCGACAATCAGCGCAGCGATACTGCAGACAAGCACACGATTTGCTGGGGCATGTTGCCTTTGTGGGTTGCGGCCGTTGACAAGGAATCCATCACGCTCAGTCTGCCCCAGCGTCTCGTCACTGTCTAGAGATAAGGCGTAATACTCACACTCCTTGTCTCCAAGCGTTGTTTCCATAGTAGCTAGATTCTGTGAATGCCGCCAACACTATTGCGAGAAAGTGGAGCTTGCGATGAGAAGGATGAACGACGAAACCACGGGGATGACGGGAACGCAATAGACCCTGAAAAGACGGCAGCTGCTCGAGAGCTTTCCGTGGACGGTCGCAAAAAGGTGCCGAGTTCAACAAGGTTGACTGAGTGGCACACTTAATTCAGCCTCTTACGACTCCGGGATACCATTGCTAGTGATCGCAGCTCGACTGCATCCGGCGTGCAGCATGCACTATATGACATGGTGGGCCCATCACACCAGCGGCCCGTCGCGGATCACTTCAGATGGCACTACCGACAGACGAGGGGGTCGTGGACCCCCCTACACATCCATTGACGGGCATCCACGGCTGCATGTTGTTTGCAGGGCTCCTTCTAACGCGACTCCTCAGGGCCCCAGCCTCCCCGCTCGGTCCACGGCATGCGCCGAGTCTCTTGTATCACTTCTTGTCCCGCCTGAGAGCTCAGTCCTTGCCTGATTGTCCGGGATGGGGAAGCCTTTTGGCATTGCAGGAGCCCAACCACTTGTCAAAGGAGGGGTGGTTATCACGGATATGTGATTGGCGTCGAAAGCGAAAATGCTCGGCTGTCCGGCCAGACCAGTCGGCTGCTGTTCCCGCCTCACGCCAGTTACAACTCGTTACTCTGCAGGTGGGGCGCAACCTGGGTTCAAAGTCCCTGCAAGAATATTGGTCTCATTCTCTGCTGCTGCGTATGTTTCATAGGGCGAGCAACGAGGCTCTCTCGGCGGTACCAAAGTTATTCGCGGTCCTCTTAGTCCTGTCAATCGATTGTAGCCTCCCGACAATCAGAAATTGCCTCATTTTTAACCAAGACACTTCTAGTGCATAATTGCATAGTAGAAGAGACGTCTCACACAATGCCTGACTACAAAACCAGATACAAGCAACTCGCCTCAGAAGACGAAAGCGGCGTGAGCAGCAGCAGTAGCGTGAGTTTCAAGCTTGATAGCCACGGCAAAGAGGAGGAAGTCTCCTACGCGTCGCTGTCCAGACGATGGTGGCTTCCGCCCCAGGCGCCAGCCTGGCTGGGTTGGCAGTCCGTCGTCATTTTTGTCATCGGCCTCGGCTGGCTCGCCACCATCGTGGCTTGGTGTCAGATGACGCCAGGACGCTCTCAAGTCTTCGGTCCAGTTGTGGGCTCTCCGCTCCTCATGTACGCCAACACGCCGATCCCGCAGGAGGTTTTCAAGCCGGTCAAAAAGGTCTTTGACAAGGACGACAAGTATGTCGGGGGCGGCCGTCAGGCTGACATTGCGTGGGATGCACTCGTCGCTGGTAAGTCCCGCCGAAGCCTGTCCTAGAGAGTTTGAACCTTCTCTCTGGCTGGCTTGGTAGGTCACGACGCCGTCTGGATAGAGGATCCCGAGAAATGGGGCCTCGGCGAGGGCATCGTCGCGCCGTACGATCATCCAAACACGCCCACTCCAAAGCCGCAGCAGTTTTATGTCATCTCTATCCTGCATCAACTACACTGCCTCGTGAGTGTTCACACACAAGTCAAGCCTCTTCTCGCCTGACATCCACAAATCAACCCCCCCCCCCCCCCCCGATGCGACCGGTTCAAAAGCACAAACATCTTGCTAACGCAACCCTCTGTCGTCTGCGTGCGTACTTGCAGAACATGATCCGCTTTCAATACTACCAAGAAGTGCACCGCGACTCGCGCAGGCTCTCCCGGGCTTCCTCTTCACTACCTTCTGCGGAGGAGGAGGAGGCTTTCAAGTGGAAGGTGCACGTCGAACACTGCTTTGAGTACTTGCGCCAGGGCATCTCGTGCGGCGGCGACCTCGTCATCGAGGGCAGCAGCCCGATCAAGGTGGGCAGGGGCCACGCCACATCCGTTACGGGTTGGGGCGTCGAGCACGAGTGCATTGACTTTGAGCGCTTGAGGCAGTTCCAGATCGACCAGGAGGCCAAGTATAATATGACCTGGCAGAACTAGAGAGGGGTGGACGATGTTTCCCAATCATAGTGTCATAGCCGGTGGCGGCTCAACAACTCTGTGTTGCCCGTCTGATTTTACTAAGTAGATAATGCCAGAGCATTGTGTGGTCACTGACACGATACTGCGAAGGCATGTGCGCCTTGATGGTTATGTTGACTCCTCCTCTCGGTAAGTAATAAATAGGAGATTACTTAGCACGCCTAAGGTACGGATGAATATTGCTTCCGGGATTAAGATACTTGGCATGAACCACTAGTGTTCGTCTCCGAGAGCGGGCAGACCTAGTGCCATGACCTCTTCTTCCGTGACACCCAGGCCATTATCCTGTTCGGCATTTCCTCCACCGGCCCTCCACGTCCAGACCAACCCAGCATTGCCCCCAAAAGCAGTCAGCTTCCTCTCACCTCTCTCCTCAAACCCGAGCTTTCGCAGCACGCCCGCCGAGGCCACATTAGTGGGATCGTGCAGGCCGAGCACCACGTCAACGCCCTTCTCGCGTGAGGCCCAGTCGAGCACACCACGCGACGCCTCGGTCGCGATCCCCCGGCGGCAGTACTCGGGCAGCACGGCGAAGCCGAGGTCGGGCGCGCCGTAGCACGTCTTGCCTATGGTGCCTTCGCCGCGGGACAGAGAGACGGTGCCTATGAGGGTGCCGCCGCTGTCGCTGGGCTGTACGTTTTCCTTGCCTTCTGCTGCTTTCACTTCATCCTTCGTTGTGCCATCGCCGTCACTGGTGCTCTCGCTGACGTTGTTATTGGCGCCGAGGGCGATACCCGGCTTGAGCACAATAAGGTACGTGCCGTACCCATTGCGCTCGTGCTCGGAGGCGAAGCGCCGCCTGATATAGCCCGCCGCGGCGTCATGGGTGGTGATGGCCGTGGGCTTGCCGCCGATCGACGCAATGAACTGGGGCGTGTTGTAGAGGCGCACGATAAAGTCGGCGTGGGCTCGGGAGGAGGGGTCCGGGCGCACCAGCAGGAGGCGCGGGGTAGCGGTGGTTGCAGAGCAGGTGGGAGCTTCCATGGTGTCAATGGGGTCAAAAGGGGCCTGAAGAAGTCGTATCCCGCCGGTAATAGTTTTGTTATTGCGTCAGGGGAGCGAAAGGGACGTGATCGTCTGCTCGAGCGAAAGATGTGTGTGGTGAGGAGGTTGGTTGTACGATCTGTGGCGGATCTGGAGCTTTAAATAGTTGTACATAGTATGTGCTGTGCTTGATTGACGGTACCACGGCGAAATCTTGGTTGTGAATCTGTGCATTATACCTGCATAGGTTCTACAGGGCCAGACGATTGGCTAAAAATGCGAGCAGTACAGAGAGTTATGCGCAACGAGTAACGAGCTCTTGACCAAAGCGGGAATATGTCCACAGGTTCGTGATTGCAATCTTTCGCTTCTGGGCTTGGCGATCTCTACTAAACTCTTTGAAAGTTGAGGATGCAGCTAAAGGGTATGATAGAGGTCGGCAGTTCCATGGAGGATGTGATACACCCTGTTGTTTTCCCTGTTGCATAAACATGGGTAGCCGTCGCCAGTCATCGCATGGCCATAGCCTCAAAGGCCAGAGCATGCGAGAAAGACGACGTGGGATGAAAATTGCACTGCTTAATTCTAAGCCTACTCTGCTGTACTCAACTTGAAGACATTCACTTCGACCCGTCGCATAACCTCAACGTTGCTCCACTAGAAGTAACAGTAGCCGCAACCCTGTGCCCAGCTAAATCTGCGCCCGCCGTTAGCCAGACCCATGATGATGGTGCGAGGGCACAACAGCACCCTCATCGCCGTCGACAAAGTCGTTCCTATGTCCTGGCGTGTGCGTCACCACCCCGCCTTTATACCCAGAGCCCTCCTCCTTCTTGTCAGAGCGGTGATCATACGCCCATGAGAATAGACGCTCGAAGTTGCGGCACTGGTGCGTGGCGCCCATGCCGTTAATACCAACCATAGTGAGGGGCTCGAAAGTAGTATCGCCGGCACACATGATGGCCTGACGGATGTAATCGAGGCAGTGGTCCCGGTGGGCGACGATCTCCTTTGGAGTCATTAATTCCACGTTATCTGGGTAGTACGCAAACCGAAGAAAGTTGAGGCAGTGTAGCTGGTGGAACATGGAGACACCATAGACTTTGTGAGTGTCTGGATTGTTTGGGGCTGGAAGAGAAAATGGCAGGTTCGCGGTAAAGGCATTAGGTACCTCCACGATGCCGTCGCCAGGAGGAGACAGTCGCTGCCACATCTCGTCAGTGTGGTTGCTGGGCGGGCCGCCATAGTAATAGTGCGGCTGGAAGGTGACTTTGGTATCATAGAGCACTGGAGCTGGTGTTAATAAGAGATATACGACGGGTCCGAAGGACTTACAGTCTGGCTCGAAGTGATCCTTGTGAGGCTTGGGGTCACAATCGAAGCTGCGCAGGAGGACGTGAATATGCCACCAGACAGTCATAGCGGCGGCGAAGAGCGCAACGTTAAGTGAAGCCAGCACAGCACTCCTAGAGAGCCATGGGGTCTTGCGCCTTGTCGGACGCGTGGCCATGGGCCCCATGTCGTCAGATGGGAGGAAACGCTTCCTCTCGTCCGACGAGGAGATTGATGTGCGAGTGTCAAAGTCGTCACGACTGCCGTCCATGACTCAAGTACAATATGTTCAAATCTTTGCCCAGAATTGATGCAGAGCAGAGGCACAAGATGAAGTGTTTCGATAAACAGTTAGAACGAGTAGGATGGAATGGGAGGAAGGGCGCTGCAGCGATGGATGGCGAGGCCGTGCTCGAGAGGCTACCGACAATGGCGGAACATGATATCGGTGGCAAGCGCTTGCCGAAGTTCCGTGAACCACCATGTGGTCCCTCAGGTATCTGCAAATTAGTCGGGCCTTTAAGGGTGTCTCGGTGGTTGCTAGTGGAAGGGTGTATGCATAAGACGTGCCAGAATCCTGCAGACCTTTTCAGCCCCAAGCCACACGTATGCTGCAGAGTATCCTGTCCTGAACCTCCACGCTGCAGATCAGCAGACAATCACCGACACATCTCGTTGCAACCGAAGAGCTCTAACCGTCCCGCAGCATTTGCCAGTCATAGATTCGATCTCTCTCGATATTGATGTATAGTGGGTGCTTCACAACCGTGCTGCCGCATGTGATACTGCGGATGCGGAGCGTTGCATCCTGATATGCTGGTCTGCCAATGACCCCTCATTCCTGACGTATGCTCGGTGGCGATACCATAAGTACCATAGTCGCGCTATAGATGGTGTTAGTGGTGCGGTAAACTTCAAGATACTGACAATTTCAAAGTGCCCCAGGCTTCAAAGTCCTGCCCGAAGCTTGTTTTTCCTACTCTCACCAGCGCTCCTTTCTTCTTCCAAACTGGGGTCCTAGGAATTCTCTTGCCTCCGCTACCCTTCTCTAGCCTGCTACTCTTCACGTCGTTATGGCGCCACAGCCAGCAGATAGCAAGATCTCGCCCCCTTCGAGCCGACTATGGTCTCTGTTTAGGGTGTTCGCCCCAACCATAATTGCTCTGGCCAGCATCCGCTGGGGCTCTCAGGGCCTCGTGATTCTCGAGAGTGTCCTCTCGTCCAGAAATGGACCGTCAACGGGGCTTCCGGCGGGAACAATACAGGCACAAATGGCGACCAAGAGCGCAGATCTAGCTGTAGTCTCCTCAATGACCACTATGGACGCCCTGAGGACCCGGTACGCCGCGTCGTGCCCTGACCACCAATTCCGCACTAGCATATTCAGTAGTGATCCGGTCATTATATACATCGAGAACTATCTCTCGCCGCAGGAAATCGAGTACCTTCTTCAGGTCGCAACCCCTCTATATCAAAAGTCGCCAGTCTCCCAGGGCAAGCGGCTCAAGACGTATAATGCCGAGATCCGTTCGTCCATGTCAGCAGTCCTTGGTACCAGCGACCCCGTCGTGCGGTGTATCGAGCAGCGCTCCGTCGACTTCCAGGGCTTCATGCCACTCCGGCACCTAGAGGACCTCCAGGTGGTTAAGTATGGCATTTCTGACCACTTCCGGCCGCACTTTGACGTATGTACACTCCATTCTCGCTCCGCCTATTCCTTCACTTTCTGCGCCAGTTCGTGTTCGTGTAACTATTGCCACAAACGGATCTAGTCTAACTTCGTGATATAGTGGTTCGGAGGTGATGCCAACCCGCGCATTTCGAGCTTCTTCGTATATCTCGCGTGCGACGGCGGCCGGACCGGCGATGGCGAGATGTGCAAAGGGGGAGCAACACAATTTCCGGACTACCGGGGCCGTTTCCCTGCGCGCTGGTGCCGCTTCATCGACTGCCACGACGATAGCGGTGTCGGCGGTGTCGCTTTCAGGCCCATCCCAGGCAACGCCATCTTCTGGGCTAATCTCTATCCTAACGGGACAGGCCACCCGGGTGTCTGGCACGCGGGCATGCCGGTGCGAGAGGGACGCAAAGTGGGCATGAACATTCTGACCAGGCGGGACGTCCTCGACAGTTAGAATTATCCTGTGACTGCATCATATATTTTGGAAGGACTAGCTAGATCCATTCATTGATTTGATTTGCACTTGCTTTATTCTTGTGTCTGTTGAGCTCAGGAACAACATGAGACGTCTGATTCACAGTATATGCGCATCCATATTTCGCTCCAAGTGGCACACTATGCTGCTAGCCAGCGTTAGCACAGTCGATACTCGAATCGCCAGGCATACCTAACGTGTACTTCCGACTCTGTTTATGTGAGAGCATCTGGGTCTCGCTCATGCCGACCTCGCCCTCGGCTCGGCAGTCTACCCCAAGTATTGTTCATGCCGAGGCCTGTCCAGGCTGCGTAGTAGAACACCCGACAATGCAGTCGACTCGTCACACCCACTACTGGCGAGCACTTCTGAAGTTGACATCGAGGTGACAGGCTAGGGTACCATACCCGTGACAGCCTGGAAACACATATCCTCGCCAAGGGTGCCCATAAGTGGCATCTGCCGCCAGGTTCTCGACATATTACCCCACTTCTGCACCTCCTCCTCTTCTCATTATCACGGGGCGGCCCGCGAATTGCGGAGCACCACGCAGTCTCCACGGGTGTTCTAGAGCAGGTCAGTACGACGCATGCATGTACAGCCCGTGCACCAAGCGATAGATACACCCTCCCAGCCATGGCAGCGATCAGCGTTGGGTCTTTTGTAGGTATCTGCCAGTGTGGCACACTTCGGTTCGACCGTTCCATCCTACAGCGCGCGACCCATGAAGTGACAGCCTGCATCCATTCCAGCCGGCTTCGCCAGCCATGCCACAAATAGAGTCTGATGGCGTGACCAACAGCGACTTTGGAGTTATATGTCATGCAAGCGCGAGGTAACTCAGTCGCGCCTTGAAACCATCCACATGCTCTGCCTACCCCTCAAGCTCTATGCAGTGATAGCATCTCAGCTCGCCACGAGCAGCCCACCATACCACATCCCCGCCCCGAGTGTGATATCTGCCTGGCACGTCGTCTGCGGATGAGAACCCAACGGGAGCCGACACTACTTGTAGCACGCATGACCTTCCTCACCCACTAACACCATAACAAGAACGCAATGTCATGCCATGGAACAACAATATCATGCAGGACTCGACAGATGGGGTAACCCGCCCGGTATCCTCATCCCTGTCACGCCGCCTACTTCACAAAGAGCCTTGTGCCTCACTTTAATCGTGCTCCAGAACTGGAGGTGTGCATATTTCGCGTCCCTAGGCATGAGACTGGGGACGTGCTGGGCAGTTATTCGCAGGATCCATCTGCGGGTCGACGACCAGCTCGGCGAACTCCCAATGCCGATTCGAGCATAGCAGAGACGTTGCACGGCCCCGTGACGCCGATCAAGGCTGCAAGTTGACATCTCGGCCTTCGCCTGCGACTCCCTCGATGGAGTGGCATTTGAAAAGGGGTGTGAACGGTGTGGTAGGTGAGACAACGTGCCTGGTCTACAGAGCTAGCCGAGCATGCCTACGCCTCGTCTGGCGGCACACAGAGGACCGGAAAGGCGTAAAGTGTAAAGGTGCGGCGGGGGACAGTTGCGGACTCTTCACCCACAGCCTGAGGGTGTTTGCGGCCCGCCGTGGGGAATCTCTATAAGAAGCATGGGCTGACCTTGGCTGGGTGAAGTTGGTCAGCGCGCAACACACGGTCATCACTCGGCACATCTCTAGCATCACGCAAAGAATCAAGTCTGCTAAGGTCAGTGCATGGAACCTTTTCCCACTCCTGTTCTTTTTTCATGCGAAGAGGAGGAACCAAAAGATAATTCCCATCAGGTTCAGCCCCTAAGACATAGCCCACACCTTCAGCTATATCCATGCTTTCCCCACGGAGCACCGCATGACTGTCTCAAACAGACACTTACTTTCTCGTCCCATCTCTAATCCTCCCAGCAGATCTCCCATAACTGCAAACTCGCCAGCCATGAAGGCCTCCATCGCCACGACTACTGTCGCGGCAATGCTGCTGCCCACACTCGTCGCCGGCGCCGCCATTGACCTCGGATCCCGAGAACCCTCGGGCGTCGACCCGTCCTATGTCTGGGCCTCAACCAGCGGAGATGAGGAGAAGAAGAAGCGCTCCGGCGTTGACCCGTCTTATGTATGGGCCTCCACCAGTGGCGATGAGGAAAAGAGAAAGCGCTCCGGAGTTGATCCATCTTACGTCTGGGCATCTACTAGCGGTGACGAAGAGAAGAAGAAGCGCTCGGGTGTCAATCCAGCTTACGTTTGGGCCTCCACCAGTGGAGATGAGGAGAAGGAAAAGCGCTCTGGCGTGGACCCATCATATGTGTGGGCATCGACTAGTGGCGACGAGGAGAAGCGCGACACCTCGGGCGTCAGCCCTGCCTATATTATAGTGTAGGCGTTTATATGTCGCCTATACGACGAGCATAACACTGGTCGCTAGTACATCTATGAACTTCTCCGTAGGCGCTATTTACACCCTTACTCTCTGGCTAGTTTCTTCGCTAGTACACTTGAAGACGAATAGCTGTGGTATGAGAAATCAAGATCCCATTTGGGTTTCATCTACAATTAGGTAACGGCTGTTGAGTTGATCCCTGAGCTCAAATCTTTGCTGGGCAGCTAACTAGCTGTAGGGAGAAGGTCTGAAAACGACCAAAGCTTTTGCTTCCCTCCCTCGCCAATGTCCCTCCCCCTTCATCCCTTTCCTTGCGTGTCTTAATCTGGTCAATCCCTCTGTCCGTGTTCGTTACGACTGGGCCTCTCTGATCTGCACGAATATCTCCATCAAGTCCATGACGTCCGGAACACCCTCTGGACGATGCGTGTTCTGGATGACGAGGGTGGGAACGCCGGAGCGGGCCGTCGTACTCTTGTTCTTCTCCGCTTCCTGATCGATGACATCCCCCGCCTCGTCGGACTGCAGCCAGGCCTGGGCGTCGCCAGCGCGAACACCCGCACGTCGTGCAGCCTCCAGTAGCACGTCGTGATTCGCGACATCCTGCGCCCGGCAGTGATAGGCGTCGAAGATTGCCTCGACGAGGTTGCGCTGCGTCTCGCCATCGTATCTGCCCCCCGCGGTGCCCACCAGGTGTACCAGCCGGTGCGCGTCGCGCGTCGCCGGATTCGGGCCGAGCTTGCCTCCCCAGTCGAAATTAATGCCGCTTGCGAGGCCAGCTCGGTTCATGCGTCTGGTCAGGGCGGCGCGCTGCTCGGGCGTTTGGTCTGCCAGCCTAATGTCGGCGAGCTCAAGCTTGTCGATGCTGTGCGCGTGGGGGTTGTAGTTCAGGAAGTACGGCGTCCATGTAATGGCGAACGTGTCGTGCTTACCGCCCGGGTACGTCTTCTGGTAGAAAGTTATGGCAGAGTCCAGGTTTCGCTTCGCGATGTAGCACCACTGCGAGTATGTTCTTGGTCAGCGCCCTGATGCAGGCCTGATGTAGTCCTGATGTAACTCTCTGGCCACATAGTAGCTGATGGGCTGGTGGAGCAGCAGCCGCTCGACGACGGATAAGGGGCAGAAACTCACGGCGCAGACAAAATCTGAGACAAATTGAATTTCGAAAATAGCCATAGCGAAGGCTAGACTATACAGGCCGGAATGAAGAGTAGGGTAGCTTACGCAGATCGTATCCAAGTATGTAGGCAGCTAACAGGTATGGTAAGGTAGCGGCAGTAATGGAGTGTGACGACCCGACCAACAGGTCGCAAGATCGGGCCAGGGACAAGGGCAGGTCATGCACGCGGGGCGGACACACCCCTGGTTACGTAAGCATCTCATTATATCAGCAGGAGGATATGTTGGATCGCAACATATCCACACATAGCCTGGATATGCTGGATCACAACCTATCCAAGCATATCTAGGAACGCAGGGACATATCTCTATGGAAACCCGGTGAAGGGGAAAGGATATATAGGGACAGGAGGACCTCCTTGTAGACAGTCATTACCTTTGCACTTCAGCGATCAATCTAAGTATCATTCTCACCCTTCACTTGACCTAGTCACTCAATTGATCCGAGTGTGATATCTCGCAAGAGACACGAACGACAACCCCCTCGAGAACACGACAGCACGGAGTCAGTATTGCATACGGTTGCTACCTGCCTTATTCAAAACATAAACCCACAGCGCCCGGTCAGACGGTTGACCCCGGAGATCGGATCGTGACAGGTAGCGCCGGGCGGTCTTACGCGCTTTAGAACGAGTTAGAACCGGTTAGATCCAAACCAAATCAACTGGACCTCTGAATTGGCTGGTTGCCAACCATGGGGGTTGAGAGATTTCAGTTGAATTGGACCCACAGTTGGAGGATACAACGGCTCCAACGATTGGAAGTAAACCTTCTTTGGGCTAACGTTAGCCTGTGCCTGAAAGGTATAAATACGAAGTGGTGTCACCAATAGCTTTAACATGTGATGCAGATGGTGCATAACGTATTCCACGATTGAGGCGCCCGTCCAATTGAGTAGCCCACTAAAAGCAGTTGATTACACTCTATTACACGATTATCTCAACAACCACAATAGCAATAGAATATCCACGGGGCAGAAATTGGATGTCCTAAGTGAGATTGTGAGATACCTTTATATCGGCAAGAAAGGTAACGTACCGTTTCATGCCGGTGAAAGGTTCAGGCCCGCTACCATTTGAAGCCTCTGACAGTTCATTAGTGACCTCCTACAGGTCCGATGGTCCAAATTATTTCCTTCCCAGCAAGCGCCTTCCCTTCCCAACAGATCAACGTCGCAAAATTCTCAAATCGTTCCGGTTCCAACCGGCACATCCCCGTAAACCTGCGCCACCTCAACAAGGGCGTTATAAATAGCTACCTTCTCCTCGTACTCCCGGATAAGTTCCTCGTCGCGCCTACTGGGGTCTAACCCTCCAAACGCTCTCACCGCAGCGTAGTAAACTTCTGCCAGAGCCCGGCACAGAGACTTGAACGTCACCGAGTTGCATTGGTAGTACAAACTGAAGCATATTAGTATTACATCCATTTGAGGGGTTGAACGGGGTGATTGACTCGGTCTTGAACTTGTTGTCAATCCTGAGTCTCCCAGCTGTCGTGAAGCGGTTCTGCTTGTGATAGTTGTTGTAGCCAAAGTCGTGGCGGTGGCATGCCGGGACGAAGGGGAACCCGAGCGGGTTGTCGGGTGACAACGTGCAGTCGTCAGTCGTCCAGTCCAGCGTAGCCGGGTCGCGGGCGTCGTGCTTCACTGTGAATTGGGGTAGTGTGAGAGTAAAGAGGTACTGGTCCGTGATGGTGTCGAGGCTCTGCCGCTTAACCGGAGTAACATCCTCGATTTCCCGGAGGGCGAGTGACGTGCTGGCCAGGAAGACCAGGAGGGTAATGAGCTTCATAATGTTTGACTGACGGGAGGCGTGTCAAGGAGCTTGACCTGGGGACGCTAGCTGGCTGACTGGGAGCTGACTGGAACGAAAAACGCCGCTCATCTGATGCTGGGGAGGCAGTGATGTTTATATTTCCTTGACTCCAGATCTTCACTTTGGAATTCTGGCCTCGTAGGCTAAGTCAAGAGTCAAATATGACGTATAGATAACATGAGCACGTCTTCTGGCCCTTTGCGTCATACATGTAACCGCCCGCTTTCGCGTTCCTAAGGTCTTCGCTCTGCAGGGTAATAGTGCTCTTTCTGCGTACGGAAAACACAAATTTGAACTAAAGAGCCACTACTCACTAGTTAAGCTCAAACTGTATGCATTGTCTTTCTTGGTGTCGGATCACGGTAGGATTCGCAAGCCCTTCAGTGGGCGGCTTACGCAACTGTGTTTAAAGTTCCAAGATACATTTTCTTAAGGATCCTTCAGATGCCAATGAGTGCTACAGGCCGGACGAGGGATTACTAATGCATCGTACGCGATGCATGTCTCGGTCCCGGTAACGTGCATGCATTGCGGCGCCGCTGAAAAGCTCTTCGGAAGCTTATCCCGGTCATATAAAAAAGTCAAGACATGCATACGCCTGTCCAAAACCGCAGACGCAGCGAATTTGAGACCCGAGCGACAACCACGATCCTCGTTTCGTCTATGATGGCATATGAAGTTATTTCGTCTCTTTGGATGCTCAAGTCTTAGCAGGGTTACACGCTTCGACATGGCTAATATCATTGTGTCGCAGCTCTTTTGCTTAGCATCCTTTGTACAATTTCGATACAGCCGTCAGGGTTATGTGCCGAGGACTGTTGCTTTTCTTCAAGCCATCATAAGCCAACGGCCGCAGGCCGGTGGGTCTTGTAGCCGTATCTTCGGCCCTACGTGTTGTTAGGTCCGAGGATTGCTCGTATACGTGCCATAGCACAGAGAACATGCTTGGACAGGGGGCCTAGGATTAGTTCAGACCTGGCACACACGGGTGCCTAGCTCTCGAAGGTGCTAGGCTAAACATGCTAGCACAGGGAACGTACCAGCACACAGACCGTGCCCGTACACGTACTCTGGCACAGGGCGTATGCTATCCACCGAAGATCACAGTGACAAGGCCACAAAGTATGGGCGATGGTAAAGGGCTTGAGCAACTCGAATCCCGTAAATTAACTCCGCCCATTACGCTAAAGCGAAAACAGCTGGAGAACACTGTGAGTGCTTCTCGTTCGAGCCCCATCAAATCCTGCCATCGCTGGCTCATGGTTATCTAGGATGACTATATGCGCAGTCTCGTCAGAGTGCGTAATCAAGCAATTCAACTCAAGACAGCTGAGAACACAACTAGAAAGGAGTCAGGGAAAGGCGACGAGTTTTGCCGCAAGCAATCAGCAACTCAAGTGTTCAGTATTCTTGCCTTAGATATATATTTGTTGTAGATCCCTTTCGGCATACGGTTAGAATTGGGTCGGGTAGCAGTTAGAAGCGCGTATTCTTAACGATAGAGCGAATAAGAACAGTATATCTAGAGAGCGCCAGAAAGAGAGACCAGAATAAGACATGCAGACTTCTTAGCAATGAATTGACTGGCAACTATCATTTTCATGAAGGACTAACTAGAAAGGAGTGAATCATAAATGAAAGAACGACACCTCATTCGCCTCTGTGAACATTCCATCGCTTCAAAGTTTAAGAAGCTTAACATCCTCGTCGAATGTCCCATCGAATGTCACCTCTAGATGTAGACGGATCCAAACTTCATTCGTGTTCTTCAAGTAAAGTTTTACTTCGCCCTTTACCACAAATAGGCTGACCTTAATCGTCAGCCCACTGTTCTTTAAATCCCCACGTAGAGTGCCAAGATTGATGCCTAGAATATCGACCGTGACGGTGAGACCCAAGGTCTGGGGGTTCACGTAGCCTTTCACCTGTTTCACGGATTAAAAACTGTCTCCACGACCGAGAAGCAATAGCATAGACACCGGGGAATAAGCAACATACATGGAGCGGCCCATAGCTGAAATCAATTGTGGGGGAGTTTCCTGAAAGCTCCTTCCGAAGCCCGTCTGTGTGTTGCTTCTGTACAAGGGTGTAGACGTCGTTGCTTTGCCTGCGTTCAAGAACCACTCCTGATTTATTGTGTTAGAGACAGCATCTAACTTGGGAGACAGAACTCATACCAGCGCGAAATTCGGGTTCCATAGAGGTATCAAAGCTGGCCGCCATTTTGGTTGTAGATTTAGTTGTGAGAACTGTGAGGCTTTGCTTTCTGTAGCGATCCAGACACGTCCTTAGACATGTATTTATACACATTTTGTCCCAGTTTCCCCTACCTGCAACTCTACGAATCTGCGTTTCCCATTCCGCGTATGAGAAGGTTTCAACTATAAGTGTGGGTGGGGCAGTTCAGAAGGTGCTAATCAAAGTAAAGCTGGTTGGCGAACTTCGGAGAAAGGCATGTGAAAACCCCTCTGCATTCATGCCTACCATGGCAACACAATATTAGGATAGCGCCAATAATCATAGTATACCGTCACCGACTAATTTTATCTAATTGGGAACTTATCCAAATCATCCTAAAGGTAGAGCGAGTATATTTAAGTACGACTTATATTTACTAAACCTCCGGGGCCCTTATATTAAAGGAGGCGCGTAGCTAGGATAACTTAGTATACGATCAATGCCCCGAGTATCGTAGTAGGTAGCTAGAGGCATTACTAGCACCTCTACGGAGTGATCTTTGCTACTAGTATATATTAAGCTACTTCTCGACAACTGGATGATTTTTCTATCGTTATTTAAGCTTCAATATAACCCCAGCTGTACACCTCACCGTAACTTTATAAATGACCTGCTAGCCGAATATGAAATCTCAGCCAATAGTACATATTAAGATGCTTCTCAACAGTTAGATGGCTTTTTTAGCTTTATCCAAGCCGCTGCATGTCGGATCCCAGCAGCACGTCTTACCTACATAGCCCACACGGCCAGGCAGCTATGAATTGTTTACCTAACACGGAAGGGAGCATACGTAATGGATGCGCACGGAAAGGAGGAGTAAACGTCACATCACGATAGGTTCTAGCGCTGGGCCTCCTTGTTCTGTTGTTGGCTTTACGAGGAGCAGCCGGAGCAGCGGTTAAACAGCCTCTTGGCTCTGCTGTTGGCTTCCCTGGTGTTGGTGTTGTAGCTCTTGGATTGACGCTTGCTGTTCCTTGCTCTCCCGCTTCAACTCTACCACCTGCTCCATCAACCTCTGCATCATCTCTAGCAACGCGTCTCCGTACTTGCTGCTCTTCCTGCTCGTGTCCAATCCATCCTCTCCTCCGGCTGGCGTTGTCCGCTTCGTATTCTTGGTCGGTTTCTTGGTCGCTGCGATGATTTCGACGTCCGCTTGTTGGTTGTCTTGTGCTTTGGAGCTTGGGGTCGGGTTGCGAGCCGATCGTCCCCGAGACTGTTCGTGGTCGGTGGTCTCAGCCACGATCACGGTCTCCACCGCGTCAGACATGTCCCACCCACCACGACAACACCCGTCGACCACTTTCTTCAGATTCAAACACCCTAACGATTGGTACAACGATTGGTACAACGATTAATACAACGATTGATAAAACGATTGACTCGCCGCCTGGAAGCGCAGGGCGGGGATCGTCGAGTCGGTTCTCACTGACATGGACCAAGGCCAAACTCTCGCGGAGCTGCTGGGTGCGGACATGGCCAATGCCATTGCCCGGGGGGAGTGGCAAACGCTCTACACGACCATGCATCTGGAGCGACGGCGAGTGAGACGCTCTCAGGCTTTATCACAACCTGTACCAGCTCGCCCGGCTCTAATGCCATCGTCGTCGGCGCTCAACGGCAAGCGCATACAACGATTGATACAACCCAGATACATGTGACGCTCTCACGTAAGGGCTGTAGAGATGGAACAAAAACCCCGCCGGAACGGATTAAGGATTTAACCGGTAGTTGCCCCTAGACCTCACTGGGCGTACAGAACTTTCGGAAATCAAGTTAAGTCACGTTAAGTACAACAACAATGAATCCAATTGGTTCAATTCCGTGGTGACAATAATATTCAATCTATAATTGCAAATCCTTTTTCCCCCTCGGAGTCCATTATCACGGAAGCTAGCTTAACAATCATCCTTGCGCCTGATAACTTTCCATATTAATAGCGCTCCATAATGAGCTGCGTCTTCAGTGAGTCCTCCTCGAGAAACCAACCCTTGTCCTGCAGGTAGGAGATGAAGCTGTCGTGCTTAGTTAAGGCTGTCGTACGGCTCTCAGTCTTGAAAGACGCCTCGACGAGGCAGTCGTTTCCTGTGCCCGCGCGGTTGCGGATGAGCCAGACCTCGATGTAGAGCCGCATCCCCTCCCATGTGCCAATCGAGCGTTTGGCGAGGACCGGCCCAAAAATACGCGATTCTGCCAACGCGTCGGTGCCCCAGTTGATGCCCAGCCAGTTGTCGAACTTATCGGGCGCTTTGTCGACCAACATCGCACGCGATTTGCACGTGCCCGGCAGGTCCATCCCGCTGTTCACAGAATCCGCCACCTTCTTCTTGCGGGTGATAGAGAGTGTCTGCTTCTGGTAGCCCCATTCGACTTGGGCCTCGTATTTCGCGTCACCGGCGTCGAAACCATCATTATTAGCCGTGGTGAGCGCGGCGTCGATGTCACCGTCCATGATGACATACCGCTTCTTGTACGTCAGCTCCAAGTCATCCTCGTTCTCAGTCTTACGGATGCGGGCGCTCCAGCCGGCGGTATAGATGTCCTTGCCGGTCGTATCAAGAAACTGGGCATGCAGCTTGGTGACGCTTAGGGGCATGTCGAAGGTCGACAGGACGCTGCTCGTGAGCTCCGTGTTGGGACCGAGGACTGCGGTGGGTTTGAGGAGGAACTTGATCTCGTAGTCGGGCATCATATTTGGCGCTCCTTGCATTGCGGAGTCGACAATGGCGGTCATAGCGAACAGGCGGCAAGGGGAGGAGTGTATGGTACCTGTGAGTTCACGGGCAAGGCTTGAATGAAGCAATAAGGTCGACTGAGCAGCGGTAGTTTGCAAGAGGGGACCAAGTAGGTGAGGTAGTCGCTGTTCTGGAACAAAACG